CATCCTTTCTTCAAACAGTCGTCCGCGAAGGTGACTGTATTTGTATCCCACTGGATGTGTGGGCTATGGTGTCGTAACCATGTAATCCCGAGGACCGCCGCGTACCCACACAAATCCGTCAAGAAGAACTCCGCCTTCTCTTGGTGCAATCCTGTCCGCACAATAGCATGTGCCTTCTGGGTGATCTGACCACCCACTATCTCTCTTCCGTCGATGACCGTGACGGTCCTAGGGTTCTCTAGGTCTATCACATCAAAGTTATGGATCCTCGCGAACGTCCGATCCATGAACATACCCGTGGCCCCCGAATCTACCATCATCACTGCCTGCACAGGAATCCCCTGCGGGTAGAACACTCCTACCAGAGTGAGGTGGCTCTCCGGACCACTAGGGTTACCGCTAGCACCAATGTGCAGCGGGATCCCATCACTACCCCCTTTCACGTTCCCAGCCGGGGTCCTTTGGTGATCCGTTATTCTATAAGGCCTGGCAGCCGACCTGCCGGGTCTTGAGGTAATAAGGTCGCGGGACTGGGGAAAGGTAACGGTAGGCATAGCGATGTAATAACGGATGTCTAACTACTACAAGGTACTAGTTAGACGTCTACGAGAACATCTCCTAAAAGGTCTCCGAGAGGGTCTCCGAGAGGGTCTCCGAACGAGACCCCGAGGCGACGCGCACCGTAGGTCGCGCGTCACGTGACGCCTATAATAGTCGTCCTGCGCCGCCGGTATCAGCGCTTTCACCATCCAATCGCCCAATGCGGGGATGGTGCCATTCAGCCGCAAAGGCGGTCGCTCAACCGGACTACACCCCTCAGAGGGTGCGTCTTCGACAGGCCGGAGCAGAGTCTCCGCTCGCTTCGGCTCTGTCTCCTCCATCAACTCTTCCCGCCGACTCAACGCGTCGGCCTTCCCGTTCTCCGTTCCCGGTTTGTACTCCAGGGTGTAGGAGATCTGGTTCAACAGCTGCGACCATCGCGCCTGCCGTTGAGACAATACCTTGTCCCTCTTGAAGTACTCCAAGTTCTTGTGATCCGTGAGGATCCGAACGGGGTACTTGTTGTCGAGATAATGTCGCCATATCCGACTGCAATAAACGATGGCCAACAGTTCCCTGTCGTGCACATCGTAGTTCCTCTCGGCGGGCGTCAGGCTTTTCGACATGAACGCTACCGGGTGGAGCTTCCCATCGTCCCCTACCTGGGACATTACCGCGCCGATCGCTCCAGAGGAAGCGTCGGTCTCGAGCACCACTTGGCGCTCCTCGTTGTAGTGCGCCAGTATAGGCGCCTGGGTGAAGGACTCCTTCAATTCCCGGAACGCAGCGTCAGCGGCTGCCGTCCAGGAGTACTTCACCCCTTTCTTCGTCAGGGCCGTCATTCCCTGAATCTTCTTGGAGTAGTTCTGAATGAATCTCCGATAATAGTTTGCAAATCCTAAGAAGGACTGCAGTCCCCGAATGTTCTTCGGGGGGGCCCAGTCCAAAACGGACTTGACCTTAGAGGGGTTCATACTAACCCCCGTCGGGGCAATATCGTACCCCAAGAATTCGGTAGCCACCGTATCGAACTCACACTTCTCCGCTTTCGCATACAGGCCATTTGCCTGCAGCCTCTTCATAACCTCCTTGACCTGACCATCGTGGGTCTCCTGGTCGGAGGAGTAAATAAGTATGTCGTCGAGGTAAACGACGACGCACACATCCAAAAGGTCCTGAAAGACCTCGTTCATCCACCGCTGAAAGGTAGCGGGGGCATTGGTCAAGCCGAACGGCATGACCAAGCATTCAAACAGACCGAAACGTGTAGTAAACGCGGTCTTCCAAATGTCTTCTTCCTTTACGCGTAGCAGGTTGTACGCGCCTCGGAGGTCCATCTTCGTGTAGACCTTCGCGCCCTTCAACCTGTCTAGCGTCTCTGAGATGAGGGGTAGGGGCGTCCTATCCTTCACTGTAATGTCGTTAAGGCGACGGTAGTCGATGCACATACGCATCTCGCCGCCTTTCTTCGGTACAAACAGTACCGGGCTCGAGCAGGGCGACTTCGACGGCCTGATGAACCCCTTCTCCAGATTCTCCTTCAACCACTTCTTTAGCTCCTCACTCTCCCGCTGGGAGTGGTTATAGAGCTTCTGATACGTCGGCGACGTACCGGGTTTGAGTTCGATCGCATGGTCGATCGATCGCTTCGGGGGCAGTGTATCTGCCTTCGTCTTGGAGAACGCTCCAAGATGTTCATGATACTTCTCCGGTACCATGTCCCTCAGCTTCTCCATATACTCGGGAGGGTCCAGGTCATCCTGGAACGAGTCTGTAGGTTTGACGTCCCAATCCCACAGGTCCGGGCGCCTCGCCCGCTCGTCGTCCTCCCGGGTCATCTGCATTTGTGCGACGACCAAATCCTCCGTGATAGACCCCTTCATCTTCTTGAACGGGTCGATCCCTCGTGTCTCCACCTCTACTTCGTCCGGAGCATACACCGTCTCGGGCCTCTTGAGACATCCCGTGCTGATGCAGACATCCCCGAACGTCACCGCGTTGGAGTCCCATTGGATATGCGGATTGTGTCTCCGCAGCCAAGGGATACCTAGTACGACCGGGTACCCACTCAAATCGGTGAGGTGGAACTCGGTCAGTTCCAGGTGCACTCCCGTACGTACCAGCGTACGAGCCTTCTGGGTGATCCTTCCTCCCTGGATCTCCCGACCATCGATCACCGTTACTACCCGCGGCGTCTCGAGGTCCGTTACGTCGAATCCATGTAGCGACGCGAATGTCCGATCCATGAACATCCCGGTCGCTCCCGAATCCAACAACATGAGTGCTTGGACCGGCACTCCTTCCGGGTAGAACACTCCTACCAACGTCAGATGGCTATCTGGACCGTTGGGTACTCCGCTTGCACCCAACTGCAAGGGGATCCGGCTACCTCCCTGTGCTCCCCCATTCGGGGTCCTTTGGTGATCCGTTATTCTGTAAGGCCCGGGAGCGGCCCCCGGCGGGGGTCCCCCTGGACAGGCTGACGGGACGCAGGAATGAGGCAAGGTACGGGTAGGCATCTAAATGTAATAACGGATGTAGAGCTATTACAGAGGTACTAGTTCTACATCAACATAACAATACCGAAAAGTACCCCCGACGGGAGTCGCATACGGGAGTCGCGTACGGCGCGTCCGACGCGTCACGTGACCGCTATAACACCTACTCGTCCCCGATCTATCAAATTTACTCCCCTCGCAACTTATCTATCGAAATAATCCTCAAGAATGCCTAAGTAAGTAACATATCTCGTGCTTCTCGCTTCCGAAAGTTCATATCGCTGATGTTCACTGGGAATATTTCTTCCGCTCGCAGGAAAGCCGATCAACAAAAGACCGCCACCGACAAGGGCAAGAAGCCCGAGGCCCCCCCCGTCAACGCCGCCGCCTCGGGATCCGGCTCTCGAAAACGACCGGCCCCCTCGACCGACGCCATGTTAGTCTCGAGCCTTATTTCCTTCGCAAAATTTCTGACGCTGACTTTCTCTCGCCGGATTTCTCTCGCAATCAGTGCCCCGCCCACTACCTCCCGGGAAATTCCTCCCGCCGACTTTCAGGTGAAGAACCTGATCGCGCTCGTCGACAACGTCCCCGCCCCCGAGATATACGTTTGGGATTCTCGATTCGGTACCGTTCAGGCGTGGTGGCGGGAAATTTCGACCGTGCAAAAGACCTGGGCCGGCAAGCGAGGGAAGAACAAGGGTGAGTTTCCCGCGCTCGAACTCGACCTTGAGTGGAAGGCGATGCGGTGCTCGACGGGGGCATATGTCGTGTGGAACGGGGATGACGCCGCGCGTGAGTTCACCCCTGATCGTTCGCAAGATATCTCTGGGAATTCTTCTGACGCTTAATTTCTCTCGCCGATAGTTCACCGCTGGCTCATTCAAGAAGAGGATCGAAAGCTCCTCCCCGTCCCCCCCCCTAACGAGTGGAAGGAGTTGACGACTCCCGGTCGAAGCGGTGACTTCGACACGACGCAAGCTTCGGCTTGGCTTGTAAGTATAATTTCTTCAGCTGCTTTTCGTCCGCTCGATTTCACTCGCTGATTTTCTTTCGTTTCAATTCTAGGGCAAGTGGAAAGGCGGCTGGCGCCTTATTTGTCCTTCTTGCAAGGAAAAATTCGGGACGGCTGACGGCGACGATCCGACTCTCCCGGAATATCTCTCGGAGCAAGTCCCCCCCGCGGAGAAGAATTTCATCGACCTCCGCCAGAACGAGTTCCCGGATCAAGCTACCGGGCTTCAGATCGACTCGAACCCCCTGATCGTCGCCTGCTCGTACGGTGGCGTCGGAATATGCCGGTCGGCGCATCCCCTCGATCCCGGTTCAGCGTTTTCTGCCTGTGGGCCTTGCAAGTCGGCGGGCACCAAATGCAATGGAGGCCTCGGCGACGAGTGGAACTTCAACATCGACGACAACACGGTCGCCGGAGTTCTCCGACTCGCAAAAATCGTTCTCCTTTTCGCGCAGGGAACGAAGTGGACGACTCGCGCGGCCCGGGACGAGCAGGGCGAAAAAGCGTTCGAAATTCTCCGAGAGGGAATTTGCCACGGACAGCAAGGCCTGGCGATCGAGGGCGAGGACCCTCCCACGCACGACGCTAGGCCAACCCCTGCGATTGTCGAGATGCTCAAGACGTTCCCGAAGAAGGAGCAGGGGAAGGGAAAGGGGAAGGCGAAAGCCGAGTAAAATTGCGATCGAAATATTTCTTTGACTTGTACTCTCGTGTTGTAATATGTTTGGCTTTGTCTTTTTAATACGATACATCTTACGCGTTTCACATTGGAATATTTCTCTCGCTCGATTGCTGCCGTCTTAAGTCTTGGGAAATATTTCTCACGCGCAAGTCTTGCTTATTTCCACCTATGCCCCACTTTCGACCGCGCCCGTAAGGAATCGACCGCGTCCCGATCAGTTCTTTGAAATCTTCATCGATTTATCACGTCACGTGTCTCGACGTGACGCGACGCGTTTCAACCGCAACAAGATCAAGACGGTACGACCCGTCACGACGCTTGATATGACGATGTGACGTTCCCGTCCTCGGACCTGTAGATTTGTTCGATCGTGTAAAGCGGTTCCTCGTGCCAGCTCCCGATCATACTAGATCATACTTCTACTCGCACAGCTCGAACAATGTCCAATCAGCAGCAACAGAAGATCGCTGACTTTTTGACATGGTTCACCAAGAACGGGGGGACATGGTCAGACTCTATCAGGCTGCAACATGGTCAGTTTCCCGCTCATTCTCTCCTCCTCTCGATCGCCCGGGCATAATCTGATCCTCATTCTGCGGTATCTCTCTGACGACACTACAGACGAGAAATTTGGGTACCACGTCGTTGCTACTACCGATATCCCCCACCCCAACAACGACGTCGAACAACCTCTCATCGCATGTCCTTTCGGACTGACCATCACCCAGCCTCTCGCAAAGTCGTTCGTCCTATCAGCTCGGTTTGGTCAAACTAGTCCTAGAGAAGAGGAGATAGAAGTGAAGGGAGACGTCAAGGCAGACGAGAACGAGGCATCGACCTTGAACGAGAGACAGTGGATTGCAAGCTATCTCGTTTTACACTTGATCGGCAAGGACGAGGCCAGGTTGCTGCCATCTACGTGAGTCCTGAAAGCTCCTGCATACTTTTCGATATGCGAGTAGCAGTTTCGATCTCCGTGCTGACAAACTGTCTGTCTTCCTAATCGTGTCTACACGCTTCTTAGGCTTCAACTTCCCCACCTGCCCTACATAAATCTCCTCCCTATCGCGTCCGAATTGACCACCCCTCTCCTATTCATCCCACAAGAAAGAGAGCTTATCAGCGGTAGCAACCTCGATCACGCGGTCAGCGATCGGGAAAAGCTCTGGCGAGCCGAGTGGGAGGCTGCAAAGGTGGTCGTCTGCAAGGGGGCGCTGGGAAGTCTGAGAGAGGCATTTAGTTGGTAAGTCTAACGTCAGAATGATGATGCTCTGTGTCACGTAGGTTTATGACGGCTAACAAGCTTCCCTCTGGGTCATATCACGTTGTATCGCCTGTGACTCCGAATTTCAGGGACAGATGGTTATTGGCAAACACATTCATAACCTCCCGTTCTTTCCCCTCTTCCCTCCTCCAGCTAGATTCACGTACCTTCCCTTCCGGCTCTCAGCCAACCGATACGGACGGCAACAGCGATGATGGACCATATGGCATGATGCTCCCCGGGATCGATCTACTCAACCATAAACGGGCTGAACCGGTCAGTTGGACCAGTCGACCGGGGAGGGAGGGCAAGGGGGAAGTAGGATTTAGTTCGAGAAAGGGGTACAAGGCCGGTGGCCAGGTTTGGAACAACTACGGGCCGAAAGGTAAATAACACTCCGCCATTTCGGTAAAAAGGTCTGGTTCGGCAATGTCGCTGAGTGCTCAACGAAACGTCGCAGGCAACGAAGAGCTTCTGATGGCCTATGGTTTCGTCATCCCTGGCAATCCCTCCGATACATCCGCCGTCAAGCTCGGTATTCAAGACAACCCCTCGGCAGAGATGCAGAGCTTGCTAGACCGAGCAGGATTGAAGGTCGATGAGACGCATCAAGTTCAATTTGATGACCCTGATTCCATGTCGGATCGTGGCAGAGTAAAGTTCCTCTTGCCTGAACGTCTGACCCGGGTCGTCCGGATCTGCTGCGGAGGGAAAGACGAGCCGAGGAGAAATCTCGAACAGATCTTGGAGGGGATCGCCAGTTCGCCCGACCCATACGAGAACAAGTACGTCGAAGCTGCAACGGTAGAAATGCAGGCCATGGAAGTGTTGGAAGGTGCGTTCCAAAGCAAGGCCGGGGCCGCTCAGTCTAGATTATGGAGGATCGGTGGGCAAAAGGGTCAGCCTGGGATCAGGGACCATGTCTGGCAGGCTTGTCGAGAGTATGCAAAGGGTGAGTCGTAGCGATGGATGATCGAGAAACCACGAGGTTATCTAGATGCTTATTCGAGCGAAAACGGGGCAACAGGCCAGCATGACATCTTGCAATCGCAGTATCTTCGGGTCACTCTGGAGCTAGGCGACTGGGAGGAGAGGTTGGGGCCGTACATGGATGAAGGTGCAGGCGGAGATTATGATGACGAATGGGACGAGTGATGGTCTCGTGTAGACTGTATGCGCGAGACGGGAGGGGTACGAGAGCGGTGGTCGGTGTTTCGCAAGAAGATCACGCAATCCGCCAATTCCGCCAACGATATACCTATCCGTAATCTGTTATCGTTTCGACCGGTGCTAGCGAGTTATTCCGCAGTCGGCGTCGCCCTCTTCGTTATCTTCGAGCCGCGTGCTCGTGAAGAGCTCCAGGTGGCAAGGACGGGGCTGACACAGAACGAGAGCTGGCAATCTCAAACTCGGTGCAAGCGAACGGAGGATTTTCGCCCTCGCCAAGGAGTGTGTTTCGAGTCCTCGTGCCGGTGGATCGAGTACCTTGGCCTCATCATCGGAATTCGCCGGGATCACGCGCACAGGAAACCGCCGACTCGGGGATGACGCGAATGAATATGGTTCGTACCTGGTCTACTGCAAGACGTCCGACCTGGACTCGAGCGTCTTTACCTGGACCGTTGTAAGGATAGAGGAATGACCAACCGAACGATGTTATCGGAGTGGCCGCATCCGAAGGCAGACACTGGGAAGATCGTTCTGCGTTGGGTGCATGAACACACCGTACTGGTTGTCGGAGCGAGACAGCGTCGGCAAGGATATCATCCATTGCCCAGACTTCGAGGTTCTTGGCCTACACGCTAAATCCTCGGAACGGGGATCTCCCTCGTTGTTGCTTCGATAGGACTCTTGGCCCCCACGAACCGAATAACATTGACTGACACCTCTTCCTTGCAAGCTCAAGACCAGTGCCTATATCAGCCAGTCGCTAGATACTATCGTCAAGAACGACCTTACTAGGACTGCCTTTCAACGAGGTCGTCTAGAAGATGACGTTGAGACAACTTCCGAGTCGCAAGCGGATGATCATCGAAGTGGAGAGCCGCCGACTCTGTATCGCTCCGCAGTCGCCAAGATTTCACAACGGTACCGATGGGGATGACGCAGGGCACGAGGGGAGAGGGTTGGATGGCGCGTTCCCAGAGGATCTGCATCCGGCCGCCTTTGCGCCCGTGCGGATTCGTGGTCCCTGCTTTGTATGTCCGCGACCGAGGTGGTAGTCCGCCGGCTTTGACGACCTCCTACACATTCGCGATCATGCCAAGAGAGGTTCGAGGTCGTTTTGCCTTTTTGGCGATAAGTGACACGGCGTCATCGTCCTGGAAGATCGGGAAGTCTCGGTGCGGGCGAGTGCAGGGATATTTGTGTATATATATATATCGCCGCAGGGCAAGATCACGCCCCCCGATGTGAACATGTGTCTCGAACTCCTTTCTCTTGCAAAGACTCCTCGTTCACTTGATTGTTGAAAGAGATAGCACCTACGATATAATCGATCTAGATTTCCACTTATAATCGACCATCTCAGATAGGGGCTCCGGGATCGATCACTCCTACGCCTTTATCACCCCCCCCCCCAACCACAACTTCTGCCTGACATCGGATCTTCAAGATGGTTTCCGAAAAACCAGGCAACCTCAACACCATTCAAGAGACCAAAACCATGGACTCGCAAGCCACGGTAACGTCGAATCCCAGTCCGATGGAGAAGCCTACGAAAGACCCCAACAACCCTGCCCCCGCTCGGGGCAACCTCAGCCACCCCGGTCTGTCCTCGATGCCACACATCATGTCGGACCAACAGGTACTGGAGGAGTTCGGATCCAGCCGAGACCAAGGTCTTTCGGGCAAACAGGCCGAGGCTGCGAGGCAAAAGTGGGGAGACAATATCATCCAACCTCCACCCAAACCTTCGGTGAGTCCTTTCGTCGCAGTGGATCTCGGGTTGATCGGAACTCTCTCCGCACGCGCGCGCGCGCGCACATGGAAGAAAGGCTTGGCCCCTCGTCCCTCGCTTACGAACCGAATCGCTGATGGCCCTCTCACACGTTTCCTCACTCACAGCCTCTGAAACTGCTCGGTCGTCAGATCGTCAACGCCATGACCATCGTCTTGTTGGCCGCCATGGCCGTCTCGTTCGGTACTCAGGATTGGATCGCGGCAGGTGTCATCGCCGCCCTGGTCATCTTGAACGTCAGCGTAGGATTCTCGCAGGTAAGCCCCGCAGCAAGGGTCAGAAGTGAGATCCCTCTTATCTGACTCGTAAAGACTTGTTGGTGTTTCGCAGGAATGGAAAGCCGAAAAGACCGTCGCCGCTCTTGCCAGCGTCGGCGCCCCCGTCGCTGTCTGTCTTCGAGGAGGCAAGGAGATCCAGGTCAAGGCCGAAGAGGTCGTGCCCGGTGATGTCATGCTCATGTCCCCCGGATCCATCGTCGCCGCCGACGGTCGTCTCCTCGAAGGTACCGTCTCCAACCTCGAGACCGACGAAGCTCTCTTGACCGGTGAATCCTTGCCGGTGGCGAAGAACGCGGACATCTCGGAACAGGCCGACATGCCCATCGGAGATCGTCTCTGTATGGTATACGCCGGATCTCAAATCACCAAGGGTCGTGCTAGGGCCGTCGTCGTAGGCACCGCCATGAACACTGAACTCGGAAAGATCGCCGAAGCGATCGAGCGCAAAGTGACCACCAAGGAAAAGGGATGGAGGGCCAAGTGGCACAAGGTCATGGTCGCGCTTGGTCTCAGGGAGACGACGCCTTTGCAGATCAAGTACGTCGTGAAGATCAACGTCGAGGCGCTGGCCGTTATTGATGAGACCCTTGCTTCAATAGATTGAACAGGATCGCCTATTTGCTACTCGCGATCGCCATCATCCTCGCCATTATCGTCGTCGCGTCGACTGCGTTTGTCGATATCGATCCTTCCATCGCTACTGTGAGTAGACAATCTCAATTGAAAAGGTACTCAGCACTTTACTGAAGCGCTTGTCCGTTTCAGTACGCTGTCGCCACCGCCGTATCAATCTTGCCTGCCTCTCTGATCGCCGTCGTGTCGCTTACTCTCGCCACCGCCAGCCGAGAGCTCGCCAAGCGAAACGCTCTCGTGCGAAGGATGGATGCGTGAGTCCATCGCGCTTCTTGACATGTCCGATCAGTCAAAACTGATTCCCATTCCGCGTGCCATCTCTAGCATCGAAGGTCTTGCCGTCGTTACTGACATCTGTAGTGACAAGACCGGTACCCTGACTGTCGGAAAGATGGTCATGAAGAAGGCCTGGATCCCCGCTCGTCTTCCCGACAGCGACAGCACCGAGAACACCACGATGAAGCCCGCCAAGGTCGCTACCGACATCGGTCAAACCTACGAGGTCGAAACCGGCTCCGACCCATACTACCCTCGAGGAGTTGTTCGGGCCATCGAGAACGACAAGCCTCTTATGACTGAATCGCCCTCGGAAGATGATGACGAGTCCAACGGGCAAGGAAACGGCGACAGTGACGACGAGACCTCGGGACCCGACGTCGTCTCTACCAACGATATGGAACAAAACCTCGAAAACATGGTGCTATGTGCCAGTCTGTGTAACATGTCCACCATCCACCACGGCAAAGATGGATACTGGCAGGCCAACGGAGATGCTACCGAGGTCGCTCTTCAGGTTTGGGCTCACAAGATGGGTCGCGGAAAGCCCCACATGACCAAGGCCAAGCGACCTCATCACGGAGAACGAACGCAGTCTCACGCCCCTCTGCAACGCAACAACTCGACCGTTTCCACCGGCATCCACAAGGTCCCCGTCGACGGCCACTTTGAATTGGTCGTCGAGCATCCCTTTGATTCCACCATCAAGCGAATGTCGACGGTCTGGCAACATGTCAACGATGACGGCTCAAACTCGGGGTCCGGTTGCATCGCCTTTTTGAAGGGAGCTGTCGAACGGGTCCTCGATCGATGCGAGTTTATCGGACTCGGCGAGGACAAGATTCCCCTCACCGAATCGGAAAAGGCCAACATCATCTCCCGAATGGACGCCCTCGCCGCCGAAGGTCTTCGAGTCTTGTGTCTGTCTGGAAAGAGGATTCAATCGCGCGCCGAGCAGCTTAAGGTCATGCCACGTGACGAGCTCGAGTCGGGCATGTCTTTCCTTGGTCTCGCCGGTATCTACGATCCCCCCCGACCTCAAAGTCGAGGAGCCGTCCTGGAAGCTCAACAAGCCGGGATCACCACCCGAATGCTGACCGGAGACCACCCTGCCACCGCTTCTGCTATCGCCCGATCGGTCGCCATTCTCGACGACAGTCATGGAACAGGCGCCGTCATGACCGGTCAACAGTTCGATTCGCTTACGGAAGACGAAATCGACGCTCTTCCCGAGCTCCCGGTGGTCATTGCTCGATGCGCTCCCGAAACCAAGGTCCGAATGGTCGAAGCTTTGCACAGGCGCAAGGTCTTTGGCATGACCAGGTTCGCGGTCATGACTGGAGATGGTGTAAACGATTCTCCTGCGTTGAAGCGAGCAGACGTCGGAGTCGCCATGGGTCTCAACGGTTCCGATGTGGCGAAATCCGTCTCGGACATCGTCTTGGCCGACGACAACTTTGCTTCGATCACGCGTGCGATCAGAAAGGGACGAGCCACGTTCAGCAACCTGTCTAAGTTCTTGCTCTACTTGCTTTCCGGAAACATCGCCGAAGTCTTGGTCATGCTCATCGGATTGGCCTTCCAAAATGAGAACGGGATCTCTCAGTACCCTCTGAGTCCCGTCGCGGCCTTGTGGATCAACACCATCGCTGCTGGGCCTCCCGCTCTGGCTTTGGGTCTCGAGCCTACCGCGAAGGACGCGATGGACCACACGCCCAAGGCTTACAAGACCATCTTCACCAAGGTACGGCTCTGGGATCCATTGGTTCGTGACTTTAACATCACTGACCCTCATCCTTGTCCCTCAATAGTGGTGGCTACTTGACTTGGCTTTCTATGTGAGTCTCGAGTCGTTATTTTTGACGTCTAAATTTGAGCTGATTTGTCGACTTGCTTTTCTCAGGGAATCATGATCGGTGAGAAACCCAGCCTTGCAAGGACTTCTGTTGCGTATGAGCTGATTTGTTGGCTCGCTCCTTTCAGGTGCTTTGACGCTCGTGAACGTGAGTTGAAGCCGTCTTGGTCCTGTATATAAATCGGCGCTCATGTGATTTCGTTCGATTGAACAGTTCGTTATCGTCGTCTGGGGTCGGGGAGATGGTTACCTTGGTGTGGACTGCAATGAGGGGGCTTATAATTCCAGCTGGTTCGTTTTAGCCCCAGCGTTTTGAATTTTAGGGTGTCTGTTTGCTCACCATCTTCGCGAAATTTTGACGGTAACAGCAAATTGCTCTTCCACGGTCGATCAACCGCTTTTGCCACCTTGACCATCCTCTTGATGATTCATTCGCTCGAGTGCAAGCACCTCGAACTGAGTCTCTTCCAGATGAACCTCTTGGACAACAAGCTGCTCCTCTGGTCCGCTTTCGCTTTGTCCCTCACTGTCTTCCCCATCATCTACATCCCCCGTATCTCCGACTACGCCTTTCAGGTCATCGACATCGGTTGGGAGTGGGGTATCGTTTTCGGGATGATCCTCGTCTACCTCGTCCTCACCGAACTATGGAAGCTCATGAAGAGGCGTCTCCGAAGGGGAGAGAACCAGACCGGAAGGAAGATGACCGCCAAGGAGAAGAACCTGCCTCGATTCGAGACGATGGCGGAATGAACAAATACGTATAGGCTAATTAACGTTGCGCGCACTAGCGACAACCTTTCTGACACACACTGTATACATAGTAGGCCAGGCATGCATGCATTTGATGAGATGAACGAAGTGCTTTGACGATGGACGAGTGTGGGCGAGTTTGGATGTCTGTCTGATCAATTCACGGAGGTGGCTAGAGGCGTTGCCACCTTGGCCGCGCCTCGTCGTTACGTCATCTCATGCGGCCACGTGTCACCGCGAGGACCCCGCCCTCACACTCCCGGACGACGATGATGATGCTCACACCGCTTAGAGCCGAGACGTTGGACGTTCGACCGTTGACAACCAAGATCAACTTTGGCCGTATAGCCAGATACTCACTTACCTCAACCGATCCTCAGTCCCCGAGGTATACTTTAATGGTAGCAAGCGGAGTTGATTTAGGATTTGTACCCACCAGCCCGCTGAGCCATTCTTCCGACGACCACTACTACTACTGAGGACTGGTATCATATCGACCATCATTCCGATCAAACGACCGCGAGCGGTACTTTCACGATTGACATAATGCCGACGGGACTCCAAGCTTTATTGAAAGAGCGTACGTCGAACCAGTCAGGATTATATATCGGAATCAAGCTGAGTAGCCGCCCCCGAACGTTCCGACATTTCAGGCATCAGCACGGCTCTGCTATGTGGTTCACCTGGAACGTGGAAGGTGCTGGTGGTAGACGAGCATTCCAAGGCTCTGCTCGAGTCCGTTTACAAGCTGTTCGACATCTTGCATATGAACATCACAGGTAAGCGAGGTCTTCGTTACGGGTTGGCACGAAATAAATAGCTAAAATAGAGCACTTATTGCAGCGGTTGAGATGCTCATGTCCCCTCGAGCAGCACAGCCGAGCCTGGATGTCGTCTACCTGTTGACGCCCACGACTCAGAATGTCAACCGGATCTTGGCCGACTTTTCTGACGGGAGAAGAAGCTATAAGCAGGTCCACTTGTACTTTATCGATGGTGAGCCGGCCTCATAGCGAGCTTTTTCGGAGAGCGAGGTCTAACACAGATGTACTCCAGGTATCCACGACAAATTGGCGGAACGCCTGACTGGGGGACTACCCGATGACATTTTACAATCCTTTGTCGAACTGTACTGCAATTTCCGAGGCAAGCATTGGCGCACATGCTGCCCCGACATCAATAACTTGCTGACGCCTTCGCCTTTGGATAAACGTCCTACACAGCGCTCGAGTCTCAAGTCTTCTCTATCGACCAACCTTCCAACTTTTACACGCTGTACGGAAATCCTGGAGGCGTAGTAGCGTCCGAAACTGCCCAAGATAGATTCGAGGAAGATGTGATTCTGACTAGTCGAGCGGTAAGCGAAAGTTTATCAGCTTGTCGCACAACAGGACCTTTTCCACTGACTTGCCGTACAGATCCTCAATATCCTAGCTACACTCGGGGAGAACCCTTACATCCGATATTATCAACCACACCATCACGCCCCTTTGGGACCATTATCCGTTTCGAGGACACCAGGATCCTTGTACGGTGGTCCCTCTGCACCGCGTGGTCATCCGGACGAACAACAGCAGCAACAGACGCCTCGGTGGAAACAGGCTCTGGGTGGGGGTTCGTCAGGTCCGACTTATACGGGTGACCAGATTCCGAAACGATTGGCTATGCAAATTCAGAAGGACTTGGATGATTACAAGACGCTCAACCCAGAGTTTCCTGTAAGCCACCACATAATTGCTCTGAGAACAGTGACGAATTGCGCTAAGCGGAACAATGCGACTGTAGCCCACGATGAACTACCGACCTCGATCGGTCTTGTTTGTGGTAGATCGTTCGATGGACCCGGTCGCGCCGTTCTTGCACGAATTCACCTATCAGGCTATGATCAACGATCTCTTACCTGTGCAGGATGGTACAACCTATACGTGAGAATTAACAGTCCCCCTTGTGGGCTCTTCTCTTGCTCAGCTGACCAGTACCTTTCCCTGTCGCTCAGGCACAAGGTCAAGACCGGGATGGGCGTGATCGAAGAGAGGACCGACATCTTGTCAGAAGAAGACAAGATCTGGACGCAAATCCGGCACATGCACATGAAGGAAGCGATCGACAAGCTGATGGCCGATTTCAACAAATTTCAACAAGAACATGCTGGGTTCAGAGCTGGGTGAGCCTAGCCTCCATGCCATACTTTCCCCGTAATTCGCCAGGCTGAGCTCAAGCTCTGGTCTGGGTGCTGTAGCGAGAACGGTGTCGGTATCAACGATATGAAGGACATGCTGGCCAGTTTGCCAGAATTCCAGGAAACGAGAGACAAGGTGAGACTCGCCGATATGCTCAAAGCCCAAAAACACCCCATGCTGACGCGCAGCTGCCAGTTCTCCTTGCATCTGGACATGGCGCAAGAGTGTATGGCGTTGTTCGAGAAGAGAAAACTGACACAAACGGCGGATATCGAGCAGGTCAGTGGTGCTAAGCGACGATGGAACCGTGCCGATGCTGAGATTGCCATTGTCTCCAAAGTGTTGCGCGACCGGCGTCACAGACGAGGGCAAGCAACCGAAGTCAATAGTAGAGGAGATGGTACCGCTACTCGCAGACAATGCAGTGTCGTGAGTGCCAATTTTCAACTGATCGCAGCTCGAAAAGAGGCTGACATCGCAACACAGCAACAAGGACAAAGTCCGTATCATCGCGCTTTACATCCTCTATAGAGACGGTGTTCCAGACGAGGACCGGAAAAGGCTGTTCCAGCACGCTCGCCTCTCGATCTCGGAACAGGACACGGTCAACAACTTGGTCTACCTGGGCTGCAAAATCGTTAGGGTGAGCAATCAATCCAGACTACGGACCATGACGTTTGCTAACGCAAAATCCTGCCGCCGACAGACACCGACGGATCGTGATAAGCGCACGAGAGTAAAGCAGAAATACAGTAGGACCGAGGATGACTATCATCTGTCAAGATACAAACCATTGGTCAAACAGCTGATAGAGGTGAGATCAGGCTGGTCTACAGAAACGTACCCGTGCGCTAACCCCTTTCGACCTACAGGAACAATCCACGAATCGTCTCGATCAATCGTCGTTCCCATATCTGGGCGAGATGCCGGTCGATGCTGGTCCGCCACCTGCCTCGCTTCGTACACAAGGCCGACCGGCAGCGCAGTCCATGCAGAGTCAGACTGGATCTCTCCGAAGCGCTCGACCGACTTGGCACAAGGCGCCGGAAGCGAGACAGAAAGCCACGACCGAGTCGCGACAGCGATTCATCATCTTTGTTGCAGGGGGTCTCACGTACTCTGAGAGACGGATGGCTTATCTGATTGGAGACGCTCTGAACAAGGAAGTCATCATCGGTGAGAACTCAGCGTGGAACCCGTCACTTTGACCAGACGCTCATTGTTCGGGTGGTGATAGGCTCTACTCACAATGTCACCCCTGAGAGCTTTGCCGCGGATCTCAGATCGTTGGGACGATCCGGTATCGGCGGAAACCCTCCCAACGCTAAACCCCTGAGCCCCTACGTCAAGCTTCAGAAATCGCTGTCTGGCGCTCCCCCGTCGTTCCAACAGTGAGTCGAGGAAGCTATATCGAGATCTTCATGTCATAATCCCGAAGCTGATGTACGACCTTTCCAATTCTTATAGGATTCTCGATTCCCGCATATGGACTGAACCTGTCGGCCCTCCAGCTCTCGCACCTCCACCCCCACCTCAAATGACTGGACCCACACCTTCGACCTCGTCGAAACACATGTCCAACCTGATCCCGGGAAGGACGAGTTCCCCTGCTCCCAGCTTCAACTCCAAGCTGTCTTTCAAGAGGGACAAGAAAAAGGACAAGGAGGAAGCGCCGACCGATGAGAAGAAGAAGAAGGGACTGTTCAAGATGCGTTGGGACTAAGAAGGAAAGCGATGAGCAGAACTCGACCCTAAATACCCCTTGTTATATGTATGTGATCGCGTTTGTGTGAAATCCTGGTCCGCCGCCTTGGTTCATCCCATCAACAGTTCCTCTTCTCAATGTCGGTCCATCCCTCTTGCTTGAAATGAGGTGAGGCTCTTGCTAGTAGCTTTTGATTCAAAGCATGCTGATCCGCGGATAGTCGGTCGATCTTCGGGTTCGGCGTTGGTTCGGGCAAAGTTCGCGCTAAACGGGCCGCGCCGGGATCAGCGTGGTGGTTGGTTGACCTATAAATCTACTTGGCTGGCCGATCAGATGATGCAGGCCCTCGCTCGCTGCTTACTTCTTGATGCTCGACTCGATCATCTTGTTGCATCATGTCAGACCTCAATAAAGACAACGACGTGGAAGTGGGAAAGTTGGGGCCAAACTCGAGCGTCTCAGCGAGCGCGTTCACTGCCCACCGTCCGACGTTCCATCTGCTACCCCCTCGCAATTGGTTGAACGATCCCTGTGCCCCGACCAGGACCAAGAAGGGCTACCAGGTATTCTTCCAATACACAGCAGAGATCAATGAATGGCACAAGATCCAGTGGGGTTGTGCGGAGAGCGACGATCTAGTGGATTGGCGAGTTCAAGAGGATGCGGTCATAGTCCCCAATATAGATGGATCTGCTCCGACACCTTACGATGCCGAAGGAGTATTCACGGGTTGCATGATAAACGCCCCTGCAGGGACAAGGAAGAGGTTAAGCGGTGACGATACTGAAGGTCAGTCGGCTGGACACCTTATCGAGTGCAATCGGGTTGACGGTATACTCCGGCCATTGTCACAGAGGGAGGCGACGAATTCGTCATAGCCTACACTTCCGTAAACTCCCGTCCAATCGACCCATACCCTCCCAATTGTGAAACTCTGTCTTTGGCGTTCCCATCTGGAAGCACCTTTGATGGTGGTCGGGTATCGTGCCGGAAATTTTCTGGCAACCCGATCCTGCCTGGTGCCCCTGCGGGGGACGTTCTTGCCTGGAGAGATCCCTACGTACGAGAATGGGCAACGCTAGACCGACTACGAGGAAAGAAACCAGGAGATACCTTGTATGGCATCATCGCCGGAGGCTACAAAGACGTCGGTTCGGCTCTGTTCCTCTACGAGATTAAGAAGGAGAGCATCGAAGAATGGTCCTATCTGGGGGACTTTGGCAGTCGGTCGAAATGCTGGGGCGGGAACGACAACCGGTGGGCAGCCGATATGAGGGACATCTTTGAAGTGGCCAACTTTGTCACCCTCAAGACCACAATGACGGGATCGGACGGGAGGCAGATCGAGATCGTAAGGGATTACTTTCTTATGAGCGCTGCTGCAGTAGAAGCGGACGATCCTTCCGCAATGGTACCGCCTCGTCGACCCGCTCGGCAGGAGATCTTCGTCTCGGGCGATTTCAAGCTCGACGAGAACGAGGCCGTTGGGTTCCACTCCCGTATCTCGGGGTACATCGACCGAGGTAACTACTACGCCATGAACACTTTTTACGATCCAGCTCGAGGCGCCATCGTTGCCCACTCGTGGATCACCGAGGATGATGTATCTCACGAAAAGCGCCGGGAACAAGGTTGGAGCGGTTGTCTGGCCATCCCACGGATTATTGAGCTTGAAGCGTTTCAGGGCGTCAAGGGTTGTATCGGCGACAAGCTCGAAGATATTGCCAGCGTGGAGCTCCTTCCCGGTTCTTCTTCAGAGACCCGGACAGTACTCGGTCTACGCATGGTCCCATGCGATGACGTGCTACAGAAGCTCAAAGGTAGAGCCGATGAAACCCAGGCATGGAACTCCTCGTCTTTCCCTTCCATCGAAGGAGGAGAGTGGACGAAACTAGCGAACGTGCCGTCACACAGTGCGATAATTCAGGCTACTCTGAACATCGACGCAGAAAAGGCCGAAAAGGTCGTCATATCGTTGCGACATAACGACGAACAGAGCGTCGGAACTTCGATTATTTTTGATCCGATCACTGCGACCTTGACACTGGACCGGTCGAAGTCGGTCTTGCCAGACGAGGCTCGGCATTACGACACGAGACCAGAAGTTGTGCCTCATACATTATTCCGATTGGAGCCCGTTGATGATGACGAACGACTGGAACAGCTGGATCTGCTCATCATTCTTGATCGTGGCGTCATCGAGGTGTTCGCGAATGGGCGAACTTGTGTCACCACGCGGATCTACACCGGACATCAACCAGGCTGTGATGGAATCTCATTTCATTCGGGAGGTCACAGCGTTGATGGAATATCTTTGTGGCAAGGTATCAAGGCCGAGATCAAGTACATATGAAGGAGAGATATCATGATACCATGTAATGCAAGTGAGATCGCGTCTCGAAGTTACAACGTCAAATAGCTCTGTCACTCAAAACAGCCCGTGTCTTCTGATGAGTACGTTACGAACGGAGTTCGGCCAGAACGTCCTTCAGGCGCTCGAATTCCGGCTCGTCACCAAAGCTGTTTATGTGCAGATCACTAAGTAAAGCCAAATCGACGGATAGACGCAGACTAGTGACTCACGTGTCCTTTGTTCGACCCTGGAAAGTGCGAACCATGGTCCTGGCCTGGAACTTCCAGTCGCTCCACTTCGCCTTGCCCTTTTCTAAACCCTGCGCGGCTTCCTGCTCTTTGGCTCGAGGACCTAACAATCTCATGACGTCCACAAGTTCTTCCAGATCTTCCGTTGCGTCCTTGAACCTGGGCAGTTCCCTCTCGACCGTCTCGTCTGAGGCGATCCCTGATCGATACGCCTTCATGTAGCACTCCAAAGCGCCCGCCCAGTCTTCCTTCCATCGGAAGAGTTTCGCATAAATCGCGTAGATACGGGAAGTCTCGACCACTCGAGGCAGTATCACCACCTCGAACAGTCGCTCGACAATGGGCAAAAGACCCATCCCCTCGTTCGACGTGTAGGGCTGGTCCGGTGATCGATTTCCCGCGCCTCCGTTCCAATCTTCGCGAATGACTGCATCGACCAGCTTGGACAGCACGGCCAGGTCCACCTGAGTAGCAGCGTCTCGCGCGTTCTTCGACTCTATGGTTCGGCTCAAGGCACGAGCTGCTTCTGAAAGCTGGCCGACATCCACAGCCACGATCATGTAGTTCTGCCACATCTTCGAATTGTCGCTAGCGTGTCTCAGGCCATGTTGCAAGGCTTTGAAAGCGAGTTGCTTATTCGTGAATGGCACGCTTTGCTCCTGTCAATTCGCATGCGTTCAAAGAGTCAATTTCGGAGCTGGCACTTGTATGTCAGCAACGGAAGAACTCACCTCGCCGTCGTCCGCCTTGACCACACCGATTTCCCTAGTCAGCCGCAAGTAGACCGCCGCCAAGTTGTTCCAGGCCTCTGCGTCGTCCTCCTCGACGGCAACGTTCCTGCTAAAGGCTTCCCTGGCCTCCTCTAACCGTTCCTCTCGAAGCAGACAGCAGCCGAGCGCAAACCAGGTTCGGGCGTACAACGGGTTGATTTTCAAGGCGGCCTGGAATCTCGGGATCGCCTTGGTGAACTCTTCACGGGTAAGATAAATACCACCCAGTGATCGTTGCGACCGAGACGAAGTCCCCTTCGATACCTCCCAGGCCTTCTCATAATGTGCCTCCGCGTTGTCCGGCTCGAGGTCTCCCAGGAGACACCAAAGCTTGGCCTCCCGAGTGTTATCGATCCTGATCCGCTTCGTCTCCTTCCTCCCCGCCTCATCTTCCGACCGCTGCACCTTTTCTCGCTTTTGTACGATTTCCGGCTCGGCCTTCTTGCCCTCAAGCAGATCTTTAACGACCCGGATGGCCTTGTCGGTATCCTCCATACTATGATGACACCTAACGGCTTCTTCCCACATTTCCAGTCTCTCAAAGATCTCGAGTGCGGTCCTGACGACACCCATGCCCAGAAACCTGACCGCCAACTCTCTCTCCATCTCCCACTTGGAGACCAGAGGGAGCTGGTGGAAATACCTCAATCGCTCGCTAGGCTCGGAATCCGCCGTAGGCATCTGGTCGACGAGGGCCTGCAACTGCAAAGCCGACCTCTCGATCGTTCTCGATCGTTTCGATTCCAACCGAGCCCGAAGGAGCAAGGCGGTTGTGTGTACGGACCAGTTCTTCGGGTGAGTCAAGACTCGGGCGAGGAAGGGAGCCATCTGGGAAGCGGTCAGCCCGTTTTCCGGAGTATTGTTGTGTTGAGCTAGACACATGTCGATCAACAGCGCCTGATCGAGAGGATGCAGGGCCGGCTGATCTTGAGGATTGAGCTCTCGCAGGCTTTCGGGCAAGGCAGCGGCCGCTTTGATGGGTGCCAATTCAGCTCCGAGTCCAGCGTAGTCGAGAGATGACGAGGTGAACTGTGTCTGTTCCAGCAGGGTATCGTCGTTGAGTGCCAACGTTTCGGGCATGCCCGGGAGCTTGAGATTGGGTACCCTCTCCTCTTCATCGATCCCATTCTCCTTGACTTCGGCAACCTCCTCCTTCTCCTTGGCAGCTTCGGCGTGCTCCTCCGGCTGATCGGCCTCATCGCCTTGCCTCGTCCTGCTCTTGGCAACCAATACGAGCTGACTGAGCTCTTTGACCTGGAACTTGGTCCTCTTCCCCAAGGCTCCCGTCAACGCCCACTCCAATCCAGATTCTTTGGCAGCTGACAAGAAACGCTCGGAAGCCTGTTTGTCCATCCCGAGAAGATGGTTGGCGAGTCCAATTTCGGTGTGAAGCGCTACTTTATCATCGGCAGTAAGCAGAGCGGAGAGGGGGTTGGAAGAGGATAGTATGGTGTCGAGAGAGGAAAAGAGGTCGGACGAGAAGTTGACGGGTTCGTCCAAAAGAGCCCGATGGACCAGGCCGATTCGCAAAGTCCACCACGGAAGCGTCACAAGATTCTCCGAACTCTCCGCTTGCAAGGTTTCGATGATCCTCAATGCAAAGAGGAGAAGTGTGGGCTCCTGAGCCAGATGATATGCTGGCTCTCCGTCAAGCGCGAGCAGAGGAATGGTGGCATTGTGCAGGGCGATGTTAAGGTCGGCCTCGTCCGAATTCGTTGTGCATCCAGCGAGAAGATCTTTTGTCGTGAAATCGAGTGCTGGACCCGTCCAGTTGAGCTGGACAAAGGCGTGTAGACAAGCGATGGCGATGACCAATCGACACATCTGCTCCTCCTCGATACTCAATTGCTGCTCGTTACTGACGGCCTTGTCCGATCGAGTCAAGCCGACGGAACTCCACAAATCCTCTGTTCCTGTTCTTTCTGAGCTAGAGAAGAGGCTCCTCGCATATGTTGACAAGAGGACGTCCTTGAACCTCGCCGAGAGGAGATCGTCCGAGAGCTTGGATGCGGTGCTGAAAGTCGATGTCGAATCGTCATTGGCGAGCCGCAGGAGCTTCAACTGCAGGTCGAGAGATGTCGAGGCCATCTTATGTCTATAGTATTGAGCCGTGGTAGCAGATGAGCTGAGATCTACCTGTCTGTCGAGCGAAGTTGAGATGTCTGCCCCAACTTTTTACCTTCTGCTAGCTGCTTGGTCATGCTGCTTGGAGAGGTCGAAGTGTTTACTTTGTCAAAAGTCGAGGGGATGCAAGGTGAGCGATCCATGTCGATCACGTGAAAAAGTCATACCAGTTGTATGTTTCAGCGTTGAAACACGTGCCCCATCTGGTCGGGTTCATCATCTAGGTATACAGTTTTAGCTAGCAAGCCGTTCACGTTCGGTCATAGGACAGTATAAGCAGAATCTCTTGTTTGTCGCTACGTCGCAACTCAAGGCCCTCGTCGAGCACCACCCCTCCTGATTCCCATCCCTCTGGACATTCCCGACGACGCACCGCCCAGATCGATCGGCGAGTTGCTCACTCGCCTGATCATTTCCTCTACATCCTCTCCGTCCCTCATCATCTCTTGCTCGGGGTTCCGGTAGTTCAGACCCCAGATGGCCATCGCCAACTCAGGGTCGCCTCCGTAGTAAGGGTAGGACGGAAAGGCCGTCCCGGGTGCTGGGTAAGCGTACGCGCCGTCGAAGGGATCAGGCGTAGGTGAGAAGGCCCAGGCGAGTGTCGAACCGATCCTAGACAGCCAACCTCGAGCAGGAGTAGCAGGAGGCGGGCTGATCAGCTCCTTTTCGCCCGTACCTTCCGTCTCTTTCGTTTTCATCTCCAGCTTCTCGTCCATCACAGGTCCACCGTCGGTGGGTTTCTTCTCTAGGGAACCGATCTCCGGATCTTCAACCTTGGCGAAAGGCGTGACGTACGTCTCCTCCTCATAAAGACTCTTGGGAAGGTGATACTCGTCTTGCACACCGTTGAAAGACGTGAACATCATGTTGACTTTTCGGTGGATGGGTTGGGGTCAGGGTGGGGAAAGAAGGAATGGGTGAAGAGACAAACCTTCTTCTCGCCTATCAACGGTATCTCGGTGTACCAGACGATTAGAATTGACTTTATACCCTGTTTTCTCTACACAGCCTGCAGGCGTGATCCAGGGGGCGAACTACACCATCCTCCCCAAACATCGTGCCTCCTTTCACCTCTTCCTCTTCAACGTCACTGTCCCTGAGGATCTCGCCTAGGAACCTCATTACGAGTACGTCTCACGCGTCATGTCACGTTCGGCCTGTTGAAAGGATGGCACTTTAGGCGCGAGGATAAGGGCAAATTGGGTCATCTGGGCGCGATGCTGCTGTCGACACTGGAAATGATGAACTGTGAGCGTGAAGTCGGAACGTGATAGCGTAGGCGAGTCAGCGCATGTACGGTATGGAGTCAGGTTTCCGGGCCCAGGAAACAATCCTTGGGTCTGGATTCTCTGTCCATGATCGAAGTACCCTACCCGGGTGCATGACAGGTACTAGTACCTCCCCCTCCATTGCAAGCCCAAAGTCGTGCCGGGCATGGACAGTTGAATACAGGCCCTGCATCCATCCTCTGACTTTCGCCATGTTGATATTGTGTTGGGGTTTGAAGCAGAGATCCTGTTATCGAAGACAGAAAGATCAGCCCGCTCACCATCTTTGCATGATGTAACTTCAAGTATGGGAAGTCACGGCCAGAGCGTTGCGTTTCACCTCCCATAACGTCGTCGCGATCCTAGGTGGTCCGTTCCTCTTCCTTCCGCGCTGGCTTAGGGGAATCCCGCGATGAAGTTGGGCGTGTAACAGTTTCAAAGGGTTCAGATGTAACGGTTTGAAGGTACAAGGCTGGGTGTTCAGCCTGGACTGGAAGCCACGCGACACAACAAGGATGAATGCCTCGACAGGTTCGAATCATCGAAAGAGCCTTTCACGCACTTCCGGGGCTGAAACGCGGCGTGTATACAGAGGTCAACTGATAGTTCTCGAACATCGAACCCTGGACATCACAGGATCATTGTTTTGTTTACCCCTCTGGTCCTGATTCGCATTTCTAGCCCCTGAGATCATCAGTCAAAGGGGTCCAAGACCTATGTTGGCTTTCGATGATCCACCGATCTCGAAGCCGTCGAGCATGGGAGCTCCTTCAACTGAAAGATACTCACAGAGAAAGGCGCATGAGCGTCAGGAGAACACGGATAATACAAGGGGTCAGAGGGTGAAAGTGAAACCGCAAGGTACCAGGAGGGAGTGGCATTCGAGAATCGATGAAGATCTATGACAAAGGGGCGGCGAAGGGGAGCGCAAGGGGGGACAAAGGGGAATCATTTCATGCCGTCGTCGGTTTTGAGCCAGATGTCGACGGCGGGGAGAGCATCTCAACAAGTATAAGAGCCATCGGAAATGGCATCACACAACTGAATTTGATATCGACTTGTTCGGTAGTCAATCAATCTCGAAAACATATTGCCGACCACCAAAATTATCATGCTGCATCTACCCAAGATCATCCCATTCGTATTCGCTACCCTTGCGGTCACATCCGCCCGATCGGTAGTCATCACGGCGGGGAACCCGAACGGATTATCGATCGAGAATGTCGGTCATGCCACCGTTCTCAAGTTCAATCAGCCTGCAAACACTCAATTGTGGCAGTTGATCGAACCTGCGCCACCAGCTGGCAAGCAATGGGGAAACGGTGCTGGTACTTTCATGATTCACCAGAAAATCGATCCCAAATCCATCGTAGTGAGTAGAGACAGTAATCGGCTCTTGTGTCAAATCTCTTGAGGGCTGACCTTTGGGACTATAGTGCCATCTCGAAGGGACACTCGGTGAGGGGCCCCTTGATGTACAATGGAACTTCGGTGACTGTACGGGAAACGCCGACGAGCCGGGCTGGGAAGTCAAACAGGGCGTTAGCTTGAAATGCGCCAGGCCACCTAGCTTTGTGCAGTGCTGAGCATTATCCCTGCAGTTGTTGTATTCGTGATAGTTTCGTTTTGTCAAGCGTGTAATATTTCTGGCCTTTTAACATACTGTTTTCTGCAAGACGACTGTCTTGAATCGATCGCGTCCAGGTAGCGTAAGTGATTGGGTTCACGACGTTCGCAATTCTTCTAACGGCAAAGTGAACCTCCAGCTAGTACGTGCTCCGCGTCTAATCGTAGCGGGCTAGAGATCAGAGCTGAGGGAAGATGCAGAGACTCCGCGGCAAACTAGACAGATCGCTTGATTGTTTGTTATCAATACGGACACATCAATTCGTAACTCTATCTACGAGGACGTGATACATACGGCCTCTTGATCATATATCCCGTCGCATCTACGCCGTCATAGCGTGAGCTACTTCTGCATACGTCTCCCCTTCTTGTCGCGTAGAATGTCCATCTGTTTGCGCTTTCACCCGTCCATCTGCTTTTTCGTCAACCACCACCGCCACGTTATCGACTTCCTTTTTGATGTTTCCGTTCATCAATTGCAACTCGACCCTCTTGACATCGATTTCTCCTTCTTCCCCGGTCTCCGCCTCCGAACCATGGATCACGACCTGTTTAACCTCGACAGGTTGTGCAGGGATCATTCGCAAGATCCGACTCTTGGTCTCTTCGAACCATCGTTGCAAACCGATAGCCAGCGAAAAGTCGGCATCACGGGTAAGAATATAGAGTCGGGTGGCCAGGAAAAGACCGATCAGACAGCCGGTGGTGAACATGGCGATGCTCGTCGTGATGATCAAGATAGGGGTAAGCACGAAGCCTGGAAAATGAGCATCACTCATCAGCTTGTCATCTTGACATCGGGAGCCCAAAGAGATATGACCAACTAGTGAGGAGCAGCACAAATCCGAGCACAGCTAGAAGGAACATGACGGTCCCGATGATAGCCATGCTCATGCACAAAGCGATGAAACCCCTGTCGTGCTTCGGTTGTCAGTACCGTAAAAAGATAGCTCACGACAGCCTCCTGTGAACTCACAAAGCAAAGAGGATGGGGAAGATCGAGAGGAAGCCGAATACAGCCAGGAATATCTAGATAAAGATAAAGTGATCAGTCCCCCGCACAGAGTCGTAGACAGGGTCAAGACGGCTGTCGGCTCACAAAGACTACCGGGTTCTTTTCGGCAAAATCCTGTACTTTGGTGCTGGTAGGTGTAAAGTACTCTTCGTCCATGCTATTGGCTTGTGCCGAATAAGCGAACTTGAACTGCCAAATATCTACCAGGTCCCCAAGAAAGACTTACATGCTAACGTTCTTTTTCACCGTATCCACGCTTTCTTCCAAGACAGAGTTGAGTCCGACACGGAGGTCATGAGCGGTGTCGGCAATCGACCCTGGCGATTTTTCTACCGAGTTGGCCATGACTTCCAGTTCAGTAATGAGACGTCGAAGGTCAGCCTGTCAGATCATCCAAGCGTGACATTTGATTATAAGAAGGTGAATGTCCGCGATCTGAGAGCAGAACGTTTCCTCGACTGCGAACGGATTCGGATGACGAATGCAACGGGCTGTCACAACGCATAGAACAACGCATATACTGTAGGTTATATATGTATTATGACCGTCATTACGTAATATAGCTGGACGTCGACGATACCCGGCGCGATAACCGAAGCTCGTCGATGCCATCCATCAGCAATTAACAGCAACTAGCTGTGCATTCCTGAATTCCGGACATATCCTCAGTCTACGGAACGTCTATACGCATCTTGGAACACTAAGCACCCTCATATATCTGATTCAGCTAATCGAAATGTCTTCTGACAGCAAGGTACGCCTCGCAGCGAAACCTACCTCGTTCAACGAGATTTGATTTGACGGTACTTGTCTCACATATAGTCCAGCCAGATCCTATCGGTCAGTATCCAGACATCTGAATGGCTCTGACAGCAAGGTACTCACTGTAAGCTGGCATAATACTGTAGACTTTGCAAAAGTCGTTCGAGCAGCTCTCTGACGAAGAGAAGCAGAAGCAGGTCAAGAAGGTCAGTCGCGGCGTTCCCTTCCTTTCTGCGTCATCTGCTGACCAGAACGTTGATGAGCGGCCATAGACGAATGGTATTTTCCAGCTGAATATCAAGGGCAAGGAGGACACGGAGATATGGACGTGAGTCGGAACGTCGCCGGTGTGCATAAGATGGTGCGGCTAACGGACAATTCTTGCGATGGTATAGCATCGACATGAAGAACAAAGGAGAGGTCAGGAAGGGCGAAGCTGGTAAAGCCGGTGAGTGCAAAGGGAACTGGAGGCTCTCATAACAGATGCTACATAATAGTATCGGGTATTGACGCTACTTCGAAAACGTCACTCTGATATAGACTGCACTATTACCATGCCCGACAGTATGTCATGTCTACCTTGTACGCCGGCCGACCTGCGCCAGCTGACTTCCACCTTTCGCTCGCTCTTTCGCAGACGTGTTCGTCGGCCTGGTAAGTGACGAATCCTCTCATTTACACGACGCATTCTGGACAGCTGATTTTGACTACTCTTTCTAAATAGTCCGAGGGCAAGGTCAACGCTCAGAAAGCGTTCATGACCGGTCAGCTAAAGGTCAAGGGTAACGTGAATCAGCTTCCATTCGGCTTGTCGATCGACTATCTTAGCTCATACGAGTCCATCGCTTCTTTTGTATCTTCTCAGATCATGTTTGCGGTGAGTCGGCTGCCGTGATCCTTTCTCTCTCGCAACGAGACTGATGTTGTCGCTTGATGTTGCTTGACGTCTGGCAGACCAAGTTGGATGACGTGTTGAAGGTTTGTTGCTTTCCTACCTTCTGAGGCCGTACTGTCTACTGAGTCAACCGCTGGCTTTCGTGTCCGACAGACCGCAAAGAGCAAACTATAGATGGGATGTTCGGACAGAGCAGATGATCGATTTCCGGTTGGATATGATTATAGATATGAACGGTACGTCGATGAGTGCACGATACAGGCATCAACATTCGACTAGACTACGACTCAGATCGTTGGTAACAAGCACCAATATTGGGACATGATGTCCGTTCTCATGCTCTCAACAATCGAGGAACGGCGCTGGCTGCTCCTGGCAGATTAACCTGATTCCTTCCTTCTCGTTCATACATTCAACTGTCTCGCACGCGCCAGGCCTTGTCTTGCAAGCGCCAATCTGCCATTCGATGTCTGGTCCCTCAAGGCTGAGTATGCCTTCGAGATGACACTGGGATGTCCGAGCGTCAGCTTCTTCGGGGTTGCAGACGCTGACAAGCGGCCTGACTCACCTCGTTGTGTTTCAAACCATTGACAATCTCGAAAGTTCCCTCACCACCTGGCCAAGCACCTCCGTCAACTGGCTCGGGTCTGTATAGCTGCCAGAGCCTGTCTTTCATATTTTCCGCCCACATCTGCTTAAATTCCAGCTCCCTGGTGAGACCTGCTCCCGATGTGTTCGGGATCCGAAACTGGTAAGCATGGTTGTGCAGCTTGACAGACCGGGTTTTGCCTCGCTGTACGAGGCCAGCGGATGCAACCGAAAGGGTGGCAACAAGAGCAAGCACGGTCTGGAATAGTCGAAGCATGGTGTTGTTGACTGGTTGTGATTCACTGGTAGACTGGTACTGTTGTATCTGTGCACGAAAAAAGGGAGCTCATGTGTTGCAGGGCTTCAAATGTTGTGCTCTTGGTGGTCAACGAGATATAGACGGAGTGACCGGCAACCTCCCCGGGACCCAAACAGTTCTTTCTTCCCCTTTCATCCCCCTTTTCCCCTTTTCCCCTTCTCCGTTTCCTTTCCCCCTGCCCGGCTCGCTCTGATACCCCGTTTCTTTCCAGTTCGACACATGTTTCCCCTGTGATGGAGCCGGCCGATGCGGTCAAGTGACTTGTGTGCGATTGATACAATGCAGTCATTTGAAACATGCCTCCGTCTATGCGGGAGTATTGTACAAAGTAGCTCGAATTGCATACCTCTGATGCCCGAGAAGACAGGGCAATGAGACCGCGTAGCATCGCACCTCTCGAGATGCCTGACGTAGACCTGCCATCCTTCAGATGCACATGAGCCTCGTTCTTTTGCTTTCCATTGTCTATTCGTGATGGTCCGACTATCCGGCATGATATCCGACGGAGAACTGGGTGATAGCCGGGTTTTAGTTTCACAGCCGTTAGCCGTAAAGCGTTCGTGTGCCTGCGTGTCGTGTCGTGAGCGCCGACTGTTGCGTAAGCTATACAGAAGGTAGGCGCGGAAGGCCTCTTCGATGAGGATGATGAGAAAGGGGGTGATATGATGCAGGGAATTAAGAAGCAATGCGATGGGGGATGATATCGAGAGGACAGGCCGTAATGGTGGGGTGTAGGGAAGAGGTCAAAGTCTTCAGTTGACGGCAGCTCGGACGGCCTGTTGGTTAGTGACAAGAAATAGGGTAAGTGGTCGACACGCGAGTATTGATCGCCTCATGAGAGTACCTACCTGTCGGGCGTATTTGACCGCGTCGGTCACTCGACGCTGCTTGCAGTTCCTCATCTTGGCAATGTGCAAGAAGTGCGAGATCGAGGGCTCCAGTAGGACGGGCTTGATGCCCTCCTTGTAGGTGCTGGCCATATCTCCGAGCAGGTTGTAACATGTTCGGAGGTAGTCGAAGGAAGCGTCCTCTTCGTCCGCGGTACTCGTGATGAATTGGATGATTCCCCCAACGTACGGCATGAAGGCCATGGCTAAATGGTGAGGATCGATCGATCAGTACCGCGGTCACCTTGTAAGATGTGGGCAGCACTTACGATCCGTGTCTTGCAGACCGGTCAAGATACCGATAAAGGCCTCGGCAATCGACTCGCGCATCGCCCAGACAAAGTCAAACATGCCAGCATCGCTGCTGGACGTTGCCTGGACCTGTCCAGCCTGCGACAGCATGGCCATGACGTTCTGAAGGTAGGGGGTAAAGCCGGATCCCAGAGCAATGGCGACGTCTCCGAAAACCGAAACAACAGTGGGCTTGGCGGTTCGGTGAAGGACCGGGCTAGAGAGCGCGGCCAACAGAGCTTGTAGCAAGGGGTCGGCATAGGGTGAAATCTTGCCCTTGACGGCACGAGCGAGATCTCCGGTTACACCGACGGCAGCGGTGAAGACCTGGAACTCGTCGAGGGTTCGCAAAGCCGAGAAGATGAACTCCATGAGGTGTGAGGTGTACTTTTCGAAGCTCTCGTCCAGGACTGCGGAAATGACAGCAACATGTCAGTGACAACGACAGCTATCGAACATATACGGCCGACCTACCAAGAACCAAGCTCGAGATCGTCATGAACGCGTCCTCGGCGACAGCAGCGTCCTTCGCAGAAGTCTGCAGCAATTGAAGCTGGACGTTCATGATTCGGTCGGCCAGGGGCTCGATCTGGTGTCCAACCTTTCGGATGATGGCCTGTGGCATCGCAGAACCGAGTCAGTAAGACATAGCATGCCAAAGACTGACGCAAACTGACCTGAATGACGTTGCAACAATTGCTCTGCAATTCGTTCCAGTTGTTCCTGTCATCACTTCCGACGAGCTGATTCTGAATATCGCACACAAAGTTCACCTCAGCTACCACTCTCTCGAGTGATTACACAAAGACATCGAGGCTTACCCTCAATTCGAGGAGCTTTTCGCTTCGCGACAAGATCTCGAGACCAGCCTGCGAGACGAATTCCAGAGTGTCCTGGACGGCGGTGCTAGCCAGGGTAGCGATGGCCTCGTACGTAGCGGTACGAGCGTTACCGTCGTTGTTCCTGTATGTGACAGCGAGGTGTGTCAGCGCCCGTCAAACCTCTTCTCCGCGATGACATATCAACTGCCGCTGACCTGCTCTCGCTAGTGCTCATCAGGGCCTCCATCAACCCTCGGTAATAAGGCGACAACGGCGTCGTGGTCGCCTCATCCGACTCCTCGTCGCTGAACCCGAGCGCGAGGTTCTTGATCGACCAACACGAGCTGCTTGCGATCCTTCCCGTCTGCTGCAGCCCAAACACGAGCGCCTTGACCAACTCGGGCAAGTGTTCTTCCGGCTGAATGACCTTGATCATTAGGTCGGTAATCCTGCCCAAGGTCCAGGCTACACTGTCTCGGACGGAAGCGTGTCCGTCGTTCATCATCTGGATCAAGGTGGGCAAGGCCTGTCGAACCAAGGGGGAGAGGACGTATTCGTCGGGCCCGTCCAAGATGGATCCAAAGACCATGACGGCCGCGTCTCGCTGATGCCAATCCCCAGCCTGGATGTTCTGCTCGATGAAGGGAATGGTAGGGGCGACAATATCGTTGCCAACAACAGTGGCCAAGAGTCCGACACAGGTCCCCGCAGCCATGGCCACGTTCCACTCGTCGTCCTCGGCATCTTCGTCTTGCTTTTGCATGAGGACAAGCAGTTGAGGCAAGATCTCGGGCAGGGCTACCTTGGCAAAGTTCTGGCTCTCCACCACGGGGGAGGAACCGACTTCGGCGGCCTATCGAAAGCGAAACATCCAAGATGAGATATGCCACTCCTGTAAGCCGACAGCAGGTGAGATGGCGCGCTCACCTCTTGCGCCTCGTACATCAACTCGGCCTCTTCGTCACACACCGTCGACCAGAACTCGACCGCCTGGAGAGCGACCTTTTCCTCTGCGTTTTGCATCCCGATGACCGTCAACTGACATTGAGAGCGCCACAGAATTCTCGATCAGCCTAACCAGTCCCTCTCATTCCCTATAAAACTACCCGCGAGACAAAGACTTACGCCAAACAAGGCCCTCTCCATGTACAGCTTCATCTTGTCGTAATACAGTTGCATGATTTTGACGAGACACTCGAAAGCGCCCACCTGGACAGGTATCGATGGGCTCTGCGTAGCCTCGCAAACGACCTGCATAATGTAGTTTCGCTCGCCCTCTCGCTCAAAGTTGTCCCTGATGAATTCCAAACTGTTGTACAGGGCTTGGATGGCGGCGGCCTGGACGTCCATGTTGGTCTCTTCCTTGCGTACACCTTGGACGACGGCGGTGAGGATTTCGTTTGATCGGGAGGCGAGGTATTCGGGGCTCTACGAGAATGACCAGTAGCATATACAAGAATCGTTTGTGTCAGCAACTGCCGAAGCTGTCCATCACAGACGACTTCGCTGAACTCACGATCGCCTCGCAGATATAACCGATCGTCTGCAGAGTAGCCACCCTCAACCCGACATTGTCCTGCCCGACAAACTCCAACAAGGTCCCGATCAACTCGTTCCACTCCCCATAAGGCAGCTCGCAGGCTGCAATGGCCGCGATCGCGCTCGCCGAGACACCGGCGGCTCGTTTATCCGGCGACCCGAGGGTTTGGAGACAGAGCCGTTTGAGCTCGGTCCGGCGGGATGCGTCGAGGGTCTTCCATCGTTCGAGGAGGGCGTTTTGAGTGGTGGCTTCCTGCGAAGTGAGGCGAGTAGGAATGCAACCGTTGTTAGTGAAATCTGAAATGGTTTGTTTACGGGCTGTGCTTCGTTGTGGTTGCGGAAAACTTACTCGCCCGGTCAAAGCGTTCTTGATGGCGATACCCGCTGCATTCCTGATATGGCTCTGTTGCTGTTCGTTGGCCAACTCCATAGCCAGTGTGTGCATATAACCGCCCTGTCATCGTCCGCAGATCTATCAGCATTCAGTGCGAAGAGGTTGCGAAATCAGGGTATCCCCAGGTCGGAGAATGCTTACATAGTCGTTCTGCATAGCATTCTGCAATTGCGCCGTAGCTTCCTGCCGGGTGGCATTGTCTATCCTCAGCACAAGATATCGAGCAGATCATCAGTATCATAATTGACGTCTCCCCATTCCACGCCGTGGGTGAAAAGCGTAAAACTCGACATCTCGAACACGTACCAGCCGACAACGAGTTCACCAAAAGAGTACCTGCGTCCATCTTGAGAGCTTGAATTCTCTTTTGCGCTATTCTACTGTAATGAAGTTCCTGAGACTCCGTTCAACTTGCTGTGATCCGTGTCCGTGAAGTATGAGGCTGAAAGCTAGCTAATGCGAAATCCTGAATCCGGAGCTAGTTTGAAGGGAGGGTCGTGTTTTGATTGACGGTGGGTCGGGTGTGCCGTCGAGCTGTTCCGTCGCTGAAAAGAGGTGGGCGAAAGGATGGTCGAGTGAGTGTGTTGCTTTGTCACTCTTTTTTCGTAAAGTCGTAGGGTGTTGTCAAGATTAATACGGTGATGTTGGAGTGCTTGTTTATTATCATCTCGTTCAACGTAAACACAACACAGGGAGCGAGACGGGTGGCTGGGGCGGGGGGAGGTTCTCACGGTCCAGCGCCAGGCACACGCAGGCTCTTCAAAGGGAGACAATCTACATGTCAGGCTATCTGACATTTCACGCTCACAAAGTCAAGGTTACGATCGAGGTAGATCTTCAATCGACCATGGACTGGACCATCCACTGACCCCAGCTATCGACGCAGGTTAACGGTCCTTGACGAAGGCATCGTGCTGTGGTAAGGTTCTACAATCATGAAGGTGAGCTGACTCTTCGTCTATGAGCGCTTGGCATTCACTCAGCCCCACCTCTGCCTTGCCTCGCGCCAACAGGTCCTCAAGGCCAGAGCAGGCGTTCTCACAAACCTCGAAGTCCTGACCCATCTCCAAACCCTACAAACCGATCTCGACTACATCTCCACCTGTCGTAAATACAACATCTCTCGTCAAATATGGCGGGAACGTGGGAAATCTGGTCAGCCTCCCGACGTGCCAACGTATGAGGACGAGGTCGAGCCCGAGATAGACAGATTGATACGGGTCAAAGAGAGAAGGAGGATAGATAGGTTCAAAAAGCGACAAGAAGTCAGACGCAAAAAGGCGGAGGCGAGTGAGAAGGAGTATAAAAAGGAGTACAAGAAGTGGGAGGAGGAGTGCGAGAAGCTTCAGGCTGCGGCTGCCAGCGTACCCAAGAAACGAGGAGCGAAAAAAGCCCAGGCGGTAGCTTTACCCCCAGAGCCTCAACGGCCTGAACCGCTCCTCTCACCTGAACTCGACAACGATTTGGATTTGGATTCGGATTTGGGCGACGAAGACGATATGATGAGCGGAGGACCACTGGATCACGAGAGCGTCCTGAAGAGGTTGAAGGATAATGAGCAGTACAATGCTGTGAGGCCGGTTCCGGACGCTCTGAGGTACATTACCGATGGGGTCAGTACCACGTCTTCCTGCCGCGTCTCTTATTTGTGCAGGAGACCGAACGACTAACTGACGAATTCGAGAATTTTCTTCTTCATCGCATGTGACCGAGACCAGACCACGAAATACCTAACCGACAGCAAACTTACCGTCACCCGCCGTCAGACGCCTCAATTGATCCAAGAACTCGTACATCAGCTTCATCCTTACCAGTTGACCAAGGCCGAGACATTGCAGATCGTCAACTGTCCTCCAAAGAGTCAGGTCGAATTGTGGTTGGTGCGTTGACAACGACGACATCGGGAAGCAAAGACGCAGATTTACTTACGGATTTCACTGTATGCCTATGCGTGTGCTGACAGAGTGTGGACGAGGTGGACGACCGACTCCCGGATGAGGCACAACGGCAGGAACTTCTCGACCTCATCGAATCTCACCTCCTCCCTGCCGACGATTCCGAGGCCAACTTTGGACAGACTGTGGACGAACATCCAACCAATGCCTCAGGGTACGCGGGTTACGACGACATGGTGGACGAAGAGGAGATGATGGCGCGTGCGGGCCAGGATCAGTTTTTCAGCGAGGACAAGTGGGGCAGGGAAGGGATGGAAGAGGTCGAGGGAAGGGATATCGACGAGTAGACGGATCTCCGTCTGTCCATAATGTGTCTGTCTGCTGCCCTTCTGTCGAGATGTATAACGACCCCTTTACGACTTACGAACCACGATGTCAACCCATGTCCTTGCTTGCTTGCGTTGCTTGCACTGCTTTTTCCCACGCAGGCTGGCTGAACCCGAGACTCTGAGGGAACCGTCGAACGCGCTCCTGTGCATGGGAGGGGGGACGCGATTTCATTTAGTTCGCGTTTGTTTGCGATGTCCAAGAGGGAGAGAGAGAGTTGTTGATGTCAAGATCGACCTTGTTGCTGCCTGCCATCTAGTTTCGCCAGCGTAGCTGTCTTGACACATAAACCACAAGGATACATCTCACAATGGCAAGTTCATGCTTGTCCCCTTTCTACGATCACTCCCCCTCAACCCGGACTGATTTGCCCTGGCATCCTTCTTGAACACGCATCACGTTCCGATCATGAATCTACAATCGTAACCCAACAGGAAAGTAATCGAGTCTACAGCGTCCAAGTCTTGCCCGGAGACTCTTCTTCTCGCTCCCCGGACTCTCCGGCCCAGATTGAAAAGGCGTTTTGGGAGTTCTTGCACGGTTTCAGGGTTGGCGGGGAGTTTGTTTACCGGTAAGCTCGACATTGTGCTTGCGGCCGAACCTGGCCTTGAAGGGCAAGGTGTAGCAAAGGCTTGACTAAACAGACGTTTGGCTTGGATGCTAGTGATCGACTGAGAAGCTTGTTGTTGCTCGGTAAACACACGCTGGATGTGGACCTCAACGACCTGTTGTTGTTCAACGAGGAGCTGGGGCAATTACTAATGGAACGACCGGGCGAATGTATCCCTCTTGTGAGTTCGCGAGAGCATTGAACGAGTGGTAGGCAGTTGCGCTGATATCTCCATTGCCCTTCGTCCGTGCCGTCTAGCTCGAGTCCGCTCTCCTCCGCCTATCACGTCAAATTCTCCATCCCCTCTCACGTTCAGCGAACCGCACAGCCAACACAACTATCCCCCGGGACGGTGCCACGAACAACGGTAATACCGAGGAAAACTCTGCTAACGCTTATGGAGGCGCCTCAAATGGTAATCTCGGCGCGAATGGAGTAGCCGGGGATCTGGGAGAGATGGAGATTCCCGATGTGCAGGTCACGATCAGGAGTGGGCAGAACATGTTGCAGTTCCGGGAACTGACCGTGAGTCACGGTTTCTCTGGTTCGCAGCCGGCAGGACTTGGCCGCGGTTTCTGACGTGCCGCGTCGCAGGCCAACACTCTGACGAAGCTCGTCCGACTGCCCGGGATCGTCATCAACGCCTCGCAACTCTCTTCCCGAGCGACGACCTTGTTCTTGCAATGTAAAGGGTGTCGAAGCACGAGGATGCTGAACCAACCAGGTGGTGGTGTTGGAACGGATCGTAGTCTGCCCCGGCGATGTGACGCGTGCGTCGTCCGAGCTCTGGTGGTACCGGTCATTCTCGATTCTTGATACTGATGACCACTTGGCAATGGGTCTAATAGCCTCGACCAGGATGGGAAGAACTCGTGCCCGCTCGACCCGTATGTGGTCGTACACGACAAGTGTCGCTTCGTAGACGCCCAATCAATCAAGCTGCAAGAAGCTCCCGACATGGTACCCGTCGGAGAACTGCCTAGGCACATGGTCTTGCACGCTGAGCGGTAGGTCGCACGTGTTCGATTATGTCGACAAGAACAGTTTGACTGAAAGGCAAACAACAACCGCAGATACTTGACGGGTCAGGTCGTACCGGGATCTAGGGTCATCGTTACAGGTATTTATTCGACGTACGCACCCGCAAAGAACAAGACCACCTCGGGTGCTCCTGCCCTCCGACAACCCTACGTCAGGATCTTGGGTCTCGAGCTGGATACTTCATTGGCTGCTGGAGGCGGAGGGCTGAAGAACTTTACACCGGCCGAGGAGGAAGAGTTCTTGAGGCTGAGCAGGAGTGATGATCTGTACGAGAGGTTCGCTCGAAGCGTAGCGCCGAGTATTTTCGGGAGTTTGGGTGAGCCTAGATCTTGAGATGAGGATACCGCTTGCCTTTGTTGACAACGTGACTCCACAGACATCAAGAAGGCGATCACGTGCCTGCTGTTCGGAGGGAGCAAGAAGATCTTGCCAGACGGGATGAGGTTGCGAGGGGATATCAACGTATTGCTCCTCGGTGATCCTGGTACTGCCAAAAGTCAGCTTTTGAAATTCGTGGAAAAGGTGAGTCAAGCGGAGGCGCGGCACAAAAGCAAAGCTTGTCACTTATATCGGCAATGAGTCATCTGCAGGTCTCGCCAATCTCGGTGTACACCTCCGGAAAGGGTTCGTCGGCGGCTGGTCTTACCGCTTCCGTGCAGCGAGACGTCAACACCGTAAGTAGTCGACTTGAGTACTGCCTTCAGGTCCAAAGGCTTAAACCTCATGTGATCGCTTTCCCCAGAGAGAGTTCTATTTGGAGGGAGGTGCGATGGTGCTCGCCGACGGGGGTGTCGTCTGTATCGACGAGTTCGACAAAATGCGAGATGAGGATCGAGTGGCAATCCATGAGGCGATGGAGCAGCAGACCATTTCGATCGCAAAGGCGGGAATCACAACCATTCTGAACTCGAGGACGAGTGTGCTGGCCGCGGCTAACCCCGTGTTCGGACGATATGATGATATGAAAACTCCCGGAGAGGTACGTCGAGTTCTTGAAAGGCCGTATCGTCCGGGTGAACTGATACTTGATTTCCGCAGAACATCGATTTCCAAACCACCATTCTATCCCGTTTTGATATGATCTTTATCGTCAAAGACGAGCATAACGAGATGCGAGATAGGGCAAGTTGGCTTTCATCACCGGGTCATGTTTTCATACGTAGCTGACTAACGACATTCCCTCCCGCAGACCATTGCCAAGCACGTCATGAACATTCATATGAACCGACAAAATGAGGCAGAAGCGGTGGGAGAGATTGATATCGACAAGATGAAGCGATATGTTTCCTTCTGCAAGGCGTGAGTGTATTTGACTGCCTTCGGTACATGACCCTTGCTGAAAGGCTTCTTCTTGCTTATAGACGATGTGCCCCTCGTCTATCGCCCGAAGCTTCCGAGCTGCTTAGTAGCCACTTTGTCGGCTTGCGGAAACAGGTCCAACAGGTCGAACGCGACAACGACGAGCGAAGTTCGATCCCAATCACTGTTCGTCAGCTGGAGGCCATTATCCGGATTTCGGAATCGCTCGCCAAGATCACCCTGTCCCCCGCCGTTTTGCCGCATCACGTGGAAGAGTCCATCCGACTATTCAAGTTCAGCACTATGGACGCCGTCTCGGCCGGGTCGGTCGACGGTCTATCGCGAGGCGAGCTGAACGACGAGATTGACAAGATCGAAAAGGAGCTCAGGCGAAGATTGCCCATCGGATGGACAACGAGTTACCAAAGCCTCGTCAGGGAGTTTGTCCAGCAGCAGGGTTACACTCAGCACGCCCTGGAGCGATGTCTTTACGTACTGGAGAAGCGAGATGTCATCAGGTTCTCGGGACAGAAAAAGGTCGTCGTAAGGACAGGAGTTTAATGAGTCGTGCCAATTGTGATCTCTGCCTGTTATGGTTGTATCTGCCCTTTTATATAATGACAAGGTGAACTGGAATGGACTTAACCTCCAGACGAACGATCTCGACCCGACAATTCTGACTTGACCCCGCGCTCAAAGCGGCTAGCCTGAAGTATCCCTACAACACGATTGGTTTTCAGTAAGAAGATTGCTATCAAGCTGGTAAGCCTCGCTCACGCTAGCTCGGTTGACCGATCAAGCCACACAGTGACTACATCGTAGACAAGGTCCAGATACCTACAGGTCCCTAGCGTATCATTACGCCGGTTCCGACACAGCATAATCTAAAACTCAAAAGTGGCGATGACAACCCTGACATGCCTGTCTATACATCTCAAAAGGTGCAGACGATATACTGTAACGGAGACAGAACATCTCATGCTCGACTTTCACATTCCGTTTGTACTACATTCTGTAGGATACTGGTACGTCGGCGGAAATTTTCGACATGCTAATGATGACAAGTTTTCGTACTAGTACTATCGAGAAGCGTTCCTGAAAGCCTCTATCGAGCTTTCTACCACTGTCCCATCATCGAACTGCCAGTAAACGGGTCCCAGAATCCGCTCACATCTTCACTTGCGATTGCATGTTAGTTGATGAGAATGATATGAATGTTGAGATATCTGTATGTGCAAGCTGATTTTCCTTTGGCAATATAATCAGAATCAGTTGTGACTGGCCTGGAAAGGGGTTTCGAGCATGTTACTGCCTCGGCGGTTTGCGTTTCTCTCTTATATCTATCTCGACTCGCAGCCTTCCTTTGTCCCTGTTGGCTGTCAAGCGCAGCCAATTTAAGTTGTTATCTGTGTTGCGCTTTGAAGCTGGGCATTCCACACCTTACTCACGCTTATCGAATTCTCGAGACAAGGCCAAGATACAGGGTCTAGTCATCATTCCGCAATCGATCTGGCTCACTTCCCTCTGCACTCCGCCCACACAGCAAGAGTAGCGCTCAGTAGCTGCTATAGTACCAAGCGCTTTGATCTGGATTAAGAGTCGAGCAAGAGCCCCTTTATTCAAGCTTCTCGACATACCACTGAGCGCTACTCTTGCTGAAACACGAGGTTTGCTTCCGCGTCTCTTTTGCGAATCAGCAAGGTCGCATGAAGTGCATCCTACTAACCCCGCAACATGAAGGCTTCAACAGCCCATAGTACGGCTGTTGTGTAGGAAGGTGACCGATTTCTGATCAATGTGAGTCTCCCCTGCAGATTCAGTAGTCTCATTGAAGTCTAGGCGTTCAATGATGGGGCTGTGAAGGTGTATTTATGCAGCTGCTTCTTCGATACGGATGCTGCCACGATAGTTGCGGGACGATGACGACACACTACTGGTGTAGCGAGGTTGAGAAAGCGAAGAAAACGGAGAAGATTGACATCCTTTCCTGAATAAAGAAACCAGACGAGTTGCCGAAGATGTTCAGAACAGCGACGGTCGATAAAAAGCTAGTCATATATCAACCGTCTGGGCAAGCACGCCTTCCAGTACATACCATCACAGGTAACCCAGAAGAGTCACCCCGGCCCATCCTCGGTCAACGTATTGATTGACGCATCGAGAGAACATTTTTTTCGATATTTGCGATCGACCTCGTCAAGTACATGGAACCTGTCATCGGATCGGATTCTTGTGAGCTGTTGACGGCCAAGTACATTAAAATAAAGGGCCTGAACTTGGAAGGGCACATATCATGTACTGCCGATAATCGACGACCTTGCGACCATCGAGTTACTTGGATTTTGGGTCTGACAAGCTGATCATTGATATCCGGCTGGGAAGACAGTCCCTACTGGGTTGGAAAGCTCTACAACGCTGACAATATCCAATTCCGACAACATAGAGCTTTGAGGAAATACAGCTTCACCAGAAAATATTGTCGATCCGGGTTACCGGGTGAATTACATACGGGATTCAGACATCCCTGAATGCTCAATCACATGTGTGAGCGTATAGCTTCTCCACGATATCAATTTTTGAGTTCTTTGGTTGCCAGTGTACGAATTTGAATTTCCTTGGCTCTTCGCAGGCTTCGGCTTGAGGTATGGACTGGGCTTCAGCCTGATCGTCATTGGCCTGATCTCCAGCCTGGGCTGGAACTGCGACAGCGTTTGTTCTGTCACGCGCACTCCCGAATGCAATGTACGCAAACAGAGCAGGAATCAAACGTGCCACGTACATTTTACGCCTGTATAGATCTTCGTTGCTCATCCGCCACTTGTCGGTCGCGTTTCGGATCGCTGATGCCATGTACTGGAGGGCTTTTTGCCCCTCGACATCCGGACGGTTCACAAAGGTGGCCTGTACCCAGTCGTCTGGCATAGGATCGACAGATAGCACAGAAGTTCCGTCTTTGATCCCGGTCAAGGCTTCTGTCAAGCGTGCAACGATCAATCGCATCTTTTCATCGTTGAGCGTGGGAGTCGGATACTCCTGCTCGCCCACGTCAAATTGGATGAACGTTTCGGCCATTTCTGCGATTGCATCGTAGATGTCCCTCTGAATCACAACTTGATTGGCAAGATGGTTATCCAACGATTGTGGTAGTATGCCCAACGAATAGTTAAGCTTTCCCACATGTCCGCTCGCTCGAGGTTCGGGTAATAACCGATCGGGTTGAGAGAATCATCCTCGAGTGAGATCTTCAACGCTGCACGGGACAAGTCATAGGCCCATTGCCCATCTTTAGACCGAATAGAGTGCTTAGGATCGAAGACTGTGTAGATCGAGATGCATCGCAGCCGTCCTATTACACACGACGGCCCGCGCCCGTCCATTATGCTAGGCACAGAAAATGAGGTTCATTCGCTTCCTTGGACTGACGTCCCTCTCAGTGTCGGTGATACGAGTGGACGTTCCGAGCGCGGCTGGCCTTCTTTCTTTGCTTTGCAACAGAGGCGGAGCATGACGGACATATGAGCTGGAGCTTGTGTGTAATGTGATGGTGATAACTATACAACGGTATATCCTGGCAGGAAAGATGCGTGACCAGAGCTGGGTGGGAGGATTAACGGTTCTTGGTTTGTCTGTATTCAAGTCGACATGACCAGACATCAGCATCACAACGAGACTTGGGCCTGCATTCTCTATGAATGTTTGTGACTCACCGATAACTGAACCTCTTTCTTGTCTGCGAAAACTCTCCCAACTTGTGTCCGACCATCTCGTCCGTGACGGCCACGGGGATATAGTCCTTGCCGTTGTGCACCATGAACCTGAGGCCGACGAACGATGGCAAGATCGTAGACGCTCGGCTCTTGGTAAAGATCGGGGTGTTGTTCTTCAAGGCATCTCCGAGGTTGGGAAAGGCGGTGAAGAAGGGTCCTGTAGTGGTTGAAGGGTGTCCCATGACGAGCAGGTTAGTAGTAGCTCGAGGTTACAAAGTGACGAACAGACTTGCCTTTCCATGCGGACCTGCTGAAGAGAGCGGCTGAGGGAAGCATAGCCGAGCTACTATGTCAACCGAGAGAGGGAGATCTCAAATTGCAGGCGGAACCGTGGATACACGACTCTGAAATTAGTCAGGATTGTGGTTATATGATCGAGACGAGAGGAGTTGACAAAGTTGAATGCCTCGATGCCCTCTCTCTCCCTCTCCCTCGGAGTCAAAGGGTGGCAATCACGTGACTGAACACGCCCGAGGGATCGGTGATTCATCCCTCTTGACGTCCCCATAACATGCACGTTTGACGGCCCAATTCGAGTCAACTACCTGGCAGATATCGTCCAAATACATACGCCCTTGGGGATCGTTCTACTCAGCGACATACGACTCGACGTACGATGACAAGCACTCCTGTTCCGCCTAAAACAGCGGCCGGTTCGGTGCCTCAACACATCGCCTTGTACGAGTCGCTTCCCAGCCTGATCGCACAGGTTCGGGCTGGTAAGATCGCCCTGGGTACCACCCTCCAGGTAAGTCCTGTTGCACACAAGATCCGTACGTATATCCCGGAAGGCTCATCACGACATGCGATATCCTCTCCGCGGAACCGACAGCTGCGATTGATCATCGGGAAGCACCGCAAACAGGCCACCGCGCACCTCCTCTCGAAAGGACTACCTGATCCCTTTATCAACCTGCCTGCAGGGCTCAATCCGGACATCAAGCTTCCTCCTGAGCTAGAAGCACTCCAGCTCGAGGTAAGCAAGACCCCTCGGCCTGCTGCCAATTCGGCCAGTTCGGCCGGGGGGACTCCTAATGACCAACCCAGGCCGGCGATGGCGAACCCTCAAGCTAGGCCTCCTCAGGCTGGCCAGGCTGTTACGAGGAACCCTACACCCGGGATGGTCCGCCCACCAGTAGCTCCTGGAGTCCGTCCACCTGCATCAGGTACTCCAATGCAACAAGCCCCTCCTCGTCCCCCGGTTCAGCAAGCACAAACTCCTCAGCCTGCTGGCAATAGACCTCAGCCCAAACCTAAACCCAAGGCTGCACCTCAACAAGTCCGACCTCCAGTTGCACCTCCAGCTACGAACGCGGCTTCTCCCGCCCCGGCTCCCGCACAACCCACCGCCAAGACCTCGGCTGTATCCACGCCTGTGCCGAGTAGGCCGTCGAGCGAGGCGCCGAGTCAGCCTGGACAGGCGGGGACGAGGCCGCCCGTTATGGCCCCTGGTGGAAAGTATTCGTGGGCTCAAGTGTTTCAACTGAGCGAGGCTGGTAGGCATCTATCACACGTGATGATTTGAAACGGGCGCAAAAGCTGACTTGATTGTCCGACGCCAGAGCGTCAGGCTTGGTTTGACGAGGTAGGGCTAAGCGGGCGATCATTATCAGGCTGAAAGGTAGCGACACGAACGAAATTGATATGCGATCTCCTGTATCTCGCTACAGGTTCCCGAAGCTAAACCAGCTTGGACCAGGATCTGGAACCATGCAGCTCAAAAGAAGCCCAACCCATCGGCAGGGAACGGCAGCGCTCCTGGAAGTGCGAGCGGCAGTGCATCTCCAGCACCTTTGCCTCCTGCCGGTCCGTCTGTATCTGCGAGCCAGAATCCGAACACGGCCGCGGCGGACATCCTAGCCAAGAACCCGCCTCCATTGCCTAATCTCAATCTGCCTCCCGTTCGAGCGGCACCTGCGCCTGTCGAAAAGGCCAAACCGCAACCGAAGCAACAATCACCTAAGCAGGGTGCACCTGCCTCGGCCCAAACCCCCGCTGGCGCCCCTGGACAGAACCCGAATCAACAAGCTCGACCTGCTGCTTCTGCTGCGGCTCCTGTCGCGAGACCTCCGTCGAATCCGAGACCCGCAGGTCAGACCCAGACTAATCCTAACCAGCCTGCTAACCAGAACTCCAACTCCAACTCGAACGCGAACACTGGCCCCAACTCGAACGCGAGCAATCCTTATGCGTGGCTTCAGAATATCAGACCGATGCCCCCGCATCTCAACCCATCCACGTTGAACAAGAGCATGGTCGACTTTTACATGGGCTTGAACGAAGATCAAGCCAGGACGATCTCACAGGAACGAAGGGATATACGAAAATGGGTCAGGCAGCACGTCTTGACTCGGAGAGCCGAGGAAGACCAGATACGACAAAAGCAGCAGGTACAGTACGATCAGCAGCAACAGTTGCAACAACAGCAGCAGAAGGCGGGACAGGGGCAACAACAGGGAGCCGGATTCAAGCAGCCGGCTCCTCCTGGGCCTAATCAACAGCCTACACAGACGGCCCGCGTGACCCTGGAAAGCTTGCCTCGAGAATTGCAAAAGTACAAAGAGGCCAACAACGGCAAGAATCCGTCGATGGACGCTGTCAAGGATCTGTGCCGTCGGACCAACACACCTTGGACTATCGAGCTCGAGCGTGGCGTCGAAAAATGGTGCTACGTCGCGCCGCCCAAGAGCTCCAAGCAGATCCTGTCTGAACAAGTCAAAGAGCTGGCCATGGACGTTACGGGTGGATCGATGGACGATAGCATGGAAAAGGCGCGTTCCGACTGAAGACCATCCGAAGTTCATTCGTGCTTGTAAGAATGCACGCAGACTAATGAGACGTGTCAATTTTATGTCCATGATTATTTCATTTAGTTGTTTGCCGGGCTCGCCGAGGATTTCTATGGGGACAATCTGCGAGGAGCTTGTCTAGCGAGCCGAGCGCGGTCAAAGGACGAAGTCGCCTTGGCTCCGAAGGACATGTCGTTTCACCTCCGTGCGTAGAGATAGCGGGTTCTATCATATCCATGCCGGACACTCAACTTTAAATGTGACCATCTTGAATTTTCAGGACACAAACAGGACTTGGTGACAGCTGGCTACGGCCAAGAGGTCGTCATGGCCGGTATCAAACGTAAAGGCCTGTTGGGCTACAGGACCGACGCAATCAAGCGCATCAAAGCCACGTATGCAGCGAAGGCTCGCAACACATAGAGAAGGGGAAGGAACGGACAGCCCAGTACACAAAGACGAAAGCGCACTCTCGATCCATGGCGACACATCCTCTACCACCGCGCCTCAGAAACCCATACCCCTGCCACTTTACGACACCACGACATTATCCATAGCATTACGATCATCATTTCCCTCGTGAAAGTAGAATGCCCTTGCGTATCAACGAACCGCTGCATCTGCATGTCTTCCCTTTGTATCATCTAGCATCGATTCACGACGAGTTTACACGTTTCGACCTTGAGCATGCTGCCCTCGACAGCCTGTACGAGTACTGTACTCTGCATCTTACGCGATCGACGCGTTCCGGCTGGCGCGAGCGAGCAGAGCAGCCCAAGGGACTCGGCGAGATTTTCCAAATTGTCGAGGTATCCTATTGAGCTACTGATCTGTCCGGAATGGAATCACGAGGCTATAGCTGAATACATAGAAAGTGCTCCTCGACTGATTTCAGAGGACTTGTTAGTCGGCAATGGCGAAAGATCCAGGAATCTCAGCCTCAGAGCCTGTTGACCGGGACCAGCTGCTCAGGGAGAAGGAAGCCGAACTAGCTAGGATACTCGACCAACACGATGACCTGGTAGGTCATACCGTTTCGAAGGGACATCTGAGCCTGAAGCAACTGTTAATATGGTCCTGAATACAGGTCAGAGAACGTTATCACATGGAAACCTTCGTCACCATGATAACAGGGTTCGATCCAGCTGTAATGCTCATGTTCCTAGCTCAAATACGGCTGTGAGAATCGGGTAGCTAAACGTGTTCCACAAACAGATCGTGAAACACGAACGAGGCCAGGATTATGAGAGGGTAAGTGAACTATTCCCTTCCGATATCCCAGCTTAATGACTGAACGATTGAATGATAATACATGCAGTATGCACGGGAATACGATCTATACCTGAAGCATGGCCATCTGCTCGGTCCCGGTCGAGCTTCGCGAAGACGGTTACCTGCTGCTCCTCCACCGCACCCGACACCGGCTAGCGCAAAGAAGTCGGAAGTCGTCAAGACTGAGCAAAACAAAGGCAGCGTCGAGATCATCGAGGTGGCGCCGTCGGGGTCTAATCGGTCCCGCAAGATAGCGAACAGCCTTAACCGGACCGATACCGTACCTATAACGATCACGCCTGCGAAGGGGTCGAGCAGAAAAGGAAAGTCAACCGCCCAGACTAGCGAGCCTTTAGAAGACGTCGAGGAAATACAACCGCAAGTTGCAGCATCTAGGAAGGGTGCGAAACGAAAAGCTGAGCCCGCATCCTCAACATCGCAACGTAAGGGCAAACGAATGCGAGGTCAGGTCGAAGAACGGTCTCCTTCGCCTTTATTGGTATCAACAGCCGCCTTCCGCCTCACTTGCCCAGAACAGAATGTGGAGCCGGACCTGCGTTTCGGGGAATCGGTGGAACAGTACTTACGATCCTACACTATGCTCGAAGAGAACGACGTGGACGAGAATGCTCTCAGACATCAAATCAACTCGACGGCCAAGACAAGGGAACGAATACGACTGTTTCGAAAGCATGGGAGAATGCTTGGACAGCTGGAAGAAGACTCGGATTCGGAGGAAGAAGGCGAAGGGGAGAAAGAGGCCGCGAGAACGGATAGAACATCCAAAAAGATGACCATCAGTGCGATGAAGGCGTTTCCCGAACCAAAGCGGTTGCCAGACCATAAGGATCATCTCCTCGGTCATGTGACCCAAGTGAGGAATGCCATGCTGGTTGACTGGAAGGTCCGCACGGCCAACTCTCGAAAGATCGCCCGAGCGATTCAGATCTACTGGGAAAGAGAATTGAACAAGGACGACATCACCGAAAAAATGGAGGAGAGACGACGAAAACAGGTGATGCGAGAACTCGTGAAAGCCGTCAAGGCGAAGTGGCAGCTCGCCGTCAATGTGGTCCGCGCGAAACGTTTGGCAGCCGAAAAAGCTGAACAGGAGCGGGTGGGCAAGGAGCATCTGCAGTCGATCTTGGAGAGGAGCCGAAATCTGTTAGGGAATCCGCAGACACCGGATGAATCGATGAGTGAAGGGGATGAGCTTGTGGAAGGTTCCGATGAGGACCTAGATCAGGAGGAGGAGGAAGACGAAGACGAAGACGAAGAGGAGAAAGAAGAGGAAGCAGAGAATCAGCTTGATGCAGGCGAATTGGGGACCGAAGCAAAGTCCGAAGCGGAAAGGATAGGTGACGGCGGAGAGGACGACGCAAGGGAAGAAGAAGAGGAGGAACAGGAGCAGCTGGAGGCACACAGATTCGGTCCATCAGAAAGGGAAGATCCAGCCAATACTGGTCGTCCCCGGTCAGAAGGAGGAGAAAGTAATGCTAGCCGTGACTTGAAGGGGGCAGGGTTGAGTGGGGACAGCCAGACCACACCTTTGCATCAGGCCAGTTCACCAGACGGAAACAACGTGGGCGAGTCGCTGCAGGGAAGTGGTGAAATCCCTCTTCGACCAAGGCGGTCTCGGGTCACCTACAAGGCCGCCTCGCATGTTGGTGGTCCTTCAGAAGACCCGGACATCAGTGACGTAGAATTTGCCGCTGAGGACGTCTCGGACGAAGACCACATAATGGATGTCGAGATGGAGGAAGAGGAAGCTGTCATGGATTCCGATGACGAGGAAGACGCGGGTCTGTTGGCGGATGCAGACTTGCCTCTGGAAGAGCTGATGGCCAAATATGGTTACGGCGCCAACCCAGCGGCAGTCACGTCTAATCACCAACCGGGAGCACTTTCTGCCGACGAGAACATGGATGAAGTCGAGTCGTTGGATGACGCCGGAAGCATGTCCGAAGACGACGTTACCTCAAATGGCTCATCGGATGTCTCTCCCCAAGAAGAAGAAGCCAACCCGTCGATGCGCACACCCTTTCTGATCCGAGCGAATCTCCGTCCATATCAGTCGGCTGGTTTGGAATGGCTCGCTCAGCTATATCGTGAGCGACGAAACGCTATTCTCGCGGACGAGATGGGACTCGGCAAGACATTGCAGACAATAGCCCTGCTGGCTCATCTAGCTTGTGATCACGGCCGATGGGGGCCGCATCTTATCGTGGTCCCGACTTCCGTTATCCTCAATTGGGAAATGGAGTTCAAGAAGTTCTTGCCCGGTTTCAAGGTTTTGACCTATTATGGCAGCCAGCAGGAGAGAAAAGAGCTTAGGAAGGGCTGGCTGGCTCCACATGCGTTCGAGGTGCTCATCACCTCTTACCAGATCGTTCTTGCAGATCAATTCCAGTTCAAGCGGAGAAAATGGGAATACCTGATTCTCGATGAGGCCCACAATATCAAAAATTTCCGCTCCCAGCGATGGCAAACATTGCTTGGTTTTCGCTCCGAGAGAAGACTTCTCTTGACAGGGACACCATTACAGAATAACCTCATGGAGCTCTGGTCGCTATTGTACTTCTTGATGCCGCAGGGTCTTGTCGACGACGAGGATAACGGCGGATTTGCGAACCACAAGGAATTCAATGAGTGGTTCTCGAGTGAGTACTTTGACCTGATCAATTGATCGATCCTAGATGAGCTGACCATTGTTTCCTCTTAGACCCGATGGAGAAAGCGATCGAGCTAGGAGGAACCTTGTCGGAAGAAGCTCAAGCTACCGTGAACCGGCTACACCTCATCTTGAGGCCGTTCATCTTGCGGCGTCTGAAAGCCGAAGTCGAAACACAACTTCCAGGGAAATTCGAACACGTCATTTACTGCGATCTTTCGAAGAGGCAACGATACTTGTACGACGAGTACATGTCGAGAACTTCGACTCGGGAGAGCTTGACCACTGGAGGTTATCTGGGTGTTGCCAACTGTTTGATGCAGCTTCGCAAGGTCTGTAACCACCCAGATCTTTTCGAGGTCCGCGCCATTCGGACATCATTCTCTATGGACCGGTCCATTGCCGGTGAGCAGGAGCCCGTTTACACCCGCCTGAACCGCCTTCTTCCCGTGCCAAGTGCCGACAGTCGTATTGGACACGGCTTTGTGATATCGACCTGGGCGCCTGCCTCGGACATGGCTACAGCCAGCTGCAGCCGCCTAGATGCAAGTGACCTGCTGCCTAGTATCCAGCCAGCAATTTTAAGTCCTCATCAGGACGTCAGGACAATCGCGGGATGGAAGGCCTTTCGTGCGCACCACGATGCGTCGGCTTTAGCTGACAGATGGCGGCGCATAAAGAGCATCAACCGCAGTCGTTGTTCGACAACACCAGCATTAAGTCGAGAACTACTCTCTTCGGTCCGTCAACTTGGCAAATCGCGATGGTCTGAATGGGCAGTGACATCTACCGATCTGCCAGGTGGGCTCTTCCAATCACTTCCTGGAAGACTGGCCCAGAACAAGATGGCCTTGGACCGTTTTGCCGCTATGACACCCGTCGCTGTAGCCAACGATCTTGCTGGTTTCTCGCTGCCAAGACAAACCAAAGAATGTCTAGCAGGACAACCGCGATCATTCGACAGCCTGCACCCAATGGCAGTCAAGCTTCAGATCGCTTTCCCGGATCGCTCGCTTCTTCAACACGACTGCGGAAAACTACAGGCACTTCATACCCTGCTAAAGGACTTGAAGTCAGGCGGACACCGTGTGCTTATCTTCACTCAGATGACAAGAATGCTGGACATTTTGGAAATATTCCTCAGCCATAACGGACACCGATACTCACGACTGGACGGCAGTACCAAGGTTGAAGATCGCCTCCTGGTTACAGAGCGTTTCAATGCGTCCTCTAAGATCTTTGCGTTGATCGCTTCGACTCGGTCTGGAGGGGTCGGAATCAAGTAAGCTATGATAGACAAGGGGTATTTATCCTTCAGCCGCTAACTTTGCTGCCGTGTTACCTTTTCAGCTTGACGGGTGCGGATACGGTCATTTGTGAGCAAAAATCCGCCAGTATTACCGACTGTACATCTCGCTGATGACCTATCATCATAGTCTATGACAATGAATTCAACCCTGCCATGGACAAGCAAGCGATGGACCGAGCACATCGTATAGGCCAGACGCGCGAGGGTAAGTGATAAGCCCCGGTCGCTTTCTGACGTACACGACTGACGATCTCGATCAAACGCAGTCCATATATATCGCTTGGTAACAGCACACGTAGGTATCCACTCGGGCATTGATAGAAATATTAGCTAATCGATACTCCACACAGACTGTCGAGGAGAACATGTTGAAAAAGGCCAATCAAAAGCGTCGACTGGACGACCTCATCATGCAGGAAGGGGACTTCTCGACCGATTATCTTGCTAAAGCGGACTTGCGAGACATGCTAGGCGAAGATATAGTCTCTACTCTCGACAAGAACAACGGCCTTTCAACCCAGGATGAAGATGATGCTGCGAATCACCAGCGCATCCAAGAAGCGCTAGCTGCAGCTGAAGATGACGAAGACGCCGAGGCTGCTCGTGCTGCATACGCCGACGTCGAGCTCGATGCTCCTGACTTTGGCGTTGATGAAGGTCAGACTCATACCCTAACTGATCGGGATATTCGTGGCCAATCATTTGAAGAAGAAGGGACACCAGAGCCCGAAGCAGAACAAGATCGTGAGGAAAAGGCAGACGACGATGAAGACGAGGAGGAAGAGGAAGAGGGAGGTGCTATTGACGACTACCTGCTCGACTATGTCGATCACGAATGGAACGACTACTTTAGTCTTTGGAAGGCTAAACGAATTTGATGACGATAATTGTTTCCCTACGAAATTGTATACAAGATGAAACATGCCTATATATACAGTACGATCGCGATAACAATCCTGATCCCGAATGGACAATGGCATTGGGTTCCAACTAGTAGTCTGATGAGGGGAGTGTACGTCCTGAAGTCGGATTGCAGCAACGTCAGCGTCTTTATAGAAGGCCCGAGCGCTTACAGATACGTGAGGTACTCACCAACTGCATGGTGCTTTCGGCTTCGATGGGTATTGACGGCATCAATCCCTGCATCGTAAAAGCCGAATCCGCTGACTGCGAAGAGATAAGAATCAGTACTCGTCTTATGTTCCGGAGGATTATCGCACACTCACGCATTGAATCTTCCGCACTGTCTTGACCCTCGTGCGTCCGTTCCTCGATCGCCTTGTCCGTCTTAGTATCCCGCAAAGTTCCGGTGTGATCGACGTATGTCGAGCTCGAAGCCTGGTTGTTATCCTTCCAATTTTGTATCAAGACCCGCTGGATCTCGTACAGGTAAGATTGGAGGGTATCCAAGAATCGGCGGGTCTGGAGGTGTTTCGAAGAAGCGCAACTGCAGCATGGATGCGAGGGTCAGACGCAAATATTGCCTTGGCTGTATATGCAGAGGCTGTTGTGGCTCACACTGAGATGCCTTCGTCCTTGATAATGTAGCCGATACCGTGACCTTCCGGAGTCACAGGACCGAAACCGAAGAGCTAATGTTTCGCATAGGAAACTCGGTCAGACACGGCGGCCACTACATCGGACCGATTTTGTACTCACTCTGAGTGCAGGGTTACCACAGTTTGAGGTCGAGATTACCGACGTGGACAACAAGCTGTACCCCGGATCGGTGAACAGCTCGGGCATCTTGACGTCTCCCTTTTCCTTGCTCTCTTCTATCTCCCTTTGGATTAAGCATGACAGGGCGTATAGGTGCCTATCCTGACTTTGACCCTGGCTGCACTCGCGAGTGAGCTCAGTATGACGCTTACAGGCCTGTCGGAGCGCCTTGATCTTGGCATCATGGGTCGGTCCTTCGGAACAGAACGTCTTTACGAAATGTACGCTCTCGGGCTGAACAGTCCTGATGGACTCTGTTCGTCCGTGAAGGAAACCCTTCATCATGGCGGGTTCGTACGTACTCTCCACTCGACCGTATAGTCCATAGTAGGCCGCCTGGAAGGCCATCTGCACAAAGGCATCGGGCGAGAACCTATGTCGGGTGATAAACGTCTTGCCGTAGCCCTTGAATTCGAGCGCCTGACTATCGTTCTGACAGATCAAGTCAGAGATCCTCGTCTCGGCGAACCGAACTCCCGCCTTGAGCTCGGGGGAGAGCTTCCAGGTGAGCTTCTTGGGGACGAGTTCGAGGTCCTCGTCCGTCTCGACCTTTTCGTCGGGTTTCGGCTTGTAAAACTTGCTCTGAGGCGAGAGCTTGGCCTTGAATAGGGACGGCGTGGAAGGGTTGATGGACTGTTGATAGGATTATGCTCGCTTTAGCCCTTTCCCTCCGACGCTGTACGCTGAAAACTCACCTTAGCGTACAAAAGAACCAGCTCGGTGTATATATCTGCAGGGCCAAGTCAGCTACGCTTGCTTGTCTGCTTCGTTTCCTCCTGTTCTCTCACCTGCGCAGTACCTAATTGGACAACAAAGTGAGATTCGCTCAGCCAACCCGTCCTTGACTAGAATCTTGAACCCCGACTCACCTCAAAACGGTATGCCCATCGACGCCCGTATGTTCAAAGTTGATCCCAGCCTCCCCGTTGGCACAGACGATGATCTGCAGCTTGTCATACCTGTCCAGATCGTGATGCATTGCCCCGTATCAGCTCGTCTGCCTTGAAGCTACAGCCAGACAACAGACCGGAAGCTCACCATCGATTCGTACACGTCCCGATCTGTACCCCATTACTCATCTCATAAGTCCCACACAAGAAGTTCTCGCAAAGCCTGCCCAAATCCTGCGGCTCGGCATCGTCCAAACAGACGACAAACAGCGCCGAATCTACCACGCTCAGGCATTCCTTGTTGTTGGCGTTCGAACTCCTGATCTTGTTACGGAGGTCGTTCCATATCTTCCTGTTCTCGGTGGTCAACAAACCGACGGCATTTTGAGCGACCTCGTGAACAGAGGTCTTGTCGGCGTCAAGGACGATGGATTCGAGATTTTTGAGGATCTCTTTATCGCTCAGACAAGGACGGGAGTCGGCATCAAGGCAATCGAACCAGTCTAAACACACGTAGTAAGAGACGTCAGATTTCGATCGCAAGATGTATCACGCGGGATGGTCATGCGAGAGCCTGCTCACAGAATTGTCCACGTCGAAGTACGACGATATGTTGACTCCCCGCGTGTCTTTCAATTCTGCAACCCCTCTCTGTCGGCACTCGGCTGGTAGCGAACAACCTCGTGTATTGTGACATGTCCAGTCCCTTGCCACGGATCGTGTCCGGTTCGAGGACGCCTTGGTGGAGGTCGTGGATGAAACAGAGGGACGAGTAGATGAGGGTGGATGCTCGCGTGAGTTGGTTATTGCGAGCCGGGGTCACGTCCGTCCTGTCCCGGTGAAAAGGGGTAATTAGCTCTTGCGATTTGATAACGAGCACAGTATTAATGGCGTACGAGAGGACAAAGAACGGATTCTAAGAGGAAGAGGAAGCTCGGTCAACAGTGGATCTTGCCATGGTCATGACGAAACGAAGCTGCTTACCAAGCTCAAGACGACGCTCTCCTGAAACTGCAAATAACTCTCATCTGTTGGCAGATCACGTTCGGTTTTCGTCAACAAACGTACGACAACGCCGACCGGTGACTCTTCCTATCGCCCAGAGCCACGTTGTGGCTTGCGATATGAGCCTCTTCTAACTCACACCAGAACTCCTCGATATAGCTATCCACCGTCTTGTCATATGCTATCAATTTCTCCTGCCATTTCGGTCCTTCCTGTTGCAAGAAAGCTTCTACGATCTTTTTCGTCTTTTCGTGTTCATCGTGGTCCTGTCAACGGGTTCCCGGAAAGGAAATGACCTTGCGTTCAGCTCACCACACCAGAAGTGACCCTATTGAACGACAAGGGCAAGCAGAAAAGTAACACACCTGCAACCCCTCCAAGGCCCTCAGATACCTGCGACATGTGTCCTCCAACTTGGGTACCGGGAGTTTAGGTAGATCGTCCTGGTAAGCCCACGTCTTGCCCTTTTGGAAGGGGTGTTCGAGGTGGGCAACTTTGGAGAGGGTGGCCGGTTGGGGGTTCGAGTCTTGGACTGGCATCGTCGATGGTAGGTCGTTCAGTGGATGGCAGGCAGTTTATGCTGGGTCATGTATGGTGATACGGGACTGCGAAATGTTGGGATGGAATATGGTAAATGAACGTCTCTGGCTCTCTGGACGTCTGGACGGGCTTTGAACTATGTAAAGCAATTCAAGCAACCTTGAACCTCTTTCGAGAGGGAGAATGACGAAACCCCCTCCCTCCACTCGGTACTGCTCGGCCGGATTTACTTCCGCCCCCACTCTCAATTACTTCCGGTCACGGCCGGGGTCTCCGCTCGATCGTTTCTCACTTTCGAAGTTTCGGCCGTCATCCCGAGCGTGACATCGTCGCCGTCGCAACTGCAAGTCTTGGTCAGAAGTCGGTCGGAAGTGCTTCCAGGTTCGATCAGATTACAGCAAACAGAAAGGCCTGCACGCGACCCAAGAAGGTCGTTGATGGTTGATGCTCGTCTCACCGTCTTGTCTTGTGAACGAGCCCGCCTTGAATTCCCCCGAGACCCTCAATATGCCGGTTCGACCGAGATGTATAGCCTCGCTGTTGTCGATGTCGACACTCATTTCGACTAGGGTCGGTACAACCAAGCTTCGATGGGAAGGCTTACATTCCAGTCCGCTAGGAGGTCCAGGAGAGTCTTATGTGCACGAGCTGGGCTGAGCTTGCAGAGCAGAACAAAACAGCTTTGACGAAGTCACAATCAAGGCCTCGTCCGCGCAACGTGTCTGCCGATAGAAGGGGGGGGGACCAAAAGACGATAGGGTGAACGGTGGCGGCTGTATATAGGACGTGAGGAGGCGGGAGGGGGGGAGTCATTACACCATACATCTAGCGAGCTTCAGCTTCAGCATAAGAAGCGCGATGAGGATGAAACGCGAAACCCGCGTCACGGTCAAGTAGATATCCGCGGTGCTGGTTTGAAGAAGGCTGATGCGATGATGGCACTGGTGATGGTGGATCCTCACCTGATCTCATCGTCGATCACATGTCGTAACCTCTGGACTCTGGCTGATACTACTAGTACAAGACCGACTACTTTACCAGTCAGCTAGTCATTATTATAATGACAGTTCCATCTCATCGGTACTCCTCATAATCCCTGAACCTAGCCATCGATCGATCCAGGACTGGTCGTATCTCCTCGTGATCCTGGGTCGCCCTTTGATCTGATTCGTCATCCCAGCTCACCGGTCGACGGCTCACGGTCAGTGTACCAGTGTGGGATCAAGCGAGAGCGACAGTCATCGACGACGGATCAACGGACCTGTCTACAACCTTGCACCGTATTGATCAATCAATCAACACTACTCGTCGCCGGGACATCATCATCTAGGATCTAGGAGAGTTTTCTCTTGGAGATACACGTCTCACGATGACCAGGTAGGTTCTCGGGCGACACTAGGTCGCACTCGCTTCGGCCTAACCCGATCAACCTCTCTTGTCGTCCTCGTCCTGTCTCCTCGTTCCATCTGTTCGCAGGAGCACCGACCCTTACGCACATACCGAGCTCCGAGGTCTAATCTCACCTCATACTCACCCTTCCGCCGCGCTCAACTCCTCTTCCGCCGGTCCATCGTCGCCCAGCTCGTCGGGGACGATCTACCCGACCTACGTCCTCCCCGCGTCGATAACCACTATCCATCCCCAACTCCGGGACCTGCTCGTATGTCCGAAAGAGAGGGGGAGGTTGTACTATGTCCAAGGCAAGGGAATTACCGAACTACGGGTTGATCTCGAGGGAGAGAGGGAATATGGCGAGCAGGTGAGGGAGGGCAAAGCGGTCGTCGGGGAGTGGGCTCCGAAGGTGAGTCTCAATCAGTGTCGAGGTGGAGCTTTAGCTTCGGCCAAGGAGGAAGCAAGCGGAAATTTAACGCTGATCCGCAATATCAACCATTCTTCTGGTCGGTAGCGGACGTACAAGGCCTACTCGAACCTCCTCTTCACGCCCAACTGCTTGACGACATCTTCCACCCTCCTCGCCTGCGGTGGTCAGAATGGGGAGTTGCATTTGACTACCCTTCCTCCCGCCACTTCCGGTCCGAGCGACAGCTCCTCTTCTTGTCCTTACTCTCCTATTCCGACGCTAGACAGGCCTGCTCCTCGCACGAGGAGATCGAGGGAAGATTCGGCATCGGCTTGGAGCATGACCATGACCCTACCGAACACGTCGATCAACAACTCGTTCCTGCTCTTGCCCGCTTATCGAGGGAACACGCCGTTGCCTACCAGACCGTCTTCCCCTTCTGGATCTCACGGGAACGGCATTGGGGTTCCACTTGGATCTGGATCTGGGTCCGGGGATGCCATCTTTTACGGTCGACGAAGCGCGGGGAACCATGGGATGGGCTCAGGGGCAGGATCTAATGGCTCGGGAGTAGCGACGTATCCGAACTCCGTGCCCTTTGGTACTGGCACCGGGGCAGGATCTCGTTTCGAGGGAGATGACGGTGGAGCGAGGTACATGTCCTCTGGCACGGTCTCGGATGCCAGATTCGGAACGTATGGTCGTGCGACGACATCGACATCGACGACGACGGCTCGATCGAGGGGATTTGTTGGGACAAGAGGTAGAGTAGCGGATGATGATCAAGTTGCCGAAAGACAGATTCGAAGTGGGTCAGAAGGTCAAGAGTGGGACGGATGGACCACGATAGGACCGACTACGACGGGTCATCGGGACCTTGGAGCGGAGGATGATGATATGGAGCATGATTGGGAAGGATACGATACCATCTTCCCACCTCCGGCTACAATCCGGAGTGGATTTTCACCGCCGCCCCCGGTCACTGGCGGGAATAATACCGGCGCCAGTACCGGAGCAAGGAGGAGGATCGAAGCAATGTTGATGGCGGGCAGCGGGTCGGCGACGGGGACGGTCACTTTCGAGGGTCCAGGAGGAAGTCGACGCACGCTCGAGACGTTTTCCGGGCCCTCGACGGTAAGAACTGGGGGTACACGACGGTACGCCTGGATGCCGACTACGAGCGACGACCGATCGCCACCGCCTCCTTGGCATGGAATGGAACCTTGGCATTTCGATTCTGGGTTCAACGACCGAATCGCACAACGCTACGGTCCGGAAGGCACTGAATCTGCCTGGCCTGGAACATACCCCCGACCGACCCGCGCCCGGCCTTCTCGCTCAGCGATAATCGAGTACGAGAGCACCCACGCCCCGATCAGGGAGGACGAACCGAGGTTGTTGGTCTCGAACAATGACATGTCGGTGAAACTGTTTGCCATCCGGAACGCGACGAGTCAGACGCAGGCGATTCCTCCACTCAGGTGGGGCGAGATCCAGAACAAGGCGCCGAGGAAGAAATTGGCGAATATCGGCGGGACTAAATTTGATACGGCCGTGAATCATGGTTAGTCGTTTCCTGCACCCCAACGAGGTGTCACGTCTCCCCTGCTTACGTTCCAGTTGTGTTGTCTTGCAGCCTCGGTATCGCCAGACGGGACCACCATGCTGGTAGTAGGAGACACGAACGACGTGTTCCTATACGAAATCCGAGGCGGTGGCCGCGAGTTCAACAAGATTGCGAGGTACGAAGGGTCCCGCGATGCAGGATTTTCGACGTCCTGGAGTGCGGATGGAAGAAAGTTCGTTGTTGCCAGTCAGGATGGGCAGGTGACCGTGTGGGACCATCGGTACGCTTCCTCCGAAGGGAACCCGCAAAGAGCCTTGCATTGACACGCGCCCCGTTCGTTGCCACTATCAGTTCATCGCACCCACTCGCCAAACTGTATACTAGCCGAACGTCGTCCAGGTCGACCTGGTACAGCCCCGACAATCTATACTGGGGAAACGCGAGCGAACCAGACTCGCCAACCCCTTATGTCTCGCCGACATCGACAAGGCCACCAGGTCGATTCGGTGGCAGTCCGGGGTCGCATACGCCTGGTCGTCGAGATCCTGCGCGGGTGGTCAAGTTTAGCCCGGCGGGAAGTGGGCGAGAGCTGCTGGTCTTTAGCGAAGTAAGCAAACACAGATCTGCCAATCCGCAGCCCTTAATGCTGACCTGTGATTATGGACCCATTATAGGAGACGGATCATATTCACATCGCTGATGCCAGGACGTTTGATTCTCAGATCACACTCCGAATCCCACTCAAGGCGACTTTCGGACAAACGATCTGGAATGAAGACCCCTCGCACGTCCGGACGGCGTCCGATCGAGGCCGGATAGGAATCGCTGGACTATGTTTCGATGAAAAGGGCGACTTCCTATACGCCGGCACGGAGAGCAGTATCGTCGAGTACGATCTGCGATTAGAGAGTAAACGAGGGTCTGGTTACATATCCATGATATGAGGACGAAACGACAATCATACGACAATTCTTGTATTCCCGGTCGGGGTTGTATATACGGCAGGAAGTCTTACCGCATTGTATCCTTTTTTAGTATGACGAGGTCCAAGTTCGGCAGGCTAGCGACTTCTTCTCTATCGGCATATATGTCTCTCGTTGAAGGTGGTCTTGGCTGATTGGCTCTTGTCCATCCTCGATAACAATAAATTGCGTTTATCGACAAATTATACAACCCTATGTCTGCCCGGAGATTTCTAAATGAGCACCTTCCTCAGACTGTCCACCCCACCCATCCCGGCCAGGTCGCCTCCAGTGACCGGGCACACCCCTTCCCGCTCGACGAAACGGTACAGGCAGAGGTAACACCCAACGTACCCCGTCGGCAACGCTGTGGGGTTCGACCACGGTTCTTCGCATATCGGGCAGTGTCCGTACGCCAGAGGTTTCTTGCGCTCCGTCGAAGCTTCTGATCCGTCGACGAATTCAGGCGGTGTGGAAGGTAAGGAAGGTTCGGAAGAGGAGGAAGAGATGCTATCATCGTCCCAATCCCGATCCAGCTTTTCCTCAACCTTCCCTTGTTCCCCTTCGCTCTGTTCCTCGTGTATCACCGCCCCTGTCCGTCGTCTCTTCTCGTTCAAACCCGTCCACCCTCTCTCAGCCGGTCGGAGCATTCCTGGCGGTGGGACCCTGACTCGATCCCCCGGACTCGACTCCTCGGCGTGTGAAGCCCTAGGCGAATTCGGCGAGTACCACCATTGAGAGAATTTGAGGGCGAGGAGAGTGAGCGGGAAGAGATTTGATAGGGCGTGACGAGGTAAAGAGGCTAGCAAAGTTGTTGCTGTCGAAGAGGGCTGGTAGATTAATAATGTCGGATGGATTGGATTTCAGTGATTGACTTCCCGGCGATTATTGATGCTCGTGCACTAACCTCGCTCTCGCTTAAAGACCCATCGTCCCGTATCCCACTGACTCTGACAAACTTCATCCACCACCTCCATTCCCCTCTCGCCGCAAACGCATAGTTGACATCGTACCCGACCTCTAGGAGCGCGTATCCTAAAGCAGCGTAAGGGTAGATGAGCTTGAAGAGCTTCATGATAAGGTTTTTCAAACGAGAACGAGTGGAGATGATCTGCAGCGTGCAAGAGCGGTGACAAGATATTAGTTGAACAAGCCGAGAAGAGAAGATGAGACTGCTACTTACGGAGCCTCGAGGGTCGTTCTCTCGCCTTGCCCTTGCGATCTCCGGGTCGAGCCCGCCCCCTAACCGTTCGTACAGGTCCTTCATCTTTGCCTTGACATACGGTATGCCGACCTGTGTCAAAAGTATTTGTTCAGGTCAGATAGATCACAAGACGATGCTACGAGGTGAAGGCCGGGCAGGAGCGGGAAAAGGCTCACGATAAAGGCGAGGATGAGCGCTTTTTGTCTCGATGAAGGCCGAGCGGAAGGACGGTCCGGCAAGGAGGAGCGGTACCTCATCCCATAGAACTGATCGGCAAACGTCGAGTCTATCGAATGTATCGAACCAGATATGTTCAGTACTAGAATCTTTGTTAGAAGGATGGAATACGGTATACGAACCCAATCTCCGAAGATGGTACCCCTCGACGAGCAGCATGAACAGGGCATACACCTCTTCATGCCGGTTGACGAGCCGCAAGAGATACCTCGGATATCGTTGAGCAAAGAACTACCCCATGATAGTGAGATCATCAGCTCTAGTCTTGTCAAACGACGTGTGGTAAGCGACGTGGACTGACGGCCAGGACATAACGAAACGCAGGCTGGACGAGGTCTCTCAGCTCGTCGGTCGCCAGGAGCTCGTAGATCGACGGTCTGTCCGCCGAAGCCGGTTCGTTGGCTTCGTGTTCGTGCAGGTGTTGCAAAAGAGACGACATCTACTTATATGATCACTTCCAAGTTTAGGTGTTGCAAGGTGAATGAAGAGTGTAGTCATGGGTCCGAGGGTGAGTCCCGGACATACAAAGTTGAATCGCACTTCGCACTTGACCGTCACGGAAGCAAATACGCGGATGCAACTGAGCGCACGTCGACCTCGAGAGATGAGGTAGAATATTCAATATAGCAATCTAGTCTATAGCTAGTCTTCAGCTGATCAGATATACAGCTACCAATCTCCTCATGCTCCTCACGCCTTTGGGTAGATCGACTGCGCAGCTACGCATATGGCTTCACAACGGGCCGTCCTTTACAGGTATTTGATGGAGAGACTGCGCGCCAGGCACTTTGGCCTCGGCAAGCGGGAAGAGTTCTTACGTGGATCGTCATTGAGGGTACAGTCACAACACACAATACCATCTGCAGATCTTTCAGCTTGATGGAATGGGGTGTTTCTCTGACGGGAGGGCTAAATCACTAACTCCCAAGTTGTCCTATGTATAGTCTGTCTGCCAGTCTCCAGCCAAAGCTAAACGACTTTTTCTCGCGGCTTCGTTTGATCGTTCGACTCGATGGCGATGGCGGCCTGCATATCGACCCAGTCTGAACGTGATCAAGGCTGGGCAGCGTGTTACGTAGCGATAGGTGGATTGTTCTGTCGTACGAGACGATTCCATGCGCACGTCTCGATGTACCCACTTACGTACACACAAGCATGACACGACACACGATATGAAACGCCACTCGTCGCCTCTCTCTCTCTCTCTCTCTCTCTTTGTGTTTATGCGCGTCGCCCCCCCAGTCACTCACTGCTAGTAGCTGGCTGGGGTGGTTCGATGTTTTGTGGTCGAGCTCATTGGATCGACGTCCCGTAGCCCTTAGGTTTATATACAGTAGTACCATCATCCATCAACAGAGAGGCGACAGGCATTGTCATTGCTGCCCGTCAACAACAGCAAAGACACTCGAAGGATGAGGTTCACCTCACTCTTCGCCATCGCGGCCACGCTGTCGACGACGGTCCTCAGCGTCCACGCCGATCAAAATCAACATCAAAAACAACAACCCGTGTCGGTCTACCTTCACCCTTCGCCCCAGGGTCAGCACGAGCACCAACATGGTCATCAGGTACCCACTTTGACGGGGGAACAGGCCCATATGGTCTTGTCACACCACTTTGGGCTCGCCGGTCAAGGTCATTCCGCTGCCGCCAACAACAACGAGGGCGAGAAGAAGAAGGGTCTGTGGTCTCACTTGTTGAAGCCGCACGGTCGACCTACCTTGCAATCCCCCGAACGGGCCAAGATCATCGTCATCCAGGGCGACCTCGTCCCTAGCGATGTCCTCCCCGTCACCTCGAGCGAAGACCTGGCCGGACCGGCGTTCCACCTCGCCTCCTTCCCCTCGTACGAGACCATGCACTTTCTCCAGCCTTACCTCGCCGCTGGAGAACGTGCTGTCCAGAAATTCTTGGGCGCCGTCGAGGATGGGGTAGAGCACGGTTTCGACCGAATCTGGAACGAGGTCACCGCTGGCTCGGAGGACAAGAGGGGGCTGAAGAGTCTGCTCGACGTTACCGATTCTCGTAAGTTTGCCTCCAGCTTGTTGTACGCGATCAACTCGCTCATCTGCTCATCTTTGTCTTCCGATACCATGTCCTATTGGGCAGGTCTCGCTCAGACCCTGCACGCCCAGCTCTCTGCCCTATCCCAGCTCGTCCATCCTTCCACCTCTGCCAAGAGTGATTCCGATCAAGTATGGGAGAGCACCGTCGTGCACGTTCCCGGTCGACGAGGTGCCGAGGGAGAGGAAGAGGAGTTGAGGCAGACTGGGTTGAGTTTCGTCAGGGCGAGCGTTCAGGCGGTGAGTTTAGATTCTAGCTTGGCGTCCAGCGGACCTTGAACTTGAACTCTCGAGGCTGAATGAATTACGCGTCCGTTGTTGCGTCCGTTGTTGCGTTACTGTCACAGCTTCTTGCCACCCCCAACTCTACCCCATTCGTCCTGATCATCCTGCCTACCCAAACGACCACCTCCCTTGCGGCCTTCAAATCTCACGCCAAACGGATCTACAGCGAAGCCATCCAGACGGTCGGGCAGAGCAAGATTATCGGCGCCCTCCCGCTCGACCGGGTAGACGCTCTCGTTCTCAAGCCTCTTATGAGGGCCGGTGAAAAGGTTGGATGGGGCATTCTGATCGGGAGCGCGTTGGTGTTGTTACCTCTGTTGTTGGTTGCCGGGAACGTCTTTAGGCAGGTCGTAAGTCCGCGTCATGAGCTGGATGTAGTCCGGGGACGCGTGCGCTTCAAGGTACTGATCTTCGACTGAACGACATTTTGGGCAGGCTCTTCCGAGGGACCCGACGTTGCCTCCCTTGGTGTTCCATTACATTCCCTGGTTTGGAAGTGCCGCCACGTACGGTATGGACCCTTACAAGTTCTTGTTCGACTGCCGTGAACAGGTGAGCGCGGCCTTCTGATGGCTTAGGGGACGGCACGCTGCTTGATACTGATACGTTTTGGCCGACATTGATAGTACGGCGATTTGTTCACTTTCATCCTTCTCGGAAGGAGGATGACGGTCGCGCTCGGGCCAAAGGGGAACAACTTGATCCTCGGCGGTAAACTCAGTCAGGTCTCGGCCGAGGACGCTTACACCGTAGGTTGCGAATCATCGTTAGACCAGGTTGTTTGTCGTGCTGATCAGATTGTTGCGCGGCTCTAGCACTTGACCACCCCGGTCTTTGGAAAAGGTGTCGTCTACGACTGCCCGAACGAAATGTTGATGCAGCAGAAGCGCATGGTCAAGTTTGGTCTTTCCACCGAAAACTTCAAGTCCTACGTTCCTCTCATCAAGAAGGAGGCCACCGACTTCATGAACAACGAGCTCAAACCCGTCGCTGGCGAATGGAAACAAGCTCACGCGCTCCACAGCATGGCAGAACTGACCATTCTCACGGCTTCGGCGACTTTGCAAGGAAAAGAAGTCCGTGGCAAGTTGGACAAGACGTTTGCCAGGCGTTACGAGGCGCTTGATGGAGGTTTCACTCCGATCAACTTCATGTTCCCCAACCTGCCGTTGCCAAGCTACAAGAAGCGGGACAAGGCGCAGAGGGAGATGAGCGAGTTTTACCAGGAGATCATCAGGGGTCGTAGGGAAGGTGGAGCTGATGTGAGTGTGCCAGTAAATCCTGTTGATACCACCCTTTGAGGCTGACGACGGAATCGATTGTTGTTGTCGCAGCACGATCACGATATGATTGCCGCTTTGATGAGCTCGGCCTACCGTGACGGAACCCCTCTTTCGGACTCGGACATTGCGCACATGATGATCGCCCTCCTCATGGCTGGTCAACACACTTCGTCTGCTACTAGCTCTTGGACTCTTTTGCACTTGGCCGATCGTCCCGACGTCTAGTGAGTGACGAATGGCGTGGTACTCTATGATTATGTCCTGATCACGTTGGTGCCGGTAGCGAGGAACTCTATCAAGAGCAGAAGGAAAAGTTCGGGAACCCCGATGGTACTTTCCGTGATTTGACTTACGAGGACTTGAAGGACTTGCCCTTGTTGGATTCGTGTATCAGGGAGACCCTGAGGATCGTGAGTGTCTGAAAGTTTCTGCAGCGTCACATTGACCCAGCTGACAACGAGTTGTGACTTTAGCACGCCCCTATCCATTCGATCATGCGCAAGGTCATGTCTGATATCCCGGTCCCTACCTCGGTCGCCGCCCCCGCCATCCCCGAGAAGAACGCGTCCTACGTCATCCCTGAAGGTCACTTCGTTCTCGCTTCCCCCGGTGTCGCTCAGATGGACCCCAAGGTCTGGCAAGATGCCTCGATCTGGAACCCTCACCGATGGGTCGACGAGAAGGGTGTCGCTAGCAAGGCCTTGGCTGAGTATGACGGAGGTGACAAGATCGACTATGGGTATGGTTCCGTCAGCAAGGGTACCGAGTCACCTTATCAGCCTTTCGGAGCCGGTCGACATAGGTGTATCGGAGAGAGCGTGAGTGGTACTCCGTTTCCCGATTGACACTAGCGGCCGATCCGCTGACGCTATTTTCGCCTATAGTTTGCTTATCTCCAGCTCCAGACCATCCTCGCGACCTTTATCCGGAACATGGAGATGAAGCTCGAGGAGCCTTTCCCCAAGACCAACTATCAGGTCAGTGCAAATATCAGATCGACCCTTTTATGCGCGAGTATCATGCTAAATAGATGCAATCTATGCAGACCATGGTTGTTCTTCCCCTCCCAGCCAAAATCTCATACAGGTTGAGAAAGTAGACGAGCGGACGCTTTGGGCATATGTTGCGTACCAGGGACTTCTTGTGAGATCGTTGACGATCAACCTAATAATATAGACACTGCCGTTATATGATATCTATGTGGTTTGTCGCGAGCGCTGGCGTTGACATCAGTTTGCGCAAAACAACAGAACGTCACGTAAACTCAACAATGAAGAGGAAGCAATAGACGTTTGACGCAATAGAACAAGATCTGATCAGAGAGAGCCAGAGCAAGCTAGATCCGGCGGTGGTGGATATTTAGCCGCATGCGGTTCCACCGGCACCTAATCTCCCCCGTCGCCTCTTCTAAAGAGGTATCCATCAATCAGAATATAGGACATCGGACTCATACATCGTGAATGGTCGTCAAGGTCGTTTCAATGTGGCCCAAGCTCGCATCAGCCATGAAGCTTTGCGACCCGCTCGTTCAACAGTTCGAGCCGTTCGCTCAAGCTGTCCCAATTGCCCTTCATCGCCTCGGCCTGCTTGGAGATCCCTTCGTCCAACCTGTCCAAGACCTCTTTGATTTCTGAATCCGTCTCCTTCATGTCGGCGGTGTCAATTTCGAGCCGGGTCAGGGTGGACTGGACAGACGATGCGCCCGCATGCAATGATGCAAGGCTCCGCAGACGAGTCAACAGCGGTGGGAGAAGAGGTACGAGGGGTTCGATGCGTGGAAGGGCGGTGTAGATGGCTTCGACCTTTTGGGCATCGGAGGGGTTCAACTTGAAGTCTGCGTTATTCTTGTCGGTGGAAATGCCGCTTTTATTGTTCGGCGTTGCTCTAGTCTTGTCCAAATCGGCCAGCACCAGCTTGACCCGCGTGGAGACGCCATCCAATTGATCCGGTTGCGACAACATCGTCAGGATGGATTCCAAGCGAGAGAGCGAAGAGAGGATGGGCACAGGCTGTGAAATGAGAGAGAATATTAATGGCGCTGATCCAGCGGTTCCATTTGGGCTTGATCGACTTACGGCAGAAGCGGTATCGATACCGGCCCCGATACGCTTTTCCAGCAAGTCCAGCCGCCTGTCCAATTCCGTAGCGACTTGGACGTCCTGCAGCTCGGTCTGAGGGCTGGGCTTGACCTCGATTGCTTTTCCCGGTTGAACCTGTCCTGCAACTGGGGTATCGGATTTCGCACCGAGCCTGTCTACCAACCCCTTGCTAGCCTCCTCCCTCGCTCTGAGCCGCTCGTTATCGAGCCCTGTGTTTCCCACCCTCAGTACCGAAGCCTGCTCCGTCTTGTCCAGCCCCGTACGGAGTTCTAGCAACTGGGCCAACAATGCCTGAGTGTCGGGCTTCTTTGCCCGGTGTTTCCTTTTCCCATCTTGGTATCCCTTCTCAGGATCCGTCCCCTCGGCTACACCATCCTCCTTATCCTTCTGGTCCCCATCGATCTGCGCTTCGTGCTCGAGCTGTCTCTGAAGCTCCAGGCATTCGAGCTTGAGTCGTCGAAGCTTGTTGACCGGGTCTTCCCGGAAACGACGAGTGCGCTGAGCTGTCGAACCGGTGCCAAGACTGTCTTCACCGGAGTCGGAGTCGGAGAACGAGCCTTCGCCTTTCAAATAAAGCGCTGGTAGCCTTGGTCGAAAGGTATAAGTTGAGGCTGTAATTTAGATTGAGCGCTTAGTCAATCAATCAGCTTGTCTAACAAGGAATCCTCAGACGCACCATTATCGCCGAGACCCTTGCTCCGCTTCCCAAATACCTTTCCCGCTTCTCTCCTCGGTGGCAGAGAACTAGCATCGATGTTCTCGACCGGACCAGACCTGAGATCCTTGTTTAGTCCCGTTCCGCTTGCAGCGTTGAGCATGTTCAATCTGGACAAAGAGTCATCAGAGTCGTAGGCGTCCTGCTGTTACAAGCAAAGACGGCCAGGTCAGCTTCACATGAGCTGCAAAGCGGCAACGAAATGGTGACCTACATTATTGCTAGCGGTATAGGCCACGTCCTCTGTCTCAAAAATGTCTGCTGCAGACGTATCCTGTAATCAAAACATACAAGGTCGGAGCAGGTAGGCAGGCATCAGACATTGTCAACAATGCTCGTGTACTTCCTCTTGAAGTCGTTGGGAAAGCCGACTCACCACGTCTGGCAGATTGGCGTACTTGCTGGTAGACATGTTCGATAGCCAAAGTGAGTGCCCATGGGTGTCTAGACGGATTGACATAGGAGCAAGCTACAAGCAGCAAGTCGCTGCTCATCATGACATGTTCATCACCATATTACCATACCGTACCGGGACGTCAAAGGTGGGCAAGTGATTGATGTCGCGTGATTAGGTAATCACAATAAATATCGATATCAGTAACATGACGTGTTTTGATAACAGGGCCATGTTTTGTTCGTTCGGACCGCCCGCTTGAACAATTTTGCAAGTGGAGAGATGCCCGGAAATGGATCGAACGGAGTCTTCCAATACTTGAGATACCCGTCACCACGGATGTCCACTCCCAATGGATCCTCCCGTGTTTGACGGGAACGCAGTACGAATGTGTGCGGGTTTGCTGCCTCAAGCGCGGGACGAGGAGCGCGATCGTCCAGGTAATCTTTCCACCGAAACGTCCGCTGCCTTTTGCCTGCCCAAACGTCTTACCCCAGGACGTTCGTGGATTCTTGGAATATCTTTCCGTTCCATAGTGTCCCCCTTTCGAGGGTTATCTCGATGCAAATTCCCCCGCGAGGTGCAACAGGTCTGTCGGTGTTGTCACATGGCGCGCGCCTGTACCACTGGCAAATATCCCGCAAGCCAGTGAAATGGATCGATCAACGTGCATCCGCGAAGCTGCTTGTGACCGGACGATTATCATCCACCAAAGAGAACTCCAGCAAAAATCCTCAGAGCAACAAGTCGCAATCGATGTCACGGGAAATACTTGCAAATATCCCGTTCTGGGCAGACCAAGGCATAGGGGGGAGAGGGGAATGCTCCGAGTGATAGAGCAAGGGGCGATAGATGAAAAATTGTACCAGTACAGCCAGCCTGAGAGCGGAGTGTCTGTGAAGGAAGGGGAGATCCCCTCGCGTATATAATCTGATCGAATCAAAGGAGCCCTCTCTGGGTAGCGAGCCGACAGTCGACTTCAGATTACCAGTATTCTCGCTTCGATCGCCCGGCTCTAAGCGAACACGCTCAAGTTTCAACTCACGCGCGAAAGGATTCCACTTGGACACCCTCACAATGTCAACCCCCGCTCACGATACCGAAGGGCGACAAGCTCTCCGCCTGGGTGGAAGGAAACTCGCCTTTATGGCCTTTTCTTCATTGGGAATCATCTATTCTGATATCGGGACCAGGTGAGGAGTCACGAATTCGACATAATGATGTATTGCGATGACTGACCCCTGGACCATATTCGCGGACTTGAAACCCTATTATATCTATATCTCGTCAAAAGCCCGTTATATGTCCTCACTACGATCTTCAGCACAACGGGACCAGCCCCGAACAAAGAGGATGTTATCGGTGGAATCAGCGCTATCGTCTGGGCGTTTACCCTGTTGCCTCTTCTCAAATATGTCGGTTCCACGCAAAGATTCTTGATCTCTCATAGCATCATACTGATCTCGGACTATCTCGTGCTACCTATAGATCGGGTTCGCCTTGAGCTTCGGGTCTGGTGAAGGAGAAGGCGGTCCTTTCGCCTTGTTTCAGCAGATCTTTCCCCGAGACGACCCTGGCAGGGATCCCAACGATGACCGCGAACTCACCAAGCACATTGAAGTCGTTAGTCACGGCAAGCCGGTCGTGTCGCGATCCTCTAGGTTGCAGAAACTTCGATGGCCGCTCCAGATTTGGGTGAGTCATATTCACTTCATCAACACCTTGCGCGTGTTGTAGATGCTGATATTTTCCCTGATCGTACCACGATAGACCCTGTTCGCTACCGCACTTACAATGGCTGACGGCATCCTTACCCCTGCGGTATCCGTCACCTCTTCGGTCGGAGGCTTGGCAGTGGTCGCGCCTGTCGTCAGCGACCATGTCATCCCCATCAGCATCGGGTTCTTGCTAGTCCTGTTCTTAGGTCAACGATTCGGGACAGCTAAACTCAGTATAGTCTTTGCGCCTCGTAAGCCCAACTCCTGTTTTATCAAACACGCTTGACGACGTCATCTAATCAAACCTTACATTCCCTCGTCTTATAGTTACATTCTTGTGGTTTGCCTTGATCGGGATCTCCGGGTAGGTGCCAGCGTCCACAATGTACTAGAATCGACATCTTATCCTTCTTTGCAATGATAGAATTATCAACGTCGCCAGTCAGCCCAGCATTTTACGGGCGTTTGACCCGTCTCGAGCCATTATGTGTAAGTCTAGAATAGATAACAGCCACCAAGCATCTCATCCATGAAGCTCCTATAGCTGATAGCCCTATTCCCCCGTAGTCTTTGTGAGGACCAAGAATTACGATGCACTCGCCGGTGTACTTTTGGCACTTACGGGGTGCGAGGCCATCTTGTAAGCGTACCTGTGCGTTATTTTCGAGCTCGTTTCCCTGACGATGATTTCCCACATAGTGCCAACCTGGGCCAATTCACGGCATCTTCCATCCGGATCTCCTTTGTCTGCCTGGTCTATCCGGCTTTGATCTTCCAGTATCTCGGTCAAGGTGCCCGGATCATCACGGATGGTACCGTGATGGCCAACCCGTTCTACCTCTCTATACCTGGTGGACCTAATGGAGGTTTGTGGTGGATCACTTGGGTGATGGGAGTGATCGCATCAGTGAGTCATGCTCAGGTCTACCAAAATTTCAATCGGATCGAAAACTGAATATGTGTCAACACGCTTTTTCATACAACTCAGTTGATCGCATCTCAAGCGATGATAACGGCAACCTTCACCCTCGTCAACCAGCTCATCGGAATGGGAGCTTTTCCCTCAATCAGAATCAATCATACGTCCATACTTACAGGTAGATTACACTCTCGAACGGAACACGGAACAGCGAGCTCAGCAGATCACTGATAACGCGTTTCATCCTCATGCGAACTCATTGTACAGCTGGACAGGTCTACGTGCCGGCAATCAACTGGCTTCTTATGATCGGAACCATCGCTACAGTGGCAGGTTTTGGGTCATCATTCGCTTTGACTTTAGCATACGGGTGAGCTGGAGACGACTTTCAGTATCTCACAAACAGCGCACTGACCCACTTCGATGTCCATCACAGTTTCGCTGTCGCAACCGTAATGTTCATCACCACGACGTTGTTGGCCTTTCACATTCCTCTCATTAAAGGATATCATTGGAGCTTGGGTGTACTTTTTTTCCTGTTCTTTGGTTTCTTGGATGGTAAGTTCTTCCCGATAACTCAAGTCAGCTCAGAACTTTGGCGTCTCATACGAATGGGTTCTTCCGACCTAAGCGCTTTTCTGGGGTGCGGCATTGCGCAAGGTTCCGGAGGGTGCCTGGTTCCCTCTGGCTCTGGGAAGCGTATTGTAAGTCGGAGCGAGCGCTTTCAAACCGGATTGTCTTCTCACACGTGAGCGCATCGGCAATCAGGTGTATCTTCATGGTGTTCTGGACTTGGGGACAGGTGAGCTTCGCTATAGGGACAACTTGTTACCGTCGAAGCAACCCTTATCTTCTCTGGAAAAAATAGGAACTCGAGCGCATTTTCGATACTACGCACTCGCGAAAGCTCAACTCGGTGGTTTTCAACGATACTACAGTCTCCGACATCAAATCAGAGACGACAACGAAAGAGCCCATAAGCGAGGTTCACGAGGTAGAACATGGTCTGCCTGTTCTCGAGAATGTCGGAGGATCGGTTCAGCTACAGGACAGGATTGCATGCGACAGTCACGGGGACTTCTACATCAAGAAGCCCGATGGAACGATGTTCCAACTGGCAAGGACCACCACTACTGCCATCTTCTATAAACCCAGTGGAGGGCAAGGTGTACCTCACGCGTTTTCGACATTCTTGCATCAGGTCCCTGCCCTGCCCCGTATCATTGTGAGTACCGGGGCTGCCTTCGGTCACCCCGATAAAAAATGACATTGGCTAAGCGCACTGCTTGCAGATCTTCCTTTCCACATGGACGGTCGCTAGGCCTCACGTCGAGCTCGCAGACCGATACTTTGTCACCAAGGCGCGATCCCTAGATGGCTTTTATGGCGTAACCATGAAGCGCGGATACCTCGACCGCATCAGCCCGGAGATCGAACACATTCTTGGGCAAATTCAGACCATAGAGGCCACATTCTCCCCTGTAGATGTCGAAAATCGTTTGGCTCGTATCGCCGAGGCTTCCAAGACCGTCACTCACATGTGAGCGTGCCGACACAAGGCGCACTGATCGCGAGCTGATGACCGTGCCTGTGAGATCATGCAGAAACTCGAGCTATCGCCTCATAAGTCGCCACCAGAACAATGGTATCGTGGATTGGGTCCGAAGGGCCCTCATCGAGGAGCTATACGACCGTTGCCGAGTGATGTTCCCGGACGAGAGCAGTTCGCCTGAGTCTTTGGAAGAGTAAGCACCGCCTGACTGGGCCGCTCGTCGCGAGAACCGCGCTGATACGAATGCTGATGCTGCCTTGGTAGAACCCTTCATCTGAAAGTGATTGCGGAGATCTAGCTCCATGACTGATAGGCAAACGCGGATCGCTGTTCCTTGTCCTTTGGGAGACACCAAAAGCAAGGCGGCGGCACGTTCGTTGTTGTGAGATTACATGTATCAGTAGTATCAAGATCTTGGATCTCGGACTTGGTCATACGGAGACCCATCAGTCCTCAATTCCCCCCCCCATTCGATGGCTTCGGAGTACTGTGATGGGAAACTTTACGCGGCGGGCGATTCTTTTTAGCTGATCGTAGTCGACACATTTGCTTGCACTTGGAAATACTTCAGCTACATACAACTCTCGAAACCATAAATTGTCTACACCAGCCCCCGTCGCTCTAACGTCCTCCCCAAACCTCTACTCACGTTCCAACCTTTTTCCACGTTGCATACGCCTCGTTCGCCTCCTTGACGTTAAAGTGCTCCAGCCTTGCCTTGCCTTTGAGTCCCCGAGGATCTCCGTTCGTGCACATGCTCTCGTACCATTCTCTCTTCTCGACCATCTCTTCGTCATCCCGCTGAGTGTTCTTAGTCCTGTATGCCTCCTTGAGAAAATCCCAGCCGACAATCCCACCGGCGTCCTCAGCTACGCTATGTCCGCTACCGCCCGTGACTACGGGGGTAGGCTTGATCCTCTTCTCTACGGTGATCATATGCTCCCACCCGTCACCCATGTCGTACTCGTAGTAGAGCACGTGCTTGTTGCCAGAGATGTCATAGATCGCGTCGAGCTCCGCCAACGTCTGGGTCGGCGGTAACCCGTGATCACCTGGGACGAAATCCTCGCCGGGCGGAAGATCAGGCCTAGGGTGGTCGACCTGCTCCGCCACCAGCATCTGAGGTAAATAGTACCCTTCAGGATTGAGGTCGGATTTCATGGGCCCCTCGCGCTCTTCCGGGTCGATCTCCTGGATGCGACGGATGGACCACATGTGCATGTGCGACATGCCCCATCCGAACGCTGCGATCATGAGAGGGTGAAGCTGATCGACAGTAATGTCGGGAGGTACGGAGAGCTGGCGCCAGATCACGGGGTCATAGATGCCCATTATCCGAGCATGGAGGAGATACCAGTCAGGGTTGGGATTGGCTGACGTGCTCGGCTGCGAGGACTGCCTAGTTCTTTTTCTAGGTCTCTCCATATCTAATCGTCTGGTATAGGAAAGGCTTAGCGGACAGCGAGTAGTTTTGTTCGATGTTCCCCGAGGCGTTTGGGTTCCCCGTGTTTGACCTTTTGATGATGATGAATTGATATGGGATTTGCGATGTCTTGAAACGTCGAAAAGGGCGATTTCGGCGTTCACGTCGCGTCGCGAGTCTAGGAGTCTGTCGCGGGACATGACCGAAAGGGGAAATTTCACGCGGGACGGCGCGGGTTTTCGCTAGAAATCGCGCCGCTCCTCGCTGGCATTGGCCCGTTCGCCGTTCGCCCCCCACAGAGGCCAAAGGATATCCTCGAGCCCCGACCTCGAATCTCCTTTTTCTCACTTTACCTCGTAAAAACGCTACAACGTCGAGACCTCACAAGCGCCCCGAGCCTCACACCCCTCCACTTCTGCCCATATACCTTGGCTCGTCATTACCCCTATCCCGTCCCTTCACCATGGACCCGTCCTGGACTCATCAGAGACAACCGCAACGCCAGGCTGGCGATTCAGCCCGATCGGGTCACTACAACCCCCCAAACACCAATTCGACCCCTCCGCAAGCATTCGCTTCGGCTGGGAATTACGGGACCATCAACCCAGATTACCGTCAAGCTCAATCATACAACCCTTCGTCGAGCGGTACGACCGGGTCGACGCGACCTCCTGCCCAGATCCACGATGCGTATAGGAGGGCGGACGGGAACGAGCCGACTGCTACGAGAGACGTGTGAGTCCAGGTGCTCTAGCTATCCTGGCCAGGCGATCGAGGTCGTTTCGAGCTGATATTCACTGGTTGTTCTGTAACTCTAGCTATTCGGCGCGTTCTGCAGCTGGGACCGCTACCACTCAAGACGTACCCCCTGCGGCCACGCCTACCTCGGCTCGACCCGCTCCCAAAAGGTCTCGAGCCAAGAAACAAGCGGCCGCTCCTGCTGCAGATGGAGCCACCGCAGCCACAAACACTACGCAGAGCAACACTACCAACAATGCTGCCGCAGCTGGAACCGAGACGGGTCCCTCCGGTCGACCTCTACCTTTCAACACTAAACCCCTATACGACCGGATCGAAAAGCTGACCAAGACTCACGGAGATCTCATCACCTATCTCCACGGCGAACTCGACCGTCGTAGGGATTGGGAGGAGATGATGGTCAAGGAAATGCATCAACGTCATCAAGTCCTCTTGACGCTCATCACCTCGCTCGTCCCCGTCACCAATTCGACGGTGGGGTCCTCTGGACATGGACAAGCAGGGAGGTCGTCTCTGTTGGCTTCGGACCTGAGCACTACCATCGGTCGGGCAGGCTTGCCCGGTGTACCCTCCGTCTCCAACATGGGATCGTTGCAAGATCAAGACTTTGGAAACGGTGCAGGGTTCGAGGATGACAACGACTATGGGAACGATACGCCTGTGATCAGTCTCTCCCAACCGGCTGCCTATACTCAGCAGACGGCGGGCGAATCGTCAACTCAAGGTGCTTCTGCTGGGGGTCTGAAACGCGCCAGAGACGGGGACGGACCGCACTACCACGATTTCCAGAAAGACGCCGGGGTCGAGGTGGACGAGCGCGGGATCATCTACATGGCAGGTGGAAGGAAGAATGGAGTCGTACCGACCAAGATTGCTGTGAGCATCGCCATGGTTCGACGGAAGATGTTGCCGCTCGTCATATAGCCGAGGCTGATAATCCATGCTTGTATGTGCCCATAGTCTTTGGTCAGAAAGACCCTGTACGCGTCGCAAGGCGTTCCGGTGGGCAAGTTGCAGTTGCCCTTGTACGTCAACGGAATGTACCCGGCCAACGGGGACGAGCATTGGTCGTTCGGTAACCTTCGTTTCGACTGGAGTGAGTCTAACGCGGTGTCGAGGTTTCCGTTCAATACACCTTGCTAACCCGTGCTCTCTCGTTGTACTCCCGGTTCAGACTCGACGACTAGGAAATCTACGCACAACGCCGAGATGAAACAGATCGTCATCGAGCACATCGTATCGCATCGATACGCCTACCCGGAGATCCCCGAAACTGAATTCACTGCCGACAGGTTGGAAGCGACGTACGAGCAGTCGTTCAACAGCTGGAAGGCCAAGTTCTTGGGCAAGAAGCCGAGCGGGCCTCACAAGAGGGCGAAGACGTCGATGGGGTTGAGGGAGATTCAGAAATTGCTCGAGGTCGTCGGGACCGGGAGGGATGGATCGGATGGGCAAGCGTCCGGATCCCAGATGGCATTGGACGCGGGTGATTCGGTCAATACGATCGGTTGATCGGTTCCATGGCATTGACTCTACCGGCTGGAGCGATGAGGTTTCCGTCTCATGTACGTAATATCTCGCTCTTATTTTCTGTTGCTCGTAGCCAGATCCATGTGTTGTAAAGTGTACAAATGATGATCAATATGAGTACCAGTCGACTGATCGCGACTGTACTTGTCCTGGCGAGGGCACGTGATCATTTGGGATTCTCGGCGGCCCAGTGGCTGTTTCCCGAAAAGAAGGCGGTACGGGTGAACCGGGATGGGGCCTCAAAAAAGAAGAAAAGAAGTCGAGATAAAAAATGACATCATAGGATCATCGATCAAGGTGGAGCGCGTGTGGAATTGGCCGAAACCTTGTTCGATCCGCTGATCGCTGATGATCCTTTGAACCCGACCAGCGGACACCGCGCAACGACAGCAACAACAACAACAACGATCACAGGCCTCACAGGGCCAGAAGGATTGATACATGCACTCTGCATCGTTGATAATCTCGAATGAAACGCGAGCGAGTCCAGTGCCAGCCGGATCTAGCCAGATCCCAACGAATATATGGCGTCCACGTCGCAGGTTTCGCCGAATGATGATCCACGGGCAAGTCGATCCTCCGCCAAGGCCGAGCAAGGGGAGAGGGGGATGCGTCGCTCCAGCCATGCGACGCGCCCGGTTCCCTGGCGTTTGGGAGCGAGAACCGAGGGAAGCGAGCGAGCGAGCGAGATTGTAGAGTTCAGGATCGATCACATCACATCACGTCCTGCGCGTCTGTAGGATGTGTAGAGATGCAAACCACATCGCCACTTCTGTCGTGTTCAGTTCTCGCAGTCCTCGTACATCTATCTCGCTTTGTCACGATTGCATTTCTGCTGTCCGCTAGCTGCTAGTTGCTCTCCCCATCGAACACGGCTCCAAGCTGCTAGCTAGCTAGGGGGAATAGACGGGCACACAAGGGAGCAAGAGACGTCACCTTTTGGCGCTAGGACCTCTTTGATCCAGAAGCTGTCAGAGCTTTTTCGCCGACAAGTGTTGTGGTCAACAATTGCACAAATCACCACGCCATCGCCATCATCTCGACATCTTTTTCGTCCCCCCCCCCCTTACAACCAGCTTGCAAGAGGCAAACCTCGATCTCCTTGCCAGGGTGTCTACCATTTCCACCTCGTCAATGTATAGCATCGGATCGAGTTCGTAAGAGATGGGCTCTGACCAGTACCAGAAGCGATCTCCAAGTCGGTCGAGCATTCCAGCTCGGGGAGTGGAATCGACCGCGATAGAGTCTCTGGTGGACCGGACGAAGACTAGGATGGATTCGAGGGGAATGTCGTCGATCGAACGGTCAGACGATCGATCACAGCCTGCTGATCGACCTGGTATGCTCGAACGTCAAGATTCCGACGTCTCCAACGCGTCTTCCACGGGCGAATTGTTCGACATGGACCCTTTGCGGCGGGACAGTGCTACTACAGTTGGGAGTAGTGAAGAGTTGGTCTCTCCCATGTTCGATTCGCACTCCCTCCATCGACCCGTCATTGTTCGAGGGTCTCGATCGGACGAGCGGCGCACTCGGGATTCGTTGGTGGATAACAACAATCACAGGGAGCAGCAACAAGGCGACGAGGCGGAGCTAGCGAGCAAAGGGGTCGTCGCCCAGGGGAAAGAGATGATGGAGAACGGGATCGGAAACTTGGCCGCAAAGTGGAAGTCGTTTGGGTTTGCTGGGGGCAAATCTCACAAACCGATCGACACGGACCAACATCCTGCAGGACCGTCAAATGTCGACCCCAGGCTGCCTGCGAGTACCGTCGACCAGACGACAAATCAGGCAACGTCGACCTCGTTCGCCACGTCCAGCTCGATCGGAAGGACTCGCTCGCCAAATCGAAATCTGCATGGCATCCCGCCCTTGCATACCAGTCGACCCCGTATTCCGAGTTCCGAATTTCAGTATCATCAGCATCATTATCAACATCATCCGCATCATCAGGGACATCAGTACGAATCCTCCGAGCTGACCCCTCGGGCCGAGCATCCTCCAGACTACTCTCCCAAGAGTATGGCCGAGACGGTGACCTCCCCGAAGAACGCCCGTCGGGAGATGCGAACATCAGCCGACCAGGAAGACGAGGAGATGAACGCCTCGTCATCTTCGAGAAACGGGACGATCAAACGGAGACGCGATACGACCGTCAGAAGGAGTCTTCTGTTAAATCGGGGGGAGAGGCCATCCCAGGGAACAGGCCAGGATGATCGGGCTGGAGGGGAAGTCGATCGGAAAGCCGATGCGCCCGGTGGTTATTTCCCAGACGTCGAGGAGCTCAAACGTAAAGCGAAACAACAGCGAGATGCGGAAAAGGCCAAGCGAAAGAGCGACGCGTTGGCCAGACGGGCTCGGGCGAGCGCTTTGGCAACGTTTGCCACGTCTCCCCGGGCCAACTCGCCGTTCACCTCGCCTACTGCCGAGGGAAACAGCCCGTGGCGAACGGCAGGGAAGAACGAGGTCGAGTCGGCTTCGGACAGCGAGAACTCGGGGACGGACGAGATGGAGACCCCTTGGCCGTCTTCGGCTCGGCACGGAGATACGCCGCTTGGACTCGAGCACGAAATGGTCAAGTCGTCCCGGGCAAATTCGTTGAGAGAGAGGATGAATAGCATGGGTTCCATAGAAGAGAAGCACGCCAGGTCGCCGTTCGCGTCAAGGAGGAACAGTGTGGATCGTCGTTCTTCCTCTGACATACAAACGGATGAGGACGAGGTGCTGCAAGCGGGGACCGGATGTGCCATCTCCAACCCGTTAGCGCCTCCGCCCGGGTACCCACTGTACTCGCCTTCCATCGGGTCCGAGCCATCGGACAGGCCTTGGATGCGGTCTTCGTCGTATGCGGGGAGTTCTGCCAACAGCAGTCCTCCACTGATCGACCGTTTCCACAGCGCGACAGAGGCGCTTCCGGTCAACCAGTCTGCAAAGGGACCTTATGGTCAATATTTCGGATTCTTGCCCACCGGCCCTCAGTCCCAGTCTCAGGGGTCGTCGGCGTCCGGTAGCGGAACCGAAAGCGAACTACAGAGGAAGTTGTATAGTCGCTTCGAGACGGCCGGCAGAGGCTTGCATAACGACAAGTCGACCCCTACGTCTGGCTCGTCGAGCATCAGCCTCCATAACGTTCCTAGCCCGAACGATTCACCTAGACTCAACACCGATACGGAGGGTCAGGAATCGTCGCCTTTCGAGGGCAAGATCACCATCGACACCAGCCCGGACCGCTATGTCATCTCTGTCGGCGAGATGGTCGGGTTCAGCTTGGAGAACATCACGATCGCAGTCAAGAGCATCAACCGGTCAAGCAGCACTAGCAGCTCTGTCCCGCGAACAGGCCTGGTGCACTCGCATTCCAGCGATGCGAGCTCTGTCCATTCGCATATGTCCGTTCGATCAAACGCCTCGTTCCATGGCGTCGAGAAGCTTCCTATACAGAGGACGGCGTCGCCTGACATTGTTGCGGAAGGCAAGGTTTTGCACCTCATCGCCGATCGATGGGAAGATTCGGGTTAGTCTGGAGGCCGATATCAGGGTCGGGTAGCGACAGACGCTAATGGAATTTGATCGCGTTCTACAGCTCATTTCGAACGAAGAATAACCTTTGGCAAGGATGCCGACTTTTCGAACGGCGTCAAAGCCAAGTTCGATGGCACCAAGCTGGTAATCGAAGGTTAGAATACTACGTGATAGCCCCTCATCCATTTCCTGATCGGTGTTAGCTAATATCATAACGGTCCTTGCCTCAGTCGCCCGCCGGGCTCGGCCTCTTGCAAGACCGCCGGCGGGACGCGCCAGTCTTCCGCCAGACTCGGATGTCCTACCCCGACCGAGCTTCTCGTCCGAGACGTTTCGTATACCCAAGAACTTGCCAGCGCAGAGGCATCATAGCATCGCTTTCTAGAACTCGGTCTCGCCCACAACTTGGTCGCGTGTATCCATTCACCCTTTCGGTCCCATCTTCTTGGCTCGACTCGAAAACACTGTATCGATGCAACAAGGCGACCGCAACACTCGTGGCTCATCCAACCACTACATACATGTACCAAATGGGATCAAGTAGCGAATGGACGGGGGACTTTCAATTTGCATATAGTTTCACATAAGAGTAGCACGTCTGTTTCCTGATGAATTTTGACGATTTTGATGAACCGCGGATGAATATTTTCGTTCCAACCTGGGTGGATGACGATACTCGGCCGGGAGCTTGTCGTCACTGGGACACCGCTGCCCTCTGCCTAGCTGTTTTATAGAAGTTCCTCATCAATCCAATAATGTTTAAACCTCGCATTTCTTCCCAGCTGATTACATATATAATCTAGACTTGGAAACCATCTGCTCTCAAGTGGCATCAGCTAGCCCAGTCCGAAACTTCCAGCAATGTCCGCTTCGGCCTTCCTGTCCAACCAGGCTCTGAAACCGCGTAAAAGGCAGACTCACAATCAGCACCGCCAGGGTGTATCGACGAGCTCCTCTAGAGATGCCAGTGATGAGGTAAGCTAGTGTGTATGTGAAGAGAGGATTAACATGATTCAAAAGCTGACTGCACGCCTTTCTGCTCGAATCTAGGAGGACGACTCACCCACCGACGACAACTCGTCTACCGTCGGTTCGGTCAAGCCTTCCGCTCGCCCTGCCATCCCGCCTTCGCCCTTGAAGTCTGCCACCGGCAGAAAACCATCTGGTACACCTGTCGTTCACCCTAGATTGGCTGAGGTTAGCGACGCCGAGTTCTCGGAAGCTCTAGACTCGCCCACGTGCGTTCGATGGTTGACGCATCATCCGGTCTGGGTCTCGATCAGCGCTCATGGATTTCCATCTATATAGATACGACGGGGATGTGGAGTCGACGCATCTGCCTTCATCGTTGGCGCAGGCCACATTACAGGCTCAACAGCACGGACGCGCACAACCCCCCGTCGCACCTCCCTTGAGCACTTCGTCTACCGACGCTTCATTACCAGACGAAGAGAAGGTCAGGCGAGAACCTACGCCTCAAGCTCGGCAGCCCGAGATCGGAGACACATCGCCTCGAGACGCTATCAGCCACCCTCTACCGATCTCTCACCTCGCTCCACCCGAGAGCGTCGCATCTCACTCTCTGAAGCCAAAATCGTCGGATCACGGACCTGCCAAGATGACCAGCCCGCCCGAACACCTTTCTGTCGAGGATATCAGGTCGTTCGTCCGAAGAGCCATCGAGGGCAAGGGAGACGTTGATGGAGTCATCAGGACTTGGAGGACGAGCGAACCCGCTACCGACCGACCTGTGCGAATCTATGCCGATGGAGTTTACGACCTTTTCCACTTTGGGTAAGTCGGCCTCGCGGTGTGCGACGAAATGGCCTTGTGCTGATCATCATTCCCGGTCGCTACAAATGTGTAGTCACGCTCTTCAACTTAGGCAGGCGAAACTTTCGTTCCCCAACGTCCACTTGGTCGTCGGGGTCTGCTCGGATCAATTGTGTGCGGATCAAAAGTCTGGACCTGCCATGACGCATGCCGAGAGATGCGAAGCCGTCTCGCATTGCCGATGGGTGGATGAAGTCGCTCCCGAGGCACCTTGGGAGGTCGATCAAGCATGGATAGACCGTTACAACATTGATTATGTTGCGCACGATGAGCTCGTCTACGCTGCCAAGGGTAAAGTGGACGTATATGATTTCGTAAAGAAGCAGGGTTCGTAAAATGGTTCTCGTAATGATCGTAGCGTTTTCGTCTTTGTTGATGTCTCCTCCTTTTCCTCTAGGTAAATTCCTTCCTACTCGACGAACCCCTTCGATCTCGACGTCTGACCTACTGGAACGCATCGTTCGAGGGTATCGCGACGGTTTCTTCGACTCCAAGCTCGAGAAAAACGGTCATCCAGAGTTGATGGCTTCCGATGTCGACTGGGACTCGAGTGCCAGCAACGAAAGGAAAGCTCGTCGAAAGGTCGCCGGACACAAGCATTCCTAGGGGTTTCTATTCTGTATTCTTGTCGTTGCTGGTTTCGTTCGTAGATTTGTAAATGTGACGCATATATGCTAAACGTTGTTTATGGCGGAGTTGTCCTTCTCCTTTCCGACCAGAGGATCGCATCTTTCCTCTTGAGCGCCCTCATGAGATCGACCCAATATAGATGACCTTTGGTTCTATTGCCGTGAAAACCCCTGGCGTTCGAGAGGGTGGGATAATTCCCAACCACGATCAAAGACTGTAGGTAAGCGTTACACGAACATCAGTATTCCGCATCCCCCTCGAATGCCATTGAAAGTCACTCACCCGCTGCGCCCGGGTCAGGGCCACATTCAGTCTGCGCCAATCGTCCATGAAACCAATGGCATGCCTGGGATTTGACCGAGTCGTCGAAAAGATGATGATCTTCTTCTCTCGACCTTCGAAGCCGTCGACTGTGCTAATCTCGACGGCTAGCGGCGCAGTCATTCGATCCCCGTCCAGAAGATGGCTCAAATGCTCGAGACGCTCCGGATCATGCAGAATTCGCTCGAGAGCGCCAATCTGACCGGCATAAGGAGCGATCACACCAATGTCGGAACCGTCTAGATCCTGATGAGACCTTGCTGTCAGCCCGGAAGCTCTCCCTGCTCGCCTACTTGTCGCACACTCACTGGATTGTTTATCAAGATGTCCAACACTATCGACGATACGATGTTCGCCTCGCCTTGGTTTTGTATACTCCCCATATAAGGGATCTCTGGCTCGTCATGGTCGATGAACGTCATACGGTGTGGAGCACCGGTCTTGTCCAGCGTCTGAAACTCTGTGTCGAGCGTTTTTTCGAGACCAAATCGCAACGTGCCATCGTTTTCGACAGTCCCATCCGAGAGGCTGTTGTTGTAGAACTTCTCGATTGGAAAGGCTGATATGGCAGGATGCATGCGATATTGCGTGTCCAGCATGATCGTAGGCAAAAGGCCTGGCCAGAAGAGATTGCTTAGTAAGGCACAGCACGAAAACAATAGCGAAACGGTCCTCACTGTTAGCGCTCTTGGGCTGGATCAACCGCTCGAATAGACTACGGGACAAGCCACCATTCTTGGCTTCGGGACTGATAACTACCGGTGGTAGCTGCTTGTGATCTCCGATCATTGCCAAATGAGCACACTATGCCACGGCATCGGGTCAGTATCTCTCGGCTGGATGGATAACATGTCGTCTACAACGCACCCCTTTCGTTAACGGAATGATGGAAGTTGCCTCTGTGGCCATGCTGGCCTCGTCAAGGAAGACCACAGGAAAGTCGTATATCTGTAACAGGCGAGACACTGAGGAAATGCAGGTTGCACACACCTAACGATTCGGAGTCAATACAAGTGCAACAAATGAAACGATCTTCGCTTGACTCACAACGTCGATCCCAGCAGCGATTTCCTGCATCATATGGCGCTCGAGACCGAACAACTTTTTTTGCAGAGCTGTTCTTTCGTCTATACACAAACAAAGCGAACGACTTCAGCAATGATGATTGGCATATATAGGAAGGCTTCGCATACCGCTCCCTGGCGACGCAGCGAAGGTCTTGAGCTTGAGACTATTGAGGTTTCTCTGGCTGGGGTGTCGCTCAATGTAACCATCCAGTGTGATCGGCCACAAGCTCTCGCGAATCCGGATCTTCGCACCATAACGAAGCACTTTCAGGCCTCGGTTCGTGAGGCCTTCCGCAAGATTGTCCACGGCCGTATTTGTGTATCCAGTAACTAAGATTGGAACAGAGACCTGCCAATGCGACTGTATTTGTTCGTAAATCAGCTGCCGTATGTGCGACCTCGAGAAACAGACTTGCTTACTTTTAGGAGATGCAATGCTTCGATGATAGTGCGGGTTTTGCCCTGTTAGGAGGAAGGAACGATATTAATAAGACTTCATGAGAAGAGCTCTCCCGCACGACGGAGAACACACGGTACCGGGTGGCTATCAAGAATGACAAGCAGTCCTGCAGGTAAGCTCATACATCCTCACTTTTCTGCGAAATTCGACTGACCCCCTGAATCAAGCTGAGTCTCTCACTGAGCATCATCGCGATGGCTTTCCTCTGACTGGTGTTCAATCGTACGTTGGGGTCGCCTTCTACCTCGAGAGGGACGCCCCCGGGTCGAAGTTGTCGCCGACACCAACTCATGATGAGCATATCTTTGGAAAACATCCCTTGTCGTTGCGGATGGCTCGGATCTTTGCGAAAAGGAACCGCTCTTCCCGGTTGGCTGAAATCCTTGAGCAAAATGTCCCGAAGGGCTGTACCCGAGAGGATTGTCTCTCTAGTGTAACTCCTGTTGATCGGCTGCTCGTCGTAGTGCTCGATTTCGCGGCGCTTTTGTTCTGCAGCCATCCTTGTGCTTTGAGAATCGATCATGACCGGGTCGCTATTCAAAGTGGCAAACGCCTCCTCTGTCCGCCGCAAAACGATGTCCGATACCCATAGATCCAGTCTAATTTAACATCAGCTGTCAGCTCCTGCTCTCTCTTGCGCGCGACGACTAGGCATTTATTAGACTGACCTCCACAGATTTCGAGGATCGTCGAGACCAGGAACTTGCCTGGGGAACATGACGGTCAAGCGACCCGGCTCTTGTTTGACGATAGACCCCACGAAAGCGGGGCCTTGACCAGGTCCGCTCGTCTCGCTCGCATCACTGCTTAATGCATCCTCTTTGTGAACAAACAAGTCGGCATCGTTTGGCGACAAGCCCACAGCCGAACCGGTTCTGCTCAGACAAATATTATCGCTCAGAGTGTTACCCTCTCCTATGATGTCGATTGCGAAACTCACGTCAACCTGTTCCAAACGAACCGCCTGTTCCCCTTTCCGGGAAAAGCGAAGCTCGCGGTCTGGAATCCTCCCATTGTCTGTTTCACCCACGTACCAGCGACGTCGGCTATGCAGAAACCTTGTTGTACCAGTTGCCATTTCGGGGTAGAGCTCAGTCTATTGCTTGCGATCTGGGTTTCGGATTCGAACTCTTTGCGCTGCAGGTTAAGAAACCTGGTTGTAGCGGGGAGTGTCGGGATGACGTCAATACGTGCCCTGGTGTGTCCAGCGGAACCAAGTTTTCTTGCTTACTTTTCGCTATACACCTCGATCGCATCTCGCCAACGATTATCCTTCGAGCTCTTTGCGAGCGCCGGCATGACACGCTGTACGATATCTTTGCCGAACTGTTTTCTGGTCCTGGACGTGGCCCGTTGTCGCCAATCGAACCTGGACGGGAGCGATTTACCATTCCGGCCCAAGCCGTAGGTATAATGCATCTCCAGAGATCCTTTCTTGGAGAATGATTCCGACCGGAACTTCTGGTACAAGTTCTGAGACATCGATGCAGCGTTGAATCGAGGTTCAACCTGTCTCGTCTTGACGTTCGGATGATCCCCCTCGTTCATCTCATCCATCCTATGTTCCAGCTCGGCCAGGTATTCGATATCGTGAGGTTCGAAGAAATGATCATCTGCCCGATGCATCAATGCGTCTTTGACAGGTGATGTACCGGCTTCCATCATCTGAGCTTCAGTCGAACCGAGGTCGAAAAGGTCGAGGTCCGACGAGCTGTCAAATCGGGACAACTCTGCAATGTCGTCTGGCTCTTCAATATCGCCTGCATTGAACGATTTCGAGGAGGGCATTCCAGATGGGGCTTTTCCGCCTGATTTGCGTAGTTTTGAGGTCGATCCGTTCGGACGGCTTTGGGCGATATCTGCGACGACAAGCCCTGGCTTCGCAATGCTATCGACATGGTCGTTCTCAACTCCGCTAGCGTCTTCTTCAGGAGCTTCTTTTATCTGCGCGGCCGTTGAAGCGGTTCGAGAGGTCCTGAAGCTGACGCCAGGATTAAGCTGCCCGGCTGACCGCCGTCGGCCAAGAACCGACAAGCAACTTCGAGATGGAGGTAACCGGTCCCTCAGAGTATGGAATGCTTGACGTCCTGGAGTGGTAGATAGCTTGAGGTTTGTATACCAAACTTCGAGCGCACTCCGAGAGGAGCATAACTGGTAACAAGCAGCTGCTCAGTCAGGTTTCATGAAACTTTACTGAACATGCACATGAGCTCACTCTCGAAGTCATTCGACCGTTGTCGCATCTACTGGCGATATTTCTAGATGAAGATCGTGCTTGTATCAAGATGCCTGGAAGTCGACGATGAGCCTCGAGAGTTTGTGAGACCGTACCGATGACAGCTAGTATGAGTCGTGTTTGCAAGCAACTACCGATGGATGGAGAGTCGCATGGAGTGATATCAAAATCCGTCGACATTCCTCGACCTTGATGTTCGCTGCAAACGGCAATCTGCCCGCGCCGATCGGAACAAAAGGCAAATGAATTACGGCACAATAAGCTTCCGAACACCCCGATCACGTGAACCCTACGCAATAAGATGTCAGGCTCACATCGTACACATACTCTCACCCTTTCGGAAGTAAAAAGAGGTGAGCCCTCCTTCGTCTCATCTCGTCCTGTGTCGCTCTGATTGCCGTTGATTGACCTGATCAAGGTCGATCGAGAGCGGTGGTTCGCCACTCCCCACACATCATCATCAACTCGATCCGACTCTAATACCAACAGACGCATCAGCTCTGGCTGATCTCGTGGCAGCATTTCTCGACAGGCGAGTGTAAAGGTGCAGACCGGTGGGCTTGCGTAAACTTTTCTTGTCCCGCTCTGCTATCGAGAGTTTCGAGACTGATATATCACGACTCGGCGTAGCAGCAGTCATCTGCATACAGTCTTATTCCGACACCATCAGCGATCTTTGTTCGCCTTTAAAGGGTGGCTACCAACGTCAGCTTAGTATGTCGTAGTAATCTGTCGTTTGCTGTCGTTGCTGAATCACCTCGTCCCGTTTCAGTAGGGTGCTTGGCTTCGAACGCGAGATCTGTAAATCGACGATATTTCTCAAGACCTTTGAACACGAGGCAAAGTCATTCATCGATATGTCGGGTGAGAAAACCCAACGTAAGCTTATTCATAATAGTAAAGTGCAAGGCGGTAGTGCTCATCACTGCTTGACCGCCTTTTCAGCGGTTACTCCGCGATACCATGGTCAATCATCAGGTATGAGACCTAACGTCCCTATGGTCGAGGCCCTACATTCTCCTGGATGGTCTCCACCCACGTCCCGGCCAATCCCTGTCTTTCACGAACGACACGGCCCAATGTTCCCTTCCCCTGGTTTCTCGCCGCCTTATCAACCATACATGCCCCACCCGGCACGACATGAGTACCGTCGTTACCCTAATCCAGCTTACGTACCCGGTGCACCTCTCGTACCCTGGCCTCCCCGATCGGAACCACACCATCATCAGCCGAATCCATATGCCTTCTCAGGACCTCGTCAGATCGCTTTCCAATCGCCACCGGAAGACGCACCGCCCCAGTATCATCAAACCTCTCGTCCCAACCTGAATCGTTCCCCAACTCCCGTATCCTTCATCCCCAATGACAGTAAACCAGACTCGACCTGGCCCGATCTCCTCGAGGCGAACAAGACTCCGACAAAAGCTAGCGTACAACGAACTCGTGCAGCGACGACTCAGGTAGAGCGGCCAGTCCACAAGCTACCGGGCCCGGTATACAGGAATGATTCGATCATCAGGAAAGAGGCCGTTGCCAAGCTCATCGCTAGTCGAAGTGGAAGCGAACGCTCCGACAGTCCCGAATCGGAGAGCTGGAGACCAGGATTACCTTTTCGTCCAACTTCGACGTTGAAACTTGCTGCCCAGATGACGTTGATGCCTAGCCCGATGGAGAAGCCTTCCGACGATGATAGACGAGTAGACGCTGTCAGTCTAGGATCACCCATCTCTCGTACCAACAGCGTGTCTTTCGGTATCGAGGGCTGTTCACTAGCTTCGATCAAGTCGTTCGGGGATGGCGTATGGGGGAACGACGATCTTCCCATGCTCAAAGCCAGGTTAAAGAGCGTCGATGTCGTCACTCAAGAGTCGCTCCTCCAGAAGAACGACAGACTTCGACAAGCGACAGCTCCGGCGGATCTAGGCTTCTCGGATGATTTACCCTATACCCCTCTTATGGACAATCCGAACCTCTTTCGATCTCCCTCGGTAGAGTTTGATACACCGGGTTCGGACATCTTACTCACGCCTTACCAGAATACGGACAAGACGAACAAACATAGAAACACTCTCGATATCGATGTGGAAGCGGGGGAAGACTGGCAAGGCAGGCCAAACCAAAGCCGAAGCACTCTGCAAATCGATTTAAATCATGAAGAAGATTGGAAAGACGTAGCTAGAGAAGAGATCAGAGCCTCGATCCGGCAGACAATACTCTCCGAGCTGGACGCATTGGAAGAAATCGGCAATGCCGATGGCGATGAAGAAACAAAGGGTCAACGTGAAACGACGAAATCGACCGAAACGCGTCCCGTGATTCGCGTCCTAAACAGGCTTCTCCGGACGTTTGAAGGAACGGATGTCGAGTGAGTATCGCCCTTTGACTTCCTTTGATTTGCCGCCCTGTCACGCCAGAACACAGCCTGTTGACGCCTCCCATCGCTTGCCGCTGACTATAAGACACGAAACCTCCGAGTCGGAATCGTCTACCCTATCGAGTCCTACTTCTAGCTCGGATCGTACTTCACAGCGCCATCCCGATCCCACATCCTCCCCGACTCCAGAGCACCTCAATCCAACCTGCAATATGCCGATCATGACTGAAGAACACCACGAGGGCAAAGCGCAGGAGAAACAAGATTTGGTAGCGATCCTGCCGCTATCTATTGCTCTTTTATATTCAACTGGTTGACGTCTTTTGCGCAGATTCACAGCACCACCACATTCGCGTCCATCTTGCTGGACGGCGATTCTACCCTAGTGAGACGACGCGCTTGTGAAATGGAAATGCCTCCGTCAAAGGTCAATTAACGATCTATCTTTCCTGCGTGCTAGTTTCATCCCGACCTCATTCAAAGGGGAGCCAAGGGCGGTATGTAAAGAACCGGAAGTTCGGAATGCACAGGCGTTGGCCTGACGCTTGATAGAATATCAGGTCAAGAGGCTGCATACGCCTTGTCCACCAGAGTTTACCACCTATGCTTGGATCGAGCTACTTCCGTGCCGAATTGCTTCACAGTGCAGATCTTTTTCAAGTGAGTCGAGCCGCAATGTTCGCCGCGATGTGATACTGATCAATACCCTTCTCGACACAGTGAAGTATGTCTCTGAGCTATAAACTCCATTGACCGTTTCCTAAAACGTCATCTCGCAGCAAGCGATCGGAACCAGGTTGATCGAGGTGAGCCTCAGTAAATGCGCGGTATCGACCAGCACTTTTAAAACTAAACAACGTCTGTGTTCAGACCGGAGTCATCAAGTCGAGAAAGACCTTGTCCGAGTTTGTTACAGGATTCACTGATAGCCACGGACTCTTTACGTTCATCATGGTCAGCACGAGGCAGCAGGCGGCTGCTAAGATCAAAGGTGAGAAGGTGGCGATATTCTCTTGAGACACATAGCTTGGCTGACTTTTACGCTTCAGAGCACCTGAGGCTCTATGCGAACCTGAAAGTCTGTTCTCTCATACTCTTGGCCTCTAATCAAGTGCGTGCAGAGAGCCTTTCCCTTTCGGTCGACGCTGAAGCTCATGCGCTTCTTAGGCCAAGGAATACGAAGACTTGCTGGTCGATTTCAACGCTGTCGGTCAAGGAGAGAAAATTCACGTAGCACGATCGGCTCCTATAGGGTCACTAGATCCGCTGGACAATGTTATGGGAACCAGGCTTGAAACGATTCCGGGACTATTCAAGATTTCCATCCCTACAGATGCAGCCGGGGAAACGGACGAAATCGCTCAAAGCGAAGCTCCGGATGACGACGAGAGCGAAGCTTCCGACGTGGGCAGTCTCGACTTCACTAGAGCCCCCTCTGGTCTCATCGGGGAACAGACATTGCCTATGGTACCAGCTTCCTTGGCGAGCGAGGATCAGGACGACTTCGTCCCGGTCCTCTCCCGAAAGTCAAAGAAGCTTCCTCTTGGCAATGCCGGCAAGTTCAGCTTCACAGGATCTACGATGAGCGCCAAGTTTGCAAAGACCGTCAGCATTAGCGAGGCCAAGAGGCGAAAGAAGCTCCGTGGCCCTTCCTCCGGCTTTCAGCCTTCTCTAGGACTCGAGTACGACCACGAGGATTACCTCAGTGTCAAACGGTATAACCCGCGACCCTGCCACCGCTTCTACCTTACTAGCGGCTGCAAGAACGGCGCAAAGTGCCATTACGGACACGATTACGATGTAGGCGCCTATTGCCACCTCATGAAAGCAGTACCGGGATCGCTGATCACACTGTCCCAGTTGACTAAAGGGGAAATCAACGCGCTCAAGTCCTTGTCAAAAGAGATGCTCTGTCCGGCTTATGCGATCGGTACCTGTAAGTTGTCGAGGCCGGTGTTTGATAAGCGCGTCGCTGACACCGGGTGCACGCATCAAAGGCAAAGGTACCAGCGAGACGTGCATCTATGGTCACGAATGCCCTCGAAGCTCGTGAGGTTTCGAGTTTCTGGCTTTTCAGAGTAAGGAGACGCTGATTCCCTCCTTGTGTATGTCTTACAGCGAATGTACCTTGTGAGTAAAGGATTCGGCTGAAGTTCGGTCCAAGTCGCTGACCATTTCGAATCGATGCGTATCTGTGCAGCGGAAGCGAAGTGAGTCAAAAATCGATGGGCTATAGTGGGATTTTCAAGCTGACGGCTCTACCCCTCTCGACTTGATAGTGTTGGTTCACTCCTGTCCAAGGTCTTCACGGCAAGAAGGCTCGCAACTAGAATCCTGCCGCTCCACAGTTGGCGTCTCGCGATAAGGCATGGTGCGGCCCAAGTCGATGTATCTATGAAGTACGATTTGCAATCACCGTATCGTCCACTGGTCCAACCATAGTGAGATATGATATGGCATCACGTGTTACAATGCGGATTCATTCCCCCGTAGACTATCGTGAGACAAATTAGAAGCTACCAGAATCCGCGGCAACTTCCTCCTTGCTGCAGCTCGCCTTGTCCCGTATCAGTCTTTCCATAATCTTCCTCCTGCTCTCGAGGATCAACCTTTCCTTTCTCTGTTGCAACGTCATCTTGTCGTCCTGCTCCGCCGCCATCTTGGTGGCCGTCACGTCCACCTCACGCCCTTTGCCCTTGTTCGACCGGGAGATCGCCGCAGATATGCTCGAGACGGTCTGATCCGCTATTCGGTCTCTGAGCTTGTACTTTTCGATCAGCGAAGGGTATTTCGCGGCTCTGATCGATTTGGACGAGGAAGCCGAGCCGGCAAGGGTCGAGTTGGAAGCTTCTGCCTCGGCGCGGGCGGTCTCTTGGGCAATATAAGGATGAACGGGGAAGGTGGCTGGCGGCTGGCGTGATATCAAGAAGAGCTTGTAAGATAGGACGCCGAGATACGACTGTTAAGGATCAGGCCAGACACACCTCGGGCAAGAACCCCCGCTCGAGAATCTCTTCACCGGTCCTCTCTGCCGACCGAGTCCGGCTCAACGAATAGGCGATCGATGTCAGCGAGATGTGTGGAAAGGTTTGGTGCAAGTTCTGAATCTGTGGAACGATTCCATGTGACAATCAGCGGTAGTTTTAAGGCACTGCAAGGAGACGTGGACAACATACCTGTGGACCGGTGATACCCCTCAAAGGGCCCGAAGTTGGCGTGCCATTGTTCGAGACGGGGGACGACGAGTCTTCTGGGAGGATCCGAGAAAGGTAGTTCAACTACGCAAGTCGTGCATAATGGATCGACTACACGTGTGCAACTTACTGGTGGGATAAAAGTACCGGACGGCGAAGAAGATGAGCAGGAGAGCGATGATGATCCCAGGGAGGTCCTCGGTCATCAGGAGGGTTTGGTCCGGGCTGTGCGGAGGGCTGAAAGAGGCGGTGTTTGAACTGAGTCGAGACGTGGTCTGATAGTGTATTGCTCTCAAGGACAGGTCGTGAGGTCTCTCTGACGGTTATGATTGTGCTGACGAGGCTATCAATTGGATATGGATACGGTGATCAGGCAGGAATGAACATGTTGAACGTTATGATTCATCAACGCGAGGACGGTTCGACCGTGACGGGTGTACTTCCGAGCCTACCTGCCGGCATATTACGTGTATATGTAATCGGAAGCTTCGAACTCGCCTTTTTGCTTCCGCTTCATCTCGAGGATGACCGAGCTTCGTGGTTCATGATAAAACCCGGTCGATCAGCGGGGATTGTAGACCCGGAATGCGGCAAGCAGCAAGCAGCAGCAGTAGTGAGCGACGGCGGGCCGTAACTGACAGTGGCAGAAGCTCGGGGGGACTACGATCGACCATGGGTACCCGTGACAGTACATCTGACGTTGTCCGTTCCTTCGGGTCGTCTGCGTGTCTGTTCAAGGCCTCGTAGATCCCCTCCGGTAGGGCTCTCCTCCTATCGACATGATCGACCTACACACACTCGGAGAAGAATAGGCAGCGCCGTCGCAGTGCGCTGCGCATCAAAAGGCTAGTAGAGCGCGCTCGAAGAGGAGGAGATGGGGGGAAATTGAAAGAACGACCCTTCTTTCTCACTAGTTCGTATCGACCTGATATCTTGAAGAACGAGAGAACCCCCCTCCTCATATAGCGGCGAAAATGAACCACCGAACACCCCGAAGATAACGAGGCAGCCCCCACCAATTCGTGTATCGATCGCAAGCCAAAACAGAACGTCGTGTCCGCCTCGCGCGTGCGCCCACTTCGGCCGTTTTTTCGACTTGTGTTTGGCTCCGCGGGTCCGGCTATCGTTCTTTGCCCGATCATCATCTTTCTTTTTTCGACCAGCGCGATCTCGACGTCGTCATGAATCGCGAATGGTAGCAGGACAGGCGGACGGGCGAACAGAAGCGGAAGGAGAGAGGCAGAGACGACCGGAGGGGGGAAGACTAGTGTGAGATCTGTGCAAGGACGGAAATCTATAGGACGTAGGACACGGTGGGCTCTCTTGGGGTGGTCGAGCAGGAGCGCACGAGTGAGACGAGGCGAGCGGTCGGAGGAAGTACGGAATCATCAGTCGTCTGCGAGCGAGGAGGAGGAAGCGATCTCTCTGCCCCGCCTCGGTGTCCGTGTTGCTAAAGGTCGTGCGCTGTCGTCGCCACTACCTCTGTCTGCCCCCCTCCCGTTCCTCTCCGAAGCTGTGACGGTGCGATAAACATCGGTCATCGAGATTTGCGGGCTGGTTTGGATTGCACTTGTATACTCGAGACCATCGACCAGTCTGTATTACACAAGCATCCTCGTTCGAACATCATCAAATTCAGCCTCGAACGCAAACGATTCGGACTTGACGACACAAGTTTCATAATCTCCACGGCTGCCCGCCTCGCCCGCCTGGCTTTCGACTGGTTAACCGCGGCTGAGACCTTTGCTCTTTTGTGCGGATCTCTTCCCCTCTGCCTCTCGTTTTTTTCGACACGCACCCTGGTTAATTGGGCTACGATCCCCGACCCCCGAAGCTCGGGCTGCTCGTCATAGGCAAGCAAGATCGACGGTCTTGATCATCCAGTCCGGTTTCACCTCGGACATTACCATACCAGTACGACGTGTTGCGACACCATCGATTCGACCTCGCACCTCGTAGGATCAGATCGACGACAGCGAGCAACCCAGCCCGCCCGTCCTTACGAGATCCCGGTCAGCAACAGGTAGCAGGCAGCAGGGAGGGGAGAGCCGGGGCGGGATCAAAGTAGCCAATTGATCATCAAAAAACTCGCGCGAGACAGAGAGAGAGAGAGGGAGTGAGAGAGAGGCGCCCTGCTGCTGCTGCTGACGCCCGAAGCTTCTCGACGAACGACGACCCTCTCCCCCCCTGTCCCCTCCTGCCTCCCCCCCTCCCCCCCCTAGCCCGAACCTCGCGACACCCACACCCACACACACTCGCTCGCTCGCAACGATGTACGATCCTATCAAGGATTGCGATACCAACAGCACCGATGGCAGACGACTACCACCTCCACCACCACCTCCTCACCACCATCATCGGCAACACCCTCATCATCATCCTAGCAGCAGCGATATCCACAGTCGCACCGGTGGTCGTGACGCGGCGACCGTGACCTATCCTCCTCCTCCGATGGACCGGTACCCTGCTTATTTGCAGTCCCCGTCCGACTATTCTTCTTCGAGAGGTCCACCGTCGTACTCTCACCACCATCCTCCCATCTCGCCTTCCCAGAATGGTTACCTGCCACACCACCACCATCACCAACAACAGCACTACGATGACAGTCCAGGTCGAGGAGGATCGCCTCAGTCCTCCATCTCGCCCGCCATCAAGTCTCAAAACGGCAGAGGAGGTGGTGGTGCCGGTGACACTTCCCCGCACGGGACTGGCAACAGCGCTTCGTCATCCTCACTCGCCGCTTCAATGAAACCCACTTTGAAACGTAATCAAGCTTGCCTGCAATGTCGCCGTCGCAAGCTCAAATGCGATGCCGCTCGACCGCACTGCAAGACCTGCGTGAGGTCCTACAACCACGCTCTTCGGGGTGCTGATGCGAGCAGGAGGGAACGGATCCGGGAACGTCAACGAGAGAGGGGTGAGGAGGAAGAAAAGGACGATGCCGTGGTAGACGGGGTGGAAGACAAGGACGAACCCTCGGCTGAATCCCTCATCCCGGCCCTCTCTTGTACCTATGAAGATCCCACAGAGATTCAGGCTAAACGACAAGAATCCGCCGCGCTCACTCAGAAAAGGTATGGTCAGCAGATCGGAGCAGCCAGGATTCTCGTCGAGGGGTTAGCTGGAGGGAGCGGGTTGGTGCGCGTGGACAGTTCGGGCGACGAGGTCTGGGAAACGGCGAGGCATCCGGGTGGGAGGAAGAGGAGTGTGGGGAGTCTGATGGGTGGGAGGAATGGAACGCCAGAGTATGGACGAGCTGGGAAGAGGAGGGATACGAGCCAGACGCATGAACAACAGCAATATAATGGTGGAGGGGATGGAAACGGGAGTCTGAGGGCAAGGCCGGGCCATGCGGAACCTCAAGGACAGGCTGTCTTCATCGATCCGGGGCTCGTCAGGGAAGGAGGAGCAGGCTCTGGCTATCCACAGACTTCTCCGGGAAGTACTTCGAGGCGTCCACCACTCCCTATCTCTGAACCCGGTTATCACCCCGGCGGGTATCCGAACCAGCCTCCCATCGACCCGTCCATCTACCCCAATGCATATCCTTATGTCAACCATTCGAACGGCGGCGGCATGTCTCAATCTCTGCCCGGCCGTGGACCACCTTGGGAGCCCATGCCACCCTCCTCGCATAGCGGCTACGATGGTTACAATTCGTCTTACGACCGGTCGTCCCTTATGAAACCCGACTTCGCTCTGGGTCTAGGCTACCCCGGCACCGCTCAAAATTACATCTCTCCCGGTCCACCACCACATATGCTGGACGGTCTTGTCCCTCCTTCATCCCGATCGAACGGACCTCCATTCGCCGAACCGCTCTTGCCCCCGCCTATTTCTTATGGACCGCCAGAGAGCTCGGCGAGAGAATCTCTGCGTGGGGAATCGATTGCCGGTCCAGGGACACACGTTGACGGAGGGAACGGGATGATGAATGGGGCGAACGGGTTGGCCTCGATGGGCTCGATGTCTGGAAGGATGTCGACGTTTCCGGACGAGCCTAACGTTGGAGCTAGTGGCATGTATCACGGTTCGGAGCGCCACAGCCAGAACCACCAAAACAACCGCAACAATCAAAACAATGACAGCAATGTCAGGATGGCTCCGCCCTTTGACGTCAGTCAATTGGACCCCCACTTGAGTCGGAATGTGAGGGAAGAGCCGGGATGGAACGGACGTGAGTCGGTACCAGGGGCGATGCCTCAACAGCTAGTAAACGGTGAGGCCGAAGAGAATGCTCATTTGAAGAGCAAGATCGGTGAGTTGTAATAGTCCTCCCTTTTTGGCTCTACGCCCATACCGTATCGTACCGTACCGTTACGAAGAATATCCATCTTATGCCATCATTCACTCAACTTTGCGCTTCGCGATCGTGTAATAGCCTGGTTGGAAGCGGGATTGAAGCGAGACGGCTCTCACCCTTCTCGAGGCGCACCTAGCATCGGTTCGGTCGATCCGAGATCTACTTCTAGTAGCCGGGTGGAAAGCGTGACCGGCATCTCTAACGGGACGTCTCAGACAGGGGGTCCTGAGGACGGAAACATGCTGGCCTTGTTGTCTCAGGCGATTGATCAATCGGGTTACGAACCCGTCACCGGGCATACTGCGCCCAACGGTCAGCGGAAACGCAATCTTGACGTGGGCCCTACGTTTCCCGGCATCGTTACCCCTTTGAAACCGAATACGATCTTCGAGATCGCACCTGCCGAGTCGTGGGCGACAACGATCGATTCGAGCCGGGCTCGGACGCTCGCCAATATCTTGAACGAGACGAACGACGTCGACATGAGCGATGTGAAACCTTTTGAGTTGTCAGGATCGGATGGGATGGTGGGAGGTCATGGCGAGGAGAATTCGCAGGCGGACGCCGAGCCCGTCTTGTGGGACCTGTTGTGGCCCGGCTGGAACAAGAACTTGCCCAACCCAGAGCTCATGGACCACATGTACGTTTCCGGCCCTCCTTCGGAGATGTGTTGTCCTTTGACATTGACGGTCCACGTCTTTCGCTTCCAGCATCGAGGTCTTCTTCCACCACGTGCCGACGGTGACGAGGCTGTTCCACTACGACACCTTCAAAGCGAGGATGGCTCTACCCGCTACGCACAAGGACTTTCCTAACGTTGCCGTGCTTCACGGGATTTGTGCGGCCTCGGCGCGATATACCGCTCGGGTGTTTACCTGCAATCCAGAGGATGAGCCTTGGCTACGAGCCGGGGAACACGTCGAGGATCCGCAACGAGAAGAAGACTTTGGGATTCGACACCAGCTCTTTGCCTGGCAAGCGATCAATACACAATTGAATCGGGGTGTACGTATCTACGAGAGCGCTCAGGCCCTGATCCTCCTCGCAAATCATCATCACATGTACGCGAGGTGGGCCGAAGGATGGGTTTGTATCGGGCTCGCTGCCCGGCTCATGCCTCCTCTGGGACTCGGGATGAGAGAGCGGGCGAACGCCGGGACAGGGCCGGCAGGGAAGGGTCCTTTCCTGTCGCCATCCCTTAACGGCATAGAGAGGGAGGAGAGGCGCGCGTTATTCTGGGCATCCGTCCTGTATGACATACAGATCAGCGCCAGTTCAGGTTGGGCGGGTATCCTTCAGCAAGACGAGATCGTGGGTGACGTCTTGGCTTGGGAAGTTTGTTTAGAGACCTCGTTGACACGTCTCGTCTTCACTCACAGTTCGTACCGTTGCCAGCTAGCCTGGAAGCTTTTGAGGCTGGTGCTACCCAAGACGTCCCAGAAAGTGATCAAACGCTGCACAGCCCGGATCTGTGGTCCAGGTCAGTCCATCATATGCAGCTATAAAAAAGAGTCTGCGCTAAGACCGGTGTCACAAACAGGCATCCTGCTTGTGACGGTTTCGTCTTCCACGTCAAAGCCATGTGCCTGTTTCATCGTGTCAACAAATTTATACGACTTCTTAAAGCCAAACGTAGCATTGGAGGTGCAGAGGTCGACGCGAGGGCGACCAAGGAGTTCCAGGATCTAGACACCTCGATCGCCACTTTCCTGTAAGCGTTGCGAATCGGAACCTCGCCAGTAGTGTGTCTATGGCTAAACTGTCCACCTTTCAGCCTCACATTTCCCACGGAATTACGCGACCCGCTGACCCCTTGTAGCGGTAAAATCAAGAAGCCGATAGATGTGGACCTATTCGTGAGTGTTTCCGATTTCGTTTCTCTGGTTGATCGATTTTGCTGACGGCGAGCTTTTCACTCCGGACGCGCCAGACCTCTCGAGTGGTATGTACATACTGTATACATGACTCCAGCTGCAAACTGAAACTTACAATGCCTACATATACCCCCCGATTGCAGGTACTTTACCAGGCGCAGACTTTCCTCCATGAGCCCTTCGCCAACCTTGACATTGCGGACGATCCTTCCAACCAACGTCTGTTGGATTCATCTCGAAGCATTCTGAAGATGATCTTTGCGATCACTTCGACCTGCTTGGATCTGTCCTTGATCTCTCGGGCGGATTTCGGCCTTCACACGGCAGCAAGGACGTTGGTCCTCTTTCTGAGACATGCCGTACGCACGGGCGATACTTCAGCCGGAACAGTGGAACAGTTGAGGAGCGAAGTCGAGGTATTCCGTCTGGCATTTATCGCACATGGCAAGAGGTGAGAACTGAGTGATCAAAATGGAGCGTATCGAGCATACGCTGAATTCTACTATTTAGATTCCCTATCGGTCTCCGTCACACCAAAGTCTTGGAGGCGATGCTCGCTGGCTGTGCAAAGGAGGAACCTCCTGCCACGAACGGCCAACTTGCCATCGAACCCGCGCACTCACAAAGCCCGGCAGACGCCAAGATGGGCTTTGATGGCCTCGATTCCCTGAGCGAACGGTCTGTCGATTCGACCAAGATCCCAGGCTTGGAATCGATGATCCCACCAGCTTCGACCAGATCCGAGCCTATCGCTCTTGAATCCCCTGTGGTTTCAATCGTCACGCCTCTGAGTAACGGCAACCAGCACAACGGCCGACCCGTGAAAAAGGAACCTGTCATGCGTCTGGACACCAAACACGAGTCGGCAGACATCTCACAGAACGACGTCCAAGTCGTGACGAACAACGGGATCGCCTACAAACGCACCGTCTCATCTTCGCCTATCATCCAGGCATAAACAGTCTGGACACGACTGCACGAGTGAACAATAGTATATACACAACACGTCTTGTTCGCTCTTAATGATATCGAATCCTCGCACCGTTACAACTTATATTACTCCACCAGTCTTGTATCCTTATGTAGCTGATCCCAAGCCACGTCCACCTGTGTATCGATCGATCTTTTCACCATATTGACAGAGAGCGATTCACTAGCTTCACTAGCAACGAGACAGGTCTTGCGCGTGTCTCGACGATTTAGGGTTTTGCGGCTGCGCGACCGATCAAGCAGCAAGCAGCTAAGCAGCTAAGCCTCGAGAACAGTGTCGTACGCATGTACGCATCTATCATACCATCTGTGAAAACATCCACATAACCTGAGACCTGCAATCTCGGATCGTCAGATAAAGCTTGAGATCGAGTGCAACTGCAATAGCCTATTTGCTAGGGTTCTTCAACGACCGATACCGACCTCGCCGACGTCACACGCATCCACCTGATGAGACAATAAAGATCCTCCAGCGAGTCAAGGTACACACCTACGACCGGAATCTGACATCCCTACTCTCCTCTTGCTAAATGCATGCATCCTCAGGGCCTCCTCGGCCGCCTGGCATTTGGCAACAACAACCGAATCGACCGGCCGGACCTCCTGGCATGCCTAGCGGGTTCGCTTTGGGAGACATCAAGCCTGGCGAGAGGATGCCGATGCATTTGGCAACATCGAGACCTCCCAATGGAGCCTCATCAGGCTCTGTGCAACCTGGACAGGTCTTTCGACATCCAGGTTACAATGCTCCCGACCACAACGCTTCCCCTGGTCCTGGACCTAGATCGACGTCCAACCCGATCCGTCCAGGAATGATGGGTCAGATGGTCCCTCCTTTCCATGCAAACCCGGGAAACGCCTCGTATCGCCCCACCCTCGCACCTGGCGGAGGACCATATCCTGTCATCCGACCGATGAACCAGGGGTATCCAGCAGCCGGGGCTCTGAACGGCGGATATATGCCTCAACCTCGCTCAGTGACGGCACCCCTACAGGCCAGGGCACCAGGGCCGCAGCGATATGAATTGCATGACCGGGTTTCTACCCACTCTACGAGATCTTCAGCTTCGGAGAATAGTCGCTACGGGGGACGACCTGATGGTTCCCCGCCTCTCCCTTTTCCGGGAGATTCACGTTCTACCTCTATCAGGACGCCTCCACCAGCGGAAGACCCTCGATTTAGTGGCCGGTCAGACACTTCGGCAGGGGCTCGAGGGTCTGCGCAAGGCGGTCGAAGCGATAGCGTGTCCTCCTCGTCCGTCGGAGCCAATGGTATAGGCGTAAGCGCAAACGGTAGCTCAGGGGGGAGGAATCCTCTGGCAGAATTGATGGAGAGCGAAAAGCTATTTGTCGAGCGGTTGGGTCTGATCGTTCGAGTCAGTGTTTCCGGGTTACACCTACCTTCGATGCGAGCTTAGCGGCATAACTGCTTGTCTTCTCATATCAGAAAGTAGCGGCTGCTTGGTCTCGGTCGAATCTACCTCCACCTGCTCTCGACAAGATGTTCAGAGCCATCGAAGGGGTCTACAAATGCAGTCGCAGCTTTGTTTCGGTGAGAGGATTTGCGAGCTGATCATCTATACGCAGGAGCTCATCGCCTATCGCTATAACAGAGGCTCGAGGAGATTGGCTCGTCGTCCAGTTCACCCAAAGCCATAGGTGACCTCCTGATTCAATGGGTAAGCTTTACATAGGGTCTCTTCCGTTGATTGACAGTCACTGATACATGCCTTGTTGCTACAGATTGACGACCTCTCCACCCCCTACGAGAAATACGCCGACAGTCTGATGGTCAACTTCAACTCGCACCCAGCCATCCTCTCCAATCCCAACCTCTCCAGAATACTCTCGGAGTTGACTCTATCTCATCCACCACCTATGAACACGTCGGTTCCCACAAGCTCCGCAGCGCAGACGAATCCTCCCTGGACGATAGACTTGTTCTTCGTATTACCACTGGATCGACTTCAATACTACCGCAAGCTCTACGACAGACTGTTAAAGAGCACTCGCGAAGGCAAGAGTGATTGGAAGCTCCTCAAGCGGAGTTGTGAACGACTAGAGGTGCTCGTGGAAGGGGTCGAGGAACGCCTGAACTATGATGTCAACAATCCTCTCTCTCGAGCGGGTTCGAGCAACGGCTTGGACAGCAGGACATCACTAGCGACGTCGATGGCCGCTAGTTCAGCCGATAACCACGCGTGAGTCGTATGCTGGAAGCATTCATTTCATGCGCTCTGTAAACTGAAGTTACATCACCGTATCTTTCAGCTTCTCCTCCTCGACCGGATCCTATCCCTCGCCTCCACAATACTCGTCTGCGTCGGATCAACGAATATCCGACATGAATCTCATGGAAAAGCCGCCAATCTCAGCATCAGTTCAGAAGTCGATAAGATCCTTGACACCAGTTGAACGACCGAGTCAAGCGCCGTTGACAGATCTCGAAGTCCGCCTTGACACAAGTCGCGCCATCGATCTCTTTAGTATGCGACCAAAGGTAAGCTGGGGTTTAGAGCCGCGACATGGTGTACTGCTGGCTGAACTGTGACAAATCCTAAATCAGCAATGCCGACTTCAAATCGCGCCCCCCACGCTCACATTCAAGCGAGAGCAGAGAAGAGCGGTAGACTGTGTCATCTCGTTCACGCCGAGCTCGACGCGCCAGGAAGTCGTTCATCAACGCGCTCAGATTATCGTCCTCAGCGATCTGTTCCTGATGTGCGAACACATGACAGCTACGGAAAAGGCCTCGATGGTACAAGAAGTACTGTCGCGGTATCCAGAGCGGGCTGGTGATGGATCCCCGTTCCCGGAGATGTGGCTCTGTTACCCGCCACTGGCAGGTCGACACCTGACTGTGGTGACGGGCGGGATGGAAACCGAGTTGGTGGTCGGTGTTATGGGAAAGGAGAGGTTCTTGGTAGAATTCGAATCTCGAGAAATCCGTGATGAAGTCAAGGATGACCTCGAAGCATGTATCGACTTCGCTTCGCAAGGTGAGTCTCCGCGTTCATAGTATGTCAAATGCACTTAGATCTCAGGTCGAACTGATGGCCATCCCCCCCCATAGTCAATAAGCCTTCTCAGACCCGCAGCAAGCCGCCGTCTCCTAGACCCGACCGGCAGCTGCCAACATCGGATGTAGACCGCGGAATGTCAGTCCGATCGCTCGACGCGGTCCTCCCATCGTTGCCATCTACGCATAGTCTACCAGACCAAAGGCCTCGCATCGACATCAATCAAGCCAATCAAATGGCACCTCCACCTCGTAACGCGAGTCTACGATCACCCGTCATGAACGGGCCTGGACCGCGCCCCTTCGCTGGGGATCCCAATGGAGCGGGATATTATACACCTTCCCCACCTCTGCCCTACAATCCAGGACATATGATGGATCAGAGCCAGTACCTGCCAATGAACCCTCATCATCACAGTTCCGCGCCCCCTCCACGTTCTGCGCCGATACTGGCTCAGAATGGGACCCTGATGACGGGTATGCCTCCTCCATCACGGTCGCACGATGGCCATTCCCGTACGATGCCTGGAGACCCATCAGAGCAACAGCAGGCAAACGGATCAGCTTACATGCAGCAGCTTCGCCATGCCCAATCTACAGATGGGCTGCGTCCCCGTCGTCCATCTCCTCATCACTTAAACATTCCCTCCCCAATTGAGCGCGGTGGGTATGACGAGGAAGATGACTCACCGATCTCTCCAGTGAATCCGGAGCCTCCGCGTGATGCAGGCCCCGCAGTGATATCTGCGCAGATGAAATGCAAGGTCTTCCTCAAGCAAAGTCATCAGCAATGGAAAGCTCTCGGCAGCGCGCGGCTCAAGCTCTATGTCCAGACCAGTACCAACATCAAGCAACTGGTCGTCGAGTCGGACAGCAAGGACAAGACTATGTTGATTTCGACCATTGTCCTCACCGATGGGGTAGAGCGCGTCGCCAAGACGGGCGTGGCGATTGAGATCAGCGATATCAGCGGGGCCCGTACAGGGATCATCTACATGATACAGTTGCGGAACGAAGATAGCGCAGGGGGGCTGTTTGATAGTTTGATCGCTGGGTCAGATCGAGCGGTCAATAACAGCGTCCATCGTAAGGGGCGATAATCGATATCCGACTCTAGGGTCCGGGTTTCTTTCGATATGTTTATGACACCAAATAATGAAACATGACGAGGTTTTCTTCACGATTTGCCAAATTGTATCGCCTCTGCTCGAACACATCAGGGCTAGGGATATCTCATTTTCATGACTGCCCCGTTTATCGTTCACACCACAGGAAGGGTTCTGATATAACGACATACTACTGACGGTATAGCATATTAATGCCTGAACGCATTATGTCAAGCTGTGTACAGATTACAGTCCGTACGACCGTGCACATCAAGGACTGTCTGTGGCGCAATCTGGCAGCGTTGTATGTTGTCTGATGCCACCATCAATCCGTTGACAGCCGATTTAGTACAGTCCGTTCTGACTCTGGCAGATATTACGAGAGGGCTGAGCGAACGTAAGATCACAGTCCGCCACGACAAGCCTCCATGCAAGGGGGGAAATTCAGGTCGAAAGTCTGCCTCTAGAGATCTTGATGATTCTCGCCATCCCGAATAATTCTCTGAAGTTTCGAAGTGATTGACGGTGCCATTATACGATCAATCTTCTGCACGGCGGCAACAGTTATCATCATTATCTGCAGAGGCAGAATGTCAATTATACCTAGTGATGAGACAAATTCACCAAGCGCAATTTAGCACTGAAAGAGCTCTGTTTGTCTTACGCCTCGACAGCCTTGGTGCTCTCTGCCGACCTTTCGGGTGAACAGACAATCTTCTCTTCAATCTTCTCCTCGATGATTGACAGCTTGCCGGAAGTTCTGGCACCCTCGCCCCAACACCGCCATCGTCGCACAAGTTATGCGCCTCAACGATTGACCGGAAGCAGATTTACCTCCGGTCGCTGCCTTCCGCCGAGCGCCGCCCGTACGTGATGACGACAGCTTGTTTCCTGTTTCCTTTGACATTCCTCAATTCCTCATATCGCACGTCCTCTCATTTGACAAAACTAGCTCCACTGCCGAGCAGGTCAAGTTACTCGACTTCGATCACGACAGGAGTCTCCGTGTCACAAGCCATGTCCGATAACCACCAAGCTCCTCCCACTCAACCTCCAGCTGAAGCTACGCAGACGGATCCGCCCATTCAAGCTCAACCTACACCTCCTCGGCAGATTGATGAGAACACGGATTTGAAAACGTTGACGGATGAGGAGATCAAGCAGCTGAATGAGATGGCCGAACAGAGTGCCATGAAGGTGCAGGATGAGAGGGTGAGTCGAGGGAATATCATGAGCCGTATCGGCAAGCGTCACCTAATTAGTTGTCAACGTGTCGCAACAGCCGCTTGTATCCTTTCCCACACCACTCTCCCTGATCAAGGCCGAATTTGACGATCCTTCAACTCCCTCTCAAAATGTCAGGCGTAAAGTGGACAAGCTAGAAAAGGACGGGTGGGACATGGTCTGGCGAACGAGAGGAGATGGGGACTGTTTCTACCGATGTGAGTAAGAGGAAGGACAGCGACCCGGTCTTTGCTTGAGCATCGTTCGGGGGCTGAATTTCGTCCGCATACGAAAGCTTTCATCCTGGCATATCTCTTACGAATCCTACATTCGGAAAGCCCTCAATTACAAGCCAACCTTGCGTTCTCGAACATCCAATCGGCACTGCCATCGTTCGAAAAGGCAGGATTTCAGTTGGATCTAGTAAGCCCGCACCTCGAGGCCAGATTCTCAAAGTACATAGGAGCTGATCGCTCTGTGTGTGTGTGTATGTAGCTTGAAGACTTTCTGGAACCTCTGCTGGAACAATTGAAAAAGTTTGAGGATCAGGCTACTTCGCCTACTGAGCATGAGATTGTGACGGTTTTGCAAAATTCGGAATCGAGTCAGAGCATGGTGAGTTGATGGTGTCGAGATTTGATTAGCTTCGCATGTCACATTGACGCTATGCCATCTGTTGCTCGATTTGCAGATCGTCGCAAGTCGCTGAAGCACCCTTTTCGAATATGAAACCTGTCTGACTTGCACGAACTTCTAGGTTCTCCGATACTTTACCTCGGCCTACATCCGTATCAATTCGGAAACCTTCGCTCCCTTTCTCATGCACCCCGAAAACTTTGAGCCCATGGATCCGGCCGACTTTTGCTCGGCATGGGTAGAACCGACTGGGAAAGAGGCTGATCAGGTAATGATCCAAGCACTCGCCCGATGCCTGAGACAAGGCATCAAGGTGTGTTACCTCGATGGGAGTAGCAGTCAAGAAGACGAAGGGGGTGCGAGCTTTGTGGATTTCGAGATCGAAGAAGGACAAGGGGTCGGGGAGGAGCCGTTGATGTTGCTTTATCGACCTGGTCATTACGACGTACTCGCGCCGCTCGCCACACCGTCCTCGAAATAGTTGCCGCCAACGTTGCTGTATACCGTATTCGAATCATAGATATACCATCGTCCGTCCCGGAATGGTCGTCCGGTCTCTGGTCATGTCACGTTATCGGACCAACGCGCCGGCGGCGCGTGCCTGCCCAAGCGAGCGAGCGGGAGGATCCCGGGAAAGGGAGATTGCGAACAAACTCTTTTTGTTTTCCAGGACGCCGAGGCGACGAAAACGCAAACCCTTGTGACAACTTTCCATCTTGCATGTTCAAGACAGCTGGCTCGTCTTGCTACGCATGTTACACAGCGCGAAATCCGATTCGAAACAACTCTAGCGTCGAAATAGCCACCAGAAGGCGGTCCGGCAGTCTCAGTCGTCAACTCTCAACTCGGCCATCAAAACGTTTCTTTCGCATTTGAGCAGGAGCTGCGAGTTTTGATCAAACGCTGTCTGGTGAACTGGTAAGACGATTCGCCCTTTGAACTTTCAACCTAGCACCCTGTCACGGTCTTAACTTTGGACCTCGTGCATAATCCGAGACAGCAAATAGCAACGTCCGCCTCTCTCGGCCGAGTCTCGGGACATCAAGCAAGGGATCATCGACTTTGAGTCCATCGGGTCTCGAATCATCAAACGGGTTTCTCTTCCCTTTGTCTTCGCTGCTCCCAAAGGCACCCTTCTCCCTACCACATCCATCGGGTGGAGTCTCAGCGTTGGATTACCCTCTCGAAGCTCACCATACCCAACCGACCTCGCCCTTTATACCGAACGAACAAACTCCAACAACATGGTCACCTTGTCAGATGCCGGGGTCTCTAACGACCGTGATACAACGACAGTTCAAACAAAGGACCACTACCTCATCAAGAGCACACATCAACTCAATCCATCTCAACCAAGTACCGCCGGTAATAGCAATAACAACCCACCGCTCGTTGCACCGCGTCATCTAATGGACGTACCCGAAGGTGAGGTCGTGCAGCTGGACGACCCCCCTCGAACCCCCCTTTCCCCGACAACAACGGTCGACCACCCCCACCACCACCAAGAAGTCCCGTTCCCCATCAATCATCCAGATCACGGTATCGAAATCGTCGACAGTCCTGATTCAATCAAGGATACCTTTCCTTCCCCCGGGCTCGCACCTCCTTACCCTACCGCATCTTCGTCGACGGCACTCTATCAGAATCATCCGTTTGGTAACCCATCGATTGTCCGACCATCGACATCACGACGCACCTCGAACGCTTCATCGGTACATCCTAGCGTGTACCACTCCCCGCGTATCGCTCCACGGTCCCCATCCGGTACTGGTTCGCCTGCAGGGTCTCGCCCACCTTCTCGAGCACCCAGTTTGGGAAGCCATCATGCGTTGAACGCTGGTCTATCAGGTCGGGCCCGTTCCCTGTCCAATCAGTCACAATCGGGATCCTCGACCTCTGGACCAAGAGGTGCCAACGTCTCGCGACGTTCCTCCGCAGCGGGAGGCGGGTGGCGGCAGTCGTTCTCTGGGGGACTTCGAGCTCGACCACCATCGACTTTGATCCCCGCTCCGGGACACGAGTCGGAGACCATCCCGCCTTCTTCTGATGGCAGCGATAGTTTCCAACAGGACACCATCAAAGGGTCGCTTCTACCGGCCGCTAGCTTAAGGGGACCATCCCCGTCTCCTCGACCTCGGAGTCCTCATGCCGTCATCATCAAAGACTTTGCCTACACGGCTCAGGACGATCGTTTCGTTGGCGTCTACCCATCTTCAGGTGGTTCCCAGCCTGCCAGCCGAGCGTCTTCCGAGGCGGGAGACCTGTTTTTCTCTTCAGGTCTACCGAGCGGTCTGGGTCGATCAGGATCAAAGGGTGGATCGGGAAACCGGAGAAAGAGCTCGTTCGGAGGCTGGGGAGGGTTCTTTGGGGGTTGGAGGCGAGGTTCGGCTCAGGGAAGCGGGTTGGGTTTGGGCAATCTGACCAAGGTGGATACGGACGTCGATCTCAGTAGCGACTTGACGCCCAGCTCGTCATTTACCGAGGAAGGCAAGTCGCCGCTCATCGGGATCGCCCGGGATGAGAATGGAGAGCGGCATCACCACGACGTCTGGGAAGACGAGGATGTCTCGGGGGATGGAGAGCTAGAGGGAGAAGAGGATATCGGTCCAGAACCCGTCGGGCGATATCGTGTAGCCTACGCATTCGAAGGGCTGGGCGGACACGAGATGAACGTCGAGGAAGGCGACATGCTCGACGTCAAAGGTCGAGGGGGAGGTGTAGGATGGGTCATTGCTGTTCGGCTCAGGGCTGCACATAGTTCGGAAGAGTTGATGGAAGGACTCGTACCGGAGAGTTATTTGGAGGTCGCAGACTCATAAACGAGTCGTACACATGTATATTAGCGCATGTACCAGATTGGCGCATCAAGCGGGCATACATGCGCGCATCGGCATCCGAAAGCTTGTTACGGAGTGTATTTTGTATGCTACAGTCAAACTGGAGTCGTTTTGCTGGTTTGCTGTGACCCATCTACGACCCCGAGAAGATGTGCTAGTTGAACTCAGCGGACATCGGGAATAGGATCAATGTCCGCGTGGTCACGCTCAGCGCGGGGGCCTGGGCGTCTGGGGTGGTCAGTCGTCAGCGTCGCATCGATCACCATATCACCATCTTGTTGGTGCCTATCGTCACCAATTGTAGCCCGACCTCGACGACTCATAGACTTTTTCTATTTCATCGAGATCTACAGGTCACCTGCACTTGCTCTTTCTTTCCACCATATATAGCTAGGAGGCATCACGCAGGTAGCCGAACCGACCAGATTCGGTGACACCGGACATACCCGATCGACCCATTCCTAGTGAAACTGTGGCGATCGACCGATATGCGATACGAAACCTTCGCCTTCAGCCTGCTCGCTGTGCTGAGCATCGCCTCTGCCAGCGAACAGCAGTACGGGCAAGGCCTATATGCTCGAACGGTGTCAACTAAGTACAGCCAATCCACTCGTGCTACTACGTGGATAAACTCGTCGGTGAGCGGCCGATATGTGTCGACGCGAGGCAAGAGTAAGCTGAGCTGACCTTCTTCCCTCTCCCTCTTAGCTCACCGCTCCCAACAAGAGGCGTAAGTGATTCTCGTCATGTATATCCTGGACGGCTTAGCTCATTGAATGTGACGTTCTGCTTCTAGCTGCAGAATGCCCTCCATGCTTCAACTGCCTTTTGCCCGCCTTCAATTGCGCTCAAGTAAGCGCATCAAGTTTCGGCCAGTACATCGTGGCTAGAGACTGAACTATCATAATATTTTCAGTTCGGGGAGTGTAACGCTTACGACGGTCAATGTCATTGTCCTGATGGGTGGGGTGGAATCGACTGCTTGACGCCGCGTAAGTGAAGAAGACCCTTATCCTATCGTTGACATAAAGGGAAGATGCTGATTGCTTCCTTGCGTGGTATTTCAGTATGTGGCTCTCTTGCTGATGCAGATGCGAGGTACCCTCGACCCGAAGGCGAGCTGTGTCAATGCCAAGACGGATGGGGCGGCATCAATTGTAACGGTAAGTACCTTAGCGTCTAGGTCACAGCTAGATGTATCCTAATCAACCAGGATCTTATCGTAGTTTGCGAGAACGACAAGGCTTGTGCTGCATTCCAGCCTCGGTTCCCAGATGACGAAACGAACCGAGGAGGCGAGGATACTGAGCGTGAATCGGAAATGGTCTGCTACAAGGGTGGTCTCGCAGTCCAGCAGAACTACCAAATGTGTGATGTGACCAGTAAGCACTGATCGACCTTCGGCAGTCCGTTCTCACTGTGGCTATTTCTGACATCCTATATCGTCAATCAGACCGAAAGATTATCGATACCATCCCCAACCAGAAGAAACCCCAAGTCACATTTTCATGCAAGAAGGGCCCTACCAGCAACATGAGCCTCGATGCAAGCTCTTCAGATCACAGGCAACCCCTTTTCGCCCCGTTTGATAACAACATGGAGCCCGATGTCAACAGTGCCAAGGACGATGTCGACGGCACCTGTTCGTTCCAGTTCTGGGTCGACTCGATCGAGAGCTTTTACTGCAAGTTGGACGGTTGCGGATGGGAAGGCAGGGGCAGTGCGAGTACGTGTCAAACGAAAGTTCCGCTCACACCTTGGAGTCTGACGCTTTCGTCCTCTCGAAAGACACCAACAAGACCAACTATCAATGCAAGACTATCGAATGTGCTTGTGTAGCAGACCGTTTCCTCTGTGGACAAGACGGCAGCGTTAGTAAGTACCTTACGAGGCTCTCGTCAATATCTGTTTGAACGTCTCATCCCATCAATTGGCGCTGCGTTTCAGACATTGACGATTTTCTGGTAGAAGAAGTCAAGGGGCCCGCTACTTTCCAGTGTGAAAGCGGCAAAGGCTGTTCATTCAGCGAACCGGCTATGGATCAATTGATCAATGACATCTTTGGAGACGATTCGATCACACTCAACTGTGATAGTGGCGAATGCATGCATTATACTCAAGTGCCTGGTTACGAGGTAGGTCGTCAAGCATGCCTGAGCATAACGAGTTGTATGAAGAGGTTCAAGAAATTTGTTGTATCTACAGGCTCCTGAGGCGCCAAACAACAAGGTCTGGGTTGGTCTCAGCGCTGCCAGTGCGGCTCTCGTGTTTTTGCTAGCTGCTTTCCGTGAGTCGCTTTATCGAAAACCTGATGGCTGATAGCTGATGCGTTGTTATACACAGTGATGTGGTATTTTGGTCGCTCCAAGAAGCACCCGAGGGGCTTCGGCGATGTACAACTACCTTCCGACGAAGCTTCCAAGTTGATGGCCGACCATATTCCCGCCACGCTTCACTTCGAGAGCGTGTCCTACGCCATCAATAACAAGGCCGTCTTGACCGATGTTAGCGGTTCGGTTGCTCCCGGTCAGCTCATGGCTATCCTCGGTTCCTCGGGGGCAGGCAAATCTACATTCCTGGACATTCTCGCCCGAAAGGACAAGCGAGGTCGAGTGGGAGGTCAGCTGTACATCAATGGCAGGACCATCGACGACAACGAGCTATACAAGCGGGTTGTAGGTTTCGTAGACCAAGAAGATACCCTCATGTCCACCTTGACGGTCTACGAGACTGTGCTCTACTCAGCCGTATTAAGGTTGCCAAAGGATATGAGTATCGAAGCCAAAAAGTTTCGCACTCTGGAGACAATGCAAGAGCTCGGGATACTTGGTATCAAAGACTCGCGGATTGGGGAATCGGGGAAACGGTCGATTTCTGGCGGAGAAAAGCGGCGTGTCTCGATCGCTTGCGAGCTCGTTACGAGCCCCTCTATCCTGTTTTTGGATGAGCCCACCAGCGGTAAGTCCTGCCGGTCGAAACTTATCAGATGACTCTCCAGCGCTAAACACATTGCCAATATTTAGGGCTGGATTCATACAACGCCTACAATGTAATCGAGTCTCTGACCACCTTGGCGAAGCAGTACAACAGGACTGTCGTATTCACCATCCATCAGCCCCAGAGCAACATTACATCGATGTTCGACAGGATGATACTGCTATCAAAGGGCCGTGTGGTTTATTCGGGAGACTTCAAACGCTGCCAGGAGCACTTTGCCACACTTGGCTACGAGTGTCCTCCAGGCTACAACATAGCGGATTATCTAAGTAAGCTCGTGTACGTTACGCATGCCAGATCTCCGCACTGATGCGCTTCATTCACACCAGTCGACGTTACGACCAAGGCAGCCGGTGATCATAGGTCTGACCGAGGACAAGTAGCGGAAGAGGAGAGCAATATGGGCACCGCGGGTAGTTACGCAGACAACGACACTAGTGGCAGTTCGTCATTCTTCGGAAAAATCAAGACCAAAGGGGCAGAGCTCACCTCCGCGCTACAATCGAACTCTCGGGACGAGGATGTGATTGTTCCCCCATTGCCGGAAAAACTCGCACGTTTGGTCAATGGATACAAAGCGAGCGATCAAGCCAAGATCACCGAGGCAGAACTACATCGACTCCACCATGGGGTTCGGCTTGACGGTGTTCACGAAGTCACATCAGAGACAACACCTTTCCGTACTTACAAGAGAGCCTCCTGGGGCACACAGTTTATTACTCTGAGTGGCAGGGCGTTCAAGAACCTGTATCGGTGAGTCTTTCTTTGGCGGGATGAATATACACGAATTAACGAACCTTGCTAATGGCCGGTTCTGTAACGACACAGAAACCCTCTATTGATGGCAGCGCATTACGTTGTCGCGATCGTTGTCGCCCGTGAGTCTCAGGAATTTCAGTGATTAACCATGTCGGTGCTGAACTCCAACCGAATTTCGCAGTATTCTGCGGCTTCTTCTTTTATCACGTCACAAATGACATTCCCGGCTTCCAAAACAGACTGGGTCTGTTCTTCTTCATCTTGTCGCTGTTCGGCTTCTCTTGTCTGTCGTCGGTGGGGGTCTTTGCGAACGAAAGAATTCTGTTCATGCGAGAGAGGTATGTCATCAAGCATGATTGAATCCGAAACCATCGCTCACAAGTCTCGCATGCTTTTAGAGCGAATGGCTACTACTCGCCATTCATTTATTTCGTCTCCAAGGTTCTGTTCGACACGTTGCCTTTGCGAGTCATTCCACCATTTGTGCTGGGATCCATTGTTTATGGTCTAGCGGGATTGAACCCAGAAGTTTCGTGCTTCTGGAAATTCATCTTGACTCTGGTGCTGTACAATTTGACGGCATCGAGCGTAGTGCTCTTCCTGAGCATTGCAATCGCCGACACCGGCGTTGCTAACCTCATGGGTAGCTTGGTCATGCTCTACAAGTGAGTTCGGATAACGCATTGTGGTCCTAAAAATTGCTGACAACAGTTCCGGTTGCGTTAGTCTGCTTTTTGCCGGTTTGCTCATGAACTACGACCGCGTGCCCAAGGGACTGCGCTGGATGCAAACCACTTCTTTCTTTCATGCAGCTTACGAGGCGTTGCTCGTCAACGAACTGCGATACTTGCAGTTGGTCGAACACAAAGTGAGTTTTGTCATTCTCCAGCAAGCGAAATGATGCACAAACCTATTTTGTTGCGTCACAGTTCGGGCTTGACATCCAAGTACCTTCAGCAACCATCTTGTCATCCTTTGGATTCCACGCGCAGGCGTTCTGGTGGCCCGATATCTCCCTACTCTGCATTGTTTTCGGGGTTTCCCTTATCGCTTCATACCTGGCCTTGCAGCTCTTCGTGAAGGAGCGAAGGTAACAGCGTGTAGAGAGCGGCTGTCAAGTGCTACAACTTGTAATGGATTTCACTAGCATGGTACAAATCCTGTACGCATCGGATTCAATTGGCATGGGAAAAGTAATGACTGAATTCCCCCAGATTCCTCATCTGAGCTTTGAACATGCCTAGCGTCCTTCCAGAAGCTTTGTATTCCACTGGATCTGGAGTTGACTGGCCTTCATTTCCTCCTGCGGCTTCATGGAGATTTACTTCAGGTTGACCCGTCTCGGTCGATTCTTCTAGAGGCCTTAGTATGGCTAACGGCGTACTCTCCGCATTGTCTATATTGGAGACGCCAGTATCCTCTACCTCCAGCGTGCCATTGAAGCCTCCCAGTCTGCATACGCAATCACATCCCATCGGACAAGTGGTATCCGTAATGGCGGATTGTCCTATGCTAACCACGGAAGCCAGCTTGGCGCAGCTCGCGTGCTGTATATGTAGGCATAGTGTGCATCCGAGCGCGATCCCTTTTCGATTTCGCAAGTCAGGTCAGTCCCAGATCCTCGACACTCGGTAGGATGAGTCTTACCTGTGACCGGTAACCTGCAGAAAGCGCAGGCGGGCGGTTTCTGTCTTGCGCAAGAACAAGCTTGGTCGACATCGTCCCGGATCTCATAATTGCATCGGCCACAGATTGATAACGTGGCTGAAGATAGCGATACCATCAGCTAGGTATTGTCCTAGCAATCGCGCAGTAGACTCACTCAATGATTCATGAGCTGGATCGATCCTCTCATCGCTCGTTGAGTGTTGGACGGGCAACTGCAGCATCAACTCGCTGCGAGTAGTATGGAGACCCCACCGGAGCAGCAAATCGGCATACGCCGTCTTGACTCCAGCTTCGTCACACAAATGTCGCCAAGCCGAAGACCAACTGCTTAATTAGGGTGGCAGACCATCAATTCTCAGCCGAGGGCGGCTGAGCGAGATTTTGACTTACCCGTACTGAGGGCTCGTGGACGCAAGATCGAGAACAGTGCGCCAACTCCTGACGTGACTATCTGGCCTGGACGAGAAGGCGCATTGGTCGCTGCCTTCTGAATCAATTCTGCTAGTCGATTGCTGTGCTGGCGCCAATGAGCCGAACGAGACTCGATTCATCCTGCTGTTCTGAACCGAGTGAGATTCCACAGAACCGATTTCGGTCGCACTACGCATCGATGCCGCATACTGTGATCCGTGAGAAGACCCCAATGGTTTGCCAAAAAGCTGTTGCCGGAAACTATCCCGCCGGGGGCTTGCTGATCGATTGGCCAATCGAAGGTTTGATGACAGAGGGACTGGTAACGCGCGCCCTTCCGGATCTGCTGTCCAAGAAGGGGACTCCGACACCCTGCGTTCGCGGTCACCAAAACCATTGCTTGACACCAAGCTGTTACTAAATGGCAAGAACTGAGAGAAATTGCTTGAAAGGCCGGCCAGATACGGCGCGGCGGCAGACGGTGAGGGTGCTTGAGGCGTTTGGTAGATCGAACCAGCTTCGCTTCTTGAACGAGAGGGTTCCCGCGAGTTGAAGTAGTCGGTTTCTGTGATCACGAGGCGTCGGCTAGACCGCGCTGGTGGCGCTCTGCTTTTACCTACGCGATCCAAGTCAACCATCGCTTTTTCGACGAGAGTCAACAATTTCACTTGTACATTAAACTTACTGCTAGAGACAGGCTGTTGGTCTGCAAAGATTGCTAGCATTGTAGCTAAGAGCTGTATGTCACGGGACGCGACGACTTCGCCGATACTGCAAGGTAATACCGTATTAGGATGTAGGCCCTTAAGAGGACGTTGGTCTTATACTGACATTTGAGCCAGTGTTATTGCGCTATGCCGTGGATACCTCTCTATACGAACTCGTGATCCGTTGCGCTTGAAGCGAGGCGGATTGCACGCTTGACGTGAGACATTGCGTTCCGAGTTGTGACCCTCAGACAGAGCCGTCGCACAGAGCTTCCAGATCAATTCGTGATCGGTTCGGTACAATTCCTTCGCTATCCTGCGATTTGCCTGAACGGCGTCGATGCCCCCTCGAATTTCATAGAGCTCCGCAAGACGCCTGCATGGTTGTGCAGGAACTGTTGGTGGCCAGATCTGCACAACGGAAGTAGGTTTCTGTTGTGATACCAGCATCCGATTGTTGAGCTTGAACTGAGTATGACGTAGCTCATCCGCAGTGACTAATTGCGTCTGAGATCGGCAAAGGGAATGTGTGAGCGGATCGTCGACCCAGTCCACAAACATCGACTCGCCTTATGGATGCCTTGTGCGAATGAGAAACCCGCCAACTCTGCCTGCCTTCTTCGATGTTTGTCGTGCTTTGAGTCGCTCAAGCGGGACAATGCAGACATTGCCTTGAGTAGCGATGCGTTACCTTTCGCGCCACTGTTGCTCAGGCTAATTTGCCTGCTGGTCTTTCCGGAAGGGGTGTTTGGTGCTGAGAGATTCCGTTTCCGCCCGGCATTCGGATCCTTAGCGAAAAAGGTGATCAATTCGCCTGGAGCACAAAATGATGTGAGTTATGTCTGGAGATTCGAAATTTCCTGGCGTTGACATACCGTTCGGTCCCCAGCACATACCACACGTAACTTTGTCAAGGACGTGCTTCTGTGTAGGCAGATCGTCATCGGACTCTGACCCCGAGTCCGGCTCAATCTCGTCCGTTCTGGTTTGTCTTCGATCCATTCCCAAGAGGTAAGAGACACACGCGGCCAGAGCAGGCCTCTCCTCTTCGCAGATCTCCTGAAGTCTTCGACGCATAACATCGTGTGTCGCAGACGGGATGGTCGGTTTGTCAATAAGCTTGAACACGGGACATCCTGCTTGTCCAGCTTTCCGCGGATATCCGCGAGGGAACCTGAACAGAATTCTTATGCGAACGGTTCGAGCACTTTCGCCCCAAGGCCCTGGAAGATATATAGCACACTGTCGCTTCTTGAAGTCCAACTGTATTGAGACCATGATATGAGAATATACTGATGGCAAGCACAAAGCTGGTCAAGTGCCAGACTCACATTCTGGCTTTCAAACCGGGCGCGGGGGAAGTTGACTTTGACATGACGAATCCTAGATGAGGTCGAATCAGTTCGGCGGCCTTTTTGTTACTGCTCTAAGCCTCGCCTGGACTCACTCATCTGCGAGGTCTATATTAAGGTTTTCGTCTTCCTCGCCATCGAATTGCACGCTGCCTCTTCTGTCGGTCATGAAGCCTCGAAAGGAGAAGGATAAAGGCCCTCCTGGGGTGCCCGGCAATCCGTCTATAGATTGACTCCCGGAGTCAGACCCCTTGCGGGACAAAGATGCTAGTCGCGAAGTGCGCTGCGAAGTGGGTAAGGAATTTCCCAGCGAAGACAATCCCTTGCCTTCACGATGAATCTGTGGTACAGACAGATCAGGGAACCATTCTAGGTTGTAGACGTGAAAAACGTACTGTGGTGACGCCTCCTAACCATTCCAGCTGATCGATGGTTTTGCGCTTCTTGCTTTGCCGACCAAGTGATCCTCTCGTCATAACAGCCGTCTTGACCGCTGCCTTGACAGGCTTGATTCCTCCGTCCTCGAGCTTCAAATGTGGCTTGACACCGAACAGGGGCGCCAGCGATTCTGATCGCGTACGGAATGGTATGATCCGATCGAGTCCATCTCTGCTCGGGAAATTAGCCACTGTTGGAGACGGTTCTGCCGCTGTCGTTGCTCCACTGGCCGACTCTTCTGCCGCACGCAAGCGAGCAGATAGCCAAGGCAACGGCGGGGTATCCCAGGTAGCGTAAGAAACGTCTGGCGCGTTCCGCCTGGAGACCAGCACTGCGAATCGATGCGGTGTGAATGCTCAGTTCCAGTAGACAATGCATCGACTCACCATCTATAGGTGCGCCTCTACGATATCCAGCTCTCTGATAATACAGATTTAAGTTGGTTGGAACGGAAAACGAACCATAGAAAGTAGGCCGAGACGTCTTACTGCCAACAAGTCGCGCTGAATCGGAATCATCCTCAGTTGACGGTCTTTCGACCACGTGATCAACTGGAATTCCCTGTCCTCTATGAGCAGAAACTCAAGAGTTAGATGTTTCGAGATCGGAGTGGAGGCAATAGGTACGACATACCGTGATCCGGATCGTTCCCGCCTCGCGTGCGCCACACAAATTCTTTGACAGGAGCGGTGTACTCTTCAAACCTCTCGATTGGCCCACTATCCTGATCCTTGCCCCACATTTCGAGCGCACATGCTCCTCTCTGAGGTACACTAAGAACTCCTCGGCCGAACGGAAGGTTCCTCGCCCTCCAGACCGGATTTTTTGTTCGGATCGTAGACGTAGGTTGAGCCGGAGCAGGAAGAGAGGGAAAATACTCTTTGTGCTGATATCGATCGCGCTTATCGGTGGACATATCGTCGATCGACCAGTACTTGATGGTCTTGTCTATCGGGATTGCGTCTTTAGTGCAATTGAATGGGACGCGCTAACAATGTCCTCACCCAACGAGCAAGTGACGATCTCATGTCGAGATCGTCTGTCCCAATCGATCCCATACATCCGATCGTCGTGCGCTTGGAAAGAGGTGATGGGTACTGCTCCTTTCTGGAACAAAGACAGTAACAGCACAGTTCGATGAGATCGCTCTGGAAGATCTGTAAGCGTACATGACATGTTACTCACCCTTGTGTCCCATACACATAACCGATTCCCATGGCTGCTGGCCAGGATATGATCGTGACACCTGTTCCACTTGACCTGATGCCCACATCATGTTGATTAGGACTATGCCAGATTGATGAGACGGAAAAGTGAAGAATTACCTGGGTTGCTGCGTCACCCCAATCTGCTAGCCTCATGACGGCTCGATCGCTATCCTTGACCCGTATATCCCAACCCTTCACCGACCCGTCGATGGACGTGGTGGCCATATAATTCGGATCTCGCGCATGCCAGTTGATATCCGTGATCCCCCTCTCGTGCGCTTCGATGACACGGGACAGACAGGTCGATGGGGATGTCGAACACAGATCCCAGAGAAGTAACTTTTGAGCAGAAGTCGTCAAGACCAAGTTGGATGTAGCTGGGTGAGGCGACCATTGACAACTGGAATATGTGACGCATTAGTTCGGGCTCACTGGATCGAACTTATTCTGCAACTCACTCTGCGACCTGCCACATTCCGCCCTGAGGAACGCATCGAGGCACCTGTTCCGGGTATCGGACGTCCACGATGTAAAGACCCTTTCGACTAATCATGGGAAACCGATATATCAGCTTCCAGCCGTGAGCGGTGGGTCGCGATGTTGTGCGCTCACGATGCCAGGCAGAGATCCCGTGATGACGGACTGATCGACAGGGATCCGACAGGTTGATTGAACTTGACCACTGCAAAAGACCTCAAAGTCTCCATCGTTTTCCTAATAAGAATCGGTCAAAGAGACTTACCTCGCTCCTTGTAGAAGTCGTCCTGAGCCTCGTTTTCCTCCCTGGCTTGCTCTTGTTTGACCATCTCCTCGTAATCAGGACGGCGAGATGACATTGGAGGAGGTACAGAACTACTGCTCTCCCTGTAGACGGTTGATGTGCTAGTGCTGCTTCTCACAATGAACGGTCGTTTCAATTGGTAGTCCCCCTTGATCGAGACGCTGGCGGGCGAAGAAACGCTCGTATCCAACCTCAGATGGGATGCCATCCGGACCGTCCCACCTTGTTCTTCCTGCTTCCTTCCATCGTCATCCGGAGTGGGTAACGATATTGATCTGAGCGGTGAACGCATACGAGATCTCCTAGTTGCAAGGTCTGAGACATGTAGCCGATGTCGTGCAGGACCCGACGGAGATGGCACTCGTGAGACCGGCAGCGGAATGCTGGCCTCGGGTGGAGTGAGTGGAACGGTCATAGCAAACCAGCCGTGCTTTGGTTGTAGAAAGTCATCGGTACATCCTTGGTGTGCAGATGAAGGCAGAGGAGACAATTCGAGAGAGAGACAGTGACCAGGAATTCAGGAATAATAATAGCTAGATGTCTGCTGCTGATTCAAGTGGATCGAAGCGAGCATCAAGACCGACTCAACACCGGATTCAGATTTACTTCCGACGTCCCCCTCGACCGACCTCTCTCATCAAAGGCTTCGAGCGATGGAGTGCTATCGATTGACCGGTAGTTCCTAAAGAGGGTTCGGAACCTTGCATCCATCTGGCCCCTCCTGTGCCAGCTTCTTCGAGTGCCAGTTGCTCCGCTCACCATGTTCTCGGCCTGGCAACGCTTGCAAAACACCTCGTCGTGGGCTCTATCGGTCTGCCTGACCCTCCTGGCGGTCATCAGCGTCTCGTCTTGGTACGTCTTGCCAACGGTACCACTAGGAAGTATCGATCTCAAGTCCTTCCAAGTGTAAGCTACATGCGGTCCGATCTGCTCGTTATCGCACCAGCTGACTCTAGCATGATGTCCTTGTGACGTTTCATAGCGTTCCAGGATCAGGCTCGCAATCGAATCTCGAGTACGCCTTGATGAGGCTCGACGTTCAGTCCGACTTGACGCCATTATTTGCAAACTGGAACACCAAGCAGCTGTACGTGAGCGTAGTCGCTGACTGGAACAGCACGGTGGAAGGGGTGAGTTCGGCCCGACGCTATCGATAGGGCGATGGGACCGAATCTGACGTTGTGACGTGTCCTTTTCATTATGATCACAGACCCAAAGCTCCGTCGTTCTGTGGGATAGAATCATCACAAGGAAACGCCCCGAAGCCGCAAAGCTGAGCATTGAAGGACTCAAAGCGAAGAATGTTTGGAAAGTGCGACGGGGAGGTTTCAAGTAAGCTGCAATCAGAACATATGTCTGAGCGAATCTCGCGAGATTGACTCGCGGCCTTGCTCTCGAAACAGGACCATCCCTTCTTGTCATCTTTCACTCAAATACGATATCATGCCATACGTCGGTATCGTTACACCCGGGATCGGAGCAAGAGCTAGAAACCCGACCTGGAATGTGACCACCGAGACGGCAAAGAACTCGTTCGGAGAGTGGGATATTGCAGTACCTGGTGTCAAGTCCGGAGGTGTCGGAAGCTAGAATATACGTGGGCAACGAGCATGGTACCAAAGCGTGACCTGATGTAACGGTGTTCAGGATTCGATGTGATGGGAATTGGGCAGTATACGTTTCGTATACCACAATACAACAGAGATCGGAGAGGGACGCGGCGTTTGCCGAGACGTCCTTCAAACGATGCGGCGATCGGTCATGACACGGACGATGCAGCCGACGCCGGCGACCTCGGTCAGCTAGAATGAATACCAGTTGAGGATTCAGTGCGATTAGAGATGAAGGATATCTCATCGACACGTACCTTTTCGTGCCACGACAACAGGACCGAACCGCTGATCTCGCTCTTCTCGCCCAAGTTGGCCATCCCCTGAAAGCGCAGGTCGAGAGTCTGATAAGCTCACAGGCGATCACACGTACGCCCCTCGTGGTACCTACTTTGTATAGGTATGCCATAAGGCGGTCCTGGTGATCGCCGCTCAACCCCTTGACGAGATTGCTGATATCGGTCGACCGGGTCGAGTTCAGGATCAAGAGCAGGGCAGATGTCGTTATGTCCTGAAGAAGAGGTGAATAGAGCCGAATCCACATTCAACATAACGTGTATTACATATTCATTGGAGTCTCTTGAGGCTTACCTTGGCTTCGTCTACGTCCTCACCGTAAGGGCAATCGGTGAGGATAACGTTCAAAGCCGACGCGATGTCACCCCTATTGCATTGGAACGAGGCGTATTAGCAGATCCAACAACGGGGACATGAACCACTCTTCCAGCCTGATGACAGCGGCTCACTTTGATACGAGACCTCGAACTTCCCCACTCCTGTTCTTCGCATCTGCCAAAACCCCCTCAACACCCCTTGGGTCGGGATCATAGAGGTCGGAAGGGAGCAGCACGTCCTCCTCGAGCAGGTCGATATTGATTTTCCGGAAAGCACCGTCCATATTTAGATTCGACTGTGGCGATTGATTTGTCAGAGGTTGAGTCCAGCTACCAACAAGTAACCAGACGCATTGGTGGGGTTGACATGGTCGTGTCGAGCGCAACTTGGGCGTACGGTCATCCTACTGCTTTGGATGACGCATATGCCCTCATAGGACTGCGCGCGTCGCCCCTCGGTCTCGCATAAGAAGGCAGGCGTCGATCGTGGTTCTTGGAAACTGATCAAAGGTTATCGACTTTGTAAGAGAGGATGCACGCTACACTGTTGTACGTTGAGAGGGTACATCTTTGATGGATTCGTTTGTACATAATTACAGATTATAGGGAATATTCCGAAGAAGAGCAAGGTGTTTGCATCGACGCATCGCACTACTGCTTGTTGAGCCGCTTAGAGTTCTCCTTCTTGCTGTACCACTTTCGGTGGTCCAAAAGAAGGTAAAGCCTGAAACACAGCACCGCGAATGCACTGACAGTTTGTATCGAGATGATCAGCGATTGAATCGCAATGGCAGCGCAGCGTATGAGAGGAAACTCACTCATCCATCAGCTCTTCAGGATAGGCCGCGCCGAGCGCGTAAGCAGCGGCCATCCCGCTGATCACGGCGAGCTCGTGGGCGTTGACCAAGGTCCAAGCGGCAGCAAAGTGCGTCCTCTTCTTTCCATTCAAGAAACTCATGAAGGGGACGACAAAGGCATAGTGAGCTGTTTATAGAGGATTCGACTCAGCCAGGATCCACGTATGTTCACATAACATTATGGAAACCTACTCCATCGATGTTCGAGCTGATGCCACCAATCCTTTCGGACTATCAAGCCAGCAGACACAATCAGATTGAATTCTCCAGTACGGCACGTCCCAAACCAGGCTTACTAATCTTGTCCTCCTTGATTTCATCGATGGTCCAAGTCTCCTTATCCTTCTTGTTCAAGAAGATGGTCTGGAAGATATGGTCTTCAACGGGCTTCTTGGCATCCTTGAGCTGATACTGGAAGTTTGAGCAGTCGAAGCACATCTCCAAGAGCTTGGGGTCGTCGGGAACCTGCTTGATTAGGTACATCCTACATAATAGAACCCAAGTTAGACCTCGCGAATATCGACCCATCTGGGTTTCGCCTGCTCACGGGTTGAAATCTTTGCGACCCCGGTCAATTCGGTCCTGCTCGTCTCGACCACTGAGAGTTTTAGGCACGTTTTCAGGCATGTCCATGGTGTACCACTTCTTCATGTAATCGAGGTCCTGCGCACAAATAGCGGTTGATCGATTGTATCGGTGCGCAATCTCAAAGTGAATCTCACAGTGTGCGTGACGGTAATATCGTCACTCCACTTGGTCATGCCCAAGACCTGCTTCTCCATGAAGGTGGCGGTCTTGCCCAAGAGACGCTTGGCAGTATCAGCCAAAACACAGAGGACGATTTCGTCATAAGTCTCTTCGGTGATAGGAAGATCCTGATCCGCTCCAACCGGGTTGTGGTGGTCGGGTTGAGGTCGACGTCCTCGAAGTTGAACTCGGACGCGGTCTTTGGATCTTTCGGGGATAGACACAATCTCGGTGTTAAGACGGATAGTAACCCCTCGGCTCTCCATGTCGTGTTGCCACTGGGTGTAGAACTTGCTCTCCTCGGGGAAGACGACCATAGGAGGCAAGTTGCTGGACAACGAATGGTCATCCACGGGGTACCCTGTTTTCATCAATCAGAATAAGCTACCGATTGGTCATCTGAAATCGATTGCTTATACAAGACTCACACATTCCATAGGTAGGCGATGTGTATAGTCGTTCCATCATGACAGTAGGCAAGTCGGGAGTTGCGTTACCGGTTCCAAGGAAAAGGGCGAGACTATGTAGCGTAACGTTCCATGTTAGCCAGTCGAACCCAATTTTGGCAGATCGCAACGTGACTGCTCACCTGGGATAGATCATGTAGTTCATGAACCTGTTTCACAAGTTTCGGGTCAGTCCGTTGGATCCCCGCATCCTCCAGCACAACAGATTTGAGCCACAACTCACTCGTCTGAAAATCCCCAAATCTTAAGGGTGATCTTGATCGGGATCAACGCCCAAACGGCTTCAGTCCACCTGATGGTCCTCATGGCCCATTTGAATCGACCGATCTCTTTTTGATGCTTGGCGACGAGGTCGGTGGGGAAAGCGTTAGTCCAAAACTGTCAGGCGTTTGATTTTGCGCCATATAATTCAATTTCAGCGGGTGAGGCCGAAGGTTCCGTACAGATCGACTGCTCACCTTGTCGTCCTTGCCGAACGATACTTGCAAATCGACCCTGCAACGCCGTCGACCATCAGACCGGGCGATTTTACGTACAGAAGCGGGGTTACTTACGGCTGAGCTTCGAATCCTTGCTTTTTGAACATGCGGAAAGTGTGGTGGTAGATGTAAGAGCCACTACAGTTACAGTGTTAGCGAATCTTGAACCATCTGATCAGAGTACCGTGTGCTCACCCTTGAACACCCTGGTTCATCCACGAACTACCGTGCCTCTTCTCATCGATAGGGATACTGAAGGCCTGACCACCGCAATAGTCTTGAGCATCGACGAGCGTGACATCATAAGTCTTGGGGTGTTGAGAGAGCTGCTCGGCACAGGACATTCCTGCCGCTCCGGCTCCAACAATGAGGACCCTTTTCCTGGGCTGCTTGGGCCCGGATGAAGGCGAAGGCGAACGTCTGGGCATTGTGAGTCGAGAAGAGGTTGGGTCTTGTTTACGAAGAACGGTCTGCTGATTGTAGGAAGTAGAGGGCGTTCCCAAGGTTTATCGTCGAGTGTAGCAGCCGGTCTAATTTGTATTGACGCAGTACGCAGTTGCCACCCCTTTTATTCGAATGGGTCTTGCTTCTCGAGGCTCTAGGTCGATTGTTATATCTATACGTCCCCCTCCTGGTCTCCTGAGCGATGAGCGAACCGTGCAGTCAGCTCAATCGATCGCGCGTCCTCGATCGCCGATCGCCCACGCAAAGAGAAATGACGTATGCAGGAGGATCACGTCGTCTAACAACAGCAGCATTATGGCTCTAGAGCCTAGGAGGCCAGGAGCCCAAACAACAGCGCAACAGCGACGATTCCCACTCGAGCATTATTGTCGATTCGTGCGACGATGCCTACGATACATAGTACAGTCCACACCCCGATGATACGCGGTACGCGGTACAGACCCACTCGCAAAGAACGATCTGGATAGCCGGATAGTTGAACTTCGCGTCGCACGCGTCGCAAAACATGCGGAACGAAGTGATGGTGGATTTACAAAAGACTATATTTATTATTGTACACTCAGCTAGTAGCCCTTGATGTCGAGCTCTCGGAACAATCAAGGGTCGTTTCAAGCGAGGGTTGCGTTATCCCGCCAAAGATCAACGACCTCGTCGAAACCTCCAGGGACTTGCGCTCTTTCTGGTAAAGAAGAACCCGGTCCGAGTGGTAAAGATAAGGTCGAACTTTTCTCGGCCTTCGTTGGTTGTGGTAAGTTTTGGTGTCGGACAGTTGTATCGGTCTTCTCGCCATCGAGTTCCGGTCAATTCCAGGGGTCTCGAAGCCTTCTTTTGTGCCCATGCAGGCCATCGTCGAACAACAAGACAACAGCTTTTGCGATTGTTACGATGTCAAGTTGCAAGTTGCAAGTTGCTGATTCTGCGACGACGAAAGCGAAGGGCGGCCGGAGTGATGAAAGGTCACGTGATGGAGATGTGGAGGCACCTTGCCCTCCGCTCCCCGAGCTGCTACTCATCATCATGCATTGAACACTGCGTACACTACGTACACTACTGATGTACTGATGTACGATGTCGAGTTCGATTTGGCCGACAGTCCTCAATAATAACTGAACTCTACACAGACACCGGATCTCAGTCCATTCATGAAGTCGGATTGATAGCAGGATAGCTCGTCCATATATTCGCGGCCTCATCACCATCATGCTTCGTCGAGTACTGCAGCGTTTCAACAAGCAAAACCCAGACCAACAGGCGCCAGAACAGACATGGAATGATAGTCCGGAATCGAGTTCGTTTGTGAGCAAGATCCGAAGACAATACCGGATAAGAGAGCTCGTCTTTGAGAACATTTGGATTCTTCGGTATGCCCGCCTTGAGAAGCTGCAAAAGGACACACATCAGATCGCTGACCGAAGACGTATCTCGGTAGGACGCTCCTGACCGCAATAGGTTTGCTCTGGTTGTTGCTACTGCCGCTCGATGAATTAGGTCGTAGCACGTATATGGACGAGAATGCAGTCTCGCCAGCTCAAGTAAGCTGCTTTGTAACCTTTACCAACCCGACGAACGCTGATCAACCGCATCTCTGTTTTTACTTACCTAGACCACAACTCATTGGAACTGGAACGACGTTCACGTAGCAGACAATTATCTCGAACAGCTGGAAGTTTTGGTAGCTAGAAATTCCTCCTCGGCAGAACGGGCCAATTTCATAGTCGCAGAACTGGGAAACCTTGGGATCTCAGCTTCTACGTCAAGCTATTCATATTCGAATGTTCAACCAGTCAGTATAAGGGATACCCCGCACTGTCGACTATATCGCTAATATTTGCGTGGTAGCCGGTACAAGGTATAAATGCATACGCCGTTGTCGCACCACCTCGATCGTCAGGCGTTGAAAGCGTCCTCGTCTCTGCGAATTGGAAGAGTTTGACCGGGGAGTGGAACCTAAGGGGGATCGCCAACGTGATGGCTCTCGCCAAATTCCTTCGTGGTGAGCAGTAGCCAATTCTAGCATAGCGCTGGCGAAAATGCTGATATGGCTAAGGATACTAGGTCAGAATCACTGGGCAAGGGATTTCATATTTGTCTTTGGTGACGATCATATCGAGGGTGTCGAGGCCTTCCTGGCGACTTATCACGGGATGACCGGGTCAGGTATGGGGAAAGTATATCAGGGGCTCTAGACTTCTGGGCTAACATCGATTGTTCTAAGTAGGACTGATAGCAGAACCTTTGCGCCTTGCGCCTCAAGGTGTCATCTGGGCCGGGATCAACATCGACTATCCAGGTCATTCCTTCTCACATTTGGGCGTGTTTTACGGTATGTATGTTCCGGGTATCTCATTCTTGCGCTTCATACTGACCCGACTGAGTTGTTGTTTCAGAGGGAGTCAATGGGGTACTTCCCAACCAAGACTTATTGAACGCCATCTACAACATTGCCCGCTGGACGGGTGGTGTCCCGGTACAATACCATTCAGTCTCGGACGACCTCTCGGCGCCTCCTCTCCCAACCTGGATGCCTTCCGTCCTGCAAACTTGGGCGAAATCTTCTGCGGTGACGAAATACTATCGAGGCGTTCGACACCTGAAGCAACATTTTTCGTATGCCGCGCTTGGTAGACCCGCGGGAAGTCACGGCACTTTCGCCAAGTACCGGATAGAGGGGGTCACGTTGTTTGCCGAACCTGCGACAGGACCCCACGGATTCCACGCACTAGGAATGTGAGTATCCGATCCTGGGCTACGTGTTTTCTAGTCGGTTTCGTGGTGGTACGTGCTGACGAATGGATCGAGGGGACAGTATCTTGGAGTCGGCACTCCGGTCCATCAACAATCTGCTCGAGCGATTCCACGCCTCATTTTTCTTCTATATGTTGAATCATCCGGGCTGGTTCACCAAGATCGGCAATTACCTGCCAGCGGCGGTCTTGATCGGTGCTGGGCTTACCGTTGAGGGTCTGAGGATGTGGATTGAGAGCGGTTGGATCCGAACGGGTCCTGATGGTGGAAAGGAGGCTCTAGGCAAGCGATGGACGCGCAGGGACAGGAGAGTCGACCTGGTCCTGCGGATTCTAGGAGTTGCTTTCCTCATTGGACTAGGTCGGCTCAAAGCGCAACGAGATTGGGTCAGGGGGGCCGGAGTGAGTCTATCGGGAGCAGAAGGCGCGTAATCTGAAGCTGAAACACCGCGCTTCGGGTGTTATAGCTGTTTGCGCCGCTCGAGATGTCGCCTTTTGAGTCGGCCCTTCCGACCTACCCGGTTACACTCCTCGCATCCTACACGCTCTCCGTATATATCGGGAACGTGATACGGACGAGCAAGCTGGATCGAGACGCCGTCGTGCTTGCGACATCGTCCGCTTGCCACATCTTGGGCGGTGCCATCATTACCGCTGTGGCCATGATTAATTTCCCACAGGCAGTCGTACTGGGACTCGGTCTGAGCGTATTGCTGGCCATATCTCGACCTCGTCCAGCCATGGCTGGCCCACCTGATCGCGTCGACAGAAAGTCAGCCGACGGATTCTCCGGCGGACGCAGCGCGATAAAGTTTATCCGGTTGTTCACCTTGCAACTGTTCACGCCCGAAGGCGTAGGGTTAATCTCGCGGGCTATCGGCGCATCATCGGTCGTCGAAATGGGATGGCGCAGTCTGGTACGGCAGTGGACACTTCTAGGCAACTGGTTCGTGCCGGGTTTCTTAGGTGTATGGTGGGTGTTGCAGCTGGTCGCCTGTACGTTATTGTGGCTGTAAAGACATCTCAGACGAGCCGACATGCGAAGATGCCATGCGGTTATCACAACCTCCCACGTCATCACTACTTTCGCGCCCTGGCTTCGGAAGCAAATCGACCAGGAATGTCTTGGCGAACCTTTGTCGATCTGATTGCTGATGGTGCAGTTTCTGCGAAATGGTCATCGTCATATCTTCGTCGACTTTCTGCGTCATGGAATCTGCAAGGTCACCGACATCCTCATAATATCATAATACTACTGTAGTCGTATTTCAAGCCGTTTCGCGCGCGTCTACTACGTCAAGATCCACTCACACATCAAGGCTCAAATCCGCAAACATGTCATACGGAAGATACAAAGGCCCGTACAACGAAAAGAACCCGATCCCCGATGGCGAAGCTCGGATTTCCATCTACAACTACACACCCGCTCTCGCCCTCGGGTTGATTGGAGCGATCTTGTTCGGATTGGCCGCGATAGGGCACTTTTACTTTTGGTGGATCGGAGGCAAGAAGCGAGTAGCTAGGGATGGGCGGGGGAGACCGACGAGATGGTTCGAAGCTCTCTGGACGCTCGGCTGTGTGATGGAAGTGGTAGGATATGGATTTAGGACGTATTCACACAAGAATCCATTCTATGTCAACGGTCAGTAGCGGTTCACGGATTTTTGTTCCCAGAATTATATAGGGCTAACTGCAGAGGCAAACACCAGCGTTTATCATCCAGTACTTCTTCTTGGTAGTGGTGCGAAATGGCTGCAATCCCATTACATCTTGCATCGTATCTGACGCTCACTTCAATATTCCTCCGCAGGCGCCTGTCTTCTTCGCTGCTGCCGTGTACCTGGCTCTGAAATATGCTATCAATCTGAACGAAGAAAACCTGCGGATCTCGCCGGTCAAACAGACGTTCGTCAAGGTCTTCATCACGATAGACGCCTTGACCACGATCTTACAGATCGTCGGGGCTGCGCTGGTGAGCCTATCAGTTCTTGAACCGGCCAATCAGTGGATTCTAAAAGGTTGTCGCTCTCTTTGCTAGATCGGAGTGGCCGAGTCCAGGCGGGCGAATCAGAAGGCCAGTCCGATCACATCCGACCAGGCCAATGATATTCTGCTAGCAGGGCTAGCCGCTCAGGCGAGTTACGCTTACGCACCCACAACTTTCGACCTCTCGCTGACAGGCTTCAACTGCTCAACAGAACGCCTCCTTCCTTGTCTTCCTCGTTATCCTGGGGGTAATCATCTTCCGCATAAGAAAAGCCCCTGAACAACATCGTACTGCTTCGATCGAGAAACGACACGAATCAGACGTTTCAAGTCCTAGGGCTGTTGAGGCTGGTCTGGCCCACAACTACGGCGTAGCGACCTACACCAAGACTTTCCTCTGGGTTTTGGTGGTTTCGAGCTTATTGATCTTCGCTCGGACACTATACCGTCTGGCAGAGACGGCCGAAGGCGAGCCTCTGTGCTGACTTCGGGTAGCGCACGGAAAGCTGACGATCGTATCTTGGTGTCTTGTTGATCTTCAGGCGTTTGGGGAAACGCATCCTCAATCGAAGCGTTGTTTGGCGTATTCGAGTTTGCGCCTGTGGTGGTGGCCGCTTGGCTCTGGATCGTCAGGCCGTTGAGAAGGGAGATGGTCAGGATGTCATAGGGGTATTACGCTGCCAAGCTTGAAAGCTTGAGAAACTGTATCTTTCAACCAGTGACTGCGCTTCTATAATAGTGGAAGGAATCGCCTGCGGATCGAGACCTTCTGGGTCGAATCGCTCGCCGGAATTCTGGTCTTGGTATTCGAGTTCATTGCCCCAGTAGAGTTCAATTGGTCGCAGAGGCAAAATAGATGAGAATGCGTCTCAAAGCGGTGCTGGACAGTGTGTCGATCATCTCAAAGCCACGCTCGACAGGTCGACAAAAATAAGCAATCGCGTTCACGCTAGATGTCATTCTCAGATCTCGTGTAATTATACAACGTCTCACAATGGCAACTAGCATACTACGCTACAGGTCGAGAGGTCCACTCGATCACGGTCGTGCCGGTTTCAATCCCGTCATCCAATAGATGAACTCGATCTGGCTTTGTGTTTGGCACATCATCCCTCGCTGCTCTCTCAGCGTATCGACTGTCTCGGCGACCTCGTCACCCGAAGCCCAGCTCGGTAGAGGCTTCAATGCTGATCGCGGTTTCATCCGAAAAGCCGGATCGACGAACATCGGCGGCTTGAGTAGTGACCACAAGGCGATGAATGTGCCTGTCCTTCCAATACCCGCTGAACAATTGACGTAAATCTCGCATTGTTCCTCTCGTTGCAATTCGGACGTAGTGTTCAACAGCTGCTTGAGCGCCTTGATATCCTCGTTGGTCGTGGGAACGCCATGATCCGGCCAGGCGTGGAACAGGAAGTGATGAAGCGTCATGCTTTCGCCCCCATCAGAGCTAAGCCGAAGCGTCGATCGCGTCATTTGAGGGTCAGGCTGAGCATCAATAAGTGCTAGCTCGATCGGTGATGAAGAGATACCGTGTGGCGGATGGAAGATCGCAGGTTTTCCCAATTTTGGCCTGCGTAAGTGAACATCAGCTTCCTTTGAGGGGAGGAAGAGACTGCACTGCAGACTCACAGATAATTGTCTGCCTTCGCTACTTTGCCGTCGAACCATCCAGTGAGCTGAACGATCATGGCGACCTTTGGTCTCGTCGAGCCGCCCTCGCTCGCAGCCTCAGCAGATGGGAACAAGGCGTCGTGCCGTCTCGTAGCCGATCTTGAAAGTATGGCATGGAAGTACGTATTGAACGTATGTGGAGTCGGCGCCTAGTTCAGCGAGAAGGAGAATCAGGTTAAGTATTCGAGATGTGACATGGAAAGAGAATACGACAATTACCTGAGAAGCTGCCCACCAGCTGCCCTTGCCATCAGCGACGATGTTGGCATTTAGGTAGAGGCCTTTTCCTGTATCTGCGTCGGATTCTGGAGTTGTTCCGACTGAAGCAGACACTGCCGTACGGTCGAATGCGAAGATGTTGCCGTACCGATTGCAAGGCCCCTCGCTCGCGCTCTTGTGGATTGAGTAGAATTTGAAAGCAGATTCCAGCTCATTACTCGTAAACTCCATGTCCAAATCTCTGATGGTGACTGCCAGTTGGTCTGCGGCAGAACGAGCCGCTCTGGATGGGCCGCCTGCTAGACCGATGTAGGCGAACTGCTGCCTGAGGTCCTCACGATCTGATAGCAGTTGGAAAACCGGCGGTGCGGGCGGTACATTCCTTCTGCGGTTCATGACTACGGCTATGTCGATATGCTCAAGATCCCTTGCTGGCTTCGAGCCGAGGAACAAGAGTCGTCTGAATTATCTGTGTTCTTTGAAGAAACGATCTAGTTCTCGATTCTCAATTCTTGATGATGATAAGAGATTGAAGAGAGGACTAGGTCTTCATGAGTGACCCCTCGCCGAACAAAGGAGAGGGTGTTCGTTCTGGTCGATGATGACGTTATCCAGGCGAAATGGCCGTGATTCGGCTCCGATGCTGCTGTATACAACGATGGTCGAGATTACAATCCAAAGTCCCCCCATCCATACTATATTATAATGGCATGATACGTCTATCCAGAACCGGCCATGCACATATGATTCATGCTGTCCGGTATGACCGCGCAAGGCTGTTGATCTTGGTTGTTAAAGCCTTGATGGCGAATGGCTTGGCGATTGCGTCGTCGAATCCAGAATCCAGCATCTAACAATACAGGCCCACATTCATCAGCCTTTTCTTGCCCGAAGAGCTTCGAGTGGGCAACAACCACTCACCTCCTGGATCTGCGCGGTCCTAGCGTTGGCAGTGACCGCTATAATAGGTATCCGTTGTGCTTTCGTTCGTTCCGCCTCGATCTTACGAATCTCTCCGGTGCACTCGATCCCGCCCATCTTGGGCATCTCGATATCTGGTAGGATAGGGCTCAACATGGCTGGCCACGCTTGGGATATGACCAAACTAGCTCACCCATTAATATACAGTGCAGAGGCAGTGGCGTCGAGTGGAGATATTCCAAGGCCTCCACGCCGTTATTCGCCACAGACACCTTGAATCCGGCTTTGACCAATTGTCTCTGCAACAGCTTCTGGTTGATGATATTATCTTCGGCCAGAAGGATATGAATAAGCTCGTCTTGTTGTTCAGCGATCGGACTGTTGAGCGTCTTTGGCGTGTTGAGAATGTCTTCGGCCGCTCTATCCAAGGTTGCATGCGAACTGTCAGGTAGAGGTGTCGTAGAGTCATTCCGAAGATCGTGAAGCACCGCTTGCTCCGAATCCGTGACCTGGTCAACCAAGGGTGCTAATGAAACCTGAGGATCTGCTGGTGGGGCTTCACAACGTTCGGCTTCGACGTAAAAAGTGAAGGTCGAGCCTTTGCCGTATTCAGTTTGAAGCGTGATGTCTCCTCCTAGCTTTTGCGTGATCCGCTTGCACAAGAAGAGTCCCTATGAAATCGAAGATGCGATGAGACAATTCAACCGGGAGAATCATGGTCCGACTGAACTCACTAATCCACTTCCACCATAGGTCACTGAGGTCTTCAAGGTTTGCCTGCGCAAGTCAATAGTCAGCGAAATTACTCGAGATCAGCGAAACAAATATGGAGAGTTTACTGGAATCTGCGGAAGAGCTTCTTCGCCTCGTCGGGTTCGATCCCGATCCCCGTGTCCTGCACGGAGCAAATTATGATGACGCTTGATTCGCCGGATAGCTCTTTGGGTGTCGACCTGACACCATCTTCATCCACGAAATCGCCCACATCGACAGGAGGTTTGGAAAGGCTCGCATCGAGCCGGATGGTGATCCGCCTTACCGGACGGTTTCTGGTAAACTTGATTGCGTTGTTGACCAAGTTCATTACTGTCTGGGCGACCCGTTGCGGATCCACATTGACCCAGTCGACGAGCTCATTGTAGCGGGAAGTGATATCCAACGCGTACACAACGTCACGCTCGGGTGCAACGATCATCTCGGCGACGTCTTTCACAATCTGGATTGGACGGCAAGGTGCTGGCGTCATGACGAGCATGTCTCGATCCAGCTTGCTCAATAAAAGAATGTCGTCCGCAAGCCTCTGCATGTGTGAGATACACAGCGTGATGATATTGGCATCTTGCAGAGCGGCCTCGATCTCTGCCTGATGCATCTCTGATAATCCGCGTAGGGACTTGAGTCGATCAATCAGCGATTGAATGGCCATACCCATTCCAAAGATCGGCGTGCGCTGTTTCGTGAGCAATGAAGTCAATATATATGTGAATCAACTGAACGGCATCTTCCAGCTGACCTGTTCGTGTGAAATGAAGTCAACGTAATCTTCCAGCTGATGCCGCATCGCCAGATTGTCATCTGCCCTTTGGGCTTGGAAGGCCTCGTTCTTCTTCCTCAAGGTGACGTCAATCAGGGCGCCCGTTACAAATAGTACCTCTGGTTCGCCGGTGTCGGGATTGATCCCAGGACCAAACGCCGGCTTGCCGGTCGCTTCAATCCATCGCACCTCGGGCTCGCCCGCCTCGGTCGTTTCTCCGGTCAGAAAACGGAACTCGGCCTTGACCAGTTGTTTCAAGCACAACACAAACTGATCGTGTACCTTCTCCTTGTCGTCTGGATGGACCATATCTATCCACTTGTCTAGCGAGCCGGTAGATTCGAGTCCGGACCAACGCCGATAGACTTGATTCCCAAACTCAACCCGGCCATCTGCTGAACCTATCCAGATTCCGGCGGGGGAGATATCAAAGGCCGAAGTAAACTTGAGTTCCGCCTCTTTGAGCTCTTGTGTCTTGCGATCCAGGGCTACCTCGAGTTCTCGAGCCTTTTGTCGGTTGATCGCAGCGAGATACTCGGCCCGCAATTTCTCCTCCAAGTGTAGTTCCGCGGCCGCTCGACCGTTGGCGAGTAGCGTCCGGACCAAAGCGAGGTAGTTGGAATACGAGTCGTCGAACTGGATGAGAAAGCCATCGGGGAAAAACGTCAGCGGCCGTTTCAGTGCGTAGCTCGGGCCTGAACGTCGAACTTACGAACAACCTGGTACTCAGTCCAACAACCAAGATCCCGTGACATCTGTCCTCCGCCGACGCCTTGATAGGTATTACCGCAGCCTGCTGGGGGATATCCTCAAAGACGTTGGGTCTGAGACAACCCTCAAAGGCGTCCATCTCGTCATCTCGCATGAGCACCAACTCGTCCCGAATATGCGCACGCCGGATGAAGTCCGTCAACTTGGATGGGCCACATTCGTCCACGGCTTGCAATCGGTGAGAGGTCAACGTTCTAGGTAGGTGATCTCCGGGTCCTTCCAGGTTGATGGCCCCCATAGCGCCTGCTAACGTCAACGTGATCTCCGATTCCTCTTCCCCGACCGCGATGTCTTCGGCGACAGCGGATCCATATGCAACACTCCCACAATCGGTCCCCGCTGTCTTGACAAACGACTGCGAGTCCGATGTTTCCCTGCTGAACTCCTCGATGCTATCCCGGTCCGTTGTGTAGAGCAAGACAAAACCGATGTCCCGCGAGTTCTGCGCGAGACCCCGGAGGGCGGCTTCCATTACGAGTTCCGGTGAAGTTCCCGTGGCGATATGGCGACTTATCTCGTGCAAACCTGCAAGACGTCGGTTGGAAATGACGGCATTGCTTCGATCGAAATTAGGGATAAAGAGCTAGACCCCCACCTCACAGAGCCCATCAGAGAACACTTTCAAGTCTATCGGGACAGTTCGTCCTCTAGATTTTGGTTTCGGTACTCACCCCTTCCACTGTTCCAGAGACACCTCTCAGGGGGATCATGCTCCACGTAAAGAATGTCTCCTCAAGTATCTCTTTCCGCTTCAGGAACATCTCCTGGTCTTCCACGTGGACGATGTTTCCGGCATAGGCCGAGTCCACGACCGGACCTAGAGCGTCCCAAACCTATCGTCCATGTACATGTGAATCAAGAATCGAACGCAAAGGTCCTGAAGTCAGTTTCGAGCAAGTGCCTCGATCCTTCACGAAGACAGGGAAAAGGTACGGACCTCTGGCCAAGCCTCGTCATACGGCATACCTAGAATCTCGGGATGCCTGCCCCCGATCACCTTGCTATACTGTTCATTACTGAGCAGACCCAACAAGCCATCTCACGTCAGCCCATCATTCCATATCTTCAAGCAAAGATCTAGCGGACCCCCATTCCGGCCCCATTCTCATGCCGAGACTCACTATAGAAGCACCTTGTCGCTACCCCAACTCAGCAATACCGGAAACGGACTCGACAGGCACACGTTGACCATGGTGACCAGGCTCGTACTCCACGCGCTCGGCCGTCCTAATTTCGTCTTCTCCCAATCCATATCCTTGAACAGCTCGATAAATGCCTTGGACTCTGGCGTCCGACCGGTCACTGACAACCAGTCCAATTGACCGGGAGTGACATCCTCGACAAAGACGTTGCCGACTTCGGGTTCATAAGCAGAGACCTTGGTCGTGGTATCCGTCGTCGGGATGGACGAAGAGGACGCGCGGGAGGGGAACACGAGTCGGGTTTCCGTCGAGCTCGAGGAAGTAGAGGTAGGAGGATCTTCCGTACCCGTCAGAGCCCAGTAGGTTCCGTTTCGAAGAGGTATACAACGCCAACGTAATCGCGATCCTCTCCCGGATTCGACGGGGACGTCTATCGCTTTAGATCGATTCCCTCCTTCAAGTTGGTCCAGCGAGGTGGCTCGAGCTCTCGAGACGGCGTTTTCCGCCGAATCGCGCATTCGAGAAGTCATCAGGTCGTTACTCCAGGCGATCGTCACCCCGACATCCTCCTGGTCATCCTTCTCGGCACTCGCGTTGTAACTATCCGCGTCTATCGAGTCCTCGTCAACTGTGCATCTGATGATACACGCAGGTCCTGGGGTCGCTTCCAGGAATTCTATCAGTCCCAGCTGAGCCACGGTAGTCTCCTCGGCTCGAACCATGACTCTAGGGAAAATTGCGGCCTCCGACTCGAGCGGGGCAGAGAGCCTTGGGGTGTGATTCTCTGATCGGGGGAACGTTGTAGAGAGGTCTGGCTATCTTTATTCGGTCGCCATGACGGGACCCCAGCGAAGAGGTAAAGCGGAAGGGTGTGTTTAGGGGTATCGCTGATGGGTTGTTTCGTCGACAGTCGAGCAGAGGAATGGCAGATGATGATGTGTTGTTGACTAGAGGGTACTGACGTACTGACGTACTAGAGAGTGCACTCTGTACTGAGCTACTACTAGCTAGGGTGCTGGTGTAGATGTCTCTAGTCTCTGCGTGGTGCGCTGACCTAAGTTACTGCTACGGTACTCGAGAGCGGATCCAAATTTTGTCGCCAACCTCCCATCCAACCACGCTAGAGAACGCGAGACGACGCCACTGACGCCGCGCTAAAAAGGGGAAAACACGATTCCCGCAAGCGAGCGCGATCAGCAATTGCTGCATCAGGGACCAGGTTCTTCCCATTGTGGTCACGTGATATTCATCTATCTACCATATGATCCTAGCACGCCACCCCCCACCACCCTGTTGTCGAACCACATCTGCGTCCACCTTACAAAGGTAATCTTCCGTAGCCACCTCCGACCTTGTCTTTCCTCCCCGTCATCCTCGCGATCAAGACCTGTCCCCGCGCGCTCTTCAACCAGTACACGAGCCCACCCAAAGGGACGACCACGAGCACGATCAGCGCCAAGAGGGTGGTGGTCGAGGCGTAGCCGGCGACGTCGGTCTGAGGGGACTTGGGGTCAACGTAGACGGGGTCGAGCGGGTCGGCATTCAAGAGGTCCTCGACAGGGTTCTCGGTCGCCTCGTTGGACTAGTGGAGTCGTGAGCAAAAGATCAAGCGAGGAAAGCGGGCAGGACGAAAACAAGGGAGACTGTAGGTCAGCATCCTTTGCACGAGAAATAGGCGAACGACGCGATCAGGCAGGGAGTCGCTGGTGATTCATTTAATTTTCATCGCTTCGTCTCCGTTTTTCCACTCTTTCTCTTTCTTCAAAACACCTCGATCGTTGTACAAGGATGAAGAGCGACGGGGACGGGCTCACGACGGATTCCTGTCCCCTTCGCGCCCCAGAACCCCGCGCCCATTCTCATTCTCTAGCGTCACGCCGCAGTAGGAAAGAGGAGAGAGAGAAATCTAGAGCTCGACCCGGAGAGGTACCTCGTTGCCCTCGGCGTCGACCTCTTTCTCGATGGGGAGCTCTCCAGCGTTGACAATAATGACGTCCCTGAAGCGTGTTTGAACACACAAGTCAAGCGCAGGCAAGATCAGCTCAACCCGGCGTTGTGCAGGATGAGAGGAGAGGTATCGTGGGATCTTTGGACTCACTCGAGAGGCTTGTCGCCACGGCCCTTGGGGGCGTTCTCGATCGTCTTGACAATGTCCATACCCTCGAGGGCCTCACCGAAAACGACCTAGAAGTGATTACCACGAAATGTCAGTGCCGGCAGACTGTGACAGTTCGCGGAGGGATACCAGACTTACGTGCTTGCCGTTCAACCATGAAGTGACGACGGTGGTGATGAAGAATTGAGAGCCTGTAAATCGTCACACCCAACCCGCACAACCTCGATTAAGTAAGCCGCGTCTCCGAGTCTTCCTGTCGCGCACTGACCGTTGGTATCCCTGCCACTGTTGGCCATGCTCAACGATCCAATCTTGTGCTTGATCTTGAAGTTCTCGTCGGCAAACTTGGCACCGTAAATGCTTTTGCCGCCAGTCCCGTCGCCTCGAGTAAAGTCTCCACCCTGAAGCATAAAGTTGGCTGAGAATAGAGAACGAAAAAAAAGACAAGCGGAAGGATTAGTCCCAGCTCTATGCTCCTCCTCGCAGGTGATACGTCTCAGCCAAGGGTAGGGTAAGAGAGTTCAATCAAAGGGGGAAGGGTAGGGGACCGGCTTACCGATGACTCGGTGGAACTTGGATCCCTTGTAGCCATAGTCGATGGGGGTGCCATCAGCGAGCTGCTGAGTACAGAGAGCTCGGAAGTTCTGGTAGGGTCGAGGTAAGGAAGTATCGATCAGCTCGGAGTCAGCGCTCGTTATCGTAGAGGTAACGTTGAACCCACCTCTACGGTCTTGGGAACGGTCCTAGCGTACCAAGAAGACGGGGTCAGTATGGCCACTCGTGGTGATCCGCTTGGTCCGATCCCAAACGATACTCAGACTCACTTTCCGTAGAGACCGAATGTGACCCTACCCAAAGGTCGACCACCTTGCTCGATGTCGAAAAAAACCTTGTTGGTGATGACGGGTCCCTTGGCGGCATCGGCTCCCTGAGCGGTGACCGCGAGGAGGGTGACGACAAGGGCGGCCAGGAGGGCGAAGAGGGATTTGAGGGAGAAGGTCTGCATCGTGATCGTCGAAGGCGAGATACTTGTCTGCAGATGGGCCCCCTTGGTGGAGAGCATTCTTGGGTATGAGAGACTTGCCTTTTGATTACCCGACCAGCGATCCTCAGCGACGTGGAGGCCACTCTCAGGTCGACTGTGAGTCTCGGGACAAACGCGAATTGATTCCGAGACCGGATATAAACCTTGTCTCTTGCTTTCTCTCTCTGATCAATACGACGTTACAACCTCTCTTCTGGCGCATCGCGCCCTCTGATGAGTACACGAGCAAGTGATTGTGAGCTGAGATGTACATACCTCTCATTCTGTGAGACTAGTCTTTTTGGTAACTCACCGGAGGCCAAGCAAGGGATTTATGATAGCGACCGAAGCTGGACGTGTAGGAAGGCGGCGAATCAACATAGAAGCCATAGATGTTCTTGAAGATTCCCGGTCCTGCTGTCGTACAGCAGTCCAATGGTTCCTGATGAGGTTGCGACATGATAGAGGTCGATTTGTTACCCGGTGAATGAAAAGTTTCATTATCACCAGAGATCACCTTGCCTTGCGCTTGCGACTTCGTGACCTGAAACGTCGCATCCGCAATGATGCAGCTCGAAAGGAGACAAGACAGGGTGATGAAACGGCTGAAACCATGCCTTCACGAAATCGCTTCTGCACTGGAGATGCAGAGCACGGAACGAGCACTTCAAGATCGTTAGTTGTTGACGGGATTTCTTCCGGGTGAGTTAGCAGCATGAAAAACATGCATGGATACTGGCTCATCGTCCCAAGGATTTTGGGAGATGTTTTCGTCCATCCACTGCATTTACTAATTGGTTCATGAACCCGCAGGCTGTCTGAACCAAGATTGCGTGACGATCCTACTGAACAATGATAGCCAGGTGGAACTCTTCAAATTGTATGACTCGATGAAAGGTGGGCACGAGCTCCCTAAGTGACAATACATGACCACTGATGCTCATCCACTCTGTTAATACTTCTGATGATAATCATTCTGAATCGGAGTGCCTGATGTAGGAGAAAACCGTTCAAGCTCGAGATCGCTCATTGAGCGCAAATTCCGCCAGTTGCGCGCAATCCGAGTCGAAATTTATCGAGCCGTCTTCGAAGGGGTATATGAGACACCGTTGAGGAAGAACAAATGTAACATACGAGAGATCGTGTCGTAGCCACGTAGGGACTGAGTGGTCTAGTTCAAAAGCGATGCTCGAGATCGCTGATCAACCTGTTCATTCTGATCAGGCATGGAAGGTCGTCTAGATTGAATATGCGTTGTGTGTCGGCGATCTTCAGCGCGAGGATGACGATTTCGGCCTGGACGGTCGTCAGACCGAGGGGCGACCTTGGCATGCTTGTCAAACTGGAACGTCGTTGTCTCCAAGACTCTGCCCTCAATTATCGGGAATTGATATCAACACCACTCAAAGCTTATTCAAGGATGACGTCCCCGTTCAGAGCATACTTTGAACGATCCATACAGGTCCTGAAACAAAACTCGGCCAAAGGTGAGCCTACCCTGAGCCTAAACCCCGCGTCGAGTTGATGCTGACAAGGCAATCCCCATCTGCCCCGCCTTTAGTACTGAGCGCAAACCCTTCGCCGAACCTGCAACAGGGGCACCTAGTATACTCGCTCTCGGCCTCTCAGAATCCCAACCTGAACATCAAAGACTACGCGACAGGGTGCGATGGTGATATCGGCGGTCTGAGCACATGTACCCTGGATCTGGATGAGAACGGGGATGGCAGGTTTTGGGGCGAGATGAAGTTGGGTGTCAAGCGAGAATACGAGGGAAAGGTCAGGGGAGGTTATGCTGGATTCAGGAACAAGGTATGCTTGTGTTTGCGGTCTAGAGAGGCATCGGCTTAAGAGATGACTGCTTCTTTCGCTAACTTTATACGTTGGGTGAACTTCAGAACCTGCCTACCATGTTCGGTGCTCTTCACCATGACTTGTCTCTTTATACCCACCTCGCCATCACCCTCCGGCCGTCCGGTGAACCGGCCACCCTACGTCATTGGTTCATCAACATCCAGACCGACGGACCCGTGCGGTCAGACCTGTTTCAACACCGACTCCCCCTCTCCCCTTCCCAGTTGGTCGCTGGCAAAGGCTACAACCAATGGCAGACTGTACATGTCCCGCTGAACGGGTTCGTACTGACAAACTCGGGTGCCCTCAGTGACACGCAGATCCCGATGATGAAGAACAAGATCCGGACGGTCGGGTTCAGTATCCTTGGAGGAGGTCGAGAGCCAGGTAGTCCGTCTGCCGGTCTACAAGGAGGAGGAGGAAAGAGGGCTTCATACCCTGGTACCGGGGATAGCGAGCTGGACATGATCGAAGATGACCTGACACTTCGAGCCAAGGAGACTAGGGATCAGGAAGAGGACTTGCGGCCCCAGGGTTTACGACCGGGTGAGGAGGCTTCGGAGGAGGGTGAACATGCCGCTGCTGCCTTGGGCGGGATCGAAGGGAGGTTTGAACTGGGGATCAAGGAGGTACGGGCTGTCAATCTCGACAACGAGGCGCCGGAAGAATCAGGTGAGCGGGAATGAGGTTCTGGTCAATTCTTCTTCTTTGGGCAAAGATGCTGAGAATGACGGATTGTCGGGCTTTGAGCAGTGTGGTGAACCAGTGGCCATGATCCTGATGGCAAGAGGGAAGGAGAGAATTGTGATGATACCGATGAGACAGATAGTCGAGGTCCCGAATCCCTTGATTGCGATTCTGCTTCGAAATTTGAAATCCCTCCTATTGCAAATCAACCAACGTAAGCAATCACCTTGCTCGTCGGTGGTGATTGGAGACGTCAGATTGCCGTCATTAATGTTGTTGATGCTGTGAGAGCTGATGTAGCTACGTCTCGTGAATCGAACTACATTTCTGCCTGAACTCGCGTTGACGCGACGCGTCTGATCGGGGGATGCTCGTCATCTTCGCATCTTGGTAGCTTGGTATCTCATTCGCCTCGGTGACGTTCTTGCCAACTATCGTTCAAGACGAGACAGGTCATCGCTACTACTACTAGCAGTGAAGCACACCAACACTCTTGTCGAACAATACCCGGCATTCCCTCGTCATGTCGAGCTAACCTCCGCTGCTGAGAGTCCGATAGCGATTCGATCGCTAGCTATGTACACGGACAGGATAAAAAGCAGCCAGTCTCCAGACATAGCACTCATCTGGCCCTTGCCAGAGATTATACCTTCTATCTCGTCTGCATCCACGCCGCCGTCTCCTCGGCCAATCCTCCCGGGTGTCAAATCTGGCTCGCCTGCCTCACCGGAACTCAAGAGGAACAGGACGTCGAGTTATACGTCGCAACCACGACCTGGCCATAGTCAAGGTCGAAGCCAGGACCCACTCTACCAGCATTTACAACCACTTCCGACCATACCAGGGTCGCCCAGTGTCTCCTTGTCGCAAGCCTCGGTCTTTCAGCACATCGCTAGCGAGATCCCATCCCTTTGCACCGAGAACGGAGCGCCGCCCACGAACGCTTCTCTCATGCGGGAAGAGACGTACTACTTTCCAGAGACCTTGTCCCAGATCGAATTCGTACCCAGTCAGCCGATCACCTTTGAAGCGGCGTTCTCTCAACAGATGAAAGAACCACGAGCTGGTCCATCTTTTCCATCCTCTGCCTCGTCATCGAAGAGGTTGGAACAGATCGCTCTGAGCGATTTTTCGATCTTGAGCGAGACGGGTATGGTCATGGGGACTACCCCTACACAAGCCAGTAGCAATGTCGGTGAAGTATGGACACAGAAGAACGATCAAAGGAGTCAGACTCGCATCCGGTCCTCGCCATCGCGTAGCCCGGCCCAGACTCGGGAGGCACCAGTCTCTCCGTCACGGCCGATCCTGGCTGCAAAGCATCTCAACTCTCCCTCCCGACCCACTACCGTTCCCGCCAACTCTGGTCTACCTACTCCGCCTTTCACAGACGCTCGCAAGTCAAAGCCATCTCGGATCAATCGGCGTGATCACGACTCTGCTGGTGATGCCAAGGACGACGAGCTGGAGGAGGAGCTCAGGGACTTGAAACGCTGTACGAGCAAGTACGGGATCTTGTCCCCGCCGAGCAGTTCCAATACTGGCGGTCATAGTGAGCGCGACGAGGCGAAGACCGATTTCGTCGATCCCTTCAGCGCCGAGTTCGATGAGATGGAGGTCGAGGTCGATTCGGACGACGACGACCGGGGAGTCCAAAGGTTTCAAGCAGGGGTTCCCGTCACTCACGCCAAGAGCAAAGAGGCCCGGATGGATGCATTAGGTATGTCAAGTTGGACTATCCACGCTTACGAAAGGATCACACCACTCAAATAGATTATGATGCTTCTTCTACAAACAGCGAGATTGAAGAATAAGCGAAACCGGCTAGATATCGCTCCCGTCTCGCCTGTTCCACGGGCCAAACGACGCGATTCCATCGCTGTCGAAGAGCCGCCTCGTAGCGTGTTGTCCTCGGATGACGAAGTAGCGAGGACAAACGACTCGATATCTCCGACAAGGTTACCCCTGGTCAGACCGAAGAAGCGGCGAAAGATAGCTGGGAGTAGTCAGATGACTGAGCCAGAAGAAGCTCATGGGCTGAGGGTGGAAGGCAAGGATGCGAGATCATCCGGAGCTGGACGGTCCCAGAACGAATGCTCGCTTGCACAGAGCGAGAGTATAGGGGCCCAGGCCGAAGATACCGGTATGCTTGACCCCGAGCAGGATGGTTCAATCTCGGGCAGTCCTGGTCTACCGAACACGAGGTTGAGCCCAGCTCGGAGAAGCACTATCGAAGGGGAAGAGCAAGATCGACTTGTGAGAGACGTTGATGATCAAGGCGAGGTTCGGCCTGATTTTCACTCGCACCAGGTTGCAGAGGGATCTCTACCTGCCCCGGCGGTTGCTCGCAGCTCGACCGCAGAGGATCTGGCGAGAATGTTCGATGACGATGGTGTGGAAGATGAGGATGAGAATGGATCGATCGAGGAACCGGATGTCAAGGTCAAGAGCGAGAAAGCCCTTGGTAAACGCCCGCAACGCGATCTGGCGTCCATGGTCGATGACAATGCCGAGGACGACGACATGCAGGCCTTTCCCGGAAACAACTTTGTGGATCTTACGGAAGATGACGTGGGGGACGAGTATGAACCGGACAAGTACGAGCTCACGCAGGAGCCCACGGCGGAGGACGACGATGACGATCTCGATCCTGGACTCGGTCTCGGTGATATAGACGACTTTGACGCGTTTGACTGGGACCCTTCACAGCCCCTGCGTGAGGCATCACCCGAGGTGGACGTGACCACCGATGGTACCGCTCAGCACCAGGAAAGACAGCCCAAGGAAACGAGAGAACCCTTGATCAACCCGTTGAGGACGATCTCTTCATTGCCGGAAAAGTTGAAACAATTCTACCTGACCCACTGGTGTCGGACGAGCACGAGAAAGGCGGGCGAGCTCGTCGGACCCGAAGCTCAGTTGGCAAACGATCGAATCGTTCAGGCCGAAGTGGCCGCCGCGGTGGACAAGCGGATGAGAGGCAAGACGTGGGAGAATACGGCGTTGAACAGGACGGGAAAATCGACAAGCGGAACGGCGGCGGGCGCGAGAGGAGGCAGGGGTGGTGGGAGGGGTGGTGCACGGGGAGCTGCGAGAGGCAAGGCTTTCTTTATTCAGAGAGCCATGCGAGCGAGGAGGGGAAGGGGTAAATAGCAGTCGTTGTGGCCTAGCACCTTTGTTAGCCAGACGGTCTTGTGGATTTTGATCGCGGTTTTACCCAATCGGCTTGTCATCGATATAACAATATATCGCTCGAGCGATTGATGAATCAAGACTGTCAGGCTGCAGGATAACGCATCTCGACGTCTGCAAGTACATGCGTGTGTGCAGATGATTCGTCATCACCGGGTGAGTGGTGGTCGGCGGCTCGGCGGTCTAGCGCGCCAGCGGGGGGTTGGTTGCTCGTTGTAACTTGCGAGTATATCATTCGACGTCAAACGCTCGTCCCCCCCCCCCGTTCTACAAACTGAAGTACATGCCACGACGAAAACAACAACAATGTCAAACCCACCTGGTCTTCCCGGCGTCGAACGTCGATACGCCCAAGTCAACGGACTCAAGTACCGTGAGTCTCCTAGCCGTGTGTCCTTGTTGTACCCTCGACTCAGTCGCGCACAACCCCGACAGACTACCTCTTTAGCCAGAAGAGTGACTCTTACAAGGACACCATCGTCCTCGTCCATGGTTTCCCTGACCTTTCTTATGGTTGGAGAAAGGTGATCCCTTACCTTTCCGAAAAGGGCTACCGGGTCATCGCCGTCGACACGATTGGGTACGGTGGTACCGATGCCCCTCTGGACGAGGACATCTCGAAGGAAGTCGAGCTCTACACTGCCAAGCAGAACGCTACCTGTATCAAGCAGCTCGTCGAGCAGATTGCCCAGGACGAGGGCAAACAAGCTGAACCCGTCATCGTTGTCGGACACGACTGGGGTAGCTACATCGCCCAGAGGTTCGCCCTCTGGTACCCCGACATGACCAAGGCGTTGTCTATCGTCTGTGTCCCTTGGACCCCGGTCACGCACGAGAGGCTGGACATCAAGGAGATCGTCAAAGTCCTCCCGAATTTCGCCTACCAAATCCAGTTTGCCAGCGGGGACGTCGACAAGCGGGTCGCCGAGCTGGGCGATCAGGGTCTACGAAACTTTACCCTCTTTGGAGCTGGAGGCAAGACCGAGGATGGCAAGTCGGTCTTTGACCCCAAGAAAGGCCTCGACCTCGAAGCTTTGGGTGGCAAGGTCGTACCCACTCTGTACACGGACAAGGACGAGCTCGACTACGTCTTTGAAGAGTACAAGCGTCATGGCGCTCACCCTCCACTCAACGCTTACCGAGTGATGCCCCTGAACGCTCGGGACGAAAAGGCCCTGCCCAAATCGTCTGAGACACAGGTTCAAACCAAGACCTTGTTCATCAGGGCATTGAGGGACAAGGCATTGCCGCCCTTCATGAGCCAGGGGATGGACAAGTTCTTTGCTGAGGGCGTCCTCACCGTCAAGGATATCGACGCGGACCACTTTGTCCAGCTCGAAAAGCCGGACGAGTTCAACGAGGTGTTGGGCGAGTGGCTGGACACGGTCGTCTCGGGTCAGAAGAGCAGTCTCTGAAGGGGTACATGCCATGTCGTCCATCGATACAACAAAGATAACAGAAAGATACAACACTTGTGAGATCGGTAACTTAGGGATAATGGAATTCGAATGACCCGCTATGACAAATTTCTCGCCGCGGCTTGGATTTCGGCCCTCGGCTGTTCCAAGATACCGATACCCCTCTCCAACTTGGATCGATGAGCCCTCGAGCCAGAGCCACCCTCGCCACGATGAGCCGCGTCTTCGAGGTCCGAAGCTTCGGATGAACTGATACTCGAGCTGTAGTTGCTCCCACGTCGCATGAACGTGACTCCCTCGCCTTCCCTCTTTTTGGCCTCGGCTTGTTGCTTCCGAATCTCCTTCAATTCGTCGCTCCCAGCATGGAGCACCGCGATCTTTAGCCCGGGCAAGTTCCTCTCGAGGTACCCTTTCAGGACGGGTAGCAATTCCTTCTTGGGTCTATAAGTCCCAGAGTCTTGATCGATGACCAGTTCATAGTGTTTTGGATGTCTCGGCGGTTCTTCATCCGGTGGCCCTCCTGGTAAATGATCAGGTGGGTGGGTCTTGCCCGACGTATCACCACCGCCTCCACCATCACCTTTCCCTGCATGAGGATCGATCCTCCTGATCAAAAACTCTCCCGCAAAGGCGACGTATACGTCTGCATCCGCATGTCCCATGTGCTTGGACATGAAGTCCGTCGTGAAGTTTTCCCCCGTCTCACAGAACCGCAACATCGAATTCAGGGTAAGGACATAGGTAAATTGTCTCCCTCCCTGATCCCAATGGGCTAGCTCGAGGAATTTTCTGGTAACCTCTTTCCTTGGTGTCGATTCTACGGGGTCGTACTCGAACTTGCCGGACTTGCATCGCTTGTCATAAGCGTACACTCGGGCGTGTTGTTTGTGAATCGCCTTGTTCAAGAGTTTCCCTCGGATGCCCGAGGCGGTAAAGAGCGGGGCGACGAACCACTTGAAATCGACGTAACGGTGGTAGAGCTCAGACGGGGTCGGACCTTGCAGTTGAATTTCGTTGGCCTCGAAGCTGGGAGCAGACAAGGGCAGGACCTGGATCAGCGATGGAGACCAGTATAAAATGCCTTGAACAATGTACATACTCGTATTGCGCCACCTGTCCTTCCTTGCCTCTACCTTCCCGCTCTTCCCCTGGACCTCCCTTGGTCCCCGCGATCCTGCCCAAAAGCGGCGAATAATGCTGCCACCACCGCCCTGGTCCGAGCGTGAACGCCCTGCCCACGTTCCACTCGTCTCCCGGCTGTAGGCTCCCGATCACCTCGACGGATATCTCAATCTCGTCCCTCTGATGCCTGTACGTCTTGTCTCGGCACAATTTGAGCGGGTTCAAGATGTTCGACGCTGCCCGAGCTAGGTTGACCCTCCGACCCGCCCAACGTTTCTTGAGTTCGAAACGTTGTCTCTTTATATCCTTCCACTCCGGTCCGCCGAGATCCCGAATCTCGACCTTGAGGTGGCCGAGTCGGTCATCGTGGCTGGTGAAATCTTCATCCATGACGACGACCTTCATCGTGCCTCCTTCTTTGGGGAACCCGCCAATGATCCACTCGTCCTCCCACTTGGGCTCGCGCGTGTTTCGTTCGGTCCGACCTCGATAACGCAAGGGCGGGTCTTCCCGGTGTCTCGGGGCGAGCGACGGGGTGTCCATCTGAGCCATGATATATGGGTCTGCAGAGAAGCTCGGGAGGTCGGCGGGAGGGAGGGTGGTAGCTCGATGAAAGGTGACCTTGATGATATAGGTTTCCACCTCGGAGGGAGGCAGAGGCATGGGGTCGTACCCGCCCTCTGGCTCGGACGATCCGTCGTCTTTCCCCTTGCCCTTCTTGTCCTTCTTCAGACTCTGCTTCTCCTTGTGATCCCGCCTCCGGACATGTAACCCATGACCGTGCTCTCCATTCGCTACCTTCTCCTCGCACTGTTCTGCCAATGGAGCGACCCGCTCTTGACCGTGATGTCGGTTCAGGAGCTTTTCCTCTATCGCGACCATCCCCCGTGCTTCTGTCGTGTTACCTTGCAAGGTCGACGACATCTTCTCAGTTCCCTCGTCCTGTCGTGTCGATGTGAGTGCCGAGTCGATCTTCTTGTACTCCTAGGCGAGTGTAACGGGTCGCAAGCCAAGTGAAGCACCGTTTCGTCTCCCTTTCATAGTGTACAACACCTCTCCGTCTCTCCTTATCTTGGCTCTCGAGGTTTCTCTCTCTTTACAAACTTTCTAGGCTCTCAGTCCTTTTTCCGCAGCAGCAGCAGCGACCTGATCTGGTCCTCGAGAGCTATAAATTGATCTTCCCTTCGGCCTTTGTTAGGTCCTCGGTGATGCCCGAAAAAGGTCACACAGAGAGAGAGAGAGAGAGGCACGGTTGGAGATGGCAGCATCGTATCGAGCTATCGAGCTACCAACCAGACTTTTAAAGCTGTGTCGTATGTTTGTGCGTCTCCCCCTCCGGACCCATCGTCGATGATGATGATGATGTGTGATCTTGTGACTTGGCCCCGTCGAAACTACACAACAAATGCGCAGCAGGCCAGGACGCAGCAGCAGGTAAAAACCACCGAAACGGCTGGCGTTGCCGATCATCGTCGCGCGGAGAAACGGAACCGAAGCGCCTCGACGTCATCGCCGGCGGCCAGGAAGAAGGTGCGAAACCATTCTGATCCAATATTATTATCGGTGCTCTCTACGTCTAGAAACTCTTGACAGACATGTCGCCACCCTCACTCCCTCTATCTATACCTGATCTGCTGACGACCTTCCGCCCCTCCATACACCTCATATCGACCCAGCACCAGCTTCGACCGCGCCCTTGACCGCACCACCGGCAGCACCCGCGGCCAGCTTGCCCTGACCCTGCAAATACCTCTGCAGGTCGTGCAACAACGTCAACTGTTCCTCCGTAGTCAGCGAGTTGACTACGGTCTGAAGCACCGAGCCGACCGTCACGTGGTGGACCCTGATGAGGCTGCTATAGTAGACCGCACTGAAAATGCCCATGATGAATCTAGGGTAAAGAGGGAGAGAGGACGGGTGTGCCTTCAGCGTTCATGCGTGCAATTTAAAAAGACTTCCTGGCTCGAGATGGACTCACTGGCAATCCATGCGATCGGTCATCCCCCCATGTCCAGGGATGCTATCTCCGAAATCCTTGATATCAAACGCCCTCTTGAAGCCGCTCGCAAAGAACCCTCCAAACGGCGCCACGAGCGAGGCAAACGCGGCCATGATCAACGAGTGGATCTGGAATGGCGCGTACGGGATCGAAGGGATATCTCGGCCCACGATCGACTGGGCGGCGGATTGAACGAACGAGGGCCATTCGAACGAGGTCCAGAGGAAGACGGGGTTGGGAGTGCAGTGAATGTCGGACCAAGCGCTCACGCCGAGGTCTTGGGCGGGGCAGGTCATGTAAGGGAATCGCATAAAGAACGTTCCCCACTGGCGTCGAGGGGAGAGAGAATTAGCTTCAGCGCCTGAACATGCACTAGCGGGGACTCACAAAGACGGCAAAGATCGAAGTGCAGAAGAACGCTCCGACGAAACCCTCGACGGTCTTTTTGGGGCTCAACTTGAACAAAGACGTCTTTCCAAACGTTTTGCCTGCGGGCATCCGGCGAGACAGAAAGATGTAAATCAGTGTTTGGCATAGCAGGGAATGTTCGGACCCGCGACTCACCACAAATGTAAGCAAAGATGTCGTTACAGATGACGAGCGAGGCGGGGACAAAGAACCAAATCATGCCCTCGAGAATGTTGTTGACGATAAAATGGCTGTCAGGGTTGGGGCGAGGCAGATCAGCTTGGTGATTGTTACTCTCGTGATGCATGTCGACCCACCTCGAGACGACGATTAATAGTAGCGTCATGTGGACCCAACAGAAGAGACCGAATTGTCGTCTCAAATATTGCTTTTGCAGGCTCATCACAAAGCCCATGAAGCCTATCGCGCACGAAAAAGGTCAGCGGCTACAGGGTTTCCGCCAAGAGCATCTCGGATTGGGACTCGCCAAATACATAGAGCATAAAGCTGATGAACCTGTGATTCTGCGCAAAGGGCAAAAAGTAGGCGTCGACAAAGACGATGTGCTGTGCGCCGATGAAGCAGTCGCATGATCCGTTAGCTCTGTTGCCCCTTTTCCGTTTCGCTAGAGAGGTAGCAGATAGGGAAATAGACTGACTTTGAAATAATAGATGATACTCTCGCCGTACAAAAAGTAGTTGCTGACGACGAAAAAGTACCAGTTCAACGTCTTGCTCCATTGATCTCCAGCTTCGGTGTTGTTCTCGGTCGTGTCGTTTTCTGTAAAACAAGTCCAACCTGGCAGCGTGAGTATGATGTTATACGCATGACCAGGAATCGTGCCACAGAGCTCACTAAAGGACAGGTCGAACAGGGCGGTAACCTCTTTGTAGACGAGGCACTGGATGACAAAGACCAACAGGATCATATATGGTGATCCGAGGGCGAGGAGGACTGTGCACAGCAAGACAATCGCAGAACATCGAGATTAGCCCTCCACGTCTCGATGATCAAAGCGCATCGCAATGGGAGTCCCGACTTGCCCAAAAAGAAGGTGATCATGATCAAGGTCCAGACGGTCCTCTCGACCGCATTACTCTTCTTCTTGCCCTGCACGACCTCGGCCAACTCCCCCAGGTTCTTCTTGACGACCTCGAGCTCTTCCTTGGTATACCTCCCTACACCGGGGATGACCGTCTCGCCCTCTTTTCCCTGTCCCGGGCTCAAGCCATCCTCGAATTTGACCCCTTTCGAAGGCGGGGTCACGACTCCCTTGTTATCCAGGTTGAACTCGGTAGGAGCCGGGCGTTTGTGGTTCGAGTTGAAGATCTCCGTCTCGGTAGTCTTGTCGTCGGTGGATTGAGCCGAAGTATTGGGAGAGGATGGGACGGGGAGCGAGGCAGGAAGCGAGGGGGAGAACGAGGTAGAGGGGAGCTGAGCTGGGTCGGTCTTTTTGCTCTTTTTGCCCTTTTTCGTAGGCTTGGCGGTGGAGCTCCCAGCCGACGTGGTTTCAACAGTGGCAGAAACTCCTTGTCCTGCTCCATTAGAAGGCGCTTCCATGGGTTCCGATGTAGGCTTGTCGCCGGTCAAGCTGGAGATGACTTCGGGCAACGAAGGAGCCAGGGCGGCAACCTCTTCCACTTTTTCCTTTACGCTCTCCTCTACCTTTTGAATCGTGGACAACGATAAGACCGGTTCGGGTGTCTCGACTGTAGGCGTCGAGTTTGCTGAGGACTTGTTCTTTCCCGACCTGAGTGTCCTATCAGTCTCCTTTCGTTCATCGAATCTGCAGATGGTGCGACCTACTTTTTCTTCGAGACGACCGGTTCCTCTGCCACCTGAGCCGTAGAAGGGCTAAAAACTTGCTCATCCTCGTGCTCACTTTCGGACGCTGACGCTGCGCCGTCGTCCATGCCTAACAGGTCGAACCGGCCCTGCGAGGCGTAAGCGATTCGGGGAGGCATCTGAGCAGCTAGACTGTTCTGCTTGGTGGGTTTGCTTTGGAGGAGAATCGGCGTCGTCAGATTCCTACGATATACAATTCCCGTTTGCTGCTACTGACGGCTTTAGGGGTGGTCGAGAAGCAAGAACCGTCGTCGATTGCAGATTACATTCTCGGTGTCGTTGATGTCGTCGTGGTCGCTGGAACGAGATGCGATGCTCCGTTCAGGGAAATGCGAGTCACGTGATTTCAGATCCAAAGTTCCCTTGTGATCGATGACGCAACGCGCGCGAGCTCTTGGAAAACTTGCTGGAGACGAGACAAAATCTGTCGGGGACGAGACAACGTAATATTGCGTAAGGGTGGCTTGCCGCGAGGGTGACGTAAGCGTATCACGTGATGTCTACCAAGCATGTAGACTACCGACTCCCTCTTGTACGAAACTCTATGCAGACCGTCGTATCGTTACGAGGTGTCGAAGACCAGTTTATCAGCGACATATCATTTGATATGAACAAACACGCCGAATGGGGAGGAATTCCACCTCCCCCAGTATAAATACAACGTATGGGGGGGGAATTTCACCCCCCCCGTTGTCTATCGAAACTAATTATCTTTGAAAAACCCAAAGATAACGAACCGGTTGAGAGCAGTTCTGGAATTTAAAAATCAGGATCTTACTCCTGTCGACCCCGCCGTATCGTTACGCCGTCTAGTTCTCGTCGTCGGAACCGGTGATGTGCTCCTTGTGAGAGACGAAAGGGTGGTTCCCGTCGTGACCACGAGCCGCGTGACAGAGATTGGCCTTCAACTGCTCACGAATGAGCAGGACGTGTCCTTGTCGAGCCTCCTTGGTCATTTGACCTTGGGAAAAGATCGTCTCAAGGACGGCGTCGATCCTCTTCATCGGATGAGCGTCAGGGTCGTTGGCGATGTCCCCGACACGAGGGTCCCGAGCGTGGCAGACGGCCTTCTTGTCCTTGCATTGGCCGCAAGTGCGTTCGTCGGACGATCCAAGGTTCTTTCGGCAGAGGAAGACGGGGCCGTACTTGACACAGTGGACGAGGGGGCGGTGGATGTTGTCGGGATCGACACCAGGGTTGCTGACGACGAGCTGGTTCTCGTCGATGTAAGAAGGGGGCTCGTTCTTCTCGATCACCCTTTGGTAACAACCGAGGCAGGCGACCTGCCATCCACCGCGCCATTGATCCTAGATATAGAGTCAAATCGTAAGCTAACATCGATGAACAACGATGTAATCGAACGACTCACCAACCAGCCGTTGATCGGCTTGATGTTGACCTTTCCGGATCGGTTAGGCCTCAACCACGCCATCAGCAAGTCCACGGGCGGGAAGATAGGAAGAACCGCGCGTTCTTCCTCGTCGACGATGATCTCGGCGACTGAACGAAAGAAAAATACGAATAAGATAAGCACCGTAACGATACGACGGAAATGAACACATTACTCACTCGTCTGGTCGTCCCTCCACCCGGCCCTGTCGTTCTTCACCCCGCCTTTGTCGACCTTGATCTGAAGACAGGCGACGTACGCCCCAGTGCTGAGACGCATGACCGGCTTGGTGTTGTCGTTAGGAAGGTAGGGAATTTCGGCACCGTCGACCTTCGACACGATCTGCCTGCGAGTCTTCTTGGAGGGGGAATGGTCGATTCCCTTCTTTCCCCCCTTGGCGATACGTTGGGCCTCGTTGTTGGCCGCGACATATTGATCGATCCAATCCTCGAACGAGACGAAGCCGGTCGGGTGAGCTTTGAGACCGGAATGGGGCAGGTTTTCCGGCCATTCGAGGAGATATTCGAGACGAAAGAGTTTTGCGCTAGACATATCGATCCCTATCAGCGACAAGACGTATAGCAACAACGAGAAAAAGCTATAGACTCACAGCTCTTCGTTCTGAGCCTGAATCTGATGCTGGGTGTTCAAGAGGGCCTTGTCCGCCTTCGAGACCACCTGGAGTTCTTCATCGGAGTCGAGGTCGTTCATGGTTGCACTGTAAAGCACAGCATCGATGATCAGATTGAGTATAAAGACAGTCGAACGCGGTACTAACAAAATGAGTTTGTATTATAGGCGTCACGTGACGCGCGACCTACGGTGCGCGTCGCCTCGGGGTCTCGTTCGGAGACCCTCTCGGGGACTCTCTCGGAGACCTTTTAGGAGGTGTTCTCGCAGACGTCTAACTAGTACCTTGTAGTAGTTAGACATCCGTTATTACATTGCTATGCCCACCGTTACCTTTCCCCAGTCCCGCGACCTTATTACCTCAAGACCCGGCAGGTCGGCTGCCAGGCCTTATAGTTTGCTGGCGATGAAGAACAACAATGATCAGTTGAGAGTCCTTTGTACGCCGTATCGATACGAGAGGACTCACAAAAGTAAACAAGAGAATGAATCCCACTTATTTCAAGTCCGAGTACGAGTCCCGAATTGAAGAGTAGGTGAATAAAGGTGAATTGAAGTGAAAGGGGGATCTCCTCGAATCGTAAATGAGCTGTCGAGTTATATGTTTTTTGTTTTGCTAGGCAGGAAAAAAACTGTCGACGTGTCGTACGATGGTGATGTCATGACTCGGTTAGCCAGATTCCAGCATTGAGGGGTTGAAACACATCGTCTTGACGACGGTGGTCGTATGAGACATCGTTCAAACTCAAATCTAATTCTGGCATATCTGACAGAGGAATACGCGACATAAAGAACGATCCACAGAACAAGCGGCTTCATCCGACGCGCGCTAAACTCCCAAAGGCATCTTGAAACGATCAAAGGGTCCTTTGACTTTTTTCCATACGCCGTATCGTTACGGGGAGGGTTTTAATCGGAGTTTGGCTCATCAATCATCCCTGTCGTCGAGGCTGAGTTGATGGAGCGAGCATCACACCAACGCTCAGGTCCCCCTGCCTTTCGTGGACATCGGTTCCTGGAGTTCTTTCAATGGAAAGGGTGCTCATCGCTCTACCGTTGTTCGATTGTTGCGATGCTGCTCGACGAGCAGATCCTGCTAATACCTCAGCCTGCACGATTGCCAGGCCTTGCTTGCACTTGGGTGAACGATAGTTATGTGGCCCTCCACACACACTGCACGAGACTGGAGCTCTATCCGTAGTGTTAGGTGCGCTCGAGGTCCGAGCCCGTTCTTGATTGATGATGTTCTCGTGACGAGAATAGGCTCTGCCTGTCTTGGCAACAGGGGTATCGACAGCAGCCGGTGGATCGACACGAGCTAGCGTTTCAGCCAAGCCATGCGACTGTTGATAGCTCGGCGCGACAGCATTTTTCTTTTTCTTTTTTTCTTTTCCCACGTGTACCGCCTTCATGGGATCGAGAATGGTTGGATCATCTTCTCCTCTCGGTGGTAGAGCATCTCGATCAACAGGGATGTATCGATTGACGATTGGAGGAGCGATGTTTGCCCTCGTTCGTAGTTCCAATTCGCCTGTTTCCCTCGTAACGATACGGGGGATATAATGCCCGATCGCTTGAGCCTCTTCCACCAGCTGTTTTTTGTGTACCAGATGCCAATGGCTGTGTATCTCGTGTAGTTTGATAGGCTGTACTCTAACTCCGCGTATGAGACTATCAAACACGTGCTTGCAGGGTAAGCCTGTGCTTTGCGTATAGAGACATAGCCCAGGGAGTTTGAACATCTCGCCCGTGTCGATATCCTCTTCCCAAACATCTTTGCACCTGTCGAGTGGTTTATGCTGGACCATGCTGGCACGAGCATGGGCATAAGGACCCACTATCATAAGACGTAACGCGTGTCGAGAGATTCTCCCTTGTACCTGTAAATGGTCGATGTTATTCGTAACGTTACGACGTTTACAAAAGAATATTGAACCCACCAGTGCTAGACTCGGCGGAAGTTCCACCCATCCTCGCCCTTGTTCGTGTGCGTGTTTGGTAAAGATACGGTATTGACCAGCTGTCATATATCGTAGCACATTGTTGGTGACATGGTACAGATCACTAGCTCGAGCGTTCAAAGAACGTTTGAGAGCTGCATGTGATCCTTCGACGACACTCGTGGCTGTTGCATTGAGGTGGAATTTCCCCCTCGTGGCATAAGCACAGAAGTATTCGGCGTCGTTGAACAGTGTCATCATGTAGGTACATGCAGCCTCTGTATCGTCGCGATAGGTCCACTCCATTGCAAAGGAGGTGAGCACCTCCTCGAATTCAGTGAGCGTGGGAGCTCGTACAATGCGATACCAATGGGCGAGCATGTTGTTCCAATCCTCCTCGGCTATTCCCTTCTTACGAGACACGATGTTCTTGTTGATATGCCAGATGCAGAGCAATTTTGTCGTCTCTGGATAGACACGGTCGATAGCGTTTCGAAGAGCCTTATCATTATCGGTGACGAATGTTTTCACCGGAACGATACGTAGTAAATCTCTGAGGTTATGCATCGCCCAAAGATAATCGTCTTCTTGTTCCCTGGCTAGATACCCGAAGGCAATTGTAAAAGAACAATTCGCCCCGGTTGCTGCCACCACATGGAAGAGAGGCAGCTTGAATTTGTTGGTACGATAGGTACAGTCGATATAGAGAACTTCCCCATAGTGTTTGCCCAGCGCGAGTGCCATCGGATCGGTAATAAGTAGGTGTGTGAGTTCACCAAACTGTCCGAACTTGGCGGCGTGATGTGACCCTGAATTTTTCAGTTCTTGGATCAAGGTGTCGGTGCGCGTACGACCTCCCCCTCCTATACGATAGTATCGAGATCGCATGGTGTAGATCTCTTGTTCCGACACAAGAGTTTCCCGATTTTCACGTTTAGCAGTTTCTCGAAGTGAAGCAAGAATCCTATTGCTGTTGATTCCTGCATCAAACGCAGCTAGAACAGCGACGGTTTCAGCTGCAGTCGGTTTTCGATGGATATGTTGAGAGCGTGCTGAAGGGTCGCGAGGATGGTTGTGACGTAGTTCTTTAGCCACGACCGACCACATGCCTTTTGATAGTTTGGCATATAACTTAAATTCACAACCTCGACGTTTGGTGGAGGGTCGGCGGTTTGTCATAGGCCCGATTTCAGTTAAGTAGGCATGAGACGGTTTATAAACCCCACTGTACGGGCATACGAGATACACATATGCAACTTCGCCTTTCCTATCTTTAGCTGTACTGCCCTTGCGTACAGCGTAGCCATTCTGTTTGCCATGCAGATTGACAGCGTCGATGAGAGCAGTAAGGGTATAGGTGGGGCTGATAGGGGGGAGTCGAACATGGAAGTCATCGCTTGGAGGTTGGTCGGGAAGGTCGGGAGGGAGATTTATGTCGGTAATGTCATCGGCAAGTTGATAAAGGTCTTGGACGGCGGCTAGGGGAGAGGGAATACATTCGATGTCGAGTTCCGCCTCCTCTTCCTCGTCGGGCAAAGGAATGGGATCGTATAGAGGGAAATCGAAGGGGGAAGACGGCGAGAGATCATTGATCGGGGTATTAACGACTGGAAGCTTCCATTCTTCTTCCGCGAAGGGTGATTCCACCACGCCTTGGGCATGTAATTGAGCGAGTAGGGCTTCCATACTAAAGATGATGTGGGTTTATACTACGTTTGATTGTAAGGGCTGTACACCTGGTACAAACACTTCTCGTGTAGAAGCAGTGTTTATGATGTGTTGATGTACGTCGTATCGTTACGGTGGGGTCACCCAAGTATAACTCTCAATTTCAAACAGACGTCGAACATTGCCAATATTATTACGGCATATTACGTTGAATTACGTTGTCTCGTCCCCGACAGGTTTTGTCTCGTCTCCAGCGAGTTTTCCGAGCTCTTGGTCTGAATCTCTGGTTGATCGTGTTTCTACTTTGGGATCAACATGAACTGGAGCTGATAGACGCTACTCTTTGGCTCTAGTAGCGTGTCGGGCTCGACGGGATATCCTTTCTAGAAGCGGATCATCTGTGGCACATTTCATGATGTATTAGTTCGACAAAGCCAGAAGCATACCCTATATGGAACTCATCGATGAGGGATACTTCAAACGATCCGGGCAGAGCGACATACCGTTTGCGAGATAAGGTTGGTCGACGCAGTCAAGCCATCGGCGTCACTGGCAGATAGGGATCTGCAAATGCTGTAGGATATGCTTGATGAGGATGAGAACAAGACTCGAGAGTATACATATGTTTTGATCAACGTAAATACCACGAGCATGGGAGTCTGCCAGTTGTTACTCTCGCTGAATCCATACCAAATTCGGGATCATGGCCATTAGCGATCTCGATCTCGATCATTTTGCTATGCTCCATGCGCGTGTTGATCTGCTTGATCTCGGATCTGATCGTGGCTAGACATAGCAAGCGCTTGCACTCATGGGCGCTCCAGTTCCGTATACGACCCTCATTGACTTCAGTGAACGTCTACAGGAAGGAGGGCAAAGCGCATGGCGTCATACTGTCGAACACTTAATACCTATCCAGTACCATTCTATGTGACGTCTAGCTGGTTATAAATCGGACTCATACGGAGCTACGGAGCGATGCGTGCGCGGTTGTGTTTCATATACAACCAAATCGCGCCTCGTCAGGAAGGACAGCTAAAGCATATCCGCGGTGCACGCTCTCGCTTGGGCTCCTTAGTCATCGCCCCCGCTCTTTCGGCTTTCGGGACATTCCCACGCTCGATCCACGTCAGCAAGAGGTCGTTGGACAGCGAAATGGACTCATAAGCATCATCAAATAGCTCAACCCATCCATATTCCACTCGACTTTGCCTCACAATTCCCAACCCAAAAACACCCTCATACCAACACTCTACTAAAACATTTCAAAATGGTCAAGGTGAGAGCTATATTCCTACGCTGGCCCTGGCTCGGTCGATCTGGATCCGAGCTCTAGTCTGGAGCGGGACGAGAGGAGGGACGAGGCGAGAGAGGTCACGATGACCCGAGCTGCTTCATAACCCTCATTTCCCCTTCTCAGTGCCTCACTCTCGATTCAACCTGATCTGATGGCTGATCGTACACATACGGCTCTATTATCTTATCTCTACCTGGAATTTGTCCCAAATCATGTCCCAAATCATCTCACGGCATAACACTCGTCCAATCGCATCATGAACCGCTCGACCCTGCAACTCTCATAGGCTGTCGCTGTCCTCAAGGGAGACTCCCCCGTCCAGGGAGTGATCACCTTCGAACAATCCGAGAACGGAGGTCCCGTCACCGTCTCGGGCGAGATCAAGAACATGGACCCTAACGCTAAGCGAGGGTTCCACGTCCAGTACGTACAGGTCTCCCCTATACACCCATCGACTAGATCGTTTCACCCTGACCGGGTGGTGGGTGACTCTCAAAATACTCGTCATATACTCATTCGATATCATATCTCTATTTACTCCAATTCTCTTCCTCATAGCCAATTCGGTGACAACACCAACGGATGCGTCTCTGCTGGACCTCACTTCAACCCCCACGGGGTCACTCACGGAGACAGGACCGACGAGAAGAGGCACGTCGGTGACTTGGGCAACGTCGAGACTGATGGTTCCGGTGTCGCCAAGATCCAGCTCGAGGGTGAGTCCTCCTTTCAATCGGCCTATTTTCTGGCTGAGGGCTGATTGCGAGGCTTCTCCGGGGCAGACTCCCACTTGACCTTGATCGGACCTCACTCGATCATCGGTCGATCGGTCGTCATCCACGCCGGAACCGACGACCTCGGCAAGGGCGATACCGAGGAGAGCTTGAAGACCGGAAACGCGTGCGTACCGACTCCCCACCATTGATCACACATATACGTGTAGCTGACCTATTATCTGGCATCGATGTCATATAGTGGTGCCCGAAGCGCCTGTGGTGTCGTCGGTCTTACCCAGTAAACTTTTCTTGCCGCGTACGAGTACAGGGCGAGTCGGACGAGTTTACCAGGGAACCTCTTGGTTGTGACATCATGTTGAAATGAAAGGTGAAAATCAATGGAATTGAACATACGTAGGAAAGTGGTTGCGGGTTGCATTTCCTCAATAAACCAGGCGGGTTTCAGGATGTATGAGTGAGACCGCGAGGCAGATTGTGTAAGACTGAACGAATCTATCTGCCTTCTGCTTATTAAGCAGTCGGACTGTTGGAAAGCCCTTGCATGAGTTTGAGTACCATTGATTGCGATCACGCCTCCTGTAGCGCCTTTGAAATGTCGATTGCAACCAACGTTGGAGGCAATTACTTCCGGCCGACCCACTCAGGCCTGGGAGACATTCAAAATGATCCGTCGTCTTACTTCTCTCTACTGCGCTACTGTTGAAGTCTGATAGGCTCGACATACTCACCTCTCGGCTTTCGACCGGTCTGAGAATCTCGGGTCAAAGATCATCCAAGCGTACACGGTAGATACGGTACGATGTCACGGGATGACGAGCCGAGATATGTCTTTCCCGCAGAAGGCAGGTCCTGGAACGACATTGAATGGTTGAGAGTCTGGAACAACAACTCGCAAGTGCTTCCAACGGAAGATCAAGCGTATGTCACGCAGATAACGATGTCTGTCGGATATGTACGGATCTGAAATATTGGTATTCAGGTGGAAGTACTTTCTGGCTTTGGGCCAGGTCGATGTCGAATCGGACAACTGGAACATACACGCCCAATTCAACGACGATCCGACGTTCACTTGGAACCGTATGAAGCAGTGAGTAAGAGCATGTTAGCACTCCCTCAGCTGCATCAGCCGGACTGATGACGATAATCTGACTGACAGGATACTTCGGACTATGCAGGGGAGACAATATCATTTCTCCCTCGAGCATAGTAATCCTCCCAATTATTGGGTCTTACAAGAGATAGATCAACGGACGATGGCCATCTTGGAGATTTGGACTATGGTTGGCTGCCAGGTTCTGAAATGCAATACTATTTACGACCTGATACAATCTAGACTTGTAAGATAACCATCTGATTCCGGCCTATACTGAACGAATCTAGACTAATCCAAGCCGTTCGCCTTGCAGCTCAACGTCACGGAACACATCTCGGCCTCAATGCAGATACTCGAATCCGCCGCTCCGCTCCCATCGATCCGAGAGCTCGGATTTTGGCAGTCCGCGCCAGTCCAAGTGCCAGGTCAGGACGAGCCGGTCCACCCGCCCGCTGGTGTCACTGCTGCTGCATCTACGCAGGCCGCCCAAGACCCTTTGGCCGAGACGCCTAGGAGCTCCGGGAAGGCCAAAAAGAGCCAGTCGAAACGGCCCCCAGATATGGCGTTGACGTTCGCACTGCGGACGATGCAACAGTCATTGTCGGAGATTATAGGAAAGGATGCGGTCAACGGTCAAAGTGTCAAGAGCAAGGAAGCTGAGCAGGCAGACCGGATGAAAGCACATGGAGCTGTGCCGATGTCGGGCAATGTGAGGGGTGCGAAACGGGGTCCGGACGAGACCGTCAAGGATCCCGCAAAGCAGGCACGATTCGCGATGTGATGGACAATCAACGGGCGGTGAAGAGAGATCCCGACAAATAACGACAACCTTAACGACTTCACGCTGTGCAGCCAGAGCTGCTTGGCCAAATCGACGCGCTCTAGACCGGTTCAAGCCGGGATATGAATGATTGTATACAACGATGCGATAGATGTCTAATGTCCATGCGCCTTGCGCGTCTAGAAGATGCCCCGAAGACGGGTGACAAGGCCCATAAGTAAGTAGAGGATGGCCCCGATCAAACGGAAAAGATTCGTCCCTGCGACAAAGATCAAGATGCACAGCATATAGACCGATGTTCGACTGGAAGACTCGGAGAATGTTGAGTATTTGCTGCTGCCGCCCAGGATCACTGAAGCTAATAGCGCGTTACTGAGGACATAGCCGAGCAAGACGTTGGTTCTTAATGTCCAAGAGAAACGTGATCAGCGATCTTGAAAAGCACGAGCAATTGAACCAAGCGATGGTGCTTACCTCACGTTGGCCTGAATGGCAAACGTCAAGGTGCATAAGTACCGTCAGCGAGTGCGCAACAGACCCCGAGCAAGAATGACTTACATAATAGTCTTTTTGCATCTGCTCTTCTTGTGAAGCCGACTTTACCTTGACGGCTTCCATCGGCTTCCTTACTCTCAGGTTGTCGAGCGCCTCGCTGTAAGCAGCATCGACGTCGTGTTGATCCGCCAGTAATTCCACCTCAACTTCGTTTCCAACACCCTTGACGGCTCCGAGGTCATTTTGCGTGGTATCGGCGCCTTTCGTACCCCAGCTGACATCGTTGGTGTTAGCGAAACCGTAAACATTCAGGATGTTGATACTGGCTGCGGTAGTATCGGGATGTTAGCCTTGCATGGATATTTAGCGAAAAGTCACGACTCACATGCTTGGAAGAGAATGTACTGGCCCGCACTAGTCAACAAATGGAAGGGATCTGCAGCCAGGAGGCTTGCAACCACAAAGACAGCGTAGGTGGACACCACAGAAACGATCATTTGGGCAAAAATGGGGTCGTGGATGTTTTTGAAGGCCTGTACCATGCAGACGATAGCAGCAGCGATCATGTATACCGTAAGCACGGCGAAGATGACCACTGCTGAGGTGTACTTCCATACAGATCTGTGACAATCTTTTGTTTAGTCGTAGAAGAAAAAAACCCGAGCTTTGAGTCACAACTTACCCCTGTGGTCTGTTCCCCATGCTGAAGATGAAGCAGGCTATGACCGTGCCCAGATAAACATATTGCATCACAGCGTTCAAGATCGAGATCTTGGGTACTCCGAAAGCGGGATCTTCTAGCGCCGATGTGAGGATGATCTGCCCGGACTCTGTGGTCAGTATATGTTGTGTATGCCGCTGTGCATGGACACTCACGAAGAAGATGTAAAAGTTGGCCAGAGAGAACCACGAGAAAGCAAGCATGATTGCATTGTAGAAAGCCTGCAGGAGCAATGCCATCTTGCGGAAGAAACTATGTTCCGTCTTGAACAAGTCAAAGACGTGGGTAAGGGCGTAGACCTACAAACGAAAGCGAGAGTTTGTCAGCACGATACTGGTGCATGGCACCAGAACTGAAACTCGCCGCCGCAAAGAAGGATCCGTTGAGCCAACTGACGGAAGAAATCAAGGTTCAATCAGATCCGAAACGGCTACATTACCAGAAGATGACGCTTACCGACGACGTTGACTGATAAACTCTGGAATGGCTTCAGGCGCATCTGTTTCGCCGACTGCGGCGCTGACATATTTTAGCACGTAATTGTGTTTCGGTTTGGCGCTATTTCGATAAAAGAAAAAAATGAGAAGGAGTTGACGGTGAGTCAGGGTATGATAATGAGCACGTAACGCGATCATACTCACACAATCTCCCAGCAGAGGATTCTATATAAATGAGAGTTAGCCCAAGCGCTTAGCCCGTATCTGGCATCCTGTACTCACCGATCTTCCGCGAGGTACATGTTGGCTGTGAACATGTCGGCATCACGACCATGTAATACTTCACCCTTGAAGTAGCTTGCTAAAGGGCCTTTGCCAGTCGTATCGTTTTGCAACGCCAGCCACTATGAAGGGACACCGTAACATAAGTGCCGGGGTAAGGAAAGATCTGAGAACAGCGGCCTTACTCTGTACGCGGAGAATGCCCCTGGGAGCACTGCGCAGTACCCAAATACGCTCTCAGTCGTCTTGTCTAAGACGTTGGAGATCTGGAGGAGTAGTGCATGGCCAACATCAGTCTAGGAGGATGGTACCGCACATGGCATACTTGCTCACCTTGTACTCGAAGTTCTGGCATGCGACTTTTGAACGGACGACATCAGTACAACCTCACCCGGAAATAAATGGAAGACTACCTACCTAGCGGGTTGAGTAAACTCTTCCACGCTCGACCTTTGTACACTGCGATTTCGCCGCAAGCGCCTCCAACCTGGGAATTCTGGTCGAACGCCTTCCACAGATGATAAAGCGATTTGGGACCAGGCCGAGTCCCGACGTCGAGGAGGATGCACACTTTCGGCTGCAGAACAACGGGCGCGAGATGAGTCCACGGATCGACGGACTTCGCCGGTTAGGGTGACCATGACGACTAACCTCAAGCGACCGGCAGAACGCATTGAAGAACCATCGATGGCTGTTGATCTTCCTATTGGAGACAAGGCAAGCATTAGAAATGCTCGCAGTTATCTGTCTTCTGTCTCCTGCTTACTTGGCGTTCTTCTCCTTCAAGCAAAACAGAATTTGAGTCGGAACCATGCCCTTGTCGGTACTAGCGAATTTGAACTTCATGTCTGGTGTCAAGCCCATGGTGCACGTGTATTCGAACACGTGAGCCTGTACGGGTTTATCCTGAACCGAGTTCTTCATGGCTCCTGCGAGACCAGTCGGGTCGTATTTAGCTGTCAGTCGGGTAGCCATTATTGAGCGAAAACTCGAGACTGACCTTCTTGGTAAACACCGAGCGAGGCCAGGCAGTCGAGAACCCTTGGACTGATGTTCTTACGGCCATCAGCGACGATGCACACGACCACCTGTGAGCGGATCGCGTCAGCAATATGCACCTTGAGAATTGGTCTGCTTGCAATCAATCCAACCTCACCTTCTTCCAACTCCCCGGACCCCACGTTCCCGAATTTTTTCTCCCTTCGAGATGTCCAATGTTCCTCATGACTCCATGTAACGTCCGGAGGAACAAGATTTCGTCCTCGTTGTACATGGTGATGACGATCATGAGCTCGGTCTCTCGTCCATACTGCGTCTGTCGGAGTGTAAAGTTTTCGGCAACAAAGTCGTCTGGTGTCGAAGTGACAGCCGAGTATCTGCAAGGGCGGAGCGATCCGTCGGATTCCCATAGTTCGCCTGCTAAAACTGATATCCTACCACTCACCTGGTGTACAAAACCTCGTCCCCGTCCTCTCCCATCCTCCCTCTCGTCGCGGCGGGTAAGAACCCTTCCAACTTGGTCGGGATCTTGAGGTCGATGACCAAGTTCCCCTCTGTGAGCTCGACGACCTTTTTCGCCTTTTTCTGTAAATGTCGCCTCATGACCCGACCCTGTGGGGCCGGACCGAAGTGTGCCGTCGAAGAAGGAGGGAACTTGGACTTTTCGTCGATTTCATCGTCGTCATCGTCGTCGGTTTCGTCCTGGTAACGAAGATCGTTGGGCCCGTCGGTATGCTTGTAATCTCCAATGTCTAGACCGTCTTTCTCGTCGGCATGATCGAACGGCGCATACACGGACGATCTGGGGTCCTTGGTATGGTACGAGACGAGATCGACGCTCCTCCTCTTTTCCTCATCCTCACGGTTGTAGGGATACCTGGGCACGGTCTCCATCATCTCGACCTCTCCCATATCTCCGGTCCCGTCACCGTGGCCATCGGCTTCGACATCGACGTACATGGCGTATCCTTTCTTCAAGGCTTGTCGTTTGACGGCTGTGTCATAGATCGCCGTCAACTCGGCCTTTTCCTGTTCCTTTTTCCTCCTAGCCAGATCCATCTCGATCGAACCGAACGGATCCGGTCGACCTCCTCCTAACCCTACGGTATTCTCCTTGTCCTCCGCCCTTGCTGTCCCCCCAACCGCATCCTCATCCTCGTCGTCCGGGAAAGGAGTAGGACTTCGACTCCGTCTCCCTCGCCGTCTTAACGGACCGGAAACGTTCCTGCCATTTCCATTCCTGGCAGTCGACGCCGGACCCTCATCCTCTTTTGCACGGACAGGGTGTAACCCGATCCCCAACCCAGTCTGATTCTTGTTCCCCTGCATCGAGACTGGCATGGGAAGCCCACCGCCAGGCCGATAGACGGGTAGATCCGGCAACCCAGCCCCTATCCCCACGGTAGGCGTCGATCCGCCAGAGGCGTTCCCGTTGACGTCGAGAGCTTGGTATCCGTTCGTCCTGACGACGGGTTTGACGCTGGGTACGCTGATGTACCCCGCGGATTTGTGAAACTGGATCGAACTCGGGTAATTGAGATCGACCGGGGCGGCTTGTGCTTGTGGAGTCGGGAGAGGGTGATGATGATTCCGCTTGACATAGTGCCCCGTCTGAATCCCCGTCCGGTTCCCGCTGTAAAGCTGACTCTGGAAGGATCGTCTTGAAGGTGCAGTGGAGCTGGAGACCTCGCTTGATCCCGAAGAGCTCGTCCCCGCGACCCCGGTAGACCTCAAAGCCTGTACGGCAGCTTCGAAATTGCTCAACGCTTCTCCCTCCCCCTCTCTTCTCGGAGTGGGTTGTAACAACCCAACAGCTTCTTCCCCGGCCTGATCCGATTCCTCATCTTGACCTACGCCTTGGTGGATTGGCCCTAGCCCACTCATACGGGATTGCGCCCGACTGGCACCCCAAGCAACGGGGCGGCCTTGTTCGTCGTGGCCCGTGTGGAGGGAAGGTTTCCGAGTCATTTGCTGAGGTGGAGGTGATGTCAAACGGGGTGGTGGTTTGCGGTTAGATGGCATGGTGGTGGTGGTTAATAGTCGTGGTGGTGGTAGTGAGAGCTGTTGATTCTGATTGAGATCAGGATTATAGATAGGGGTAGTTGTTGATCTCTATAGCTTGCTGTTATTGATATGGCACCGTCTAGCGGCCATGGTATGTAGTTATGGATGATGGTCGAATAAAGAGTGTGGTAGACACATGGAACCCCTGAGTGATATGATACGGCCTCGAATCAAGGTATGTATCGCCATCGATGGCTGATGCATGATGATACTCGACGTCGATCCCTGCGGATCCCTAGCTAGGCTGGCGGCTCTGGATTGTTTTGTTTTTGTTTACAAAGTCTGGTCTCCTCTAACAAAAAGCTACCGAGAGACTCCCCCCCGGATCCGATTGTTGACCTCGCTTCAAGCGATTCGACGTCAACCGCCCCACCCGATACACCACCGGCCACAGGCAGATCATCTACTGATCGTCATCTCATGGCGACAACGTCCTCTTTGTCTGTGATGGGACCCCCTGATGCCCCTGATCCCAGATGAGACCATACACCCAACCTTTCCCCGACATGCCGGCACTGGGCTTGTTTGTTTACTTTGTCTATAGTTTGTCACGTGATCTTTGAAGACGCGGTCCCCAGGGAGTCTCGGCTTTTACGACCACAGACCATGAGCATCATCGAGATTTCGGTATGAACCAGCTGCTCATCTGTCGACCTAGTCGCTTCACTCTTAGCAGCTGTCAGCTAGCAGACTCACAGGGCACAAACCACAACCAACGTACACAATGGCCGACCAGATAAATAGCAAAGCTGACCTAGATCAGCGCGAGGAACAGCCTATCGTCGGACGTAAAGTCTTCATCGGGACCTTGTCAGCTGTGAGTGGAGATTGCGATGCGAAGAGAGACCATGTTCATGTGCAAGGGTACAAGAGATGGCAACGGGACTGATACGTAACCGTTTCGTTTTGCATTTGATCCCTGTTGATAACGGGCGGGGTTCTCGTCGTTGCTGCTCTTGGTTCTGCCTCCTCGCGAAATGCCACATGTTCACCACCCAATGCAACCGCTACCTATTTCGACCCAATCCGATCCGTCGACATAGCTAGCCTTTACAACAGGCCTCACTGTAGCCCTCATCCCCGCTATCAAAAGACATCGCCTGAGAACCGCCGCGAGACAAGCTGGGACGTCCATCAGCAATGTCGGAGTGGGACGATCTGGGACGGGTCTAGGCTCCGTACAGGGCGGAAATGCACGTGCAAGCGGGGTCGTTCAACGAGTTTCACAAGCGAACCCGAGCGCCATCGGCTCGAGATCAGGATCAGGACCTTTGGACGGACTGCTCGATCCCCCCCGTCCATCCACTTCTGCTACCCCTTCTTATGCCTCGTCATCTGCATCTGGATCCGGGTCCACAACAGTAGCATCATATCGGGCCTCAGGGGCATCGACGTTGCAGCCGAGGTCGACCAGGACAGCAGGACCGCTAGACGGGCTTCTAGGATCGCCGGAAGAGGCGGGAAAGCTCGGCGCTGCAGGTCCGGCGTCGGCAGAGCAGAGCACGAGAAGGCCGGAAGGACCAGAGAGGAAAGGGGCTGGACTGTTGGATAATCTAACTCTAGGTGGGACTGCAGTAGCGGCGGCAGGAGCGGTGGCGTCGCCAGCCGGGTCATTATCATCATCGAGCACAATAACGCACACTACGGCACCAACAGCAAATCCGGCGCCGACCTCCACATTGACGACAACGTCTCTTCCGTCGCCATCATCACCAGCAGATGTCGAACCGTCTGAACCAGCACCCCAAATCACCTACTTCTCCTTGACACCAGCCGACCCATATTCAGACGAAGAAGACGCCCACGGATTCCCCCTGGATCCGGAGCACGACCTCAACGCAGCTCAAGTAGAAGCTGAAGGAGAGGGTGAGGAGATCTCGCCTTGGTTTGCGCTCAAGGCGTTTTCCATCGCCACGGCGTTGGTAGTGGGAGGGACTGCGGTGATGGTCGTCGGGATTGGTAAGGGTCTGGGCGTGAGCGATGTAAGTCCATCCCATGTTGCTCTCCTCCCATGCAATCGAGAAAGGATACAAGAACTAAGCGCAATACCTCGATTCCTACTTTCCCTTTCGACTCCGTAGATGGACGAATTCACCGCCAAGATGCGAAGCTGGACTCAAAGGACCTTGCCAGACCTCCAAGCTCAGATCTTCAAGCCTATGGAAAGCGAAGTGACGCAAGCCCAGCAGTCAGACGGATCTCTTGACGGGGGGCGGAGGAGGATCGGGTTTGAGCCTGCACCCTCTTCAGCGGGTCCGTCTGCGAGCGTGCTCAGTACCTCGCGAAAGAGGACGAAAGAGGATGAAGATGAAGAGGAGATCGTCAGTGGATGGTGGCAAGGAGTCGTCGAGGGTGCAGAGGAGGAGAGGCGAGGCAGACGGGTTTGAGCGGAGGCGCTTGCTTGTACCATGGCGGGCCGTGGCATCTGTTGGCATTGTTGATTGTTGACGATGTCAGATCCGGGGTCAGAAAGCGGGTACCAATGGCTAGTGGCCGGGGCGGGATGAGATGAATGAGATGAATGTGGAGGCCATCTACACACGGAGCATCGGCGTTGTCGTTGGGGGATCAGTCCTCGCGTTCACACGACATGCTGCACCATGTGCGAGGTAGAGGGTGAACGAGAAACTCATAACCGGTCGGCTGTCCTCGATCGTGACTTGAGGGCCACTTGGTTATTGACCAAGTTCTAGTTCCGAGCCGTGAGACCGGGGTGGCACGAGGTGATATAGTTCAGGTACAAACGGAACAGATGGCAGAGATGGGAGGAGGTTCGAGGGTGGAACTATATCTGTCGACGGGTTTAGAAACACGGTTCCCCCTAGCCAAACCTCGCCCCTCTCCCCTCCCCCCACGCGTGTACCCCGCGGGGCAAAACCCGAAAGCGGAAGCAGCGGAATCAGATTTGGCCCTCAGCTGCTGCTGCGAGCGATAACCGGAGCGAAACCGAACAAGTATAAAGAACGAACCGGTCCCATCAACAACCCCTCATACACTCCCCTCTCGAAACTCCCTTCCAGCTCACAATCAACTCTTCTCTCTACCACCACACATACACGCCGGAACGATCGAAACGCTAGCCAAGATGAAGTTCGCTACTACCCTTGCCCTCCTCGCCTCGGTCGCCATCGGTGCCAACGCCCAGACGACGTGAGCTTCCTGGCCTCTTCGGTTCTTCAGACACACCTAGACGTCGTCTGACCCTCGTCGTCTGTCTTGCAGCCCCTCTCAGTGTGTCTTGACATGCTCTCAGCAAGCCGCTACTACCGCCGGATGCACCAGCTTGTACGTTTCCTCTTCATCGTCTTTTCGCTCTCGCCGGTCGACCTTTTTTCTCGCGGGGAAATGATCGGCGGTGGCACAGTGAAGGAAAAATTGCTGACCCACCCTTCCTTCCTTTCGTCTCTTTGTTTGCCTCTGATTCTCCCTGTTCCGCGCGGACATCATACCATGGCCTCATCAAACGCTAATCCAATCATCAAATTCACGTCATCAACTCGTCATTCGGTCCCCTCGCACCCTGTATCCTCATCGATGTCCACAGCGCCGACCCTTCGTGCGTCTGCACCAACGTCGCCTTCCAAAGTCAGTGCTCCTCAACGACGTCCTCTATTTCCAAAAGCTCGTCTGCTAAACTTGTGCTGTCTTGATTCCACGAACAGATGCCGCTCAACAGTGTCTCGTCGCCAACTGTACCGCCGAGGAACAAGCCCAAGCTTTGAGCTTGCAAGCTACTCTGTGCCCTAACGGTCAGTATACCTCTTGATTGCACCTTGGGCTTGCCCACGTACGATAGAGCTGAACTTTCGTCTATCTTGTATCTTAACATGGTCTGTAGGTGCCGTCTCGGGTGTCTCCTCGATCATCCCCAGCTCGATCTTGACCCAGACTTCTAGCGTCGCCTTGCCCACCGGTGCCGCCGCGTCCTCCATCTCGGCCTCGGTCGTGAGTCGTACCGGTTTCTCGGCCGTCGTCACGCCTCGAGAACACTTCGTATTGATCACACGCACCCCGCTCACCACCCACAGATGAGCAGCATGGAATCTGAGTCGAGCATGATGAGCAGCAGCGCTGCTGCCGCATCCTCTACAGCCTCGTCCTCTTCGCAGGGCGTCGTGTCCTCGATCGCCTCGTCCGCCTCGGCGGCTGTCTCTTCCGCCGTCTCTGGCGCTTCGAGCAGGGTTTCCAGTGTCACCGGCAGCACGAACACTGGCGCTGCCGCCCCTGCCGGCTCGACCTCGGCCCCGGCCAACGGTGCCAGGCAGGTCGAGGCCTGGGGAATGGGAGGCAAGGTCGTTGCCGGTGTCGTTGGGCTCGTGGGTGTCGGTGGAGTCATGGCCTTTGGGTTCTAAACGGTGCGAGCCGTGCCCCCATTGCTTTCCCCGTTTTCCCAAGCGGGTGGTCTACCGGCCGTACTTCTTCGCTACGCCAAAGCGAAGTGAAGCGGGTATCGGTCCGGGATTGAATATGGCTTGTGTTCCTTACGTCTTACGTCTCTTTTCTTATATTTTGGGCAGCTCAATGTGGTGTGCCATTGACTTGTAATCGTGGTATCTTTCGAACCGGAATGACGAAAAGAAATCTGTCTCGTATGCGTTGGAGTGGCTTGAATGGCCGGCCATCCAGCTATATCGGTTGCCTAATCGTAATATCGTAACTCGTTACGATCAATTTCCGACGTATGCTGTCAGATTGTCATCACATACGCAACGTCGACCTTGGATGTTCGGAACAGGGTTCGGACATCTGCAAAGCTGCAGACATCAACAAATTGGCAAGTGGCCTGATCATACTGCATCCCGAACGCGACCTTGAGCGCCACGTATGGGACGGGTCGACGAAATCACTTGTAGCTTGATAGCTTGTAGCTTGCAGCTTGCAGACAGCTATAAAGACCAGGCATCAGTCTCTCGACTACCGCCCCTTCGTAAGCAGCGTGGACATGCAATTATTTTGCATGTCCGCTCGTCGCAACTACGTTTCGCGTCTCGACGCGACCTAAATGAAGCGAGGGTGGGCTGGCTAGCTGGATGTTGGGAGGACGATTGAGGTGGTGATCTTGTTGATGTGCGTAACACTGCCCATCGTCTTCAAGCTCTGTCCAATCCCATTACGCCAAATCAACCTCCTGACCTTCCAAATTTTCATCTGATCGACCTGTGCTAGACACGAATCTCGCTTCTCGCAAGACCTAGCTAGCCTTTTACCGGATTCGCGACTTGACGAAAACAAAAACATTCAAACAAAGCTCATTTTAGAAGATTATGGAGGCTACTCTCCCTACCGCCAACATCGGGGTGAGCTGGGCAGATGGCTCTATGTCGAGATTACTGTATTGATGCTTCCTTGGGTTCCGTATACAGGTCAATTACACGGAGGAGTTGGGTAAGCAAGTCTATACGAGAATCGAGCGAGACTCCAAACCGACGTTCCGCACCGATTCCTATAGCTGCCATCACCACCTTTCTGAGCAAATACGTCAAACCTCAAGCCCAGGCTGGTGCCATTCCCCGAGATGACGATGATGAAGCTGAAGATGACGTCGAGTCGGAGGACGAAGACTTGCTAGATGACATGGAGGACATGGACGTCGAGGGACAAGATGGCGGGCGAAGAACAAAAGCCAAGTACATGAAGATGTTTGTGAGTAGTACGCAATGGTGTTCATAGCATATAATAAGCTAACAGGTTCTGTACCCACACCGCACAGACCAAGGTGGCCAATCGTCAACTGAACGATGTCGTGATCGACTTGGGCGATCTGCAACGAGCAAGTCCAACGTTCACCGAGGATAACACGAGATCCACCTTCTGACAAGCTCGTTCTATACGACAGCATGATCCGGAATCTCCTCTTCTAGGTCACATCTTGAACAACGCGCGTCGTTACATCAACCTCTTTGCCAGCGCCATCGACAGCCTTCTTCCTCCTCCCACGGTCGACGTACAATCAGAAGTCATGCCGGACGTACTAGATGTGATCATGGCGCAGAGAAGGAGGATGAACGAGATGAGGGAAGACGGCGCAGGTGGAGATGCTGCCGAGGCAGCAGCTGAGCTGGGAGAGCAACTGTTCCCACCCGAGCTACTTCGACGATAGTGAGCAGCACACTTGGTCATAGCACTCAGGAAGACGAGCTGACCCATATCGACCTCGTAGCAACCTCTACTTCCGACCTCCTCGCAACCAGTCGGTCTTGGCGGTCCGAGCTGTCCGAGGGGCTCATCTCGGTAAACTCATCACCGTCCGAGGAATCGTCACCCGTGTATCCGAGGTCAAGCCGCTCCTACTCGTCAACGCCTACACATGCGACATGTGTGGAAATGAAATCTTCCAAGAGATTGCCCAAAAATCGTTTACCCCGCTGCAAAAGTGTCCCAGCGCGACTTGTCACAGGAACGGAGCGCAGGGGAACTTGCACATGCAGACCAGAGCCAGTCGATTCAGGCCCTTCCAGGAGGTCAAGATACAGGAAATGGTAAGTCGGTTGGAATTGTATGGTTGGTCGTTCGTTCCGAACCGAATTGACAAGGCTTTCTCAATCAGGCCGATCAAGTTCCGGTAGGGCATATTCCTCGCTCGATGACTATCCACCTGTATGGAGGTTTGACCCGCAAGGTCAACCCTGGCGACGTCATCCACGTTGGCGGAATCTTCCTGCCTACCCCCTATACCGGTTTCCGGGCCATGCGAGCAGGTCTTCTCCAGGACACCTATCTCGAGGCGCAAAACATCCATCAGCTCAAGAAGCAGTACTCGGCCATGGAGTTGACGCCCGAAATTGAGGCTGCCATTCGAGATTTGCAGACGGATCAGCAACTGTACGCTCGGTTGGCCAACTCGATCGCACCCGAGATTTACGGCCACGAAGACGTGAAAAAGGCGCTTTTGCTCTTGCTCGTTGGGGGTGTCACCAAGGACATCAAGGACGGCGTCAAGATCAGGGGAGACATCAACATCTGTCTGATGGGGGACCCAGGCGTGGCCAAATCGCAGTTGCTCAAGTACATTACTAAAATCGCCCCGCGAGGAGTCTATACGACCGGTAAAGGATCCTCGGGTGTCGGTCTTACCGCTGCCGTCATGCGAGATCCGGTCACCGATGAGATGGTCTTGGGTAAGTCAATCGAATGGCTTCCACATCGCTTCGACGGTCATGCTAATCTCTTCGTCCTACTTGAACAGAGGGAGGCGCTCTTGTCCTGGCTGACAACGGTATCTGTTGCATCGACGAGTTTGACAAGATGGAAGAATCGGACAGGACCGCGATCCATGAGGTCATGGAACAACAGACGATCTCCATCTCGAAAGCCGGTATCACTACCACGCTCAACGCCAGGACCTCGATCCTCGCTGCAGCGAACCCTCTGTACGGTCGATACAATCCCAAGATCTCGCCGGTCGAGAATATCAACTTGCCCGCCGCGCTTCTCTCGCGTTTCGACGTATTGTTCTTGATCCTCGATACGCCTACTCGAGAGGACGACGAACGATTGGCGCATCACGTCACGTATGTGCACATGCACAACACGCATCCTACTTTGGACTTTGAGCCGATCGAGCCGACCTTGATGAGGTGAGTCGGAGCCGACGAACTGCTTGAAGCCTCGCTTACTAACAAACCGCCTCCCTTCCACAGACACTACATCGCCGAGTGTCGAAAGGTCCGGCCCATCGTCCCTCCTGCCATGTCCACATACATCGTTGACTCGTACGTGCAGATGAGGAAGCAACAGAAGGAAGAAGAGGCGGACGAAAAGTTCAACTCGTACGTCTCGGCGAGGACCTTGCTCGGAGTCCTACGTCTATCGCAAGCCCTGGCGCGTCTGCGTATGGACGACGTGGTCGGTCAAGGCGATGTCGACGAGGCGTTACGACTGATGGAAGTGAGCAAGTCGAGCTTGTACGAACACCAGATGACGCAGAACAGCGGTGAGGATCAGACGGACGCGAGCAAGATCTTTAGGATCATCAAGGACATGGCGACGGCGCCCCGTGCTGCAAAGAAGGCTCGACGAGGCAGGCGCGACTCGGACGAAACGAGCGATGATGAAGATGAGGATCTCGACGAGCTCAACATGGTCGACGTTAGGAGCCGGGTGCTGGCCAAGGGCTTTACCGAGAGCGCTCTGATGGAGACCTTGATCGAGGTGGGTCGTGCGCGAAGTCTACGATGCGACTTGCAAGCTGACCGTAACATCGAACCGATAGTACGAAAACATGGGCGTGCTCGTCCGAGCTGCCAATGGCAGCCTTTTGCGATTCGTTGATGTGTCTGATGACTGAATGTAGAGGGACTGCTACGTGCCGTGTACTGGTGATCATTTGGCTGGTTGTACCTGGATATAATGACGATGCTCGGTGCTTGGTTCTCGCGCGGACATCTGTCACCATGATTCGATGTCCGCTTTGCGTCCCCCTCAAAGGGGAATTCCGATGCTACGAGTACCCAAGGCGTTGCTCTGTGTAGTGTAGTAAGCCCTAAGTAGTGACATCGTCCCTGGTTGGCATCATATCGCCCTCCAGCTCGTCACAAGTATACTGTTGAAGATCCAGTCTGAACAACATTCTCGATAGATACACGACTATAATAGCAAAAATGGCGCCAACGATCGGAGCTGGCACGACGGAAGCCGCTGCTTTGCAGGTAGGTCGCCCCTAATCGATTTCACCATGGGACGGTTGCGAAGTCGCTGAACTCGACCTGGGAATGGCAGTCGGAGATCCAGAACGAATTGATGAGGCGGGACAAGGCCGAGCAAGGAGGTAGGTCTCGGTGGTAGAAGCGGCATGTGGGAGTAGGCGTATGCTAATGTGGCCTACTCCGATCTGGTTCAGATAACACCTTGGCGGAATACATAACCGTTATGCTGAGTGCGTTTCGACGAGGAGATTTTAATGCTGCGGGGCAAGTCTGACGATCCCTTGCTGCATCAGTCAACCACAAGACGTCGGACCAGATCAACGAGGAACTGGCAGATCGTACGTCCTCATTCGACTCGTGTGCCCTTTGCTGCTTGCTAATACCTTTGACGGATGCTCGTAGTGCAAGGGATCGATTTTGGTATGCCGATGGTCTCCTATCTTGATGAAGACTTCCGAAGCTGAACTTCTCGCTTGTTCATTATACAGACCCGACCTTCACGCCATGGATCTTTGAAAAGGCCGAGGAAGTGGTCGCCAGGTTCACTGGGTCCAGCTCGACGCCTGCTCCTGTCACTGCTGTCCTCTCTGCCGATGTGTCCATGGAAGAACCATCATCATCATCCCGGAACTCGAAAGCTCCCAGCAACGCTCGGCTGTTCTCGAATGCCGTGGCCCCTCTTGCCTCGCAACCCACCCGACCTACCCCAACGGGACCTTCGGGACAAGTAGCTGGTGTCAAACGAAGTTTCTCTCCCGTGAACGAGATGAGCGGATCCGAGGCGTACAACAAGCGGAGAAGTTTGGGTTCAGGAGGAGTACCTACGGCTCCTCGGGCTCACAGGCAGAACGGGTTGGAGACGAATGGCGATCGGCATCGAGGAAAGAGGTCGTTGTTGGACCGTATGGGAGGGCCTCCCTTGAATCCACAGGCGGCAGAGTTCGGTCCGGGTCGAGCAGGTGGAAGGAACAGTGCGTAACAGTGGCCGGCTCACGATTCGTGCCGTCGTCATCACGATTGCTGACCTGATCATTTTCGCTGCACCTCAGACTTCGTTCCCCCAGGCATGCCTATGATGGACCCCTTCATGATGAGCATGATGGGAATGCAAAACGGTTTCAACTTTGGTGCCGCTGGAGGACAGGACCAGGCGATGATGCAAGAGATGTTCAGGCAGAATCAGGCGACGATGGAGCAGATGCAAGCAATGATGATGCAGATGGCTCAGCAGATGGTAAGGCATGTGCCCCAGGGCATTAATATTGAGGAGAGCTGATTGTGTTGAGGGTACCCTGTAGGGCACGGTGCCGCAGCAACCCTATACGACAACCGTCTCGGGTCAACCTCCACAGCAGTTGGGGAAACACACTATTGCGGGCCGAAGACCAGCGACGCTCGTCAACAACCCGTCTACCTCAGCAACGCACAAGTCGACCTCGTTCCCCGCCAAAAAGACGCTTGTTACGCCTCCTTCTCGTCCTACCTCGCAGGAGATCTGCAAGTACGGAGTTGGATGTACGAATCGGTCATGCGGATACAGCCATCCTAGTCCGGTGGCTACGATGGAGAGCGGGATGGTACTGAAGACGGAGGCTTGCCCGGAAGGTTTAAAGTGCGCAGACAAAGACTGTCCTTACAGCCATGTCAGCCCGGCCCAATCGTTAGGTGGGTATAGATCGTTTGATTCCCTAGGTATACGCGATGCTGAATCTGGGACTGTTGCACCCTTCCACAGGTGATGCCGCTGGGCAAAGCCGTGTACCGTGCAAGTTTGGAAGCAAATGTAACAACCCGGCCTGCTCCTTCCGTCACGAAGACGCTGCTGGGAACCTGATCCCCACACCAGCCCTGACTCGTCCCGCCAATGGGTCCTCTACTGGTCCCATCGACGTCGACATGGCAGACCCGACTCAGCACGACGAGCTGGACATTACGCTCGATCTCGATTCGTCAGCAGCCGGTATGGCTGCCAGTCGACCGATTGCGGGCGTACCAGGGAAGAAGATGGATGGGATCCTGGGTTCTGGAGTAGTCAAGCCGATGAACGGGCAGATCAAGGTGCCTTGTCGGTTCGGGGAAGGGTGCACGAGGGGGAACTGTCGGTTCCAGCATGGCAAGGCGTGTAGGTTTGGCAAGAAGTGCTTTGACCGTGAGTACGGATACTTCGCGGGTGAGAGACTCTGTTCATCCGATTGACCTTGGCCTGTGTTCTTGTACCGACGACACGCAGCCCGATGCACCTTTGTTCACCCTGCGGACCGTCAACTGAACGCGTCGATCAACAACGATGGCTTCAACAATTACAAGGGAGAAAAGACGCTTGTCGACCGCGAATTTGTCAAGGACGAGAGCGCCGTCGAGACCGTCTTGCCCGGAGACGCGAACGGTGCGGATGAGGGCGGTGCGATCAAGGTGGAGACTGACTAGTCAATAACGGAATAGAAGACACAGTTGTAGTAATATCAGAAAACTCGGGTCGTGAGATATACATTCTTGTCGGGTTAGTGCCAAAAGTTTATTATACGAGACTGTGCGTAAAGGCCGACTCGCCTAATACTCGTGTTCCCACGTTCAATGGTCGATCTGACTCGACGCGACTTTGTGTAGTCAGCGATTGTCTGATCCATCCTGACCCGCAGACCTGGGATAGCTGCAGCTCTGCTTCTTGAATTCCAGTTGACCGCCAGGAATTAGGTTTATTCTATGGGGCAGTCTCCGCAGAACTCTCAAACATCACCGATACGAACGGATGCGCTGCGCTGTGTTTGTTTGGAATGGTCGATTACAGGTCTACAGGGGAAACGATAGCAGACGAATGGTTTCTCGTGTTTCGCATCAGGCCAGCCAGCCCAGAATGTCGACAATGACAAGTCGAGTCAGTCCGATCGCCTTACTGCTGGATTTGATTCTGCCCATCTGATCCTCCCAAAGCCGGTCTCTTGCCTGGTTTTGATTTTCAAGGTGTCGTCATACTTTTGTACGTTCGTCGGATCTTCTATGAGCTGAGAGAAGTATTCCGGAGCTTGTTCGTGCACCTCGCTCGCCTTCCTGTTTCACTCGGCCGTCGTCCGGAAGACCGAGTCGTCATACGGAGCGTCATCCTCCGCCTCACTCGCGCTGTTGCTCAGCGTAAATAAAACTGGTACTGTAAGGACGAAACCAAGCGCTCGAAACGTATACAGACGGAAGGACGTGGAAATACACATCCAATACTTCGTCCCGTAGGCGAAATGCTGACAGAGCTCGTTACGTGACCCTGAATTACATCGGTGCTCACGAGCGAATCGAGAGTGCGGCTACAGATTTATGTGTCACGTTCTCTGTCCATGCTGTTGTTTCATAGTGTTGACTGATTCAAGTGTCAGGTGATGAAAATCTGTCGGCCTTATCAAAGGGGCAAACAGGTACACGGGATGGAACCTGTCGCTTGTCTACCGAGCTGGTCGAATCTTCTTGTATCATTTCCGCCTCGAAAGAAAACCACAGCTTTACCCAGGCATGGAAATCTCGCATCGAGTGATGGAGCGGGGATGATAATACGCTCGGATCGGCGCGTATAATCTGGGCGGCCATCATAGGCAGTCTCGATGAGAAGCCGTTTGTCCCGGACAGCTTCCTCTTTCCAGTGCATCAAGTCGAGAGTGAGAAACGAGTAGGTAGATCTGCTATCATCTGCAAGCCAACCCTTCCAACTCATCGATGATCACCATCTCATATTTTGGCCAAGAGAAGGCAAGGGCGAATGTGAGGATAAAAAGATCTCGTCGTGGACGACCAGTCGGTCGGTAGGTCCCTTTGAAGCAGCAGTTCTACGAGCCAACTGGCTACCTCCCCGTCATGTTGTGACATTTCTTGTCCTCATATATTCGAAGGCAAGATATTGTGACTTGCATACGGATTTCTCGATCAGTACCCTGTCGATATCGCTGTTCCCCCGTTCCATGGCGGTGGCTGCGAGGAACGACGCGTGTGCGCCTACCGCCGCTTCGAAGGCAAACCGCCACGCGATTGGTGCGAGACACGCGTTTGACCTGCTGATCAATTCTGCCCCTGTCCATTCCGCGCTCACCCTTGTTTGGATCCGAAGAGGAGCTTGTCCTACCCGGTGGGTCAGGCCTCGCAACGAACAATAAACTTTGACCCACTTCGATCAATCTCGACGACGACGACGATGATGATGGTGATCCCATCAATCCCATATCCCCATCACTCCTCCTTTGCTTTCCCTCCCTCATTTCTCATCAATCCTCCTCTCGTTTCTCCCTTTTTGCAATTTTTCTTGCCTTCTACATTTAGCATCCCCACCCCGACCCACGGACTCGCATCACAAAGAGAAGCAGGTCGACCCTTTGCCTCCCTGTCACAGTCGAAAACATCCTTTGATCGGTTTCTCCTCGACCTCACTTCTACTACTCCACACATTCACACTACTACTCTGCTCACACCTCTTCAGCGTCTTCAAGCTCTCTTCTTTCCTCGCCACCATCACCTCTCGTCTCTCGACGTCTTGCGACTACACCAACACTCTACATTCTACATCTCACACAAACGCCTTTAATAGCAATCGACATCGTTCCCATCGACTTCACATCAATCGACCCCGTTACCATCGACGTTCCAAATCCGTAAACACAAACGCTCCAGCTTCACTCGCCACTATAGTTCAATAACTACGAATCACATCATCATCGCCCCACCGACGATACTTGAAATCACGACTACATTACCCTCATAACAGCGGGACAACCAGACACTAGACGAACGACTGAAAAGAGAGGATCAAAAGCCGAGCTTTTCTCCCCTACCTTTTCGCCTTTTCACTTCTTCAATTTCTGATCGGACCATCTATCCATCCATAGGCCATCCGGTCAACACCACTACCAAGACAACACTCATATCAAACACTTGTCTGGACGTCAACGCAGAGCGACAGAAACCCCTCGACAACTATCTTACCCAATACCCGAGAATCATGGCCGCCCACCCTGCACACCTCAACAACTTTTCCGCTCATACCGGTCTCAACATGAACACCCAGTACCAGCCCAACCATAACCACAACCACAACGCTTACGCTACCACCAACGCAGCCGCATCTCTCTCCGCTCAAGCTTCCCTTCAGACCTCGCTCAACGCGCTGAACAGCAAGATCGTTCAAGCTCAATCGCTCGCCCTTCTGAACAATATCACCGTCGACGAGGTCTTGAGCCGCATGGGAGGGTTGAACGAGATGGAGTTGGGGTTGCTGAGGTTGTGCGCCGCCAGGGAACAGGAGGCTAGGTTGCAAGCTAGTGTGAGTTGGCGTGGGCGTGTCTCGTGTGTCTGTCGATGGTGGTAACGAGCCTGCGGCTGACTTGTCGAATGTTTGCTGGGTTCGCACAGTTGATGTCGCAGCAGCAACAGCAGATGGCCATCTTGCAGCAACAGCAGCAACAGCAAAAGCAACAAACTACTACCAGGAACCCTTCCAACCGACTCTCTTTCCCCGGCATGCCGTCCAGCAGACAACCTGCAACTAATGCGAATTGGGAAGAATCGTTCGGCAACCTCTCTCTAGGAGGACCCGACGTCGTCCGTACGCCTACTCCCAAATCTGCCAACTCCACCTCGGCGTCGGCCCAAACCCAGGTCACCCCACCCAAGGTCGACAAGCGGACCAGTCCTACTTCTGCGACCTCGACCGCGGGTCTCGCCGCGGGCAAGCACGAACAAGCCGCTACTTGGCGTCGAGGTTCCCCCAGCGCATCCCAGCAGACCAGTATTTCCCCCGCCGCGACCCCCGTTCGTGGTATCAGTGCTAATGCCGGAGCAGAACCGGCGAACAAGGCTTTCAACTTTAACGGCGTTTTTGGGAACAAGGTCGTCGGACTCCCTCGTCAGGCTTCTCAGACCAGCTCGGTCGAGTCCTCTACCACTACGAACGCGAAAGCCGACGGTGAGGGGAGGAAAGAACGGGTTAGAACCGGTCGTTCGGGTTCGGCCAGTTCGAGCGAAGGGTTCGAGTCCGGCTCTGGGTCCGGCTCGGTCTTGTCGGATCAGCAGCAACAATATCAGCAGGAAAGGCAGGACAGGTTGGAGAGGTCCTTCGTAGGCCGAGCGAGGGAGTCGACCTTTGCCGGCTCGACCTCGTCTTCGTCATTCGAGAGCGTCGGTACGCCTCCTCCGGTGTTGATTACCCCGCCTTGTGAGCCCCTGGAGAACCAGTATTCCGGCAAACAAGGTTCCGGTACTCCCAACAATGGGGGATACTTTGGAATCAAGAGGGTCGTCAGCGGAGAACAGGGGAATGGGAATGTAAACGTGAACGGGAATGGGAAATACGGACCGGGCGTGATCGGACAAGGGTTCGGATCGCCCTCGACCGTCCTCTTCCCCGGTGGAGTCGGGTCCACGGCTTATGGCGTTGTGATTAGGCAACCTCACGGACCCCCTGGCGGGGCCGACGAGTTGGGCAACAAGAACTTCGCCAGTCGGTAAGTCCGCGCTACTTTTGGCGTGAATCGCATTCAGTGCTCATCAACTAACTTCCGCTTTGCGTACGACAGTCTTCGTCAAAAGGCCGTGAACGATCTCGGGTTGCTCGGTCGTCGAAGGGCCAACTCGCCCAATCCTCACGCCGTTGCGGCCTGATCTCGACCGTACTAAAGCCTTCCGCCTCCAGCTTCCGTTTTCCATCGGATCGGTCATCCCTTCCGACGCTCTCCCTCCCCTTCTCTTGCTGGTAGTCTCAGCTACATTCCTTTGGCCTTTCTTTCTTTATATTACGACCAACTATCGCTTACGGGTCTCAAGGACCGCGCAAATACCTGTATCAACAACTGAACCGGACCGACTGCACCAAAACACCAATCGAATCACCATCTGGCTGTCGCCCTTTGAGCGTGCTAGATGTAGATGATCGACAAAGACCAAACCGACCGTCATATACATACCATGGCCATCTCCTCACTTGCGAGTTACGGATCGATGTGCCGATATTCTACTCCGGCCTCCCTAGTCCTTATCCCTTGCGCATGCCTCGGGCTTGGACGACAGCTTCGGGCTTTCAAACCAAAAGAAAACACACTCTCTGGTTTAGTAACCCGCCATGCATGATGATGAATTTACGACAAAGAGACAGGGTCTCACTTCAGACTCTGCATGAGCGCGCGCCTACGCTCCTTTTCTTTCTCCTCTTAAATTGTATCATATGAGATCGGATGAATGAAAGTAGTCGCTAGCGACCGATGAGAGAGGGTCCTGCCATGTTCCCGCACGCGTCTTGCGTGATCGACTAGCAATCGACGAGTGATTCAGTTTGACAGCAATACAATCGGTGGGAGCTTTCGCCGCCACAGTATCGCTACTATTTGACAAGGCGCCTAGAAATACCATTTGCCCGGGAATTGCAAGGGTACCATCGAATGAGTGGTATAAACACGTATGTACACGATTATGCAGCGGTCGTACATTCCCGGAGGCAAGATATTATGCTCCGCCCTCTGCTTCGATGCAGGAATAGACAACATTCCACTCATTTCATCTCTCTCTTGTTCATAGCGCGAACTCTCTCTAACCCGATCACGTCATGTTCATCATCTCCTCCTCATCGCCCTCCTCAACTCCCCCCTTGGCCTTCTGACCTTCTGCGGCCGCCTGTTTTCCCAGCTCAGCTTCTTTCTCTGCGAGGATGACCTTTCTTCGCGCCATCCTCTTGGCCTTCGACGGCCTGTTCTTTTTCTTCCCCTTCTCCGTCGTGGGTGGTGTCGCACCGTCCGTCACTGCTGGTGCGCCCGCTGCAGGTACATCTGACACGGCGGGGAGTAATGCCGTGCTCCCCGCTGTACCTGTCGTATCCTTGTCCCCCTTCCCCTCATTCGCGTTCGCGATGGCATTCACGCCGGCAAAATCCACCTTTTTCGGGGCCGGCTCGTTCCGTACCGCATCCAGCATCTCGACCTCTTTTTGCTTCTGTTTCTGCCGATCTTGCGGGGTAACGGTCGATCTAGCATGGGCCGGTCCGACCTTGATGATGATCTCTACGGCTGACTATAATCATTTCGCGAGAGGCAGTCTCGTCGGCACCTTTGTTCATATGGAAAAAGAGACATGGGGAAATGCAAGGATTGTTCTTACCTTGATCCGGACCCTGACGGCCCCTTCTGGCTCTTCCTCATCGAACAAGACCGGTTCCCACTCGTCCCCTCCCGTCCCAGCCCCATCCGCATCTCCCACTATTTCCCCCTCGTCCCCACCTGCCTTCCTCTTCCTCCCGCCCGTACTCTTCAACTCGTCAAAACACTTTACACTACTGCTCTTCAACTCGTGCGATACGTGCTTCTTGGGAAAGGGGAGGATGTCGAGCAGAGAGTGGAGGACGAGGAGGGCGTGTGGGATGGCGGCCGATAGTGCATGGAGCGTTATTTGGGCGTGACTACAGTGAAGGGTTCCGATCGTGAGGAAAAGGAGAGGCAGAAGATTAATGGAAAGAGGATGAAAATCGGAAATGATTGTGGTTCTCTCGCCAGTCACTGATGACGGAGAAGGGATAATCAGGCCAGGACTCACCCTTCCTCCACCAACAACTTTTTACAGCGTCTCAAATAACTCCCCAGACCCGTATTTTTCGTGACGTAGATGACATCTCTTCTCTTGATCTCCCTCGTCGGGTTGGTCGTGGAGGCTCCTCGTGGACGGGATGTAGTCGAGGCGTGTGGTAGCGGGAGGGTCGACGATGATGGTTTTGGAGGGGCTAGGCGGTGGTATTTGTGGGTGGTAAAGAGGGGTGGGGCGGGACCGGCAGGTAAAGAAGGTTGAGTGATCGTGGCGGTGATCTTGGTGGGTAAAGGATTGGAGACCGGGTTGTCGGTTTGCTCAGGAGCAGGAGGTGGAACGGGTTGTTCTTCCACTTCGACCGTTTCATCCCCAACGTTCTCCATCACGCCCGCCGTATCCGCTGCCACCTCGGCCTCCCTTCCTGAGACCGCTTCACCTTCCTGACTCGCTGCGTCAGGTATCGCTTTGGCATTCTGTTCGGCAACTGTCTTGGCCTGACCAGACGTAGGCTTTTGCTTTTGCTTCTTGTTCTGCCTCGTCGGTGTCGTCTTTGCTTCGCTGAGTTTGCGTTTGCTACCTCTGCTAGCCGAGCCTTTTTGCGTTCCGTTGGATGGTCCCGCCATGATGAACGATCGCTCTTGAATTCTTGTTGGTCTAGTTGATGTGTGTGTGTGTGTGTATAGGCTCTCTCGGTTTCTCGTTCAAAGAGCATCATCAGTCGGAGCGCTGAGCGATTCTAGATCTCGATATGAATGCAGAAGATGAGCGGAAGCAGACGAAATGTCGCCGGAAGCTAATGACTTACGGCATAGCTACCTCGCTTACTTGTCGGAAGCAGATATCCTTCTCGGGTAAACGCTCATGCGGGGGGAGGGGAATTACCGGAGGGAGGAGGAGGAGGACGACCTTTGGTGTGGATAGTTGTGGTGGATCGTGTGGGGGGACTGATGTTCTTGGCTCGTTTGATCAAGTTTCACATCACAACCCATCAACATCAAACAGTTTCAAATCCGCCACACCTCTTGCTTTGTTGACACCGCCTGTCATGTCAGCTCTCGTGCAAGAACACCTCGAGTCGTACATCGACTACCCTATCGACCAGGTCAAACCCGTAAGCCTTCGCCCGCTTACCAAATACCCAGGACCGCTGAACACCTAAGCTGATCAAGTCTACGCGACCGCTAGCTCCAAGAGAAATTACATCAGCTCCACCTCTCCCGGAAATGTCAACCCTACGCGTACCGCATGCACTATCTCAAGCAGATCGGCTACCTCTTGCAAGACAACGCCGAAGCCATCTGCGAGTCGGTCAAGAAGGACCTGGGGAGGAATAGGGACGAAGTGTCCTTTACCGAAGTCTGGACGTCGGTGCGAGAGGTCGACCTGACGGTAAAGAGGTTGAAGGGGTGGATGCAGGATGAGACGGCGTTTTGGGATACGATCTTGGCCTTCAAGGGGAACAGTCAGTCTTGCGCGGAGGGGGTCATTTTGAGGGGGTTCGTTTGGCAAGAGGTGCTGAGGCTAGACTTTGCCTCGTGGCTGTCGCAGACCCTAGGGTAAAGAAACAGCCTAAAGGAGTCGTCCTGGTGAGTCCCCCCTCGCCCTTCCGCCTGCTTGTCGGTCTATCGTCTCACCCGAGCTCGGCCGCTGATCCTATACCTTGACAACGCAGGCTATCGGACCTTGGGTAGGCCATGATAGTCTGCCCACAGACATCCCGTCTGGTGACAAGTCGTACAGATTGAGCTGACAATACGCTACCAGAACTACCCTTGGTACCTGAACATCGGTCCTCTGATCGGGGCCGTCGCTGCAGGTTGTCCGATCGTCATCAAGGTACGTCCTCTTCCTCGTATTCCACCAACTTTTCCACTTCCCGGATGACGAGCTCATACGTCTCGACTCGCAACTTTCAGCCCTCGGAACATTCGAAACACTCCTCCTTGTTACTCTCCCAGCTGGTACACAAGTACATGGACAACGAAGCGCACCACGTCGTCCTCGGCGCCGTGGAGCATTCGACCAAGTTGCTGGATCTCCGGTGGGGCCATGGTGAGTGCACTTCTTTTCCTGTACCTTTCCACCGTGACGGTAATGCACAAGAGTTGATTTTCGAGTCGGTGGATGTTCGCAGTCTTCTTCACAGGGTCTACTGGAGTCGGAAAGATCGTAGCACAGGCGACAGCCAAGAACCTCGTCCCCTGTACACTCGAGGTCAGTCTCTCGAGCTCTTCCCACTATAACATGTCTGCCTAGCCATAGCTCATCGTTCATCGCTTATCGTACCCCTCGCAGCTGGGGGGGAAATCGCCCGTCATCCTGACAAAGTCTACCAACTTCAAGATCGCCGCCAAGAGGATCTTGTCCATGAAAGCTTACGGGGCCGGACAGATGTGCAGTAAGTCGGGTCGGTCCGAGGCCTCTCGGTCAGTCAACGAAGGAGAAGTTCAGCATGCTAAAGATGGATCGCTCGATGTTATAGCCAATGCGGACTACGTGCTCTGCCCAAAAGAGCATGCGGATGACTTTGTCAAGGCGTGTGAAGATGCGTGAGTGTACAGACTGTTGTGGAACAGAAAGCAAGGCGCCGACTGTCCCGGCACGCCCCGTAGCTTGAGAGAGTTTTATCCTCGTAACGGCTCCAAATCGATCCTCGACTCGGAAGCCACCTCTCAACTCGTCCACAAGCCTCACTTTGATCGGATTACCAAATTCATCGAACAGGCCAAGGCGGATGGTCATTACGTGATTGGGGGAGAGTCCGATGAGGAGAGGAGAAAGGTCGGGTTGACGTGTGTCAAGATTTACGCGGATAAAGAGTCCACGGGCGGGTTGATGACCGAGGAGATCTTTGGGCCGATCTTGCCTATCATCTCGGTACAGGTACGTCGGCCTGTTCCAATATCATGGAAAGCACCCTTCCTGATCAGAGCACTAACTTTGAATGGCGGTCCAGGACGTCGATGCCGCCATCGAGTATGTCAACGCCAGACCTACCCCGCTCGCTCTCTACGTGTTCTCCGAAAAGCGCAAGGACTTTGAATACGGTCCGTTGCCGATTCTTCTCATAGCTGTCAACCCGATCATGAGATGCTGACGAATCTTTCAATGATAGTCATCGAACGCACGCTAAGCGGCGGAGCTTGTTGGAACGATGTGAGCATCCAGACCGTACAGCGAGGTCTGCCTTTCGGCGGTGTAGGCGAGAGTGGATGTGAGTGCAGTGGACTGTCTGGGTCCCGAGCTGGACTGATAGTTGTGGTGGGCCGCAGGGGGAAGTGGGCATGGGAAGAATGCTTACGAGACGTTCACTCACCGACGAGGTATGTTCTTGCGCATCTCGCTGTTACAACTCGTCGTAGACTCGACGCGCTTACGATCTATGTGAATCAGCCACTGTCGATGTCCCGAGCAAGTAAGTCTGGGCTCGTCGTGACTCGCAGAGCTTTTTGGGCTCGACTGACACCCCCCTCGCATAGCCTGGAGCCGTTCATGCGACTCCGTTACCCTAATGCACCTAAATGGGGCATGAAAGTGTTCGAGGCGCTTATCGGCCACAAGCTCTCCTTTGCTCGTTCGACCTCGGTCGCTGCAGAAACCAAGAGGGAGAAGAGCCGGGAGAGGATCAGAAAGTTTATCAAGTACCTGATTGGCCTCGTTTTCTTGCTGCTGGCCAAGAGACTGCGCGGTTAGGATTGATGCCCAGCGGACGGTCTGTGAACTGGTTTCCTTGTAACTATCCTTGTACCAGGCTTTCGAAGAGATTATCTGAAGGAGTCATTCACTGAGCAATTATGTATGATCATACAAGCTAGCGCTACGGAACGCCATCCACTGGTACGGTAGCGACCTTCGATGGTTGATGGGGTGTTACTACATGAGACAGACGTCTTGGCCCGAGTCGGCTAGCGCGTCCCGTCTATCGCGAAGTCAAATATCGTCATGTCCCGCCCGTTCATCAGCTGAGGGACTTCACTCGATCTCGACTTTATCGTCACCCATCACTTAAAACACTCAGGAGCTCACCATCAGGTCTGTATACTCTGTCAAATATTAGAATTCAAGCCAGTAGCTTGCTGAATAAGGACACTCAAGGACAGTCGGCTATCTTGCTCATAGCCAATATGTCGGCCTCTTCTGCTTTGCCCTTGGCCAGATCAGGCTTCGGTCTAGGATTGAGTCAGTAGACTCGACTGAAGTATTGCTATCATGGTTTGCAGAAGGAGCTCAGTTCAATTTCGTCTCATAGATTTGCTGCGTACATTCCCTAGATTACCACGTATCCCTGTTCCGGCACTACGGACCGCCGGACCATCAACAACCCGATTCTTAGCTCTCAGTCCTCGATCCTTTCACTCGACCTCGACCACGAGTGACAACCACTTTGACACACACGCCTTTGTCGAAAGACTCGCCCAACAGGGTCTCAAGAGGGAGCAGGCCGAGGGTGTCATGTCTGCGTTGGCAGAGGTGGTCGATGAGAGTATCACTGGGATGAGCCGGACGATGGTGACCAAGGCAGAACAGGAGAAGGTGAGTCCGTAGTACGGGATGGCTTCTCCTATCTTGAACCCTCTTGACCACCGTCTTCTTACATATCGCAGCTACACTATACGCAAAAGGTCGACTTCGCTCAGCTGAAATCCGAGCTTCAGCTTCACGAGAAGAACGATCTGACGCTGATGAAGCAGGAGAACGATCAACTCCGAGCCGATCTCGAAAAGCTCAAGCAGAGGCTGAGAGAGGAAATTACCAGGACGATGGCTGGAGTCCGGCTCGATCTGAACCTCGAGAAGGGTGAGTCGTGAGCGGGAAACTATGATGGGATCAGTCTCGGCGTCAGGCTGATGAGGTATTCTAGGTCGGATACGAGATGAGGCGTCTCAACAAGAGCTCAAGATCAAAGAGGTGGACACTCGGATAGAGTCGGAGATTGCCGGATTGAGGACACAGATCGAGCAGGCAAAGGTAACCCTATCCATCCTTGGGACCCCGTTTTTATCATGTTTCGCTAATTCCCTTCGTACCCATCGTTTCCTCCTGCACCTTTCCATGCCACAACAGGCCAACTCGCTTCAATATTTGGTCGGAGTTGCTACTGGTGCTGGAGCTTTGCTGGTCAGTCGTTACGACTGGTAGATCATATACTCGCGCGAAATGTCTGACATTTCGCATCTATCCCTTCTTAGTTGGCGTATCTGCGGATGTTCAAATAGATTCTCGGCGTCTAGGGAAGTGGGAGCAGAAGATGTTTCTGGTCATGTATTGCGAGTCGATATTGAATACCCTGAATTGGAGCTCGTTACCTAAAGATTCCGACGGCTTCGATCTCGCAGACCGTTTCAGGATGCATGGCAGATTAGCCATGATGGGTTGGATCGTTTGGTCATGGGCCTCCTTTACGGCTACAATTCATACAACGTGTCGAGAACTGTCATGCAAATTACATCAACAGATTCGCTGGCCAGTCGAGATCATCCATCAAACAGCACAGGCGAATTCAGAGCAGCAAATCCATCAAATCGTCATGGCTGTCGGAAGAGGACGTCAGCCAGACTAAAAAAGAGACCGAGCCGAAAGGTCGACCTACTCTCCGCTGTTCTTGTCTGTGCCCTTTTTCCCGGAAACAGTTGTGGCCTGAGCATCGAAAGTGTTCTGATCCACGCCCTTGGCGTAAATGCAGTGCCCGGCACGAAGGCCCCGGTTGATGATTTTCGCTTCAATCGTTTCTGCCAAGCGACTCAATAATCAGGACAGGGGGATAGACGGGTCGTCATACGAGTCGTCTTGATACGCACCTTCACAGGCATAACAGAAGACGTGAGTCTCTTGAGCCTGACCCAATCTATCAACACGGCCGATAGCTGCAAATTGACGTTGATACGGTCAGTCTGTGTCTGGCGCTGTTTGCTCTGCTCAAGCGGAGCAGGACCTACCTTGAAGCTCATATCCTTGGTTCATCACTGGTTCAAGCAGGTGCACCACAGCCGCAGCCGTCCTGCCCAAGGTAAAATATGATTGAGAACAATCGACGGGACGCCACGAGACCTGCACCACCCACAAAGTAAGACCAGACACTTGGCGTTCTCCGTGCAGCAGGAAGACCTGACAGTCATTGGTAGCAAAATCTTTGACTGCAGTCTTTTGCGCCTTCTTGTGACCGATAGTAGTCCACTTGATCTGGTTGGCAGTCAATGCTGTTTGAACAATCTCTAAAGAGCTAGCCCATGCAGAAAATACCTGGAGATCTGCTTCGTGAGCATGCTTTGGTACCGGATTCATGGAAAGGAGGAATTGCTCACAATGTGTTTCACGTCGGGTTCCGTTCGCTTCCAATACTGCTCAGAATCAGTGTCGATTAGCTTTATCCTCACACAGGGCGCCTTGCGGCGACGCACCTTCAAGTGCTTGATCATGAAATCAAGCTGTAGCCAAGGGAAGATACCATCGTAAGAGCATTTATCTTCGCTAGAACAGATAGCCTAGGACCAATAACACTCACCTTTGCCCCCCACTGGCCATGAATCTCGACCTCGGCCACCGCTCCTTGCCGCGGCCTGGGAAGCACGTTCAGTGCGTCGAGGTCCAGTGCGTCGGGAATGATGTCGCTCTCCATAGCTAAGGTCTCGGCCTTTGTAGGCTTGGGCTTGGCCGGCGGGTCTGTTTTCCTAGGGTCTACCTTGTGGACTTGACTTGGAACGATGGCGAGCCGACAGCACGGACAGGTAGCCCGTGCGGCACTACGCATGTACTCGTTGTAGCACGAGTGACACATACGATGTGCGCAATAGAGTACCATGACGACACCTTTGATCTCCGAAAATTCCTGCTGACAAATCATACACTCTTCGTCCTCATCTTGATCTTTATTCTTCTCGTTTAGCGAGTCCAGCTGCGAGTTCAAGGAACGTAAATGGCACCATCTAGAAGTTGTCGGATAAATCAAACCCACGTAACGTGCATGCGCTTGTGCTGTTGCGATCTGACGCTCCATAGTCGCAAAGGTGATCGGCACCGTCTCGAGCAGCATTGCGCGCTCTCTCAGGCGAGTGTTCTTCATCCTCTCCGCTGTATTTGGCTCTGTCAAACGGATTACAGCTTCTTTCTCTTCGGCGGCAGTCTCAGGATCAATCTAGAAACCAGCAGCAGGTTAGAAAAGGGCAAGCCGAACATCCTCACGTTTGCACTTACGAGCGTATCGCTGATCTGTTGTAAAGTCTTGAACTGAAAGAAGAGCAGGAGGTCGGTATTCGTCATCACAATTGCAGGAGATACGGGCAAGGAAGACTCTGCTCACGAAAATCAAGCGGACATTCTGCAAGGTTAACATTGTCATCAACCTGCCGTCCGGACCCGTTAGCGAACCATACCCACGACCTACGAAACAGTGATTGAGAGATTTGGCTTCATCTTCAAGTTTTTTCAGTAAAGCGACTGTGAATGTTACGATTTCAGTCCTATATTCGCTGCCCAGATATGCGCATACGGACGCTGATCTTCCTTGATGCCCCTAAGGCGCTGTTTCTCCATCTTGGCCAGTTCACGTTCTTCATTCCGCCTGTCGTGTCCGCTGACGAAATCTGGGAAATAGCATAGAGATTCTATATCAACAAGGCGGCCATCGAAAAAAAAAGGGGCAATGATGTACCGTCCAGTTCCGAAATTAAGCCTTGAAGGGATTGAAAACCAGCATATGCTTCACGATATTCTTGACGTTTGGCCTTGATTTCCTTATGATACTCCGCGTCTTCTTCGTCTTCTGGTATGTCCACCGCAACCGCTTTGGCTGTCTGCGTTTCGCGCTTTTTGCCCTTCTTCCGCTCGACCTCTCGGATAAATGTCGTCTATGCGAACGAGACAGTCAGATCGATCGCTCAGAGTTGACAGCAGCATCGGTTATGTACTGACCCCTTCCGTTAACATCTCTCGGCGATCAGCCAAAGCGTCGGTATATGCAGCCATATACACCTCCAGCATAGCTTGAGCCTGAAGACTTGCTTCGAACTCGTTGCCGGTGGCATCAATATCGTCTGTCTTGAAATCAACTTTCTCCAGTAGCCGTTCTACTACCTGACCTCGGAGATTCCAGACGCTAGATGAACAATAAAAAACGAGAATTGATCAGACGTGCAGATTGAATTACGATGCGGTGATTCTTACCATTCTGCGTTGCAATTCATAGCCTCCTCGATGAAGTTATTGATGGCGGTACCGTATTTCGCTGTTTCGATACCGAGGGGGCCGCCCTCTTCAACTTCCAGAACACTGAATCTTGTAATTCGGCTTCCCTTGATGACAGATCTGACTCGATCGATGGACGAGTTAGATTTAGCAAGAGGTCGCGCTAACATCAATTGTCGGACAGCATCGGCAGAGGCGTAGCTTTCCGTTTCCAGTTCACCATACCCCTCCTGTTCGGGATATTGATGATACAAGTCGCCACATCGAAACCTGGAGGTCGCACAGCCTGTATCTTCAGCTCTCAAGCTCGACCGATGGCGAAGACGCGACTCACAAGGCTTCGTGGCTCAGGTGCATGAAGTCTCGAACTCGTGCCTGAGAGCAAGCAGTCCCGCTTGATCAACCCCTATCGACCGGCATGCAATATACCCAAACCTTATTCTTACCCTGAGCACAGCACGCGCTTTGCCCACAGATGATTCAGGTCCGGTACCGTTGCTCTCCGCATCCACATCGACATCTAGATGATCGTCTCCTTCGTCCGATTCCAGATCCACCACGTCCGTCATCCCGTTAATTGTCTTCTTTATAGCTTCCACCTCCTTTTGGCTTTCTTTGTCAGCTCGCCGTAGCAGGTCGATCGATCTGCGGTATTGATCGGGTTGGTCAGAGTGAAGGGCGAGCGCATATTTTATTCGAGTGGATTGTAGAACATAGATATGGTGGTGATAGTCTCTCCATGCTTGGACTTGCCTGCAGGTTTGCCAGACCGCCCCGACTTTCGTCAGCCGTGTTCTGCCAATGCACCACGCAATCTACGTACATCGTGTTCAAGGCTTGATCCATGTCCTTGAGTACAGCACCGTTTTCGCGGCCCATTCGCGTTCGCTCAACCCGAACCCCATTCTCCAACTCGTTGGTCTGAATGTGCGTGCACACGGCCCGTAGGGTCTGCACGAGACTACGCAACGACTCCGTATCTCGATACCCGTTCTTCGACACTGCCAGCGCGTCGATGTTGCGATACAAGGTATCTCTGTAGTATTGAAGCTCGACGATGTTCATCTTGATCGGTACCAATGTCCTCGTTTGAGGCGGAATGTCAGTTTCATTCTTGACCATCTTTTTCGTATGCCGAATAGCGACTTCGCCAAACAAGTCGCGGAAAGCGTGACGGAATCCTGGCTTTAGGAACCGGTTCCAGACCGAGGGATGAATGTTCACTCCGACGAAATGCAGAGCTGATTGGAGATCTTGTACGGCCTGTTTCGCTGGGGTTCCGCTCAGGACCAAGCTGTTCACGCGCTGCAGCGATGTGACCATCTGTGCAGCCTTGCTAGCAGAACGAGCATCCAACATTTGTACCTCATCCATGATAATCTTTCGATGCAGAATCTGTCAGTGCGTACGCAAAGCCGGTCAGCCTCGTTTGCGTCCCGACGTACCCTCCAGAATTGACACATTGACAGAACCGAGCGAGGTTTCTCTCTAGGTGGACCCGCGACCGCTCGTCGTGGGCGCTCAACCGGAGCCAATGCTACGTCCAAATCCTTGCCGAGCGTGTCGTATGTGACGAATACGACATCTGTTGTAGCCATGCGCTGAATCCAATTGTTATACCATCGCTGGAAGAAGCTAGTAACGTTCTCTCCTGTACGCGGCTTGATCCTCGCCATCTCTTCTTGTTCCGTCTGAGTTTCACGCTTCCGTTTACCGGGACCGGAAACAGCGGGTCCTCGCTCCAGCCAGTCCTCCATCATATCGCTATAACCCTCGTATACGACATATTGTAAATGCGGCGCGTGTCTCTTCGTCTCCTCTACCCATTGCCGTAAGAGTATCTTTGGCGTGACGACCAATGTGCTCTATGAGAATTCAAAGAGGTCGTCAGGACCTTCGTGTGACGTCGGCGTTAGACCGAATTACCTTGATCTCGTGAACATGGAGTTTTAGCTCTTGGTCCCAGCGACTTGAGCCTTTGAAAGCTCCTTCAAATGTGTCCGCCTCAACAACTATTCCGGTGTCTACTGCAATTCTTCTACGTTTCTTCGGCCTGTCTTCTGTGTTTGACAATTTCGACGCGCCGTCATCTGCCTCCTTCATCTCTGCATCGCTTTCCTCCAATTTTACGACCTCCACTTCGGGTTTGTTCATTCTGGGATGCAACAATACCGTAGCGATGGCTTCGAGCGTTTTGCCAAGACCTGAACAAACCCCCATATCAGACTTTGAACGCTCTAGAACAGTGCCGACGGAACGTACCCATTTCTTCAGCCAACAAGCTTCCGCGGACATCACACAGTCTCAGCAGGCCTTCTTCCGGCAAGAGCCATCTGCTATCGGATGACTCGCCCGTCTCCTTGCCCTTGCCCTTTTCCAGTCTTGTCTTCCGGTCAAGCATGGCCTTCGAAACCGGCTGCAATCTTCCTGTCATCCGACAGAAGGCTAGATCGACGAGCCCTTTCCCGTCCTCAGACCCGAATTGCACCAACTCCCACAAGCCTTCCGGGTCCACGACCGATTTGCGCTCAAAGTACGGGTGGATCGAGGTGGCGTCTTCGTTGCGGAGCAGCCAAGCAACCGCTCTTTGTTGGAAAGGTTTCAGCTTAGCTACCATGCCTTGAGGCTGGACCAGCTGCAAGACGTCGGCAGGGGGCGTCGGAGCCGGCTTCAGCACCTCGTAGAATTCCTGTAGCTTGATATCGTCCTTAGGGGTGTTTACATCAGAAGATGGCAGAAACACGTGGAGGACTCGGCGGAGATGCTCGAACAGCGCTGGAGTGAGTTTGGTTCGAGTGATTAGCGAGTCTATCTTGCCGTAGATTTTGAGTTCAGTGTCAAATGCCAGTGTCCATCGAGCGTTCTGACCGACACGGCGCTTCGGACCATCGTGAGTATAAAGAGTCGCCTTGATATGGACATCCACCTCGAAAGGGCATCCCGGCGAGTCCAACAGTAGAGCCAGCGAATTGAACCAAGTTTCCCGGAACTGCGGTCGATCGACATCGCGCATCATCTTATCGTGCATAATCAATCCGTATGCGGTCAAGTCCTCCATCTCGGCTTCGTCGCTCAACTGCGGATGAAGCAGGAAGACATCTTCGCCGCCTTTGGTCTGGATGGTACCCAACGGACTCGTCACCGGGTGTTTCAGATAGTTCTTGATGGTCCTGCCAGGAACAAGTTTGAAGGGGCCCTTGAGCTGCAGAGGTACCCGCTCGGCACGTTTCACTAGCTCGTCTAGCGTGTCAGTAGCTCGATCCCGATGAGGTCCTTCATGAAAGTCAACGTTTTTCCAGGTTCCGCCCTTTAAGCTCTTCATAGTGAGCGGGAAATTGGTCGTGAGGTGTCGAGTATGGAGGAGCCGCTTCTCGACAGGGACACCTCTAGCCTCGTTATTCGTCTCCAGTTCCGGTTCCAGCTCGTCTTGCTCTTCTTCGCCCTTGACACCAGGCTGATCTTTCTGTTGAGATGATTCCACCGGTCCAGAGCTTTGGCGCTCATCCTCAATGTCGTGATAGCTCCTTTGCAGGACACCTTCCAGAGTATACCAGTTAACCCACTCGGGGACTTGTTTGCCCGTAGACGTCGAGACGCTTGAAGTGTTGGATCCTTCTTGCAGACCATGAGCTTGCAGGAACTCGGTCCTCAAGCTCGAATCGGGAAGTTCGCTATGATCGAGCTCGGTTCCCATTTCAGCCAGTGTCTGAGGGTTGACAATCGATCCGCTCGGCGGTTCGAGTAGATCCATGTCCATGATTGGAGGCCTCGCTCACTGCCCAGAGATCTTGCAGCTGCGCCTGGAGATGGACCGTTATCCTGTACACTCAAGGTCTACTAGTCTCTGCAGGAGTCCAAGAGAGGATGCATCTAGTTGCTAGTTGCAAGGCGTCGCTTGCTGGTAGTCAGTATGGAAATGGTGATTGGATCGGAATGTCAATAACCTCGACATTTCAGCTGAGGTCACCCTCGGCTCTCGCCGCTGAAAGTCGAGATCGTGCTTACGGCATTTAGGAGATGGCCGATGGGGAACAGAAGATACGAGCCAATCTTACAATCTTGCATCTGGCATCTTGGTTCATCGTAATCGTTATAGCGTCTATTCTCTACGGGCTACTAGTAAATTCAATGAGATCACACGTGCCCTTCCCAAGATTCGTGATCACTTCCCCCCTAGTCGGCCCCTCGATTATCCAATCTGCTCCTCGGCGACATCCTTTGTCTCCTTGTTATCGCGAAGACTACCTCGCCGGCTCGGCACATGAGATCCCGCAACTCGACCCCAACTCGCCTGCGAAGTTGGAGTGTCCAAACGAGGATGAGGTGATGCCCGGCCCGGGAAACTGCCTTGTACGGGCGATAGCGGCGGAAATTCTTCAGTGGCTGGAGACAGCGTATTGGCACCCCCGCCGTTCCAGGTCTGCGTATCTGCGTTTTCAGGATGCCAGGACGTCGGGCGAGAAATGGGTGGAGAGGCCAATCCTGCTACGCCTCTCTCGCCTGACCCCTGTCTCGATGGGTGTTGCTGAGTGGCTTGCGAGAGGAGAGGAGAGTAATTAGGGATGATCGCTCGTGTCACGATGGAAGCCAGAGATGGACCCGCCAAAGAGTTCTGTTTATTCGCTGGGATCGACGAGCTACCCGAAGAGTTCTGCGAAGGTAAAGGAGGGAAGGCCGGGGCCGCAGCGCTCAAAGCGGTCGGTGATTCTCCTTGCTCGTCGACAGGCAACCTCGAAGCTATCCCAGGAGACGTAGCGTTACGACCCCTAGGCAGGTAGATCCGGTGCTGCAGTTGAGGCGGTACAAGCGAGGTATGATGATCCTGGTGAGACATCGCAGGGGACATCGTGGCAGTGACGGCCATCTGTGACTGGGGCATGAACGGCGCCGCCGTGACATTAGCCATCATGGGAGACACTGGTACGCCTCCATCTCGCACCGGAGGACTGCGTAGCACCCGGCTCGCCATGGTCGATGACCCTTCGGCTTGGCTAGCAAAGAATCCGGTCGGGTTCCCCAAGTGCGAGATACCCCCCGTGGCTCCTCGCGGGATGCCCTGTGTCGCAAGCGCGACCGCTGCAGAATTGGGCGACGGGCCAGTCGCACTCCGAGCATGAGCAGCAGGTGGCAGGTTGCGAGGATTGAATATGCTACCCTGTCTCGATCGGCTCGGACCATAGTTCTCGGCAAAACCGACGCCTCCTGCATTGACAGCAGCTGTCTGACCGAGCGCGACCAGGTTCGAGCTCGATCCAGGGCCCATCCGTCCAATCAATCCCCGATTTGTAGACCAGTTGTTTTCATAATCCCAAGCGCCCGAATTAGGTCGATCTGCTAGACTTGGCCCTCGGATCGATCCCATGTTGGCCGGTCCAACGTAATCCTCGACCATCATCCTTTGTTGTCTCACCGCATCATTACGCTTCTCAACCTCTCTTCGCGCACCGGCGATATCCTGTAGTTTCTGCCTCAACTGTTCGTTCTCTTTGGCCAGCTTGTCCCGCTTGGCTGCATGCTTATCGTACCTCGCCGTCAAGTTGGCGAGCTTAGCATCCAGCTCTGCTACCACCTTCTTGTCCCTCTCCAACACCTCGTCTTTGGCTTCCTTGGCCGTGTTCCTCGCGGACTGTACCGATTCAAATTCCGACTTTTGTCCAGCCTCGTCGTCCTCCCACGTACTGCTCGATTCCGTAATCTTTTGGTTCTCCTGCTCGGCTCCTTCTGCGGCCGCAAAAGCTTGCTTGACCTGTTCCTGCAGTGCCAAACTCTTTTGTCTCGAACGTTGATCGGGCAGGGTCGATTTCTCCATGGCCCGCTTTAACGCCTCGACTTCGGATTTGAGGCCAGCTTCGACCTTTTGCGATTCCCTCCTCGATTTTTTCAGTTGGGCAGCCAGGTCTTCCCTCTCGGCTTGAGCCATTGCAATCGAGTGCCGGAGATGTGACGCTTGAATCTCCTCGGCCGATGGTGCGATACCCCAAGACGCATTTCCATTGTCCACCTCGTCACCTTCGGTAGGTATGACAGGTGCATCCAGTCGGTCTCGCGAGTGGTTTCGAAGGAGTCCTCGAGCCTGATCAGACTGAGTAGGGCTATCCGTCAAAGCCGGAGGTTGAAGCAGGGAGCTAGAGCGTGATCTGGTTCCACGATTGCGCAGCGAGTTGGCTCGGGACCGAGTACCGGTCGGGGTTGAGTGCACTCCAGGCGTTACGATATTTGCTGTAGCTGCGAAAAGTCAAAGGTTGTCAGTGTTCGGGTGCACATAGGCTAGTGTACGATTGGCAACTTACCAGCTTGCAGAGGTTCCCCTTCTCCGGCAAAGTTGGCCACAACCTTGAGATCTATTTCGTACTCTTTTCCAGGCTCCAAACCAAAGATGCCTACGACCGCCCTATCCCGTGTCATCTGCTCCAGCATCTTATCTACTACCCTACTGCTCAGAGCTTCGCTATCTGAAGACAAGCCGTTCGAACCCACACCAGATGTAGCTGGCTCGTCATCGCTGACATGAGCGACGATCTGATTCCATGGTCGGCCGTTGACTGTTACCATGACACCCTTTGAGAGGAGCTCTTTGAAAGAAGGTTTGGCATTTGGTAGAGGTGCTAGCCGTGCCGGGAACGCTCCAGATTGGGTCGAAGAAGCATAAGGCGAGGGAGAGCTGCTACTCTGTCCAACTAGCTGTGCTTCCGATCCGCCGGTGTCGTTGTCCTCCACTGCGGTCAGATCGTCGTCCGACTCGTAATGAGCGTTCTTGATTCGATGTCGCGGTCGACGTTGTTTCGTAGCGCTTCCAGCTTGACCTGAGGTTGATGCTGTCGAGGTCGAAGCATGCTGTGATGATCTACTTGGAGGTGGCTGGGCGAGGGAGAGAGCGATGGTGAGGGATATCGATGTGATTTCGAGGACTTGCAAATTGAGCGGTCGAGTTGCCGGTGAGATGCAGTGCCATTGCGATGCAGGACCCGACATTGAATTGTTCATCGGAATGGAGACCGGCATCGAGGAGGATCGACCTGCTGTCAGAAAGTCTACAGTCAGAGAATAAGGTGATATGAAGTCGGGGTGTGATCGCTACGATGATATAGGAAAGAGAAGTTGCATAGACATGATCTGGACTAGTTGCTGCTGCTACTCGTACCGTCTTCCGAGCAAAGTTCGGATCCGCGACGCGAGTCTCAAGGTGATCTCGGGACACACTCACACATACACACACACACAAGCGAACAGACTAGGAACATGACCGGCATGACCCTTCGAGTCCAAGGTCCGGTTGAATGATGTATTGCTCGCACGTCTCCCGGAAGAGAAAGCGAATTGATCGTTACAAGCACAGACGTCGTACGGGTTGAGCTCGGTATAAATTGGTCGTAAAGCAAGAACGTGAATTGTCGGGTGGTAGTGGGAAAGAGTATGGCGAAGCAGTCGCACAATAGGGAAGCCAGATCCAGTAAAGAGCCTTGATCACGGTTCCGATCCCGGAGCGCCGTACCCTCCACCTTCGAGGGGGACGGCCTCGTCTAGCGGGTTCTCTGATGTTGATTGTTCAAGGAGCGCAGACAAGGGTTGATTGCCGTCGATCGCTCGCTACGATATCAAGCACACCGATCGTTTGATCAGTCACGGTCTTCAGATCTTGACCGTAATTCGTGGTCTTTAGAAACTTACCTGCAAGCACGCTCGATAGTCTGTCCACAATCCGCCGCAATTTCGTTCGTACTCCTCGGCCATCATCCTTGACCTCTCCTTCCTCATCTCCTCCTCCGTCATCCCTCCGGCCATCTCGACCTGTTGCACGCCATCGTTCTGTCCCAACTGATGCCTCTGAGCGTCATCATTCTCGTCGCCCGGAAGGTCGTCATCAAACAACGCTTCCTCCGGTCCAAACTCTTGCTCGATCGCCTGCCTCTCGCTCTCCGCCAGCTGTTCGACGTCCTCCTCGTCTTCGTCCACCAGAATTTCGTCTTCGAGCTCTCCTAGCGCGAAATATGCGTATTCGTGCAAGAGTTCTGGGAGAGGTGCGGTGGAATGAGCCGGGCGGCGAGACAAGAAGGGGTACAGGTCCGGGTGCGCTCGAACATCGTCTTCCCGAAGATTCCCACCGCGAAAGGTTGAGGGGATCGGTAGCTCCTTGCCAGTTGGACTTTTGGTCTCGCTAGTCGATATCGATACTCCTGCATCTTCGTCGGCCAGTCCTTCAAACACTTTCTGATCCGCATCAATCTCTGCCCCCGGCGAGCCCTGATCCGCCTTTTGTGCCACGGCCGAGCTCGTCTCCTGCGAAGAGACCACCGTCGAGGGTCCGCTCGTCAAGACCACGGGCTGCAGGTAACCCTCGAACCAGGCATTGAAGCACGAGTCATATCGATGCTTGAGTGGTGTACATTCCGGTGAGAGCGAGCTGCGGGCAGGCGAGGCACAAGGTCAGTATTTCGGGACCCAGCCAGTGTACCGCTGTCCGGTGCACAGAGTACCTACTCCATGGCTCCTGTGTAGACTGACTCGTGTGTAGATCTATGTGGGCGGGATGTTACGGTGTATGCACATACAGAAACATGAATAATCTACGTTTTGATGAGGTGCCAACTGCATGACAATTGAGCCAGTATCGACCTCGTTCTGCCGAGTCGAGGGACCTTTTGTTCGGCTGACGACTCGCGTGACGCGGCCATACTGCGAGGACGGCATCAAGAGACGTTTCACACCGCAGAACTCCTGTTACACAAGAATACCATGGGCCATGGGCAATGCGCTGTCATCTCGAGACACAACTAGAGACATGACCGAAAATGACGACTCGCTCCTCGAAAGATCGCGGCTGGCACGAGCAGACGTCTGTTAGTGAGCCTGCCGCCCCGTTAATGACGCGATGTCCTTAATAATAAGCCGCGAGCCTAGGAAATCACGAGAGATTGATTCGAAAACCACGGCAGACGTTCTCAACGAGTGAAGCCGGCGAACAATACCATTCTTGTCCGCGCGGGCGGGATCTAGACCATTACAAACTCGTCCACGAAAGCACCACTAGCAGACTCTTCCTCTCAACGAGGCAAGAGCAGCCTAGTAGTTGGCCTTCTTGCTTCCGACCTGCAAGTGACCCGAGAACTCGTCGTAAGGGGTCTGACCGGGCTCGATGACCTTCCACAAGTCGGGGCTCAAGAACTCGTAAGTCTTGGCGATGGCGGCGAGGGTGGCCTTCAAGAAGTTACCCTGGGTCGAGGTGGATCCGGTAGACTGGGTGTAGCAGTCCTTAACTCCGGCCATCTGGAGGAGACGTTTCGAGGCGGGGGCGGCCACAATGTCGGTTCCTCGGGCTGATAGAGAAGTACGATAAACCGAAGTCAGTTGACAGATACAAGTAGATTAAAGCTCTCTCGACGCGCTACTCACGAGCGGGGACCAATCGACACATGACGGATCCGGACTTTCCGGAGACCTTGCAGGGAACGGTGTGAGGCTCCTGGATGTGGTTACCCCAGTATCCCCTCCTGACGGGGACGACCGACAACTTGGCAACAATGATGGCACCCCTGATGGCGGTGGCGACCTCCTTGGCGCACTTGACTCCGAGACCGACGTGACCGTCAAAGTCACCGACAGCAACGAAAGCCTTGAATCGGGTTCGCTGACCGGCCGAAGTCTGCTTCTGGACGGGAGCGATCGACATGACCTCGTCCTTCAAACCGGGGAGGAACTTGTCGACGATCTGGTACTCCTTGATGGGGAGGGAGAAGAGGTAGATCTCCTCCATCGACTTGATCTTGCCGTCGTTCACCAAACGACCGAGCTGTCAGAGTGATTCGGTGTGGTTGGGCTCGTCAGTCGATCGTTTCTACCGATCTATGCGGTTATATTCATCAGGACACTGACCTTGGTCACGGGTTGCCAAGGCTTGTCCTCGTCCTTTCGGGGACCTCGTCGACCCCTGCCTCGGCCTGATAGTAGTCGAACAGATCGAGAAGAGCTATATCAGCTCTCGTACTTCCGGGATTCTCCATAGGAACGGTTGGGGCAGGTTTCAAGTCTAGGCAGCAGGCGAAGATGAGCCGGTTGGAGAATGTCGTTCAAGTGTTGACGAGGTCGTGATGAGGCCGGCCTTTTCTGATGTGTCGTCTGAACCGAATTCTCCCTGACGGCAACATGTCCACAAGCCGCACAGCATGTGGTCGTCGTCCCTGCCTGTTTTGATTTCTTCGGGGTCGCCATCTAATCCTCCTTCTCCCGTCTTGGCTTATCGATCTTTCGCTCGTATCCAGCATTCCATCCTTCCAAATCGTCCTGATCCAGCTCGTGTTCGGACCCGTCCTCCTCCGCTGCTGCCTTGACCTATAAACCTGTTCCCCCGTCCCGTTCCTTCCCTCCTCCAAACGCATTCTGTACGCACCACCTCGACCTCGGTCACCACCCCTGGCGGCACCACGACCGAATCCTCCTCGTTGTTCAGCGGGAGCGGACATTTTGTTGATGTTGGCGACTTGATCCTTTTTCTTCTGAGAGACGGGGTCCGGTGGAGCAGGAAGCGAAGACTTGGGGGTACGGCGAGCGAGGTTGAGATCGTTTGATCTGGTCGATCGATGACTTGCGAGTTTCCCGGGTCAACGGCCTAGGACTGGGGTCAGCAGCACTGAACGCGCGAGAGTTCACAGAGCAGAGGGGGGTGGGCGGTGATCGAGGAGTCTCAGCTTCGAGGGAAACATGAGACACAACTCTCCCCTCACGAGGTCGGAGATTACTAGACGCGCGTCGCCCCTCCACCCTTGACCATCTCTCTCGTAACTCTTTGGGGATTTGAACGCGTCTGCGCTTGTTGTAACGGCGCGCTTCTATCCGAACAAAAGCTCTTTGCTCCCCTGGGCGCCAAATCTCTCGACCCGCGACCTCCACCTTCTAGCCTGGGTGAGCCCTAGCGTTCCCCCTTGGGCCTTGCCCAATCGCTCTCACCCGTCGTCCTCTCACGCTGAGCCTCCCAGGCCCAGCAGCACCCCGACCGCCAGATCACCTCGAGGTCATCCTCGACCCAAAGACGATATCGACAATCAACCTTCGCACCCGCCTTGCTCTTCCGGTTGGATTCAACGACAAGCACGCCCATCATGTCTAACGTTCAGACTTTCGGAAAGAAGGTTAGTGTGCACGGATACTCGGTCTGCGGGAAGGAGCAAAGAGGGGAAATAGCGAGGGGTTCGTTCGTGTGCTCGAGGAAGGAATAAAGATCAGGGTGGACGACATGGAACAGCCGCATCGAATGAGAGAATAGGACAAGCCGATAAGATGGAGAAGGAATCGGTACCGCCAACCGCCTACAAGCAGCGGCTCAAGCGACAACTCGTAAAAATAGTTTACATGCGGTCCAACGCGACTCTTCATGCAGCAGGATCTCTCAGGTCTCAACAAGCGATGGAGCGAAAAGACAGTCCTTCTGTCGCCGTAGACTATCCTGACGGAAAGCTGCAGACGCCCGAAACATCTAGGATGACGTCGATAGACAATGCGTCTTTTTCCGAAATCTCGACATGATTTGGCTATTTCAACTCGACGTCGGCAATTCGAATGCATCTTCTCGTGGATCCCAGGCACCAATCTACAATACGAGCAAAGAGCACACGATTGCACGAACCTCGCAGCTTCCACCTCTCCTCAGACGCGTTGCTAGGTGTCGTATGACAGGGTTCACTAACGCTTGCTTGAAACCTTTTTTTATTCTGTGTCTAACAGAAGGTACGCGGGATCAATAGATGGAACAAGCGAGGAAAATGGAATGGGGTACTAATTGGTTGTCTTCCTGCTGTTTACGTTTGATCCGTATAACAGACCGCCGTGAGTACAATTCGTGGCAGGCGTTGACATTCGGGGCAAGATAAGCTAAACGATGCTGTTGCTCGTTGCTGCAGACCGCCGTCGCTTTCGTCACTCCCGGTAAGGGTTTGGTCAGGCTCAACGGATCTCCCATCTCGGTCGTCGAGCCGTGAGTACCATCATTTGACTTCGATCCAGGATCAATAGGCTAAATCTGACTGGGTTCTTTTCGTTGTGTTCTTTCTTTAGTGCCGTCCTCCGATACAAGATCTACGAGCCCATCCTCACCGTTGGTGTCGAGAGGTTCCAGGGAATTGACATCCGTCTCCGAGTCAAGGGAGGTGGTCACGTTTCCCAGATCTACGCCTTGAGGCAGGCTATTGCCAAGGGTGTCGTTGCGTGAGTCCTCGATTTATGAAAGCGCTTGCGTCGACGTAAGGGAGACATGCTGACTCAGAACACACGCTATACACAGTTACTTCGCCAAGAACGAGGACGCTGCTTCCGCCCTCGAGCTCAAGAAGGCTTTGGTCCAGTACGACCGAACCTTGTTGGTCGCCGACCCCCGACGAATGGAGCCCAAGAAGTTCGGAGGAAAGGGAGCCCGTGCCAGGCGACAGAAGAGTGAGTCGATTCTCTCCACCTTTCATCTCGTAGTGACGTCCGCTGCAGCCTTGCTAATCTCGTTTCTTTATACCTACTTCTTTATACCTACAGGTTACCGTTAAGTGTTGGGACACTGGCGGTTGCGATTCGACTGTGCGATTCCGGGAGGGAAAGGTTCCGCGACGCGCAATTTGGGAGGAAGTCTTGGAGACGTATGGGCGAATACCTATTTTTTCTGTCGACGGGGCTTCTTTTCTTTCGGGACGCGTTTGTTTGGTCCGTGAGACCTGTTGTCAGATAGAAGAACCTATACGATCCATTCTTTCCCTTGATATTGAGGTGATCGTCTGTGGGCTGGGCGGAGTGAAGCCCCAGTCTGAGCAGCTCCGTTGCCTACTGCTAGCGGCAGTCGGACGATAGCGTATTCGCGTGTCTGCGTGCAGATCGAGCTAGAAACGCTTCCGACGTTTCAGGTGTCTCGTTGTAGCGCGTGATCTTCCAGCTCGTCTTCGTCTTCTCCGTCATCCTCGTGCTTGTCCCTCTACCGGATAGCCTGTGGCGGTTGCCATTGCTATTGTGACGAGTTGAACGGGGGATGGTCTTGGTCCAACTTGGTCACTCTGGCGATAGCTTGTCTAGCAGAAGCCCGCTTCGACCTCGTTCGCTTGGCAGCCGCCTACTCTACAGAAATACAAAATATAGCAATACGACCGCGTAGGGCGAGTCAATACGGGGCAGCAAACAGCACATGGACAGCACAGCCCAGTATCAACCCCTTCCTGAATCAGTTACCTGTCTGATCCTATGAAGTCGAGACATACTTCTAGAGTATCGGTACGCGTTGTAAGGGAAAGCTCTTCGATGTATCGATGCCGCGGTATATATATCGATTGGCCGATGTATCAAGCGCGACTCGAAGTGTTTGACCCTAGCAAATGGAAATCATAATGATGGCTTCCGTTTAGCTGGCGCAAGGCCGAGATGTATGTTATAATGAGCACTACTGCCGGATGACGCAAGGCAGAGCTTGAATTCCTCTGATCAGCATGTCCTGTGCATGACCTTCATCTGCCTCTGGGTTATCGGAGAAGGATCCATTAAATTGTAAAGTCGATTTTGAAGCTAACTTTCGATGCAAACCCCAACTGATTCGGCCTATCTTCGAATTGCGTCTATTCAGCTTTCGGAACATTCCCCAGCAGTACCTGGTAGCCGGCGTCCTACCATGTCCGCCTCCAACAACAATATCGAACTCGCCCAAATCGGCCCCGTCACTCTCAAATCTGGACCCAAACCCGGCAACACCAATACCAATACCAATACCAATACCAATACCAATACCAATATCAATACCAATACCAATGACCTTGAGGCGAATGAGGCGAAGGAGAGAAAGAGAGTAGAGCTGTTGGCGAAGCTAGGTCGCATCGCAACTCGATTGCAAGAAGCAGACCTTGCTAGCAAGAATCCAAGGTCTGATGAACTGCTTACGAGAGTTGATGGGTTCCCAGAAGAAGAAGGGGAGTGGAACGCCTTGACAAGAGAGGGCTGGGCAATGTGTGCAGTAGTTTGGGGCGTAAGAGTCGGCTGGCTTTCTCCAACAAAGGTGTGTACCTCACTAGCTCCCTATGGATTTATGATATGATATATGATGGATATGAGTGTTTACGAAACCCAGAGCCATGCGTTCTCAGGTGAAAGCGCCGCCGTTACACTGTCTTCAATCGATTATACGTCTACCGTCATCGAGAATCAAGACCGAGGCTCGGACAAGATGACACCGCGGTCTTATCTTGGTGGCATGGCCCAACGACTGTTGACACATTAGACTAGAGCGAAACAGTCGAGCACTACAGCTCGTCGCAATGCCATATTGGCTTCAATCAAGGGTCGAGGATCCTTATCATCCGGACCCGCCGACTGGGTGGTCACGAAGATGGATGATGTTGTGCTCGTGCCTCATGATGGTCGTGAGCCCATCCTGGCCCACTCGCGAATTCGGGTTGAAATCCAGAGTCTGAATTTGACCACTCAATTGAACATTTATATCTTATGGAGGACGGACTGGGTGAAATATTGAGAGATGTCAGTCCTGCATGAAATGTGCTGAATGTACAGCGGGCTAGACGCAGCGGAGGAAGTTTCAAACGCAGTCAATACGTGATCGAGGAAGGGCAACAAGTTGTCGAAGAGAAGGGTCCGCTATAGACACAGAAGATTATCTCGATGTAGGCGATGTTTCCGGATGTCGGACCGATATTGCCATCGCTATGCGTCAGTTTCCAGCGAACTACATCCGTTTGCGAAAGTCGTTTGGCTACTCAACTTTCAAGCGCTTCACAAATACTCTGAATTCCCATGGCCAACCTCTCGCCCTCCCATACACCCGTTGAAGCCTCGCATATAATCCTGAACTAACTTGATTGGTTGGGTGGCGTTTACTTTGAGGTTTGACAGTCCCCATGAGCGCTACGGCTGCCACCTACATGCGTCTGTCGTCGGTTACTCGCATGATCGCTGGTGGCAAAATGGTAATCGGCAAAATGGTAATCGCTTGAGACGAGAGTGGTAGATTACGACTCGATGTCAAGCCGGGAACCAACGATTTCACATCAACCTGCTCTTGGTGAAACATTCGCAAAATTAACGACAGCCCGGCCATGAGATCGTCGGCTGTCGCCGGGACGTCATTCGCTGCACTCAGACCGGTGTCGCAGCAACCGAGCCCTGGCCGAAGCCCAGGGAAAGCCATGTGTCCGACATGAAATCCGAGACCCAAGTGGTACCTGATAATCTATCGTTAATAACCGGACATCTCTGAGGAGAAACTCAAGCTAATGGTAGAATGGATCAAGTTTCGTCTAGATGAATGCAGCCGCAACAGACAGAAGCACTACTTCAAGAAGGGTGACAGCGGGCTGCTTACATTTGGGGAGGGTAGCTGCGGGAAGGGTTTCCAAGATCACTGGTTGGATTGGGTCACCAATGACGAGGGGAGTTCGAAATAAGAACGTCGCAAGCGTTGGAACCCGGGTGCACTTCGATCAATCGCTTTCCCGAAACGCACTACCATTGACTGATGCGGTCAGGTCAAAGTCCAAAGATGCTATTTGGAAGCCACTTAGGTGGGGATTTTACTACGATTGTGCAAGCCCAAAAACCCGAGCGATCAAATTCAGTTTTTCGACCAATTCACCAGGTGGGAGGGTGTCCAGAGACAATCAGTAGCACAGGTGGCTAGGCTAAGATATTGGGATCTCAGCGCGGCAGAACGGCTTCGCGTGCTCCAGGATTGGCCGAAGGAATCACGGTCACCACTTTCGACGGCGAGATCCCAAGCTCGAACTCCTCTGCCGACAAGAACACGGTGCAGCACTCGCCCTCTACCTCAGCGAAATTCAAACCGGATCGAGTTCATTGATCGTTGAACCAGATGCACGCCGACGGCCCCCTCGGAACCGAGAACGCAACCCTAAACCCGCTAACCGCAACTGCAGCTTCGATTCTGCAACCTTAAACCTTAGGATTCAGACCTCGGACGCCGAAATAAGGGCAACGCCCATCAACATCTGATCCTGGGCTCGTCACTTATATTCGCAGCTCCGGCGTCAGCCATTCCGCGGTCGACGATCGAGGCACATGGATCTCCAGCCCGACTCTTCTTCGCTCCGATTTCCGATTCGTTTAATTGCATTGTCATTCTTTTCATCTAGATTCCATTCGATTTTTCGACCCGATTCCAGGACGCCGAGATAGACACATAGGGGTTTGATTGTATTCTCCCATGCAAGGTCTAGTGTCCTCTCTTCATTGAAGACAAGGTCGATAATGATCGTCTGATATTTAGACTCCCTCTGCAAAGGAAAAACATCAACAAACCAACGGTCAGCCCACGCCAACGCCTCATACCTCCTCGACTACGACCACGACTCACGGGCCAGAGCGGCGTTGAACTTGTTGACCTTGGAGCTCGCGCTCAAGTCGATCGTCTGTTCACCAAAGTCCACCTCCAGACCGCCCAAGATTCCCGGGTTGACCCTGTTGACCAACTTCAAGTCCTTGCCCTGGGCGATCTTGCTCCCCTTGAGAGCCTTTTCCAGACGCTTCATCTCGGCACCGCCAGCGGCCAAGGGTTCGGCCGAGGTGACGGTGACGACGAGTTGACCACGGTGAGCGGCCATGAGGGTGGAAAAGTCGGTGATGACCGAGGGGAAGGCGGCGAGACGGCCGTTGGAAGCGAGGACCTGGAGGAGGTTGGTGATAATAGGGGAGGATCCCGAGGCGAGGGAGGAGATGAGCTTGGATCGCTCAGAGACCGAGAGGGTGGGGTTGGCTGCGACGAGGCAGGGGGGTGAATCAGTACATCTGCCCCGTGAATTATGAGATGTCCAGTATCCATCGACCGTCATCGCTGAGCGCACACGGGCCGAGCTAGACGGAGTCCGAGTCCCCAACATCTCCGGCACATATCCTCGTAGCAGCTCTGCGCTCCCGCTTCCTTCTTGCTACTAGACCCTCGTTCGACACTCACTCAAAGCCTCGGTGGTCTTTTGGTCATCCTTCAACTTCTTCTCGATCGACTGCAAGCCGGAAGCGACGGATTCCAACTCTTTCTGCGACTTTTTAGCGGCGGCAAGGTAAGTCGAGGTGGCGTAAGTCCCGGAGAGCGAGGTGATCTGGACGGGGGCCTGCGAGCGACAAGTACAGAGGGATGATTCAATTAGCTTGTTGTTGCGGGAATGTTTGGTAGCTGTGTATGTCGACGGAGACGGACCTTGACGGCGGAGGCGGTCGCGTAACCCCTAGCGAGGAGAGATCGAGAGAGGGAAGCCATCGTTTTGGGTATGTTTATATGTGTGTTTGTGTGTTTGTGTGTTTGTGTGTGTGTATGTATGATATCAGGGTGAGTGGATAGGGTATAACCTAGGTCGATGTCGTCAATCACCCTCGACAACTGCCCGGCTGCTGCTCGCTGCTGGCCTGGCTCCTCTTCGCGTCTGCCCGCTTTTCCTGGCTAGAGAGACCCTCTTTCGCGCTTTCTCACGCGTGTCACCCCACCCTCACCCCTAGCCTTTGCCCTTAACGCGCTCACAAAAAGAACTTTACCCTGACGAAGTCATGGGCCATGGTCATTACTGCATTCGACCTCTTCTCATCCATCGATCGTATCAAGGAAAATAGAGATCCGTCTTTCTTCCCCAGATACTCTCTCTTCCTCCACTCACCCTCTCATCCCCCCCAAAAAAATCAGAGCAACCGAGTTGACTCTGCGAAACAAGAAGAGGAGGAAAAAAAGTTTCTAGTGACGAAACCACAAGACACGACCCACACCACCTTTCAAAACCAAAACCGCAAACCACCTCACAATGTCCTTCTTCCGTGGCGGTTCCGACTCGGAATCCTCTGACGAAGAGTCCCTCCGATCGACCGATGACGAGCGCAAGCAGGTCAAGCCCAAGTCCAAGCTCGCCAAGAGTGCCAGCATGTTCCTCGCCGGTGGTGGGAGCGATTCTAGCAGCGACGACGATGATGACAGCGATGACAGTGATAGCGATAGCGATGATAGCGATTCAGATGATGACAGCGATGACGAGGGTGACAAGACGGTGAAGAAGGTGAGTCCTGGTCATGCTTCGTCGTGGTCGTGTCGTGTGAGCTGATATGCAACGTCGACTCTTTGTCTCTGCCATCCTTTTTCATAATTCACCCGCTACATTTGATTCACAAAACTTCACCCTACCTGATCCACTTGAACCTTTGATATCGATCCCTTCCCCACCTCTCTAGGGCCGAGGTGGAGCCGCCGCCTTCCTTCGAGGAGCCGTCTCTGATGATGAATCGGACGACGACGGTCCCAAGGTCGTCAAGTCTGCCAAGGACAAGCGATTGGAGGAGATGGAGGCTACCGTCAAGGTCATGGACAATGCGAGCAAGATCAACGACTGGGTCGCTATCAACAACGGTGAGCAATGCCTCCGGGGGTCTTGCTTGGAGGCCGTCTGCTGCTTCGTTTGTGCTCACTTGCTACCCTATCGATTCTGACCTCGCCAGAATTCGACAAGCTCGTCCGTTTCGTCGCCCGTCATCAGACCCTCACCTCGACCCTCCCCCCCGCGGCCCAGACCCCGGCGTTGTTCATCAAGTCGATCATCGACATGGACGCCCAGATCACCGAGACCGCCAAGAAGGAAAAGGACAGCAAGAAGAAGATGAACGCTGCCAATGCCAAGGGGTTGAACGGGATGAAGCAAAAGGTCAAGAAGCAGTTGCGAGAGTTTGAGAACGCCGTCAACGAGTACAAGAAGGTGGGGTCATCAGGGGTTTGACGAGCGCTTGCTCGAAGGGCGATGCTGACTCCGATTGAGAACCTATCGTCCGGCTTGACAGGACCCCGAGGCTTTCGAAGCTGCCTACGAAGCCGCCGTCACTGGATCGGGAAGCGCGGCGGACAAGGAGCAAAAGCAACGGGCGAGGGAGGCCAGGCAGGCCCGCAAGGCCGCCGGAGAGGAGGGCGAGGAGGGTCAGGAGGGTGACGATTTCATGACCGTCGGACGGGGCGGGAGGGCGTTGCAGTTGACCAGCGAGGGAGTGTTCAAGACGCTCAAGAGCATTGCCGAGAACAGGGGACGAAAGGTGAGTCGAGGAAGGTTGACGAGGGGCAAACATCGTTTCATCACGGCTGACGAGAATCAATCCGATGTACCGCCCGACAGAACGTCGACCGTGCCGAGACGATCAAGATCCTCACCCGACTGCTCGAAGTCTCGACCACACCCTATCAAAAGATCCGGGTCTTGCTCGCTACCATCGCTTCCCGTCTCGACTACTCTGCCAACCTGGCTTCTATCCCTCACGACTCGTGGGTTTCGGCATTGCACGAGACCAACCAGTTGATCACCATGCTCCTCAGCGAGCACAAAGAGTACGTCGTCGCTGAAGAGACGGAAGAGTACGACGACATGATCGAACGTACCCCGACTTCTGAGGGCGTGACGGACGGACGGGTCAAGGTCCGAGGGAGCTTGATCTCGTTTGTTGAAAACCTGGACAACGAGTTTACAAAGACATTGCAAAACTCGGATCAACACGGGAGCGAATACGTCGAAAGGCTGAGGGAAGAGAGGCCGCTGTACGAGACGATCGTCAAGGCTCAGGTGCTATTTGAGCGAGAAGGGTGGAGCGAGCCTACTGCGAGGGCAGTCATGAGGCGATTGGAGCATGTTTACTCCAAGGTGAGTCCCCGCCGCTTGCCTTGTAGCGGCTCTGCTCACCAGCTGGTCGTTGACTGTCTCTCTGTTTGTCTCTTCTGTCTTGATAGCCCTCGGCCATTGTCGAGGTTCTCGAGCGAAGCGCCGTCTCTTCGTTGACCGGTGAAACGTCCGGAGTGACCAACCTCTCGACTCCTCAAAGCGCCAACGACCTCGTCTACGCGCTCGCCGTCAACCTCTACCGTGACGCCCCGGCACTCATCCGAACCCGTGCCATGCTCTGTCACATCTACCACAACGCTGCCAACGGCAAGTACCACGAGGCTCGTGACATGCTCTTGATGAGCCATCTCCAGGCTTCCATCCAGCACGCCGATGTGACGACCCAGATCTTGTACAACCGAGTCGTCGTCCAGATCGGTCTGGCCGCATTCAAGAAGGGTCTCGTGTCCGAGTGTCAGTCGACCCTGCTCGAAATCTTTGCCTCGCAACGTGCCAAGGAGCTTTTGGCCCAGGGAATCCAGCGATTCTCGAACAACACCCCGGAGCAGGAGCTCATCGAAAAGAGGCGTCTCTTGCCCTTCCACATGCACATCAACCTCGAGCTGCTCGAGACCGCCTTCCTGGTGTCGTCCATGTTGATCGAGATTCCCCTTTTGGCCTCGCTCGACACGGACGAGGCCAAGCGAAAGGCGGTCAGTAGGCCGTTCAGGAGATTGCTCGAGCAGGCCGACAGGCAGGCTTTCATGGGTCCTCCCGAGAGCGCTAGGGACCACATCATGCAAGCCAGCAAGGCTTTGCAGACCGGTCAGTGGGAGAAGGCCAGGGACCTCATCTTGTCCATCAAGATCTGGTCTCTGTTGGATAATGCCGCCGAGGTCAAGGAGAAGCTTTCCCGGTGAGTCGAGTCGCCGATCGAAGGATGAGTTGACGCTCCTTACAGCAGCTGACTCGGCACTTTCTCTCTTGTCCCGTCGTGCAGGAAAATCCAAGAAGAGGGACTCCGAACCTACCTGTTCACTTACGCTCCCTACTACGACAGCATCTCGCTCGATCTCCTCGCCAGCACATTTGCCTTGCCTCGAGGAACCGTAACGGCCATCGCATCCAAGATGATCTGGACCGAAGAGCTTGTCGCCTCGCTCGACCAGATTGACGGCGTCGTCGTCTTCCACCGTGTCGAGCAGAACAGGGTACAACAGCTCGCCCAAGAACTCGCTTCCAAGGTATGTCTGCACTGTATGAAACGAGCTTGGAAACGCGTTTTTGCCGATACTCATGCGTTTCTGACCACATGCGCTATAGGCCGAACAATTGCTCGAGCAAAACGAGCGGGTGCTCGATCAGAAACTCGGTACCAACGACAACCGACCAGATGGCGAGCGTGGGGCTCGACAAGGAGATGGCGGTCGAGGGCGGAATGAACGAAGAGGAAGAGGAGGATATCGTGGCGGGCGAGGCTCGGGTCGCGGAGGTTTCAACTCTGGCCTTGGATCGAATAAGGTTCGGGCTTAAGACGGCACCTGTACATGACATTCTATAGGCATGGTAATCTGATATGGCATCTTAGAGACGACGTATTCTTTCTCGTCCGGTTCGTGGTCAGCTATATGTCGTAATGGTCGTCGATCGCGGGATCATTCTATTGTCGTTGGAACATATGCCCTCGTGTTCGTCATACGTGAGAGGCTTCTGCCGCGTCCACATCGATGATTTCGTGGCCGTCATCGCGAGGAGCCGCCGTCAAAGGCTGGTGCGATGCATTGTCGCCAACCACGGGATCGACAGACATCTTCACTTCGGCTTGCCCAGGTCCGGCTTGATCCTGATCCGGTTCGGACTGTTCCTGAATGGTCTCCCGAGCGCGTCGCATGTGGGTGCGGACCATGTGTTCGTCCTTCTTGACGTACACCAGCAGATACGGGTTCGCGTTGCTCCCAGTCGTGTCTCCGAGCGCCTCTGCTTTGTCAACCCTTGTCACCATCTCGTCATTGAATTTCAGATATTCGTCCGCTGGATGGAATTGTCGCATGTCAACCGTGCTCTACCTACCACATCATACGGTTGCCAGAAACGCACGCTGATCGGGTAAATCTCGCTGATATAACCAATAATGACCAAAGCCGGCTTGACCCCTGGTAAAGATAATGGTCAGCGATTTTTATCGATTTAACTCTCTCGGTTTCGGCGCTTACCGATGTATGAACACTGCGGACAGTTCGTAAGCACATTCGCGATCGTCGAGCCATTGTTCCTCTATCATAACCAGTAGCTCTTCGATCCGCTTCCTGGTTACTGCGATATCTGCCTCGATCCGCTCGCTCTCCACCTTCAGGTTAGCTTGCAGTCCCAGTATAGCCTCATCACCACCTGCAACAGCTTGCAAGGCCTCTATCAGGATCCGCATTGTTTCAGCAATGGGTTGTTGCTGTTGTGTACGTATGTGCTCGTGAGCAATGCATTCCGATAAACGACGGAGGTAAGACAGGGCCAACCTTTGTGCCGATCAGAGTCGCCAGTTTGGCTCTAGCGTTGGTAAGTTCCCGTGTCAACTTTTGGGTCAAGTCGCGTTTGGAAGAGTCGGCCGAGGGCAAGAAGCGATCCATATACAGCGTTTCCTCGAACTTGACGTATGCATTGCTTTTGTATGGCCTGCAGAGATGTATGACTCGGTTCAGTGTGATTTGACCTGCTCGACCAGGTTCGATATATCTTACTTCAAAGTCTCGCGATCGAATTGAGCGCGCTGCGTTGTCGAGAGCAATCCGTACTTAGTCAATGTTGACATGAATAAAGAGTTGGCTGCTTACCTCGAGCTGGATCTGCAGTACTGGAGGGATTGTGGTCATCTCAAGCACCTTCTGCGCAGTCTTCCCTTCGAGATCGACCTTGTCCGACGCGAAGTAGACCTCTTGCAACTTCTCATATAGGTCACTACTAGCTTCATCGCGTACGCTGACATATACGCTATTGAAAGCGACATCCTGCGCAGATATTTCTTTTACGGCGCTTCCCGTCTGCGTGTCCTGATCTATGAGGAGACGTTGACGGGACACTCCAAAGAACAATCTGGAAATGGGCTTCTCTGCATCAAAAACTGATGACCCTTTCGAGCGGAGCGGTGGTACTTACCGCTTGATTACGTTATTAGCAACAACGCCAGCCTCGTCCTTGACGGCGAGAATGGCGACCGCTTCGGCTTGAAAGAGGACGTTGTCCAGGCATTCCGATATATCATGCTGACGACCTGGCACGAGGTAGCCTTAGCCTTGTTCACCTGTGATAGCTTCGAAAGACTTACCAAACATCATGTCGTTGTTGATAGAAGCGCGATGGGGTCGAGGTGGTAACGGAGGGGCTCGCAATGTTGGGCCGATTAGAAGAGGTGCAAGTGCCTGATCCACATTAGAAGCGGTGTCAAGAGCGCTTTCATCGACGTCCATCGGAGTCGAATCAGGCGGGTGAGCCTCTTCGACGAGATCGGAGAGTGGCCTGACTGGTGAAGTAATTGCAGGCCCCTGACCAAGCTCGATAGGTTCAGCGGAAAGACTCCTGGAACCTGATCGGCCGATTGGGATTGCCTTGATAGTGCGAGGCTCGCTCTGTTCGGTTGATGGAGTGTGGCGATCACCTTCTTTATCGACCCGATCTTCTGACTCCCGCTCGTCATTGGTCCGCTTCCCCAGAACACTCTCTGTGACAGCACCGGCAGAGACCGATGTCTCCATCCTCAGGGGTTCTTCTACTGTAGGCAAGTCTGTCATCGTACTGTCTTGGGCGGCACTTTGAGGGATGCATTGTCCCTCGGTCGATTGTGTCTCGTCCGTGGCAGTCACCAGTGCGAGATAGGCGAGCCGCTTTTCCGGCGCTACGGCGGAATGCACAGCGGTACCCAGAGTAAGAAACAGATCCGCAAGATGACGAACAACTGAAAGTTTCAGTTCGCTCAGCCGATATTCACATATGGTTGGGTATACTCAACTTGACTTACAGTCTTTCGCGCGAACGAGCTCTCCTTGCGATAATAGTCTTCCGCCTACTCGAGGTAGGGCATCCTTTGCGGGAATATCTAGTTCCAACCGACTCAAAGCGATGATCGCGTTTCGGAACTCTTCAACGGTATTCAAGTACTGTGTGTAGGCAAGACAGTCAATGAGCAGCCGTGGAATATGGTCTGGTCTTGTCTGAATCTACCTGGAGCAACGAGTTCAGATAGCTGTACGGCGTGCAATTGTGCAATTGTTAGTTGTTGCCAAATACCAGACAAGAAACGGGGAGTATCTACCAGGTATTTCTGTTGCAAGAGCAAGAAGAATCCATCAGCGATACACCTCGCAAGGCCTTCGATGCGATGCCTTACCCGATATTATAAAGACCCGCTGGTACAGGCTTTGCGGGGATTTGTGTCGCTACATACGCATGGGTTTCAGCACTACAGCCAAGCCAGATAGCCGCTGACTGACTGACCCGCTTCGTCTACATGCATGCCCAGTTCCCGTTGAAGGGTCTCCATATTCAGACGAGTAGCAATGAGCTTGAAATCCTTGATAATATCATTCCGGCTGTCTTCGTTGTTTGCCTCGGACAACTGATGACGCTGTGGTCAGGTGATCATCATCGTAGTCTCCTGCTTAGTTACGTACTGCTATCGTGTACAAGCTGCAAAGCGGCCAATAGTATGAGCGTTCGAGCGCGTAAGTCGTGACTATATACAGGAACATACCTTGGCCACATGTCGGAATCCACTTGATCCGGATCGTCTACATTGTACTTCTTGAGAACGTCCGACAGGCCGAAGAATTCATCTCTGAGCTTTTCTGCCAAGTGGATGAGCTCTGGATTGCGCAGCGTCTGTGCTATTCGGGTCATTGCACGGCACAGATTCTCTTGAGCATCCTTTTTGTCAAAGCCATTGCTCAAGCCATCGATCCAAGCCTTTTCTTGTTGTACAGCCGTCTCAAGATGCAGGAGCAGGTCCTGACGGCAAGATCTGTAATCGATCCTGGGATTTCCAGGACATGCCGAAATAACAATGTCATCGAGATGACGCAGTCTTTTCGGGATCGTCTCTGTGACGCGGAGATCACGTAAGGTCAGCTTAACAACTTGTTTCCTTTTCGATATCGAACCCACGTACCGGATGGCATGCCTGAATACGGCGGGTTGCGCGAGAAGTTCAATCGAAGCACATTCTTCTCGTCCCATTCCAACATGTTGCTCTCTTCCAGTATTTTCAGTACATCAGTATAACCCAGCGCACCACCTGGATGACAGTTCACCTGTGCCAGATATGCATCGTAAATTTGCTGTATGGTATCGTTCCATCGAGCTCCCAGACGTGTGACCACAGCCTCGATGACGTCGGGATGGGGGCGGCGTTCGGTCAGAGCTGGAATGAAACACCTGGATCGTCAGCGATTATCGAACGATTGAAAGGAATGGCTAGAACAGGCATCTTACGATCAGGGTCGGTCCATCTAGGTAACCTGTACAGGGCGGAGGGCTCCAAGGTCATGGCTTTGGCAGCAGCTCGATTGATGGCATGCAAGATGCTTTCAGGTCCGGCGATATACAGGAATCGAGAAGATGCTACATTTGCAGGTGGTGGATTCTTGCGAGCTGAGGATTGATCACGTCACGCAGTCCTTCAGTATTTCGCCGGACAATACATTTTTGTTGATGGAGGCGAAACATACCTATTGACGAATGCCCTTCTATCAACAGCTTCAATTCCGTCCATGCCCGTAGCGACCATTGCCGATCTTCCCAATCAAGGGAATGAAACCACATCCGTTCCCCGTCTGGCTTTTTCGAGCGGAAGCCCGCTCGTAGCAGTAGTTCCGTGCTAAATGATTGCACTTGTTATGATCGAGTAACATCCAATAGCGCCGTCATCGCTTACCCAATATCGTCCTGACCGATGATGCGAAGGTCATCTTGGCTCAATGCCCCCTTGTTCCCTGACCCTGCCTCGTCAGCTTGAATCGGATCGTCCTCGATCTCTTCTTCCTGGTCGACAATGGCACTCGTAATGACCCTACGTTATCTCAAGATCTCAACCAACTAGGACCAACGCTCGATCCACATAGCCCTTACTCACCTAAAAAGAACACTCAAGACCCGGATGTACTCGTCATGAATCGTGCTTCCGGGTCGAGGTGGTCTTTCCTTAAGTTGCGTCAGAAACCGCTCGGAGAAACAGGCCGGCATGGCAGACTCTGTGTCAAAGTATACTGCCACGTCGCATTGGCAACACCTGTACATTGAGCATGTCGGCCTTGGGTCGATATTCTCCCATTCGGCTGTAATCTCAGCCCGTATCTTGTCGCTACCAGACCGAGGCTTGAGGAGCGCATCAGGAGGTATGTTGAGGTGAAGAATGTCTTGGAGGTAGTGAAAGTGATGTTGCTGATCGTGCTTGCTACACAGCCTGCCTGCCTTTTCTTGCAACCGCCTTGCCAAATCGACATCAGGACCGACGAGTGACTGCGGAGCAGGAGGCGAGGATCGGGATACGGCAGCGTTGTGCCTGTCAGCCATTTCAAGTCCGTTGTCCTCGAGGTAGTCCACTCCGAGACGAAACCAGACGCAACAGTCGTAACAATACCACCACGCATAGGTTTCCCCGTTCGAGAAGCACGAGTAGAGATCCGAGACTAGACGCTTCAGACGGGGGTCTCCACCATCGGCGTCCTCCTTGACCAAAACAGCTTTGATCATGTGGCCGGCATGTTTGCGGGGTCCTCGTTGTACCAGCGTGTAGGCAGAGATACCTTCGCCGATCGCATGGTCCCATCGTTCGTCGTTCGGGCTGTCGGTGTATCTCGGCTGGTCCACCGGCATACGCCAATCCGGAGCCTTGCCGATCTCTGGATCGTCTAAGGCAAAGAGGGCATGAGGGCTCTTTAGTACAAATCTCGAGCTGTGTTTCATAAGCTCGACATGCATTCCACTTACTGCAAGCTTCATTCGCTCGTTTCGTATTGTACTTCTTGCGTGCTCGATCCCAATCAAAATTCGAGAACATAACCGTTCCCTTGTTCAGTTCCGGTTCGTCCTCGTCTGATGAGGTACTGCCCTCGGTCATATAGCCTCCCTGCAGTTTACGTCTGTTGACGAAGCGAGCGGTATTCTCCATCCGCTCGTCATCCAACGAGATCTGATCTAATGCGGAATCCGGGTCAAGTATCTCGACATGATCCACGTCCATCCTCTCCAAATCCGGTTCAGCTACGATAACAGCCCCAGTAGGACTAGGGATATATGGCGGTGGCAGAGGTGCACCGGTCGACTCGTTCAAGCCGAGTCCTCTCTCCTGAACCACGGGTTCGGCAGGAAGAGTCGCTCGAGTCGAGGAAGCCGGAGAATGGAAAGGCTTCCTTCCAGACGCTCCTTCCGCATAAGAAGGTTGCAAAGAAGAGATGGAACCCGAGCGACCGTGATCGGCAGACCGATTGATGACGAGCTTGCCGCCGTGAAAGACGGATGGAGGAGAATTGCGAGGTGGGGAATGAACCAAGTTGCCGAGAGCCACCGAACTTGGCTTAGAAGGGGAGGGTAGCTTCGCGGAGCTACTCGTTGCTGCGTTCTGAGGAACAGGTCCGCCTCGACTGCTTGTCGCTCCTGCATAAGACATGGTCAAGCTTCCCATCGCAGGAGTGACCTCGGATCCGGGGGACATGGCTTCTCGTGGCCCTGTCGAATGTCCTAGAGCAGCTTCCGAATTTGAACGGGCACCAGGTGTCGTGTCCAGATCGATGCTACGGTTACGGAACGGATTGTTGCTGCCCATACCAGTCGTTGCATCGGCCGGCAGGCTAGATTTGATGGGCCGAGGAGAATTCGGAAGTGGGGGAGGTAGCCGCCTTGAACTGCCTTGAGCTTTCGGTTCCTCGGCTGGCCCTTTTTTCGTTGGAGACATGTCTTTATATGAGGCCTCCTTATGACCGTTGAGAGATAGACCAGAAGAATGGGATAGCCGACATGTACTTGTGCATCCTGCTCGTATCGTAAACGTCTTTCGACCAGTTTGCTCGTGGACAGCTCGGCTGCTTCATGTCGTCATATATTTATTGTTACTTGACACGTCATGTTGCATATTTTATCATCATCGTGATCACCCAGGCCTGCCGAGATCATTTAATTGATTAGATCGACAACGCGAGACGCCCGCGGTTCAAGTAGCTTCTATGTCGGTCTGGTCCGCTTCGGAATGCCTCGGGGCGAGTCCCAGACATCGTTGACATCCCGGCCAGTTCAACTACACATACCATACACCGCACATACAACTCGCGGTCTCCCATACCCTTCAACCTCTTCAAAGAGCTGAATACACTCCCTACATCAGCTTGTCGAAAACCCTCGCATTAGTAGTGATACCCTTCGAACAGACAATCTCTCAACCCTCATCGCGATATTCGCTACCTTCCTCTCTCATAATTGTCAAGATATCCTCCATCGCAACACACATCTCAACTAGGAATCTAGAGGCTTATCAGACGATCCATCACACCTTTACAAGTGCCATTACGATGCATGTAACGATTGAGGCAGCGGACCAACAAGCGCAACGTTCGCTATCGCCACGGGAATTCACACCTCAACCGGTGGTCGAACGCATCATCCCGTCTTCATCGTGTTGTTATTGCTCGAACAAACAGATAAATCGTGGCCATACGGTCGATGTGACAAGAAGGTCTGAACAGGCTATAGTCAATACCCAGGAATCGTGAGTCTCGGTCCAGATTAGGAACCCGCTTCCGTTCGTTTGATCAAAATTCCGATCTCGTTTAGGTACAGTATAACCATGATGCGAAGTCGAGAATTGGAAACGAGACCACCACGAACTCAACCGAAGAGGATGTTGGGAAATCCAGTCCGGATCACGAAGCACCATCACCTCAACAATTCAGCTACTCACCAAAAACTACCCGTTGATGCTCTTGCCGTCTCAACTCCAGAAATCTCGCGGAATAACTCGACGCTTGAGACTGCTTTCATCGTGGCCGGCATGAGCTACCTCCTCCTTACATCTGTGAACGCGGCTCCGACTCCGCAGGCCGAGCAAGGCAGTCCTCTGCAACATGAGCCAACCCTACTCGAGCAGACGGAACCCTCCCTACCGGAGTGGGCCAGCTTCACATGGTCGAGCGTGGACACTTTCACCACAACTCCGCGGACATTCGGCGATCCTGTAGCGACCAGTAGTATCAGCATCGCCAACTTTGGTTCTGGTACGGTTTATGGACCTGCTCCTGTTGCCATGACCCAGGACGCAATCGCCATGACGACCGGGCTGGTGACGCCGCCAGCTATCGAGCTAAACACGGTACTGGATCCAACTCCGAGCGACATTTCAGTCACGTCCCGAGTATCGCTCGCCATGACAACCGAAGTGAACACTCCGTCTTCTATCGAGCTAAACACCGCGATGCAATCCGCTTCGAGCGATATCCCGACTATCATTCCGGCCACGGCGACCCCTACAACCACGTTCAACCCGCTTCACTTGATCCTTCCGGCAGGGCTGCTCGTTATCGGTGCCGGCCTGTGGCTATTCTTTCGAATCAGAAGGAACAAGCGAAGGCGGCAAGGGGTCCCTCCTCTCTCACCAAGCATGTCTTATAAGCCTTGCGATGGAAACGACCGATCATACGTCGGGTCTACGGATTGCAATCCGCTTGGTGGACTTCAAGCTTTAGATCAACCTTACTCTCTAAGATATAAATGGCAAGACACCTGCTCTTCCCACACGGGCCGTTCGGATCGATCGGAGGGTTCCACTCCAAGTGCTACTCTCGATCATCCCATGCAAGCTTATGCTCGGCTCTCAGGGGAGCATTGTCGGTTCCTGCGGCGATCGGATTCTGTCAAGCCACCCAAAATCATCATCCAAGCTCCCACGCCGGACAGCACCTGGAAGCGCATTCGTTTCACTCAAAACGAAGAACCCACTTCACCAAAGAAACGCTCGTCCCCGTGGAAGCGCTTTCTCAAGAGAAGCAAGGACTCAGTCGAGCCTCGAGTGGACGATGGCGAGTCTTTCTTGGCGGGGAAACCGTACGGCTCGATGGGACATTCCGAAACAGGAGCCTCTCCCAGGTTCCTCACTCGGCCCACCGTGGATGAAACCCGGTCGATCGTCAGTCAATCCGATGACATTCCCCGCTTGACCTACACCGTCACGTCAGAACCTCCGATCGACTTGACGATCTCATCGGATGACACCTCTCACGGCAGCGGCTCGTCTCCTGAGCCCGCTGGAAGTCCCGTGTTGAGCGCTCTTAGCCAATATAGTACGGTTTCCACCTTAATCCCATCGTATTACTACAGCCCGCTCGCAGCCACAATAGTGAGGGCAGGGAAACAGCGTCCGGGCACAGAAGCAACGATGTCACCCTTGATGGAACAAGATGTCGCTACCGTCGCGCCTCTTACATCTGTCTTGGACGGCCTCAGCTCCGTCCCCTTGATCAGTCGTCCTGGAAACCAGAGACATATTTCAAACGAGTCCTTCGTCTCCGTAGGCTTACTCGAGGGGTTCGCCGACCAGGAGTCTCCACCCATCGAGGCTAGTGGTCTACGCATCGTGACAGAGACGCCATCCCCGCCTGTCTGCATCACCGCATCGACCATCACTCAGGAGGGGTCATCATACTTTACGATCAAACCTTCGCAGGCCCCCAGTACTCCTACGCAAATCCCTAGAGACGAAGCAAGGCTCGCGTCCCCTCGAAAGACGATGAGAGGTCCGCGCCTCTTGATCCGCAAGAACCCCGATCGAAAGGAGATCGAATACGTCTCCCCGAGCATTGAAGTGACTCCTCAGACCGCTATCCCCGAAGAAGGATCCCGACGATCGCGAAAAAAGAAGCATGGCGGTCATCATCGCTCGATCAGGACACCTACCGGAGGTCGTCCAGCACCATCGCATGTCAAGCGTCACTCTACTGCGCACCTTTCGGACATCTTCGCACTGCCGGATGGTGCAAAGCAGACCGGTGACGAGACTGGTCCCGCACCGACCCTCGAACAAGAGGCGGACAGGCGACCCTTATAGGGATTTGATTCTGTTACACATCCACGTGGCTGCATTGTCTCTCAAAAGACCTCTTACTCATAAAACGACGACGAGAATTTTGTGTCGAGAGAGCCCCTTGTATTCGCGGATATCGGTTTAATCACGTCGCGGTATAATTATTATTTCGTGTTCGTTCTCTCAGAAGCTACTTGGTGTTTAGAAAAATCTCCCCCGGAAACGTGCTCAATGCTTCATAGGATATCCTTGAGGCGGCGGTCCTCCTTGAGGATGGCCTCCACCAGGACCCATCATCATTCCTTGTTGCGGTGGATACCCGGCTCCGGGTTGCTGAAACCTGAGCGAGCGGTACTGGTCAGCGAATGCAATTGTGATTGGTGTGACACAGGGGCAGGCTTACTGGCCGGGACGTTGGTAACCTTCTGGGGCTCTCTGAGGTTCCCAGCCATTTCCTTGCGGTTGCTGAAATCCTGTAGAACACAAGCAAGTCGCATCAGCTTCGGATTCCTGCAGAGAGAGTCAAGCGATCTCCTTGTAGATTGATAGATGACCCACGACAAATGTTGCACATCCAAATGTGGCTCCGGTGGTAGGGAAAGAGCGGGACGAAGCAGAATTCGAACCAATCCGAACTCTTGGCTTGGACGACGCTCGCTACCCATCCAGACATTCGTTCATCACCGTCCTTCCTAGCGAGTGGTTACAGGGACGACATACGGTTATGACAGTTGGGGCACATCCATTGTAAGCCAGGTTCGCTTTCCTGCTTGACCTGCAGGATTATGACAAGAACCGAGTCAGGGAGAGAAAGTCTTGGCGCTGTTGCTGTGGCGAGGCAAGCTCCAAAACATACCTTGGTAGGACAGCCGACTAGTACCGGAAACCACAGTAGAGTCAGTAACGGGAAGAGATCATGAGAACGGAGTACTGACAAGTGAAGCAGACTGCAGGAAGACAGAGTCAGCGGAGTAATCTCACACGCTCATCCTGGTTCACCATCGCCCTTACATGCCATCACGACGAAGTCTTGCGCGAGATCACCAATTTATACTCGATGCTAGTCTGATTCCGAGGCGGATTGCTACTGATTCCAGTCCGAGTGTTCAGATAATGAAATATTGTGGGTAGGTGATCACCTTCGACCTCGCGGGCTCTGGTACACGATTGCTGGAATTGGACACCAAAGATGATCGATGATGCTGCTGTGTCGGGCGATCGATGATGTCGTAATTTGGATCCGGTGAATCCGCGGATGCATATTATCGTAAGCATACGGACATCGCCTGCCGTTCTACTCGAGTAGCCACGGCCATCATCACGCAGTCGACTGATCACTGATGTGTATCCTCGACCACGATTGGAATGGCCGTCTTGCTCTCGTATGTCGTCAACGAGATAAACTTGGACTGCGCTCAACGACCATCTAAGACTTTGGCATCCTCTATCAAGACGTCCAGCGACCTGGCTCTACACGCATCAACATGGTTCTCGTGCTGATTATCGGAGACCTCCACATCCCTACTCGGATTCATGATCTGCCTGCCAAGTTCAAGAAGCTGCTAGTGAGTCCTTACCGCCTCTGTTATACACTTCAAATGCTAGCTCACACACGACGTATGACAGGTACCAGGGAAGATTGGGCAGATTCTGTGTACCGGCAATATCTGCGACAAGGAAACGTACGATTACCTACGGACAGTAGCACCGGAGGTGTTGAGCGTAAAAGGGGATTTCGATTCGGTCAGTCTCAATCGTTTTGAGTATAAAACGAACTGTAGTGCTGATGATACCATTTGTTCTGTTTGTAGACCGGCCATTTCCCCCAAAGCGTCATCATTAATCACGGACCCCTGAAATTCGGAGTCATCTCCGGAACTCAATGTATACCAATAGGCGATGTAGACATTCTCGCGGCCACTTCAAGGCAGATGGACGTGGATATTCTGATTAGTGGAGGAACCCATCGGTGAGCACCGCATCTTCGAGGCGTTTGAAATGCGATGTTCGCTGAACAGAGATGTCTGCAGATTCGAAGCATTCGAGTATGAGGGTAGATTCTACGTCAACCCTGGTTCGGCAACAGGTGCTTGGAGTGGTTTGTGGCCTGGGTGAGTGACTGAAAGGGCGGTTATCGGTGACAACAGCTTATCAGTCATGCCGCCTTGCTCCTTTACTCCACCGGGATACATAGCGAGGCTACCCCATCTTTCGCTTTGCTGGACATTCAGGGTCCCGTGGTCGTGACTTATGTCTACCAACTCGTCGATGGGGAAGTCAAGGTGGACAAGGTGGAATACCGGAAACCGGACCCTTCCGAGATCGCCAACAAGGTTGGAAATGACCCAGTGAATTCCTCGAACACGGGTTTAGAAGGTGTGGAGACGGCGGAAGGAGCCTGGTAACGCGTCAGAGTGTACCTCTCGAACAGGCGTTAACGTGTACCTCTGAATGATTATACCAGTGAATGCGACGGAGATGCAGCATGATAACGATTGTAATACGACGAAAGCTCTCAACATACAAACCGTTCGAGTATCGCAAAGAGAATGTATGAACCACCGACCCTCCCCAGAACCAGACCGCTCTATCAAAAGCGATTGTCCTCCCTAATGGAGAACGGGCAAACTGAGGAACGAGTACTGAGACGTTCCCACCCGACGAGATCGAAAGAAGAGGAAATGCCCCTCCCGTCGATTCGTCAGACTCCTTCGAGGGGTCGTTTGACGCTCGACGACCAGTGGCTCTTCGGGTTGAAAGACTCTAGGGTCGATCTGTGGCAGAAGAGAGTCGTGGCCGGAGCAACAAAGGGAAACTAAGTAAATACGACCCCCGCCGCACGTGCCTTTCGGCAGTATGAAGAGAAAAGAAAAGGACGTGCGGGTGTCGGGGAGATAGATGTAGGTTCGAGGTTGGGTTGGTTATATACCTCGAGCAGCGAGCCGGGAGGAGAGGGGTGACCAGAAATTATCTCGATCACGTGAAAAGGTAGGATGGATAGGGTTGGCGGAAGCAAAAGAGAGGAGCGGGGGGTGCAGAACCGGCGACAACCTCGACCTCGAGGTGGGACAGAGCATCAAGGGGGGGAGCTGATAGGATGGGCCGAGTACTCTCATAGACACCACACACACACACACTCGACCGGTCCAAGCTACGTGCAGACTCGTCATAGGCTGCTGCTGGGAATCGCCAATTCGAGCCTACGAAATCTTGCCCCGGCATCCCAACTCGTCAACGGATCGGGCCATGTCCCGTCAACATCACCATCAGATCCCTCTCATCCACCCCATCGCCGGCCCATCAACGAGCTCTAGCATAACGATGGGTCCTCAAGAATCCAAGCGAGACAAGAAGCGAAGGGAGGTCATCGAGAGGGTGGAGAGGCACCATATGGAAAAGGTCGCCAGTCGAGATCAGTAAGTCGTAGGGGGACGGGTCGTTTGTGTGGGTTTCACGGGGAACGGATCTGCGGACAGGCTCTTGTCCCAGACTAAACCGTTGGCAGCTTCTACATCACAATGGTCCCGTATGCATTGCTATTATGTTGCTGACGCATCCACCGCTGCACCTTCTCAGAATCTACGAAGAACTCTATAAAGACCTAACCCAGCGTAATCAGAACCTCTCCAAAGACCCATCCACCTGCCGACCACTCGACATCCCGATGTACCTTTTGAACCTCGAAAGAGATGCTTTATTAAGTGGGATCGATATGCACTGGGAGTACCGGTAAGTAACAAAATCGCTTCTAAGCTGCGTATCGAAACGAGGGTCGGGGCTGACCGAGCCATAACCTGTTTTCCTCCTCCGACCGCGTGTACAAGTAGGAACGACTCGCTACATCACCTGTATTCCCTTGAACGGCAAAAGATCGAGGACGATTTCAAAAAGGGTCGCGATCTCGTCAGGCAGAGGTTGTTGGACGGGGTGGAAGAGCGGAGGAGAAAGATCAGGGAAGACAAGGAGAGCGTGGGGGATGTTGTGGCTGGTGAGTCCTTGCAGTCCGTTTGAAAAGCTAGCAGACGAGAACGTCATTGACTGATTCTTGCCGATCGTGTTCGCTATAGAGACTTTGCTAGAGGCTCAGATCCGACCTCGACCTAGTCGGAACGCACGGACGCAGAAACGACAGATGTACGGACATTCACCACCACACTCGACAAGAGCGACACCGAATCCAGCCACTGCACCAGCAACGGGAACCAAGCAGGACCATCCGACGGCGACGACGAATAATACCTTGGCTTCCACCGTGGCCAGTGCAGACGCCTTGTTGGCGACCTTGTTACCGATGACGACGACGGGCATGTCAACGGAGAACATCATCTCCCCATTACCCTACAGTCTGGCGGTATTACCCGCACCCAATCTGCCTGCTGGGGTCGGGGCGGGCAAGACGGCACGACGAGCCGGACGAGGGACCGCCAATAACGCCGTCGCCGCCTTGCTTGGGGACGGGATGGGAGGAGCTGGGACACCTTTTGCGGACGATACGAGGTCGAACGCGAACGGCAAGGACGGCTCGATGGGCGGTAGTGGTAGCAACTCCGGAGGAGGTCTAGGCGTCGACCGATCGGGTAACGGAGGGAAATCGACTGGACCGAATAATACCACTATCCGGGTGGGACCTGCCATGACAGGCTACGCCAAGGTGACGGGCTGGGCACCGGGAAAAAGCTTGGACGAACTCAAGGGGTTGGTCAGTTGTAACGAGATGGAGAGGGAGGGAGATCTCGCGAGTATAAGAGGGTGGGGGAGGCGGGCGAGGGGGACGACGAGGGCGGGCGGGGCGAATGGGAACGGGTCGTAGAAAGCAAGACAAGAAGGAGACCAGACTTCGATCTTTCCAATCCACCTTTTCTGTGTCACCCTTGGCGGGTTTCTATTCATCTTCGTTTTCGTTGTACCACTAAGGTTATACCTTGTTTTGTCCTTTGAATAATTCCTATCGTGTAGCGAGCTGCATGTTGATTGATCGATCTATCATTGCTATTCATGTCAGCGGTGATGAGGCGCAGTCGAAGGGGGAGGGAGGGAGGGAGGGGCCGGAACGCGTCGTCATGGGTTCAAACAGAAATGACGTCACCTCGTCTTGGCCGTCGTGGCGTTTCGTGATCACGGTACTCGTCGTACTCGTCCTCGTCATTCCCACTCGCTGCACGCTGTCCCCCTCCCCCCCCTCTGCCCTTCTCTCTCTCTCTTATAACGAACCTCGACCTTGTCATCCTCATTGCAATCATCGTCATCATCATATATCCATTCCCTCGTCGCCAATTCCCCCCCCCCCCTTCTCATAACCGTCTTATCACGAACACAAAGAAAAGAGAGTCCCATCTCCCCTCATCGCATCCCACCAAACCACCACAAACAACTCAACGGAAAAAAACCAATATGAAGCTCAACGTTGCCGCCGTCTTGGTCGCTTCCGCTGTCGCTGGACAGGGTGCCAACGCAAAGATCTTTGGCAAGGAGCCTTCTGCCAGTGAGTACGAGTTGCTCTGTCATGGCGCAAGCTTTTGACGATGCTCGAAAAGATAACCTGGGTGACCCTCAACTGACACGTCCTCCCTTTTCGTAGCTGATCCATCAACGTGGTCGGTCGAGCAGGCCAAGGTTTGGTTGTCTGAACACAAGATCCACGTGCCCGCCGGTACCGAGGACCTTCTCCGAGTCGTCCAGGACAACTTCGATGCCGTCGCCAAGAAGGGTGCCAGGGCCGTCGGTGCCGGTCAGGCTTACTACGAGGCCTACTCGGACAAGGCGGTCGATGGATGGACAGAGTCCCAGTTGAGGGAGTTCTTGTTGGAGCAGGGTGTCGTCAGCCCCAAGGGGACCGTTGAAGAGTTGAGGATCGCCGCCAAGCAGAAGTAAGCCGTCGTTACCCTCAAGGAGCGCTAGCCTATTCAGCTACTGATTATCCCCTTTATTTCCTTCAACTCGCAGGGCTTCTGCCGTCTCGACCGCCATGTACGGTCATCCCACCGCTCAGGCTAGCGCTTCGGCTTCTTCCGTCTTCCACTCGGCTACCGGTGACGTCCAGGCTTCCGCCACCTCGCTCTACAACGAGGCCGTCGCCAGTGCCAACAGCGCTGCCAGCGGTGCCAGTGCCAGCGTCAGCTCTTTGGGATCGTACGCCAGCGCCAAGGCCCAGCAGACTTTGGACATTAGCCGGGACTACGTCTGGAGTACTTGGGACGACAACCAGATCAGGTAAGTCGACCGCCGCCGAAGCGACATCAACGCAAGTGCGTGGAAAGCATGGCTAATCTTCCCGATTGTACTCTTCCTAGAAACTACCTCGAGGAGAAGAACGTCATCGAGGCCAAGTCGACCCACCCTCGAAACTTCTTGCTTCAAAAAATGTCCAACGTCTACCACAAGTACTTGAACGACCCTGTCTACCACGGATGGTCTGACAACTACCTCAAGGGATGGTTGGTCAACCACGGTGTCCTCCAGCCTCCTACCGACCGAGAGGGCATGCTCATGTTGATGAAGAACAACTACTGGGAGGCCAAGGACAAGGTCTGGAGCTCGTGGACCGACTTCCAGATGAGGGACTGGTTGGTCTCTGAGGGTATCATGTGAGTCGAGAGCGTGTGAACTTTGATCGCAATAACTAGCACGAGTGCTGACCGACCTTTCCGCCCTCGCAGCTCCAACTCGGCCGCCGACCTCAAGCGTGAAAAGTACGAGTCTCTCTTGACCGACAACTACCACAAGGCCAAGTCGACCGTCTTTTCCGGATGGCACGATTCGGAGCTCAGGGACTATTTGGTCCAGCACGGGCTCGTCAAGTCCGACTATGCCGCACAGAGGGACGACATGATCAAGTTGATCGGCGACAAGTACCAGGCTTCGACGTCGGCGCCTTACTTGGCTTGGCCCGATGCGAGGTTGAGGGCTTACTTGCGTGACCACGTGAGTATGGCAGATTGCGTGTTATGGATGGGCGTGTAGCTAATCGATGTCGCTTTCGTAGGGAGTTGACGACACCAAGTACGCTACCCGACCTTCGCTCGTTCACGAAGTCAGGAGTGAGTCAAGCCCGATTTGCGCATTGGAGCGACTTTCGAAGGCTAATCCAACACCCTGTCTATCTAGTCCGTTACGTGCAGGCCGGTTCCCGAGTCGAGTCCATTCTTGCCAAGATCAGGGAGGCTATCGGTGGTGGAGTCGACTACGCCGAGGACAAGCTTAGCTCAGTTCTCGAGGTGAGTCTTTCCGAGAAACCTCGCCTATTCAACTTCGTCGTTGCTGACTTCGCAAGTCGTTGTTTCAGATCTTGACCGGTAGCAAGCTCTCGCTCGAGCAGCAGTTGGAAAAGAACTATGCCTCCGCCTCGGCTTCGGCCTCTTCTCTCGTTTCGGTTGCTAGTGCCAGCGCTAGCAGCCTCGGTGCCAACGCCGTCAACTCGGCCGCTGCCCTCTCTCACTCTGCCATGTGAGTCTCAGAGCCAACATTGATCGATACCTTCGACTTGTTACTGATCCAGAACCTCATCTTGAAATCGCCAGCAACTCGGCTTCTTCCGCCTCTGCCAGCGCTTCGTCCGCCGCCGCTTCGGTTTCGTCGAGCCTCTCGGTCGAGGCCAGCAAGGCCAGCGTCATCGCTTCCAAATCCGGAAGCCCCAGTGCCAGCTCTGCCGCTAGCGTCGCCTCCAAGTCGGCCTCGTCCGCTGCCGTCTACATGAGCTCGTCCGCCGCCAGCGTCGCTTCCGAGGCTTCCAAGTCGGCTTCCGCCTACGCCGTCTCGGCATCCAAGTCGGCCTCGAGCGTCTCTTCCAGCTTGTCCGTCTCGGCCGTCAGCGCTTCCAAGGAAGCCGCCAAGACTGCCAGCAGCGTCTCGGCTAGCTTGAGCAGCGCTTACCACAGGGTAAGTCGATAGCTTTGGCGTGAACATCGAAGTCAAAGCAAATTCCTGATCATCATCCACTCATTACTCTTGCAAACTACAGGCCAGCCTCTCGGCTGCTTCCGTCAGCTCGGTCGCTTCCGCTTCGGCCTACTCTGCTAGCTCGGTCGCCTCTGCCTCGGCTGCCAGCGCCAGCAAGAGCGCCAGCTCTTACTCTGCGTCTTTGGCCAAGGAGTCTGCTCGAGCTTCCCAGTCCGTCAAGGCCGAGCTCTAGATTGCCAATCGCAGGATGCCCCCCGTCGCAGGATTGTGATTGACGAACCGTCTCGACCGAGAGATGTACGAAGGTTTCGTCTTGTTTTACCGCTCGCTTTCGACTTGTTGTGCCGTGTGCTTCGTAGATTCTATAGTAGAATGCCGCCTTGGGGGCATATAATATCGAAAATTGCTATTCCTTCCACTTGATTGCCCCTCTTATTTTACGCAGCGTTAAGATGGCAAGGAAACAGGCAAGAGCGTATCCCGAAAAAGACGGCAGCCGCCGAAAACGAAGACCAGGCCTGACCCCTTTGGACATGTTGGGCTGCGATATCGAGCCTACGCCATGGATCGAACACTTCGCTGCACGTCTTTATTTCATCGTTCGATTTCACGAGCGGTTCATCACCGACATGCAACAACCCAACCGCCTGGAGCGCAAACTTTATCGTCAATATGCAATACCCCTCGCCGCGTGGGCCACCGGACGGGAGACCTCAAGGGCGGTGAGCATTCCGGTCCGGCGGGTCCGACCTACGACGAAGCTGCTATACGGGAGGAACTCTATGTACGTCCTGGCTCGAGAGAGGAGTGATCGACCGGACCTCGCTGACACAAACCTTTAGTGGGGTGACGTCGAAGCGATCGAGGGACGAGACGTCTCAAATCGCTAGCGACAAGAGAAAGTGTATGATCGACTGGAGCTAAAAGGCAGCCATGTATCGCTCATCGAGGAGGTGTACAATTCGGATGATGTATTGGGTTTTCAAGTGGCGGTCGCGAGATATTGTGGAGTATCTGGCCCGGCCTGAGTTTGGAAGGCTTAGGCTGCCTTCGTGCGTCTGGTGTACAATTAACAAGTGCCCGTTTATTGGAAAACCGCCCCGAAACCCCCGAGATCGGCAATTCACCCAGGACAGCTCGAAGTCTCTTCGCACGGGTTGAACGACCTGGAAGATCGCCACAACGAGCGCGAGGGGACGAGCAGAAATCAGGAATCTACATACAGCACACGATAGTCACCGATTCTGTACAACTTGTCGGCTATCTTGCCTATAACGCGCATATGTCTATCCACCTGTCGCGCGCATCTATAACACCGTCATGAATTCGATATTTTGCAAAGGATGGTTTGGGGCGAGCGCGAGCAGATCTGTCCGTTTGCGTGAGGCGCCGCTGGTCCGATTCGGGAAGCGAGAATCGATTTGACCAACTTTCTTGAGAAGCAAGTCTTTGTCCCGCTACGTCATCTTATTCCTCGTCCGTGGGAGCTCTCCGGTCGCATCGCCCTTCGCCTGGATTGGACTCCTGCTCGTCCTCGCTCACTCCCGCTTCACTGCCCTTCTTCGGACGGTTATACTTGCCCTTGGGTTTTTTCCCGCTGACAGCCCCCTTCTTGTTTTTCCAGACCCCCCCGAATCTGTAGCCAAGAGTCCTCGCTTCATCCGAGCCATCGACCACTCCACCGCTTGCCTTCATCCAGCAGCCGCCGGGGCAGAGTAGATACCACTTTCCATCGCCATCAGCTGCGTTGAAGTCGACACTGCCATCGAATGCCCGGGTTTGGCAACGGATGAGCACGTCTGAGAGGGTCTGGCACCGATCGCAAGGTTTACTGGAGGTACTCGGGTCGAGCTTGCGGGTCTGACGTGCTGTCAGAGGTTTCTTAGATTGAGTTGTCGGCGACGACGAGGAAGGGGATGTCGGTGGCGACATCGTGGTAGACTTGCGTGAGGTGTAGGTGTGAAGGCCGTATGTCAGCGATGATTGACTGAGTGCTAAGTGGGCCGTGAGGAGGATACGACACACGAGGATGTACTCGTGATAACGTGATAACGTGATAACGATTGTGAGCTTTAACGATTGTGGGCTTGTGAGCATTGGTGAATGCAATCGCGGATTTCGACGCCGATCGATATAGATGCTGAATCGCTTCATCGATCGGGCGCGCGGGCGCTGCTGAGCTGCTCCACCAGCTCGCCGCTCGCCGACGTCATCTCTTCCGGACGTTCAAGCTCGTCTCACCCTCCGGGCAATCGTGAAACCGTCACATCGTATCATGGCGCTAGCACCCTCAACACACCGTCGTCTACGGAGCTATCAAGTACGAGTCTGTTTAGTTTGGGGCCGTCACTCTCGCTCTCGCAGTAGGAGATGTCCTGGGCCTGCTAATCACCAACGAAGGCCGGAGCTCATCGATGCCGGCATCCCACCCACATTGTCAACAAATTCGAGGTACCTCAGAACCTGCCATCAATTCCATCAAACGCAATCAACTCTTCTGATCTTCTGAGCTGCCGTCATAGCATCATTTGTAGTCCCTCGCATTGTCCTGCATCAATCAGACTCACTTGAGCAACGTGCAATCGTACATCTTCATCAACGGTCAGGATGTCTTCTTCACGGCGTGACAGCAACAGGATCATCATCGCGGTCACCGGTGCGAATGCGTAGGTACTGTGGTGTCATTTGAAGCACCAGAGTCGATTCCGATACACGTCCTTATTGTGCTTCCTAACTCAGTGGACTAGGACTAGGCTACTGTCACAGGATCCTCAGGCAGCTCTCTACGGCTCCGACTGCTCCCCCACCGGATGCCCTCGAACTACCGCTCGAACCGGGTCATTCCCCTCGACGACTTGCTCTAAAGGACGCTTCTCTGTCGAACTTCGTCAACACTCAGCCTCCACCCACATTGACCTTGATTCTAGCCTGTCGATCGAGACAAAGAGCCGAGGTGGCCATCAAGCAGTTGAAGAAGCAACATGAGCTGGGACTGATCGGCAGGAAGATGCGAGGTGCCGAAGAGAGGAAAGGATGGCTGGAAGGGCTGGAGATCGTCTTCGAAGAGCTGGACGTCGACCGTGTGGGGGGTCAAGGTGGAGTACTGGATTTTGCATCAAGGATCCGAGACAAGTAAGTACACTCGTTAGCTGCATTATCTCGTGAGCGGTACTTGATCGCCTGCTCTCTTAGTTATCCACATCTCACCACACTCGTGCTCAACGCTGGGATTGGTGCTTTCTTGGGCCTCGACTGGGCGGGAGCTATGCGTCAATTGATGGTAGACCCTGTAGGCACCGTATTGGAGCCTCAATTCATCCTGCAAGAGATCGGAAGGAAGAGCGGAGACGGTCTACGAGGCGGGGTCTGGGGGGTGAACGTCCTGTCGACTTATATCCTGGTAAGCCGTATCGTTCCGGTAGGATCAGTTTTGACTAGGACTGATGGATGTACTCATCAGGCCAAAGAGCTTCGATCTCACATGGCCAAATCGCCCGTAAACCTTCCTCTATCGCCTCGTATTATTTACGTCACGTCATCGCAAGGGAAAGCTAGCTTCCTCCCTCAACCGCCGTCGAGCGACAAACAGCTCATTCAGTTGGAGGAGAGTTACGGAGCCAGCAAATACATGGGGAGTATCGTGACTTCCCACCTGGATGCCGAATTTAGCCAAACCGAGGCATTGCCCCAGGTTGACCAGAACTCCGATGAGGATGTGGGAGAGAGAAAGGTCAGGGTCTTGAGGCTGGACCCAGGAGTCGTGCACACGGGCATGTTCGCTCAATGGCTTCCTTTCTTCATGGAATGGCTCATGGTGATTACGCTGCATTTTGTAAGTGCACCTTGGGACGTCCTTCAGAAGAGTATTAGAAGCTGACTGGACATTGCAATCCTCGTCGTTCTCCAGGCCCGTTTGTCCGGTTCAAGAGCACACGTTATTTCGACCGACAATTCTGCGTTGGGGTTGACATACTTGACCCTTACGCCTGATTCGACGCTGGATCCAGTCTGCCCCATTGTCAAGGATGCTCGTGAAGGAGCGGAAGTTTCTCACGAAGAAACAGACTCGACGCCCCTTTTGGGCAAAGAAGGCGCCGGTCGAGCTCCGGCCGTCTACCTTTCGCAGTGTTGGCGTACCGGGAAAGCGTACGTAGGGTTGGAGCGAGTCAAGGATTGGGATCGGTATGCCAGGGGTCCAGATGGAGGAGACGGATTCGTGGGAGAGTGTGATCGGGTCTACAAGGAATGGAAGGGAAAGCAGATGGAGGGAAAGGATGGAGTTGCCTTGATCAGGGAGGAACAATTTCGAGGCGCTCCGACTGGCATCAAGACGGATTGATCGGCTCTGATATACGTACAAGCTCTACATGAGTACAAGTGCACCGACACGTACCTAGAGATTCTGCCTGAATACCTTGAGCATTACCGTTATGACCATGCTGCTACGATCCAAATGCTCAAAATTCTGATGCCCCCACCTTCTGCAGCCTGGGGTCGAGGGTGTGACGCGACGCGCCTTAATGACGCGGTCGGAATGGGATCGAGCTGATCGGACGTCGGACGATCTGTCGTACAATCGTACAATTCAAGTGTCTCTGCACGAGATTTTGTCCGCTAGTAGCTAGTAGGTAGCTCAAAGTTCGAAAATCATTGCATCAGCATATCGGAATCAACTTTCCAACCATGGGCAAACAATCCACGCTGGGCAAGTTTTTCGAGCTGCCGAAGGGCACCCCCGCTCCTCCGAAACAACAAGCAGATCTCAAGAGCATGTGGGCACCCAAGCCCGCCAAGAAGGAGGAGGCATCGGGGAGTTCGAGTACTAGCAAGGTCAAGTCAGATTCGTCGAGCGATAAGAAGCGTGAGTGATCGAATGGAACTCGGGATATTACCGTGTCAACAAGGCTCATTTCGATACTTCGCTTCTTACAATCAGCTTCGTTGATCAAAAAGCGTCATATCGTTACGTCCGAGGACGAAGAGGGCGAGCAGACGGCCGGCTCTTCCAAGACGTCCAAAGAGCCCGAACAGAAGAAGGCCAGGATCGGAGTGGGCGAGACGATCGAGGAGATGGCACAGGATCTACAAGACATCGCTGCAGAACAGCTCAAGGACATCAAGCCAGCTCCGGCTTCCGGAACAGCCGATTCTGGCGGATCGTCCTCGGCAGAGATTGCGAAGAGATCCAAGAAGAACTCTCCACCCCCGACTTCTGCTGTTGCCACAAACAGCAAGGCGAAGCCACCCTCCATTGCCGGAAAACCGACCAATAAGGGAAAGGGCAAAGCGAAGATCGACCCGGATGATGACGAAGAAGAAGAAGAGACACATAACTTGGACGAGGACGTCAACATGGATTCTCCAGGAGATGCCGATGAAGGCGAAGATGATGATCAGAAAGAAGAGGCCGACAAGAAGGAGATGAATGAGGCTGCTATGAAGCTGGCTTCGACATATGCGGGGACGTTGGACAGCGTGACAAAAGATGCATCTCAGTGGAAGGAAGGCGCTCCGTAAGTCTGTTTCAAGCAACTTGCGAGCCGGACAGACTAATCATTTTTGTCCGATCAGAGTGCCATACTCGGCTTTGACCGATTGCTTTGATCAGATTGACCAAACCACCAAACGACTTCTCATCTCGAATTACCTCACTCAATTCCTGCTCAAAGTTGCTATGAATCCTGGTCAGAATGGAGAAGATCTGAAACGTGTCGTGTACTTGTGCATCAATCGCGTACGTTGTTGAGACCATCACCAGCGGATGTTGCGAAATGCTGATGACTCCCTCATTAGCTTTGTCCGGATTACATGGGTATTGAACTAGGAATCGGAGAATCGTTAATCATCAAAGCCATTGCGCAGAGTACCGGAAGGAAGCCGGCCGATATCAAAGCCGACCTGTTGAAAGTGGGAGACCTGGGTTTAGTGGCAGAAGTGAGTTTCGCTAGTGGACGGGCGGTATTCTGGCCCCGTATTGACGGAAGGATATTGTAGCAATCTAAAGGAAGACAGATGACGCTAGCAAAACCCAAACCGCTCACAGTTGCTTTCGTGTTCAAGACGCTGGAAGATATCGCCAAAACGACTGGAGCTCAAGTAGGATCTCGAGGCACAATATTTGCAGACCCACACTGATCATGTACCGCTCATAGTCGCAAAATCGGAAAGTTGGGTTCATCCAGAAGATCCTCACCTCATGTCAGGGATCAGAAACTCGTTTTATCATCCGATCACTAGAAGGCAAACTTCGAATCGGCTTGGCAGAGAAGACTCTGGTCACTGCTCTGGCGCATGCGATTGTTCTGAAAGAGTTTGGCAAGATGAAAAAGAACGTCTCCCAGTCAGATCTCGCAGAGAAGCTGGCGAGAGGGAATGAGATCGTCAAACAGGTTTACAGGTATGCTCAGTTCACATTAGAACCTGAAGATATGGCTGATGGGCGTGTCGATGGCAGCGAATTGCCAAACTACGATATAATTGTGCCCGCCTTGCTCGCTCACGGTGTCGACGGCTTGCGAGCTGCATGCAAACTGACTCCTGGTGAGTCCTCCTTATGACTTTTCTTTGCGCACGACTCATTCAACCTACTTCCCTTCCAGGCGTACCGCTGAAACCAATGCTGGCTAAGCCGACCAAGGCCATTGGAGAGGTTCTGGATCGGTTCGAGGGCAAGGAGTTCACCTGTGAATACAAGTACGACGGAGAGAGAGCCCAGGTAAGAAGCGCTTGAGTATATAGCAGCGAATGCGCTAACAGGTCTTTTCCTTCATTTCGTCAATCAGGTCCACCTGCTGGAGAACGGGGAAATCGTGGTGTTCAGTCGGAACAGTGAGAATATGAGCGCAAAATATCCTGATTTGATCGAGTCGGTACCGAAGGCGAGTCTAGCTGTTCGAGCACCTGTTAGTGATAGCGCTCACGCCTGTGTCGACCTGTTCACAGTGGGTGGGACCAGAAGTTAAATCTTTCGTAATCGACAGCGAGGCCGTGGCATACGATTTGCAAACCAAGAAATTGCTTCCCTTCCAAGACTTGAGTCGACGCAAGAGGAAAGACGTCAGGACCGAAGACATCACTGTCAGGGTGCACGTTTTTGCTTTCGATTTGCTGTACTTGAACGGCGAAGTGAGTGGGAAGGCAAAGTTAAGAAGCTGTTTCTGTCGCTCTGTTTAACGTTCGGCCCATTCGCAGTCTCTGTTGACGAAGGAATTGAAGGATCGACGGGCGCTTTTGCAAAAGCACTTCAAGCTCGTTGAAGGAGAGTTTGGCTTCGCGAAGAGCTCCGATGGAAACTCGAGCGATCAGATCGCCGAATTCCTGGACGAAAGCATCAAGGACGGATGTGAAGGATTGATGGTCAAGAGATTGACTACGGGTGATTCTACCTACGAACCGAGTCGAAGGTCGATCAATTGGTTGAAGGTGGGTCATGCCGCCCGTCGTCGAAGGAGATTCCACTGATCGCTTTTGATCGATATAGCTCAAGAAGGATTATCTTAGCGGTGTCGGAGACAGCATGGATCTATGTGTAGTTGGGGGATATTACGGCAAGGGTAAACGAACGAACGTCTATGGGGCCTTGCTGTTGGCCTGCTTCGACGAGGACTCTGAGCAGTGGCAGGTGAGCCGAGCTGTCGATCGCGCTTAGGACATCCCCGCTCACCTATCGGGCACTGACAGACCGCAACGAAGATCGGTACGGGATTCTCGGAACAACAACTCGTGGAGCTATACGATCTCTTGAAGCCCCTCGAACTGACTGTGAAGAGGGGAGACGTTCTGGCGGATCCCTCGAAGCCTCCCGATGTATGGTTCGAACCCAAGGTCGTCATGGAAGTTTTGTGTGCCGATCTCAGTCTGAGCCCGTGAGTCTTCTGTCTGTTACGTTCATTGCTATAGTAATAAGTCCAATTCGTCTTTGCGCTTTGCAGCATCTACAAGGCGGCCCAAGGTCTTCAGGGCGAGAAAGGAATCAGTCTTCGATTCCCTCGTTTCATCAGACTTCGAGACGACAAGGACGCCGACGATATCACCAGCGCTGAACAGGTTAATGGACATTCCCTTCGTTCCAGGCGTCCGTCCGCTGAAACTGTTTGTGGTCATAGGTTTCCGAATTTTACGAGAATCAGGTCTTGGCTGGAGGCAAGAAGACTGATGGAGGGGGTGGGGACGACTGGTAAATTCCAGCTATCAAAGACTGCCACCCGGTTCTTCACGTACATCCAGCCGCCAGACTCTCTTTTCTTTTACGATAGCCAGCACGAACAGGCTCATGTCGCATGTCGACCCTGTCATTATGCCAGAGCGAAATACCAACGAGCGGCCTCGCGCGGTCCCGAATGCCACGAGAAAGCGCATCCGCGCTTCCCAAATTATCAAAGCTAGATGGGAGACCTTGGCAGAGATTAGATCACTTTGAACGCCTCGATGATGGTCTACAAACTGCCTTACAGCACTTCCATAACGTCCAGCACAATGTCCTCCCTGGCCAAGAGTGGCAGCAAAAAGCACCGGTCCGAAAAAGACAAATCCCACAAGCACAAGAGCAAAGACAAGGGGAAAGTCAAGGCCGTTCAGGCTGGTCCTTCAGCTCCTGTTCAAAATGATTCGCCATTCTTGTCCATCACTAGCAAGATTCGCATGAGCATACCGCCCGCCTTCGCCAGTGACCTGCGAAGAGGAGCCGAAGAGATGTTGGACAGCTTGGTGATGCGGTGAGCTCTGGGCAAAGCTACAAGAAGCCTCTAGGTGATTCTTACGAATCGCCCGTCTTCAGCTACTCTTCCGCTCTTGACGCCGTGTTGTTGGCATACTCAAATATCGAGTTCGACGACACAACGGCAAAAATCGTCAACGACTGTCCCTTTGCCATCTGCGACATCTGGTTCGACGCTGTCGTGTGGGCACCTAAAGTCGGAATGAAGCTATGTAAGTTTACGCATCACCCTTTCCCGGCTCGCGGTCGAGCTTACAAGCTGACAAATTCTTGAAATCAGACGGAATTCATTCCTTGTCCTCCCCATCTCATATTTCCCTCATCCTCTATAAGACATTCAATGTTTCGATCCCCCTTGAAAACATACCTCAGGACCGATATAGCTTTGAAGAAGCTGCCGAGATTGAAGACGCGGACTTTGAGGCGGAGGGTGTAGCCCAATTAAGTGGCCGATGGAGGGACAAGCGGACGAATAAGATTGTCGGTGCCGACAAGGAAGAGGTTGCATTCGTGGTGACGGGGTGAGTGGGATGATCGATATTCACCTGCTAGGTCTCGGTTGCTAATCTGGGCAAACCATAGTATGCAAACGTCCAACCAGATGCTGTCCTTGACCGGATCGCTCGTAACTACCGAAGCTGCAACATCTAGCACTACCGCTGTCTATCGACCAATCCCGCCGGCTCCAGGAACACAACTCGCCAACGACCTCGCTTCCCGGCCATCATCTTCGACTAACTCTGCTCGCCTGCCATCCCGCGGGGAAACCCTTGTCACAGCTGAAAAGCCGAAAAAAATGAAGCAGAAGGACAGCCGGGTATCAATAATGGGTGCGGACATTGCCAATGCTGCGCATGTCGATCAGGCAGTTCATGAAGCCCAGCCTTCAGTGCAGGCTGCTACAATGCCAGATATTGAGGACGAGGATCTGAGGAGCCATCGCAAAGAGCAAAAGCGGGCCGAAAAGGAAGCAAAGAGGCAGGCCAAACGGGACAAGGAGAGCCAAAAGCAGACCGCAGAGCAGGCTAAAGAGAGGACGAACGCGATGATCGCAGACGTAAAAGCTGAGGATACGACAACGTCGGCTTCGCCAAAGAAGAAGGAGAAGAAGCATAAGCGAAGTGCAGAGGAAGCGGCACTGGGAGAGAAGGCTACCAAGAGGAAAAAGGTCTAGGGTGATCGGCACGAATCCACATATGCCTTGACGCTGGGAGTCGCCTGTCATCATACGTTATCTGTTGTACGGCTGTCAAACTTCTGATTATTATAACGATACCGCCTTTACGATTTACGACCTCTGCTTGAAGACGAACCTTACGGTTGTTGACAATTTGAACCTTTTATCCGGATGCAAATTCTGCTTCCGAACAATCGATCGATCGGCCGCAAGCGGAACTCATGACGTCGATCATCATCATCAAATTCATCAAACCTGGCTCTCTCTCGGTCTGCACAGCGACATTTCCTTGAAGCCTTGTCCCCGTTCCCAAGGGTCAAAGCTATTCATCATTATTCATTCGTCAATAAGGAGGTGCATGTATCTTTATCGCGGCGGAGGACGCATCCTTTACAAAAACGCTCTATCTCATTCCGGTCGCACGCAATCAGCTATGCCTCAAACAACCCTCGGTCGAGGGCTAAAGCTTTCGAGCAACCCGCCTTCACCCTCGAAGCCTGTGAAACCAAAGAACAACTCCAAGCTTACTCCAGCCGTTGCGGCTGCAAAAGCCAACGGTAACCAGGGAAAGTTTGCAGGCAAAGAGTCATCCATCAAATCCGATCTGGAGCTACTAAGGTTACCTTCCACATACCTCCAGAGCGTGTACGGCGAGAAGATTGAGCAAGCACACGAGAGTAATGACGAGGTCCAGGACAACCCTAAGGTTGAGGAAGTACAGCGAGGAAAGGAGATCGAGCAGGACATGAAAGTGGATGAGACCAACCATGACAAAAGAGCCAAAGATAGCACTAGCAACTATGCCCCGACTAAGGACGACGTCGATATCGACGATCCCGATCATCGAGCGGCCGAAAGGGATGTGCAGGGCGATATTCCATCTCCGGGTCAACAGGAAGAGACCGGAAACGCTAGTATGTCTCATGTCAAGCGAGACAAGAAGGAGTCAACGTCGAAACAGGAGAGCGGGAACGACGTCAGCGGGACAGACGCGGGCAAGGGGAAGAAACGGGCACCGAGCCCTGACGAAGGAGGAGCTGCAGGAGACCGAGGCAAACGTCACAAAGCTGCCTACGAGGTCCATCAAAAGATAGCCCACGCTGTAAATGCCGCCCGGGTTGACCGCGAACCGCCTCTTGACAAGCTGCTCGCTGCCCAGGAGAAGATCTGGGGGTACAAAGCCGACGGACCTGCTCTCACGAGCAGGTGCAAGCCAGGCACTCCTGTAAAGGGAAAGAAGCCGGATTTCAACCCGATCGTCTTCAAGAAGGCTGGGTCCGATGGCGTGGAAAGAGGCGAATCAGTGGTATACTGGATGCGAATGGAGGACGTCAGAGGTTAGTGTACATAAGCTGAGATCGCACTCGATTGTTACTCATAGCAAACGTTTATCTCGCAGTCAAGGACAACCGGGCTTTAGCTCTGGCTTCGGAATTTGCTCAGCAGAACTCGCTTCCCTTGATCGTCCTTTTTGTCCTCGTACCTGGTGACTACAAGGCTCACGATCGCAGTGCCCGGTCGATCGATTTCCGGTTGAGAAACCTTCGCAACATCAAAGTCAGTATACAGCTGGTACAATTCGTAAGCAGTATGCCAAGTAACGTTCCCCTTGACAGGTCAAGCTTCAGGAGAAAAACATCCCCCTGCATGTAATCACACATGCTGGTAACCGCTTTAGACTCCCTGAGAAAATCATTGATGAGATCCTGCCGTCCATGAAAGCGACACATATCTTTGCAAACATGGAATACGAAGTGGACGAGCTAAGAAGGGACATCGAGGTGTTAGAGTATGGCGCAAAACAAAACGTCCGTGCGATGTTCGTGCATGACAGACTCGCCGTACCTCCGGGAACTTTCAAGACCGGACAGGGCAAGCCTTACGGAGTCTTCTCCCCATGGCAGAGAAAGTGGCAGGCTTTCTTGGAAGCGCACGAGGAGCATCTTTATGAGGCCGCGGATCCGGAGGGCAACGAGGATGGCCTTCGTTCACATCCCATATATGGCAAGCTCTTTGACGGGGAGGTGCCTGAATGTCTGGAGGGTTTTGAATGCCGCGATCGTGACCTTATGAAGGTGGTTTGGCCAGAGGGCAATGAGGTAGCAGTACAGGTAGGTTTCAGTGTATAGGCGAGGAGAAAGCTGTTCGCTAATGCAATATTGGCTTAATAGGTTCTCAATCGATTTCTATACTGCTCCGCTAGAAAGGCCGATTTGGGACTGGTCGACCCCAGAACGATGGGTCAAGAGATGAGCATCGATCTCGAGCCCGATGACGACGTACAATTGATAGAAGACGAGCCGACGAAGGGCAACGCGAAGCTTAGCCTCAAGGGCAAAACGGCATCGCCGACTAGACTTCGTGATTATGCATCGAGTCGAAACTCGGCAGATTCCAACACGTCAAGCCGACTTTCGCCGTACTTAGCTTCCGGAGTGATTTCTATCCGAACCATTCTCAATAAAGTCAAAAAGCTCCTCGGCAACAAGCTTGAAAGTGGGCGCGATAGTGGACCTGGAACCTGGGTCATGGAATGTGCCTGGAGGGACTTTTACAATCACGTAAGCTTGTCTTGATTTCAAGGTGAGGTATGACATCGCGCCGATGGCTCTGAGATTCGACAGGTGACAGCAGCCTTTCCCCGAGTCAGCATGGGGCGACCTTTCCAGGAGAAGTTTGCCGAAGTCCAGTGGGAAGTAGATGAGGAGAAGTTCAACGCTTGGAAAGAAGGTCGCACAGGCTATCCGATCGTCGATGCTGCCATGAGGCAGTGCGCTCTCATGGGATGGATGCATAGTGAGTTCCTTATCTAAGTTAACACAATCGTCACTGACAGTATGCACGTTCGCTGCTAGACCGATCTCGCATGATTTGCGCATCGTTCCTGGTTAGTTATCGACGATGCTTTTTTGCCATGTACATAAGACTTACGTTGTGTCCTTTCTGTGCATCTCTACAGGTCAAAGATTTGATGATCGATTGGCACTTGGGAGAACAGTATTTCATGCAACAATTCATGGTCAGTCGCACCCTTGTTCATGCAATGTTCTCCCTTTAGCTTATGACCTGATATGAGCAGGACGGAGATCTTGCTGCCAACAATGGCGGATGGCAGTGGACTGCATCCACCGGGACCGATCCTCAACCAGCATTTCGGATCTTCAACCCGACTTCGCAATCAGAAACTGCTAGTCCGGATGGCGCTTATATAAGATATTGGGTTCCAGAGCTGGCCTCGCTACCGGACAAAGGCAAGTGCAATTGGTACCGACTTACTGTCACGTCATGACTAATTAGTCCCGCATCTTGTAGCCGTTCATAACCCTTACGAAAAGCTTAGCTCGAAAGAGTTTGCAAAGCTCAATTATCCAGCCCCGATTGTCGATCACGCTAAGGCGAGGAAAAGAGCACTCGCTCGATACAAGAACCCAGGTTATCACGGGGAAGGCTCTGATTAGCTGTGTGCCTTGCTGGCACTCATATCTTCAATGTTCCTGTGTAGCGACACCTATAATCAGATTTCGATTTCAGGTGTTCTTCTTAGACTGTAACGGCCAGACGTATTAATCACCCATCTGATTCTGGATGATATAATCATTCGATAATTTTTCATTGATAATTTGAAGCGCGACAGCATCTAGACCGGCCGAGCTGAAAAGCGTTTTGTGTCGCTATGTGATTCACTTGTCGGTCTAGAAGCTGCCAATCTTGGCATCAACTTCAAACTATGGGTCGCCCTGCTCGTAGCGAACCTCTTTAATCCAAGACATCATGCTTATCAGGACCTCGGGAGAATTGCCGAAAGGGCACATGGGACATGGGTTGTATCCATTCCAAAATATGATCCGAGCACAGCGCAATTGCCATTCAGCAAAGCAGTGAGATACGTAGTTCAGCACTAATTCAGCTACTTAAGTTGGCCAGATACAGATGAAAAATCGTGATCGGCTACTCTAAGAGGTTTCAACCACAAAGAAACAAGTTGAACCGTTCGACAGCATCGAATACGCCTGAGCGAAATCGGCTTGCTATGTCGCTGCGAGTTTTGCGTCAAATTGATCCGTTATGTGCGACCTCACCTGCACTGATGCGCTTTTCCCTTAGTCGAAATGACATACGGCTTATATCAAATGATGTTTCCATGAAGATGTGATCGAACTGGACGCCGCAGTGAAACAGCGGCGTGGGGGAAGGGATTAAGCGGCAGGAGGCTCCGTCCATCGATAAGAATTCGAGGGGATGAGATCGTCAAGAATGGGCTCTACCATGTTCAGTGATGAAGTAGAACGGTTCTTGTGGATATTTCCTCTATTGTCGAGATATAAGACTGGACCAACGTGAGACAGGTTGCGGGATCGAGCCGTATGAGGTTGACGACATGAAACACGCTTTCGCCTCTTTCGGGAGAGCGCCCGAAGGTCACGTGATGTGCCGCGCGATCGCCTGCAACTACGAGGATTAGCAAAAGTTGGGCAACTCGGGAGAACGGTCATCTTGGTCGTCGTCATGTCGATGGCTCACACACGATCGATCGATCAGGGTCATTCACTCGGTAAAGATTAGAGTCACTTAAAAGCTGGGGATCCACGGATCAAGGTCCCGAAGAACAGGTCATAGAGAAAAGCCCACAAAGAAGGTTGCTATCTTCGCGGCCTGATATAGACGACCCGCATCACAGGCTTCTCGATCGATCCTGGTCGTACGACTCGCTTCGGATAACCTCAATAACACACCAACCTCATGTTGCGAACCATCAGCAGAGCTCGACGCTCCAATCGTCTACTCCCTTGCCTTGGGACACAGCGATCGTACGCAGTCCCTACTTCTTCCCGACTACGCCCAGCAGAAGCCCTCGCCACCCGTGATGACGACTATGCTCCGGAAATCTCTTACGACTTCAGCAATGCCTCCCGCTCGAGCGATCGCTTTCACCCTCATATGCTGGACGGCGCACGATATGCTAGTTACCGCCCCCTTACGCCCTTCAAGGAGAACGATCTCACGGTACTCCCGCCGCCTCTGCCCGATGATCAGCCTCCCTCGGAATCCCAGGCCGCGTTATACCCTTCGACATCTCTGCTAGACTCACTCTCCCTGATTCACATCTGTCTGGCACGGAAAGATACCATTCCTAGGGCTTTCGATATCTTCTGGAGCCTCCTGGACGACCACGCTGCTTCCAAGACGAGTCTGCCGGACCCCAACGTCTGGGCGAATGTGATAGAAGGAGTCCTTTCTTTAGCAGCATCTAAGCAAGCAGGAGGACGTTTTACTTCAGGGAATGTAGATTGGGCGTCGAAGGCTGAAGCGCTTATCGCCGAGTGGGAGAAGTTCAATGGCGGCCGATCTGAGCCGGGATCATCCAGACCACGACCGCTCGGTTTAAGCCGTGGCGGTGAGAAGGTCTACTCTAGCTACCTCAGAGGTCTCGTCGCATCTGGTTTGCCGGTGGTCCCAATACTTCCATACCTCCAGTCCCCTAATCTCTCTCTAGCCACGATGATGGCTGAATGGAGTCAGGGAGAGAAGGAAGAAGCACTCACGGCCGTGCGAGCAGCAGCAGAGGCAGAAGAGGACAGCGTGGTTTTGAAAGTCGTAAACGTCACAAGGGGGATGGAAAAAGACCGGAGAGAAAGACTGGGGCGGGAACTGCCTCCTGAGGTCAATCCGCTACCTGCTGTAAGTCCATTCGTGACTTGACCTCGGGCTAACTCTGACAACGAGTTCTTCCACCGCAGAAAGAGCCCTATACCACATCCCTCATGCGTCAGATTGGCAGCCAATCCTCAGATCCAGACGCCGTACTGCCTCGGTTCCCCATTGCCAATCTACGAGCAACCTTCAAGGAAATTTCACCGGACGATCTTCCTCTTCGTCGGCAAGAGATGCTCGAAGCCGCCTCTTTGTCGGCAGCACGAGCCGAAATGGAAAACGCCGCACAATTGCTGGAAGAGCAAGGGTTGAAGGAAGTTGTTGATTCGCAGAGACTTCGGTCTGGGAAACTTCAAGCATGGATGTGGCAATGGAGCCTCGATTTGACCAAACGATTGACAAGTGACCTGGAAGCTTTGGAAAGGACGACAAATGTCAAAGGTCTGCCAAAGAGTTCTGCGGGGAGAGCGAAAGATCAAGATCTTTTGCTCTATCTCCGTCTACTCGCTCCCGAAAAATTAGCACTGGTGACGATCCTCGAGGTCATGCGATCGTGTGGAGCTGGAGGTATATCCGACGGTCTCAAAACCCTACGCGGTTTGATACAGGTCGGCAAAGCTGTCGAGACCGAGTACAGAGCCTTGACAATACAAAACATGCTAGGAAAAGACAGCCAGGCTGTTTTGGGAGGCGGGGAGAATACTCAGGATGGGGAAAGGGCGGTTAACCGGCTATGGCGCAAAGTTGGCAAGCAGGCCCAAGCCGAGGGAGTTGAGACTATGGAAGAACGGGACGTCGAGGAATCTGCAGATGCGGCTCGCGTTGAAAGGCTCGACCATACCCAAGCCCTCGACGCACTGCGACGTGTTTGGACGCCTGATTGGACTCAAGCTAAGCATGTTTCAGTTGGCGCCTTTTTGGTGGATGCCCTGGTTGATACTGCGAAAGTTACAAGAACGACAACCGATGAGGACGGTGTGGAGCAGTAAGCGCTTTTCTTCAATCCAGATCGTTCGCCATCGTTCGGAAAGGCTCATTTTGATTATCCTCATCAGCTCCGAAATCCAACCTGCCTTCTCCCACTCTTATGAATACGTTCGTGGAAACAAGCTTGGAGTGATCAAGTTGAATCCCGCTGTCGCCTCGAGAATGGCGAAAGACCCGATCGCTATTGTGGTACATCCCAAACATATGCCAATGTTGATCCCGCCACGACCCTGGAAAGCGCACGATGATGGTGCATATCTCTTTCATAAAGGTAAGCCTTGAGATTGGACCCGTTTGTGGCCATCGTGCAGCATCGCTAATCCCTACCACGCGCTATCATAGTATCCGTCATGCGATTCAAGGAAAGTGCCGAGCAAGGCAGTTATCTTCGAGCGGCTTCGGAAGCAGGTCGACTCAACTCTGTCTTCGCTGGCCTCGACGTCCTGTCGAGCACACCTTGGAGGGTGAATCGCAGTGTATTTGACGTCGTCTTGGAGGCCTGGAACAAGGGCGATGCGATTGCGGATCTACCGGCTTCTGAAGAAAAGTCCCACTATCGTCAACCAATAAAGCCGAGTCCGGACGATGTCGATCCCGCTTCAAGGTCGAATTACGTTGCTCAGATGCGTGATGTTCAGAGCGAGATGAAGAAGGATCATTCGGAACGATGCAAATTCAACTACAACCTGGAACTGGCACGTTCGTTCCTCAATGACGTCTTCTATATCCCTCACAACGTGGATTTCCGAGGGCGAGCTTACCCCATCCCACCGCATCTCAACCCGGTTGGGGACGATCTCTGTCGAGGTTTACTTACCTTCGGGACCCAGAAGCCCCTCGGAGAGCGAGGTCTGATGTGGCTCCGCATCCATCTCGCCAATCTTTATGGATTTGACAAAGCGAAATTCAAGGATCGCGAGCAATTCGCTATTGATCACCAGAAAGACATCTTCGATAGCGCCGACAACCCTCTTGGGGGCAATCGATGGTGGCTCAAGGCTGAGGAGCCGTGGCAATGCCTGGCAGCATGCTTTGAATTGTCTGCAGCGCTCAGGTCAGGGAACCCTCACGAATATCTTTCGTCTCTTCCTGTGCACCAGGACGGAACATGTAACGGGATGCAGCACTATGCAGCTCTTGGAGGGGATGTGCAGGGAGCCAAAGCGGTCAACCTTGTTGGAGGGGATCGTCCGGCCGACGTATACACCCGTATCGCCGATCTCGTCAACGAAATCATCAACCAGGACGCGGCCGCTGGCAAGTCGTTTGCGCAAATCGCGCAAGGCAAAATAACGCGGAAGGTCGTCAAGCAAACTGTTATGACGACAGTATATGGAGTGACCTTTATTGGAGCGAAAGAGCAGATCGCCAAGCAATTGGTAGCCAAGGGAGAGATTCCACGGGAATACATCTACCACGTCTCGGGATATATCGCTACTACCGTGCTAGCCTGTATCGGCGACTTGTTCTCCGGCGCCAAGGCTATCCAGGACTGGCTGACAATGTCGGCAAGATTGATCTGCAAGAGTGTCTCTATGGAGCGCGCTCCCGCAATGGTCAGCCCGCTTACCAAATCGGCGAATCCAAGGAAGAAGACCTTGGACTCGGATGAAATTCCCGTGCTGGATAAAGCAGGTAAAGCCGTCACCAGATTGCAGAAAGAGGCGATGACGAGCGTAGTCTGGACGTCGCCTTTGGGACTCCCCGTCGTTCAGCCTTATCGGAAGATCGCCAGGAAACAGGTTAGTCCGCAAATGAAACTATCGCCGAGGTATTCTCTCGAGAGCTATATTGATGTGCAAATCCATCGATTTTGGTCGCTTCAGGTCCTGACTGCGCTTCAAACGGTATACATCTCGGATCCTAATGCCGTCTCCGAGGTGGCTTCCGGCAAGCAGGCTTCCGCCATGCCTCCCAACTTCATCCATTCTCTGGACGCCACGCATATGCTCATGTGTGCCGCAAGGTGTCGAGACGACGGCATCACTTTTGCCAGTGTGCACGACTCGTACTGGAGTCACGCTTCGAGCATCGATCAACTGAGCAAAAACATCAGGGAAACATTCATCGAGCTGCATTCGAGGGACATTATCGGGGACGTTCGAAAAGAGGTGGGTTGGCACGTGCCGAACGTTCGATAGTCGTCACCTCTCATCTGATTATGTCCCTTTACAGTTCCTCGAACGATACAAGGATCACGTCATCCCTGTCAAATCGGCTCGAGACATCTTCAACGCTAGCAGGAGGAGGAAGCCGGTTGCTCAGCTTCAGCCAAATTCCGAATCAGCCGAGGCGGAAGACGTCGCCGAGGAGGCCGGAATCGAAGAACCAACCAAAAGAAGCTCGAGGGCCACGGCGTTTGTCAACCTCGAGGGCGAATACAAGGAAAAGATGGAAGTCGGCACGCGGCAATTCGTAAAGTTTAGCGACGCACTGCCTCAGACGCCACTCAAGGGGAATTTTGACGTCAACAACATCAGGGAGAGTCCCTACTTTTTCTCTTAGATGTAAACCAACACCACTCCACTCATCATCACCATTATCATCAACCTCATCATCGGAATGTCTCTGTTCGTGTATCAAGTTTTGGATCAGACGGTTGTAAACCTAATTTTGTATCTGATTTACTCCTCCGCTTGCATCGTATCATGCCACCGAGTGCAATAACACATGACGATGGTACCTCCCTTTAAGGTGTAGCTGTCGCTACCTGCTTTTGTTTCTCTTTTACGGTAACTGCGTACGGACGTACTGAAACGCCGAATTCCCCTTTTCGGACTTTCGAAAACGGGTGACGTCACTTTCTCGTAATCGAACCTTCCTTGACGCGTTCCCTTTGGTGGTCCCAAAGAGGGAGGGTGATCATACCGACGCTGCTGATGTCGTGTTGTAACTACAGCAACTGCTATCATCATCGATCAAAGGCCCAGCGTCGAGAAAAGAACGTCCTCATCGCAACCTAGTCTTACCCCACGATCTTGTCACTAATCGAGGTATCTCATCGGTGTCTACGTCTTGAATAAGGTCAACGCCGAAGTACCACGTAACCCGTCCGTCGACCGCTCAACTTCTCGAAGCGACCCTTCGCCAGAAACAATCCCGCTCAACTACACACACAAAGCTTTCCGATATGGCACCTACTCCCCAGGCATTCGCTGGAAGTCTTTCCGGCAAGAACAAGGCTGAAATCGTCGACGTAAGCTTCGTCATTCCCGCAAACGACGCGAAAGGGATCATTCCGTTAACTCCACTCGTCAACTCATCAGATCTTGAAAGCCCTTGACCAAGACACTACTGGTCTCAAGGCCGAGCTCGAAGATAGGCTTGAGCAGTATCTTCAAGACAACGAAGCTACTCTGAGGGAAGATGGCCAGTTCAAAGGACTCTACGTCGCCAGGCGTAAACGTCGATCGTACGTGTCTCGCTGTCAGAATATCTTGTTCGTGGTTCTTATGCTACACCCTCATAGTCCTCGAGACGATTCGGCTACTCCAAGCGTCAGAGCTACCCCTAGCGCAAGGGGTACTCGAGCGTCTGAGGATCTAGACGCTCTCAAGACCGCCACCGGCAACCTCGCCGGCAAGGCTTACGACGCCGCCGCTACTACTTACGATCAGAGCGTACGACCGACTCTGTACAACGCCCTAGAGGAAGGTCAGGAAATCGCTACCCGCAGCGCCAAACGGGTCTACAAGAAGGTCAAGGACGTCACCGGACTAGACGAAGATTCGTTGCGCATTCCGGACTCACCGACGTAAGTATGGTAAAGGCTCGACTCTTGCACCGGTGGTCATGACCTAGCTGGCTGCGTTTCCTCTCATACAGTCGAGCTCTTCGTTCTCAAGCTAGACCCATCATTGAGAATGGGATCCAAAGGGCGAGGCCTATCGTCGAGGACGGGATTCAGAAGGCCAGGCCGGTCGTCGAAGACGGGATTCAGCAGGCCGAACACCTTCGCAAGATGTCCGTTCGATACTGGCGGGAGAACGGGAAGCGCGAGGCGAGGCAAGCGTTGCGTGACGTTCAAGCCCATCTTTCGACCCCCGTCAACCTGATCAAGACGATGTTGTTCTTAGAGATGGTAAGTCGGATGATTCAGTTGCATGTTCGCTTGCATGTTCGCGAGTCTAATCCGTCTACATAGGTCTACCTCCTTTACTGTCTCATCCCCTGGCACCGGAAAGAGCTCCAGTTCCCGCCATCAAAGTTCAGCTTTCATGCATGGGATAGGTTCCTCTACGCCATGTTCTGGTGGATGCCCGAGATCAAGCGAGGCTACTATCTTCCCGAATTGTTTGCAATGTTTCGGCCCTCTAGTAACAACGCGGGTGCCGGGTTCGCGATGTGGTATGGTTCCTCTCTGATCAATCCGAGCAAATGCCTTTGCTGACTTCCTTCTGCTTGTAGGCTTATCTACACCGTCATTCCGCCGTTCCTCCTGAGCCACGTGATCACCTTCTTGCCCCAAGAACCCGTCAAGGCTCCTGCTCGAAACACCCGCAGCGCATCCCGAAACGCTTCGATTGCGGCGCTTCCCGCTTGGGACCCCCTCGTGTTTTGCTTGATCCGGCTCGCTCTCGTCGTTTTCCCCATCACCTCGGCTTCACCTGACTTCTTCAGGTTTCAACTCGAGGCGATTGGAAACCTCAGCGGACGAGCTTTAGTCACGGCCTTGACCGGAGGATTCGTGCTTGCTCACAGGTTGGCCGCTCTCGCCGAGTGAACACCACTTTGCTATCTTCAATCATTTACCTTCGCTCTTCGCTCCTCTTTGTTCCAATCCGTCTGAATGTAAAACCTGCTTATAATCAAATTATCGTCGGTCTACAAAACCTAGCTTGTCCACCATCGTCGTTACTCTTCCAGACGCTCTTGCACCTATCCCTTCCGCGTTCGCCCAACAGCGGCACCGGTATCGGTACGAGTAGGTTTGAAACCTCGAATCGTTCGCGAAGCTGAAAGGACCTTCTTGAAGCGATTTCCACGCATGTGGGCAACGTGAAACTGAACCGAATTCGCTCTCGCACTCTGTTTGCAGACTTTTGCTGTGCTTTGTTGTCTTGATGGTTCTCCCCTTGTACGTCGGAAATGTCTCATCAGGCCCATCACCCGGATCCCACCTTCCTTGGCTCCTCGCTTACGCGCGCTTCGTCGTCACCACCACGGTACCCGAGGAAGGATAGGGGTTCCTTTCCTGATCGCATGATCGCATGATCGCTGCAAAGTTTCTCCCTTTTCCCCGTTGATGTGCGTTTCATAGCGTAGCGGACGTGAGTTCCTAAGCGAGGCAACAGTCGATCGCATGACTCTGCGTTCATGAACAGCGAACGATCAAAACCGGAAAATGGGCAAGGAACTCTAAATTCCTCCCTATTCTTGCCCTTTCTGCGAGACGAGCGCACGGCAAAGTCGTGGCTATGACGATCATGACATGCGAGAGCAAAGTCGTTCAAGGACTTTCTATTGTACAGCTTGTGGAACGACTGGACAAGTATATAACGGATGAACGACTTGTGTGATAATTTCCGACGAGGATGACCTTTCTTGGACTCGGGACTCGGAAGCAAGTCGCCCGTCATAACAACAATCACAGCAACAACAACAACAACAAATCCAACGATCTCCCAACTCCGACCTCCCCGTTCCCCACTCCCCATCCCATCCTCAGGTACGGACGACACCACACAAGTGCGAGGTGGCTTGCACTCCTCCTCCCGGGCCGGTCTCTTTTAATAACTCCCCTCGAAGCCCTCCCTCCCCTGCAGAGCACGTTGTAGCCCTGTCACCGTGGACAAGGTCGAAGGAAGGCGAGACCGGAAGATAACCATTTCGTCCTCGGGTCAACAACACAGAGGGTCCAATTCGAGGGTGAGTGCCCCTCGATTTCTTGGAAAGATCATGAGAGGATGGGACGGGCCCACCATGTGGTGGTGCATTCGAGAGCTATAGAGCTGGAGGTTGCGTGTTGAGGAAAATGCGAGACTGTATGGTTGATCGTATTTCCTGCTTGCAAGTCTGAACCTCTGTTTTCTTAATCTCATTTAGCTGGGCGTCGAAGTCGTCTACTTTCTGTTGTTCATCGGTCGGATCCGATCACTTCGGAGGTCGAAGACGAGGTACCGGTGCCTCCAGGTCGTTCGAGCTCGGACCGCCATCCATCTGTCAAGATGATTCATCGCGGTGACCATAGCAACGACGGCTACCGTCAGCACGAGCACCAATCGACGAGCCGTACTCGTCACAAAAGTTCGACGAGGGGATTGCCCGATGCACAACTTCGCCGACGATCCGTCTCGTCAGAGCTTGTTCGCGACGATCATCAGAGACAAGGTGGATCGAGTAGATCTCCCATCAGAGATCGGCGACGAAAGGATGTCGATATCGATGCAGCTCCTACCGGACAAGGCGCCAAGATCGAGCAAGTCTTCTTCCCTCCCTTTGAGGAAGCGTCGATGTCGGGCTCGGCATTGACGTCAGCTTTGTCGGGGATGGGCGGGATGATCGTCGATGACAACGTCGAGGTCGACGTCGATGGAGAGAGGACGTGGAAGAGCTTGTTGTCACCCGAAAGAAACCTCCCGCTCGCAAGCGGGCCAGGTCGATCTGGACGGCCAGTGACCTCTGTCCGGCTACTTAACCATCGTCGAACGCAGTCGAGTACCGACATCTCGACCTTGACCGCCCGGACGCCTCTTCGACCTACCGGGTTCAGTCTGAACAAGATGGCCTACCCTTCTCCCAGTCCGAATTCGACCCTTTCTTCTTCGTCGTCTCCTTCCTCACCTCCCTCCTCTGCGTCCAAGAGCCGTCCGACCAGCTCGATCTCGCCATTGACCAGGAGCGCGAGGAGGATGCTAGGCGATACCGATGAGAACGGTCTAGACTCACCGACGGAAGAATGTCCGGGTGGGAGAGGGTTATTGGAAGCGATCAGGCTGGATAGCCTTTACAAGCCGGTTTCGGTCCGGGGGGAGGGTTCAGGTCGAACGTCACAAGAAGATCAAAAGGTACGTACAATGCAGTAAACTCACCCCCAATTAGCGTTCTGACTGGTCGGCCCGGATCGAATGGTCTTGCTAAATTAGAACTGTCGTTATCGCTTTTAACAGTACCCACTTCGACGGTCCAATACGCTGCCGGCTGGGAGGAACAAGAGAAAAGCGCTTTCGGTCGATATGAGCGGGATGAGCAGTAACAAGCGTTACCCAAGCGGTAGCGCTGTACCGCCTCGAACGTTATCCCACCTGCCCGAGATCAACATTGTCGAACCTCCTAGACCTCGAAACCGACCTCCTCCACTTCGAAACCTGCCCCCGCCCTCCTGGTCCTCACCCGGACCATCACCCCCGTTGACCTCGCTCGCCACCCCTTTTTCGACCGACATGTTCGTCATGCCCTACCCGAACCCGGTGGCGACCATGACCCCTGGCCTCCTCTCTCCCAATTATACACCTCCTCATTCTCCCCTTCGTCGAGGTCAAGGAGGTGGTGTTAGGGGGGAATGTCACAGCGTGCCCATCACACCCCGAAGCGACCCGATGGACGAGATCTATTCACCCCCATTCCCCTATAGGCAAGAACGACCGAGGAGACGGTCCAGCTTGGCCAGTTTTGAGAGTACGACCGAGACGATCCGGCCTTGGCATGTCATCCAGCTTACGCCCAAACCGAGCCGTGCGCAGTTGAGCGACGACAAGGTGAACAATGACAACAACGATAATAACGACAAGAAGAACGGGAACGACAAGGAAGGAAGACCTCGTCGTGGGGCAGAACCTGTCATTGTCAGACCTGGGGACCGAACCGACCGTTGGCGTTACCCTAACTCGACCCCTAACATCCTCGACGACCACCTTCAGACCAACCCTATCGGCTTGAGCTTAGAGACGCTCGTTTGCGATTGGGATTTCGAGTCGGACTCTGATCGTGATCAAGGTCAAGGCCGAGGTCGACCAGTCCGTTCGTCAGAAGCTCTCGCGAGAAGGAAACGGCTCAGACTGGGTGCCAAGTTGCGGGCAGAGGCGAGGGCGATGAGAGAGTCGATCGAGCGGGATCGGGTCAGGGGAGAGTCGCCCGCTAGGGGTCGAGTATAAAACACCTCGTGATGCTTAGGGGACTTTGGTGGCAACAGACCGGGGGGTCGAATTTATCGAGTTGTATCGGATGACGGACTCCGGCGAATACAAGTGGATGGCAGGCGGAGCGTATACATATACACATGCACGTATGGAATCTATAAGAGAAGGTTGTGGGGGTTCATTCGAGTTTTTCCAGGTAGTCCAATCGATCCTGTGATTACGAAGATGATCAAACAAAGAGGAAAAAGAGTGAACAACTCGCATCCTACGTCTGATCTGATCGGAGCGGCGGAATTCAAGGGAACTCACGAGGACGACGTTTTTGCTCGTCTCTTCGATCTCGCCTGCGAGGAACACTTCGTCCAAGATCGCATACACCTAGTTTGACCCCGATTTCTCGATTCCGAATCAGCCTCTCACTAGTCCCTCGTTCGGAACCTCGACCACTCCTGACCCGGTACTGACCTTGTAGAACGAAAACACCAGGTCCAATTCACAGACATTTTGGAAAAAGGCATCCAGGACCTCTACAAACAGGTGGATGGCTTCGAGGTAGCCTAGCTCGTTGTCGTTGTTGTCGACGCAGAGACAGAAGAAGAGACCGGCATAACGGCGGTAGATGATCTTTTCGTTGCGGAACTGTTGGGGTAGGGATGGGTAGGTAAGGAGGTGAAGGGATAGGAAAGGGGTGAACGGAGGTGATGTGCAGTGGTTTGGCGTAAAAGGGAAGGAAGCGACAATGCATAAGGGAAACAAGCGGATCGAATGAGCGGAAAGATCGGCACAGTTTCAGATTCAAAGATATCTGCCGGATGTCACCGCTCGAAAACTCACTTCGACAAAGTTGGATTGATACTTTTGATCACGGGGAGCGACCAGCCGATGTACCTCCCCCCTCAGCCGGACCTGCCATCGGGAATCGAGATTAGTCACGCATCACCATCGTGTTGATCAGCAAGATGAGTCAATAGGGTATGAACCGGATCGGACAAGGATCTGGGAGGCATGGGGGCCAGCTCACCTTTTCGTCGTCGTCATACGGAGCGTACCATTTCGACAACCTCGTCTTGCCCTGCCGGTTCTACGAGTGTGCGAAGCGGGAATCAGCCATGGAGTGGGGCGGTGCTTTGGATCAAGGAGGCTCACTTGAACGAGGATGAATTTGATCATGATGACGTTGTGGATGTGTACATCAGATGGCAGATGGTCGATGATGGCTGTGATCTGTGAAGGGGTTGTATGATACGACAGCAGCAGTACTTTGATGTTCGGTGAGGTCCGAAGAGTGATGGTGGCCGGTGGATGATGAGGAGAAGGGGGTCGGAAGGGAGGACGGGGAACGGGGGACGTGTTAGATACGCGTCGCCCCCCTAGCCCCTAGCCCCTAGCTTCCATCTAGTCCATCATCATCATCTGTCCTATCTCTCTCAACGGGCAAGACGCGACGCGACGCGTTTGATCAAGGGGGGGACGACGCGTTCGAGGTCGAGTGATCATCATCGTGCATCGTGCACCTCGACATCCTCATCATCATCGTGCATGCGATGGCCATACGCGACCAGATAGCTCGACAATCGTCTCCTCATCGCGATCGCTCGTCATGGATCCCGACGAACCAGAATCCGCAAGACTCGACCGGGAGATCGCGGCGCTCCTGCAGAAAAAGGCGGCGGCTCAGGCTAAAGAGCAACAACGAGCCAAAGTCGAAACCGCTCGACGAGCCAACATCTTGGTCGAGAACAGTCCGGTCAAGAAAAAGACTCGTGAGTGCACACTATCTTCCGCTGCATCGGCTCTCGGTATTGACGCGCTCGTGGCGCTTTCAAATTCCTGGTTTTCCATCTGACCGTAGCTGCTCAGTATCATGCGGCACTTTACGAACAGGCACCTATCAGACAACCCATCTTCAATCACAACCGGTTGACCAACCCTATACCCCAGGCGGGACCTTCTAAACTCATCTCGCAATCACACGCCCAGCCATCAGCCCTATCTTCCGGACCTTCTCGTCTTTCGTCCGCGCTTCATCGAGCCCGTCAAGACGATACACCTGGAAATTCTGATGCCGACGGCGATGATGACATCAGCAGCAGGTCTGGCAAGAAGAGGGATGAGGTGGATATGACGGTCGTAGAGAGCTTGACCATGGGTCCGAAAGACTATGGGATGGATGCCCTTGGATCGGATGAATGGAGGTGGACCGAACCTAATAGTGGTATCAATCTCAAGTGAGCCTCACTAGATCCCTTCGTCCCCCTTGTCTTTGTGCTCGACCTCGCCAGGGCTGATCGATAACTAATCGTATCTCCTTACAATCATCACCAGGGAGCGTCTCATGCCTCATGCCCAAGTCCAGAACCACCTCGCCGACCGGTACATCCTCTCTCCCTCCCAGATCTACTCGATCATGCGCCTCTCGAGCGATAAACAACAATACACGCTGCCCGTAGATGCCGGGTGGGCGGTCATCGGGGTCGTCTGCCACAAGGGGGAGATCAAAGTGACTCAGGGCAAGAGGAAGGAAGACAAGAAGAAGAAGGGTAAAGGACGGGCGAGCGACGAGGAAGGCGACGAGGATGATGATGAAGAGGACGAAGATGAGGATGAAACGGATGGGAAACGACAAAAGAACGGTCAAGGTCCAGGGGAATGGACCAAGAAGAAGAAGACCGGGAACAACGCCCCCGCTTCGAAATTCATCACCATCAAGATCTGTTCCCTCCCCTCCCGCTCTCAACTCTCCGGGTCCACCTCTGCTTCACAGGGGGACGCGATCATGAACGTCATGCTGTTCGAATCCGACTCGGATGAGACGCTACCTCTGTCTTACCCAGGGGAGCCTCTGAAGAGACGGTATAGAGGCGGGAGTGGGGGTGCGTTTGAGGTCTGGTGGAAGTTGGCTGTAGGGGCGGTAGTGGGGATCATAAGTCCGAGGATCTTGAAGCCGTTCGGGGTGAGCTCGAAATCTTCCGTCCGCGTTGATCTTGCTTGCGACTCCGTTCGCTAATCTGGTAAGGCGTTCCCAATTGATAGGCAGGGAACAAAGGTCCTCATCCACTCACTCATCCTGTAGGTCTCACACCTTCGTCGGCGGACGACATCTTCCTCATCGGACGAGCTCGGGATCTGGGAACGTGTGCCTCCATCAAGCGGGATGGGAAGCAGTGCACCGAATGGGTTGATTTGTGAGTCGTCACTATCTCACCACGTACAAGTGAAAGCAGTCCGAGAGGACCGCTGGGAGACTGATATAGAGATGGTCCGGTCAATCGTAGGCGGGTACATCAGCATTGCGAGTATCATGTGGTCGGAGCGATAAAGCAGATCCGAGGAGGAAGAGCAGAGTTTGCCGGAAGGTGGGTCGATCGGGCAAAGGCAGAGTCTCACTCGTTCACTTGGGCCCACTGACTTGAACGTCAATATTTGTGACAGCACGGGCGGATTCCAACTCGCCATGAAGGCTGCCGCACCGATGTACAGGCGAGGCAAAGGCGGGCAAGACGATGGTAGAGAGCGGAAGACCCGACCGACGAACCAGATCCTACCTAAGCGCGGGTTCGATGACGGGACGGGTCAGACGTATATCGTCGGCGGTCGTGCGATCTCGGAACGCAAGTCTTCGAGGTTCGCCGACGAACACGTGGTGGAACGGATGGGTCGGGAAAAGCAGACCAACCTGAGACGCAAGAACGAGGCGGCGGCTAGGGAAAAAGAGCTGGACATGTTGATGGGTTCAAACAATGGGACCACAGGGGCCAAGTACCTCGAGGCGGCCAACAAGCTCAGACGAGACGACCAGAAGGACAAGAAGGAATTGCAGAAAAAGGCGGTCGAGCAGGGTCTAGGGGACACGTTGAAGCCGAGACCGTTCCACGCGAGCGCGATCAAGTTGATAGGTTTTGATCCGACGACGGCGCAGAACGAGGGCGGGTTGATGGTCGAGAAGGGGGAAGAGGGAAGAAAACGAGTAAGTCCCGAATCGGGCCCGGGGTATTTCTGTCCTATTCGTATGAACTAACGTGGACGATTCGTCCCGATCAGCTCGAAGCCATCGCTTCTCTCCGCAGTAACGCTCGACCGGCTGCACGCCTTGGCAATATGGCAGGGATGAAGTCGAAGTCGAACGCAAGCAATCCACTCGATCGACATCGGCAGGTCCCAACACATACCGCATCGACGGAGGAGCCCATGATCGACCTGACAGATTCGGATGATGATTAGCTGACGTCCATACACTCGCTATGTCATTAAATAAGGGGTGGTCATAAATCGTTAAGATCGTCAAGATACAACAGATCATCCTCGCCCGATATTGGCAATCTAACCGAACGACTTGAGGGAGATTTGAGGCTTGGCCGCCACCGGTGCCCTTGCATTCGTGGCGTGGGTGCTCGCAACACTCTGTCGAATAGAAGTCTCGAGGCGGTCTCGCTGCTCGGGCTCGAGCGTGTTGGCAGCGTCCTTGAAAGCTGTAGGTGCTTGTCCCGCAAGCGCTAAGAGATGGCGGACCGCCAGGTTGTGTATCGGGTTCGCTTGATCCGGGGTCAATAGCACGATCAGACTCGGGACGAGAACCATATAGACTCGAGGTTCTAGTATTTGACAACTCAGTGACTGCACAAGAAGCTGGTGTGAATAAGATAGGCAACTCACTCGAATCATCATCGAATGTTGCGACAAAAGAGACAAGTATCTTGATGACCTCGTCGGTAGTTGCGATTAGCGGGTCGTCCGCCTGCACAGTTTCGGCTACGGTGGCTGCAGAGGCGAGGAATTGCACCAGTTCAGGAACGATCTGTGAGACGCCTAGTTGTAACGCCGTATTGCCCCGGTTGGCGGATTGAAGCAACGCCCTCGCACATTGCATCGCAACAAGACCGATCTAGTATGAAAATGGGTGATGGCGTGTTAGCATTATTGGATATATAGCTGAACCGGAAAGCATATCAAGATTACCTGTCCTCCAGCCTTGACGCGTTGACCGATAGTATAGCAAGCCTGCTCGACGACATCTTGGCTGACCTTGACCGATGCGCCGAGATTGGTCAAAACTAGGACCACAAGAAGCATGTTGTTCTTCGACTTGATGACCGCCGCGGGACCTTCGCGTCCTCTGCCATGGCGAGCAGCAAGATTAGCAAAGCACAAGCCCTGAATGCAGCCAGTAACTAACCGGACATCATCTAGGTTCGACAGCGCAGCGGAAAGAACGCTGTGAATTGCCTTGCCGAGCATTTCTAGCTGTGGGCTATATGTGGAGCCGGCGTCAAGCAGCATCTTGAATGCGGGCAACGTCGGACCCGCTACATCTTGCTCATTGCTTTCATCTCGCAGCAGATCTATGATCGAGAAATTATGAGACGGGTTGGAGAAGTTGCGCAGTGACCTGGAACCTACCGGTGTATAGCTGTATCCCAACAAGGAAAGCATGGAATCTAGTCCCCGCATCCAGTGCGGCGATAGCCGAGGTAAAGGCCTGGAATCCCGTTGAAAGCATTTGAATCTTGTCAACTAATGCGTCCGAGGGCAAGACTGCGAAACCGTGCCGAACCACAACGATGAGCGTCAGCCATTGACGTTCCGCCAACAACGAGGACTGTCTGCTTACAATTACTTGGCGCCTCGGCAGTGCCCACGCTGACCCGTAAAGTGTACGTGATCACGGCTACGACCCGTCTGATTTGGTCTTGATCTCCAGATGTGCCTCGGCTGCAAGCGAATCCGCTCATTATCTGCATCATCTCTGTTCGTAGAGCAGCCCCTTCTCCTATGGCAATGCGGTAACAAAGCGTGCATAACTCGTCGAAGATGGAGCTCGAGAACAGAGCCGCGCCAGAGTAGATGGGTTTCACGAGCGTTTGAAGCGCCTTGGCCGCGGCGATAGACTCTAGTTTTGCTGACGGGTTACCAAAGGAACGAGAAATCGTCTCGAAAGCTAGCCCATACACCACGAAGAAGTTCGGCAGTGGTTCCGGACGAATGGTGGAGACGGTCACGTCCGAGCCTTGCTCTCGAGCCTGATGATATCCGAAAGCTTCCAGTACGGATTCATCAATATGGACTTTCATGGCCAATGCCAAGGCTTCCAGGATGACGGTAGCAGACTTTTTGTAGTACTGAAGACAAGGACATCATCAGTTCGGCTCAGGCTATCAGAAGGGTAAATCCACCTACGGGCAATAGCGTTTCTCTGCCAAGACCCGATTGAGCGAGGTCCATGCCTCCAGAGGACAATCCCGATCCGGCTTCTGGATCTACCCGTAGTAGAGCATAGTCTTTGAGCGTACCCACCCATAGACGGTTCAACATTGCTTGATGCGGCTGAACTACGTCTCGCAGGAACGTCTGGGTTTCGCTCGAGACTCGCAACTGAGCCCAGGCGGTTAGAGCAGCTAGTTTGAGGGTTACCGCGGCATTCGATGAGAGGTTCTCAACATCCCCAAGCGGTTCGGTTGTTCCTTCTGTAAAAGCAAGCATTATACGAGCATGAGTCTAAGCGCCTCGCAGACCGGGCCACGCTTAGATACTGACCGCTACATCGCATGAGCGCCCCTGTCAAAAGCTTCAGGATCCGGCCCATACGAGATACTTCACGTACGACGCCCGATCCGATGAACACCGCACAAACGTCGATCGCGCTGGCCAAGACTTCTGGGGCAGAATCAGTCCCGAAGCTCGGTGTCAAGGCTGCAGCAATCGGTGCCTGATGCTGTTCGAGCAACAGAGCTTGAGGAAAATCTGGGTCGGGGCTTTGGGCGAAATTCTGTGCGGACAGGTCAGAGACACTTCAAAGAGCGCGGTTATTGTCTGAGACGGACTTACGACAACGACATCCTGCAACACTTGCAACCCCTGCAGGCGGACTTCAGAAGTGCTCGCGGTCGACGCAGCAAACGCCATCTTAATCAAATCGGACAATCGGGCTACGAGGAGTAGCTCGACTGGTAGACCGGATTGCCGAGCCGCCACAATGTCAAAATGTTCCCGCCTGCCTGAGGCGATTACTGCTGCGACCACGGCGTGTACACATTCCAACGCAAATAGCTGGGTTCGCCATCTGGCTGGCGCAGCAGCCTCGAGCGCTGAAGTGCCCGATCCCAACGATTGACCCTCATCATCCTGGAAACCGGTGAGAACAGATTTCGTGATGTCCTGCTTCGGAGCGGTCGTGCTCTTGTTGATGATCCGTTGGCAGAGCGCGATCCACCCTGCAGGCATACTTGCGGACGTCTGCTGGATCCAAGATAAGATAATCTGTCGAACCCCATCGATGGTTGGGTCTTCGTCAAGCAGACCAAACAATATCTCTACCAACCGGTTGCCTCCCAATTTTGACATCAACGCAGCATCCCGCTGGACGACCTGATAGAGAGCGGTGATGGTGGCAATACGTAGCGGTCCATGACCAGCTTCCAAGTGGGCTTGGAAAGTTGTTACGAGTTGCGCGGTGTCCACGGCATTTGGCGCAAACATCAGTAGCTGTTGTGTGCAGCGAATGGCTTCGACCGCGAGGCCGTCTTGACGGTCTTCGCCAAACTCTTTGATGAGCATCAAGCTAGTCTCTTGGGTCGGCGTCTTGTCTTGCATTTCAGGTCCGATCACGCCAATCAAGGCATGAAGCAAGCGACACATTGCTGGGTACGCGGGCAGATCTCCCCGCATATTGGCACTGCCTACTGATCCACCGTCCGGCTCATGGGTCTCGGCCATGTACGAAGTCGCGATCATGTCCATGGTTTGATTCACGAAGGGCGAGTATGCCAGACTGGCAAAGTCGACGATGCGACTCAAAGCGCGAAGAGACCAATAGTGCACCACCGGGTGAGGATCGGTCGATAACGAGGAAAGCACGTTGACTAAGGTCTTCAGCAAGGTACCGGCAGATAATCCACCGATCCGCTCGTAGACGCAGGACAACGCTAAGGCGCATCCGGCTCGACTCTCCGGTACTCGGTTCTGAACCAGTTGGTCCACCAGCCATTGCGTCTGGTTGTTTACATATGATCCGCCGGCTATTCCGATGAGGCTGCCGAAAGCGGAACCCGCAGCCTCTCGTATCGGCTCTTCCCGGTCAACGACAGCATCTTGCAGGAGTGCCCGCAGATTAACGAGGACGCCAGTATCGGACATGTTGTCCCTGGACTTTCTGGTGGCAAAACGTTCACCGTGAGCCAGGGCGGACTTCAGCGACATGATGATATTGTAATGGACCGCCTGTTTCCTGCCTGGACTCCGGTCGAGCTTGGGACTTCTCAGGTGATTTGTCATCAGCGTTGTCGCTTGCATCAACGTCTCTGAGTTTTGATGAATGAGCAAGACCTCGAACAGCTCTAGCGCGGCGTCGACTACGCCTGTGGCGGCGGGAACAGCCGTCATCGTTGCGTTGGTGTCGCTCGAAGATCGATATAAGACGGACAACCGGTCGTTCTCGAGCATTGGAAGGACCGGCTTGGTGAGCTGCAGAAAGAAGAGGAAAATGGTTCAAATCACGATCCATTACGCTGCATGCAAATTCAAGCCTTACCAGATTTTGTAGCCGCTGTTCTACGAGATCTCGATTCAAGGTCTCTTTCCGGGTGAATGCCTCACGCTGCCCTGCTGTTGCGTCGGCCGAGCAAATGCCAAATCCGTACCCATCTGAGGTGGACCATACATCGGTAAAAGGGCCAATTGCTGCGTGATTCGTCGTTTGCGGTTGAGTGCCCGGAAGACCACTAACGTCGGGATCAGCAAGAATGCCGACAGCAGCCTGGACCAGTGCCGGCTGGACCCCCTCTGTCGCACTCGAATTGCCTAGCGTTCGGAAACATTGGAGCACGCGTCGTCTCAGTTCGTGTTCCCGAGTGGCCAGCGTCATGGCGGATCGAGTCGCGCCCACAGGGACATTTGGGTTTTGTTGTTGTTCTCGCAGATAGTCGCTGTAAGCTGTCGCGAACCCATTGACAAAGTTGAGAGTGTTTGTCAACAGCGAAGTCAATCTCCTCGCAACGTCCAAGGTGGTCAACTCCTTGTTGTTCTGCAGGAACGTCAGAATGGCTGACAACGTATACTCGCGAACGTCCAGAAGGAAGGCCCATTCCTTTTCACCTCGTTCCCCCACCGACGTATCTTTGCTTGTCGGTTTGGGCAAGGAGTTTCGCCAGAGAACTAGTAACTGAGGCAGATGAGAAGCGACAAACGTAGGTCCGAGCGTCATCAAACCGCTCATCAGAGTCCATGCGACGTGCACTTCCACCTCGGCGACCTTGAAATCGTGTTCGCCTGAACGCTTGAGCAGTTGTACAGCAGTGTCCAGAACCCTAGTGCTGATATCGTGCGACACGTAGAGTGGTCGATCGGGAATGACCGCCATCAGCGCCCCAATAGCGGTGGCTTTTCCGTTTGCCCGAGCGGACAACTCTGCCGGTGCCGATGGATTTCCCATCAATACTATATCCTTGTCGAGCGCCTCGACCAAGGCATTCAAGACTTTGGGTAATCGTAACGGCGTCGTGGCGCAGTAGACCCGGAGACACCACGCCGAATGTAACCGAACGGATTCGCGCGGATGGGACAACAGCCTGAGCAGCGGTTCCTGCACAGCATCCTGGATGACAGGCGCAGCGGTACCCAATTGGCGTAGAAGCTCTGCCAGTTCCCTGAGGATAACCAAGAGAACCATTTCGCTCGGTTCCGTTGCACCAGGCAAGACCGCCGGCCATCTCTTCATGTACTTGTCGGCAATCTCTCTCACGGCCATACCCTGACCTTGCTCCGACAGTGATCGAACTGCAATGACCTCTCGCAAGACCAATCCGACCATCTCCCTCACTGTCGCAGCTTCGTGTGATGTCGTCTTGTTTCTCGCCTGATCAACGACCTCGACGATGAAATGCTCAAGGATCTCGGCATACCGTGCTTCTACGTAGTTCGAGCCCAGACGCTCAAGCAAGGTCGCGTAAATATCAAAGATGGCGTTCCTCGTTCTCCTTGCCGGGGTAGGTGATCGGTTGAAATGCGCCGAAAGGATTTTGAGCATGGCTTGCGGGGTGAGCAGGGATGTGGTGACTTCGGCTGCAGCCGAAGTGACGATCGTGATCGGATCCTCGTTGTCATCCCCGGCAGGTCCGGCTTTTTTGCCCTTCTTATCCGGAGGTGGTGCTACGACCGATGAAGCGTCCTGGGTGAAAGCCAGTAGGTGTGCAACGAGCTTGGACATGGCCCTCTTTGTCGGATGATCCGTCTTGTCAAGCGCTTTAACGACGAGCGTGATGATGTTTTCGATATCGGACAAGGTGGTGATGACGCTCGTGCACTCTCGCAACGCTGCAAGAGCCTCGGCACACGTCCTTTGTACCGCGAGCGCATTGTCACTGAGCCCGTTCTTGAGGTATCGAAGCAGGTCTTTGGCGATCGGATCGGGTACGGCTCGTCCAGCAGAAGAGAGCGATTTTGTCAACGCCGAGACCGCCTGCACTCGAAGCAATACAGGCTATGAAGACATCTTCGTTAGTGCCCGGTCCATTCGGCTCGACGTTTGCAGCGGATGATAGGGGCTCTCACCTGCGAAGTCGCTCGTACAATCTTGACCACCGTAACCGCAATCTCCGACATCAAGGACATCATCTGACGAACAGTATCAAACTGTGTGAGTATCCTGAAACTTGATCGCAGTAGGATGTTGGGATAAAGACTTACGTTCGCCCCGTGAGCTTTCATGACTTCTCCGATCACATACCAACATGCCCTGCAGTTCCCGAAGATCAGCTTCATACCTCTCCTGCTGCTTCATCTGCTCCTTTGACTTACACCCTATACGTGCTGTCCGTACCTCCCTTCAAGACATTCCCATTGTTATCTACCACGACCTTCAACAGCTCCTGTACAAGGTCGAAGAGCGTCCGAGATTCTATCCGTCGATGTAGCTTGATTATTGACCTCGCTATTATCTGACGGGCGGGTCGACCGGGTTTAGGCAATGACGAAGTCGTTTGAGCCGAGTAGACGAGGAGTTTGGTGAATGTGCTGTGAAGCGAGTCGACAGAGCTTTGGAGATGGGCCTAAGGAAGGTAAAACGAGCGAGGTGCAACTGTCAGAGCTGCTTCCTTCCCTAGGTAACGGCCGAGCCGGCTCACCTCCGCGACATGATCGATAGCCCGTTCAACATCTTTCAGCCACAGCAAAAGCTTGCCCTCGGAACCTGGAGCTTTGAATCGGTTCTTAGACGCAAGGTTGAGGGTAAGTTGAGGCTGGCAAAAGGTAACGTCCAGAACACCGGTCGGCATACCTCGTCAAAGTTGAAGCTGGCGGTTGATGGGTCGTCCGCTTCTCCAGACATCTTTTGAGACAAGGAGCAACGCGATGATTGGTTATTGAGCAGGTGAAAGTCGTCAGGCTCAGTCCAAACATGCGAGATTTAAAGGTCTTGATAGTTGGCTGTCGGAGAACCCGTCAACGAGCGGAAACGCTGATATCGCTGGGAACCTCCTGATCGCGGGGTCACCGCAGTTACGGCATCTCTATCGCTGCCGCGTCGCCCCTTGTTTGATCGTCCAGGTGAAACACACGGTCGAGGGCAACGCCGCCTCGACCTCACTTTGCATGAACAGGAATACATCTTATGACTGGCAGGGGCCGAGGTGAGCTCCATCAGCATCGCACGTAGCTGTGTATACAAGTCAGGTCGCCCGACTCGCTACCAAAACCGACTTCCAGGCTAACAAGGCGACCTTGTCGAATCAAGCGGTCGCCCGCTCATCATGACAAGTATCAAGTTGCCACGAAAGTTCAAGCTTACGGCTGGACTTGCTCTTGTGGCCTATAACGATAAGATCCGAAATATCGGACATAGCCCGGACCAAACCTGACACGTTCGGATCTTGTTTCGGGTAGAACACGCAACCCGAATACAGCCTGAATGCAGCCATGACGAAATAGGATAAGAGGCTGTGAGTCGCCTCCGCACGGCATACATTCACTGTCGATTGTTCAAACAGCGGATTCGCAAATCCTATAGGCAGTCTAGTCGCCGGGACACTATTTTTACCAGGTTATAACGTTGTAATCGATTTCAATCATATATGCTAGGTGCTGGCTCCGCCCTCGTACAGCTCTGGACTGTTAAAGGCATGACAACACATACATCATGTGTTACTACTGGATCCCTAGACATACACAGCGAGAACAAGCGCTCTCCCGTACAGATCCACAAAGCCCATCGACTTATCGGACGCTCGAACCCCCGAAACCCGTGGCTCGTCTCATATCTCCCAGCCCCCCAGTACCACTGTCCGCCCGAGCCGCTGCCATCCGACTGGATTCTCCACGTCGTCTGGGACCATCGTCGGTCTGCCAATCGAGTGGTGCTCCCGTCCTGAACCGATCCCACTCGGTCTCGGTGTTGCGATCCCGACCGGCCCCGCCGGACAAGAGGTAGGCCGCAGCGCCTCCCAGAGCTGCGCCGGTCAGAAAGTTAGTCGACGACGACGACGAAGCTGAGGCTGTAGTCGGGTCAACCGGACGGGCCGGATCTTTCGTGTATGGTGGAGGCGGAACACCGCCATTGAAACCTGTTCCGCCACCACCGGGGCCTCCGGGGCCACCATCGTGCCCACCACCACCACCTCCAGGCCAGAAATTCGCAAGCGGTCGAGGAGCGTACGGTGGAGCGTGTCGCTGTAAACAAGATCTGACGATCGAGTAGATGATGGCGAAAGCCATTCCAAAGAACGCCAAAGAGAACAATAAGGCGGCTAAACAGAGAGGCGGACGTGATTGGTATCAGTGTCGCACACGAACCTTAGGAGAACAAGATCCATGTTGCTCACGCCAATCCAGGTTTTGTCCCCTTGAAAAATCGTACAATCCACCTTCATCCAACCGGCGGTCTACTTGGATCAGATTGTATTCCAATCCACAAGATCCTGAACGACCCGAACAGAGCGTCAATTACGGCGAGACTGGTATTGTACGCAATGATATCTGAGCTCACCCTTGACGACAAATTTGTCTCCCGGTCGGCTCCACCCTTCACATCCCACATGAACCTCGCCGAGTCTCAGGCTCGAGGGAAGGTCGGTGTCACACTGGCGTGGAGAGTAGTCTGTCTTCAGCGATTACGGAACAGTATAAGTTTGATTACAGCCGACTCACCTTCCATTGCATGTCCCCACTCCCATCGTCTCCCATGCTCGTACATTGTACGACCTCGGGCTGGAACAACTCGCAGGCCTTTCCCTTGCAGGTCAATTGAGCTGTGGTCGACACCAAAGAGAAGCCACAAAACTCGCTATCAGTCCCGCATTCGATCGCTAAAGACTCTCACCCGAGCCCGCTTCTATAACTAGGCTTCGCCTCGCTTACCTATAGGTTCGTTCCGCCTAGACTTGGTCAAAGCGTCCTGATGAAAGGTGACCGTCTTGATCGAGTTCAAGCGGATCTTCTCATTTCTCGTGATACCCATGATGGGAAGGGCTTGGCGAGTAGTGGGACGGGTACCGAGTCTCCTGCGTTGCTGTCTAGTCTATGAGATGCGATGAGCAATCGAGCCGTGAGCGAGGGCTCTTTCGAGCGTACTGTAGATTGTTTTGCAAAGAATTACGTGGAAGGGTACGATTGAAGCTGGGGGGGGGGGGGTCCATTCGCAAATATAGCACTGCTCTCCTCGACCTCCACGTGACGTGGAAGCTGATCGGCTGTGACCGGCAGAATCGAGCGGGACCTTTCTTTGACACCCGAGCTTTGTGTGTCACAAAGCCAACATTTACGGATCGTGCCGCTCCTGGCGAGACTGCTGATATTCCCTCTTATCCGAGGTGGGATTGACCAAATCAATCCTGTCGAGTTAATGTCGACCTGACGTGCGCATGCAACTATGAGCCAATCACGACAACATCGCAACATCAGAGTCCAGTTGGCGGTTGCAAGGGACCCCTCTTCAAACACTCAGCCAGAAGGACGAAGCGCCGAGGACCCCAAGGATGATGAAGCAGGAAAGATCGGCCGTCGAGGAGAAAGTTTACTGACATTACGATGAGGTGCTCGAGTTCAGTGATGGGATAATTGCGCTGGTTGCCGTTCCATATAGGGGATTGAGCGGCCGTCGAGTGTCACAACATGCTGTCAAGTCTCTCCTTCTGATTTTCGGACAAGTATTCCCCTCTAACCCTATGTCAATCACACAAATCTGAGGACCAGTATCGCAAGATCGTGACCCGGTTGGGTCAAAAGAACGTAGGAGGGTCTTGGCCACTGTTCCGCTACCTTCCATCGTCATTAGCATCACAACCTGATGGAATTCATGATTGTCTCGCCGAACAGGCGCGGTTCGATGGCTGCTGATCATCGATGACCGAACAGCAGCAAGATATGCAAGATACACATTATTGGAAGGAACGATACAAATGCCGATACAGAACCAGGCATACAAAGCAGCTTCAATGATATACAGTTCAGGTCGCTCACAATGCCATCCTGGACATGAAGCCGAACAACGAATCCATGCTGACGTAGCGCCTGCCGTTCTTGTTGAGGTACGAATCGATCATGGCCTTTATCTCGGAAAAGGTCTCCCGGTTGTGCATGACAAGGGCGTTGATTTCCTCTGACGACAGAAGATGCTTATTAGCTTGAATTTTTCATTCGACAACGGCTTCTTCCTGCTCACCCGCTCGTGCCATGCCTACGCTGGCTTCGATCGCTTTGTCCACGTCAAAGAGAGAAGCGAGATAAAGCATCTGGTTGTAAAGTTGCGAGTCCGAATACTGCAACGATTGGAGAGGATATAAGCATGTGTTCCGTCACGCAAAGTATCGTTCCGGCTTACCTCTGGTCGCATCTCTCCTCGACAGCCGACCTTGGAAACACAACGACGACCATAGACGCTCATCATCCTCGTCCTGGTTTCGCAGTCGGAGCATACCAGAGTGTTCTCGTAGTACTTGTTGATATGTTCGCGGATGTGGTTTTCGACCTGGATAGCCATTCCTGCAGCCGATTGAACCCTTCCGCACTCGAAGCACTTGACGCCTTCGTTATGTATGGAGGACATCTACACATATACCCGCGGTTCAGGGCGATCCCTTGAAGAGCCAATCTACCACCTCGGGCTCACCTCCTCGATGTCTTCGGCGATACTGAACATCCGGATATCGCTGTTGCAATTTCGGCAATGCAGGACAAGCCTCTCACAATCTCGGAAACGTTCCTTGTCCGAGATCTGAGATTGGAAGGTGAAGAATTCCTTGTCGTGCGTCGAGAGGATTGCCGTCTTCTGGTAACGAGCAGGGTCGAGTCCTGGTAGATTAGGAGAAAAGGTAGATCAGCAAGATGAGGACGAAGGAGATGATACGGCTACGATCTACCTAGACATTCCGCCAATCGTGAACGGTCGGTGCCTTCGATTTCTTCGCACAAACGCTCGATAGGAGGCAATACCTGCTGAGACAGATAGAAATCGAAGTCTGATGGCAGAGGCGTGACAAGTCAGTGGCAGTCGGGACAGAATGCGTCCGTCTGGTTTTATCGCACGAACCGATCTTGAGCTCAGAGTCTTTCCGGCGGAATTCATCTGGATGAAACGCGTGATCCGCTTGGGCACTCTTGGCGCTCTTCCCGTCAGCACCGAGACAGAAAACGTAAGGGATGACTTCTCCCGCTTTAGCTGCTTGCCCCTTTTGTTTCATCCTGAGAGCAACTTGTACGTGAGGTTGGGATTTCTTATCCGTATAGTCTTCGGGATTTTTGCTCAGACGCTGTATAGAAATGCTCTTTACCGTTAGCATACGCTGGCATCGGCGACGAATATGCACGCTATATACCTTGAAAACGATCAAGTCATCTAGATCAATCTTGCCGTCTCTCAGGTCGTTACCAACGGTAGTGAGGTATTCGTGGATCTCCGTAATGGCATCCTCCGTCGCCTTCCCAGAAAGGACTTCGTCCAGTACGCGGCTGTGACGAGACGGCGATCAGTACAAGAGGACTATATTGATAGTTCACGTACCACTCACCCAGAGACCGTCTTTGACAGCTTGCAATACTCTCGACGGACCATGTCCAAACCCTTGATCTCGGTTTTGGAGGTGCCGTTCTCTGACACCTTGACTGCCGCGTATTTTTTCTTCTGCAGCAATAGAACTCGAGAGAATACCGCATCCAAGTCGATTTCGAGCAATTTGTATCGGTCGTTGACGTTGCGCTTGAATTCGTTGGCGATCTTGAGCGCTTCAGGGTATGTGGTCACGTTCGAGTTCACGAAAACGGAATCGGTGTCTCCGTAAACGACCTGTGGACCATGATCAGCTTCAACTCCCAGAGGCCCAATCGTAACTGTGACTTACGTCGAGACCGATGCCTTCCGCTACTTCTTTTGTCTGCGTGAGGGTCTCACGACCTTTGAACGTCGTCAATGCGGCCAGCGGTCTCGCATAGAACCGAGAGCCAGCGAAACCAAGACATCCGTACATCGAGTTGGCCGTCAATTTCAGAGCCTTTTGCTTGATGTCATACTATGGAGGTCAAGGTACGGTCAAGATCCGTCTTCGCAAAGCGCAAACACAAAGTCACCTACCTGCATCATCTTGATCTGGGAAGTTGAAGTGTCTTTCATAAGACTCTTGACCGTTTTCCGTCGACCGACAAGAGTCGCGATCAAACGGGGCAAGACGCCCTGACCAACTTCTGCTGAGGGTACATCGGGGATTGTATCCTCATCCTAACGACAGAGACCAGGTCAACATGCGGACAAGTTGCTGCTCCCTGAATCCTCAACTCACCGCGTTCGGATCTCGGTCGACCGTGGTGAAGTCGATATTGTACTCTTGGATGATACTGGGGTATAGCGAATTGAAGTCCATGACCATGACATAGGTATCCCATAGTCCTCGTTTGGGCTCAAAAACTAGTCCTCCCTGGTATTTATTCTTCTTCGGCTCGGCTATGATGTTGCCCTCGGCGTCAAAGGTCGGCTTCTTGGCTGCCCTGGAGGATGGTTTCCCCTCTCCTTTGTCGGGGCAGATGTACTTCAAGCGGTGGAATTCGTGCAGCAAAATGTACTCGTTGCGCTCTGCTCGCGCTCCAGTCATCGTTCGGTTCCTGTTGTATCGCGGTTAGCACGTATTACCAAGCTGGAGAAGGGTCACCTTTGCTCACCAAGAGTTACCGGCCAGGTTGGTCAACTGCTTCGTCAGTGGTAGCAGCTGCACCTTTGCTGCAATGGCCATCTGCGCAAACGCATCCATCTGCATGTGCCTGATGAAATGCAAAAGTCGGTCCGGAGACACTGCATAGCCGTCGAAGTATCCTGCCGTGTCTTCCGGATCGATGTCTTCCCGCACAAAGCCGAGCTGGGTGCTGCACATTTCCGTTAATGACCACGTCACGGAGTCGATCATTCCCTAATGCAGCAAGGATATTTCAGCCTGTCAGAATATATTTCAATGCCTTAAAACATGGCGATTTACTTACCTTGGCACCATCACCCGACAAGTCGGCAACAAGACGTCCCGCCAGAAATTTGGCGTTCCCGAAAGCCTGTTTACCGACCCGCAGTTGCGTCCGCCTGATTCGACCGATGCGCGACCAGTGGTCCGCCTTGAGTTCCTTCATCCTGGTGAGCAAGACCTCAAGGGTCGTACCCAAAAAGTCGTGCCCGACGATGACATCTGGATCCGCTCTTTGGATCTGGACTGCAGCAGGATCATTGATGCAGATCAGTCAAGTGCGATCGAAACTGCGTAAAACGAAGAACTTACCAAGAGTGAGGTTAAGGACCTCCCTCTCTGATCTGACGGTCTTGATCTGCTGCTTAGGGGCTCTTGCTTCGAAGTACGGCGGGAATTTCTCTCCCAGAGGTCGCATGACAGTCTGCGGTACATGCCGAAGTTTCTCGACAGGAGTGGGATCATCGATATTGTCTATGGGCGCCCATATCAGCCAAGTGCTTGGGTGATCCTATCATTTTGACTTACAATCTTCCCATACAGCCGTGCTGATAGCTAGCAGCTCTTGCGTGTTCATGCTGTGGTTAATGATAGTCCGGGCATTGATGCTCATCACAGTCAAAGGTGGAATTTCTTTGGGTGCAGATTCGTCTGAATCTAGGAAAATGTTCACATTCTTGGGGTCCTTGACGCGAACTTCTAGTCGACACCAGGTTGCCTATCATGAATCCGGTTTGAGTCAAGCTTTCGTAAAGATAAGCTTCAATCTTTGCACTTCACTCACGGGTTTTTGGGTAACAGGCAGACAACCTTGGATATCCAGCCAACAGGGACCCATGATTTTTCGCTTGATGACCAACATCTCAAAGGCACTAGTGTTTGTACCGAAGACCTTGCTGAATGTGGCTCCGCTCAGGTCACCCGGTAACTGTGGTTCTACATGTTTGTCCGATGTTGCCAGTCTTTAGTAAGAAACCAATGAAAAGCTCGCTCATCATTCACTCACGATCAAAGCCATAGACCACCTTGTACCAGTCGGCTTCGCCCCGTGGTACATTCGGTTGTTCGAAAGCGTACTTCCGGATGACCTTTTTCATCCCGAACCCGCCTTCAACACCATGCTTCCTTCGTAGAGTATCGAATTCTCGGTGAACGTCCATAACCGAGACCTCTTGATCCGTTTCGAACTCTTCGTCTGCGGCGTTCTGACATCAGCTCAACGGCATGGCTGACACGCGCTACCTCGTCGAAACTCACCTAGTCTTCGCTCGCGAGGCAAGATGAAGAGATTTCTCTGTATTCCGGTAACGGTGACGCAACAGCTGACGTACTTTTCCATGCTCCGGTCGAATACCTTTCCCAGAAGGTGTACCACACCATCTTGCTCGAGATAGTCGAGCCAGTAGAATCGCAGCCTTCTTTCCGTCTCGGCATCTTCCTGGATTCCAGACTTGCGTTTGCTGCGGCGCTCCTGTCTTGCCTTGATTGAGCTGTCAGAATGCTCGCCGTCGCTGGCAGTATCCATTCCAGACGAATCTTCGGTGTCTAATGGCTCGAAAGCGTTCACACGCAGACTGGGAATGTACTTCTTCTGGGCAGCAGCGGTAACCGTGAAGGGTGATCCGAGGGAATCATCGTTCAATGACCCCGTATTGAGCGTTTCTTGGAGACGCAGCCAGTTCTGTCTCTCGGCTACTCCTTTAGAAGCCGAACCAGCTGGCTTTGCTGCTGGAACGCTTTCTGCTTGGGTCTCCGCCGCGAGAAGTTCTGCCTTGATTCGAGCTTGTTTCTCTACCTCCACCTTTGTCGACATGGCAGACCCGTTCACCATGGCCCGTCTGGTCTTTGTGGGAGCGGCCTTTGGAGTAGCATCGCCGGTCTTGTTGGCTCCGATGGCGGCCATGAGCCTATCCCTAGCTTTGCTCTGATTCGCCTTGGCCGCAATGGCTCGATCAGAACGAACCAAAAAGTCCTCGTCGTCGTCATCGTCATCATCGCCATTCTCTTCGGCCTTGACGACCCCGTTTACCCCAGCATCGAAGACATCGTCCATGTCCATGTCGTTTGCGAACGATACCCCTTTCCGAGCATTCCTAGGGGTCTCGACATCTTCGGCCTTGACATTGAGACGAGGCTTCTTCGCGCTATCGCTTGTCCGCATCTCCCAGAGACCGATATCTCGTCCCTCCTGACTATCTCCAATAGATCTGCCCCTGAAAAGAGGCCCGTCACTAGGTAGCTCGAAGCCATCAGACGATGGGTTCGTCAATGACCCGCTGTCATACGCATCGCCGGGCGAAGTCTTTCTCTTCCTTCGGAGTCCACTTTGAACTGGTGATGATGAAGCGATGTGTTGGGAAGAGGAATCGACCGTGCCGAGAAGGTTGGCCATAAAGTCATTCTCCGAGTCTTCCGTAACTTGTGGACGGTAAGCAGAGGGTTTTGAAGGTGGTGGGGGTTTCGGTTTGGCTGTGCGTGTCGGTTTCTTTTTGCTCGCTAATCCGTCAAAAGGCTTGTCCTTAGATGATTGCCTTACTCGCTATACGGGCACAGATGATACTCACTCCGTTTCGACGAACCGTCATCCTCCTCTTCCGACTCTTCTTCGCTTTCATTCCGACCGTTCTCCCACACGTCCATTCCGTTATCTGCGTAACCGTAGCCTTCATCGTCTTCGACGAAGTCATCCCTGGCTAAGCGTTCTCCGACGATATTCTTGTATTGCTCCTCGCTGACTTCATCATATAGATCGGCATCCTCGGGCTACAAGAACGAATTATGATCCTGTTCAGTAACGTCTCTTCTCCACTTAGCCTCCCTCTTCTCACCTGCCATTGCTTCAGCCGAGACCCTCCGGCTCTCACTGCACGAAGAGCTTGCAATTTGTCCGCTTTGCTTTTCCCACTCATCCTGGTTCAAGGTCTTAGATTCAGATTCGATATCACGTATCAACAGCCTGGGTGAACAGCATTGCCGATGTTGTTGAATGTAGAGATGCTTCGATCCCAAATCACACCTTAGGAGAGCTCTTGCGCTCTTGAACGCGTCGACGAGCACGACGCGTTCAGCGAAGGGGCGACGCGAAATGAACGCGTCTAAATGGGCTGCTGTTTCACTTTGATCTCCGCTCTAGCCGCTCTCGGGACTTCCCCACGATGTAATCCGTCCAGAGCAAGGCATGCGCCAAGATACTCACATCAAGCATTTGACCTCGAAAACAGATGCATTGTCCATGTACTACAGGCAGCACTCAGCGAGGCGCAAATGAGGAGGACATGCGAAGTGTGGGTTTCAGATTGGCTTATGCAATATGCATTGGATTGAGCCACATCATCCGGTATCTCTTGACAGCTGCTCCCTCAGACCGACATCTAGGAAGGCCGCCTAATCCATTCTCGTCTAGAGCGCACCGAGACAACTTCCAGGAGCAAGGGACAAGCGTCAGCTGGGAAGATGCTCTGGTGACATAAAAGCGGAGGGTATTTCCATCTCGACGCGCCTTCTAGATTGTCGGATGTCGTTCTGAGTGGCGCTTCAAGCTTCAAACACGATCTTATCGACAGAAGCTTCAGGACATCTGTCTTCCTATATACTCATAGCCGGAAGTGTTGTATCTCAGACCGTTGATGATCGTGTCGAAAAGCAAGATGGGAAGATTGGGGCCATAGACGGTCATCTGATGGTTCGGTGGGCCTGGTCACGAAAGGTCTCGAGTAGTCTGACGAGGCCAGGCCTCGTGCTTTCATTTCTGCTTGGCTGATTGCAGTCCGGCCTTGATAGCTCGAGATTTCTGGATCAAAAAATGAAGACTCGGTATCGACCCTCTCCAGGGATTCCCGATGCTTGACGATAGTCCTTTTGCAGTGAATGGTCACAAACACGCCCTGATGGTGCCATTAGCGTTCAGCGGGTCAACAACAGCTTCCTTTAAGCAAGGACATGCTCATTCGACGGAAATCTCACGAGAGAGATCAGATTTGCTTTCAGGTCCACCGAAATCTAGGCTAGAGTCCGACCGATCGACTTTCGATGGCGGACATGATACGTCAGTTGTGTTATGGTATTACATTTGCAAGAGGCGTTCGATAGACGCTTTTCATGAAGCACAAAGTAATGAACGATCGAATAGCTGAGCCTTTCCGTCTGCCGCCGCGTAAACCTGACATCGACATCCTCTCATGTCATCGGTATCCTTCGCCAAGTCGCCGTGATGAGCTTAAGACCAGTAACCTCCCTGCTGGCCTCCACGGTACTGAGCGTATTGAGCCCAGTCGTTTTGCTGAGGGTACCCGGTAGAGTAGCCGTAGCTAGGGAATTGCTGCTGGGCAGCACCCAACTGCTGTTGCTGTTGCTGTTGTTGTTGTTGTTGCTGCTGCTGTTGTTGTTGTTGCTGCTGTTGGTTGGGCATCGACTGAGTACCGGTAGCCGAGTTGGTGCGGCCGATCCCGCTCACGCCAGTCTTGTAGGGATCTTCCTCAGCCGCCTGACCAGGGCGAGTTGAAGCAGCAGCGCCAGGAAGAGAGGTGGGGGGAGTTGGGGTGCCAAGGTAGTTTTGCGAGGCAAACTGCGATTGATAGCCGAAAGGCTGCTGTTGCTGGGTCGCCTTGTTGTCGCCGTACCTTGCCAAGTAAGACGAGTCGTCGTAGGTAGAGGTTTGACCGCCATAGTGACCCTGTGCAGTCGCGGTGCTGCCGGGCTTGCTGCTAGCGGCCTGGGCCATCAAGGGGCCGGAAGAAGCTGCAGGGGCCGGCTGGTATGGACCTCGAGCGGCCTGAGGCATGGGATAATACGACTGGTAACCGGGAGTAGGAGCTTGACCGTCTGCGAGAGAGAAAAGAAAAGGCGATAGGTAAGTCTAGCTGTCTCGACAAAAAAGGGCACAACGGCACGACCTACACTGGAAGTACGGGTTGTAGGGAGCATAGTATCCGCTCATCCCGGCGCCGCCATAGTAGCCACTAGGAACCTGCTGTTGAGGTTGAGCAGCGGGAGACGCCAATCCGGATGTCTGGGCAGACAAGGGCTGAGGTGTGGCCTGCTTGGGCGCTTCTTGACTGGCTTGACGAGGGTATCCACTGGCAGCGTACGAGTCGTACAATGACTGTTGCGACTGGTTAGAAGACGAATTAATTTAACGAACGTCAGATCGGATCGGTCTGTCAAACAAAGCAGGCGCGGCATACTCGTTGTGATTCCGTGGAGTAGATATCCGGTGTCGTGGCGTGCTGAGGAGGTTGCGCCTGGTGAACCTGAGGCTGAGCGTAGCCATAAGCAGCCTGTGGTCCGAAGTTGCCGTAAGCCGACTGCTGTTGAGATGGCTGCTGCTGCTGCTGCTGTTGCTGCTGCTGAGCCTGCGACTGGCCATAAGCGTCTTGGTAACGCGACTGGTAGTCGTTTGGCTGCTGTTGCTGTTGGTAGTAACCCTGCTGGCTGGAGCCCTGTTGCTCGTTCGATGCGACTGCCTGCGACTCCTTGACAACCGGAGATGCCGAAGCGGTCTGCTGGGGCTGTTGTTGCTGCTGCTGAGGAGCCGACTGTTGGTAGTATTGCTGGGGCAAGGGCTGTTGAGCCTGGGACTGGCCATATTGACCGTATCCCTGGAAGGGGTAGTATCCCGACGTGGCACCGTAAGCCGACTGCTGGGCGGCGGCTACAGCAGGCGAAGCCATCTGCGCCGATTGAACAGGCTGGGAGGTCGGTGGTTGTTGAGCAACAATAGCCGGCTGGCTCGAAGTGGGAATAGCCTGAGCTTGTTCGCGCTGCTGCTCCTGTACAACGGGTTCTGATTGCTGCTGTACTGGAGCCTCCTGGGCCGGTTCGGCTTGCCTGGAGAGGAAAAGCGTCAAGAGAGACGATGTTAGATCGAAACAATAACGGAAACAGATGATACTACACTTGCTCTTGCTCATCGGCATCAGCGTTACCAAAGTTCAAGCTTCCGAACTTCATGTCGAGGCTAGAGCTGGCAGCTCCGGATCCAGGCAACATGACCGCCTGTCCATCCGTCTTGTATCGAAGAGCGGCACGCGAGTTGGTCCTGACGGGCGCGATAGCGGCTTTGACGGCAGGGTTGAATCCAGGAGGTCCAGCATACGAGTCAGAAGGCTTGCTGGCTTCAGGCACGGCGGGAGCGGATGACTCCTTGACTTGAGTCGTCTGTTCCCAAGCAGAAGGAGGGGCTTGCACGCTAGCCCAAGGGTCCTTCATAGGCTCAGCGGCAGCGACCTCGGGCTCCTGAAGGGGATCTTCTTGCGTTTGGGCAGGCTCTGGCTCTTGAATTTGTACGGGTTCTAGCTCTTCTGACTGATCCTCGACGATTTCGGGCTGATCCATCTGCTGGGAGGACAAGTCGAGCTCTTCCTGCTTGACTTCCTCGACGGGCTCGGGTTCGGATTCTTCTTGCTGAGTGGCTTCAGGAGCAGCGGGGGCTTCGGGTTCAGAAGCTTGAGGTTCGGGAACAGCTGCAGGAGCAGCCTGGGGAGGGGGCGCAGGCTTAGGGGCAGGTGCAGGAGGCGGCCTATGTCGACGAAGGGCAAGATGAGATGTAAGCTTTCTCGGCATTGTCGGTTCGACAGCCTCTTATCGCCACATCGGCGCGGGAGAAGATATGATACGTACTTGGCGATCTGAGCCCAACTGAGCTTGGCTCCCTTGGGAATCGTGGTGGCAGCCTTCTTGGGAACGGGTGGTACATCCCCGATCGCAGACGGTGCGTCTCCCCAACCGCCGGCCGACTCTAACGCGGCATCCGTCTCGGCCTTTGTAGGTGCATCTCCCCAGCCGGCAGAAGCTGCGAATTCCTCGTTGTTCGAGGTCTTGGGGGCGGAAGTCTCTTCCTGAGCTACAGGCCAAGCGTCTTCCGTGGTTACGGCAACCTCGCTAGAAGGAGCCTCTCCGGATGTGGATCCCCATGCGGATGTTGAATGCTCTGCCAAAATGTCGCTAGGAAGACCGTTGGCGTCTCGTCCACCACGGAAACCGCCGCGACCGCCTCGAGAACCTCCTCTACCACCTCGCACGGTACCTCGGAAAGAGTCTGTAAGGACACATACAGTCAGTCCGGCGGACAGGACAGCACTCTCGTTTCAACTCGACTCACCACTTCCTCCACGACCACCTCGGCTGCCTCCTCGTCCACCTCTGAAACCACCTCGACCCGAAAACCCGGTCGAGTCACCCGCAGCGAAACCACCCGAATCGGCGTTCCCGTTGGTGTGACCGTTCGGCTTCGAGGCTGCGGATTTCTTTTCTTTCTTTCGCGAAGCGGTAGTGAACTTGGTCGCTCGGCCTGAAGAACAGAGCAAAGGATGGACATGATCGACGCGAGAAGTATCGTTCCTAGTCAGCATGTTGCCTGATTTATCTCGGAACGTGAAAGTCAAGTCGGTGACTCACCGTCCGTGATCAATACAGCTGCTTCCTCTGCATTTCCCTTGGTGTCTGCAAGTACTGATGCTAGAGCATCCTCATCCCAATCGGGGAATAGCGGAGATAGCATCTGTAGCTGCGACGCATATTTCGAGGTAGGGTTCGACATCTTGACTCGTCCGTTTGATCTCTTGTACGCGATCGATCGGTACGTGTTCTTGACGAGATGGAAGAATTGATGAACACAGCCAAAGATGCGGAGAGGTGGTGTTTCGAAGACGACTTTAAGATGTCACTCGAAAGGTAACCGAGTTCCAGGTGTGATCGAGTTGCGCGTACGCTCGGGCGGTTGACGTGTAGATGACCTCGCGAAGCGTTTAGTTTAGGTTCCAACGGGACGATTCAGGCGTTTTTGTCAGAAGACTGCTATTTGTTTCGGAGGGGGAGAATAGGCGAAGGGGGTTGTAGAGATCAAGACTGTGCACTACTGGACGTGACGTTGCGAGTTCGATACGAGGCTGAACCCCGAACGGTAACCCTGATCCGGCTGTCGTCACCGCGGGACGTGCTCGCTGGCTGTGAGCTAGTGAAAAGATCGACTTGTGCCAACCAGAAGCGCCGTCGATCGCTGCCGTAAGCGCGCTTGTTGATCAGGTCGCATTATCAGCACGAGCTAGGTTCATCAGACATCACAAGGGTGATGAGCATGCAGCATGAGATGCATAAGCAGGCAATGGTGTACCTTGCACTTGTATCTTCTCGACGGCTAGAACTCAAAGCAGTGCAGCGAAATTTCGACACTGCGACATGATCGGTCGAATCCTGGCATTCGTGGCAACGTGCCTTCTTCTGCACGGTGAGCTCACTGACCTCGACCTGTACACCGCAACAACGAGTACTGATCCTGTTTGTCTATAGCGGCTTATTCGACGTATGAGCGTACGTCTGACGGATAGTCAGCTTGCGATTCTCCGATAATATACTGCAACGGTCTAAAGTTCCCGCATACTCAGATCTGTCCATCTTGAAGGCGATGGGCAAGCCAGAAAACCACATTCCCACTTCGGTAAGCTGCAATTCTCATTCGACTAACTTGTAATAACTTGCTCAAGTCATCGGATTGTTCGTGCCGATACGACCTGTAGATCATTCTGGAAGCCGTCCTCTCGTTTTTCATCTTTGTGCCTGGAGTCGTCTTGGCATCAGGACCTTTGGAAGACGTGACATGGCGAGGAGAAATGGCAAGACGGTCAGTACAGCCGCAACGAGACAATCCTGCTTCAAAGTATGAGCTCATATGCTGTCGCTTCGATATAGATCGCAAGAGGATGTGCATTCGAGGATGTCTTTCTTACCGTTCGGACCGGCTGCACCGAAGCCCGTCAGATAGAGCTGTTGCGATCGAATTCGGCGAACCGTCACCTTCCCGATGATGTGTGTAGATGTGTATGGTTGTACAACAGGATGCGTGAGCTAGAAGCTCCGCCAGTACATCGTTGCGTGTCGTTCCATAAATGGGTTCCCCGTCTAGAATTCTCGAGTCCAACCTGGACCCGCTCGGCATGGTGTAACTCCGCCATTCTCCCCGCCTAGTATTCCCTCAACAACGTCTTCAATCCCTTCCGTACCCATCGCTTCGTCCTCTTGTCATAAACCCCATCCCGATCCGCCCGCGAGATCCCACTCCAACGCTGTCGATCGTCGTGAATCCAGTCTTGCACCCGGATGTTGGGAGGGAGATCCGATCCGAGGGCCAGGAGAGCTTTGGCGGGTTCCGGTCTACGTCTGTAGAGCGAGGCCGATGAGGGTACGCCTTGTAGGGGACGGATGAGATTCGTAGGGATATGACGGATGGAGACCGGTCGGATAGGCATGATGCTGGACTGCTCTCACGGAAGAGCAAGGTTAGCGAGTCGGCATATGTATGTAGATTTGCGAAACTGGCGTACGGACCGGATAATCTGGACGACCGCGTATATGTCTCTTCCGTACCAAGTTTGTCAGATTAATTTCGAGTAGCTCTCCCGGCTTCGTACGGAAGGCCCAGCTTGAACATGTTCCGTACGCTCCCCTGTATAGATCAAGGTCGAGGTTCTGACTTCGTTATCAAGCAGATGCCTGAGCCTGGACTGACGTGGCAAAAGAATAAGACTCGATAGCAAGAATTGGTGGGACGCGGGACGGCTCCGGACGATTGATCCCGTTTGCGAGCCGGCGGCCTCCGACCGACGTCGCCCAAGTTAGAAGCCGTAAGTTAGGCCGTAGGGGGAACCCTAGGAGAGGAAGCAGGATCGACCGTTTTATTACTCACCCAGACTTGGTTAGACCCAAAAAATCAGGTAGACCTCCGTCGTCGTTGACATACCCACCACTCTTCTATCATCGTCATAGAACCTTGCTGCTCCTCACAGTATATAGACACGCTCAACGTCGAGGACCATGCGTAAAGAACCAGCTCGTTCACGAAATTGAGAGCAGCTACTTGCAACACCAAAAGAGTGGAGGTCACGTCCGGGTCGAGTTCAAGGTCCTTCTGAACGAACCACCTCGGCGGCCTGGTCCAGATCGAAGCACAGATACGTTTAGCCATGGCGATTACGACCGCTTTCGGATATCTCTTGCTCCTGGGAGCCGCAGCTTTTGCTCTGCGATACGTCCTGGTACCCTTTCTCCTGGAAAGTCTGCTCCAGGTGCAGATCCGATCCGTCAGCCCTCGGAGCGTCCGTGGGATCGAATGGGCTGCCAAAGGAAACGAGCACCGAGAGATCAAATCTCGGCTCACGGTCGAAAGGATCGGTCTGCAGAGGTCTCGTAGGCAAGGCGGTTGGCTTACGATCTCGGTCGAAGGCCTTACTATTCACGTTACCAAGGACGATCAAGCTCAACACGATGAGACGACCCGGTCTGACCGGGAAAGCTCCGATGTCAGGACGACGAGGAACCGAAGCCCGTTGAATTCTGGTTGGAGGTCCACTTCATGGGGGGTAAGTGTTCGATCGTTTCGTCGTGCTCTGAGGCGAAGCTGATGGTTTCAAGCGAACTCTTCTCAAAGGCCAAGGTAACCGGCACACTGAAAGCGAAAAGCCGCGAATGGACCATCTTCTACATGTCATTTGCAGTTCAACAATCTCCTTGGCTAGCACACCTGATGGACCTTCAAGTGGAGAAGGCTGTCCTGATCTACCGTGATGGCGCCGACCGACCCATCGAGCTGGTCCTTCACAGCTTCAACGCCTGCTTTGACGTTGTTTTCGACCAAGCTCCCGAGCTTATCGTCCATCCCGAGACTTGCTATGCGGCTTTCAACACACCTAGTGGACCGCGATCGCCTTTCCTCGAGGCCAAGTCGCCCATGGAGAGTCCCACCTACGTTATGAACCACGGTCTGATCAGTCCACCTCCTTCCTTCGAAGGCTTGGCCAAGGAAAAGCCGATCAGCCCTAACCCGGCTCCGGGTATTACCAAGAGCCGCCCTGCCAAGCTGTTATCCAGGCTCCTGGGGCGAGCTCGAGGAAACGCGACGCTGACTGTGGAGATGGGTCAACTCTCGTTGTCCGAGAATATTCCTGAACTTTCGAAAGGTGTCCACCAGGACAAGGTCTTCGAGTTCGTAGACAATAGTCGACTCGAGGTCACCGTCCAGTTTGGTGACAAGGCCGGCATCTTGGGAGAAGATTCTGTCGATGTCAAGTTGAACGTGTCTCCACTATCTGTCGACGTCCTGCGAATGAAGGTACTGCAAGAGAAGTTGAAGAAGAGTTTCCCTCGTGGTTCTGGCAGCAAGCGGAGCCGACCTGCTCAAGAAGCGAAAGTCAGGGTAAGCGATCGAGCCTCATTGCAGTATCTTCCAGTGACAGCTGATATCCCGTGCCGTTTCGCCATACAGGATCTCTTGAACGCGCTACATTCTGTCCAGCTGGCTTTGCCTTATACTACCGCTCGGTTCGAGCTCGAACCCGATCACCTCGACAGACAGTCCGATTCGGTGGCTGGTCATTTCGATCTCGCTGTCAATGGGTTCTTCGTGGACGTCCGGTCCGCTAGCCCGTCGACAAATTTTCGTCTTAGGGACGTCTTCGGTCGCAACGAAAGGCAGGAGGCGCTCATCCCAGCGATTCACTATTCGTCCTCGATGGCCGATGTTGCGTTGACTTGGCAGCTCGATCGACACCCCTCTCGTAAGGTTCTCGACATCGGCAATCTCGAGCTTGACGGGGTGTCTACTTGGAAACTGCCCCATTGGCGGCGGAGTTGCCCGTTATTCCCAGAAGACCCGAACCGGTATATCGTCAATGCGTCGTTCAATGTCGACCACGTACATGTGAAGACATCGGTGCCGATGATGGCACAGCTTCGGCCGCTCTTGAAACGTGTCCGTAGGAGCAAGCCGGAGAAAGAGTCCAGCAGTCAAACGCCTATCAGCTTTTTGCCTCGGATCCTCTTCGATGCTAGTGTCGGTCACTCGACCCTCTGCGTCCTATCCAATGACGAAGATTCGGCTAGCTTGCTCGAGATCAGCTCTACCGGGATCAGCTCCACCGTCTTGACAGACTACCGGGATATCTGTGCGACCCGAAGGTCTCGTGCTAGGGACAACAAAGCTTTCGATGCGGCAGAGCCAACATTCGCAGAGGACGGTGGCGCTTCGACACAGGACACGCCGTACGATTCTGCTAGTGTCGATCTTTCGGAAAGGGCGTTCAAGTTCGAAGCCGGCTCGCTGCAAGACGAGGCCACCGTCTCGATGCACTGGGAGTTTTCGTTCAGACCAGGAACTTTGAGCACAATGGTTTCCCTTGCGCAAGCGGAAGCGCCGGTTCATGAACTGTTGAGGATTGGAAAAGCCGACATAAACGGTCAGGGTCTGGTCAAGGGCGGCCCGATGGATTCAGAACCGCATCGAGATCTTTCACTTTGGTGGCATTCGGGGATCGGCGCAGTCGATATCTCAATTCAGGACGGCGTGCAGGCGACGTTGTGGCACCAAGACGCCCACGAACATCTACGTCACATTGTACATGGATTGGAATCACTGTCGCCGGCGCGCGTGAACAAGGTCAAGCATCCTCGCAGCCATCAGAAACCTGTTCTCGCCAGACTCGTCTCTGGTTTGCGCGTCAGGATTGCCATCTCCAACATACTGGTTCTTATGGCCAGTAAAGATCCGAACCCCATCTGCGAAGTACACTTGCAACGAGGATTGCAATTGCAGATGAGCTTGATAGTAGATTACTGCTCCTTCAAACACGTCAGTCAGACTCGACGCAGCAAATTGGATGGAAAGTCCAATTCTCGGCGTCGTCTGAGGTTACCGGCTGACGCCACGGAGCAAGCCATCGCTCTTCACAACGAGGCAGAAAGTCATGGAGCGCAAGCGGCTCATTGCACCATGTCTGCAAGGCAAATCGTGGTCGTCCCCATTTACAACGCCGCCAGGCAAACCAACCGCAATCGACCCAATCCGAAACCCGTGCCCAACCCAGTCTCTCAAGCCTTCTTCCCGCGGCGTGAACGGATGCCTTCATACGCGGGATGGGATTTCCAGCGACTACGAGATCAGCCAAAACCTCCCGGCGATTATGTCAATGGTGTCGATCCTTTCCCGATATCACTGCGTGACCAGGCTCAAAAGCCACTATTACATATCCACAAGATCGATGGTAGCGTGACACTACGAGAAGCCCGCGATGCAGCTGTCTTGGACATTGCAGCCAATCTCAGAGTTGCCAAGACAAAGCTGTCTGCAGACGTATCTCACGTCTACTGCGCTCTCCTCGCTTTCACCGCTTTACCTCGGTCACATAGAAGTTCGGAAGCTGATGGGGAAAAGGTTGATACCGAAAATCCCTCCAATCCTTCTGCTAGGATCTCCATGAGGCTCAAGATGAATATTGACGAGGCGATGGGTGACCTCGCCCTCCCTCTAAAGGAGAGGCTATTCTTTGACCTCAAATCGGTAGCGTTGTCATCGATCGGCGCCACAAAGGAATTCGGAGTCGACAGCGCAATGTTCTACGTACCCAGTCCTAGAGCTCCCGGCAGATGGGAAGAATTCGGTCGCGTCCGCCGATTTGATGTCGCCATCAACAAGACTGTTTCAGGGAAACCAATCGCCAACGTAGACATTGCTGCGCTTAGGATCAGAATTCCTTTCCGATACGAGCTCTCAAAATTGATCCTCAACTTTAGCACCCTTGTCAAAGTCGTCAAGCTGCTGGCGCAAGACATGCACAAACGAGAGTTTGTGACCGTGCGCAAACCTTCAGCCCAGCCACCGAAAATCATTCCCTCCACGACGATCAATCTCGAATATTTCTCCCTGGAAATAAAGGATGATCCTCTCGAGACCAAGCTGAACTTAATCTGGCGAGTCGGCTTGAACGAGCAGGCGGACCGCTTGGAGAGGATGGAAGCTTTCGCCGCCAAAGTAAGTGTGCTGGACTCGGTTGGAGATGGAAGCCAAGCACCTCCGTCGTCTACCAATCTGGACGAGATCAGGGAACGCTGGGGCTTTGATGCCAGTGGTATTCGCGATGTGCATAGTGCGGCATACAACCTCGCTTGGTACAATGCCCGCGCCTGGAAGGTCCGTTTCGATAAGGCTCTGGCCACGCAAAACAAGAGAGAGGAACTGTTGATAGCTCTAGTCTTTGGCGTCCGGAATCGGGAGGACAGCCTTCCCATTGACGTCATGCCGCCCGAACGGTTTGCCCCGCTGTTCCGAGCCAAGTTTGAGAAATTGGCGGTTGAGCTCAAGCCAATGGACCTGGACAAGGGCGAAATCATCGAGCACATGGAAGAAGCCATGGTGGGGAAATTCCCAGAAAACACAGATTTCTCCCTGCTCGTCCCGCTCTCGATCAACCTTCGAGCTCGATCTGTCGAGTTGACTTTGAGGGACTATCCGATGCCGCTGTTTCAGATCCGACCTGTCGACAACGAAGCTTCCGACAAGCCCGCCGAACATAGCTTCCAGGCTTCCATTCAGCTCGTTGCTGGTGAAGAGATGGCAGATGACGATAGCTACGTGTTGTTGCCTTGTCCCGTGTTGCCCGAAGGTCTCGGCGCGGATCATGCTGCAGCACTGACTGTCCAAGTCGCCAAAACTTTGATGCCAGTAAAGACGTACACCAAAGTGGAAATGAAGGTAGCCACCGCCGCGCCGACGGATTTCACTTGGGGGAATTCTTATCAACCTGCGATCGAAGATCTCACCAAGGCTTTCGAAAAGTTTACGCACCCGCCGCGGGATCCCTCGCCCAAAATGGGTTTCTGGGACAAGTTCCGCCTCACGCTGCATTGGCGTGTCAAGGTCGACTTTGACGGCCCTTGTCATCTTCACCTGAAGGGCTCCCGTGATCCGTACCATATTACTGGCTTTGGAGCTGGCTTCGTGTTGGCATGGATGGGCAACGTGTCTTTGCGCATCGGAGAAAAGAACGACCAGAACGAATTGATCCAGATCTCTAGCGACGAGATGTTTTTCTCGATTCCAGAGTAAGTCATGCAACCGATTTGGAGTCGTAACGTCCGGAAACTTATCATCTATTCCTCGCAACTCAAGCCTGTCCGCTATGATAGACAACGCCGCCACCGGCACTCACGCCGACGGAAATAGCGATGCTGGCAAGCCTGCGGCCAAATTGCCTACTCTCCTCGAAAGACGTGGGACCAAGACCTGCGCTCGTTTCGTGGGCGGTGTGCGCGTTGGATTTGGCTTTAAATTCGAACGCACGTGCCGAGATCACGACTGCGATAGTGATTGCCGTGGAGGACTCTCAGAACGGCGATGCCGGTGTTTTCACTTCAAGCCACATTACGAGGTCAAGATGCGATCAAAAGAAGCCGTTGATGCCCAGTCTCGAGAGCTCAATCGGGTCAGTCCATACGCGATGTGATACCACGGTTGACCATCTGACCCGCCTGTTGATATCGCAGCCTGTTGATTCGTATGAAGGCTTCCGCTCGGACTTTATCCACTTTTCTCCCTCCATCACGACTTTTGGTCGCAGCAGTCCGAGTGGGCCGCAGGGCGAGGGACGCGTCAATAGCAGTAGCTTTCACTTTACCCCCAAAGGCTTCACGCATTTCTTCGCGTGGTGGAGGCAAGTTTCTGTGCGGGCAAACAATGGTGGAGTCTATCACTGATTCATCTCTCCGATAGATTGTTCAATCATGTGATGTCGCTCCCCATCCGGCAGGGCAAACTATTCCCCAAATCCCCACCACCTCACCGAAAGTTTGGCCGGTCATTGGCGACCATCAAATACCGCTTCGACATCTCTCATCTATACATCTCTCACTTTTACCCTCAAATGTCCAAGGTAGATTGGACGACGGGACGCCAGACGGCAGTGGGTGTCAAAGCGCATATCAAACACTTTCGGGCGGATCTTCATCAACGAGAACAGACCAAGATTGTACGAAAGGAGGCTCTTCAACGAATGGGTACGATCAAACACAAACCCTTTTACGCCGCCGATATTATTCTGGATGACGTGCAGTTAAGGGCTCTGTCGACAGTGTTTGAGGACCAATCCAAAGGGTTCCTTATGAAGCATGGCTCACACCTTGTGGATGTCCCCGACCCGGCAGGAACACTCGCCAATGAGATGGCCAGCGGTGATGCCACATGGTTTCATCCGGACGACTATGTGGACACTGACTACAGACCCTCCGACGACAACCCCTACATCGAAATGTACGAGATCGGAGCATGCCCTCAGTTCCACTACTCCAGATGGTTGCCTGCATTAAAACTACGCCCGGACGTCATCGACAAGATGAAGACGGGACACTGGTATGGGACGGATATGGAAGCGAGTAAATTCGGGCGTGAGGCCACACACGGGTGTCTGCTCAACGAGTTTGAAGGCAAGTATTCAGGCAGCCTCTTCCCGACAGTGAAGCGGCGCTTATTTCTCGATTTTATTCAATAGGCTCCCACAAGGTGGGCATCAGGCTGGCGGAAGCCCGGCGAGAACATCTGCAAGAGGCCTTACGAGCGTGCACGGCCAAAGATACGGTCTCAAGAGAGGGATCCAACACATTATCGAGCAAAGCTGCAACCTTACAAGCCAGTATCGACGTTTTGGACCGCTTCATTGCGGACCGCCATGCGAAAGAAGCTCGAGAACACAGTGGCTCGGAAGAGTCGTCTACTGACCACCTGGACAGCCGAGAAAAGGAGACCGAAGGCAACGATTTCCAGAACATCTACCAGATCTATACCCCTCGACTCGTGTTGAACAACCAGTCCAGAAATGTAAGCGTGTAACGAATTCAGCGAAGAGGACCAGGACATTAAAGCTGGAGTTATCGCAGATCTTGCTAAAGTACTACTTCTCAAGCCGTCTGCGGAAAGGCCTGGAATATTACCTATCGAATAAGTGAGTATACGATGTGCGGCTCACTAAACATGCACTTCCTACATGATCCTGACCGCTTTTGTCCGAAACAAAGGGCTCTGAAGGTTTTGCGAGAACAGCTTGGCAGCATTACTGATGCCCCAGTCAGGACCAAGACCGTTGTCGATAAGCCCCAGGTCACAAAGATCCCCAACAAGTTGGATTGGGTTGCAGACAAGACTGGTAACGTGGTAGCCAAAGAGCTATTGAAGCTAGTGCTGGGAGATGCCGACAAGCAGGAACATGATGAAGGCGACGTCAAGCCGGCAGAATCTCAGCCATCAGCACGTGAAACCGACCCTCACGCTGGTCTTCCCGAGGAGTACACGGTTACGAAAAGCCATTTCTTGTCGCTGTTTGGACCACAACTGGCGCTTTCAAGCGAACTCGACGAGGATTCCACGATTCTATTCTGCATGGACAGCGCTACATTCAAGGGCTACACAATAGGTGACGACGAGTTCGTTGGAGATCCTGTAAACTCGCGAGTGATGCACCGGTATGTCGCAAGCTGCTGTAACCCAACCCGGTAACTTCCGCTGACAATTATCCTCCTTGCTCTAGCAATTACTCTGATCTTACAGGGTTACAAGGGTTCTATCCTCGACGATCCGATGATCAAGGCGAGCGACATGACCGAACCTTCGTGCCTCTCGAGGTCCTGCTCGATTCGAAGTGCCAGTCATTGCATTTCGATCGGGTCCTCCCGAAGACCGACGGTTACTTCCATTACGATAAATTCAATCAGCTGCGTCTTAGCAACGATCTCTCTGCCGATCGGGAGCAGTATGGGCAAGAGGCTCTCCCAGAGCATATACAGCATAAGCAGGTTAGTTACCCAGTCGCGAAACAGTAAAATGGAGATACACTACTAAGTTTCAACACTTGGTGGCCAGGATCTGGCTGTTCTGCACGTGCCGCGTTTTGCGGTCATGGCGGATTCCCATCATTACGCCGCTCTCTACAACGTGATCACCAATTTGATCCTTTATCAAGATCCGGAGCAGAGACAGCGATCACAAAAGATGGACACATTTGTGTACTCTTTCGATCGACGGGATGCACTCCGATACGTTTCCGAGGTAGCACAATTGCAACAACGGATCCGAGAGTCGGAGTCTCTCATCAAGGCGTATGATGAGCATTATACACATCTCACATCGGAAGGCAAGTTGGGCCTTATCGACGTCAGAGGAGATCTGCTTGCGTCGGTGGAAAGCTTGAACATGATCTACGATGCGGTCTCGCTTCACCGCAATTATACCGAGAAAGCAGCGGCTCTGAAGGGATCGATCCGATTTCAAGCGTCTGCAGGAGAAATTGCCTGGTTCATGTTCGGGCAAAAGACTCTGCTGGCAAAGTTGGCGATGACGGATGCCCACTTCGATTGGTTGAGGAAAAAGGACAGCAGCACAGACAGTACTCTTGTCGTCAAGGACCTCCAAGCCCTGAACAGCAGTCCGGATGCGGTTTTCCCCGAGATGCTAGCCAAATACCAAAAGACCGGGTCCAAGGAAAGCAAAGTGAGTCTGCTTTCCGTCCGTGTTTGCACGGCAGTCGCCCTGACCAATATTCCTGCATAGCCAATCCTGAAAGTTCGGTGGGCAGTCCTCGCACCAGTTGGAGGGATTACGATCATGGAGCATCTGCATGTGGATGCGCACCCTGTTCGGGTACAATTAGAGAAGAAGCTGGGACGTCAGCTTATGGAGTATGTGTTTGGCCAAAACGGGAGGCCCAAGAAGCATGCATCCGATCAGAATACGAACAAGTCTTTTCAGGGGAACAACCATGTCGGCGGCGGCGAGGACTCCAATGCCACACATGACGGCCGAAGACATACGAAGACGAATCGGGACCACCGCGACAATGGTCCATCTCTCTCGCGCCAGAATTCATCTTCCGAAGTTACTCCAGCCGACTCAGAGCAGAAGAACGCGCGCAGGAAGAAGAGCGGTTCTAGTTTGGCTGGCGAAGAGCAGCCATTCCTCCCATTCGAAGCAGATGAGATGCACTCTCGTGCAACCAAAAACATGACCTTCGTGTCAGTAAGCTTTGTTCAGACTACTTTAGTACTGAGTTATAAGGTGCGTTCAGACGTGGCCGAGACTCTTCCGTTGCGTATTGCTGATCTGATCGAGGGGACCGTCAGGGCGACAAACCCAAAAGCATTACCGATCTGTACGACTTCAAGTTTACCTGTCCAGAGCTGCGCTACACAAACAAGACCTGGTCGTTCGAAGACCTGTTCAGGCACATGCGACGAGGTAAGCAATAGGCTTCTTCAGACTAGATTGCCCAACGCTGACCTCCCGACATCTCATTGATTGCCTAGATATCATTCGGTCCGCTTGGCAACAGAAAGGTGCATTGATCCGGGAAGTATTCAAAAAGAGCCGAAAGCCAATCAGGGCTCAGGCCGCAGAAGATATGCAACATGGACCATCCAAGCTGAGGATGACGACGCGACCCTTCGAACCTTGGACAACCCAGTCTGGTGGCCAAATCCTAGAATCGGCGCCGCTTGTCACAAGTCCGGTCGAGGAGAGAGACTTGAATGACCTCGAGCGCGTACCTACCACCGGATCATCCGAATCTGGGCCTGCACCGTCAGAGCGAGAAAAATCGGGCAAGCTAGGCAAATTGGTGCATCGAATCAAGGCTCGAGCTGCAAATCGTCATCACCACGCCGACGATGATTGAAGCACCAGCTCTCCTATTCATGATCAACAACGAAATCTTATACCCACCATCACTGTATCAACTCCATGTAGGTTCTCAAAGCATCATGACACTGTATATATTTGCATGGGCCTTTTCACAATCGAGATGCCGGACCAAACTTGTGTGAACGCCGAACGGCGTGGCAAATCTCACATATTGCGTGCGCGAAGCCTTCCGCTATAATGATGCATGTAATTACTAGATTTTGATACAAGCGCGCGCTACAACCCTGTCCCTGCTCGGCGACAATTATTGCAGACTGGCGAGACGTACGCGGACAGCATTAGCATGAGCCTCTAATCCTTCACACTCGGCGAGGGTAACGACGATGGGTCCGAGTTTTCGGAGACCATCCTCGGTCAATTCTTGCGAGGTAATATGCTTTTGGAAAGAGAGGGTGTTGACACCGCTGAACTGCTTGGCGTATCCGTAAGTAGGCAAGGTGTGGTTTGTACCCGAAGCGTAGTCTCCGCAGCTACGAGGAGGGCAGGCAGCAAGACATTCCGTATCAGCACACAGACCAGATCACGCGTGTGGAACCTTCGTCTGCGTCACTTACCTCTCTGGTGAGAAAGCTCCCACAAATACACTCCCAGCGTTGTTGACGAGCTTGACACACTCGCTCGACTTTTTCAAGTGCAGGATCAAGTGTTCCGGCGCGTACTCGTTGGAGAACCGGAAGGCCTCATCAATGTCGTTGACCTTGACGATCAGACTCTTTTTGATGGCCTGCCTGATGATGTCCACACGAGGCAGCGCGTTGGCTTGACGATCGACCTCTTGCTCGATCTCTTCGAGCAGTTCCGAGGCGAGGTCGATGGCGACCAAGACAACCTGAGAGTCGATACCGTGTTCGGCCTGGGAGAGAAGGTCGGACGCAACAAAGATCGGGTTGGCAGTCTTGTCGGCAATGACCTGGAGAGATGTAGGAAGAGAACATTTTAGCTCGCGTTCAGCTTGTCCGCGACTGCTATAGGCTCGTGTGACTCACCATGACCTCGGAAGGCCCGGCAGGCATGTCGATCCCGACCAATGCCTGGGTATCGTTTTGCACCAACATCTTGGCCGCGGTTACCCATTGATTCCCCGGTCCGAAGATCTTGTCGACCTTGGGACACGTCTCGGTTCCATAAGCCATGGCGGCGACCGCCTGAGCTCCACCCGCCTTGAGAATGACGTCGACGCCGACGAGTTTGGCGACGTACAGGACTTCTGGGGAAATGGACCCGTCCGGTCGGGGCGGAGTAGCGAGGACGATGGTGGTGCATCCAGCCACTTGCGCAGGGACCCCGAGCATGAGCGCGGTGGATGGCAGGATAGCGGTACCTCCGGGCACGTAAATTCCGACTCGGTCAATGGGCCGAGCGAATCGAGTACAAACAACGCCGGGCATGGTCTCCACCACCAAAGGTTCCTTTTCCGCCTGGCCGAGGTGGAACGCCTTGACATTCGAGTAGGCCTGTTCGATGGCGTGGATGATCTCGCTCGAAAGCTCCTTACCCGAAGGAGGAGGGTAAAAGGGGGGTAGGAGGACGTTGGATTCGAGGTCCGACTTGTCAAACTGCTTGGTCAACGATTTCAACGCCTCGTCCCCACCTTCACGGACCTTGGAGACGATCGGCTTGACGCGCTCGATCATAGCCGAAGAGTCCATGACCGGTCGTTGTAATAGAGCGGCGCGCTCGGTCGGGGTGACCTGACCAAGATCCGAAGTCCTCATCCTGATCATCTCTGACGAGTTCGAGGCATCGGTCGGGGCTGTGGGGAACGCCTTGGGAACGGGAGCCTCGGGCTTGGATTCCGACTTGACGGCTTCCTGAACGGGCACTTCGGCACTAGGCTCGACCTTTTTCACCGTTTGTTCACCGAGGACGACCTGCTGCTGCTGTTGTCCATCCTTCTTGTCGGTATAGTCGACCCACTTTTTCTTCGCATCCCCTTGCCTCCTGATGCCCTTCTTGCCCTTGTTGGCCTTTTCGTCCAAGTTCCTCTCGACATCGGCTAGCGAGACACCCGCCTTGACGCAGCGGGCCATTGCAAAGTACATCAAGTCGGCCATCTCGAACGCAACGTGTTCACGGGTGTCGGCCTCGGTCAGCTCTTCGGCCTCTTCCATGATTTTCTGTCGTAAAAGCTTGGGGTCGTTGAATAGCCTGGCGGTGTACGATCCCTCGGGGGCTTCGGCGAGTCGGGATTGGAGGGTAGATTCCAAGGCGGCAAGTCCCTTCTTCTCTTGTTGCTGCTGGGAAGAGTAGGAGAAACAACCTTCGGTCTCGAGGTGGCAGAATCCGGTCCCGGTCTGCTCGACCTCGAACAGCAAGGCGTCCTTGTCACAATCCCTCCTGATCCTAACGACTCTCTGAGTCGAACCTGAAGTCTCGCCCTTGCGCCAGAGTCCGTGTCGGCGGGATTGGTAGACCCCACGACCGGTCGAGATCGACTCTTTGATGGATTCTTGGGAAGAATATACGAGGCCGAGTGCAAGAGGAGAAGGTGATGAAGCAGGGGAAGAGACGATGGTGGGGTAGAATCCGTCCGGTCGATCGGTGACCAAGCCAGAGATGAAGGAGGATGCGATCGAATCCAAGGTGAGCGAGGCAGCGGAGAGGATGGATACGACGTCGGACGCGGGGTCATAGCTGGCGTCCTCGGTAAAGACAAGGCCGGGTACGGTCAACGATTTCCTGATATCCTTGATCCGTGATGCGTCCACTCCCTTGCCAAGGACGACACCGGCGTAGCCCTTGATGGAACCAGCATCGACGTCCGATGAGCTCAACCGAAGGACGATGTCCTTCTTGTATTCCTCCCCGATCGACCCGTCGGCCTTTTGGTCGAGCAGGACCTTACTAGCCCCGTGATCCAAGGCGTTCTGTGCTTGCTCTTCGGTTTCACACTCGACGAACCATTCTACCTCTTCGGCGTGTTCGAGTTTGGAAGCTATCGATCGAACGGTCGAAGTGTTGACCAAGAGCGGACCTATCCGGGCGAGCGCCGAGAGGATGGACGTGTCGATCGACTCGTCTACTTTTGGCAAGATCGCCGGGAATACCATGGTGACGGGGTGTGTGAGGGTTTGAGAGATACGAGAGGCAACGTCAAGCGATCGAGGTGCTTGTTTGCATACATGATGTACATGGTGTCCCACACTTTTTCCCGCACTCTAGATCTGTGACGTTTCGATCGTGGTCGGCGTCGCGGTTGACTCGGAATTCGAGAGATCACGTGACATTTGTCGCTCCCTTTACAACCCGTAACCTTCCCATGTACGTCACAACGTCCGAGAACCCCAAGACGTCATCGCTATGACACCGACATTGTCAACCCGGCATGCACCCCAGCCTTGACGATCCACCCGCCCAAGACGGCGACCATCGTCGCCCATGGTCTCGTCGGTAGCAGAACTCTCAATGCCAACCCGCTGCTCATCCCGCTCAACAAGTGCGTCGAGATCCACATCTCGTCAATCTTTTCCCTCTGCATCGTCGTGGCTAGCGGTCCCAACCAGGTAGGTAGCGGTAACGAGCGAGGGATGTAGAGGAATGAATCGGGATGTGAAGCGATGATGGGTGGCCAGACGAGAAGCACGAGATGGAGACAGAGCGGTAGGACCGAGGCGTATAGCAGTGTCAGGGAGATCATCGGCACTCTATAAAGCGGATAGGATTTGCGTCCCATTGTCGTATCAGCAATATTAAAGCTCTCATCCGCGTCTTTCGACGAAGTGACTAACCTGAAATCCCGCCTCCTGCCATCCTTTCCCCATCCAAGCGTTCCGCCTACTGACCCAGTCTCCTTGCCAGCCATCTCGTTTGGCTTCCCTCTAGAGGTATGACCAGACCTCTGTGGTAGCCATCCTATCCGACGTAAAAACATGTACGAGATCCAGGTCGTCGTCAGATGTTGCCCGATATTGCCTGTATGCGCCAGGAATCGTCCGCTTTATCAACGACCCTCTTCCCCCACCCCCATACATCAGGGACGGATGGACTTGCCTACCAGGGTGACCATGCCGACCGTCAACAGCTTTCCGAGCTCTTCAAGCCAAACATCTCCAATGAACACTGGCGATCCGTCCTCATCGTTACTGCCGCCGGGTATAGCTGACGGGTAGGTCTGGCGATACAGGACCACTGTCCGGTCCTCAAGGAGAATAACCGAAAGATTTTGATAAGAGGAGAGAGGATCCGTGGAGTAGGATCAGCGTTTCGATTCGAGGCCTTGAGGAGGTCGAGGTGAGAGAGCTTACGGGATTCGACCAGGGTGACGATCAGGCCCAGGCGGAGGATGGTCTGCCAGATGATCTGTGATGATCGACAGGGACAATCCCGGGCGGCATGAGGTGATTGCATTGAAAACAAGATCGAGAGATCTCGAGTCAGCTTGACCTTGAACAAGGGACGTGAGACGCGAAAACTTACTCGACTCCGGTCGACCTCTTTCTCCCCGCCCCGACTCACACGCCTACCCTCTGTATCCCTCTCCTTCCCAGCTCCAGCCCGCCTAGGTGGAGCGTCCCGATTAAAAACCAAATGCCTAAAAACCCTCGGTTTGAGCAAGACGAGGTCCAGCAGGATCAAGACCAAAGGATGTTCGATAAGGGGGTCTGTGAAGCGGGAACAACGGGCCTAGAGGTATCGTTGTCGGACATGTTTGTGAATGGACGAAGTATAATTGTGGAGATGTAGAGAGAAGGAAGACTAACTTATCAGCCTTGTTATCAAAGACGAGGTGACGGCTGGAAGAGGCCACTCACGCACAGTTCGAGTCGAGTGTTGCGGACGGACTGGTAAACCGTATAGACGGCCTGAGCTGGGTAATCGCAGTGTACGCAGATGGGCATAGTGGGCAGTCCTGGTGATAGGTTGAACGTCACAGCTCGTGCATCAGGAGCCGAGACGATGCCCTTGTAGACGAGATGCGAGATGTGAGGGTATGAGCACGATATTCATGCAAAACATGACAGGTGATTGCGAGTTCGCGTGATCCGGGGATCGTCGACGATCTGGAAACGGATGTCGCACGAAAAAAAAAGGTTGGATACAACGAGACGACGCTCTCACACACTATTACCCGAAGGATTGGATACAATGACACTTCTGGAACCGCTCTTCGTAACCACACCTCACATTCCCGACTCGATCTCCGCACGTCCCATTTTCATGCGGCGATCCCCTCCCATTCGACCTGCTTGTGCGCATTCTTGACCTTTCTCCCGCCCCATTTCTTCTTAGTCTCTTGAGTCATCCATCCTGGCACTTGGCCCCCGGTGGCGAGGGTCGTTTGGATAGCACGTCGTCGGCGGGTCTCGCGGTGTGATCGGTAGAGACCGGCGATCTGTGAAGACGAGCGATGTAGCCGTTCAGCTTCCTGCAATCGGAGTGGGGTTTTAGCGATGCAAGACTCGCCTTGAAACCGGTGATGAGCCCAGTGATCCCGAGTACGACGATAGCGCACGCGATGGTGACCTTGACGATCCTCGAAGTCGCCGGATTCGTCAACGGGTCCGGGATGTCGTCGTCTGGGTCGCCGGAGCTGCTGGTGGAAGTGCCGATGAGGCTGGTGATGGTCGTGCTCGCGAATCGGAGCGTCTGAGAGGTTGTCATGGCATGGTCGTTGCCGAGTCGGTCAACGGAGTGCGAGTGGGCGACAAGCCGATGGAGATATCAACGTTTGGGGAACGAGGTCGTTCGCATCTCAAGAAAGCAAGAGAGCTGCTGTTGCTTAGAAGATGCGAAGATGACCAGCTACGAGCGGCCCGAGGACCCTCGGCTCCGGATTGTTGACAAAGTGGAAGAGAGAGATGACGTAATATCAGTTTCATGCTCGTGTCACGTGATAGGTATCAAGCTAGCGGTACCCCCTACTACCAGGGGAGAACAAGGGGAGGGACTCTGTCTGCTGTCTGTGTCTCTACATCCACATCTACCCTACCTGCTACCTGTATATCCGTCATCAGATCGATCTGGTCTGACTGGCCACATTTAGCTGTCTTGGAAAGTCATATTAGATTCTCCATTCGACATCGCTCAGCCTCAAGACCAGCTACTATACATCCTCGCTCTGCCGCATAGATCTCGAACCCTACCTTGCAACGATGTACGGCGGCACACCCACTTGCCCCACCTGTTCCCGCCCGGTCTACCATGCCGAACAGATCATGGGACCCGGCAGAAACATGTACCATAAACCTTGTCTCGTGTGCTCGAACTGCAAGACCAGGGTCGACCCGGGAGCTTTGCAAGAACACGATGGAAAGGCGTATTGCAGAAACTGTCATCGTCAATTGTTCAGTCCCCGAGGTGAGTGGGAGATTGTGGCTTGAATATGTCATGACTGATGTCTTGTGGACTGTCACTCAGACCTCAGGTCCGCCAACGTGTACACTAGCTCGCCGTCGGCAGGTCCATCGAGACCCTCAGCCCCATCCACTCCGTCACGTCCTTCACGGACAGCCCTGCCACCTTCAGACCTCGGTTCTACACCCATAAAGAGATCTAACGGCTCTTACACTAGTACCCAGGGAACATATCGATCAGTCGATGAAGCGGTCGGAGCAACAGCAGGAGAAGGGCCGGGAACGGACAGCGAGTACGCGCCGTTCAGGATCGTGCCTCGGTCCAACCCTCTGGCCTTGAGCTCGGCTACTTCAATAACAGCAGAAGCTTCGTCGCCATCAATCGGCACTTCAGGAGTGACGGAAAAGATCTCGACTGCCCGGGCTCCGCCTTCTGTACTCCCAAAACCGAGCAATCTTACCTCTTCTACTCAGGCGAGTTTCGAGCTACCAACCAAGTCCGACTCGCATGTAACGACGTCAACCCCGACGACTGCACCGGCAAAGACGTCCCCGATGACACCGACAAGGATCCCAGGGAGGACATACGGAACCCCAGCGTCCGCTTCGATCGTCCGAGCTGGGTTCGGAGCGAGCCCAGGACCAGGGGGAGGGGGGGACGTCTGTCCGACCTGTGGGAAGAAGGTATATCTGATGGAAGCTGTGAGTCATAGAAGGCCTTTGAACTCGAGGAGTACGCGTGCTGGATGGAAGACCGGTTCTTGACTGATCGGCTCCTGTGTATATCGTGTATGAATAGGTCAACGCGTTGAGTCGGAAATGGCATAAAGGGTGTCTCAAGGTCAGTCCCGTTCCTACCTGTATCTCTATTCTCGCTCGTAACGGACTGCCCGATCGAAATTACCAATTCCTAACATGTTCTTGGACTTCCGCAGTGCACCGCCTGTAAATCAACGTTGGACCCGAACAAGCTGTGTGATCGGGACGGATCGGCGTATTGCAAGAAGTGCTATCACGCTCAGTTCGGACCTGTCGGGATCTTGTAACTTTCGCCAGCATATAGAAGGGAGGCGAAGCGCGCGAGATTATGAGAGGTAGTGGCGAGGGACCTGATGGGCGAAGGAAGACCGTCGGAGGCTGGTCCTCCATCGGATCTACGACCTTTTGAATTGGAGAGTTGGGTGAAACCTGCTTGTATCACTGTAGCGAGCTCGCCCGTAACGCGCGGCATGGCCATTTTTTTCAGCGAACGGGGATCCCCTGCGATGATTATCGGCATGTAATCCCGATCGTCAGTCGTACACGCAACCACCAAGATGCCTCGAAAGCAAGGACGGATTTCGCGTGAGATCAAAGTCCGAGGTCGAGGCGACTAAACATGACAGGTCACAGATGATCGATCGCGTAATGATTCAACATGTACGTGAAAAGTCCTGCCAAGGGCGGACAAAGTCCGGAGAGGTCATCCTTGCCTGTAATGTCGAAATTCTCGAAGCTCACGTGAACATGGACTTGTTATATGCATCGCGTTAATGAGGGGCGTGAGAGCAGAGTTCCCGGATGTTGAGAATGATGGTCTACTCACCCTTGTTTGACGGCATACCCATGTAATGTCCTCGATCTCCATATACACGCTAGTTTCCGTGTGATCAGCGATATGTAACAAGTCCCATTCGAGACCAGAGTCTCAGCGCGATCTTTCACTGATTTGATACGGTAACGGTCAGCAACTCATCCACCCAGCTTCCACGAATCACGTCCCATAACTTGGTTGAACCGGAGTCCGCGACCCGGAACGAGACACGGACGCAGAGATCAGGCATGATACTAGCATTGCTTTCAAAGAAAAAGAACCAAGTCCAAGGGCTGGATCATATCGCTCAGCTTCCAAATCTAAACAGATCTCACGGTCTGTGTGCTGTTCTGCTTGACGGAGACCTAATTTCACATTGGCAAAAGTGTTGTTACTTGAACGGTATCTATCCGAATCCGAAAACAATCGAAAAGAAACAACCTATACAACAGCATCATCAACATACCTATACTTACAGCACCGATTTCATGGGTCTTGCAATCCTCGTAATGAAGAAATTGTGTCAAGCTTGAAGTTATCTCAGTAGTGGCACATTCGACCGAGGAAGGGTTATCGCGGAAGCATCGCAGCGATAGTTTCCTGCTGCAGGCGCTCGTGCCCGCAACGTAAAATTCTCATACCATGTCCAACGACGCAAGCCCACATTCAGACCTCGAGTAAGACGTCGAACACGAAGCGAATGACCGAATGATGAGGATAGTCATAGGATGAAGATGGTCTTTCTAGTTTGTTGGAACGGTGGCTGATGAGGCTGCCCCGAAGTGAAACCGAAGGGTTAGCGCGAGTCACGTGCTGCTGTTCGAGGGTTGTCATCTGTCAGCCTACCTGACAACTTTCCCCCACCTCCACCTCTCCGACTTTCTTTCGAGTCAACCATCTTTCGGGTTGAACACATCAATCACACAACATCATCGATGCTCGACACACGAACCGACATTTGGCACAAGAACATAGCATCTAGCATACAACACTATGGCCGTAGCAATGACCAACCAAACTTCCACCGGGATGGACGACGCCAGGATCGCCGGGGTAGGTCTCCCAGTCCTACGCTTCGCTGCTTGCTCCACCTCGCAGGAAGCGTGCGGTCCTTTGGACATATGCAACAGGAAGCTCATCCTTGTCTCTCACCCCGTGTCTCTCTACAGTACGACCCTCTGATCCCTCCTGCGCTTCTGCGTCACGATATTCCTTCTCCCACCGAGTCCCACGAGACCATCCAAAAGGCCCGAACCGCCGCCGCCAAGATCATTCACGGTCAAGACGACCGGTTGCTCGTCATTGTCGGTCCTTGCTCGATCCACGACCCGGACCAGGCCAGGGAGTATGCGACCAAGTTGAGAGGAGAGGTTGCCAATGGCAGGTGGCCCGATCTCGAGGTGATCATGAGGGTCTACTTTGAGAAGCCTCGAACGACAGTCGGATGGAAGGGTCTCATCAAGTAGGTCGCCAATGGTCTCTCGAGCTGACAGCAATGGCACAACGCGAGATTGACCATCCTCTCTGCCTCCCCGTAGCGACCCCGATATCGACAACTCGTTCAAGATCAACAAGGGTCTCCGACTCGCCCGAGAGCTCATGCGGGACATCACCTCGATGGGCATGCCCGTCGGTTCCGAACTCCTCGATACCATTTCCCCACAATTCATCTCGGACCTCATCTCCTGGGGTGCTATCGGAGCTCGAACGACCGAATCTCAACTCCACCGAGAGTTGGCTTCCGGTGTCTCGTTCCCTATCGGATTCAAGAACGGGACCGATGGGTCGGCCAGTGTGGCGATCGACGCGATGGGCTCGGCCGAGCATGCGCATTGCTTCATGGGTGTGACAGAGGCTGGTATGGCCGCGATCGTCAAGACGAGCGGGAACAAGGACGTTCACATCATCCTTCGAGGAGGGTCCGGCGGTCCCAACTACACGTATGTTTGCAATCTCTCCTCGGTCTTGCGCTTCCGTACGGGCCCAAGCTGATCTGTCGCTATCCTGCCTCCGTCATGCAGCTCGGATTACGTCGAGAAATACCTCGCCAACATCGCCTCGAGCCGAAAACACGCCTACGCCTCGCTCATGATCGACGCCTCGCACGCCAATTCGTCCAAAAACTACAAGAACCAGCCGATTGTCTGCGATGATATCTGCCGTCAGCTCGAGGCCGGGCAAAAGGGAATCTCCGGGGTCATGATCGAGAGCAACTTGAGGGAGGGTAAACAGAGCTCTGACAAGGGGAGGGAGCACTTGGAATACGGGTGAGTTCGGGGACGCCTTCAACATGTTTGCATCGTCTCTTTGCGTGATGCTCATACGAAGATTGACCTTCACAGTGTTTCCATCACCGACGGATGCGTTTCGTGGGAGGTGAGTTGACAGTCGTCTACCTTTATCAGGTCTCGAAACATATCCTGACGGTTTCTTCGATGCCTCCCAGACCACGCTCGACATGCTCGACAAGCTCAACAAGGCCGTCATCAAGCGAAGAGAAGTTTCGGCTTCCGCCTAGATGCCCAATCTTTTCCCGGATCTAGTCCGCAGCGGTCAAATGGTCTTGCCGCATGAACCGGTTTGCGATTCGATCCCCACCTGGCTCTCTCCTCCTCTCTGCCCCCAAAAGTCACAACCCACATGTAGCATAATTAGGTCTCCTTGTTTCCGTCTCTTCTTTGGCTAGGATGTGATCGCTTCATGTCATATCGGCCCTATCATGCGCTATGCGAGATTGAACGATACAGGACAAATCCCTCTGGAACTCAGCTCGCAGCCGGCCCGTGCACAAACTGTTTGACCCGATGACCTCTTTCCTGTCCCGGTCCGTCACCGTGACCTTCGTACCAGCACGTTCGGCAGTAAGGATCTGAATCGCAGGTCAAGCAGATCAAGGTCGCATCGGCGTTACAGATGCCTGATACGTCATATACGACAGGGGGACACATCAGCTTTCCCTCTTGACCCGTGCATTGATACAAAGCGGGAACAGGCTTGGATTTGACTTACAGCACCAACTGTCCATATCCTCGTCTCTCGCCATACGCATCCCGGGGACGTCGAACGATTTCCCTTTCCCTCCCCCTTGGTTGTCCCCCTGGCCGGCTCCTGGCGGCTTGGACGGCGTCACCGGAAACTGTGATAAGCCCGGGATGGATGCGCCGGGTTTCAGACCTGCCAGACGGGCGTAGATGGGATCGAAGGTTTCTGTCGGGTCATCTTCTTCCGGGGAAGGTGATGGTGGTTTCAGGTCTTTCGGTGTGGAGAGGTTGGATAGGAGATCCAGGGCGTTTGGCTTTGAAGGGGTGACGGTCGTAGCATCGGATGGCATTATTTCAGCTTTGATAGGAGGAGATGGCGGAGGCGATTCGGAATCAAGAGCAACTTCGTCCTGAGCCCGTCGTACGATCGAGTCTGCTTCTTTTTCCAGTTCCGCATCCACCTCGTCCGCTTCGCCTGTCTTCTCCTCCGACGCTCGGCGTGAAGGAGAGGATGGTCCAGCTTCGACACGCCCGAATTTCGCTAGATATTCTTCTACCTGAACGTCGACTCGAAGGTATAGCTGTGGTCAGAGAGTTTTCCAGCATCAGAGATCGAGCACTCACGTCCGCGTCGCCGACATCATATATGTCATCATCATCATCATCATCATCATCATCATCATCATCATCATCATCAGCAATTTCCCTATCGTCCTCGTTCGATTTCGACTCCTGAAAGCTCCCATCCTCCTTGTCATTATCCGATGCAGCAAACCCCTCAGCTTCCCTTGTCACAGCATCGACGTCCTTCTCGAGCTAGACGTAATCGCTCATCAGCCAAGGAATCCCTTTGACACGAGTGGACTATCCGGTATACCGAACGACTTGCCTGTCGAGTATCGGTGAGCGATCTGAAGCGACGCAGCAGCGCTTCGAGGTCTTGGTCGGTATCTCCTGACCCCAAGCTGTTGTCGAGGGGTTTGACCATGTCTGTCTAGCGATAGTCTGCTGCTCGAGTGGCTGGGGAGAGAGGGAGCAGGTTGCAGATTGCAGGTTGCAGAGAGCAGCAGCATGGGCCTCGACCCTTGATCCCTTGATAGATTGATAGCTTCGCATGAAGCCGAGGCTCGGCTACGGAAGCAAATATCTGATCATTCACTCGCCCCGGAAGTAAATATCGCGAGATTGTGTTTGTTTGGTTTCGCTGACAAGGACGTCGACGTCGATCAGATCCAGCAGCCAGCAGCCAGCAGCAGCATCTCCTTCCAACGCTTTCCAGACTCGACGGATATACCTACCGCAGTGGCACAGATAGGATCGGATCGCTCACTCCGATCGTAATGTCCGTCCGTAACGTGACGTACGACGACTTTGACCCGGTGATCGTCTACTCGAACCCGGCAGACTGGTCGACACCGAATCCACAGGCGAGTCCCGGCCCTTTCACCAACGGTATGAAGCGAGAATCGAGGTTGGTCTCAACAATTTGTTCTTCTCTCAATAGGACAATCCCGGCTGGTTCAATGCTACGTCGGATGTGACGGGGTCGATCTGGCACCAGGCTACGTATCACTCGACAGAAGTCGCTGGTACCAAGATCTCGTTCAACTTTACAGGTAAGCTTCGCATTGCAATTGGCAGACGAGGCCGCCTTGTGTTGAGGTGAATGGCAAACAGGGATAGCGATGCTGAGCTTGCCAATTCCTTTACTGGTGTAGGCACTGGTCTCTACGTCTATGGAGGATCAGGTCCGGAATACGGCAACTATACCCTGACCATCGACCCATCCATTCCGACTCCGTTCATCTACCCCGGTCAAGCCTACTCGCAACAGAACGGCACGGATCGTTACCTCTTGTACGGGACGGATGGTTTGGCCTATGCGGAGCACGAGGTGGTCATCGAGACGCAAGGAGGTAGATTCCTGCTGGACTTAGTGGAAGTGGGCGGTCTGGAGTTCGGTGCCGAGGGGTTCGTCCTGCTCCGATAAGACCTGTCCTGTTCACCGGAGGCTAGGCTGATTGACTTTGATCCCCCTTCGCATTCCATCAGTGCACAGCTACAAAACATCACCCTGGACGACAATAGTCCCGAGATCACCTACAACGGGACTTGGACTACCAACCAGGTCGACCTTTTCTGGGGCGGTTCGTCCATCTACACCGCCACACCAGGCGATTCCTTTTCCTTTGACATGGAAGGTTCGGCGTTCTACGTCTATGGAGATCAAGTGAACGATCACGGTGCATTCTCGGTCTATGCCGACGATCAGCCGCTTACTCAGGGGGTTCTGAGCGGAAGGAGCGGGTGTGGCGGGGAGGACAGCAAGAGTTGCGAAAAGTTGGGAGGGTTGCATTTCTTTGCTGGAGGGCTCGGAGAGGGGAAACATACCGTCAGGGTCGTTAACGAAGGATCTGGGCCCAACGCTCCTTACTTTGGTGAGTACGCCTCAGCGTGGACGGCTAGCGATGCGAACGACTGACTTTCACATCACATCGACCCGTTTTCAGACCTCGATCGAGTGACGTACTCTAAGCCTTCGGTCTACTCGACCAGACAGTTGGCTACCAACCTTACATGTCCCTTTGCGGACTGCGGGACAACGACGAGTCCTAGTCAGCCTTCAGGAACCGCCAGTCCGGCCGCGACCTCGTCTCAAGCGTCCAATGCGGCCTCAAGAGCGAGGATTCCATCTATCTTTCGACCTTTTGATATGATTAAGAGCTTCATGATGTGGGATTTGTGGACAGGAGTACAAGCAGAAGTCCTCGGAACGTCCGAAAAGCAGGCCGGTCCATGGCAGGCGGTAGCAAACCGGACGAGCGAATTGGAAGAGAGCGAGGAAGGAAGACACACGAACAACTGGGCGGTATTGGTCTGCACTTCGAGGTATTGGTTCAACTACAGGGTGAGTAGGCTCGCGTCCTATCCCAAGATTCGTTGAATTGATGATGATGATGGATTGCGGTCCTTAGCATATGGCTAATACCCTTGGAATGTAAGAATATCTTATCATGCATATGAATACGTGTTTTCCCATCTCATGGCTACGTTTTGCCGCAGGTACCGCACGGTAAAACGCTTGGGCATTCCAGACTCTCGAATCATCCTCATGCTCGCCGACGACGTCGCTTGCAACCCAAGGAACGGGTTCCCTAGCACCATCTATGCCAATTCAGGCAAACAGCTCGACCTGTATGGCAGCGGGGTAGATGCAAAAAAGACTGGCGTAGACGAGGCTGTCGGTGTCGAGGTGGACTACCGGGGCTATGAAGTCAACGTCGAGAGTTTCTTGCGAGTCTTGACGGGTGAGCAAAGATTCATCAAGGAAAGACCGGTGACAAAGCTGAACTGAATTCTGGGCTGACTCCAGGTCGATATCCCGATTCGCTACCTGCCTCGAAGCGGCTGCTTTCCGATTCGTCTTCAAACGTCTTCATCTACATGGCAGGACACGGAGGGGACGAGTTTATGAAGTTTCAGGACAACGAAGAGGTTGGAGCTCATGATATCGGGGATGCCATCGGGCAGATGTGGGAAAAGCGAAGGTGGGCTGGAGCTGAGGATAAGACGTGAGATCGGGGCTGACGAGCTTGTTTGCGACCTTGCCAGGTACAACAAGTTGTTCTTCATGACTGATACCTGCCAGGCGAACACCTTGTACAAGCGGATCTATAGCCCGAACGTGCTGGCGACCGGGTCTAGCGAGTTGGGAGAGAACTCTTACTCTGTGAGCCCAAAATCTGTCTGACAGCACAGGCGAACACTGTCCGAAGCTAAGCTTATCTGAACATGCAGCACCATAACGATCACGATATCGGCGTCGCGGTGATTGATAGTTATACACACTACGTGTTGCAATACCTAGAGGGTATCGACATCGGCAGTAATAAGACCATGAAAGACTTTGTGAGTACTGTGTCGCTCATACCTGTCACGTGTGGATCGCTGATCAAGCTATCCTTCAGTTTGACCACTATGACCCGGTCAAGATCAAGTCCCATCCGGGCGTCTTTACCGACTACTTCCCAGATGCACTGGACGAGGTCCTCGTCACAGACTTTTTCGGCGGTGTCTCCCGTGCTGAAGGCGTAGAACGGGTTTCGCCCGGACATCCCGGTGGGACGGTAGTGGTAGCCGATGGTCATGATGTGAGGTCGGACGAACAGGTGGAGATCTCGACGAGCTCGAGGCAACGACCATTGATCCGACAAGGATATCTGCTTGGCCAATCAAAGATGGCGTCGATTTCGGAAACCGATCGACTCGGGGTAACCAAGGCAAGAGGTTGGCGGGAATGGGTTGCTCTCAGTGGGCTCGTCGGTTTAGGAGGCATAGCTTGGGCCGCAAGCAGTCGGTAGGAGCTAGAATTAACAATTTCACGAGATTCGCTTGTGTCTGTATTCGCAGTCGTCAATGTAGACGTCAAGACATGAAGACAGGTATGCGCCAGCATCAAGAGCACAAACCCCCTCAGAGAAACAGATTTATGATCACGTCCTGAGAGATTAGATCGCCACTGCCCTTCGATCATCCTAGCATGGCACGAGTTGAAGTCGAGCGCGCTGTAGGACATAAGGGGCAGACCGGTGTGCGCTTTGAACCCCATCAGGCATCTACCACCGTAGCCCATACGCTGACCGGACGGTGCCATCGATGAGATCTGCTTACTAGCAGTATGAAGTCCTTGCCACCGATTGTTTAGCCAAGTCAAAGTACAAGCTCGTATGCTCAGAGCGCATACACAGGTCGTCGTCGAAAACAACATGTAATCATTACGTCAGAGGATACTGTCGCTAAGTTTGTCCTTGTATTTCGTCCGTTACGTCCGTTCTCTATTGCTTTGCAGCCTGCTCCTCGTCTTCTTTCTTCTGCAGAGCCTTCATTCGCTCTTGATTTCTGCGCTTCGCGATCAGTCGGACGGTCCTCTCCTGCTCGGGGGGAGTCATCTCATGCCAGTTGGAGATTCTCGAGAGGGTCCCATCAGAGTTGACTGATACATTCCTCGAACGCGACATCAGGTTGCAAATCCTATGATTGAACAGCTCTATGACGCTCACCGATGATAGGACCCAGCTCATCCATCTGGATGGTCGTACCCTCGACGACATTCAGCGAACGAGTAGAGGGTTCGTGAGATGGATCACCCGGAGCAGGAAGGGCGAGCTGCGGTTGCTGCGGCTGGTCGTTGTTGTTCGACATCTCTAGCTGATCTGCCTTTTTGAATAAGCCTTACAGGACGTCTGTCGATGGATACGATTCACAGGTCTTGGAGGATACATATCGCGATAAAAAGTCCGTTGCAACTCTCTACTACGTTACCTACTGATCTGCTCGAGGTGATCGACCTCGGGCCTCGGGCATTACCTCCGAATTATCGAAATACTTCCGATAGCGTAATTTTGATTCCGGAGCAGGAGCAGCATCACCCTCGACATTATTATTGAAAGCCAAATAGAGTCGATTGCTGGTCGTCTCCTTGTTCTAGCCAAAGTCATCTTATACTTCAGACTAGACAGCTGCCAGTTTCCTGGTTCTTGCAGCTATGGATCTCCCTGACAAGGCTCGAACGCCATCCAAGACCCCTTCAAAGAAACGGGAACGCATGGTCTCGTTTCCCAGTAGCCAGGACACACCTACCAAGAGTCGGAGAGGCGATACCGATCTATATGGGAGGTCTCGGACCAAATCGCAGATGAGCGAAGTCGTAGGAGAGGACATGGCAGCTCCGCTCCAGGGCGATCTTTCTTTCTCCATGCCTCATTTTGGGCCTGACGAGGATACCGACGAGGAGTCTTCTGAGAACCAAGCGGGAACTTCGAAATCTAAAGAGGAAGATGAGGATGCGGTCGAGATGACCTACATGACGCCTCGAAGGCGAAAAAATGCTGCTGGTACGCCGGCTTCCGCAGCCTCCACGATATCTCGATGCTAAATGACTCCTGCTGGAACCGATCAGGCTCGAGTAAACCGATAGACAAGGGCGTTGTAGAGCAGTATGAACCGCCAAGTTTTGCTCGATCAGAATTCGAAACGGTCAGTAAAGTGTAATAGACGGGTGTTAACCCTGGACTGATGGTTGGTCGGCGATTTCTACTAGATCGTTAGGAGACTGAGGAACCGGAATACGACCAAGAAACCGACCACGCACAGACCCAGGTTTAGGAACATGAGCTATGATTGGCAATTCGCCGGTTGGGGGTCGTACGTGATTTGCGGACCATCTGGGACGATCGTGATGTGGACCTGATACACGCCGTACAGTATGAGCTATTTAGATCTGACCCCTGAGGACCTGCAGCAGGCCAGAAGCAAGCTGGAGAAGCGCAACGATAAGCCGAAACTCGATCAGTATCGAGCGACGTCGATCGCAGGGAATGCCGTGTGGGGGTCGGTCTTCTACTCGTGAGCTAATCTGTGTCATCCCAAACACTGGAAATAGTCTTTTGCTAAATCTTGCGGGTTTTCTTAGACTCCCAGCGATAGCAGCAGTAGCGGATGTATACTCGCCGATCTGTATGCTGGTTGCGTGTAGCATCTTGTTCCTCCTCAAACCGATCCTCCTCGAGTTGGGAAGCGCCATGAGGATTGATGGAGCCAACGTGAGTGCCGAACTGTGACATCTTCGGTTGTTGGTCACTAACTCGAATTTGTCATAACCTGTCTTAGTACACGTACATGCTGAATACAACAACAAAGTTCGTGGCTCTGCTCGCGGGGACCGTGACCATTATTGATGCGTGAGGATACTTTGCTGGCTTTAAGAGCATGAGCGAGACTAACGCTCAGACGTTTTCAGTGTTGCAACGGGTATTGTCTCTGCAGCAACAGCGGCGTCCGTGAGTGCAGTCGTCCTGCTAATAGTTCTGCTCTTCGTGCTGACTGTAAGATGACTTCAGTATATTGGCGGAGAAGCCCGACTTCCCTTCCCGGAATTTGTCCTGGCCATCATCCTCCTCGCAGCCTTCACAGGACTCTTTCTGATGGGCGTCAAAGAGAGCAGCGGTGTGACTTTGACCATCTGCACGTTTCATTGCCTGACCATGCTCGTCCTCGCTATCGCCGCGATCATCCATTGGGCACAGGTGGGAAATGCTGTGATCTCTGAGAATTGGCACTCCGCGCCTGCAGTTACCGGAAACATTGCCAAATCAATCTTCAATGGAATCTGTATAGGCCTTTTAGGAGTTACGGGGTTCGAATCCGCACCTGCGTAAGTCTATTACTCCCGCCGCTGTCCGATGATACCAGTTTGACTGATCGTTCGCTTTCTTCCGGACAGATACATCTCCTCGATCCGCCCTGAAGCCTACCCTAAGGTCCTGCGCAACCTCGTCATCGGCGCCATCATCGTCAACGTTCCCATTCTGCTCTTGACGTACGCCGTCTTACCGAGGGAAAGCATCATGAGCGGAGCAAACATCTTGTCCCTAGTCGGAGAGCGTGCAGCAGGTTCTTGGTTGAGGATTGTCATCGTTATCGATTCCGCTGTCGTAGTAAGTCACTGGTTATACGTGGTTGGCCGTGCATACCTGAGCTGACTGCTTCTTGCTTCTAGCTGTGCGGAGGTGTATTGGTAAGTTGGTCAGCTCGACAAAGGCAATATCGCAGCTTGACTAAAGATCCTTCTTGATCAGACTGGTGCCGTCACTACCTGCAGCTTGGTGGAACGTTTGACACAGTCAGTAACCAGTCCTCACCTGCTCGCATCACGTCAACGTTTGCTGAACGTCAGGCTCGTGTTAGAGATCGAGGCTTGCCCGCCTTCTTCCTTCGGGCTCTGCCCAATGGGTCTTTATGGGCGGCTTGCGCGCTGTATCTAGGTCTGACCGTAATCCTATATGCGAGCTCTGGCTTCTCCCTGTCTCAGTCTAGCAACGTCTTTTCAATGAGCTTTGTAAGTTTGATCGCGCCGAAAATGATGCTATCTCGCTGACTGTTGCCACCGCCTAGATGTCGGTCCTTCTCACAGTAAGCAGGACGTTCGACGATTGATATGTAGGGTTCACTGAACCTAACCTCATGGCCCTGTCGCTTTGCAGTTCGTAGTCGCCGGCCTGATGTTGAAGATCAATCGAGACACGCTCATGCGAAACAGTCGCACCTCAGCCGGTCTGGTCATCCTGGCCTTGGCTGTGATCACAACGACGATCCTCGGGAATCTCGTACAAACGCCTATCATCCTACTATTGTGGGGCGTGACCCTAGTGGTGATAATGTTGCTCCTGACGGTTTATCAAAACCAACCTCGGATCTACCGCTGGGTCTTATACCTGTACGACAACGCAAGGTTCGCTCGTAAATGGAACAAGAACGGAGAGCAATTCTTCGTTCGGCGGATTAAGGAGCTGAACAAGCACGCCGTTTGTATCTGGTAAGCCGACTGCGAGACCCTGGCAGAGTACTCGGTTTACTATTGACAACCTCGGTCACCCGTTCATCCTGCTACAGGATCAAAACGGACGATGTATGCGGAAAAGGCGAATCATGATGGGTAGCTAGCGACCGGAAGCTGACGGGCTGCATTCTCGCTGCAGATTGCTACAATGGTGCGAGCGGAGCTCTATGTCAGACAGAACGAGGCGACTTCACGCCTGGTCTTTATACATGCCTACACCTCGGTGAATGCCATCCCCTTCGAATTGGAAGCCAACGCCAAGGTGAGATTTGAACGTCACCTGGCCTACCTCGTCCTGGTAGTTGACAAGCGCGTCTTTCGAATCTTCAGATCGTCGACGAGATTTTCCCCGACATCACAACGGATCTCGTACTCGTCAAGAATCACTCAGCATTTGGCCCAGAGGTAAGCAAGTGCACTTGTTGTTGATAAATCTATAGTAGGGAGTTCATTGATCAACGCCATCCTTGAGTGCAGCTTGTGCATGCGGTAGCGGAGAAACTGGGCGGGATGCCTCACGCTCACTTCTTTGGCAATTTGGACGATGCTCACTACCCCTTGGACCTTGCATCTTACCAGGGTGTTAGGATCTGGGGCGGGTAGACCTCGTCTGTGTTGTGGAAGCGTTTCATCTCTTAGATTTAGATAATGTACCCCTTGCCTTATACCCCGCCCGGAGATGCATATTTTGTCAGCACACCATGCGATCGACCTCGTCATTATTCATAATTGGCGCTGAATACAGGGCTACAACTTGGTGTCGGTGACACGATCATTCACAATCCCGCTGATACAGTATTACAGGTCCATCTTGGTGATTTTGCTGGTTCTTCTTGCCAATCGGTGTGAAGGCTAGTGTTGGTGTGTATGCTTTGCAATCTAGGACCATGTCTTGAAAAGCTGGCCAGGCGCCAGCCCGAAACCAGGCGTTTGCTGGTGAAGCGGGGTTGGGTGATCCGTTGTTGGTTGAGGTCCGCTCTCGTTTGCTTTTCGTTTTTTACCCTTGGCTCGCTTGATATCGTCCTCTGCGTCGGAGCTCTTCGCAGTCTTGTTTCCGGTACGCAGTGCTTGAATCTCATCCTTCAATTTTCGGTTGGCAGTCTTGAGCTGATGTACTTCGTATTGCCATGATGTGCCTCGTGTTGTATCCATCTCCTCGAATACGTTTTCGGAAAGAGGGTGAACGATGGCGGATTTCGGCTTTTGAATGCCTGTCGGGCTCGACTTGATCTGGACCAGGATCTGGAAAGGCAGTGCCTCCACGATACCGCTGACATTGCTGCGTAGATCGTCATCGGATGCGGTAGGTGATTCACGAGGTGGAGTTATAGGCCCAGCGGATGACGAACCCGCTGCAAAGAAGTTGGATGTGACTTCGCGAGTCCTGCCATCGAAGCCGATGAGCTGATGTCGCACCGACGTCGCGCCTCGCTTAGGAAGCCCCTCGGCCGACGTTGAAATCGCCTTCTCGACGGCTAATGATGACGAGTGACCGTCCGGAGCTGGAGGGCCGTCTTCGCCGCCGGCCATGAACGAGTAGATGCTTTTGCCAATCAACTCGCTCGATCGCGCACCAAAGATCTCGCCTATGCTTCCGGTGACCCAGAGCAAAAGACCATCCAAAGAGACCTTTGCCCACACCTCGGTATCGCTAAGGCCGCCATGATCATCAAGTGCTTTCCAGCAAAATGCTGGTAAAGTTCGATCTCGACCCGTCAGAACCATCGCCTTTCGCCCCTTGCCGGATTCGACCTGAAGCCGTCCACTGCTCTCGAGCCAGATGTATCCGCTCAGCTTTCGCCGTACACGGAACAACATGTTGATAGCTTGTGGTTGTCGACCCTCCGTGGGGGTATGGGTGGCATCCTTGAGCTCCCGCATGACGGGAACGATATCCGAGGGATGACAAATGTCCGAGATGTGTTTGTTCAAAAGGTCCTCGGGCTCGTATTCTAGTACCCTCGTCACGCTCGGCGAGACGTACTGAAACTGTCCCTTGAGCGACAAGACATGCACAAAGTCTGCGAAGGAGAGGGTCAGCGGTGTGAGATGCGAACTTGACTCAATAAGCACGTTGCTCGAAAGCTCACCATCGGTATTGGCGAGGACAAGCTGGAGCCACTCCGACTTTCCAACTTCTTCGCCCCCAGCCAAGACCGCTGTCTGGGCCTTTTGCGGCAAGAGGGCTAGCATCTGCCGGGAGATTCCGATCGACGTCGGTGGTGGCGGTTCGATAACAGGTTTCGCCGCTGGTTTCATGGGCGGTTGCGGGTTGTTTTGCACTGTGTAATTGACCTGATATGAACCGTCCCGCATGTTTCGCAGAATGGCGTTGGGCTGTTCGACGAGGTCGACCTGAAATCCAACGTGATAGACAATCTCGTCGCTGTCCCACGTGATCGGCACTACCGTGACCAAGTTGATGCTGAAAAAATAGATCAGGGTATCAGTTCCCGCGGGAAATCATGTTCTGTGAAAGCAAGACGACTCACAATGGCGTTCCGCCCTTGCGATAGTTAATCAAACTGGCTTGACACTCTTTGCCCGCTTGCAATAACCGCTTCATGTGAGCGACTGCGACATTATCGGTGTACTTTCTTCTCGACCCCTTGGCGACCTCGCCATCTGGACTCTGCAAGAACCGACAATTGCGGCCCAAGATTTCCCTCGCCTCGTATCCTGTCAATTGGGAAAAGGTCGGTGATGTATAGACAATGGGAGAATCGAACTTTCGCACATCCTGTTCGAATGGGAAGTGGGTCAGTAAACCTGAACCATGAGCTCGCGCTCCCATTGAGAATACATACCGAGACGACGAAACTACAACTACAGTCGACCGGGCCCAACACCGTCTTGGGGTCCTTCCGATTGGCCACCTTGGCGAGCACGCTCACGATGTCAAATCCGGTCGTCGAGTACAACCCCGGCATATTGGGCCCAGCCGGAGTTTGAGTGGCTAGAGTGCCCGGGTTGACCAGGCTCCCGAGACCGTTCGAGGCGATCAGAGAAGCCGCCGTATTGGAGGCCATATTGTCCGAGGCGGACGAGGCAAAGGCGTTCTCGTCTATCTGGCCCTGGAAATTACCGTTACCCGAAATGTTGCCCTGTGCGCTGCGGACGGTATCCTGACCAAAGTTCATGCGGGAACTCGATGCGAACGCGGACGAAGTGGGAAATGCTGAGTTGGGCAATAATGCCGACGTCGGTATGGACATGTCGAGCGGACCTGAACCACGGTGTGAGTTGTTGGTGCCGTTGTTGCCACCACCGTTATTGCTGTTATGATTGCTGTTCATTCCCCCCTGCGGTCCTGAGACATTGCGCTGGATATTCTGAACATTCGAAATGGTATATGGTGACTGGACGATATTGCCAGGGTTACCTGGATCGAATCCGAACCCGTTCGGCATGAATGGTCTCGATCCATCGACACTAGAACGGGTCGCAGCCAAATCAGTACACTTAACCACAAAGAGCTCAGGAGGGCAGAGAGAAAGCACGCTGGACATACGAGAAGTTCCAATTGTCCCACTGATCGAAACCGCCGGAATCATTGTGTCCGTCGCCCATGTTCAGTCCGCTCCTGTTCGCGCCGGGTGTCGCGGAACCTCCACCCATCCCCTGCACATTCCCGCCGTTATTGCTCCAACCGATATTACCGTTCCCTTGACCTCCATTGTTCTGTCCATAATTCCCCATCTGATTTCCGTAACCAACGGTATTGTTGACGCCGTTCCCGGTGGCGCTGTTGTTTGCATTCCCAGCGTTCACAGACATTCCTGCGCCTGGTGGTGGACGGTTGTTGGACCCGCCAGCCAGACTCTGGTTGTACATCCCTTCGAGTGCCTTGGTAGAGTTGTTTCCGTACCCTGACCAAGCCTCCGCTCCGTTCGGATAGGCAGGTCGAGAGTTGGTAGGATTCAGAAAGGCCGGCAACTAGGGGTCGTCGCAATGTCAATCTCTCGTGGTTCCGCCAGATCGCATGTATCTGTGAGAAGGGGCGGCATCGACCGAGACTCACCTGAAATCTGACCTCGCCGTGAAAGGCAGAAGGATCCAGACCGTACGGGTTCAACCCGTTCGCACCGGCCTGTCCACCTCCCGTCCCGTTGCCATTGCCGACCGCCGTCTTGTTGTTCGAACTCTGAGGTCGTGCCGAAGGTCCTCCCTGCTGTTGTTGTTGATAACCTCCCACGGCCGAGTATCCTCCGTCCATCCCGCCCGTCGACCCACTCGGTCCCGCACCGTTACCACCACCACCTTGTCCTTGTCCGTTCGAGGTCGACTTGATTCCCTGGGCAAACGAACGGTAGAGATCGTCGTTCCCAGCAGGCAAATGACCGATCGAATTGGCCGTGGGGAAAGCGATGAACGACGACAAGTCAAAGGGCGAGTCTGCCTGGGAAGGAGGGCCCTGAGACGAAGTAGGTGGGGGGTGTTGGTTCTGTTGACCTTGGCCTTGGCCTTGTTGATGATGTTGCTGTTGTTGTTGTTGCTGCGAATTCATCGTGACAGCTGGTTATATCGGAACGAGAAGAGAAAAGTAGGATGTGATGGTGTTGTTGACGAGATGAAATATTATGACGTGAGGTCGACGTGATCGAGGTAATTATGACGGGCTTCTTATCGATGACGCAGTGCGCGAGGTAGTCGACCGGGCCTAGAGTCGTTTTTCGACAACTAGCAGGGGTACGTGTCAATAGACACTGGTATGGAGGCCTGCGGTTGTAATCTCCCGAGAGTGGTGATCCTCTGGTAAAGTCTACAGTCGACCAGGTGGTATGCCTGATAGACCCGACTATGTGACAGCTGCGAGGACTTGCGTCTGGCGTCAAGGTTGCTGGACGTCTTGTCGTCGTCTCGGATGTTGAGGAAAGGGGTCCCGTATCGTCCGCTCAGTGGTGCATAACAAGGATGCCAAGAGGTCGAGCTGGGAGGCAGGACCGAGGGGTTGATATTGGGTTAGGGAGATGTATGTCTCCGTTCCCCGTTTGGTAGCTGTCTAGAAGATTCGTAAGGAATACGAAAGCGGGTAGAAGATCCGTTTGACCGTCTCTCTCCTAAGTGGTAGCGTGGTTTATTCAGCCCTTTCCTCGATTGGCTGGACCTTTCCCGGTTCTGGGTAATGACTATTGTGGTTTCGTGACGTAGGATTTTCGCTATTCGAATTCTTGCTGCCTAGCCAGGACGGGGTCCTCGTGTACGTTCGAAGAGAGAGAGAGAGCCAGCCGACGAGAATTGCTTTCGACTTTTCCTGCCTGTGCAAACTAGTTTTGATTGATGATGATGGGTAGGAGTAGTAAATGTCGTCAGACACACCAGGTTGTCAAAGGTTGAGAAGGTGTAAGGGATACGAGAGAGAGCGGAGAGAGGCGAGGAAAGAGTGGGTGGAGCCGGGGGGAGGAGGAGGAGGAAGGGAGAGCACGAGAGGGGACAGGACGGCGACCCAACGATATGACTCTTAGCGCGCGTAATCGCTCGAAAAAGGCAGAGAGAGCAGAAGCAGAAGCAAAGACAGCGACTCCCGTCAGAATCGTACACACACATCATGCCATAATTCAATCTACATGCAGGGAATGGGAAATGGGTACTACTAGCTGCTGGCTACTAGCTACTGGCTACTGGCTAGGCGACCAGAAGAGATAATCTCGTGTGATCCCGCGTGTTTCTGCTGCTCGTCCAACCCCTCCGTCGAATCACTCTTCCGGTCTGAATCCTGGTTCCTCGATGTCTCTCCGTTTCCTTGGGCAGGTACAACGTCCAGCGTAACCTACAGTTTGTGATTTGTAACGTTTTCCACCTGCGATCTCGACGGATCTCTACATGGGCTCGAACGATCGAAAAGGCGCATACGGGGCCACCAGCTACCAGCATCCTCCGAGAAAGGTTAACAGCCCGCGACAAGAGGCGTTCTCTTCCATCCCTGTGTGGCAACTGGGGAAGCGGGAGGATACCACAATTGTCGTCGCGTGTATCTGTCTGTACCGTATGTCTAGGATCCTGGTGTTGACGTGCTGGTGGATTTCACTGACGGACTTTCATTGCGTCACTTCTGATTTCCCTCCTTCCTCATCCGCCGTCACATCCCATCCATCCCATTGTTGTGTTCGTCCGGAAGGTGCGGGTGACAAACCTGACGCATGATGACGTCTGAAATTTGATGACCGTTTCAAACGCCGGGTGTAGATCCACCATTCTTTAGCAGGACTCGTGTGTCGCGGTCTCATGTCATCCCTCCTCCAGTATCCAGTGTGAACGGGCGTCGCACCTGTCCTGAGCTCCCAAGTCACATGCGTACGACAACAGGACAAGAATCTCAAACGGACAGATTGCAGGTCGCAGGCTGTCGGGGTACGTTGTGCGCTTCGCTGATATCCCCCCTCCGCGTCCTCGATCGATATCCTCCCCCGAACGCTGGAAATCGAAGAAGCTGCTTCGGTATCGGATCTCGCTTGCCTCATCCTCGGGGTGGCGCTGCGAGACACAAAAGCTGAAAAGCATCCGAACACAGGCAGGGGCAGGACGAGGGGGACGGGGAATAGTCGACGTCATTTGTCCGTCTCGCGTGTATAGCCGAAGTTTATTGATTGATTCCGAGATATCTCAGAGGGTCCGGGCTTGATCTTTCCCACGCGTCATACCAATCGCTCGTATAGCTCTTGCGCGTTTCAGACCGTGTTGTTGTGGCGCTGCATGCCGGCCGTCGCAGTTAGGTTTCTGAGAATGCGTCCCTAAGCTTGGCTTGACAAGTCAACTGTATCTTCGCGCTCGGGATTGTTGCCAGCACATCCTGTCCTGAGGGCGAGACACTGGCAAGAGCATCGAAAAGGTAGACCAGCTCAGGCGCAACCACAAGCCCTTGGGCAGATGTAACAACTTCAAACATAGTCAGGGAGCCAGGCCTGGAATTTCCAACCAAGACTCACGGTGGTGATATGAGCGTCGTTCTTTGGTGTCGGCATGAATACTCCATTTCAGATGTTAACAGAAAATATTGAGGAGATGATTCAGAACCACGACCACGATCTTTTCCTCTAGAAAAGTGAACATCATGCGAATCGATGTATGTATACTGGATAATATACCTTCCTTGAATTCGCTGTGACTGTTTTTGCATCTCCCATAAGCACATCTCGCTTCGCAGCTCTATAGAGTGCCCAGATGGGACTAAGGTTGAGGAACGTGACGCTGTCCTCTGTGATGACGCCCGGTGTGACCCTCGGACGCTTCGACGAATCCATTGCACCCCTCCCTGCGCTTCAAGCGAGCCGAACGATCCTGCGCTCATGAGGGAGCTATGATGCGGCATCTGCGAGTCGCGAACAGGGTTTGTACCGCGTTCGCCTTGCCGCCCACTCTCGTGGCGTGGAAGGCTACTGGAGTCGAGACTGCTTGGCCCTTTCCGAGCCACATAATCGCAGCTCGCTCACCCATCTTCCTATCTGTAGTAGTTTCTGGAAGAGAATAGAAACACCAATGAATGTATCACTAAGCAGTGTCTGGTATACATCTTATGCAGGTTCAGCTCACCCATCGCACAGATTTTAGAAAGCGACATGGTGGATGTGCATGACTAGACAGGAGAGGAGTGATATCATCTCTATTGCCTGGGCAGCTGTGATGCATTGTCTACCCTCTAGCTACAGTAAAGGCTTCTTGCTTGGCCACTGATCATCGATTGATCTTCGCCGATTTTTCTGCACTGCTGTCACTTCGAGCTAAATATTACCGCAGCATTTCGCCGTTCGAGACGCTTTCGAAGCGGACGTCAGAGACACCTCGACCTCCTGACCAGCAGCTATGCTAGCTTCTGTACGCCTAACAGCGACTAATAGTCAGTTGTTGACTCATCTGGTTGAGCAACGTGTCGCAACCTTACGTGAACTCTGGGCTTCAGGCTGACATACACGATAGCAACTTTGCGACAGAACCCATCAGGCTTAACTCGCATCGTTCTGACTAGATTGCCACCGTGACGTAGGATCCCAATGTCATATACACATGATAATGGCAGATGCTTAGATCGAGCGACAAGCGAGCTTTTCTCCAAGCATTTTCACTGGATTTCTTCTCTTGGCAAGGTGCGAGTATTGTAGGAGGTTTGAAATCGAAGCGAAGAATTCAAGGGCGTCAGAGAAACGCGAATCAAGATCTCGACGGTCTTTGCGCTGCCGAGAGAGTGAGAAGTTGAAGGATTTCCAAATCCTCTGAAACCCCTTCTCGCGCATTCGTGACATTTGCACATCTATATTCCTCCGCTCGCCTGTCCGAGCGGGCATCGAAATTACAACACGTAACCCCACTCCATCGTCTAGCCCCAATGGAACTGCGTCCTCCCACCACCTGGAAATCCACCTTGCTGGAAGTGGAATTGTCTCCCTCCACCCCCGAATGGGTGCCCTCCAAACGGATTTCCCTGGAATGGGCCACCACCTCCACCGCCGGCGTTGGCCATGGGGTCGTTCGGGTCGTCCCCGTTGTCGAATCTCTCTCGAAGCTCTGTCGTGGGGCGAGGCAAGCGAGGCAAGACGTCAGCGACGCCGCGCCGCTAAAAACTAGAGAGGGAACCTGACGGCGCGCGTAGGACTGACCTGGACTGCTAAGCGTCTCGTACGCTTCGTTGATCTGGGCCATCTTCTCCTCGGATCCTCCGATATCCGGGTGGTTCTCCTTGGCCTTTTTCCGGCTGAAGCGAACGACGCACGATGATCAGATATTCAGAGTCATCGGATTCGACGCTTGGGGGGAAGGGATACGACTCACAAGGCTTTTTTGATCGTCTTCAAATCTGCATCCCGTGAGACGCCCAAGACCTGTAATGCACGTCCGACCGTATCAGCGCATTGCACCTTGATGCGCCGTGCATGACCAGAGCAGATGAGAGGACTGACCTTGTAATAATCCTTGGCCTTCGACTGTTTCAACAACCTCTGCGCCTTCTGCAACCTGTTCATGATCTGTCGCGCGAAGAAGGCAATTCGCCTCGCATCAGCCTCTACCCATCCCTTAATCGACCTGCCCAAGATCAAGGCAGACGCTTACATCCCGACTGCTCCTCCCGCTCTTCTCAAAAGCCTCGTTGAACGCCCTCACGGCCTCTTCCCACATTTCCTTCTTTTCGAAGATCTCCCCCCTGGCCGTCAGCGCGTCAATGTCCCCATCACCCCCACGCATGGATAGGACCAGGTCGGCGTATTTCTCGAGTTCCGCAGTATTTTTCAGTTCGAGGGCGAGATATGATTTCAGGCTCATGCGGTAAAGTTCGAGGAGGAGTTGAGAGGAAGTCAGGGGGGAAAACGAGACGGGGATGAAGGAAGGGGTGGCGGTAGAGATGGATTCCTTGACGAGGGCGATCAGCCCGCCAAAAGATGATGCCGACCCTGACCCGGTCCCGAGCAAGACCTTGATAGCCTCCCGATGATTGCCCCCTTCTACGAAATTCCTCGCCTGCGCCACCTGCTTCTCGACCGACCTGACGAGCTTGTGAACCCGTCGATGCGGCGCTGAATCCGGATCAAAGTGCAAAGCCTGTTTCACGTAAACCCCAGCTCTCGTCGGATCGTTCTGGACGAGATAGCTGTAATACGCCAACTTGAGGGAATGTGACGCCGAACTCGGTTGAAGGGTCGTCAACCGGGACAGATCGCCGACATAGCCTTCCGGGTCGGCCAAGTGTTCGTAGGCTTCGAGACGGAGCGTACGAAGGGGGATCGCGTTGGGTCCGACGAGGAGGGCGGTCGAGGTGGCTTCAACGACGGCGGGCCAGTCTTTCGAGGTCTGTGCTTTGCGGGCCATCGAAATGGATCGAATGGCATCGGCGAGGCGATGTGACTAGAGGTGCGGCAGGGTTACACGTGGAAGGTCGTCAGTTGAGACCAGGGAAGACACCTAGACAGGACATCTGCCAACTCACCAGCTCTTTGGCCTCCTCATCCCCCTTTCCCTTGTCCGTCTTCAACCATACGCCCAACTCTTTCTGAGCCTGCTCGAAATCACCTTCCTTGGCCAAGATCCTGGCTCGTTGCAGATGAGCCTGGTGAAAGTCTGGTTTCAGCTGCAATAGCTTTGTGAAATCCGTCAGGGCGAGTTGATGACGTCCCTGAGAGAGGTAAGTGGTCGCTCGGAGGTAGTGTAGGTTGAAAGATGTCGGGTCGAGGTCTGCAAGGGAGATGTGATCAGGTTGTTAGCAAACGAGGTGCCAAAGCGGACAAAGGGAATGAGATGAAGTGTCTGTTCGAATGCTAGCCATCAACCAGGACTCACCGATAGCGTTCGAATAAGCTCTACTAGCTCCCAGGTATTCTCCCTTGGCCAGCAAGGCGTCTCCTTGGAGCTTGAGATCTCGTATGGACGACGAATGCGACGAGGAAGAGCTCTCCCCTAGCACATCCCGTGTGGCTAGGGTGAGCGACAGGAGGATGGCCGTCACTGCCGGCAAGCGGGCGACGAGGTTGATCTTCATCTCGCGAGTAGAGGTGTGTGTATCCGTTGATCCTTGGCGTTGGTCCATAAAGCTGAATGTCTGTTCCTAACGGGGTTTCAGACGATATGAACATACCTCGACCAGCACTGCTCCCTAGAGAAGCTTCCGGAAAGACAGTGATCACCTTTACGGCATCTGGATGCTATCGGATGCTTTATCATGACTCCCTAGTTGTGTATACACGTCGCCCTCTCCCTCCCTTGACGCGACGCGTTTGATTGAATCGTGTCGCGTTCAGAGAGGTTCAGAGGGATCAGAGAGGTCGAATGTCGATATGGGTGTATCCTCTGATGGTCTTGGTTGTCACATCGCATGCCATCTACCGACACCGCACACCCAGACACGGCAACCGCCATGGCAGCTCTAGACATTCCTTCAGCGCTCGTCGAGGCTTTCGGACCCAAGTTGCGGGATCAACAGGACGTACTGAACGAACGCAAGTAGCTGATTGTCTGTTCGATGACTTTTGAGAGCACCTCGAGCTGACCAGTACTCTGCTTCTCCTCCTTTCCCTCGCGACCTGCGGAAACGCATTACAATGCTTGGGCCATATATGTATACCTGCAGTCTCGTCGATATGCAAGATCTACTCCATCCCCGCCTCGGAGCTCTTTTACAAGTACGAAGCCCATCTCCTCTCCCTCCCCACCTCGCACCCTTCGCATCCCTCATCGACCTCGTCACACAAGAATACCTCGGGGATGGTGGATATGGAGGTAGCTAGAGAGTTGAGAAAGGTGGTCATGAGGGAACAACAATTGGGCAGGACGGGAATGCATGGGGTAGGAGTGGGAGGGCTGGGAGCATATGGTCATGCGGGCGTGAATGGGATGGCAGGGACGCCAGGGAGTAAAGCGGGAGTGAGAAGGACGGGAGCTGGAGATATTGGAGGGTTGTGAGTGGCCAGCTCTCCTCTATACTCTTCATCTTGTTTCCGAGGAGAGGTTTGAACATCTTCTGACATTGCTGCCCTTCACCAACCACTCAGCCTGGACACGTTGACCACCCCTTCCCGCCCATCCGCCTCTACCTCCAGCTCTACCCCACAATCGACCTCTGCTCGTCCCCCTCCTGCTACACCACAGTTCACACCGACACCCACCCAGAACAGGACGGCTTACCCCTCCAGACCGCCAGCCGGGTCGAGTTCGACGTCGGGGTCGGCGTTCGTCACCCCGTCCAGACCGATGGCCAACGGGTCGGGGTCGATGACGGACGGGGCGAGCTCGGGGATGAAGCCAAACGGTCTGTTAGGTGGTCCGTCTATGGGAACGCCGGGGATGGACGGGGGTTTCGACTCTCCAGGTGCCGAGTGAGTTCATATCGACGTCGGGTCGTCTAAGAGAAAAATCAAGCACGTAAACTAACAGATAAGTCACCACGCCCCTGGAAACGCCGGTCTTCTCGTTCGCACAGCTTCACCCCTCGCAAAGTCCCCTTTGCCCACCGCCCTTCCCCATCAGAGAGGCTAGAGACGCTGAACCCCGAACTGGACCCGGCGAGCGGAATTCCCTTGGATTTCTCGAGCCACAAGGGGAGGGTAAAGATGAGCGGGACGAGGAGGATCGAGGATTACGATTGTGAGTCGCCATGACGAGGAGGTAGGTTCTCCTCCTCTTGACCTAGTCGTTGACGATCATGGTGTGCTAGATCGATACATGTTTGAAAAGATGACGGATCGGAGTGCAGGTGAGGCGTCAGTAGCGGACGAGCGTGTGATGGTCACGCTGACTTGGGGAGTTTGCTACAAATTACGACAGCGCTCGACGAGGTGATTGAAGACTATGCGGATACTTTCCGGCTGGACTATCGGATAGACGAGCTGGGGGACCCAAGCGTCATCTCCGAGGTAGGTCCTGTCAAGCCAGGCCGTCCTTGAGCTGTCGCGCTGTTGAGGACATTGTCTGATCAGCGGCTCTTCCTTGCACTACAGGAACCCGTCCACGTCGTCGGGCGTCTCATCTCGACCCCGACGGATTCGGGCAAACCCACAGCCAACTCGTTGCAGATCGAATCCTCTCGATCCATCGGAGCGGGAAAGAGGACGCCGTTGGTTTTCAGCAACGACGTAAAAGTCCGCGGGGGTACGCCAGGGGTGAAAGGGTTCGGGGTGTTTCAGGGTGGGATCGTCGCGCTCAGAGGGAAAAACGGAGGCGGAGGCGCGTTTGTCGTGGACGAGGTGTTGATGGTTAGTCCGGGCTTGAAATTGCGAACGACTTTGACAAGCTCGAGCTGAAAATGTGTTACGCTTTGTGTGCAGCCCCATCCGAGCGAACTGGCGGTCACGCAGCCTTCCCAGCTGGCACAGTTTCAACATACGCAGTTGCAAGGCCAACCGCTCTCCATCGTCATCGCGGCTGGCCCGTTCACGCTGGATACCGACCTCGACTATGAACCGCTGGACGCATTGATGGAGGTCGTCAGGAACGATCGACCGGACGCCTTGATCCTGGTCAGTTTCCGGTACCCGAGGCTGGTTGAAGTGTGATGCAAGCCATACTGACCCGACGCCTGCTGCCAGTTGGGACCCTTTGTCGATTCGGCACACCCAAAGATCAAGGCGGGCGACGTGGACAAGCGACTGATCGAGATCTTCCGCGAACAAGTTGGGGATCGGATATCGTCTTTCTCGGAATCATGTCCGGGGACTCAGATCATCATGATCCCGAGCGTACGTGACCTGATCAGCCGGCACGTGGCCTTTCCGCAAGCCAACTTTGAAAAGGAACGAGCGGCCGAGTTGGGGCTGCCAAAGGTGCGTTTCACTAGTCATTTCAGAGTCTCGCTGTAGACACGTCCGCTAACTGAATTATCGGCCTCTGACCGTCTGCAGCGCGTCAGGTTCTTGCCCAACCCGTGCTCTTTCTTTATCAACGAGGTCTTGTTCTCGATGTCTACGGTCGACGTCCTGTTTCACCTTCGTAAAGAGGAATACTTTAGACGTGCCGAAGAGGCAGAGCCTGAACCGGGTGCCGTGGCATCCAAAGACGCCATGGCCGAGCTTTGTCGGCACGTCTTGAATCAGAGAAAGTGGGTGCACGAGGATATGAAGTCACTATATACCGCGGAGCTGATGCATGGGCCTTGCTCGACCTGGCAGCTTTTACCCAATCTTTCCTCCGCCGGCAGACCTCGCTGGCGATGTCAACCTGGACGTAACGCACCAGGAACTGCTGCGCTTCGAACTGCGTGCGCCGGACGTGCTCATCCTGCCGAGCAAGCTGAAACATTTCGCCAAGGCGAGTAGAATGCGATGTGATATATGCCATCATTCGCTGACGGTCGGATCCCGCTCTGCCTGACTACAGATCGTCGACTCGGTCGTCACCGTCAACCCGTCCTACCTCGCCAAGGCCTCGTCGGCAGGAACGTTTTGCAAGATGGCAATACATCCAGTAGCTAGGACCGAACTCGTGGCGGCTGCCGAGCGAGGGGACGAGGAGCAAGAGCATCGCGTGTACGAGCGGGCGAGGGTAGATTTGATCAGGATCTGATCTATGATGATGATGATGATGCTATATGCTGCGATGTTGCCAGGCTGGTGCCACGTTATGCTCGGGTTTCTTGATCCAATGGGGCTTTTACGTTGTTTGCGTTGGAATGTGCTGCGGTCCGGACCAAAACGTCCGCCTCTTTGCTCCTCTTCTCCTGTTCACGACGTCTCGGCGACCTCTCTCATCAAGTTGTCGCCTGACATCCATTTCGGGTTCGGCCAGACCTGTGAAGTCCTGACGATCAGCTCAGTCACTGCGACTTAGAGGGTCGCGACCGCTCCGCTCCTTCGCCCGGCTTACCCTGGCTAACACCTTGCCCTTGAGCATGGCCATCGGTACCGGCCCGTACGCTCTCGAATCCGTCGAATTGCTCGCATTGTCCCCTGCCAACCAGACGTACCCCTTGGGTATCCGTACGTGTTCGCTGTCCAACCTGCCTCTCGGCGTGAACACGGGTACGAGCTTGGCATCCTCGTCGATCTGAGCCTGGTTGACCCGGTTGATCTCTCTCCGATGATCAGCGTCGAGCTCTTCCCACCGCTTATCGGGCTCGGTGTTCTTGCTCCTCTGCTCCTTGGCTTCCCGCTTCGCCTTGGTCCTCGCCGGGTCGACCTCGACGATGTCGCCCTCCATCCCCAAGATTCGTTTACACACCGTCTTGCTAGGGTCCGTAGGGGAGGTGGCTATGACGACGTCTCCACGACGAATCCCCCATTCAGAGGTCGGTGGACGGGGAGTTCCGTTCAGTTGAGCAGAGGTGATGTGGAACTTGAGGGGGATGGGTGAGATGAGGACAAAGTCGCCGGTGTGTGACAAGGTGGGCAGCATGGAGAAACCGGCGCACATCCTAATCTCGAGGAGGTCGGTGGATATCAGATGCAGCGTGGTCAAGAGCTGCGGGACAGAGGAGAGAGGGAAAAGATGAGTTGTCGAATCAAGTATGGTGTAAGATGTACTCACCTGGAGGGTGACGATGGCCGATCGACGGTAGAGCGGAGCATACGCCCTGACCTGATTAGCAAAGACCATCCTGCCGAGTGAGGTAGCAGGCTGGAACGTCAAGATCGACCTCGATATCGTAGGCGACGATATGTCGCTAAGAGTGACTACAGTACTTACAGTAGTAGTATGATTCGATTCAGGCTGGCGGTACGCGATATGGGGTCCCCTTCTCATGAATAGGAGGGTGACTAGGAGGGTGGCTACATGGCTTGTTAACGAGTGACGTAAGCATGAATCATAAGGTTCAACCCACAACCCTTGCGCGTGTAAATTGGCCGTTGGCATGAATAACAGAACGAGACCTCGTAGATGATTCGCCTTCCGTCGATCGAAAGCGAGCTCCCTCGGATCCCTTGACAACCGCTTGTAAATATCTCGGTTCTGGTGGGTTACCCAGACCGTCTAGCAATTAACCTGGGATGGCGAGGTCGAGCACTATTTTATTTTTTGCTCTTCTTGCCCCTTCCCCTCCGGCGGGCGCGACTGCGACGATTGAAAACGTAAACACACGCTTCTCGCGTCTCGGGGACTCGGCGAGCGATGATGTAGGCCGTCGCTCTTCAACTCTATCACTTCGCAACTTGCAACCTGCAACTTGTTGACCATCATCATGTACGGATTATACGACTCAACTTGCAACTAGATTCAGACGCCCAGCACTTTACACAGCCAACTTGCAACCATCCGCGATGGTCAATCTCAAACAGAAGTTTAACAATCTCTTCAAGACCGACGTAAGTCGCGCTCCTCCATCTCGTCGCCGTCGCACTTCGAGTTTCCCCCCGACTGACCATCCCGAGGACATCGCGTACCTGCTTCCTAGATGGGAAGAAAGACGCTGGACAACGTCTTTACGATCGAATGGGCCGGACAGGAAAAGAAGACGGTCTTGATCCCCTCGAGAAGCTCGGACGAGTACATGCGTGGGCGAGTCGACGAGGAGGATGACCGGGAGGAGAGGATGGTGAGTCCATTCCCCGATTGACGCTTGGGACTCTGAAACCGTTGGATCCTAGTTGATACGGTATATACGGCTGGTGCAGGCATTGACCAACTCGGGGACGGTCGATCGACGGACTCGACGACGGTCATGAACGCCGGCACTCGATTCCGCAGCGACAGGCGGGATCGAGGACCCCTATCCGACAACTTGACACGGAAACCAAGGTTCGGGACCATACACCCACCATCATTCATGCCACTACGTTCTGGGAGCGACGACAATCGCCATGGCACACGATTCGAGACTGTCTCCTACACACTTCGTCCCGTAATCCCTGTGCCCTAGCCCCTTTCATCTGCACCTTTCGACCTCACAGGCTCGCTTGCTCGAAGAATTCTACTTGTACGACGACGAGACTTCGACTCCCTCAATTGTATCCTTGCTTCCCTTTTCTTGAACCCCTCGTTTCGTCTTTTGTATCTACATCGTTCTAACAGGAATTTCATGCGTACGACTTGATCTTGACATCTCGTCTGATCCAGTCAGAATTGCGATTTCCCGCTAATTCCAGAGTCGTCGAACGATCGTATGACTGTTCTCTAGTGCGTAAGCTGCGGCGGTGTTCATTCCCGTCCGATGATGTTAATGCTACAAAACTCCCGCCTCGTAATGCTCTCTCTATCCAATGACCATGTCCACCGATGCCATTCGCTACCCTTCCCGCCCGCTCCTCGTGACATCTCCTAAGCCGCCTTTTCGCCCTCGACCGCACCAGCAGGCCCCTCCTGGCCCTCCTTCAACCCTTGTTCCAGACCCATCAACGTCCTGACCAATCCTCCACCGCCAGCCTGCTGCGTGACTCCCAGAAGCTGTCTAGCGGGCATCTCCAACAACCCGACGAGCTGGGCTCGAAGCATGTCCATCTCCGGAAGCGTCTGGACGAGTTGGACGAGCTCGGGGGCGGAGAAGAGCTGATTCTTCTCCAACAATGCGCCGAGGAGGACCAGACGAGGGGAAGTCGGGTGAGACCCGGCGAGGGCGGTAGGGTGATTAGCTGCGGGTGGGCGATAACCGAGTGATTTGTTCACGGCCGCAAAGAGAGATTTCATATAGGGTGGTGAGAGGGTAGGCACGGTCAATAGTGCTACAGGGCCGGAGAGGAGGGAAGAGAGTTGATCGGCCGTGTGTGCGGGTGTGGAGGAGGATGGGAGGGAACGGATGACCGAGGCCAAGAGTCCCGTCCGGGCCACGGTAAACGTCGCTGCTACCGACGAGACGACCTCCTCCGACTGTTCTCCCTCGAGACCGATCTCTCCCATCATGTGCTTGGTGACCGGAACGCCCTTGACGGCCCGTCGGATGCTTCCCAACTCGGCGGAAGAGAGGTTGTTTGGCTGAAAGAGGATGACGGCTTGGGACTTTTCCAGCAGGTCGGCATAGGATCGGTAGAGGAATTGTTTACGTGGGGTGTAGATTCGAGCGGATGCACTGTGAGATGGGTCGTGAGGGGTTCGAGAACGGTTCGAGACGGAGCGGGTCGTCGTTGTCGTGGTCGAAGAGCAGGATGAGGTGTTGGGTTTGAGAGATCGACGGCTCGTCTGGAGGAAAGACGAGGTGGTGGCCCGCATGGCGGATGAGGAGGAAGCTATCGTCGAGGACATGGTCGCGAGGTGTAAGCTCTGCTATATCTGTGTCGTGGTTGCTGTCTCTAGGACGACGTCGACGCATTTTGAACATCATCTTTTGGGACTGGTCGACCTGTTCACCCCTCTCCATCAAGGTTTGCGCTTGGTAGAGGATGCGCTTCTGATTTGACAATCGCTTCGACGCGGTTTGCGCTCAGTCATGGCGATCGCTGGGACTGACGTCCATTCGCCATGTTTAACGTTTGCATATCAGAGTTGGCGATAGCTTGGTCCGTGTCAAAGGATAACCTGTGACTATCTGACGAGCGGGACGTCGACTCGGCGAAGATTGGAAGGGGTTGAGCGTCAGGTCATCCCCCCAGCCAGTGTTACCGATATCCCGCGTCGAAGTTGGCGCGGGCCGCGTCAATTGCTAGCGAGCGAGATCTTTGTTCGATCGAAGGAAAAGCACAGCACACAACAACAACAACAACAAATTCAACAACCCGACCAAACAGTTTCAATTCAAGGGTGACATCGTCCTCGACACATCAGATCCAACCAAACATCGCACCTCGCTCTTCTTCTCGTTCTCCGGCTACACTTTTCTGACACACTCGTTTACCACCCACCTACCCACACTCGCTACTCCGTCGCTCGTTTTCTACCTTGTTGCCCCTGCGCGCAACAACCCAAACTACCACTACTGGTCATTAACCAGCTATCCAACTACCTTCAAATCCCTTTGGACGAAACGAAGATCGACCATCGCCTGTACACAGAGTGATCCCTTTGTCCACAATCACATATTGAAATAGACACGAACGTCGATACGGACAGCTCAATCTCGAGTGTCGCTCGGCTTTGTAAACAGACACAACGCAAACCAAGCTTAAGGAAACTCTCCGATCAGAGATTCAGAAGAGAAGTAAACAAACTAGCGATTCCTGTATCTGGACCATACCGACACAAACGCCATCACCATCACCATCACGCCTGAACCAGAGATACCCTTCAACTCCCAATCGCACTCTCGCCTGCCACGGAACCTTAGGATGGCTGTTGGCGAGACCTACTTGGGCAGCGGAGAGACGTAAACAAGATATCCCGAGCGATACAACACCACGAATCAAACCACTTGGGCAACTCGCCGAACAATACGATCATTGCAATCAGAACGAACAATACGCACGGGACGACATACCACTCTAACGACAAGACGAGAACAGGGGAGACGGACGCAATGTCGATCAGGATGCAACAGAGAAAGTTGACGATCGATACGCACGTCGCGCAAGAAGGGTACGGGGTCGCGACGGCCGAGGGCATGGCGGCGGGGACGGACGGGATGGTCGATATGAAAGACTGGTTGGCGAGGAGTAACCCGTCGGTGCGTTTCTAGTCCCGAGTTTGCCTGCAATTCTGGTCAGGATATAAGCTGATCTTCTGTGCGGATAGAGCCCGGTCGCATCCCCCAGTACGGGGATGGCAACGGGGACGAGCACGTCGGCTAGACCGATCGATCTGTTGTCCTACCTCGCCTCGGCTAGCCCACCGCCTCCACCGCAGCACGTCAATGGCCAACAACCTATCAGGGCTCAATTTACTCGACGTGAAGATCTAGAACAGACGATGATGAGGGCTGCACAGGCTTCCGCCGGAGCGGCGCCGACCAAGTTGAAGAAGCAACGTTCGGCTTGGAACCTCCGGACGGGCGGAAAGGAATCGAACGAGACTACCGGTGTCAACACCAACACGCCCGCGACGAACGGGTGGGGCGGGTTCGTGAATAGGTTGAGGTCGAGGAGTAGCCATAACCTCAAGGCGGACGTTGCCAGGGATGCAGCGTCGACGAGGTCGAGGAAGCCGATGCCACCTTTGCCCGTGTCTGTGACCAGAGGGTACCAGAGCGCGACGGTACCTACAAAGGGTACTCATTCGGCCGTTGAAGGAGTCACATCCCGACCAGGAACGTCTCAAGAGGTCTACCAACCAAGCCACCCACAAAGGGTGTCGCTCGGGGATGATCTCGTCCACCCGAACGATCGTTCTCGAGCGGGTTCGGCCGCCCCCTCGGCCATGACCTATACTTCGGCTTCTTCCTCTTCGACGAGCGGGTGGAGCAGCAGATTTCCCACTCCGGCCGCCACTCCAATGACGAGTGAAGGTGACGTGAGGGTAGAGGTCGATCCCTTCGACTTGACAAGCCCGACGACGGATATCTTCAATTTTACTGAATTGGGATTCTTGCGAGGTTCGGATGGACGGCACGTGTATGAAGAAGAAACGCCAGGAGGAGGTAGGTATAGCGTCTTTGGGTTCGGAGGAAGCGCAGAGTCCAAGTCGATCGGAAAGAGACCGTCCACGAAGAGGTTGGGAAGCGCGAGGAGCTTGAGGGACCTCAGGGCTGCTGCGGGGGGGTTGTTTGGCGGAGCCGATCCCGCATCGGCGGGTGGGACGGACAGGCGAGAACATCATCAACTCGAAAGAGGATTGCCATCTGCACCTCCCTCGGCAACGTTGAGGTATAGACGTTCAGCGGCCAAGCTCGGTGGCGGCGCTGGGGACAGAGAAGACGAATACAAGACCGTACAAAAACGGAGCAGTATGAGCTGGTTGCGCGGAACATTTGGACGTAAAGAAACGTCTGGTGCTGGACAAGAGGACGGAGCGAAGAGGACGATCGTGGAAAGGCCTAGTATCGAAGAAGCGGGCAATGTCAGTCCTAAGCAGGATCGAGTGACGACACCTCCGGTGATGACGGCTGTGGTCCCGGAGCAGGTGTTGCAGACACCCGTCCAGAGGCACAAAGTCAGACCGGCATTGACCATCACTTTGCCCTCGAGCAACTCGCTAGGTGGACCCAGACCTGCGATCCCATTATCACTGAGCGACGAACACGTTTCCCCGGCTGCAACGGGAGACAAGGGCAAGGCCCAATCGCCAGAACAAGATGAAGCGGTCTCGGCGACCACCTCGTTGCCAGCCAGTACCGGGTCGTTTTCCGACTTGTACGCGGAGTTGGGAATCATGCCGCCTGGGGAGAGCGACGAGGAGATGCCGTACAGTCCTCGTGTGGAGAGACCAATCGACGCGTTCTCTTTTGGAGACATTCTCGCTTCGTTGGGCGGGACTCGACCGATCGAGGTGGCTACACCGGACAAGACCAACAGCGTCGTTATCGGAAAAGGCTCAACCGGGACGTCGACCGTTAGCTCAGGGCGAGAGACGAAACGGAGCAGTTGGAGATCGTCCAGGCATTCTATCAAGCCGGCCAGCGCGCCCCCGACCGCCGATCTTCCGCCGTTGCCAACTTTGGCGCACTTGCAGGCGGGCGAACAGTCGAACGAGACAGAGCATGATGCGCCTTTATTGTCGTCCCCGCGCACGGGCTCACAGGAACAACCGCTCAGTCCACGTTCGGTTGACTTGTCGAGCGGCATATCATCCGCGGTCGAACTGGGCTTCGAACCTATCCAACATATTCGAAGCTGGGACGAGATACGGGCCGTTGCACCGGATGCTATGCGTATTAGTGACGGGAGCGATAGCGCGGACGTTACGCTGGTCACAGAAACGGAGACTGATCTGGATACAAGCATGGACTATGGGATCTTGGACACGTATCATGATGCGGTCGACATGACTGGGGCGGTCGGCCACATTACCTGCTCGGCCGGTGGTTCGGGAATTGCTCCCAGCGGATCCGGCAGCACTCAGCAACCGTCGAACGGGGCGGATGAGGCTGTTGGATATTCACCCACCCAGATCGTGCCCAGGGGACGTGAGTCGGCTGAACCTCGTAGACGTGGCGGACCGTCGAGGTCGCGTTCTAGCTCTCGCTCGCCTCGACGAGTCCCCGCACGAGCAGGTTCGCCGGCGTCGCAAGATGGAACAGATGACGAGAGTGACGGGTCAGATGGTAGCGATTCGGATGATGCCGGGGAATCGGGTTCGGACGATGATGTGCCGTTAGCTCAACGTATCCCGGGCGCACTTCGTGCGCAAAGGACCCTCCGACGTGTGGCCAAACGCGACCCCAATTCAGCGGCTACGCCTCGAAAAGATAAGCGTCGACCCAGAATCGACGGGCGGGACAATCCACACTGGCAAGGAGAAGGCGGGGTACCTGCGCGAGCTTTAGAGCAAAAGTTGCTGGCCTTGTCTGACTCCAGGAACACCTCTTCCCCTGACACCTTCGTTCCTCATCAATACCGTTCAACCAGTGTTCGGGTGCCTCGACCCCCCGCGCCATCGCACCAAACCAGCTCGAGACAGGTAACTCAACCGGTCGTGCAGAGCGGCACGCAATCGGACCTCTCGAGACATGCGAGCGTCAATAGATCCGCTTCCCGTATGCGACACCATCGCTCGGTCGAGAACAGTCCCGTGCTCGAAAGTGCTGGATTCACCCCTGTATCGTACGCCAGCAGTAGGAGCCAGACGCCCGGCATTCCACCCGTGCCTGTGCCCAGACTTCACAAAGCTCTTCCTTCCGGCCATCAACACATTGAGGCCGACTCTTCTGGAAAAGAATGGCTTGCGTCCCGTAGCCCCTCCCTTCGCAAGCCAGACAGGCGGCTAAGATCCGGTTCCACCTCTGAACATCTGCCTTCTTCCGGGACTTCCTCCAATATGGTATCAAGGAAACCTTCTTTGGCAGGAGAACGTGTGCCCTCAAGAAAACCAAGCGGCACTCACCCTTCCATGCCAACATCACCGCTAGTCGATTCACATATATCTGCACAACCCCCGTTGAGCGGTGCATCTCGACAGCGCCAAGCGTCTGGAGACAGGACCGCCATACCAACACTCTCCGAGCAGGTCGTGGTCACCCGCCAAGCGGTCTACCTCGAATCGATGCAAGGCGAACGAAAGATGGTCGACTTGAAGCCGACCACTACGGCTGCAGAGGTACTCGCTCAAATTCTCGGATCGACCGCGAGTCAAGGCTTCATGGGAGATTGGATCCTCTTTGAAGTTTTCGGCGAGTATTTTAACATGGAACGACCGATCAGAAGCTTTGAAAGCTTGGTCACCATCATGAAAGGTTGGAATGCCGATTTCCGAAAGAACACATTCTTGGCCAAGAGGTCTCCGTTGGACCGCCTGACTAGGGTAGAGGTAAGTTGCGAACGGATTCCGGGCAAAAATCACACGGTCGGCTGACTCTTCTGGACTGTCTCAGATGATGCCACGTGTACAACCTATGCACGGAGTTTACGTGCAGCACGAGACGAAGCGAGGCAAGTGGAGTAAGCGATGGATCGAGCTCAGGAATGGCAACGTGTTTGTAGCAAAAAACGACAGGGTAAGTCAGAGTCTGAGGTGGCGAGCAAGGTTTCCAGACGAGGTTGTTAACCGTTCGACACGTACAGGGCAAGGAGAGCGACTTTTTGTGCAGCTGTGCAGCGTTTGACCCATATATTCTCCACGGCAATGGGTACAAGGGTCCCAAGCCTCTGGTCGTGGTGCTAAAGTCGCGTAAGTGCTGCTGTATCTCGTCATCACAACCACTCGTCTTACCGGAATGTCTTTGTCCAAACAGGCGAACCCGCTACATTGTTTGAATCTCCGGGAGATTATCTCCACGTATTCTCGTTAGACTCGGCGCCCGGCATTCAGCTCATGGAAGCGCTGTTCACAGCCAAGGTATGTGAGGGATGCGGACCAGAAAAGGCATCGAAGGGCTGACCGTGTTCATATAGAGCTGTGCAATGATTCAAGCTGTCAACACACCAGCAGCAGCATATGCGCCCGTCGCTCACCCAGCGTCTGCCATTCCCGAACGGAAGCCCCAACAACCGTTGGTGGATTTGAAACCGACAGGAGTATTCACGGGAAACAGCTTGCTGGCCAAACTCGCTGGCGGGAGACGATAATTTAGACGAATTTAATTAATGAACAGGCTGGTACTACAGTCACGGTTGTACAAGAAGTGGTTTACAAATAGATCGATCGATACGATGCCGTGCATATCAATGAACAGGACCGACCCCGTAGCTGTTACCGTTCATCGCTGGTCGCAGGGTGGCGTTGTCTAGCTCCCTAATCATCGCCGTAGTGTCATCCAACATGTCCAGGATCCATCTCCTACCCTCCATCAACATCGCTCGACGGTCGCGGATATCAGCCTCGGTAGGAGCCTCCGTCCGATTGTATTGGCGAGATGCCCGTCGAGTCGGGCTCACTTTGGGACCAAAACCGTCTGCCATTCTCTCGATGTTCATGAGCGGAGGGAGCGAAACACGTTCCCTGCCAAAGTTGTCGTAACCTTCGCGGCCCTGTCTGTCCTGCGCAGCAGCCGAAGCCAACGCAGGGCTCCGGTAAGTAGGCATCGTCGCGATGCTACTTCGTCGTCCTTCTTGTCCCTCGTACAGCATAGACCTTCGATAAGGATGAGCTGCGACTGCGGCAGCCTGTCGAGTGACCTGGACGCGCCTCTCAGGACGAGGCGAAGGAGACCTCTGGGGTGCTTGCGAGGTGACAGGTCGCTGAGGCGTACGATCGGTGCGGACGGGATGAGTCATTGTGACCTGTGGGCGAAGATGGTCAAGTTAGATCACCATAGTCGGTAAAGGAGAAAGCTCTGAAGGAGGCTCACCTGACGCGGGTTCATTCGTCGTCTCAGTTGCTCGCAGCATCGTCCGCACAACGGCTTCCCCGACCGATCTCGGCGCCATGTGGAGTTCACTCCGGTCGCGGTGCAGTATGCGCAGGAAATAGATGCGGCTGTAGTCATCGATTTTTTCCTCTCCACTGGCTGTCCCTCAGGCAGAGATCGAACAGGAGTGTCCGAGTGACGGCGAGGAGCTTCGCCCTCGACCATAGCGAGGGAGGACTCTGCCTCGATCGCGGGGATATTGGCTAGCGCTCGGGTAGCTGAAGGGTCAGCTGCAGCAACCGACGGACGTCGAGGTCCCTCTGACTCGATTCGGGGGGGCTGAGTCTCTTCTTTCTTGGTCCAAGGTGTCTGAAGGCGATGCGCAGCTGCAGGAAGAGATGGACGCCTTTCTTCCTCTGGTTTGATCTTGTCTTCGTGATGATGCTTTCTCGCGACAATCGACGGGGAGACTGTCGCGGAACGAGGTCTCGCCGGACTGGTAGGTTCGTCGGATATTAAGTTGATCGAAGAGTTGGGACGAGCGGGCGGGAGACGTATTGGAGCAGGTCGCTCAGTCGCTCGTTCCGCGCTTAGCATGATGGGAAGATGTGGCGTGCAAGAAGGTGTGAGACAGGCTAGAAGAACCGCTTGTGAGACACTGGTCCGACAATCGTTTGATGATGGTGTGATTCAAGGTTGGTTATGAGAGGAAAAGTGGATAGTGAAAGGTGAAAGGGAAAGAGGGGCGAGCGCATGATCTGAACGGCTTATATGGGTTCGAGAAGGGTGGCAATCTCTTTCCTTTTGTCTCGCGCATGAGCTGAAACGCGCGAACCTTCTCCGTCGCTCCTTTCATGGTACTCCGCTAAACTACCTAGGATCCTTTAATGAAACAAGTGACATGTGAGCCAGACTATTCTGGTATGGAGCCTTGTGGTAGGGGATTTGCGTACGCTGATCCGCTGCTGTTTGATTTCCAATCAAAAGACCGAGTCCGTGCGGCACCTAGAATACGAGTGTCGATTTCCCACTAGATCTAGATGCACCGGATGAAGAATGCCGCACTGGTCGAGTCCTCCTGGCACCTGATGAGCCACCATTGATTCCTCATCCTTAATGAAAATGAGCTTGGCTGAGTCCCACAAGGCTGTGTAAGAGTGATAACGTCATGATGCAAAAGCAGTGACACTGCTCCTTTGATTCCAAGGAGCGGAAATGGCCGGAGAGGCGGAGGCCACATGCTTGGCTCTCCTGATCAGCAAGGAGGCGTCTAGTTTCTTTGTCTCGTCTCGTGATTATACCGATGTCTCGGTAGGTTCACAAAGCCCTGGAAGAAAGGGAGAAACATCAGGTGTCGATGTGGGACAATGGAGAAGGCGACCAAGCGGCGCTGTCGCACTGTGCCATGAACGCGCCTTTTCGACGATAGCTTCTTGGATCGGTCCTGAGAACCAGAGATAGCAGGGCCACAAATGCGTGCCGATAGAGAGATGATGCGAGCAGATTGGGAGACAGTATTGTACGAGAGCATGTCATCGGGAAGCACAAAGGAACGATCTCATTACAATGCTTTGACCTTGAGGCCACAAGGCCATCACGTGATCTTGCATAGACTGCGGGTTACAACGATGTTATAGGGATACAAGATGTCTCGTTCCGGCTGAGTCTGGACACAAGCTTCTCACCCAGCCAAAGGACTGGGCACGACCGTCTGATTTGGTCTCGACGCAGTGATCGATTGTATCAGGGCTGCTGGCAAACTCTTCTTGAGCTGTAATACCGACTGCATCGGGAAGCGAGATCTACAAGTGATAGATAGCCAGATGTTAGCCCTCAAAAGACCGCCGCCCTGATCTGCTGTTTATGCACTTACTTGCAGGTGCTACACAATGGTTTAGGTTCGCAGAAGACTGTTCACATGTATTTGATGAGATGAATCCGTGGGCGGGCACATTCTAGACTTCATCCCCGACTCACTGCTCAGACAGACGCTGCAGACGAACCCCACATCTACCACTCGGTGATGGCAGAAGCAAACCGCCCTAAAGTCCACCTTGTCCTGAGACGGCAAGCCGAGCTGTTTTCTCGTGTCCGGTGATGCTAGGAAAATAAGCTGCGAGGACAACAGGGTCAGCATCACAGTGCACCCCAAAGGTCAACCCTGACAGACTCACGTTCAGGTATTGTAACAGTCCGTCCTTCCGCCTTACTCGGTAGTAGATCCCGTGTGTCAAATGAGAGGCTTGTTGCAGGAAGATAGAGTCCTCAGGGTGGAGATTAAGGATGTCCATAGGGATTTTCTGGTCACGATACCGATTACTGTTCAGGCTCTGATACAGGTTCGGTAAATCCCTAGCTAACTCACCCGTTTCTGAGCAGCAAACACTGCGTTCATCAGCCCTACATACCCACCGTTCCCGCGGTCGTGCGAGTTGTTGATGACCATGATCCTGGCTCTCGCTTTCGTCTCGTGCTCATCCAAAACGTAATGTCCGGTGGTCGACGATTGGATATTTTGTACGCCTTGCGAGTCGACTGGGTGTATACGGTTGATGTCTGTTACGAAGGTGCGATCATGAGATTGAATTCAGGTGGCTTTACGGTTCAAGTTCAGGATGACTCACGGCACAGAGCTCGAAGAAGAGCAGGGACGATCGCAGGACCATCTACGTTAGAGGTCATTCAGGTGTCAGTGCCACGGAAATATGCCTCGACGCAGAGAGGGTCGAATGAGATTTACCGAGCTTGGTCTTGGCTTCCTCGTCCATATCTACATCGTCCTCTTCGTGCGTCTCCATCTGTTTGACCAAGAGCTGTCTTAGCCGGCTGCTGATCGTCTCGCCCATCGAGTGAAACGGCTCGAAGGAGTTGGCGTCCAAGTCGTGCTGGAGGGATACGGATGGCGCCTGCGACGAGTACAACAACTCTCTGACGCAGGTGGTGAGTCTCTTTAGCTTCGTCGAGACGGCTAGCTTCAGATCTCCAGACGGCAATGAGACTCACGACTTGCCGTTCGCCATGGCGACAAAGAGGACTAGCTCATTTCCCCACCGCATCGCTAGGTGCGAGTTGAAGAACACCAATAATTGGTCCAGAGCACGATCGATACTCAGGTATAATGCCGTATCCGGAAGAGCGGTATCGGTCGATGGTCCACCATTGTCATTCGTCGGTTTGGCTTGAGCCAGCTGAGCTTCACGGCTCCATGATAACGGATGGATGTCGAGAATAGCCACAAGGACCGAAGGTAATTCGTCCATCTTGGTGCGACCTATGCTCGGGCTTATGCCCAACGCAAATCCTGGAGGTTACCCGTAACCCGTAGTCATATGATTATTATAATGCATTGCATCGCTTGAATTGCTTTGAACGATCGAGAGTACGATATCGTTGACATTCGATTTATGCGTTTTAGGTGTGTGTCTTATGCGTTTTTCCCTGACACCTTGCAGCCTCGGCCATCGCGATTACGTCATCAAACCGGAGGGGAGGGTCCATCTTGACGCTCGCATCGCATCACTTGGGTCACGAATTCATATTAACACTCTCACGACAGTACACACACCTTTCAATTAGCTTTTGAGCTACAACCACCACCTCGAAGGTAGCTCACCAGACTATACGGTAATCGTGCCAAACGTACTGGAGTGAGAAGGGCACGTACCGAATTCGAAAAAGAGCATCAGACTATCGCTAGTCGGACCGAATCGATACGGTCTCTTGCCGTGTACAAGAAACGCCTTCCCGATGCTCTACCTGTGGATCGCAAGGCATGGACTCACCCAGCACAATGTCGACGGTATCATTCAAGTGAGTCTGAAGAGTCGTGACGAACGTATTGACACCTCGTTCAAGGTTGAGATTGTGCACATCAGGGTCACTACGATACGGACCTCAACGAGGAAGGGCGATGGCAGGCGAAACTTTTGGCAGAGTACCTCTTCGAACAGAATTACCGATTCGACTACATCCTGACTTCGCCCCTCAAAAGAGCTCGAGATGTGAGTCGGGTTGTTGCTTTTTATGTCGATATTTCCTGAAACCTTGGCTTGCCGCTATTAGACGGCGCTGGAAGTATACAAAAGACAACCTCAGGCGAAGTTTCGTATTCATCCGGACTTGATCGAACGAGACATGGGCGCCTGGAACAACCACAAAGTGGTCCGACCCAAGATAGTCAAACCGGTCGAAATGCAACATAAAGAGGCAGTGGACGATGTAGGGGCCAACGATGCTCCTAAAGCGGACGGTTCCCTTGGACTTGTCAAAATCGAGGAAAAGGTCAAGGTGAAGGAGAGGGGTCGATCGCACAGGCAGGTTGCGCAGGAGCAGCAGGGATCGCAAGAGACGGAGCAGAAAGAGAGAAAGGCTGCCGAGCAGAAACAACATCAGGAGATCGTGTCGATGATGGGCCGAGCTGGAGTGAAAGATCCGCGAGAAGAGTCGCATGTGGGAGGTGCGGCAAGAGCTGGGTCGAGCAGCAAGCACGAATCAAAGGTTGTCCAAGGGTCGAGCTCGAACGGACATCGCCGTGAGAAGGAAAAGCAATCGGCCGAGAGATCTGAAGACAAGGAGAAAGACGATAGGAAAATAACCAAGCCGAGTCGACCCCGAAGACCTGAAGTACCTGGAATGGAAAAGCGCGAAGAGTCAGTCATGCCACGCGGTCTCCTCAGTTGCCCTCGACATTTGTCTGATCGATCTCGCTTCCTCCGGTAGTCTGCTATATCGATGTGCAGTTTGGGCTGATTCGGTCGTCGAGGCTGGCCTGGACAGGTCGTGGTCGGCCAGAAAGGATGTCCACATCTTGGCCGTCTCGCATGGAGCGTTCATTTCCGTGAGTCCCGCGAACAAAGATCGTCGATCGCGCGGTAGCTAATCCTGAATCTGTCCCATCGTAGTGTCTGCTCGATGCGCTGACTTCTCCGAGAGACAAGGGAGGATTCTTCGGCTTCACTCTCGACGGACCCAGCGATCGTCACTGTTACAACACGTCCATGTCCGTCGTTGAAATCGATTTCAACAGGGAGGGCGAGTTTCTGGCCAACAATTGGGTGCCTCACCTGGAGCCCAAGGCCACCAAGGTCAATCCCGACGATTTCGCACAGTAGACCCAGACGATCTCGTACAGTAGATGCATGGTCATGATGGACGGTCATGAATGTTAAATAGCGGCTTGTATAATTTTTCCTTTTGGCCGCAACGTTATTGTGCATATGAGTGTGAAATATCTGTCCAACAATTACATGAAATCTATAGCGGGCAGAGCGGAAGCTGCGTGTGAAATCTCCATTTACAAACGATATCAAGAAAGGTAAACTAGCCAAGAAGCGAACGAATGTGTATGTGTGTGAGAAGAGCGTGAAGTGAGGTATATTATTAAGGACTCCCTTTTTAACATCGATCAGGGCGCTTCGTTGGGGCCTCGTTCTCCATCCATCGCGCGAGTTTGATCATAGAAGCCCTTCTTCGGCTTGAGCACCGATCCTGCTCGATTTCTCAGCGAAGTAAGGCCGGCCCCGATGCTGCCGGCCCTAAGTCTTGCCTTTGTCGGTGAATCGTTTGATCGGTCGACCTCTGGAGACTGTGTCCTCCTCATCGCTGAGAACTGCGATAAACGCGAGTTGAGCCGTTGAACGGCAATCGATCGCTCCTCGACATCGAAGTCGAATCCCCGCGACTCTATCCGTCGAAGACCATTCGACACTGGTGAAAATCGAGCCATGAGTAAACCGGGCAATTGCCAAATTCAGGCGGATGTACTCACTATCAACCTCGGACCCCCGCAGCGACGAGGGCTGCATGCGTCCTAGAGCATCTCTTCGGTTTTCAGAGTAGGACGGTCGACCGGTCATCTCCGGGAGCGCATCACGGTCGGCCGCGCCAAAGTGCCGCAGACCGTTGTTATTGCTCTCGGACACACCGCGTGACATTGACGGCCTCGATGCCGGTGGCTCTTGAGGTCCCGTGTTGACTTCCGGCCGCCCGCCCAATTGAGGATGCGTGGCGACGTCAATTTCGGGATGGTATTTCCTAAGGATAGTTTAGTTCAGCGAAAGGCGGCGAATCCATGAACGAGTCGTTCGACTCACTTGATATTGTTGATGATATTGATATCGGTTGGTCGATATGTCCTTTTGATAAACCTTCCGATGTATTGAGGCGCAAGCGCAAGTAGGAAAACAAAGATCCAGCCGAACCAAAAGAGAGCAGAGCGGAAGAGATAGTGGCTGCGGAACGAATTCTATCAGCCAACTTCAAGGACCTACGACTTGGCCTACGACTTACTCATTTCCGTAGGCATTACTGTAAATACGAAATGCAAAACTTCTTAGCTGACTGTCTCGATGGATACATCCCGTTCTCTCATGACTTACGTTGCAAAGGTCTCGGGAGGGATGATCGAATAGATGGCCTAGACTCAGAAAAGTACAGGATGAGCACGTTGTCGGAGACTCGCCTTCTGACTCGAACATACCGTGTAAACCCAGATCAGAACAGGTCCAAGGAGGACGGCGACCCACACCCATACATTCCACGATTCGGTGTACAATCCGGTGAATACGTTGGAGACCATAACAGCACCGATTACCATGACCTGTTTCGAGGGAAGAATGAGCACGCCGCTGTGATGCGGAACGGCCAGTACAGTGTTGACTCACGGTTGACATCTCGTACTGTCCTGGGTTGTAGCCGTCAGTTCGGGCGGTCGTGGTGGTATAGGCGTAGTTAATGAAGAAGAACACTACAGCGGACTATGGTGGGAAGTAGGGGTATGTCAGCGAGAATCCCTATTGACGCTTGTGTACATCAACGCCACGCACCTGGTATGCTCCTTGAAGCATGAAGTAACCGAAGCGACGGAGTCCGAACCAGTGACCCTCTTTGGCAACCTTGTACAGCTCGGGCAAGGCCATCAAGCTGTCGGCATCTGTAAAAGCAGGCAATAACTAAGCGTCGGGCTACGGAATACCACCATGTCTTGAACGAACCTATGTCGCGATCAAACAGGCCGAGGGCGATGACCGGCAAGAGAGTCCAGAAAATGTTCCAGAACAGCAAGTAGGTGTACTCGAATACGCTGTGATGAATGTGGCCGTCAGGACCGGGTTGCATGATGCAGACCAGGCGGTCGGTGTTCGGCTTACTAGGTGGTACTCCATCCACAGTAGATCTGGAACCAGAACAGGACTCCCACACCCATGACGTTCTTGTAGAAGAAGTTACTAAGCAAGCGACAATCAGAGCAAGGACTGTGAGTCTGAGGCATCCAAGCAGACCTCATTGGCGACACTTACAGGATCATGTTGGAATTACGGAGATAGGACCAGTGCCCGTGAACGAAAAGGAGTCTCTTGAGGTATCGGAACTGTCAACAGCGATGTGTCAGCAACAACAGGCGAATCAATGCACTTCTATATGTGTCAGAGCCTTACCTGCGCAATCGCATAATCCGACGAGTTTACGGCTTGGAGACCTTCCTCTCCCGAAATACCGACTCCGATGTCTGCCGCCTGAATCATGCTGACATCGTTTGCCCCGTCACCGATAGCGAGACACATCACTCCGAGGTTGTCCTTGATCAAGCGAACGATCTGGGCCTTTTGCAAAGGCGAGACACGGCAGCAGATGACAGTATTGCACTGGGTAGAGAGATGCAAAAGCAATTCTTCGGTCGCAGGGTCGGCGAAAGCCTGTCACATGGGAGGGACGGGGTCAGTGAGCTTCCGCTACATGACCATGACAATGTCATGACCGATACTCACATGGCGCAGTGCTCCTCCATCGATAACGAGCGAATGACCTCCAGTTCGCGTCCCGTTGTCCCGGCCGACGAGCGATGTTACGCCGGTGTCTAGACGTCGAAGTTCGTGTCCACCGATACTATCGTTGATGGGCTGCAAGTTCCCCGAGCTATCCATCTCCCGCACTTCTTCGCCGAAAAACCCTTCGATTGCGTTCTTCAATTGGTCGTAGATCTCGGTTCGTCCCTCGCGCACAATGATCATGTTGCTATCTTTGGTAAGGAGGTTGGTTGTATAACCAATGGCAACGGCGGTCTCCAGCTTGTCCCCGGTGGCGACCCAGACCTTGATACCAGCTCGCTTGAGGTCAGCAATAGTTTCGGGGACTCCATCTTGCAACTTGTCCTCGATCGCGGTGGAACCCAACAGGACAAGATCGCGTTCAATGGCGGCAGATACAGTCTCGATTCGGTCTTCACGGTCCTGCAGAGCAACACTGGCCTCGTGGAACTGCTTTTGCCATTCCTCGTAAACTCCCTCTGTGACGAATAGGAGAATCAGGGATCCAGTCGGTGCGTGTCAAGTTTATACTGTGGTTAGACTTACCATCAAGTACCCTGTAGGCGAGGCAGAGGGTTCGCAGACCTTCCCCGGCAAAGTACTGCAAGTCTGAATCGGTCTTCTTCTTGATCTCGTCGTTTCCGGGTGCAAGACGCTCAAAGATGACATTGTCGGCACCCTTGCAGAGCAAGAATAGCCTGTTGTCCTCGTCGAGTTTACGCAAGATGACTGACATACGCTTCCTTGCCGAGTTGAATTCCAGTACGTGCAAAAGTTCGTACTCGTCGGGCGTATCCGAGAAGGGCGTGCTCAATTTCATGATATTGCGGTCCCGACCTCGGAAGATGAAGCCGACATCCGCAGCAGCTTGGACCAGGGCAGCTTCGTCAGGCGATTGAGCCTTGTACTCGATGACACCAGGCTGCACCTCGGCCGCAAGAGCTGTGTGGCACAGACCGAGCACCGCGAAGAAACCATGTAGAAGTCGGGACTGCTCGGTCTCGGTGTCGTTCATGTCGGAAAGCAGCTCGGGATCGTGGAAAGGAGCGAGAACCTCTTTGGCTAGAGCAACTTTCGGCTTGTCGCCGTCGGTCAAGACCGAGTCGTGCTTCTTGGCCAAAGGCGTGTCGGATGAGGTCTGAGATGGTACATCACTCTTCTCCATGCTATGCTTGCCGTCCACGATTGTGTTTTCAGGAACCTGTTCGTCGCCAGTGTAAACCTGCAGGATTGATAGGTTAGCATTGACTCAGACAATCCAGACCTTTGGCCCAATCTCACCTTGCCCCCGACGGAACACTGCCTGAAGACCATGACGTTCTGAGTTAGGGTGCCAGTCTTGTCTGAGAAGACGTAGTCGATCTGACCAAGATCGTCCGACAGAGTCCAAGATCTAGCGGTCGTCCTGGTGGTGACTCCGTTCTTGACGTATTTGATTGCATGGTCCCAGTAGATGAACGCGGCCTGGGCGGTCCTGACGAATTCGATGGAGATGTAGAGCGAAATCGGAACGATGTTCTGAAACGTGATAAAAGCGTTGAGGAACGTGATCAAAGCGTTGAAGCTAGGGTTATCGTCCGATTGATCGGCAAACAGCTCCCAGTACGCCTGTTGATCGTTCCATCGTTTCTCGTTGGTGTAGTTGACGATGCAACATACAATGGCGACAACGGCGAGGAGGGCCAGGTTGAGCAGGACCTGAGGGTTCATCTGCCTCTCGACCTTGGACCGCTTGGAAGGTGTGCCACCAGAGTTGAGAATGATCTTGGTATCAGTACCAGTGAAAAGCACGACACCGATGATCCAGCCAGTATTCTTCAAGACGCAACCTCGCAAGATGGTCGTCTCGAGGGTGATCGGGTGGACCAGGGGCGCCTCGTCCGTTTGCTGTCTGTTCTCGTCAGTCAGTACGACCGCTCCGTTAAGCTTGTACATGTTGACATCAGCAGGTTCGGCGTCGATGCGGAAACGAGCCTTTTCCAAAGCGGCGGGAGTGCGGAGGTGCGTCAATTCAGGGACACCGTGTCGAGACTTCAAGTTCGTCTCTCCATCCAGGTTCTTGGTCTCGATGAAACAGACGTCTTCCTCCTCGGAAGTGCAGCATAGCACGATATCGGCGGGGATCGGCTCGTTATCGTAGATTTTAACATAATCTCCAACCCTAACATCTTCCCAGATGGTCTGTTGGAAACCGAGCGTCTTGATGTCGTCGAAGCAGTCTGGGTCAGACGCAGGGCTGTTGACGACATCCTTGGGGGTTTCGCCGTTCGAGTCGGAAAATGGTCCGCCTTCATCATAGCTGAGTCCGGACGGACGCGCCGCTTGCCAGTCCTTGTCACCTGCGGGCACGACACCCTCACTGAGGGCGTCGGTGGTAGCCAAATCCTCCTCCTGTCCCTTCTTTGCCTTTCTCTTCTTGCCCTTTGGCAAGGGAATCGCAGGTACAAAGGTCTTGTCCTTGTGAGCCATGGCATTGTAGTTGTGATATCCGGGCTTGGTTTCGGTGAGACTGCTGTTCGAGTGGAACGAGAGGGGGTTGTTGTCATACCCGTCACCACCTTTGAGAACGTGGACGATAGTGTGGTTGACCTTGTGATCGGCCTGATGACGCTTGATATCCTCGTAGCCGTCCTTTAGCGCGGTGATAGCCAATACAGCCAACAGAGGAAGGATGACCAAACCAGGGGAAACGGTAGCGAACTTGGGGAAGAATTGCAGGATAGCGATGGCTGTCGATCAGACGCGACAGGAAGATGATCAGCGGGCCCGGCTCGAATCAAGGCGAGAAGGAGCGGCAAAACTCACCCAGGAAGAAGACTAGTATCATGAGTCGTGAGGTTTTGATCAGTCATGTCTTATAGATCACTGTATCAGAGACGACTGCTTACCGTTGGCAATACGCCTGAACTGCTCGAATAGGTTTCGAGGCAGAAACGTGATGACCGTGTACTTGGACGTGATGTTCTGGTTTGTTGGGTAGATCCTGTTCCGCATAGCTTTCCCCTTTTTATCCCGCCATTCCGGACCCGTCGGCAACGTCTGATTCACCATGACCGTCCGAGCCATGGGCAGCTTGGGCTTCTTGGCAAACATCGCCGATGGGCTGAGTTTGGCGAAAGTCTTCTTAACGCCGTCGAACCTGCCAGGGGGCTTCATGTGTTGCGGGACGTAGACCTTGCGGCCGTCCGCCGTGTAGTTCTGTTTGGACGATTTGCCCGCCATGATGTAGGGGGATCGTCGAGGAAATGAGCGTGAGAGGCAGGAGTGATGCCGATTATGAGGAGTAGATCTCTCGCCACTTCAAGAGTACTGAGGCCGATGACGGGGTTGTGCCAAATCGAGAAGATCGTGGGTATAAGGTATCCAGAGGGAAGAGTGTGTTCTCTATAGATCGCTCAGGGACGAACGCACGATCACAGACTGAGATCGGTGAAACCTGACGACAGCAGGTCGAAGTAGGTTCGCTGTGCTCCTGCTAGCGATCCCCTTTAACCCGTTCGGAGCAAATCTGACCGCGTCGGGATGATCGAGTAGCTAGTTGACACACTGGATGTCCGTCGGCAGCGTATTGTCGAGGCGTGTGTCCTATGTTCGAAACCTCGCTCCGACTATGCGGCTGTATCAAGCACAGTGATTGTAGTGATTGAGCGAAGAAAGGTTGTCGACCCTTCTTGTATCTCTCTTCCCTCCCTTCTGATAAATCGCTTTGACGGGAGCTGAGCGAGCGAGCGAGGACGCGCCTTCTGTCTCCGGCTGGCGTCGCTGCTGGGACTCGAAAAGCGATTAGAGCGATGACTAAGGTCGAGCACGAACAGCTAGCAGAACGTCCGTGTGGTCGTATCTTGACTCTATGAGAAGTTCGAGAGGCAGTCGGACGAGACGTCAAAGGTCATCGAGAAGGTGAGTGACGGGTTATAAGGAACCTCCGACCCGCATCGAATCGACCTTTGCCGGGGGGGACGCTGTGTGACAGCTTTTCTGTCTGCGCGTCTTCGAGCGAGCGGCCGGCGAAACGAGAGACGGCAAGGGAACACGGGCGCAGGGCAAGGGCGAGGGCCTCGAGGGCAGCGCTTACTAATACCGGACACGAGGACCTCTGATGATCAACAAGACTAGCAGCTAGCAGCAACATCAGCAACAATCATCGAGGGCAAGGGCAATCCTGACCAAGACAAGGCTGAGTGAGATACGAGCCGCGGTACAACCATTGAGAAGGAGTTTCAGCTGGACAACAACAGCGGAGGTGACAGCTGAAACCAGATCCAACCATGGCGATATGATGATTTGGGTGACGACCCATCGATCCATACCATCTCCTGAAACGCCATGCGACGGCCTTCAACACCGTACTGACTGTGTTAATTGCTGGGCTGCCATGGACCTCGCAAAGGATGTCCTCGATCTTTTGATCGCTTGCAACACCGCTGCGGATCCCGAAAGCAACAGAGAAATTAGCTTCCGAGAATGGGATGCAATCACAACAACAGGGAGCGAGGCACGCACGTGACACCCGCCCACAGAGACCGGTCCTCCCGCCCGCCGCTACTTCCGGCCCGTTTCCTCTGGTGATCTTATAATGCATATACGTTATCTCGACATTCAGGGTGCGAGCCAGATATCTTGAGCGAAAGTCTCGAGGTTGCGACATCTATCAAGATCACTCAGGTCGATGTCCTTTCGACCTTGATCGTCTCCCCTTCGCAGTCCACGCAGCAACATGAATTCCGACCCATCCGTAAGTCGATCTTCCTATGGTAGTGTCTCTTTGCATCGCCCACGATGCTGATCATAGCGCTGAATTCATCACTTCAGTACCCCATCCTCGCCGATTTTATCGACAAATTCCCTCTACAAGCCGGATGTATCTATTCTACATACACGGATCTAGCGTTGTGTGAGTGCAACTGAATGCGACGACGATGCCTTTTCGAGAACCTCGCCAACTTGAAGTCCCGGTGCAGCACAACAATGGGAAGAGATCAGGCTGCATGAACTGGGAGACTCTGGCTGGGGCGTACTGTTCGGTCGCAAGACCACCGAGGTGAGTACGAGGCTCGCACAGCTGCCCGACAAAAAATGTTCTGATAATGAAACGGACTACCAGGACTCGACGAGGATGGTGCTTCCTCTTCATTTTCACGCCAACAACCTTACGCCCAAAGCGCTCAAGACGATATACAAGCTGCTCAATCAGTTGTCCGTAGCCGATCTGCCTCCCATCCTTCCGTCACCTCACGACGACGGTGACGAGGCTGCCGAGGACGACAAAGAAGAAGACGCCACCCAGGACACTCTGGACACCAAGACCATCTATATTTCGATCGTCACGCCCGATTCATCAGTGGTATATTACAAGTTGACTCAAGGCATCAAGAAGCCAGACGACATCCCGGACGAGTAATCTACCAAGGTTACCTGCAAGGCGATATCCTGGTGGTTTTCTTGGGATGGGGCTGTCGTTCTGGAGTGGCTCCGGTCGAGATAAAGTGGTCATGCCGTCGCAGTCGGTCGTCAAAGGTCGTCATCGCCCATACGAGGCGGTGGTAAGGTCGTCAATGCGCCATCGAGACAGCTCCTGAGCTTCTTGTTCCGGGCGCCCTTTCGAAGGGGAGGAAAACGGCACAGGTCGCGGTCGAGGCGAACACAATAGCCGAGCATATCAGCGGCAAGGATTGTTGTCTGGCGAGAAGACTCCCGGCGACGATGGGTGCCGCAATACCGGCTCTGTTTTAGTATCAGTAATAGATAACGATCAGCTTGTCGATCACATCAGTGCCTCTCGGTCTCGCGTCGGTTCACATTCGGCTCGAGGCTGCTAAGAATCCGACTGCTGTACCACGAAGCGATGTCTATGGATGATGCAATGATACTTGGATCAGTTTCACGGGTCAAGAGCAGCGATAGGTAATTTACGCACCGTGAACGTTTCTGGAGTCATGCCGTCTGAGAATGCAGAGAAATCTTCAGCTCGATTGCAGGTAAGTAGTCTGAACTCGAGCTTTCAGCGACCCACACAAGATCGCATACATCGTCACAGCAGCATTCGATAGCATGCAAGTGGAGAGCACCTCTGCCCACCTGGACGTGGTCTGACTGAAGATCAAGCACATGCACGCCGTCAAGACGGTGGACAGCGCCAGACTTTTGCGACGACCCAGTCTCGTCTCGATGAGCCAGCCACCAAACTGCCAGGAAAGCGGATATTAGCTCAATCATCAAGGGCGATTTGAAAGACCGCTCTCACGATTGAGCCGGGAATGCCAGCGATAGAAAACCTGGATGTCGGATGAAGGTGAGACAAGGTCGATGAATTCTCACAAAGAGAAACATGGCTCACCAGACGTATTCGAGAAGAGCGTCGTACAGTCCTTTGCCTGCATCCCGTGACCGCTGTTCCAATACAGTCGGCAGCCAAACGTTGAACCTGCAGTCAAGCGCGGCGAGTATTTCGCGTCAATTGCTTTGTCGATGGAGCAATCATCGACTCTCACTCACATTCCGTAAGCAAGCGCCATTGTCATCCATATGAAAACCATTAAGAAAAAGGTCAGGCGCCATTGTGCGCCAAAGAGGACGGCGAAACGTGCTCCCCAATCGTCGAGCCCGGTCATCAATCGTTCTTTGAAACTGATATAACCTTCTTTCCGAGCAAGACCCCTCTCCTCCTCATCGTCTGAGTGCGGTTCTTCTCCTTCCTCTTCTATGCTCGCGCGTTTGACGCCGTCGACAGAATGGCGAAGTTGGGTTGGCGTGCGGCGCCCATCGGATCCTTCCCAATCTGGTTGTCCCAATTCTTCGCTCGGGGTGAAGAAAGGGTTTCTGGGCTTCCCCGGTGGATTACTGGAACTGAGGGACGAACTGAGTTTGTGTCCGTACAAGGGCGTGTTCTTTGTTTCCAATCTCGCGCTGCTAGTCATTCTCGCATGCGGTGGGGGCGTATGGGCGATCTCGACCGGACGCCGGTCCACGGTAGGCGCTTCAAACAAGACGATCGGGACGTTGGCCATTCGTTTGAGAGATCCTTCGCCGCCGACTGAAGGAGTAAAGTCGACCAGCTTGTTATAGTGTGCAATCTTGCCGAGTACCTTGGCGCACTCTTCTTTTCGACGACTCGCAACGAGATACCTGGGTGATTCGTGTAGCCTGAACGCAGCCGATCGAGCGATTACCATGGCAAAGTCCTAGAAAAGGAAATACCTCTGTCAGCCCAAGGGAAGCTTGAGCGCATCGAACCAAAGACGACTGACCAGCAGAGCCAAGACAAACAGCATCTTTTTCCATCCGTCATTCGCTCCCCCATCAACATCACACCCTTCGGCCTGAGCGCACGAGGCTCCGGGCAATACGAGCAGCCCGATCACACTTGACATGACGGCTCCAAATGCGAAAAAGGTGGAAAGACTGGTCAAGAGGTACTGTTTGCTTATGGGGAGGTTTTCTTGGTGTTGCAAGGCGAAGATCAGTTTGGGGTGATAGACAGGCTAGGATCAAGCGAGCCTACCTAGAAAGAGCGTGCCGTCGCTGCCGTGAGCAAGAAAAATATCAACATCTCGCTCATAGCGACACAGGTCATGACAACTCACGTCGGCATCGAACCTCCTACAGCGGTCCCGACGGCGAACATCCATATGCAAAGTGACCCGAAGCTCGACGAGTAGGAGGCTCCCAGGTTGAAGATGCCGGTGAGGAGAATGGTCGCGTGGTATGGCAACGTTCGACCGGTCGAATCGGCGATGCTTCCCCACGAATACGCTCCGACAGCCATTCCTGCCTTTGGGCAAGTATGGGTTAGCTTGCAAGCAGCCGCATTACGAAAAAGCCGGAAAGCGTACCATCGCCGAGGCGGATAAGAGCGAGGTATCTGTAGAGCTCAAATTATAGTGTATCTGAACACGAGGCAGGATGACTGCGATGCACTGTACGAGTTTCGTTGTCAGCGCTGTGGATTGGAGTGGGTACGTGTGTTCAGATGGCATGCATCCAGCTCACCTGAAGCGTCGCATTGTCCGAGAGCCAGCCTAGCCCGCACAAGCACATCAGGCGCAGATGGTACGAGCCGAAACCGATAGCGTTCAGATCATCTTCCAAGAGCTCTGTATGATCGACTGCCGCCTTGTCGCGTCTCTTGAGCAGGGTCTGCTGTGCTTCGATGCCGTTTAGAGAGACCGCTCGTTGGTGCTGCGGTCGCGAGGCGGTCGACATGTTCCAGAGGGCAAGAAGGTGGAGCCACGGATGACGATAGCATGCGAGTCAGGCGAAGGCCTTGTATAGTGGATGAGGATAGCAAGGTATCGGTGGAGGGAGTCGACAGGACTCGATCTCTTTGGGTTGTTTCGAGGTCGAGCGAGCAGCGACCTTCCTTTGTATTTGAGAGAGATTGCCGAGGTTGATCTTCGGCCACCGCCCCAGTTCGGGGGGATTTTGCATCCGCTCAGCCAGCCTGATCACGTGATAGGATCTCCCCCGGGGTTGAGCGAGATTTCGAGAAGGGCAAAGGCTGACAAGGGTGAGCTAGCAAAAGGTTGATAGCTGGTAGTGGTGGTGGCGGTGGCACATCTCGGTCTGCACAACAATATAGCTATTCATATTTCACAGCAGCAGTTATGGCGCCCGGAAGTACTGGGGACGCTCGTTTCGCACGCCTCGAAACGGATCCTCGTTTCAGGCGACCCAAGAAGAAGCAGCTCAAGGTCGAGATCGATGATCGATTCAAAGAGATCATTCAGGGAGACGAATTTGCGGAAGAGACCCGCGGTAAAGGATCACGAAAGAGCGGTGAGCGTTTAGCAGGAAACCTATCTCCTTTTGTGCTCTAAGCTGAGAGTCACCCGTTCGGTCTCGACGTCAGACAAATACGGTCGACCTTTGGCGAAATCGCATCATGCCGACCAGTTGAAGCAGTTCTACCGCCTTCGTTCACCTTCTCCGTCTGCCGAGGGTGACAAACAGGACGGACAATTCGTCGACTATGCTCGAGGTGAAGGACTGCTCGAGTCTTCAGGCTCGGAAGATGAAGACGAAGATGAAGCGGAAGATTCGGACGAGGAAGAGGTCGTCGAGATGGGCGCGTTCAAGAAAAAGGCCATTCCCGGTCAGGTGGCCGAGGAGTCTGACGAAGATGACCAGGAAAGCGATGACGAAGATAACCTCAACGTCGACTTGTCCGAGGGTAGCGATGATGAGGCTGCACCCACCAAGTCTACCAAGGTCGATGCTGAATCGGCTTTCCCGGACGAACAAGACGTTCAGGCAGAGGAAGAGGACGAAATCATCGACTTTACTCGGCGCTTCGCTGTCGTCAACATGGATTGGGACAACATGCGCGCTATCGACCTCTACACGGTCTTTTCTTCGATGCTCTCCTCGGCTCAACAACCTCAAGGTTCTTCCCGCCGTCGAGCGGATCCCTCGACTCCTGTTCCTACGGGCAAGCTGCTGAAGGTGACCATCTACCCGAGTGAATTCGGCAAGGAGAGAATGGCCAAGGAGGAAGCCGAGGGCCCTGCTGCAGATGTGTTTACTGCGCCCGCCCGTTCGGAAGGACAGCGAGGCAAGGGCAAGGGGAAACAGGTCGAGCTTCGACCGGGCAACCCTAAGCCCAAAGGCGGTCGTCGTCAGCAGCCCGTCGAAGAAGAGATGGATGAGAGCGACTTTGACGAAGATGAGGAAGAGGAGGAATATGACGAGGACGCCAGCGAAGGTGATCTCGACCTCGAGGAGGACGATGAGCTGGATGGGGGATCCGACGCTGACGAAGGGCTATCCGAGGCGGATGGCAGCATCGACGACGTTTTGGGACGGGTTCGGTATGATTCCGAGCCTGACGATATGGATTCAATCGAGGGAGATGGCGAGATTGACATGGACAAGCTGCGAAATTATCAGCTGGAGCGACTTCGGTAGGTAGCCGCCAGTCTTATCCGATGCACGACACCATTACCTCGTGCTGACTTTCGCCTTTGAACAGTTACTATTATGCCATTGTCGAGTTCTCTGACGTCAGCGCGGCTACCTACATCTACCGGGAGGTAAACGGGACCGAGTTTGAGAGGACGGCCAATGTCTTTGATATCAGCTTCGTTCCCGATGACATGGATTTCGATGAAGACTACCACGAGGTGGCGACCGAGGAAGCCAAAGGTTACAAGGGGAATGACTTCGTGACCGATGTAAGAGGAGCCGGTATTGACAATCAACCATAATCAAATAGGCTGATTCGCTCGCGGTTCCTCTTTGCAGGCGCTGAGACACTCGAACGTAAAACTCACGTGGGACCAGGACGACCCAAACCGAACCAAGGTCCTTCGAAGAACGCTCACTCGAGCAGAAATCGAGGAGGACGATTTCAAAGCGTACCTAGCTAGTTCCAGCGAGGACGAAGAGGACGAAGTCGTAGCGAAAGCAGGCGAAGATATCGAGGACGCCAAAGCGAAGCGCCGCAAGGCCAAGGCAAACGCGGCCAAGCTGCGTGAAATGCTGCTGAAGGGAGGCGACGATGACGAGGATGTGTGGGGCAAGGGTTCCCGAGGTCTACCTGATATGCAAGACTCGGATGACAAGGCCAACGGTGACATGGAGATCACGTTCAAAGCGGGACTTTCCGGCGCAGTCGGTAAAGATGACGACCTGGAGAATCTGACGACGCTCGAAAAGTACCAACGCCGAATGAAGGAAAAGAAGGACCGAAAGAAGGAGAAACGAGAACTCAAAGCCGGTAGCCGAGCGGACGACAATGCCGAAAAAGTGCCTGCCGAAGAGGATGACTTTTTCGGCGGTGAGGAGGAGGAGGTGTCCCAAGCGATCACGCCCAAGGCGAAGACGGGAAAAAGAGACGCAACGACGAAGCGGAAGGACGAAACTCAGAAGTCGGTCAAGCCCAATCAGACCAAAGATCTCTCTGCCAGTCTCGCGTCTGCTGTCGACGAGGCCAAGCATTTCTCCATGTCGGATATCGTCAAGGCAGAAAAGGCGGAAAACAAAAAGAAGCGCAAGCGCTCAAGAAAAGACAAGACGGAGAGGGAGGTCGAGCTGGGAGACGAAACCTTCAAGGTGGATGTCAAGGATGACAGGTTTAAGGCTCTGTTCGAAGAGCCTGAGTTTGCGATTGACCCGTCGAACCCTCAGTAAGTCGAAAAAGAGTCCGATCTGCTTCATCTCACGTCCTTAACTTGCGTTTGATTATTCTCCTTCAGTTTCGTCAAGACAAAGAACATGTCTGAATTGCTCTCAGAAGGGACCAGACGTCGAAAGAGCAAGACCAGCGCGCCCATCGAACCTCTGGCACCGGTTCGCAAGTCAGACGGCGAGCCCAAAGGCCAGTCTTTGCAGGATCTGGTGGCGAAGGTGAAACAGTCAGCTAGTGGATCTACAGAAGGCGGTGGGCAAGGACCCAAGAGGAAGCGTCGCAGACATTAGATCACGGATGTATTGTGCATATCGCAGCAGTTTGGTCCATTATCACATCTTTCACGTGTGGGAGATGCGATCGCTGCATGACGAATATGGATCGGGTGATCGACATCACCAACTTGAGCCGCCTCAACTTTGTTGCGACAAGTCAACCGTCGTCTCCAGAAGCTCCTTTTTAGCATCTGAGTTGGCAGCTCATCTGCTCGATTGTCATGCCCGATCGAACTAGTCACACGATACAAGAAGCTCATCACGAGTTTGAGGAGACCGTGCAAGAATGGTTGGATTCGATGCAGCTCGATTCACGGACAGAGGCTATCGTCTCCGAGATGCAGAGCTTGGCTGCCATATACCCAGACTCATGCAAGATGATGATACCACCAACAGAGACGAAAGCGAGATGCAGTATACCAGAACCGGGACGGCTCATGAGATACGAGCTTTTCCTGCCTTTATTCGACCCTTCCGAGTGGGATGCACTGCTCGCGACCCTGCCCGGCGATCGAAGAACCGCTACGGATTTGCCAATCGTGCAGCTACTCGTGACAGTGGGTAGATGAAATCGCAGGAACTGTACTATCGACTCTTAATGAATCGGATCTAAGCTCTTGATCTAATGGCTACTATAGTTGAGTCCCGAATACCCGGAAACTTCACCCCCTCAGTTAGTATGCGCCCCGCTAGACCAGGATCAATCGTCCTGATCTGAATTACGAACTATCATAGACTACAACTAGGCGGAAAGTATATAGGCAAGTGAGTTCATGCGTAATGTCGCCGGTAGAAGGGAGACTATGACTGATTTTACCCTTGTCGCAGTTATACGATAGATATTGCACTATGTGAGCTTACTTCTGCTGCACTAATAACTTGAGCTTTCAAATTGACAAGCAGTCTAGTCGGAGAGGTGACCAAGATTTTCCTGAGCCAGCACGGACCTGCGTTTGTAGCTGGTGCACCATGTGTGTTCGACGGTACAGAACACGTACTATCAAGCACAAAGGATTGGTATACCCGCCAAGTCATGGAGGACGCAAGTGGTGAGAAGGTACGGGAGATGGAGCGGGAGGAAAGAGTCTCGGCTGCCACATCCATACGCAAAGACGATGACCTAGGCGAAGCGAAACAACCCAGAACGAACGGCTCTGCAACAGCTCGAGCTACTTTACCGGCCAATACGTAAGTGTCGGCACCAGGGCGTATACACAAATTAGCGGATGTTCGTAGATACTGATAGCAAGCAGGTGAATAGGATCATATACAGCTCCGAGCCTATTACGGTGTCAGTATCGTTGTCTGTCCAAAAGGTTACCTCGACCAACAATCCGTTCCTGCCAATCCTAGTTCTCGCTCTGTTTTCATCGGGCATGCCGTAGCAATTTCTGACCCAGCGGAAGTCTCGCCGGTCCTGGACTATCTGCTGAATGACAAGTCACGAAAGCTTGCGAAAGCAACCCACCCCTTGATCTTCGCATATCGAGTCGTTCGGAAAGCCCAAGCCGGTCATGATGCGGTCGTCATTGCCGGTACGTGCATTGATCATTGATGTAAGATCGCCGGTCGGTTTTCTCATGATGACTTCTTTCAGACAATGACGACGATGGAGAATCGGCTGCTGGCGGTCGTTTGGCTCATCTGCTACAAATTCTAGAGCTGGAAAGTAAGCCTAACAAACATGAGTACCACCGACAAAAAGCCACTTGCCTGATCCATCTGCTTTATAGATGTTCTGGTGATTGTCAGCCGTTGGGTGAGTAAATCCTGTCAACTTATTCCAAATACAAAAGCACTAACGGGGTCTGTGCGGCTCGTAGTATGGAGGGTAAGCGGATGAAGATCGCGACGAGTGAATTCACACTGATGTCCTGCTCAATAGCACACTGCTTGGGGCCGAGCGCTTCAAACTCATCAATCAAGCGGCGAAAGATGCCCTGGAGCTTGGGGGCTTTCTCGGCAAAACCGCGACGAGCAAGAGAATGAAGTAATGCTCTCTGGTCGTGAATATATATATGGCATGCTCTGATGACATGATGGTAAAACTGTTTGGCGAAAACATCCCCGTATGCCAAAAGCTAGGATCATCGGCGTGCTCGACCCTTGCTTGCCCCTCCCTTCCCGGCCCCTTTGCCGCCCTTTTTGCTGGGTCTTGCGTTCTTCGCTCTTCTCTATGGACGCCAGAAGACTGATGAGTCCACCGCGGCGCAAAATTTCAGATTTCTCCCGCGGTGCACATACCTGTTCTTGAACCTTTCTGTCACGGCGAATCGCGTTGACATCGCGCAATTCCGATCGTGCTTTCTGGCCAGCATAGCCAGTCTTGGGGCCGGGTGCACCATCGGCTTCTGCCGCCTTCTCTGCTTTCTTTTTCTGCATGTAGACCTTCTTTTCGTATGTGGTGGATTTGGGATCCAGGGGTTTCGCTTCGTAACTGTTGTTGTGTCGATATTTGTTCATTCCGGTAGAACCTTGTCCGCGGGCGTGATCGCCTTCCGCATCCCCGACCTTGGGAATGACGACACGCTTCTTGGCTTTCCACTCGTCAAAGCGACCGCTTCGGAAGGAAGCCGGAAGACGAGCTCCGCTCTCGGTCTTGACCAGCTTCTTGTTGTCGGATCCAGTTCCATCTCCCTGAACGAACTTTTTCTTCTTTCGGTCCCAGGTCAGTTGGCTGAATCCCTGCCTTCGCGCAACAACACCATCGTCGCCGGCCAGATCGAATGTAGCGTTGCGCGCTTGCTCTACAAAGGACTGTCCGTCTTTGAGCGAATACCTGTCGACCAACATGTCTGTCAGTTTGAGAACCCGTACACGTGGCGTTGCAAATCTGAACTCGCCCTCTATCAGCTGCGGCCCCAGACTGGTAGTGCGACATGTAGAACTGGTCGTCCTTGAAATCAGTAGGGGTGGGTTTGGTCTTTTCAAACACGGTCTGAAGAGCCAAGATGTTAGTTTAAAACGATCCACGAGACTGGCTCGACGATTCTTACCTCCAATTGATCCTCGTCTGCCTCCGACATGTCGACATCGCTATCCATCTGATCGGGTACTGGTGCGTCGGCCAGATGGGGCACTCGGCTTTCACCGAGCGCAGACTCTCCCTTGTCACCTTCAATCTGCGCTTTTCGCCTCTTAACAACCTGGTCGAGCGTCTTGCGTCGCCCCTTCATAATCTCGGCAGCGACAGAAGATTTACCTCGAGTTCCCATCTCAAAGACAGTCTCGGCAGGTTGGAAATTCGTCACACGGCTCAAGAAAGCTTTTCTTGCGGCAGCCATATCTGCCGAGTCCGGGTTACCGTCGCTTTTGTATCGTTCGATCGAGAGTTGCTCGTAGATTGGATGAACCTTGTTCTCTGCAGTCAGGCTGCCTTGAAGCGGCCAGGCCGGATCCTTGACCATGGCCTTGGAACGGCGATAGCTTTCCTGACTGGCTTTACCCTGACTCCTCTCGTACATGGCCTGACCCTTTCTGACGACCTCTTTGAGAACTTTCAGGTTGGGAGCTCGTTCCATCAACGTCGTCGAAACGTGCTCATTTTCCGTGTCAAGAGAGTCGCGCGGAAGGGGTCCTAGCACGAGACCCGAGGTGTACTCGGCCTCATCTCCTGTGAAGCCTGTCGGCGGTACTAACGGCCGGCCAAGGAAGAGTTGTAGATCCAATAGGTAAGGTAGTTCGGCGGTGGTCACAAACGACCAGGCCCAACCTTTTCGTCCTGCTCGAGCCGTTCGTCCGACTCGGTGCACGAAAACTCTCGATCCCGTGGGAAAGTCGTAGTTGATGACGTTCTCCATGATGGGAATGTCGATACCACGAGCAGCGACATCCGTGACAACAAGCAAATTGGTGTAACCCCGACGGAAGCTGTCCATCTGGAACTTTCGCGCGGTCTGGTCAAGGGAACCATAGATGTGCGATGTCGTGTACCCAGCCACCTGCAGCAAGGTGGTCAGGTATTCGACATGATGCTTGGTGGCGGCAAAGATAATGGCTTGATGAGAAGCCATGATTCTTCGAACAGAATGCTCCTTGCTCTTCTTGAAGCGCTTCTTGGATGCCTCGCCATCTTCGTCCTCGTCCTCGTGTTGCAATCGGCTAACACCTTGCTGATCGACCGGTACCTTGATGACCTCTTTCAAGAGACTCAAGAGTGCAGCCTCCTTGTCGGCTGGCTTCACGGAGAAGAACGCCATTCTTAGGTCCGTGCTGATCTTGCTTTCGGCGTCGAGACGGATCAATTTCGGGTTGGTCAGACCTGCCCTAGCGAATTCTACGAGCGACTTGGGTAGCGTCGCGGAAAACAGCAAAGTTTGTCGGGTAGGCGGTAACCGGTGTAAGATCTCGTGCAGTTGCACTTCGAATCCCATCTCGAAAAGCCGATCGGCCTCGTCAAAGACGACGTACTCGATCGAACGCAAGTCGAGGTTCATCTCGACGATCAGATGCAGTAGACGACCGGGCGTGGCGATGATAACGTCGGGATTGTTGGCGATCATCGAGAACTGCTCGTCCAACCCCTCCCCTCCTACGACCAGACCCCAACGCAGATCCTGAGTCTTGGAAAGGGCATCTTCACCTTCGTCCGATTCCTCGTCGTCACCGGCATGTCGCGATGCCTTGGATTGCTTGAATCCCCTTGCCATTTCTTTTCCCACTCGCAGAATCTGTACTGCCAACTCTCTTCCCGGGCAGAGAATCAGCGCTCTAGGTCCGAATTTGGAAGAGTGACGAGCACCAAAGCGCTGCAGGAGGGGAATCATGTAGGCCAACGTCTTTCCCGACCCTGTCCGGGCCATCCCGACCAGATCTCGTGGAGGGGACGCGATGGCCGAAGGAATAGCGGCACGTTGAATGGGCGTAGGTGTCTTGTAGCCTCGTTGAAGTAGCGATTTCAGAAGAGGGGGGGCCAGGCCTGTTTGGGAAAAGGCGAGCAAGAGGAATATCAGCACGACGTATCCGCATAAAACCTCGGATTGATAGACTCGCCCATGCTTTGCCAACTACCACCTCCCGTAAGTCCCTTGGTTTCCTTCTCCTTGCCCTTTCCCTTGGCAGCGTGAGCTTTGACGGCGGACATGCCGTCTTGCTTCAGCTTTGAACCCATCATGTTGGCGATCTCGGCCTCTTCCTCGTCCGTTCCATACCCGTCATCTTTGCCTGCTTGCCTGGCCATAGACGATCCTCCAGCAAGCATGGACGAGAAATCTTTTGCGCTCGCCTCGTCGTCATCCGAGTCCAGGCCTCCTCGACCGGTCGCTCGTACGACCTCGTAATCGTCGTCTTGGTCTTCCTGCATAAAGTCGAGCTTGCGTTTGCCCCCCGCAGCGGGACTTTTGCTCCTATCGGAACCCCTACTGATTCTTGGTGCCATCTTTTGAAAAAGCTATGTCGAGTCGCTATGAAGATCAGGATGATGAGCGGGCGGGTGAAGGTGATCGAAGTGTAATGACTAGCTGATACTACAATCACAACCTCAAGGACCGTACTCAAAGTTGTGTTCTCAAGTCACGTGATGGTGGGTTTCCTCGGAAGTATATCATCTCATCATTTACTTCCGGTCGATCACGTTGACGTAAGTCCCTTGCGGAGGATGCCGATGTTGCTCTCTCTCTCTCTCTGTTCTCTTCGCAACCTCGCTCTCCTCTGTACAACAACGATCTCACGCACCCTGCACAGCGTTCGTTCAGCACAGCAGTAGAGACACACACACGTTTCAAGAATCTCGCAGATCGCACCGTATCATGGGCCAGGTGAGCCCGGTAGATACCCTTCGTTGACGCAACGAGGTTGATGACAACGACGGCATTGCCTTGATAGTCACGGAAATTGCCACACCAGTTCAACTTTGCCGGCAATGGATTCGCGACGCCATCAGACCGGTCATTGTCTTCGAACCTAAGCCCCCTCTCTGCTTTCGCTCCCGGTCTCATGGGCGAGAGCCCCATCGCTGGTTCCTCGAAAAGACCTCCTCTGGATCAGGATACACCCACGAAAAGGATCAAGCTCCGACAGACGTCCGGTAGTTTACATTTTCCCGGCGAGAGTCGCGACGATCAGCGCAACGTCTTCAAACCTTTAGGAACGGGATCTGAAGAGGTTCCCAAAACTATTTCTTCGAGATCTCGAACTACCTATAGCCTAGCCCGGTTACCTATGCCGATCAAGTCGGAGGATGAAGGCAATCTACCGCTCAAACAATTCCCGCTAGGTGTCATCGCTCGCGCTCAGACGCCTCTGCTAGGAACGGACAGACCTTCTCTTGCGATCGAAGGCAAGTCCCCGAGCGAGGACCCGTTGTACGACAGCGAAGACGAGGCGGACCGCAAACCTTGTCATCCAAGGATGAGCGAGTGAGTCGCGACATCAATCCGCGTTCACGAGATTCGAAAGGTTGACGTCGGCCTTTTCAATACAGTCTACCTTCATTGTCGGCTCAGTTTTCGAGATTAGCGGCCAAGCAAAGGTCTTCGGCCATGTTGTTTCACGCCAACCTTGCCCAGAGCCGAGCTCCGTTAGGTCTTCGAGGACCGATCATGCCGATGGTCACCAAGAATCCTCAAATCAGCTCGGCGACCTTTTGCCTGGAAATCGTCTCGGTCGCTTCACACTATGGTTCCAACCCGGTCTTCTTGGCTCGAAGCACTTCGAGAACGCGCGAAAACACCAAGATCACTCAAGCCGCTCAGGCCGCTCACGAGATGTACTTGATCTTCTCACCCGATGAGTCCGTGCGAGACGGCTCGGCCTCGGTGACCCCGGCTACGATCGCAACTACGCTGCCTCAAGGCGAGACTCGAACCATTTTGGCAAATGTCTGGGATCCAGAACCCCTCAGGTTAGGGATCACCCTGTTCGACCGGGAAGTCTGGTTGTGTTCCCGCTTCCTCCTCTCGATCGATCCGCCACACCTCACCATGTCCCGATAGATTGTCCTTTTGCACATCTACGCACATCTATGAGCAAGCCTTGTTGGCAGTTTCGGCTCCGGTATACAACTTTTGTAACGCAAGAAACACACTGAGTACCATCACTACGATGCCGAAAATGGTGCATGCAGCTGCACACAGCTTTCTTCGCCCGTACCACGGTTCGCTCAACAAGCAATAGTAACACGCAGCCGGGAACTAAGGTCGAGGTACAGGTTAGCATATCAAATTCCTGTCGCGTTTTCGGCCAGCAGTAAGCTCACCAGGAAGGCTAAGGCCGTGGCGCTTAGGCCACCGGTCAACTCCAGCACTGTAATGAATAGGTCGATCAGTCGGGCCAGATCTGTAGCCACGATAGCATCCCAACTCACCGATGCCAAGATCGCACGTTGTCATAGAGACAAGCATTGCTGAGAAGACCAGACCGGTTGTCACCAACCAGTGACGTGTGTAATTGAACGGCCTTTCCAGAAGGTTCTCAATGACCTAGTGACCATAGCATACATTGTTCATTTAGGTCAGCATAAAAAAAAGGGAAGCGCTAGTTGTTAGATGTAAGACTTACCTCTCTACAGACAAAGACTTCGAGCGGAAGAGTCGTGAACATGTTCAACCCAAAGCACAGTCGAGCGATGTTGATGACGGCATCATCCTATAAGTCACGAAAGGCCAACTGCAATGAGCCATCTCAACGAATTCTCGAGCTCGATGTAAAACTGTACCTCATCGAAGCAATTCAATATGTTGCCTGGATCAGTCGGTAGTAAGCGATGTGAGACTTAGCTTCCTTTTAAATTGGACCTCACCCTGTGTTTTATCCGTGAAGACCACGTATCCCGAGATTGATAGGATCAGACAACAAATCAAGCTCGTCAACGTGGAGATATGTGTGACGGCAGAGAACCTGATCAAAGCATCCGAAATCAACGAGAGTCGAAGCTAGACCCAGTGTGTATGTCAGACGTACCGATCCAGCGTAGGTCTCTCGAGGCTTCCATAAATCAGCATAGAATTGTGATGACATACATACTGTTCAGAGCAGCACATCGTCAGCTCATGGGCCTGGGCGACGTGAGAAATCTCAACTGACCGCAAAGCTGATAACACCGATGGCCTCGAACACTTTGGGGCCAATCACTGTGAAGACGTGTGCTCGGGAGCCTTTCAGTTCAGGGTCCACTTGAGGGCCCCTGATGACGACGGACAAAACGATGACAAGCATTGACAAGACAGCTAGTCAGAAACTTATGTTCAGCAGTGCAACGGGTAGAGGCATATTGAGCGAGCTCGTACCTAAACTGGAAGCCTTTGCTAATTTACTGATATCCCGATATAGCGAAAGAGGGTAGGCTACACCACCGATCGCCAGTGCGATGATGAACTGTCGATTAACGAGCATGGCACCGAGAGCAGTCTCTCGCACAGGCTGAGGCAGGAGCGAAGCTAGCACGTGTGGAATAGTATCACCTGTGGAGGATGTCGCCTTCGTTAGATAGGCTTCCTTCAAACAGGCGAGGGATCCTTGAACTTGCCAATGATAACGCCTATGTGCGTTTGTTATACAGACCATAAGCGATAGCTTCGCGCCACGAAGGTCATCTACGTACCGCAGGCTGCCATTCCTCCACAGGCGAATACGAATTGAAAGGTTGACACCGCGATTTGACCCGGGCGACCGAAGCAGTATTCCATGATCTATGGTTACTGGGTATTCAACCTTCCTGCATGTGACTGTATGTATAGGCGAGGAACTATGCATACCCCCATGTAGGATGATGTGCCGGACAACTTTGAATTGATGACAATCAGGCGTATTGTCCTGCTTGCGACGCGATGAGTCAATCTGTATATGGCAGTCCCGCTTCACCCACTCACCAATCCGTAACTCCACAAAGCACAACGAGCAAAAATATGCCCGTAAAGAAGCCTGCCTCGGCAATAGCTAGGGGCAACCCTGGAGATTGTAATAACCACTTCACCCATTCAGCATGGTCCAAGACCATGCACCATCCATGGCAATTTTTCGACATACCAATTATACCGGCGCCGATGATGCTGTTCGACATGTTGGCTATACCCGCTGCCAAACCGCTCCTGCCAGAAACTTGGACAGACTCCTCGCGAGAGGCATCCAGAAGGTGGAGATTTGACGCATCATCACCATCTATACCATGGCCGGAGCGAAGAAGCGGGAGTTCCACATCGCTCTCGTCGCGGCTCCGCGTGGAAGTCATTCGAGCAATCAAATCCGTATCTTGGGAGGACCGCACTGAATGAGCTACTAGATCTCCGTGCGTCTTTTGCCATGACGCTCGCTCGATAAAGCAGCGGGACTCCCAATCTCTCCGATTTCTTCGTTATGCTGGCTGGGTGTGCACACGATTTCTAACGGTGCTGGGGTACGTAAGATCAAGCGGACAATCCCGGAGATATCACGTGATGATCTCGAGAGCTGGCTGCTTTAGCCACGTCATGCACGTCATCGATTCCCTCTCCAGTGGCCAGTGGTGATAGTTGCGTGACGCGTCGTTCATCGCTGATCGCTCGGCCGTGAGAAAGCTCGCACGTAAACGCGTCTCGCCATGCAAAGATGACAACATGACACCCTTTCTCTCTAGCATCATGTATGAACAGTACTGGTCGAGCTGATCGCTCACAACATCATAGATCATACCATATATTACCCTGAACTTTCATCCGATCGCTCATCATTCAGGAATTCGAGCTCTACCAGAAACAATCAATCACCAACAAATCTCAGGTAAACTATCTGTCTTAACGCTAGAGGCATGAGAACGTGGCTTATTATGGATATTCGCGCAATAGATTATCCGCTATGCCCAAAGCAGTTGCAGAGAAACGAGGGGGAGGCAAGGCAAAGAAAGATCCGAATGCTCCGAAGAGGTAGGTTGGGTCTGATTTGCTAAAATGATTACTTGTTGACGCGCAATCGCAGAGGATTATCTGCTTTCATGTTCTATTCGACCGCTCAACGGGAGAATGTCAAGAAGAACAATCCTGGGATCTCATTTGGTACGGGCTCTTCGGGTTTTCACGAATTACAATACGCTTAGAAGTCTGCTTATAGGTGAAATCGGAAAGCAATTGGGCCAGCAATGGAGGGAGATGACCGCCCAGGAGAAGGCAGTAAGTGCACGTCAAACCCTAACGAGGGAAGTCACTAATATTGCACACCTCTTCCTCGAAGCCTTATGAGAAACAGGCAGCCGCGGACAAGGAACGAGCTGAAAGAGAAAAGAAACAGTATGAAGGAGGTGTTCCGGCGAAGAAGCCGACCTCGAAAAAAGCTGCTGCTCCGTATGTTTCCCGGATACGTCATGCATGCCCGTGGTTGATAATCGTCGCTCATTACTGCCTGCGATCCTTAGCGTTCCGGAAGACGACGACGACGACGAAGATGACGAATGAACCACTTGAGACTAAGATTACGGTGCTGTCGGATATCGCTTCACCCACCATACGCTACTTCCCATTTTCGTTTTCGACCTTCCTCTTTAAAATCGTTTGTGTCCAGTCTATCCTGTTGTTGCTTTGAGATCCCTCCCGTTTCTTTCCAGATTTACGTGCCTGGCATTGTCAACATGTCTATCAAGGCCTCGTTTATTATCATCGCGCCGTTTAGTTATCAGGCTAGCCCACTAAAATCGTATAAATATGCCCACCGAACAAAAGCGATCTTGTTACTGCCTGTAGATAGGTTCGAGCCGAGCGAAAGTATCTGGCACGATCGTCGATCGGATTGATCGTTTGGTAATGATGATGACAGCATACGGTCGCATGTCCGGTGAGAGTCGGATGAAGACGGACCACATAGACAGAATGAACAGAGAGATCGATTGTCCGAGCAGCGACGCACAATATTTGCTTAGTCTCATCATCCGATAGGCAGGAATTGCAAGTCATGGGGGCCAGAAAGTACCGGACAGAAATCGGGCAGAGGGTTGGGACTCTGATAGGCTTAGCGACAGTGATCATCCACTCAGCTCGGAGTATCGGAGGACATGCGAGCTAGTGGATCGGATATGACCGAACGAACGATCGGGATGATAGGCAAATGCACGAACAAAAGATCCTCTTTGCAAATTATGAACAAAAGAATCAGCACGTTTACAATACACAACGAATCTGACGGACAAAGGAACGGACGCTTGACTAAACTAATCATCTCATGCATCTCATTTCTAATGAGCTAATGATGTAATGATCGTACGTAATGAGCCAATGACGAAAGAATTCGATACGAACAAAAGACTGCTGGGCCAGTCCCGCGCAGGCATGCGGCCCGCGCCGTTCTCGAGAACAAAAGGCGACGGATTGCGACGATATGGATGGACACGCTTTGTTCCTACTCTATTGTCAAAATCGCTATTGTGCTGTTTGTGTGCGCTACTTCTGAACTGATTGGGGCCAGCATTGCCCTTGTTCTCCATCGGTTGCGCAAACAAAAGCAGCATCGGGACGTGCTGAACAAAAAGAATTGCAGCTGCGCAGTGTTCGGTCCGAGAATCATCTTTTCCATTGCTGCCTATTGTTCTGTCTTCGCTGACCTGTATAAGTAGCTGAGGATCGTCGCCATATTCGCTGTACAAGATAGGGTTAGAAGATACTCACCTCATCATCTTCACTCACACACACACTTACCCACCCAACTCACAAATCAATACTCTCACGCTCCCTTACAATGGACGCCTTCACCGCCACCTTCACTTCTTCCATCTCCAAGACCGAGACTACTCCCGTCAACGAGGAGATGGCCGCCAGGTGGTCCGGAATCGGACCCGGTGTCTGTGTCGTCGCCAACAAGCCTCCCGTCAACGAGGAGATGGCCGCCAGGTGGTCCGGAATCGGACCCGGTGTCTGTGTCATCGCTTAAGCAACGCTTGACTGTAAGCATTTCGGCAGCGGCCAATCAATCACACAAGCGACCGCTAATCATTCGCATATCGCAGCAGTTGTCCGCTGAACGGATGGATGGATGGGATTGGCAGATGATGGCAGAGGGATTACGCAATGTTGGATGTATATATTTAGTGACATGATCGATGCATCAAGTCTCGCCGCCTTAGATTCGCAGTGCCTCAAGTATCGAAACTGCTGCAGCGCTGTTTTTAGACGTTCGCTTGAGTTCGGCCTCATCAACGGATTCCCTCGCCGTGATCAAGATGCATCTACATCCAGTTGCTGCCAAACATGCTGTGCTAGGATGTAAACTTCACTTGGCTGCTACGCTTCGAAAGGGTATCGGGTTGCGTATGTGGCACGGACATTATACAGAGACCCAGAGGGAACACGTCATTCTCGCAAAACAAACAGATGATTAAGATGCACTTCGAGACGTTCGATATTGGTCGGCAAGTCCGCAGCGCCTGAACGCAAGTTTAATCAGAGTCCGCTGATCATGCTTTGCGCAGTATGGACGTACTCAATCAAGGTGTCATGCACCAGCTTGTATGTCCAGACATTCCCGCGAAGCCGTTTGACGTCGACCGAAAGTAGACCTGGAAGGTTTCGCAATCGCGTCAATTCCACAGAGAATCGTATCTCGTCGCCTTGATCGATGCTGTTCGAAGACCCCTCGTGAGCGGTGCGGCCCAAAACAACGTAACCGGAATACTGACCCTTGGTTCCGCGTAGTGTCTCCTTTGCGCGGACTCAGAATCGACGAACTACCGTTGACAATCGCTTGCGCGACGTCCATGAGTGGAGTCGATGATTTACCGGTGGCTCCTTGTTGGGCTTGATGAGAACTAGCCCTCCTTGCCAACAAAGTCCGTAAGCCTGTTGGCTGTACGGGAATACGTTCATCGCTTCTTCCAACTGTGGGTCCCAGCATTTGCTGTTTGCAGGACAGACTCGGCATTGGTAAGTCGACCACATTAGGAAATTTCTGGTACTCACGGTTCGATTGCCCTGATCTAAAGGGCCAGTCTTGCTAGAAATCTCCAAATTGGTTTTTAAACGCACGCAACGTAGCTTGGCATCGCCGTCTTTCTTTGCGTCGATCCCCATGTCAAGAAGAGCCTTGTAAACGTTGTCCATGATCGTTGCGGGATCCAATGTCGTCAGAGTGGCTTGATCGACTACTCCAGTGTGGTAGCGTAGCATGCCTTCTTGCAAGGCCGCGAATGCACCCTGGCCCTCCGTAGGCTGTACCGAGTGCCTCTCTGGATTTGCAGATACCACTGAAGCAGGTGAAAGTAGACTTGTAGTCGAGGATTTCGCCACCCCTTCTGGAATCAAGAAGCGTTCCCGCGAATGGGGCAGGGTGTGGCCCGCCTCGACACGTAAAGACGCAGCAGAAGGTACCATTACACCCGGCGAAAGGAGACCGTCGTCGTGCGGGCTGTTCGAAGCGTAGGACGACCTGGATATGCCTGAGTGGGCTGAGTGGTTCGTATGAACTGCACGGGCAGAGCCTTTCCGTCTAAACCAATCCATGACCCTCTTAGCTGCTGAGCTCGAGGCACTCTTTCGGTGTTGCGTTATGATCGCTTCTGCAGGGCGCTTGTCTGTGTAGCAAATGGTGTTTTAAGGGGATATGCCGCACATCTCGGAGTTTGCAGAAGGATACTGACTGTACTCGATCATCCCAGGGGGGTCCATGCGGTCTGCCTCCACTACACTGAGTTCATTAGCTTTGCTCTCCGAGTTTCCTGTGAAGAGGGATATGAGTGCGGATAATCAGCGTCGTGTATGAGTTTGAAGTGATCGAAGGATCATGAAGCACGTACCAAGAGGAGATGGCGAGATTGATGTCCCCTTCGGAGTGTGTTCCGTCTGAGCCGAGTGCGGTAGCGGTCGTGTCGGATCATGTGCTACAGCTGCAGTGACATGCTCGTCGGTATTCCTTGTGTATGGCGTATTTTGAGCGGACGAGTCGAGCATACCAGCGGGCAGAACGATCATTGGGGGTGCGGCTGGCTTTGTGTCGACAATTTTACTCGCCAACACCGATGGCACGCCTGAAGTCTGAACCTCGCCGTATGGGCGACCATCAACGGACCGGTCACCAGAATCGATGACAGGCAGTGTCTGAAGACAAGCCGAATTGACATCCAACGCCTTAATCGGTGTAGACCCTTGTATCGCCATAGACGGATCGTTGATCTCTGGTCCCTCTTCAAACGGCCTAGTTGGTATATCCAGGCGTCGCACGATACCGGTATGAGACTCCCGCTGTTCGTCCCTGCACGGTAATGAGTATTCAACCTGTATGGTATGTCGATTGTTTTGCTTGGTGAGGTGACCTGTACCATCTGACGAACTAGCAACCGGGAGTGCAGTCTTAGCGGGTAGATTCCCCGCAGATGGTTGGCCTACCCCTTTAGCATGGCTTCTTGTACCGGTTGGATTAACGGGGTCAGCTGTAACAGATACTTGTGACTGAGAAGAAAGCAAGTCCTGCGTCAGCTATAGAGGTATAACATCATAACATCCTTCCAACTTACTTGTGTAGTAGCTGGTGCAACACTTTGATGCCGCGCAAGCTTTGCGATGTTGTCGTTCGTGGTGGAAAGAGAAGTCGACATACTGTCTGTGTACTGGCGGGCCAAGCGGTCCACGCGAGTCTCCTCTTGTTGCTGAACGCGGAGCTGCATAGCCTTTCGGGATGATAGGCGCTTGTGGTGTTGTTGTTCTTGAGCAATAGATTCCAACTCCCATACGCTACGCTGGAACAAAGGCCTGTATGCCTGTAACCATGGATGGGCCATGATAGAGTCCAAATCGCAACGATTCAAGGGATCCGGAACCAACATGCGAGAAAGAAGGTCCCTTGCCCCGCTTGAAAGGTAGTCAGGAAAGGTAAGCGGGGTATTGACGATGTAGCGGTATAAGAGATTGATGTTATCTCCATCCGGGTTCGCCGGATCATCATCGAAGGGAAGATATCCGGAAAGCATAGCGTAAAGGATGACTCCGCATGACCAGATGTCGACGGCTGATCCCACGTAAAGCCCCTCGGAGATGACTAACTCCGGAGCAGCGTAGCACGGGCTCCCACAGGATGTTGCCATCAGGTCATCCTGTTTGTGCTCAAAGCGGTTGGCGAAGCCGAAATCGGTGATTATGACATTTCGATGCTTGTCGAGCAGAAGGTTTTCCAGCTTTAAATCTCGATGAACGATCTTTTTCTGATGCAAGTAGTGCACGCCGGATACCAATTGCGCAAAGAGTTTCGCTGCGTCTTTCTCCTTGAGATAGCGGTGCGCCAAGATATGGTCGAACAGTTCGCCGCCTGTGCCCGGAAAACCAAAACTCAGGCTGACACACGCGAACGAAGTCAACGAGCGGGGACTTACCGTTGGCGAAATCCAAAATGATGCCAATATACTTCTCTGTCTCAATCACGTCGAACAGCCTTACGATATTAGGGTGTTTCACAGCCTTTCGGTTGTGCACAACACTTTAGCATCACCATGACGATTGACAAGTTGAAAGCTCTCACTTTAAGCACGTCGATCTCCCTTTCGACCTTTGTGAGCCGAGTGTCGTTATCTACGCTTCCTCTTCGGATTAGCTTGACGGCAACCTCCTCGCCATAGTCCTTGTGTACCCCAAGCTTGACCTTGCCAAACTCCCCTTCGCCCAAAGTCTGGAGGAGAATATATGGACCGAAGTTTATGAGTGGCCTGCGCGGGTGAGCTCTTTGATAAGCCGATATAGATGGATGGATGGTAAACTCCGACGTCGTGGCTGGTTCTGCTCCCGAATTTGTACGCAAAGGAGCGATCATCCTGGGGTCATAGGTTGCCCTCTTAGCCAAGTGAGCGGGGACTTGGGTACGAGGACCGGAGGGAAGAGGAGGATGCGGTCTAATGGGCGGAGCTTCCGGACGAGAGTCTGGCATTCTGCCTGGCACGGAGACGTTGGGATGGTCCGAGCTCCTTGCAGAGTCGATGCCACTCATAGCGTTTTCCTCGCTGGTTTGTTCAGAATGTGTCCTTGATAGTCTCTCGATGCGGTTCGAGGCTGATCCTAGACCTGGATCAGTCCAGTGTTCGCCCAAAGGATCACCCAAAGGAACGGTCACGTTGAGAATGTCTGTCATCCGGATGGCTGGAAGTTCGGGTTAACCTTGACCATCAGGTTTTAGTTTCTTCGATTTACCTTTGTTCCGAATGAAGCTTGATCTCAAAGTCGATCTGAATGTTCGTAAAGTCGACGAAGGAGCGGGAGATCTTGACGGGAAAGGGACTCTTGCGGTCAATCGCAAACTTCTCGTGCAGCTTGCCTAAAGCCCACGGTGTGTTGAGTTGTTGCAGTAGGTTGATCGCTCGCTAATAGACTAGACCGTCGAACCGTGAGGACATCGTGGTTCTTTGTCGATTGTAGCTTTTGGTTGGTGTGTGCGTATATGATGATAATTGGGCTCCAGTACGGGTTGCGAGTCGCGCGAGTCGTGAGCTGTCAGTCATGTACTGATGATGCTGATGAGGGCTCATGAGTACTAGACAGCGAAGTGATGAAAGATCAAGAGATTTTTGATCGATTGATCTACTACTGAGACACTGCTACTGGGCATCTGATGAACGCGGTTCAAAGCACGCCTAGCCTGCCATTGTTGTTGTTTGATGAGCGGGGGAGTCCGATGAGCCGTCAGGATTGATCGCATCAGTCCTCCGCGCGGCAGGACGTCTCGCATCGCAATCCTTGATAATCTCACGCAAGAATCGCCAGGAAGACCGGGAAAGCGACAAGCTAGATGAAATTTGTGATGCCCACAAGGGATTCGGCTTCATAGCATAGTATACAGCAATACAGTGAATCATGTCCCTCCTACTCTTCCATGGCATCATCCTCATCTGATTCGTCAGAGTCAGAATCCTCAGCTGCCGCAACGGTAAGAGTGTCCAGATCGAAATCCTGATCGGCACCTGCGTTCGTCGTGTTCGGGGTCAGGTCAAGGTTAAGTCGTTCAGAAAGGGCAGTATGACTTACCAACATAGCTATCACAAATGAGGTACAGCTTGAGTCGATGAGAGCCTTGGGGCAGGGTGAAGCTTAGCTTAGTCTTCAGGCTACTCTTGACGGTAACCTTCTTGATGCCGTAGAGCGCTCGACTGGTAGCATCGCCGACGACTAGCCACCAATTGACTAGCTTCCTGCCCGGGTAGCGAGCCGAATCCGCGATCTGGTCGCCATCATCGTCCTCATCCACGTCCCGCACGAGGCGAACCGCCATGGTGATCGGTTCGCCGGCTACCGGATCCTGGGCGTCTTCAAGCTCGTATTCGACTTCCATGTTGGGATAAGCGTTGACGAAACGAGCAACACGAGCCCTGCGCAAGGCCGACGGAACAGTCAGGAACAGCCGCAATACAGCAGGAACACGCAGACTCACATCTGCTTGTCGTCAAACTTGAGCAAGTCATTCCTTTGTGCGTCTTCCAGCTCCATGATGTCGTAGACGGTCTCAACGCCGGCAGCTCGACAGCGCGATATGACGTCTTGCTCGAAGTAAGGGATTTGTCGAAGAGCCGAATCGGAATCCCAAACCGCCTGAACGCACATTTGACTCAGATCCATCGCTCCGAGAGCGTTCAGGAAAGAGTTGGAGGACATGACGTCCACGCATGCTGACAACAAGTTCGAGACTCGAGCCAACACGATTTTTTGGTCGATGGCAAGGTCGGCCGGCAGGTTCATCCTTGTGAAGTGGGCTTGCAACAAGAGGAAGGTTTTGAAATGTGGACTGTTGTAGTCCACAGCATCTAGCTTGACGGGCAGGCGCTCGTAGATCCGCCTAAGCAGGATATCCTCGTGGTGACGGACAGGTATGTTCTCGAATTCGGCGGCCGACGCCACAATTTCCAACAAGCCCTTGAGCTTTGTGCGTTCTTTGAGCGAGAGGCTAAAAGTCTCTACCGTCAAATACGAGATGTAGTAGAAAGCTATAACGGGAAATTTTCAGCACAGACGGATTACTAAACGGCGAATAGTCAGCCTACAGCAGATCATTCCGAGATTGATGGCAGTTGTGTCCATGTCGTCTATCGGGACGAGAACTATCAGAACTCTAGTTTCTGTAGAAGGGTTAAGTCAAGCCTTGACGCACCTTCAACCGTGATGCATTTCTTATCCGCTAAATCCGCCAGAGTGTTTTCCACTAGTTCACTGAGATGATCAGACAGGTGACGATGACTCGTTCCTTGCAGATTGTAGAACTGGCGCAAGGCGTCGTTAGATACGATCTCATAGCACGCAGGATCGAATGAGACTTACTCCGGGATTTTGCGTCATTCGACGGTAAAACTAAGCAACAGAATCTCAGTACAGCAGAAGGGTGGGTAACAAGCTCACGAAACAGACTGACCCATGTCCATGTACACCAATCCACGGCATCTTGCTTGTTTTCAATGGTTCGCGCTACGATTTCGGCGTTGAAGTGATCCCAGAGGTTGCCTGGCAACATCGATTCAACGGGCAAGGCTTCGGCGAGGAACTTGGTGAAGAACTCTTTCCGGGTCTGCTGGAGCATGAGCACGCATCGACTACTCGAGTCGACCGTCGGCCTGCACGCTCGGCCCATCATCTGCAAAACTTCAGCGATAGCGTAATCCACGTATCGATGCTCCCGTCCGTCGTAAGTTTGTACACCCATCACGATCACCAGGTAAGCAGTGACGGGGAGACTCCAAGCGGAGTCCTGGTTAAGGACATGGCTTCAAGTCAGTATAATGATTTACGTTCAGCGAGCCAAGTACTACTTGCCTTGGAAACAACAAGGATTTTGATCGCCTCGGCATTCATCAAACTTGCCACGATGCGCTTGTCTTGCTTGGTCATGGCTTCGTGGTAGTAGCCGATGCCAGATTTCAGGCATTCGACGAGGTCTTGGTCTTCGATGTGGTCCAGATGCGGCTGCAATTCATGCTCGTCGATGTTGAGGAATCGCTTAGGGTTATCATCCGCAAGGCAGTAACCCAAGATGTCGCTTGCGGTCATCTTGCATTGTTTCCTGGATGGAACGAAGAGAATGGAGGGCTTGTCCTCTGCCATTTCTGTCACGGCCAGATAGGCAGGCTTGACCATAGCGAGCATGAGAGAAGGGAAATGAGGCACGTTGAAACTCTGCAGGTGTACTTCTAAAGGAGTCGGACGCGTGCTGTTTCAAGTACAGCAATGAGCAAGTTGTTTATTAGCTGTCGGTTCCAAACAACATACCTCGGGGAGAAATTGAAAACGTTGGAGGCGGGAGCGCCAAGCCACTCTCCAATATCTCTCGCGTTGGCCAAGGACACACTCAGACCTACGATCCTCGTCGGCATGTCGGTCTGGGCAGACACATAGCGAGTTCGGGATAGAACGACCTCGTATGTAGCACCAACATCTCCACTGCCAATGAGCTGTAAATCGTCGGCGATAAGTAGTCCGATTTCCTGGACGTCTTTGCGGCGTTTCCATCCACGAGAGCAGGCATCCCACTATTGAGAAGGAAAGCGGTCAGCCGGATGCAAATGAAAAGTAGCCAAGCTGACTTACTTGCGCCGGGGTGGCAACCACAACATCAGAACGCCTCAATATGGCCAAATCAGCGGTAGTATCCCCCGTAAGAGATGCGAAAATCTTCCCTCCTTTCAAATGACCGAAACGGCTCTGCCATTGTGCGATCCTAGCGTCCACCATATCCTCGTAAGGCAGAAGGCAGACAGCTCTTTGAGCCAACGGCTTCGTCCAGAGCCGGAGGAGCGCCATTTCCCCGCAGATAGTCTTTCCGCTTCCGGTCGGGGCAGCAACAATCACGTTGTCGTCGGTAGCGTACAACGCATGGAAAACCTGGTTCTGGATCTTGTTGAAATGCGTGATGGTGCCATCATATACTGCCTGGAACTCTTTGTCGTGAAGTGCTTGAGAAGACAAGGGTTGAAGGTCGAGCAATGCAGTATGGGCAGGGAACGCTTCCGGCCGAATCAAATGTTGGAAAGACAGCGGCAGACGAGTCTCGGAGTGCAACCACCGGTCAGACACTACAGAGATGTAGTAGTTGGGTGGTACGGGATCCGAGATTGGTACGGATAGCGTAACCACGTGCTCCTCTTCCGCATAACGCTGTCGCAACGAGAAGGAATCATGATAGAGGATTCTCTCACCGTCCACATCCTCCACCAAGATCCAAAATAGCTGATTATTGCCATGCTGTTGCTCGTTCCACTCAAAATCGGGCATCAACGTGAGAACGATACGCAGGAGTGACCGCGTGATCGGTTGCACCAGTGCCTGCAGTTCCAGCCGTGGAAACTGATGCACGAGACGGTGAAGGCGCCGACCTTCGTTCGCTAGCCCAACTAGCTCGCCGAGTTCTGCCGGCTGCAAGTCGAAATATCGATACCAAGGGAATTCCTTGCGCTCTGCCTTGTAGACCACGTTTGCTGGAATTCCTTTGAACTGCCTGAGAGGCGTCATCGACCTCCACATTCTGCGTTCCACCATCTTGCACAGGTCCAATGCCAATCGCGTTGGTCCCGCCCATCCTCTCTTCAAGCACATCTCGAAGATGGCTCTCAAGATACGTCCCGCAGATTGCTGAACGAACACCATGTCCGCAACAATGGTAAAGCCATCGAGCTTGAGACCAGAGATATATGCTTGCAGTAGAACGTTCACTTTCGCCGTCGGTTCGTCAACGTTCTCTTTGACGGGTATGGGCACCCGCTCGAGAAGCTTGGTCAACTCAACTCGCTCTTCTTGCCGCACGGGTATCAGTCGGAACTCGTTGGAAAGCGCAAAGACGCGGAACATGTCGATAACGTTCATCGTCGGCCGAAGATGCTGGTTGTATGTAGCCATCGAGCTGTGCGCGATGTAGTAGTGGGACGCGATGCGTCCGAGCTCCGTACTCTTGAATACACCCGTACGACGATCGTATTTGATCAAGCTGGTCTTTTCGAGCAAGGTGGCCGCAGTGTGAACCAAATCCGCTGTAGCATTGGAGCACGAATAAGCTGAAAATTGAGCGTAGCGATAGCGAAATCACGTCGAGACGTACATCGCTTTTGGAGCAGAGCTGCGTCGCCCTCCATATAGTCAGCGCCTACGTTATAAAGAGCTGGGGACGCCAACATTCGCACATATCTGTTTCGATTGTGGTTCAAAGCCAGTCAGTAAGGGGGATGGATTCCGGAAGGTGAAAGCTACGACGCTCACAGGTAAGTATAGGCAAGCCATTGGACAGCTTCATCTCTGTTTCTGACAGAGCCAAGGACGATTTCGGCGTTCAGGTTGTCAACCAGCTTCGAAACGAATTGTGATTCGATGGGCAATTGCTGGTTGAGTAGACTGGTATAGTACTGCAACTCGTTGTGATTGGTAATGATGATGCCTTCCCCGTATTGATCGTACTGCGGACGGCCGGCTCGGCCAAGCATCTGCAACACGTCTTGGGGAGACAGTTCTGCCCATCGACCCTTTTCGGGGTTGTAGATCTGGGTACCTTTGATGATGACGGCATGAGCTGGAAGATTGACACCCCATGCCAGCGTCGCCGTGCAGACGAGAACTTTGATATGTCGTTCTGCGAAAAGTTCTTCTGTAACCGCTCGATCCTCTCTGTTCATCCCCGCATGATGTATACCGAACCCGAAAGCGAGCAGATCCTTGAGATTCGCATCGTGGGCCTTGGCAGACTCTTCCTCAAGCACCGCCCGACTTGCACCATTCGGACTGATGAATTGCGTCTGCTGTTCTCTTTCCAGAGCGAGATCACGCAGGAATCGTGCGGTTTTGGCGGTCTCCTTTCGCGAATGAACAAAGACCATTACGGGGTTATCCTGGCTAACTTGATCCAGAACCTTTTCGTAGCAGACTTCGTTCATGATCTGGAAACGTTTGATCGCTTTCTTTTCCGTGATTCCAACGAACTGCTGGCGGAGTGGGCAAGGTCGATACGAGGCATCGAAGTAAAAGAGACCTTTTTTCAGATCGACCCGTAAGAAAGCGGCAACATCCTTGTAGTTGGGCAAAGTAGCGCTCAAACCAACTATTCGCACGTCCTCGTGTGTTTGGTCCATTCGCCGAATTGTCCTTGACAAAATGCTCTCGACCACGGGACCACGGTCGTCGTGCAAGAGGTGGATCTCGTCCACGATAAGTAGACGAACCAGGTTGGTGTAGCTGGTATCGGAGTTTTTTCGAGTTATGACATCCCATTTTTCCGGAGTGGTGACGATCACCTGCGTTTCGGCAATCTGCTGCTTGGTCATCTGAGAATCGCCGGTAAGTTCGGCGACTCTTATCCCGAGAGGAGCGAGTCTAGCCGAGAATTGCTGAACCTGTTCTTGGACCAAAGCCTTCATCGGCGCGACATAGATCACCTTGAAAGCGTCCAGATCGATCATCCCAGTGGACTCGTCTCTAAACTGTCCGATGGTCCGTAGCATCGTCAGCATGGCACAATTGGTCTATAAGAAGTACCAGATACAAGAGCTTGTCAGCACTGTCTTGTTTCACAAGCAATCGGTATGACCCACCTTCCCGGCACCGGTAGGAGCACAGAGAAGCATCGGCTCATCGCTCTCAAAGGCCACTGGAAAGACTTTGCTCTGAACCGGATTGAGTTGTGTCGTTTTCCCCCAAACAGGATGTGTCCAAACAGGAAGACTTGCGATCTGGACTGGCAGTTCTTCGGTGTTGACTTTTCTCTTTTCGGGGATTGGCACATGGATCTCTTCATATCCCTTGCCAGTCCGCTTGAAACTGCCAGTCGGTAATTTGACCTTTTTATTCGACATAAGATGACCGCCCTGAGCGAATATCAGGCCCTCAATGTCCACAGTCCTCTGGGACCGGTTGTTGAGCTCGCTCGATGTCACAGCAGCCGATTCGATCGTGCTGCGGCCCGCCTGAGGACGGCTGGGCACAGTCTCGGTTAGACGAGACCTGTCACCGGCCAATGCCCGGAGTAGCCATCCGAGACCTTTTTCACGCATAGCAACTTCGACGTCATGGCGGTCGTCGTCATCGGTTCTGGCCAATTTGGTACACCAGACCACAGTCTCGCGATTCTTCGTCAAAAGAGCGACGATTTCAAAATTGGCGTATCCGAAAACTTCGGCGAGGGAATTCTCAAGGTCTCGAAGGTCCATGTCAGACGCCAGGAGGTCTAGGGTTTTCGTCGTCAGTTCATTTGCTTGTTGAGGATCCGAGTAAGCAGAGGTTATCAACCTTTGCAGCCAAAACCCGTCAACATCATGTGGGGCTACGACATCGTGTTGCTTCCCCTTGCGCTGCTTGTGAGACGCGTCACCGATGACCATGTCGAGGTCTTCATTGCCAAGTTCCGGCGATCCGTCACCTGGAGATCCGCTCTCCGGCTCATCATCGTTCGATTCTTCCTCATCGCTATTGTCATCACGTAGCTCGTACGCGCCCTCCCCCTCGTCCTCGTCCTCGTCGTCTTCGAAGAGCACAGCGACACCATCCTCTCCTTCCACGGCTCGACTAGCGGTAGATGGATCAAGGTCACCAGTGTCGTTGGTATCCTCCGTTTCTTGCGCATAATCCGTAATTTTCTTGGAGAGATTTACAAGTTGGCTCCATCGATCTCCATCGATGGTACCGGTTATAGTCTCGACCTCTTTCTTGCGGTCAAATTCCTTGACATCTTCGCTCTTCAGTATCTCCAAGACTGTGTCTGTGGCTGATCTGACGACATCTTGTGCCTGATCACCCAGGGCCTGATGAACAATTCCAAGAAGTAGCTCAAAAACCTCCCTAGTCTCGGCAGTCTTTGGTCGATAGTTGAGTCCTTCGAGGTCTTCCGTAGCTTGAAGGATATCGAGGTACCTGCCATCAGTTCTGGTGCTCTGATCGCCGCGACGTCGAATGCTACGTTCTGCCTCATCCGCTGCAGAAATCACAGCCTGCTTCTGTTTCTTCTTCTCCAAATCCTTGGGTGCCTCTCTTCCCGCCCGGGCTCCCATATCCTTGATGTTGACTCTTCCGACCAAAGATTCGGGCGCGCCGGTTGGTTCATTGTCACGTCGATGTCCTCTCTCTTCATCAAGGATAATGGCATGAAATCAGCCCTCGAACCACTCAAGGAAAGATCGACGGTAAAATACGCACCCTGGTTCACTACCAAACTGCTCATCGCCCCATAATTGAATTCGGAAAGATCACGTTTTGGAGGCATCTTGTCTGTTCTGCCTGATGGTTTTACAGTCGCTTGAAGAGGCCTATGTGTCTGGGAAGTGTGACCGCTCTGACCAGGTGAGAACCCAACTCAATTTAGAAGGGACCTGGCTAGGCCTGTTCGTGCTTGAGTGACCGTCGGTGACGGACTGCGAATCGTAGCCGTGCGTAATGGAAGATGCCGTATCCCAGAGGTGTGCTGTCGAGTAGATAACTTTATGCTCTATTAGAATTAGTTGATGACTCTATGGGTCTTTGGGTGAATCTATAAGCTATAAGCGATAGACTAAGCTCGGCAGCTACCTTGTGCACGGTACACGGTATGGGTCAGGGCACTCGGTCGTCCTTGCCCTGACGTCCTCCTCGAAGTGGCGAAATGACTGAAGCTCGAAGAATTGTAGCTAAGGGTGATCCATGCCGCCTCGCCGCGATCGACGCTGAAAGTGAAAAAAAAAGTACCACTTGCCCTTTGAGGTTGTCGCGGCAGGCTGCCATCCATTCCTACATCCAAGTTTCCTATATATGCACAACTTGGATAACCTAGTTTGCCGATAATACTTCCCTGCGGATCATCTTCACTGAATTATACGCCTCGTAGGAATCCACTGCGCGGTCACCTCCTTGCTAAGGCGACATGAAATGATTCGTCAATTCGTCTGACGAGCGCAACAGCTCCGGTACAGCTCGAAGGGTTCATGGTCAGTCGGTCAAACTACATCTACCTCTAGAGCGATAAAGCGAGATACTAACAACCTGTCAAACTTCTATGCCGCTCAGGTTTGAACGCTTGATCATCATGCAGACGACTGCGGGCCATCCGGATAACGAAGCGGCGATGCTTCTCCTGGGACTATACGATCAGGGCCCGCAGGAATCATCGATGCATCCCACTACTTCAGATAATACCCTCAGTGAACGCCCACCCTTGGACTACGCTGTTGTTGACAAGATAGCCTGGCCGAGCAGCCCTCCTCAAAGAAGCGATGACTTGAACGCTAGTCATCTCGATATCGCTCAGCAAATGCCGAAGGATGTCACGTCCACTCCAACTCTCAAGCGTAAACGAACTTCGAGCCCCTATGACGTTGCCACTACAGAAGGGCCGACGCCCGGTCCATCGTCCAGAACACGACCTGACCTTCCTCACTTTATGGGATTCGACAACCAATTATACCGTTGCATTTGCCAAACGACTATCGAGCCCGATGCAGGCACATCGATCCAATGCGAAAGCTGTCTGGCTTGGCAGCATGCAGGCTGCTTCGGCCTCCGCGAGCAAGATCTGGAAGGCCATTCATATTTTTGCCAGTTTTGCAGCGGGAAGGATGAGAGTCATCAACCGGATTTACGTTATGTCGAATATATACAGCACCTTGCGAGCAGCAAGGACACCCTATCCGCGGAGCCTACTGTCTTGTTGGAAGAACCTCTAAGGGATGGAAAACGCTCGCGCCTGCTGTCTTCGACGACTCGAGGGGGCAAAGGCCGCGTACGCCTTGGTGGTACGATCCCCAAATCGGTAGATGCGGAAGGCGTTGATCGCAAACCAATGCCCCACAGCATTGAAGGGGCGCCTGCTGTAGCTCCGCGAAATCAACGCAAGAAATCCATTATCAATCCTCGTAACCCCAAAGGCAAAATTACGCCGAGTTCCAACTTGGTTACCGAAGACATCCCACGAGATGTGGTTGGCAACGATATTGGGTCGCCCCATATTCTGGGGGACAGCGACTGCCCGCTGAGGCTCCTGGATTACATCCCGATCCCGACCAATCTAGTCACTTCACGTGAAGTGGAAGAGATGCTTCATCAACCTTGGCAGAGCCGTTGGCCTACAGACGCTATGGAAACACCCCGCTTGGTGTCGAAAACCGTTGGCCATGATCGACCAGAACCCGCTTTTGGTAACCCTGTCGACACCGTTGCATCGCCTCACAATGAGACCAAGGGAAAATTCCAGAACGCCAATGTACTAGTCAAGGTCGTCGCGAAGACCGAGTTAGCGGACCCAGTAGCCGTAACGCCTGTGGGGCTTGCGATTCCCGCCGGCTGGAAACAACAATCTTACGAGGCGAATAGCTTCGGAGTCTACGCTCGCCGGGACCTTGAGACTGGTTCGTTTATCGGAGAGTTTCGAGGTGAAGTATACCCGGGAAGCGAATATGAGCGAGACACCGCCAACCAATACGCTATCCTCGGTATACCCAAAGCCTTTGTTCGCAGAGTCGGTCCCCCTTTCGGACTGGTTGTTGATGCCAGACGGTATGGTACGGACATGCGCTTCATTCGATCCAGTTGCCACCCGAACGCCCGCCTGTCCGCCATACCTACCAAAGCTCAGAGCCTGGATGGTAGCATGGACGTCTCGACGTCTACGTCTTTCGGTGTCTACCTCACGAAAAATACCCGTATCGGAGACGAGATAACGCTTCCTTGGGAATGGGATGATCATCACGTTATACACGAACTGCGAGAACCTTCTCACCCTTTACCGTATTACGCGCAGCGCCTGGCAGCCATCGGCCGACAATTAGCAAAGTCGTTCACGGCCTGTGCATGCTCTGATATACAGAGTTGCGCTATGGCGAAAATTATCAGCTATTCAGTCCAGCTTGACCGTGGCACGTTCGACATTGGAGATGATCGACCTACTTGCCTCGGTCCTTTGATCGGGTCCCACCGACACTGGCATGTAGGTCATCATCGGAGCCCAAACGTCTCCGCCAGGACCGAGAGTAGCCTAGAAGGCCTCCAACATGACCGGGTTGTCAGCCCAGTGGCAGATCCCGTCGCATCGGCGTCGTATACGACCTACGAGTTGCAAATATGGCTCAACAGGGAAGATACATCCTGCGAGGCAGACAACGACGGTTCATCTTCCACCTCATCACCTGAGCAAACATCCCCCGCTTGCTCTCTCGGGTCATTGAGGTTTGGGTCGCCGATCTCGTCTGTATCGTCTGTATCGTCTGTATCGTCAGGCTCCACCTCGTCTCAAAACGCAAATGTCGCCGAGCCAAACGAAGGGGTCGGGACCGCGGTTGGCCATCTTAACAATCCCCCCTCGCTAGATGCGGGAACATGGCACAGGCTGGATCAGGGCGTATACAAGGATGAAGAGGATGGCATGAGCACGGTTTCGGATGCCTCGACATTAACTGAACCTCTGGCAGAGGAGCCGGATTACGATGATCAGCTCGATCCCCTTTATACTATCTATCGGAACACGGATGCGCCCGCGACGGCTGACCGACGATCATCGGAAGGTTCATCAGCTGAACAACAGCCAGATGTTGGCGATGACTGTTCTGCTGATGCAGGCCCTTGGCTGTCGGATGATCCCGATCAAGCGGACTGGCCAGATGGACGTTCAACTCAGCCTAACCCGGACCGCCAGGGCCGTTTCAAAGAACCGTACAGTCGATTCGTTGAACCTATCGAATCCTACCGGGTCCCTAGAGGTGATCAAACGGTCTCGAGACACGAGGGAAGCATCGAGTCTCGGGACGTTGCGGCAACGAAACATGCTACATCAGCCAAGAAGCGCATCAATCTCACGGATTTCATGCAATCATCGCATTCAGTGATTATTGAAGGGCCACTACTTCCTATATCGGTCGCTGCGTCGAGAGGACAGGAAGCGTCCGCGGATGCGACCGGTTCACCATCAGATACGTCTTTGAAGCCGATCGTATTCAGCTCCGCGAGCTCACACGCTGTTGGCACCGATAATACCCCATGGTGGAAGTCTTCGATTGGCTCATCAGACGTGGCCGGAGACTCCGCTGTCCCGTCCGCCAGGGTTGCAAACGCCGGGTCGCAAACTGTTTCGAGTGAAGCTGGAAATTAGGAGTACGATTTCGTGAGCTGAAGTCTTCTTTCGATTCGAGTCACGCCGTAGTTTTCTGATAGGACACAATTGCATGCAGAGTATATCGAAGCACTTAGGTGCAAACAACTTAGCACGTATATGTTCATAAAGCCATTATTGGCAGTTGCTTCTGCCTGAATGGGCTTCGCATACCTTTCGTTATTCATGAATTTCGTGATATCGGTCCCGTTGCTTCTGGTTCAGCATGACTGGGTCGTGCTAGCTGTATACAGATGGTTCATGTGGTAAACGCCTTTCACTCAGATCATAATATTTTCTCGACTGCTGGGTGTAGCGATAGATGCACGCTTTCATGGATTTGAGTGGAAAACTAGCCGACATTTAGTATACTTGAAATACTTCACCGAAGGCATCATCCACAATTTTATTTAGCGGCGGCATTCCAGCTTGCGCCTTGCGGCGCTTGTCGCAGATCGCAGTGCCCCTTCAAAACGTAGAGCGTAGTGGAAGTATTATTCGTTCGCCTTCCCACGTGGTTGATGACGTAATCGCGAACACCTGAGATCAGGCGTTTCCTGCGTACCGGTGTGGGGACATCGGTCGACCACCAGCCACCAGCCACCAGCCATGATACCCTGACCTTGGCTGCTAGGTTCTGGCTCCTACGGTTTCATTGGCATCAGATCTCGCGACCGCTACATCAGAACGTGTCGCTTTAAGACGGTGCCCCTCTAGCTACTAGTCTAAGTTACGGCGGTACCCATATTCCGACGCCACGACTGCGTTTGCCCTTGGCCCTGCGACTCCTTGATGAGAGGATCTCCCTGGTCAGTTGTGGTCTTACCGTACTAGCTGCTATGATACCTCTTGATTGAGGGTCGCTCGCTGACACGAGACTTTGGAAGATCAGGTGATCACGTTGCCCGCAAAGGAACGCTATCCGTTCCTACGATCGTTCTGATTTGGACGACGTATCAGAGCGGTTTGTCTTACGTATGCTCAAATCCCTCAGCATGATGGATCGCTGACATCTTGGTGGTTTGGAAACGAAAGATACAATTATCTCAGGCTCAATTGTCGGCTCCCGATACATGGTTGACATCCAATCGTCTCCTGATCTACGTTACATTTAGAGATAGTCCGGAAGGTCCCGTCACCCTGACCAGATCGGACACCATGTCAGGCAGCCAAGATACAGGACAAGGGTTGAACCCGCAAGCTCGAGAGTTCAAACTACAAGACAGCGGTAATAACCAGTCCTACCTGTCACGTATCGGATCGAGTTTCAACCAGGGGAGAGTCGACCCGGTTGTATGGAAGCAATGTCAGAGAGGACCGCACGATCAATCGCAACTCGTAAGTTCATCCCTTGTTCATTCGAATGTCTCTCATAGGACGCTGCGTGTTTTGTGATATATTAGAGAGGCGTTCACAGCATGAACACAGCTAATCGACCATACTTGAAGAACATCGGTGGACATCCTCTCCATTCCGGACATCGGTCCGACGATTACTGGGTTGAAAATGAAAGGGGTTTTACCACTGGTCATGTGAGTCAACATCCCCCGGATAAGATCCCGATCTCTTCTCCGCGACCCATGAGCTTACCACTCTCGTGCATATGTCAATCCAGATGGGCGCGAGACACCAAGAGCATAGGCTTTCTCCGGGGATCATGAACCTATCGTTACCTGTCGGCGAGAATTCTTTCGCTCGCCCCAGTCAAACATCACTGAAACTGCCAGAAAAATCGTTACGCTCTGAGGCGCTGGTTGTGAAATACTCGCCGAAGGACGTGACAGCACCGCGAACTGAAACTACGCCGCAAAGACGCGACCCTAGGTAAGTCGAGAAAGGGCTGTGTTATACTGATACGCAGCTCAAGATCCTGTGCAGGGAGGTAGAACCTGATTGGCATTGCAGGATGTGCGGAACAGCATACACTAATGAGGTCAGCCGATGTATCTTGTGGGTCGAATCCTTCAGAAATACAGATGTATATCTCACTAAAGAGCCGTTTCCCCGTAATTTTCAAGGTGTCCTATGCCCGACATGGACGTTACTCTTTCGCACAATCCTGGTTACATTCGAAACAATCTGCAGCTGGATAATCAAAGGGACGGAAACCTTCTCGGGAGTGGCGACATCTTACAGAGCGTCACGGACACTATGCGACGCGGGTTTTGTCTTCCGCTAGCGAAAAGTCACGAGACATACCCGTCTCCAACAATCGTCTTGGATAAACTCTCAAAACACGTAGAATCGCTCATGCGGTTGGGGCATTCGGGAGTCGAGTTGAAGGATGTCATCGTAGAAGGAGATGTGGGACTGTGTATGGATTTGGGCATGAAGGGATTGATTGTGAGTGTTCGACTCGTCATTCAGTGGGTTAGCTCTGTAACATCGATTGCTCGATAAACAGGGCAAGGAGGCGCTGAACCCCTGGAAGACCTTGTCCATCAACATACCGGTAAGACTGACTTGATTCGCTGAGCGACCTCGCATCTGACGTCCCGTATATTTCAAGGATCAACCATTTCTGAAGCAAATTCCTAAACCTCCGCTGGGAAGCGTTGCTGGAGATTGGACCTGTTCTTGTGGTAGGGAGGTACGTTCCCGTCACCTGTAAGCAATCCGTGCCCTACAAGACATTGACCAAAACTGGCCACCGGCATCAGAATTGGGCGAAGCGTTCGGTCTGTTCGAGATGCTTCCCAGGGATCGAACCGGAATACAAAGCGATAGTATACAATCGAGTGAGACCAATTTTTGAGTTGGTTACATCCCAACTGCGAGAAGTGCACCTGCGTTTAGATGCGGAAAAACTCAGCTCTGAGGAGCGCAGGTTGCGACGCAGGGAGACTAAACCTTGACATTGAAAAGCGATTGTATTATTGAATTCTTTTTTGGCGATCGGAGTGATTATGTTCAGCTCGGCCCATTAGTAACGCCTGATAAGCAATGTCAGTGGCTGCGAAAACGCGTTTCTGATGGGTCGGATCAAACGGTTGCAGCCGTGGCAAAAAAGAAAATGATGACTGTGAGATTCGAACTCACGCCCCGAAGGACCGCGGAACGTGTTAAACACCTTAACACGGCAGATTAGACCACTCTCCCAAGTCACCAGTCATGTTAAATGACATTTTATATAAACAATAGATACAAACGGGCAAACAGCCGAAAGAACCGCTTTGTTCTCGTATTTCTTATTGTTCTCCCGATACGATCAACCATCGGTACTTACACCTTTTGTCCCAGCTTTTCTCGAAAGATTATGTCCTCCGCCTCCGATGCATATATATTACATTCTAAAGACTCTGCAGCATGTGAGGTGCCCGGCACTGTGTCGACTTGCTCGATCGAGAACCTACATCGTACATCATCAACGGATTCTTCCTCATTAAAAAGACGACATCCGAAATGAGGCATCCCGGTTACCCTATCTGCGCCCTGCTTGGTCTGCTGGCAGTACTGCTCCCATCACCATGGCATTGGCGGGCAAGGAACATCAGCACTCTCGGCCTAATATTCTGGCTATCAATCACCAATTTGACTATCATTATAAACAGTCTGCTGTGGGCCGACAACATAGTAGATCGAAGTCCCGTTTGGTGCGATATATGTGAGCACAGCCGAAAGATATTCGTTTTTGGCTTCTGTTTACTGACGTTGATTCATTCTCAGCCGGTCGGATCTTCATTGCTGCATCGGTGGCTATACCTGCTTCCTCCTTCTCACAAATGCGCCGATTGGAATCCGTTGCATCAACAAGACATCTCATTGCGTCTCGCAACGCGAGGATGCGTCGAACCGCCCTGGACATTGCCCTATGCTTTGGACTACCTCTTGTCCAACTCGCTTTGCGCTATATCACTCAAGGTCACCGTTACGACATTATCGAACATATCGGTTGTCAAATACCCGCCTATATGTCTTGGCCCAATGTCGTCATCTCATCCGTCATTCCTCTTGTGCTAGCTGTCGGGGCGACAATCTATGCATGTAAGCTCTCGCCCGGTGGCTGAAGCCGAGACTTAACTAATGTTCCTCTTAACAGCACTAGCATTCCGATGGTTCATCTTGCGACGCTTGCAGTTCAAAGCAGTACTCAACGCTTCGCGGACAGGATTGAATACGGGCCGATATCTGCGTCTGATCGCTCTGGCCGTTACGGATATATCCCTCGTCCTCTTCGCCACATTGTTCATCCTCATCTCTTCTGTCAAAGTGAACGGAATCAGCCCCTTCTCGTGGCATGCCGTTCACATTGAATTCGCAACAATATCGCAGTATCCGGAGGACCTGCTTCTTGGCGCCTACTCCACATATGCCACCACGGTGTATCTCTATCCAGTATACTCATTCTCGTTCTTCGTATTCTTCGGCTTCGGAGAAGAGGCGATACAGGAGTACATGGCTCGGTGGTCACAGTTGCAGACGTCGTTCTTACGGATAATGGGAAGGCGGTCAGTCGAGCTATGGCTTCGGTCCCGCTGTCATGGAGAGTTCTGATCGTTTGCGTTCGACAGACCTGAGGTCGATCCTGATATGCCACTCCCAACTCTTGGCAGTCAGGCAGCTTTCGTGGCAGACATGTCGGATACCGAGGCCTCCAAGCTAGAAATCATTAACAATGGTCATCCTTCAGGCAACAAACCAATCATCCAGGCGCATGTGCCGGTCTCTATCGAGGTATCTGTTGTATAAATACGTAACGTGGATAACAATAGTGATTTGAATAGATCTCAGTCTGGATCCAGCATGTCGTTCAAGCTATATCCAATCTTCTCGTAGCAGTTTCCAACTCGATAGCCTGCCAACGAGGCTTCGCTTCTTCCTCGCTCTGTCGTATACGAATATAATCTAGCGTGTTTCGGAAATGCTGAAGGAAGATAGGCGAATCAGTGGTCGACATCACAGAGGCAACACAGTGACATGGCAATCCGAAGCATATGCTGTACCTGAATCGTGTCCCAGTCTCCTCGCGCTAGGTCGATTTGCCGGGTCGAATTCGCGGTTCTTGTCGGAGTAGCGAAGTCGATGTTGCTGGTAATCAATTCCGTAAGACTGTTTATGTATTTGGGTGTAACCTATCATTTTCACAATGTATATGAGATATGGGAAAGCTCGCAGGGAAAGACTGGCGCCAAGGTCTACTTACCGCTTCGAGAGTCTGCTCAAAGTAATAGATATATTTGTCCAACGCTTGAACGTACAGCCGAACGCTGGACGCCTCGTCCACACACGAGCTCGCAATTCGCAAGGCCTTCTGCAAGCATTCCAGTACTCTCTTGTCGTCCCGGAATGCTGCCTACAAAGACTCGGTGTCAGCAAAGAAACCTGGATTGAAGCGTTGAACCGCGACACTTACGCTCGAGGTTGTCGTTTGACCCGGTATATCGGTCTGCCACCACATGTGGCTCGCTTGCAATACAGCCGCCGCTTGGTGGGGCTTTTTTAGGAGTTTGGATCCATGAAGAGCTGCCTTGGTAATGAGCGTATCGTAATTTTCCGTGCCAAAAACTCGAGAGGTTTGTAGCGCTGACATAATTGCTGTTATCGTGTCAAGTTGAGCGTTGCTCTCTGAAATGCTTTCTTCATAGATCGTAAAAGCCTGAACGAAGAATTCATAGGCAAGGTCTTCGACTCGACATTCGTCGGCCATTTGGGCAGCCGCCAGAAAGAGCCGGAGGCTCGTTTCTGAGGTTTCGACTTGCGTATACAGACTAAGCACGACTTGATGTGTAAATTTGAGGACATTGCGTAAAAGTTCGCCCTAACAATGATATATAGAGGTTTAGCCAGACATTGGGATCACAATAGCGGTCACGTACAGGAACTTCCGCATCTTTTGCGGTCCGGGCTAGTCTGAGAGAGGCCGATACCAGAGCCGGAAATGTATACTGTATTCGCTGTCCTCCAAGTATGAAGTGATCTCGTGCTGTCCTCAGCAACTGCACACACGCGTCGGACCGGTTAGCTGTTGTCAGCTAGATCGTAGTCCAACGGTACCGACCAAAATATGCTTGTTCGCATCAGCCGAAGAGAATAGATGCACGATCCTCGCAAGCCAGCCTTGTTCCTCCGCCAACGACGGCGATGTACTCTCATAGTTTGCCCTGATATGGGTCGAGTTGGGTTGAGAGCGATGGGACTCTCCATCATCTGTAACCAGGTCTCGGCATAGTGTCAAGACGCCATTGACGTCTTCAACACGTTCGATGCGAGTGTTACTCTTGAGAATAGATGCAACTATAGCTTGTCCGATGGATGTACGCGTGGAGCTTTGTTGTTTTGCAAGTAGCCCTTGATACGACGGAATAGCGAGCAGTGTCAGTGCTGAGGTGTATGTCGTTACCGGAGCCAGAAGGAGTGACAAGAGATTCGTCGTTGTTTGAATGGCCAGCAGTTCAGGACTAGACAAGAATGGGGGCAGGTGAAGTTTGGCACGGCATTCTAAATTCTCGTGTTTATTCCAACTCACTGCGTGGCATATTCCTCCATCTTCCTTTGAGCGAATTGTAGAACGTAATCGACATATTCTAGCCGATCCGGGTAACAGCTCAGCGCCAGGTTCAGCAAAGAGACCAAGAGCGCCGTGACATCCTGGACACTCAGATCTGGTCTGACCTAGAAACGAGCGCTTCTACTTAGATATCAACGATTTACGAGACCGGTGAGCGTGTTGCACCTACTGAGATCAATTGCACCACTTGCTGCCAGAAGATCTCAAAGAGGCGAACATCACGAGGGATACCTCTGAATTTCAAGTGCGACGACGACGGCGATGAATCAAGCGCCCTGCTATCGGTCGCATCCTGTTCGGGTGAAATCGGTTCGGCGCTTTTTCCTTCATCATCGGCACGTAACGCTGAATTGTCCGATGTTTTCTCGTTCCCAACGCTCAACCCAGCCATGGAGTCTCCCAAGTCTTTGCCTTCCCGCGTTGACTTGACGCGATCCGCCAATCGTCTTGCCAGCTCTTCCTCCTGCGCCTTTTTCTCCTCAGGTGTTTCGTTTTCTGCCTCACGAGCCGCGAACCCAGCGAGCCGGTCGATCAGAGAAATCACGATCTGTTTCACGTTGACCTTGGGATGTAACTGCGCGGTCGCACTGAGGAAAGGCGTGAGAGTGTGTAGATGGAACTCGTCGGTGAAGACCTAATGCAACGCAACATTGAGCAAAGCGGTCCTGCATCTGGCTGTCGCGCTGGACTGACCTGAATGACCACTTCCATGAGGTATTCCTGAGCTATGATATCTCGGCAACCGACCACCTGCTCAAGAATGCTGGGAAGGATGGCTTGGCGGTACATGGTGAGGTCAACACCTTCTAATTGACTCAAGCGAACGAGGTTGGTTCCAACCAGTATGCGCAGTTCTTTTCGTTCCATTTCCCTCTTTTCACGTTCCTTGGAATGGCCCTGATGCTGGAGGCGCACCCACAGCTTGTTCATCTCCACGAAATTCGTCAACACGAAAGCTATCGAGTCTTGCAAGTTCCCGTCCGCTCTGTTTCGATAAACGTCAGCGTAACACGTCGGAAAAGATTATACTCATGTGACCTCACCCGGATGACTCGCCGACGGGTAGGTAATCCCGGGTTTGTCCACTCAGATAATGTCGCAGGAAGAGTCCGCGAGTCGCATGTTGGACTCCTCGGGTCATTTCGAGCATGTCCTTCATGATCTCCTTGACGGGAGCGTCGGGTATAGACATGTAGATGGATCCAACGGTGATCATGAGGTATAGCCGTGGCCTGGACCCAAAAGGCGTGGGACACGTTAGCCTAGACATTCACCAGGCCACGCAAACTCGAATGTGCCGCTACACTCACACAATATTTCCTTCGGTTCGAAAGTATCGTCAACATGTTAGTAAGTACTTCGATCATCAGTGACCAGTTACTCACCAGCATATTGAACGAGCTCGTAAAGATCTGCCAAATGATGTTTCCCACTGGTATGCGCATCGTAGAGGTATGTCTGTAACCCTGAAGAAATCAGCATGATCCTCACTCTAACTCATACGAGAATGTAGGACTCGCCGTCAGGTGTCTCAGGGCATCGAAAACACTCATGTCTGGAATTCCAGGTCCACTGTCAGTCACGAGCTATGCGGGTGAAATCAAGGTGAGAGCAGACAGGTGCATACACAACTCGTAATATTGTTTCTGGCATGTGCGACCCCGCACAAGCGTAATCATGTAAGCAAGATGGCTGGCGAGCAATATTCCCTGCGGCATGTACATACCGGCGAGAGCGAAGAGGTTCGTAGCTCTGCGAGCATAGTCGAGGCACTCTTTAAAGCCTCCATGATCTGATCCGTATCCTATAACAGCGCCTAGGTCGGTCACGATGACGTGTCTGTGACCGAGTCGGACCGTGGTGACTTACAAGGCTTCTCTTCATTGCAACGGACTGCATCTTGACGACACTAACGTCCAGTAGCATAACAGACTTAAGCTGGCGATGACGCGATCCCTCATCGTATGTCGATCGACCTACCCGAGAGCATCTTGGAGTATCCTAGCGTCATCCATCTTTGACTGGATGCGTCGTGCTCGAACGATGGAAGAAGGGTCGATCTGGCTGTCGAGTTGTGTCGCTCTGGAAGAGGAGGAAGGGCGTGATTGTGATCTGGAGCCTGATCTGATTTGCTAGAGGCTAGAGGTGATGAACAAGAAGAAGCATGGAAAGTCGGAGCTCATCAACAAATGCGATCGATATGCGAGGGGGGGGGAGCCTGCGGTCAACTCCGGTGCTGCTGCTGCCGCTGCTTGCCTCGCTCGCCCTGGCTCGTGAGAAGCCTGAGCTCTGACGCGTGGCGTGGATGACCCCCTAGCCTAGCTATGCACACCGAGGCCATGGCCGAATCTACCATGCCATACAATGCTCGAATGCTCCCTACGATTCCTGCTTCTTCCTACTGTCAGAATATAAATCACGAAACAGTCACGACCACCACGACAAGTTTGCAGTTACGGGCAAATACGCTAGGTCCGAATCATGGTGAGTTCTCATATCCGTCGAGACACGTTTCGTATCTGACTGCTGATGAAACCCCCCCGCAGGTCGTCCTTTCAGTCGCGGTCACTACAAAGAGCGGGAAGCGTGCGTTGGCAGAAACCCTGCGAACCTCCCTTCTGGCCAGCTGACCGAAGAGCTCGTTCTGTTGGACAGCGGTACTATCCAGACAGTTCCGCCCGTTGCCCAAATCCCGTATCGATGGACTCCTTACCTCGTTTCCGAAACTGATACCCGTCGGCTCGCAACACACAACCGTCGAGACCCCAGACGTCCGCTTCGTCTACCAGCCCTTCGACGAGCTGTATGTGATGCTGATTACCAACAAGGGATCGAACATCCTACAAGTGAGCCGCTAGATCAACTTGACCGGACCCAATGTTGCAACTTCCTCCTCACCCTCAAGCGATTCCTTGCAGGACATCTCCACTTTATCGCTCGTCGTTCGCTTGATCACCTCTTTGACTCCGTCCATGTCGGAACCGGCTGTCCTGGCCAACTCGTTTGAGCTGCTCTGTGCGTTCGACGAGGTTGTCTCTCTCGGTTATAAGGAGAACGCGAGTTTGCAGCAGATTCGAAACGTCCTTGAAGGTGAATCTCACGAGGAGAAGATTCAGGATATTATCGCCCGAGTGAGTTCTCCTTACGCCGTGAAGCACATCCATCTCAGCGTCTCCGGCTGACCGCGACAAACTTGCTTGTCGTTGGTATAGAACAAGGAAGCAGAAGCAAAAGAAGAATTGAAGCGGCGGGCCAAACAACTCGAGATGCAGCGTCGGGAGCAACAGAGAATGAATCAAGGCACTTCCACCCGGGGACTCCAGGCTAGCCCTTACTCTTCCAGCAATCCAGCTACGGGTGGTAGCACCGGCGGATATGCTCAAATTCCCCGCCAAGAAACCTATCCCATCGAGCGGGAAAGCCGGTGCGTCCGGCTTGCCTGTACATGCGACTAGGGCTGACTTTGGAAAACATTCTTTCAGATCTAGATCGCCTGCCAATCCTGCGAAACCGACATTCAAAGGCACAGGCATGAAGCTCGGTAAGAAGGGCAAACAATCGGATTTTTTGGCGGCGGTGGAGGATCTCCCGGTTCCTGTCAAAGTCCCCGACGTGCATGCCGGTCAAACTTTGTCGGAACCGGCCCAGCCTTTCCAAACGGACGATGGTCACAACCCTGCAATCCACGAGTATGTAAAGGCTTGCTATCAGCATCGACCGCGAGAGTTGGCTGACGACCGCCTTTCCTTCATAGCGTATATATCAAGATTCGTGAGACGGTCAACGCACAAATCAATCGCGAAGGGGACCTCGAAGCATTCGATCTAAAAGGCGACATGGATCTTCGAATCAACAATCCTGTCTACGCCAAGGTTTCTGTAGTGCTTGCCGATCTGCTCCCACAGTTCAAAGGCGCCAGTTCAATGTTGCAATTCCAGCAGCATCCCAACATCAAGAAGTTCTCAGCTTCGAGCGATCAAAAGATCATCGCTTTGAAAGATTCGGGCAAGAGCTTCCCCATTGGGCAGAGCTTGGGTGTTTTGCGTTGGAAATTCACGTCCAAGGACGACAGTAACATTCCATTGACACGTACGTCGAGATCACCGTGTTTACCTCGACACCTTGCTGACGATACTCTTACGAACCCCCTAGTGACCTGCTGGCGTACTGAAAACTCGGACGGTTCGGTGACCGCCAATATCGAATACGATTTGGTGTCGACCTCGCTCAACCTGCAGGATGTGACTGTACGAGTTCCCTTAGAGTACGTAACCGCGGCCTTCAGCGAGCTTCAATTACTCATCAGGTCGCTCCGAGACAGACATACAGCGGACGATATCAGCTTATCATCCGGTGACTGGCTCACCGATGATAGTACACTCTCCTGGACCATACCTTCAATCAACGCTCAGCAACCTGCGGGTAATCTCGAATTCACCTGCAAAGCGACCGGACCTGACGGGTTCTTCCCGATTCACGTCGGCTTCCGAAGCGAAGGCAGCATCTGCGGGCTAGAGGTCAGTACACATCCTGTCGAAGTTCGTAGAGACCGGTACATCCGACTGAAACACCCTGCCCCCTAGGTTGCTAAGGTCATCGAAGCTCAACATGACGGTCAAGTGCCGGCCTATATAGACGCTGAATCAACATCTGGGGCCTATTACGTCGTTTGATCAAAGCTGTACACATCTCCTTTGCATCATCAATATTCGCTTTAGATCCGCTTTATGATCGGCTTCACAAAATCTCTTGTTCGAACTCTGAGGTGATCCGAGACAGTAATGCTCGGTTCTTAGGAGTTTCCTGTCAGCGGCCTACAGCGGTCTATCAGCTACAGTTCAGGATGTGAACTGGTAATTGAGATATGGTTTTACTACAATACTACAGATCTTGCCACACGGCGTTTGCGAGTCTAGGGAAGCTAGAAGCTAGCTATGCGCTACGTCTCGCGTGAGAACTAATATCACGCGGCTCCAGTCTTCTTAAGGCTAACTCGTACGTGCGAAAGCATGTTAAGCATGAATTCATGAAGCTGATGATGGAAGCACGAACGACATACAACATACATCACTTTTACTACCAGCTACCAGCTACCAGCCACTACGTCCTACAACGCATCGCGCAGCTTAGCGAATATAGTCACTTATTCATACGACTGTAGATCAAACCGGAAGCACAGGCATTTGTCTCATTCCCGGGATCCCGTCATCGATTTGGGCCGCTCAACAAGAGATCCCTGATCAAGAAATCAGCCGCTTGCTCTCGACGTGAGAAGAATGGAATGCGGTCTCAGCCCACACGATATGAGCAGAACTTCGGACGAGCTGTATCGGCGAATGTCAGAGCCAAGCTTCGGGTCAGATGATGCATATTGGTCATCGCTTCCCGCACACCTCCGCAACTTCATCAGAAACGCCTTGCCGCTAGCCGGAAACCTAGCCGTACAAGGTAATGGCTCAGGCGTCCTGCCAGGTGGAGTGACTGGCGCTGGTGGGCAAAGGTCGATGTATGCAATGGCGCAAAACATCGTTAGTACGGCTGGAGGGGCGTTGCGTAGCTCTGGTGGGAGTACAATGCCGTTAAGTACCTTGTCTCCGTGTGAGTCTACCATTACCTTTGCCATTGAGGACCCGTATTTAAACCACGCTAATGTGTACTTGACTTGATTTTGGTTACGACCATTAAGCCACGCCGTGCGTATCAGTTCAACCTCAAAGGAACGATCTTCAGCTTGAAGATAGCTTGGTCCGTCGCAGCTCTGCCAAGGCGGACCTTCAGTCTAACTCCAAAATTTCGCCGGACACTATTCATGAATCTAACAAGACTGCAACGTCGCACGAGGGAACAACCAACAAGGAAAATAGCTCAGCCATTCCTTCGCACGGCGGAGTATCAAAACTTCCACCCCGATCACCTGATGGTTCCCATCGAGGTATACATCAGCAGCCGGCAGCAGGACGACATCTTCAGGGCGTCACCGCACCACCCTCGTCACGTGCAGCTGGGAAGCAACCGATGCAACCCGTCAATCCACAATCCCCATCGAAGACTCCTACGATACAGCCGGCGGTGACTCCGTCGAATCGATCTGCGCGAGCTGCGGGGAAAGCACCAGTCAGCTCTGCGACGGGACCATGTCATCAAGGCGTACCAACAACAGCCTCCAGTGCGGCCGTTCAAAACAAGCCAGGGATCGCTACAAACGTCAAAGCCAAACCGGGCCCCTCAACACCTGCTCCTGTCCGCGTGTGGCAGACTAGCACGGCAGAAGAGCGTGAGGAGATTAAGCACTTCTGGCGGGGTTTATCATCAGATGGCCGACGAAGACTGGTCAGAACGGAAAAGGATGCTGTCTTGAAGAGGATGAAGGACTATCAGCGTCACGCATGCAACTGCACAATCTGCGGCAGAAAGCGTGTTACCATTGAAAGCGAACTTGAAATCCTGTACGAGGCTTACGAAAAAGAGCTTGAGCTCTACGAGTCACGTCATGGGCGAAACGGAAGCTTAGTGAATGTTGAAACTCGCGAGGCGGTCAATCCAGGACCGTTTCCCGGAAGCGTTGAAATCGATTCTGCTGGTAACGTCTTACATCCGGATTATCTAGCGCCACTGTCTTATCACGACGCGCGTACGAACGATCGTACCGTCGGAGACAGTGATGAAGACTACGATGATGACGACGACGAATATGATGAGGAGGATGAGGATGAACTGGAGGAGGAAGACGATCTCAGATCGAATGAAGCAGAACCGGCGGAGGACGATTTCGATGGTTATGATCATCAGACAAGCAGGAACGTCCATAAGTCCCCGGCAGGAAGTCGCGGGAAGATGTTGGATTCGCACCCAACCCAGCAGAATCATGTTACAGAAGCCGAAGCGCACGACTTCGTCTCATTCCAGGGAGAACTATCGAGTATCAAGGGTGAGTGGGAGTCTCCGAGATGGATGACATCTCCCTAATCAGCTTTGGTGTCTTTATGTTTGTGGCTTGAACAGGTGTTCTCACAGTTGCCGATGACCTTCTCAGAAATGATGGGCAGCGGTTCCTTGAAATGATGGAGCATTTAGCCGAGAGACGATTCGCTCGTGCAGGTGTCGCTCCCATCGCTCCAGCCGATACGACAGCTCTAACACACGGCGCAGATGACCAAGACAGGTTCGTGCTTCAGCATTCTCTTGTCGAGCCTTGTGGTTGACCTCAATTAGTGATATAGCGGGGATGATTTAGTGGACCGAACAACAGAGGTGTGTAGCAGAGGCGCAGACAGAAAGTTTCGGTGACAATCAGTTCAGTCGGCTGATACCCCTTCGCTGTTTCAGACTCATAAGCTCGAGGAAGGCCGACGGATGTTCCAGATTTTTGCAGCGAGATCTTTCGAACAGAGAGTTTTGCAAGCATACCGCGAACAACTTGCTCAGCAGAAGCAGCTGCAATTCCTTAAGGAATTAGAAGACGAGGAGACTGCAGCAGAGGCTAGAGAAGCGCGTAAAGCGAAAGAGGCTCAGAAGAAAAAGGACAAGCGGCGGTTTGTTAACCACTATGACTCACGCACTAGTCTGCCGTGTACTGATTCCTAACCTGTTTTGTAGGCAACAAAAGCAGGCTAAGGACGACGAAAAGGCCAAAAGGGATGCTCTGCTGGCAGAGGAAGCCGAGATGGCTCGCGTCAAGCAGGCTACTGCAGAGAAAGAAGCGAATAGACGGCGAGAAGATGAGCGCGTGCGTAGGGAAGCGGAAAAGCGAGCTAAATTGGAGGATCAATTGCGCAAGGAAGAGGAACGTCGTAAAAGGCAAGAGCGAGAGAAGGAGGCGGAGAAGGCAAAGAAGCAAAGGGAAAGGGATGAACGGTCAAAGTCGAATCGGTCGATTGCTGGGGAGGTCGTCTCTGTAAGTCTAAAACAGATCGAAAGCCCATTCACATCATCTAACAACACCGATTGCATGCTGTAGATGAATGGTGAGAACCAGCGGCTTTCGAATAACGGCGGCTTGGTCACCTCCAGGAAGCAGTCGACCCCCCAGGCATTGCCGGTACCGACCTCTGATACCGGTAGATTGCTCGAACGAGGTCGGTCATCAAAACCAGCAAATGAAGACATACCTCAGCCCAAATCCGACGCAAGCTATCGCCCATCATCGCGCCCCTCGGCAGGCGAAGCACAACATGAGCACAGTGCGACTGCCTCCGCTTCACAAACCAGACATGCTGCCGATGAGGAATCGCGTTACATGGCTGAAGACGTTGCGAGTTCAGGCATAGCCAACACTCGCCTTGCAGTCACTACCAGGCCGAACGAGTTAGCTGTTGACACAAGTCCCGCAGTTTACGATACCCAACAATGGGATGCACCACTCGCTGCAAAGGCCGTTGCGTCTCCGACTCAAGAAGGGTCGACCATCGCTACAATTCCATCCACCGCGACCGTCACGCCGTCTATGCCAATCGAAGGCAGCGCCCTGTCAGGGGTTGTGGGCACCGCTGTCCCGTCTACAGCCTACTCGCTTGGGGCCACTGGCACGAATACTCGTGGCGGCGCATACGTCGCCGGCGTGACGGCCCATGGGCAGATGGCAGAGAACGCGTATCCAGTCATGATCTCGCCGGGCATTCCTGCTCCGATACGCCAAGGAGTTCATCATAGCGGGACGATGCTTGCCGCTCCAGTGGATGCCCTTCCGGTGACTCGACTCCAGGACCCGATTGGGCCAATTCAACCTATCGGGCGACCTCGACCTTGTGGGCCCCCTTTTCCACTCGAACAGCCGGCTGACCACGTTGGGAAGCCCTTCTCGACTCGCAAAGCGAGCGTCAGCCATGATCAGGTTCTAGGCTCAGCTGCCCTATCATCCGGAGACGATGAAGTGATCATTCCTGCGCCGAGACGAGTTTCACATGGGCACAACGCATTGGGCTCAAAGTGGAATGCTGGTTCGCAGTTAAGCAGTCCTCATTGGGGAGCGGCCTTTGCGGCAGCACCTGCTCCAATCTGGGGACGCTCTGAGCTTTCACCTGGCGCTGTACACACTTGGCCTGCAGCTGGTAACTCGGGCACGTATATCGGTCATCGATATGACGGCCCCATAGGTCTTGCAGAATCGTTTCCCGCTCGTGCTCAACAACAGCAGCAGGGGACGTCCAGGCCAGCGCCGACACAGTTCATCGACATCACTCGGCGAGGCAACAGAGATGAGCGATGAGATGTCCCCTTGTGAGCGGGACTAAGCGATAGACGAGTCAAGTCGATCGACTTGGATAATTCATTGTCTGGCCGAAACGTTCGAGAAGCTGTGTCAGTTTGGCGGGGGGCTAGAAAGAGAGCTTGGCGGATAGTAATACGTTCTAGCAGAATACCATGTCACAGCTGTCTGGGCAAGATGCACTTAGCTCCCTGTTTATGTTAGACGCATGAAGCCAGTGTTGTGAATAGGCATCTTGACACCAGGAAGTAACTCCCGGGCATAAAAAGATCCAATACGCGTCGTACTGTCGGCGACGGTGCCTAGCAGATCTTCAATCCTTCAACAAGGTGTCCGTTTTAGCATTTGCATAGACCAATCACGTTCGTACTGGCCCAGGATGACACGAACACCAATACGTCTTTGGGAACCATAGGTGTTTGAGCTGGCTTTTGCAAGATTCTGGGTGACAGTCCATATGTATTTGGGCCAAATGTCTGTCATGCTGTTACATGATCGCGCCACAGTAGTGCCAAACAGTCAAAAGCACTTACAACAGTAGTGCTGGTCCAATTGACAACAGGGAGGTAGGGGAGAAGGCTCCATGTAAGAACGGCTTGACTGAGAGGATATATCTACGAGTAAAAGTCAAGGTAGTGTATGGGGTGTGGTCTTCAATGAAAGATGAAGAACTACTTCTAAAAGATTGAAAGATATAATAGTGATATGTACTATTATCTAAGAGATCAACCAACATTGGGGACGTCTTGTGTGGGCATTGTGAAGGAAGCCAACTCTTATGTGAGAGAGGAGCAAATCTCACAACTGAATTTATGAAAAGGGATGCCTCATTCCTTCTTTTGGGTATTCCTATATATATGTACATTCTGAGGAAATAGCATGTACCAGAATATGTGTCTGTGGACGCGAATATGTGTTTGTGGACGCAAACATGTGGCTGTAGATGCAATGATTGATGTCTGCAGACACAGATGCGTGACTGTAGTTGGAAACTTGTGACTCTGGTTGCAAGCTGTTATTACAGTTGCACCTTTACATCACCCCCGTCCTATTTCAAGCTCTGTCCCAGAGGTCAAGTAGAAATTGAATGGAGATGACATATCACAACTCAAACCAGAGGTAAGAAGGAGTGAAGCGACGTATTTGAATTGACTGTTGTACGTGTACCGCTTGTAGTGCAGCGTCATTGACAGTATTGTTCAGCACTCTTTCTGTTGCCCATCCTTATCCGTCTTGAAATTCTGGGTTATTGTCACTGAAAAAGGAGTACCAGTTGAAAGGAGATATATTTCGGATTGCTCAGCGATGGGAGGTTTTGTACGGTTTGAACCAGCGTTTATTGAAGATTGGCATGCTGTGACATCATTGATGATGCTCAAGGTGCAATCTCAAGCACAAAGGGTCAACATGTGACCAGGATCACATGTTGTGACTGGAGACGCACTTATGTGACTGGAGTCACACTTATGCGACCAGAGACACACATATGCGACTGGAGTCGCATATTGGTGATGTCATTTGTGACTGGAGTCACAAATACGTGACTGGAGACGCAATATGCAACCAGAGACGTAATTGTGCGACTGCTCTAGTCGCAAGTTCACTAGGGGACATGCTCATCAGAATAGCATATATAGCAGACCATTTGGGTCTGATTTCTCTTTCCCCTCTCATGTACTACTTTACTTTTATGCAAGCAACATTGATTCATCTTCACAACAAGACAAGATCAGCAATAATAACACACCATTACTATTGCCTAGGTACATCAAGTAACCAACATTGGTGGATCTAGTTGTTACTTCACAACAGGTTATGAGCCCAGTAGTTGTGGCCTAATTTACACTTAGACTTAGCTCACAAAGGAACAACCTCAACTATCAGGATCATCAAGAGGATATCACTGGACATAGTTGGACAGGTTTATATTACTGGTCAGTAACAGGATAGTCTCACAGCATTGAGACTAAGGACTATTAGATCAAGAGAGGATCACTAGTCAGCATCAGACTTGGACATCAGTATTCAAGCAGCAACAAAGACTTGAGGCAACACAGACACTCAAGCACCAGCATAGGACAAGTCTTGGATATCAACAATGGATACTACCAACACAGGCTCTTCAGCAACCAGTAAGATACCTATCCTGACTGGGTTGGACAACTACTGCCAATGGAGGAATGCAGTTGGGGATGGAGCACTTGTCTATGGAGCACTACATGTGCTGACAGAGGAAGTCAGGACAAGACCTCTCAGGCCTCTGGAGATTGAGGAGATGGATGGCTCAAAGGTAGCACCTCCCTCATCTATTGTCTCTCTATACCTAGAGGAGTATAGGGAATGGAAGACCTGGAAGGAGAAGGATCAGAGGGTCATGGGTCTTATGAGACTCAATGTCTCCTCAGGCATCAGGATGGAACTTGCAGGATGCAACACTTCCAAGGAGATCTGGGACAAGCTAGCAAAGCTGCACCAGATGGACGACAAGAACTACAAGGCAGACATAGAAGAAAGGATCACTACACTCAGGATGAGTGAAGGAGATGATCCATATTGTTTCCCATAGAAATCACTGTATAAGTCATGTAAACTACTCTAAAACAGCTGAAGGTAATATACCTATTGTTTCCCATAGAAATCACTAGGGAAACAATAGGTATTGATACTAGGAGAGTTTCTAAGTAGTTTCGCTGTTCTATAGGCGTAGGGGCGACTCACGCGTTCGTCTAGTCACGTGACAATCCAGCCAAGTTCTTGGAGCTGTTCAGCACCTTACTGCTGAAAGCCCAGACAGCCAACTTCAAGCTGTCTGAAGAGGATAAAGCCACCTACTTCCTCAGGGCTTTACCTGTGACATATGAATCCCTCAAGTCAGAGTGGAAGTCACTACAAAGGATCAAGGAGATCACCAAGCAACCTACTTCCACCTTTGAGGATCTCAGGGGAATGTTCAACACCTACATTGCTGACTTCAAGCGTCAGGATGAGGTCAGGTTGCAGACTGCCATGATGGTAAGGAAAACCAGTCATGGGCAGCAAAGGAGGAACTTTGGTCAAGGTCAACAAAGAAACCACAACAACAAGGACCAAAGCAACAAGAAAGCCTTATCTTGTTGGAACTGTGGGAAACAAGGCCACTCTAGCAAGGATTGCAGAGCTCCTAGGATAGGAGATGGTTATACCCATAAACCCAAAGGACTGTCACACAACAGGTTCAACAATCACCACCACAAGCCTACAGATGATCTAGCAGCCCTGCACAGGAACATGGCAGGTGCAGCTATTCAAGAGATCTCTGCAGAAGAATATGCTGCTCTAGTCAAAGAAGAGAGCATAGAATGGCTTGTGGACCTTGGAGCCAGCTCCCACATCTGCAACAACAAAGATGTGTTCAGCCAGCTAGAAAAGTTAGCTTTCCCCAAGAAGTTCAGGACAGCCTCAGGAAATGCTACTGTCTCTGAGCATGGTGGAAAGGTCACCATGAAGTTACCTCAAGATCAGAGTGCCATAGGGCATCTGACACTTCATGATGTGGTCCTCATGGAGGATGCACCAGCCAACCTGCTTAGCCAAGGAACACTACTGGCTAAAGGATGGGATGTAGATATCACCCAACATGGTGGTATGATCAGCAAACATGGGATCAACATTCCAGTCTACAAGACAGGTCCAGGAGTAACCTTGAGAGCATTCAGATTGCCACTCAAGAAGGATTACTACATCCAATCTGAGCAACAGGAGGATGTTGGCTCATTGGATAAAAGGGAAGAGCAAGAGGACCTCGACCTTACTGTCCAGGACAAGGACACCATACAAGGATGGCACAACAGACTAGGACACATGGGTGTCAGTACCATCAAGAAGCTTGCAGCATCAGGACAACTGCACATCACAGACAAGGACACCTCTACCTTCAAGATGGAAGAGTGTGAGGTCTGTGCTATAGCCAAGACAACAAGGCTCACCTTTGGTGACATCTCAGTGGCAGCTTAAGAACCACTGGAGATAGTGCACTCTGTTGTGAAGTAACAACTAGATCCACCAAGGTTGGTTACTTGATGTACCTAGGCAATAGTAATGGTGTGTTACTAGTGCTGATCTTGTCTTGTTGTGAAGATGAATCAATGTTGCTTGCATAGAAGTAAAGTAGTACATGAGGGGGAAAGAGAAATCAGGCCAAAATGGCCTGCTATATATACCTTTCTGTAAAAGGAACGTGGCAGATTTTGCCACCATGAAGAGGGTTTCAAGTTGTGTCTTGTTGCAATGAGTTGCCTCATTGCAAGGCAGGAAAGGGAGAGGGCAAGTGCCCAGGTGTGTATCCTCAATGGGGATACTCAACGAGTATCCACAATGTGGCGTTACAACGAGGATTTTCGTTGTGTATCTTCAACGTGTGGACACAATGAGGATACTCATTGTGTCAGCACAACGAGTTGACGCGCACAGACTTGTGTGTTGGCTTTGTGGTTGAGATTGCTGCCATGTGCTGATGTCCGATCATCACATGCCTATTTCCAACACACTCAGACATAGCAGGACCTCTCAAGCCAGACATCAATGGGAACATCTATTATGTTACCTTTATTGATGACTTGACAGGCTTGACCTGCATAGGTGGTCTGAGGAACAAGACAGCAATGGATGTCCTTGGATGCTTCAAGAACTTCAAGAAGATCACAGAACTGGCTTTCAACAGGAAAGTGCAGTGTCTGAGGACAGATGGTGGTGGAGAGTATCTGGAATCCATGAAGCCATACTTGCAACTACATGGGATAGTTCACCAGGTTACCACACCATACACACCTCAACTGAATGGCACAGCAGAAAGAGCAAACAGGACACTCAAGGAGATGTGTTCCTCCATGCTCATTGCTGCCAAGATGGATCACAAGTGGTGGTTCCATGCCATGCAATATGCTTGCACCCTCATCAACATGGGCAAGCAATATCAAGGGAGATCTCTGGAGGAGATCATGTGGAAGCACAAGCCAGGATAT